TGGTTAGGCGTTGGTCCCTTCGGGTGGGACGTGGTGGGCGCTGGCGCATGCATCGATGTGTGAGTTGCATACGTGGTACTGGTGTAGGTACCTGACGTGGCCGTCGTCGTTGTCGGCACGTTTGACGTTGGCACGTGTGGTGCCGCAGTCGAGGTATTCCGTTCCGGTTCTGAACGGAGGGGCAGAGGCTGTTGCTGCGGTGGAGTTCCGGTGAGTGGGTTATTTGTCACCACACCCATGAAGAAGGTCGGATTCTTCTTCTGCTCCTTAGGTTGGATGTCCCACAGGATATCTCGAACAGTTTGCGACGGTTCAAAGTGGAAATCCGTTGCCATCGAAGTCCTGTAAGATGGAGGTTCCGTCCTGGATTGTTCCAGGTGTTTTGTTTCCTCCTGGAGGCACCGTACCTCCGTATCCAAGTCATCGGTGTATTTGGTCATCTCGTCGATATATCGATTTAAGTCATCGATATATTTATCCGCATCCAGACCATAGTTGTACAGGTCGTTTTCGCGGATTTCCAAGTGTGTGATGCGATTCTGTTGCGCTTCATACACTTTCTGGGCTTCCGCCAGGCTGTGTTCCAGCTGTGCTCGGAGTCTCTGTTCCTCCTTCAGCACATCGTTAAGTCCGTAGACCTGGTCGACCAGTTGGGCGTTTGCTTGTTCCAGGTCGGTGATGGCTCTACTTTGGTCAGGTGAGGCAGGTTGCTGGCTATAGTGAGCCATTAACTGTCGTCCTGCCCTGGCCAAGAGAATTTCCATCTCCGTTTCGAGTTGTTCAATACGGTGTCTTTGCCGGTCGACCTCGTCATCGGCCTGCTTGAGTTCGACAATGTATCTGTCGACCTCGTTCCGGTACACTTCAGCCTCTTCGTTGGCTTGATTGAGCTGTTGGTGGAATGTCCCTGCTGCCAGTTCCGATTCAACCAAGGCTGTTTGTGTGTCAGCCAGGTCTTTTTCCACGGTGGCGAGCCGTCTTCTAAGTTCAAAGACCGATTCCACCGACGTCGCAAGTGTACTTCTGAGTCGTCCAACCTCCTCAAAGTCGTACCGACATGGGTTGTCGGACCTCTTGAGGTGGCTTTCCAGATGTTCTATCCGGCGCTGTTGAGCGGCTATGCCATTGTTGGCTTCAGCGAGTTCCTTTTCCCATCGCCTTCGTTCAAGCTTGTGGGTGTCCTCCGACCGAGACATCTGACTCTCCGTCGAGTGAACGATTTGGTTAGCCAGGATGATTTGAGTTATCAGATCCTGGCATCGTTTCCTGAGTCGATCAACGTCTTCGATCTTTTCTGGAGGTGTGGATGCAATCCACTTCCGTGCCGTGTACTCAAGCGTGCTTGCTTGGTACCTATGGTTACCCAAGTGGGGTGCCACTGGCGTTCGGAAGAATCCATCCTTGGTGTTGGGACGTGACATTATCGTTTTGTCGAAAACGTCATCCATGGGTGGTGGCGTTTCACTACCCGAGTCGCCGAGTTCGAACATTGGTGGCGACTGCTTCTTCAGTAAGTCGACAGGTCGACTTGTTGGCGACTTGTCCGATTTCACCTTCGGCTGAGCTTCTGTTACTCGGGTCGACCTGCCTTCTGTTGGCGAAGGTCGACTCAGCGGTGAGATAGCCTTCTCGTTAGGCATCGGTATGTTGGTCGGTGATCCAGCTGGGTAAGGTCCACTTCGTGGTGGCGCCTCGGTTTCTCCCGTTTTGACCATTAGTTTGGTCGGCTGGACTTCCTTATCCGATCTGTTATCCACTGGCTTCTGTTCCAGGGAGGTCGGTTGTACTTGACCAACTTGCCTGGTTGGCGACTGTTGTCCGACCTCAGTTCCTACTTGTGTTGTCGGGTGAGGTCCGACCTCAGTAGTCGGCTTCTGTTGACCGACCTTGGTCGGTGGAAGTGGTCCGACTTGATTGATCGGTGAAACCCTACCGACTTCTGTGGTCGGTTGGATTATACCAACTTCCTTGCTCCGGTAGCCAACGTCCTTGGTTGGTGACGATTGACCTTCCATCCTGTCTGGTTGAGGATAACCAACCTCCGAGGCCGGTGTCTGTTGGCCAACCTTTGAGGTTGGTGAAGCCCTACCGACTTCTGTTGTCGGTTGGACTTGACCGATTTCTGTTATCGGTTGCCTCCCGACCTTCAAGGTCGGTGAAGTCGCTTTACCCGAGTTGGGCGAGGTCGACATCTTCGCATTATCCGTCTGGTTGGGTGATTTGCGTCCAGAGTCGGTGACTTTCATGGTCGTTACCGACTCCTGAGCTTTCTGTGAGCTCAGTTGAGGTCCTTCTGTTGAGTCCAGGGAGGTCGGTACACCATGTGGGTGTTCCGCCTCGGCATGAGACAATGTGGTCTCAGCCTGCAGCTTCTCCGATTCCCCCCCCCCCCGGTCGGGTGGGACGGGGCTGCTGAGTCAGCTTTGGGCTCGAGGAACGTCTTATCGTGGGCGTCCTCGAAGCTGTCATCCGACGTCGGGTTGGAATCGGCGAGGAGGATCCGCTCGTTACGCTTCTCCCGTGCCTCGACCGACTTCGTTGAGTCCGTTGATGACGGCTGACTCTTATCCTGACCGGAGTGCCGAAGTGAGTACGGCGCGGTTGAGGTCAGGCGCCGCGAATAGTCCGTGTTAAACTCTCGGGCGTATTCATTCTTCTTCGGGTTCGACATTGTTGTCGGGTCAGGTCCGTTCGAGTAGAACCGACGAGAGACTTGTGCTGTTGCACAGTAAATTGAACAATCCCTTATGTGGGGATGTTCAATTGAATCAGGAACGTCTTTTGGTTCAGGAACTTCCGAGGGTCAGGATGATCCGACTTGATGTTGTTGTTATTGTTGATGTGTCTGTGTGTGACTCAGTACACAACGTTACAATACAGTACTATGGTACCGTACAGTATGATAAGGTACTACAGTTGAGTACGTCCTATACTACTGTGCTGACCAGTATGACGTCACAGGGTTAAGTGGTCTTGCACTTCACTGCCTACGTCACAGAATGCGAGCCGCGTGCAAAATTTTAAAAAATGATGATTCACGCCTATGTTAAGCCTGTGGGAAGTTTCCCCTGCACGCTGATTGGCTAGCCTCAAAGTACTGAAAATCGAGCGTTCTGACGTCACAAGGAAGTTCGTTGATTTTCGCGCTTATTTTCGCGGAAAAACAAAATTATTTTTAGGTCGATCAGAAATGTTTTCTGGTCGAAATTTTAATTTCCAACCGTTAGAAATAATTTCTAGGTCCTTTAGAAATTTTTCTGACGGTGGGAAATCCGTCAAATCAAACAAGTAAGAGGATGACCGCCCTTTGGTCAGTTACACAGAGTGGTCCGTTAGGTCGGTAAAAGTAACTTTGTAGGTCGGTTTCTCCGACAAAAATTAACTTTTAACCGTAGAAAAGTAAAATTTCTTCGTTAGAAATTACTTTTAGCCGTTAGAAAGTAAGGATTGTAACTCCTTTCGACCTATAACGACCTGTAACCAGGACTTTACCGGTTTGTTACGGTATCCGTGGAGGTCGGTGATCCGCTGTTGGGAGGTCGAATTCCGCTGTTAAAGTTGCGGGTCTCCGTTCAAGGAGAAGGTCCCCGATTGTTGGGAGGATCCTTGCGCGCTGCAGGCTACCTTCTGAGCCTGTCCCGTCAGTTGCGGTGGGGAAGTTCCCGTTCGTCCGTCTGGGGCAGTCAGCCGAGTTGCTCTCCTTGTGTGGGAGAGGCGAAAGATAGGGCAAGCGAAGGTGACAGGGATCGCTTTTGCGATCAACCTGTTGCTACCACAGTCGCAAGACAGCAAAGACCAGGTTGAAGCAGAGGCTGCGTTCGCAGTCAATCTGTTTTCAACCACGGGTTCTTCGAGTTCTCCGCCAATTATGCCTTTACCGTCTCCTCAAAGGATCCGGTGGACAGAAAACCAGACGATCTGCTTACCATGTGACAGGCAAGCGCAGAGAGCTCACAGAGTGCCTTTATTGTACAAATAAAGTGGAGCAAATACCGCGTGATTGCGGGGAAAGAACAACAAAGCCAATGTCTGGCGTGAAATCAGCAAGTCAAGTTGCTGCGAGCGAGTTCTAACGCGTAATGAAATGTAAAGAATAGAATGTGCTGGCGGCAACGGCGTCACGCTGTCCAGACACAAGGAATGTGAGTGCGCAGACTGGACTCGTATCCAACGCGAGCGTATAAGCGCTGAGTCATACAGCGAGAGAGGAGCGAGAGAGCAAGTATGCTCAGTGAGTGCGCCCGCGGTGTATCCGCTAGGCGGAGAGTGCAGTGCAGCCACTCACGTACGTACAAGAGAGGGCGAATCAGCATGTGTGCGGTGGTACGCAAAGTGACGTATCTACCACGCAGGCTGTCGTGCCTCTAACATAACGTTAAGGTGAAGTTACCATTTTCCGTTCAAATGAACAGTGCAGTTGCACTGAAGCACTTACAGTCTTCAGACTTTTAACAGTTGGCAGTTCATTGTACACCGTCATGTACGCAGAAATTTATTAGTTATTGTTAAAAACGAGTATATAGTCGACCGGAGCGTAGCGAAGGTCCTCTTAATTCAGCACCAATGCAAAAATGTATCTGTGTCCGTTACGACAGGTTGTTACAAAAGGTCATTACGAAAATGTTGCTGGCTGGTTATGTTGCTAAGTTGAAATTATTGATTATGTTAATTGTAAGTTAAAATTGATTATCATTTGCACAAGCGAAAAGCTGCATTCTGCGCTCCGGTCTGCCAATGCACGCCAACGTGCATTTTTCCTAGTTTATTGAATTCAGAGTATCAGTACTACGAGTAATATTCTGCTGGTTTCTACGATTTTGTGTATTTCGCCCTTAAATAAATACGGTGTGGGCACTGTACAGGGCTGCACTGGAATGATTGGACATTTGTTCTATATTTGTACCAAGGCTGATCATGACAAAACTAGCCTAACTCATAAATTCCAGTTTATGCAACAAAATCGGAACATCCTTCTTTTATGAAATACCATAATCAGCAAATAGTGGTAATATCAAAATTTAATACAACCATAATGCATCCTGAGCGGCACTCAGAAGCTTTTGAAATCATCATCAAAACCAAACCGTAGTCATACTCATAGCTGACCTTCTCGGGCGCTTTTGCTAAAACTGCCTCTGCTTGCACCGCGCTATGGCCGCAGCGCAAACTTCCTTTTCTTCTGCATGCCTATCATGCTGCATCTAAACTCCAACAAAGAAAATGAGAGAAAAAATCCGTGATTAACAAGAAACATCCGAAATCAGTAGCCTTAAAACACACGCTGACAGATGGACAAAGCAACGAATAGGACAGCCGTTATGAGTTGCAACAGAATAAGTAAGCCATTGTGCCATAGTAAACGACCCTTATTTCTTTTTGCTTGATTTGGCAAAGGCCGCCGTTCCCGCGCGCGGTGGAGTGATCGGTCGCGAATTGGAGCCAGTACCGAGTTGGCTGCCGCCCGGAGGTGATTTCCTCTTGTCCGCTGGCTTCAAGATCTGCAACCAACCAAAGAAATAAGTAATAACATAAGACTAGCTGTCAGCCAGCTGACCAGCTAAAATGACTGAAAAGTGAAAACCATTTATATAGTTTGTCCGGACTGCTAAACAGCAATAGACGAACGCCTAGTTACGAAAAATACCTAAAGGGACGAACTAGTCACCTGAAAAGAGCACATCAGCGTCTCGTCCACACTCATCATGGCACCAGCATTATCGAATTCTCCGCAATAGTTAGGCGCCGAAAATAGTGTCACGAGCTGACGTTTGGCGAAAAATTCATATCCGTCTTCGACAACCTGCAAATAGTCAAAAACTTTAATCAAGAAACATCACCAATATAGTTGGTCCAAGGCTTTCGCATCACTACTTTCTAACAGAAGCAAGAACCCAGTAATTTAATCACCCAGGCTGACAGCCCGGAAAAAACACCACCATTCCGATATCGATTTTGTTCACCAGAGGAAGAGCAATTGCGTAAGTATATTTCATATGCTGGAATCGCAAGCTGCGTCTAAGCACAGCTTGCAATGTACATAGATTTTCTGTTAAAGAAAAAATCGATCCCAGGGAGACAGCTAGGGGGCATTTTGTGCTGCTGGGAAAGCGTAATCGAACTATCCACGCTCAAAACGCCACAATTCTTGGGCCATTACACCATTCACCCATTCATGTTCACAGAAGGTATCGATAACCACAGAAATGGAAACACAAATAATGCCTACGTCTATTCATTCTAATGCTACAAATGCAAAAATCCGACCTCAGCATATTTTCAGAAAATTCATCAAAAGCTGATTATCAAGGCCAAGACAAAATTTTCTGAATGCTTGCGAGCCATCCATTAAAGGAAGAGGTAACTATGCCGCAGGACGCCCGACATTGACACCGTAAAAATCGTAAATCCTGATCTTGACCAACCACACAAAACTGCTGAACTACCCTCTCTCTTTCAAGAACTTACCTGATGGGCTCTGCAGATGAGATCAAAATCGTGCTTATGAAGGAAGCGCGCGACAACGGAGGGTCCAAAGGTGTAACTGACGCCGCGGTCGTTCTCGCCCCAGTCCGTGGTGTCCTTATCGGGATCCGACCACAGTAGATCGCAAAGCAGCCCCGTATCGGGTACGTCGGTGGGCCGCATGATGCGCCGGATCTGTTCCATGGACTGCAGATCGGGACTGAGACCACCATGACAGCAGAAGATCTTCTCATCAATGATTGCCGCCACCGGCAGGCAGTTGAAACAATCCGTGAATGTTTTCCACAGTTTTATTGTGTAACGCCGTTTGCCTAACAACAATCACGTTTAAACAATTACAGTATTATGAACTCAAACAAACAGCATTATGAACTCAAATATACGTACGCAAAGCTCTATGCACAACTTACAGTAAATAACTCACATACTGGAGATTTCTTTGTCTCCATTGAAACAGCATGGTGCTTAAATTTTAAAGAAAAATTTAACTTATTGTTACTCAATGAAATACTTCACAAATACTTTTTATTCACTGCAACAAAAACATTTTCACCGTGCTAGTTTCTCTGTTTGAAGCGTATGCCGCGTGTGCGTTTTCGGGATAACTTAAAACTTTAACTACCATTAATATTCCTTGAACAAAAAAAAAGATTACTCGCGTCAGCTTATGGCCATTTAGATTTTTATATTATCCACGCTCATTTCTTTTTTTGCAAATGCAAATCACGGCAAAACATAATTACAGACTCCAGGCAAAAGTAAAGATTAGAGCTCCGTCAGTGTCTGAGCAGTGAGCACGTACTGCAGCAGGAACACAAAGCCCCGCCGACAGACCAATAGAACCGTCAGCTCGAGGACCTCATTAAAAACAAGCTGTAAAGGAATTTACAGGAAATGCTGATTTAAAAACGGCATGATCGAGCGTTTAGCAGCTGTAAAAGTAAACTGGCTGCTCATAGAGTGTTCTCCTTTCTTACATTCGTCATAGAAGCCATAAATCCGGTTAATACTGGCGCATTCATGATTGCCACGTAGGAGGAAGAAATTCTCTGGATATTTGATCTTATAGGCCAGTAATAAGCAGATGGTTTCCAGGCTCTGTTTGCCACGATCGACGTAGTCTCCCAGGAATAAATAATTGGCTTCCGGGGGAAATCCACCATACTCAAACAGTCGTAACAAATCGTAGTACTGACCATGAATATCACCTGCAAAAGGAGACACGTCATATTTCACCTTTTACATAAGTATTGCAAATAATAAGGGAATTGGAAAAGTGAGAACAGGCATTTCATATAAGGAAAATTTTCACACACATCATAAGCGTTCAACGCACAAATTAGCGTCACCGGTTACGTACATGTAATTAAAAACGAAAAACATACAGCAAGCAGACTGTTTAAACAACAGAGCAATTTCAAATCAACAACTAAAATAAATTCACCATGCTCCTACAAATCAGTTGCAGATCTTGTGGCGCTGAAAGCAGGCAATTTCAAAAATATGCACTTAAAGTGAAAAGAAAGTGAGTAATTCAGCGGTTAAGCATAATAAAGGCACCAAAAAAATATTATTTAATACTTGACTCCACTTTTCTCAGAATGAGGGAAATCGTCGGCAACGTACACCTCAGAATTACCATATTAATTTTTACCAATCAATGTCCCGGGGTAACTATATTTCGTAAGCCCTCTAGAAAGGGTAACGACATTAGCCGACAAAATACGGTAAAAATCTAGTTACAAGTTTGTAACTAAAAGTGGTACATATTATTTACAGTAATTTCCTCATTAAACAACTGTTTTCATAGATAAAATCGAAGCAGTTTGCGCGATATCCTGCGAAAAGAAATAAGCATAAAGGAACAGTAGTTCCTTTTCGCTTCCGGCTGATAACCCTAATAATAATGTCAGTGACAGTGTGAACGAGCAACTATTAGGAATTTAGGGAAGCCTCAATTCAAGGGCGGCAGCGGGATTCAAATAGTGCCTAGTCCTCTATCACTGACGTCAAAAGAAAAGAGCTGATTAACCCGATTCTGCAATTCATCCCCGCTTCTCGATTCCCATTGCCTTTTCCGGTCTGTTTGCGATACCAGGCAATGCCCAATAATGATAACCGCGTTTGCTTGCATTATCGAAATAAAAAGGCAAATTTTACTAATCAAATTGCTCCAAATGAACGGCTCAACAAGCTAGAAACACTGTCCGATCCGAGCTGTCAGCGCCTTACTGATACTGTAGTTTACTGAATAAAGAGCCTCAACCAGATATAATTATGATACGCATTCCCTGAATCTTGAGAATGTCATGTGATACGGCATCGAAAATTCGATTTCACACCAGGCTTGCATTTAGAAAAAATTCCGATTAATGAACGATATTATTTCTGTGGAATCTCTGCATTCTATTCGTTCGAGCCCTCACGTATAAAGCATCATTTGTTAGGATGTCTACTTAAAGGAAATTTTTCCACCTAAAGGTTTAATGTAGTCTCAGGAGAAAAAGGGATTAATTTCTAGCTGCAGCTAATCCCGTTTTACAGAGTACTGTTGTTGCGAAAACAAGGATCATCCTTCCAGTTGCTGACGTCGATCGATCGCACATAATGCCTGCTCACTTCACTGACAGACTCCGTATATGAGCATCGACATTGCAAAAACCGAATGGCTCATGCAGAAATAAAGACCCATAAATTTTCCATCGCTTTTAACAAAGCAATAAATCGTTTAATGCATCTGGGCCTACGTTCATCATTTATTCAAGTCAGAAAGCTCTTCTAACAAATTCAAGGTAACTACTGAAGGTGTAAAAAAGTAATCAGATAACTACTTTTCCCCACTAAACTAGGAATGCTTTACTTTATGGGCGTGTATTAAATGGACTGATACTAACCAAAACAGTCATCTTAAACCCTCCAAAAAACTTTTCTGGTTTTTCTAAGATCTTCATCGTAAAGTGCACAAATGTATAAATAGCCTGGCACGTGCCTACATATAATTTCCAAATTATTTGAGATCCGTACAGCTTCGCAACCCTGATTTCCCTTGGAAGATAGGCACCAGTAAATCGGAAAACCACGTCAGCATTTCCGTCGCTCGTAGTCGTTCTGTACCAATCAATAATCGGCTCGAATGTCGAGGTGAAGTGCACGATCGAATAAATACCGTCTCGCAATGCTGACTAACATCACCACTAACCACTTGGAAGCCGCGGGGGAATGTGGGATAATTTGCCACATACTCCACGTTCAGGCTGGAGTAATTACTGCCACTCCGTCACACCTGTACACTCTGACAGGTTTACCCGTCATTTATCGACTGAATTATATAGGCTTCGAAAAATACTTCTATCTTATCTTTCCGATTGGGCGAGATTTTTGAAAGTCGGCACTCATTAAAATTAGCCACGCTATCTGATACGTAAACTCAATTATTACAACTTAGCTGCCCAGAAAACACAGAGATCTAAACTGACGGCAGCAACTGCTCATTCACAAAAACTGTAAAATTTCTAACTGGTAACTGGTAAGCTGAATTTTAAATGTAAGTGTAAACTTATGGCTGATTCGTTACGCAAAAAAATAAATTACCAAATTCATTTAATATTAGTCGAACGCTAATTAAAAGTAACAATAAATTGTAACCATACTAAGTCTGAGAGTACGGTAGCAAGAAAACATTCAGCTTTTGCAGCGCGCTTATACAGTCACGACGAAAAGAAACTTTGATCACGTTAATTATTGATGCACGAACTCCCGTATCGATCGCCCCTATGGTTCGTCCGACTGCATGCACACCGAACAAAAACCCATCATTACCGATATTTTTCAGAAGCCGCTTTTTCACATCAGAAATGTTTATTTTTATATGCAACCAGTACACAGGAAATGGAATTCTCGGTCCTAACTGAGTAGCACTATTTTGCAGAATCTCCCGGGAGAAAACTGGAGCAAATGTTTTCCCTTTCCAGGTTCATGTGTCTCTTGTAGCGCTTTCGTCTTCAATACGCGTTTCCCCTTTAAGCAGATCTGTCGTTAATTATTCGCAATTTGAACGAAAATTTCGCCAATTTTGGAAAAAAAACTGAAATAATAAACGAGTCAACAGTGTAGTGTTATAAAAGCAAAGACATAACCACAAGGATTTTATGGAAAAACATAACCGGTAACCGAACATTGCGTTAGCGAAGAGCAGATATTGATAACTAAAGGAAAACACAGTAAACAGTCGTTACAAAAGCGAAAATCAACAAAGACAAGATTCTGTGGAAAAAGATCATCAGGAAATAACCGATCTCACGGTGAACTTTTTTCCTCGTATTGTCAATAGTATCGCGGAAGCTGAAAGCGCCGCGAAAAGCGATGGGCAACGATCCATTGACAATTATTGATAACACAATATATTCTCCTTCACGGAAACATGCTGACGGTTGAGGGTTTGTCAGTTGTTTAAGCAGAAAGACAAACACTTACCACAGATTTTCAAGGGGGCTTCCAGCTCTAACAAAATCGGTTGACTGAGAAATATCTCGCGGGTCTTCAGACACAGGCCACGAATTTCGTTTTCCGTTAACTGAACATTTTTCCCCGGTCGTGATCCACGCACTTCCAGCAGCCTAGGTGGAAAACGGAAATTTTGAGAAACACTCTAACATGAAGTACAAGACCTAATATCCGTACTGTACTTCACGACAACGCGTCAATGCAACAAGATGAAAACTTCGTTAGCCAACTGTAGGCATAACTATTTCATTTTGAAAAAGCAAAGTTGTTTCCAAATTATATACAACTACTAAACTCGATTACGAAAATTTATTCTAACATTGTAAGCAAAAACATTATTTAACTGTTTTACAAATAATATTCTATCATGACAACTATGGTTTTGGTTTCTCAGTTTCTGTCTCAAAACTAATCATAAATCAGTAGCCAATTTACTGTAATCCAAATATGGACTCTTTTACAGTACTCAGTTTTATCAGCACATGCTTAGCAAGAAGCACAAACCAGCTACTACAATTTTACACTAATCACTACCGGGTAGTCTTTCAGTTTTCCGAAAAACGCTCATAAGTCAGGAGAGCGAATGGACAACCAGTCAAGGTAGAAACGAAGAAATAGTTCCGATATCAAAACTTTAAAGCGTCAAACGTACAAAATATTTTAAAGCGCATAGCCTAAGAAAAAAGAACACAGCTTAAAGAACTTCAACAGAATGAGTCAGAAGCCAAACAAAAACATTATGCACAATCACATTCACGTCGCTTGAAGGACTGTTCAAGGTCGCTGCCAAGAAGATTACTCAGGTTCCTGTCTGTCTCCCATGCATCACTGGGGTTCAGGATAAACACATACACGACTGTTCAGTTCAGGGTCTTACCTGCTTATAATACTGTCAACGTCAATTTTATCCTGCTCCATGATAAAAGATGTAAGAAAATAGAATATCAGCCAAACAACAGCTTCTCGTCAGTCGTCAGCAGGGTTTCACCAATATTTTTGGTTTTTCTACCCTTTATCTAAGTTGGAGTGCGGAAAATTTCAGCACAGCTACATCTATGTACAAGTACTACAGAGCTCCGATAAATCTCCCATTCTGCATTTGCCACAACGCTACAGACTCATACAACTTTCCACCCCTAACGTCACGCACTCAAGTTGCCGTGCGACAGGGCACCGTACGCGATCAGCCCCAACGCTCACTGCGCTATGAGCAGTGAGCACTGGCCACTGAGGCTCTGACTGGTGAGCACATTCCCGTACGCTGCGTCGTGCGTACAGTGCGGACGCTGCGGTAGTCTTGCAGATGTCAAGTCGGTCGCGCCAAAATTTATTACTAGTACTGTATTTCACTACTCGTACAGTAAAGTACTTTTAGAAGAAGTAAGGGAGCATCCATAAATTAAGAAGTAGCAAGTACTTAAAAAAGGAGAACAGTATTAAGAAAAAAAGCAGCCGCGATGATACAATGTCATACTATATTATATTATTATACTGTACAGTAATCTTCTCAACTGAAAAGTTCAAACGTAGAAAACAGTCAAAATTCTACAGAATTTGTGTTCAAGTAGAGCTATATATTGTACTTAAATAAATAATCGGACAAGTGTTGGTGGAAACAAGCTGATTGTGATCCCGTCCGCTGCTAGCGGTCCAGAATGAATGCACAATTGGACAATTACTTGAAATTAATGTCCATTCATTCTGTACTTTGCAGTCTTTGCTAGAGCGCCTCACTGCATGGCTTAGCAGTTAGCAGCTACAGTAGTCAACTGACCGGCTTCGGTAGGCGAAAAAATGAGCTGAATGAATATATTGCGTATAAACATGATCGGATGCAGGACCATAGTAGAAATTTGAAGATCTCGATATAACAGAGTGCAGTTGAGTGATCACGGCCTACAGGCCACTCGAGAGACAGCGGAGGAGAGTAGGGATAACCATATGTGCGGTCCACCGAATATGTCCGATAGATATCGCACCAGTCTGACTGGAGACGGTCGAGACTCATGAGTGCCAATCAAGTCACCAGATTCACCACGGAGTTAGTGCTCCAGTTTGTCACACGCATCTGGGTCTCCGTTCAGTTTTTTTCCAACAAAGGAAAGCAGTATGATATGTACTTCTATACGTAGAGATGTAGTGATGTACCAGCGGAAGTCCTGTAAGGTATCAATTTAGTGGGATGCAGTGAGCATCGCACCTCACCAGTGCCCAGAACAAACAGATTCAAATTTTTCCGCTTTATCAAGTGCGTTTGGTTGGTCACCCTAGCGAGTTTGATTGGTCATCTAGTGCGGTAGTCGTATTGCGACTTCCGCATAGCATGTCAATATATCAGGAATCAACAACTGTTTACATATTTAACAGAAAGTGAAATGTGTGGTGAGGTGTCTTTAGGGGATGGTTTTCAGCGGAACCTGCCACCAATCTCTGATTGTTTTGAACTGATTCAATCATACTTTCACTGGAATGCAATAAACAGCAAAGTTTTTAAATCGCATATGTTCAAGTCACAAATTACGAAGCACCATTATGAGCACGTAAACGCGCAGGCTGTAGAAAACAATTTCAAGAAAATAAATCAGAAAACGTTCGTTCAGCAAACACAGCCATGAGACGCCTTAAGCGCAAACGATATCCGATATCAGCTGTGATGTTGCTAATATTAGAATTGCAGCAATATAAAACTAAAAATATTGAAAAAGAACCACTCCCGGTTCCTTATGAAGTCACATTAATGATTGGAAAATATTAAACTTTCAACTCGTCAACGAGCGTTGCAGAAGATTTCCGTAAGTATCCAATGCGACAACGGTCATTTTTCCTTTAGACTGTTGCACATCCATATTATAGTCGCTAACTGAAGCCTGCGTCGCATTTAATGGCAGCCCGATACGAAATGTGGTTGGTACATCCTTATCACCGATGAATTCCCAATAGTGCAGTACGTTGCCAGCCATATCACGCAGTTCTACTAAACGCAGTCCGCCGGGCGCGATTAGTGTATCCCTGAAAAGCAAATTAGCAATATCGAAGGATTCAAAGCTGTATGGTTTTGGAAGTTCCCTACCTTCGTTTTCACATCATGCATGCTGCCATGCATAAGTTGATTCAGACAATTATTTTGTGATTGTGCCTGTACAAAAAGAGCGCTTAACTAAACACTAACCCTGACAATTCAGGTACGGCAGTATGACGTTTGTTTAGGACATCGTCATCCAAACAACTTGCCGAAATTGAATTTTGGTTGACGTTGAACCACCTGAAACAAATACATGTATTGGGGCGTTATCGAAATGAGGCGACCTTTCCAGGGGATTATGTTTTCGGACATTGTGCTGTCCGAACTGCTCTTAATTGTAATTTGTATGCGTTACAGCGAACAGATCTGCGAAACGAACTATAAGTAATATATAATTCACAAATCGGACGCTCCCCTCCGCCTGGACTTCCCAGCTGTTGGACCGATCACTTCAATGAAGCTCATCTTTGATCTTTTGATTCCAACAGTGCGCATTGGCTTACATAATTAAGAGTGCTTATTAAAAATAAAAAATAATATTCTGCTCGTTCGCTTTTAAATGAACTTCTCGAAGAAATAAAATTTTTAGAGAGCTAAAGTACGAGGACTGAGACGGTAAGCTATCGACTTAACCTGCGAAAAGGCACGATTTCGATTTATTGCTAACGTGGTCATGAGCGAAACAACCGATCAAGTGAAGTGATTTTTTTCATTTGTAAGTTCTCGACTGCACGAAAGGGCATGTTGCAAAACTCGGATCTTTATTCAAATTCTGCGCGTGTTACTAGAATCACCTGTGCTTAAGTATATTATATTGTGCACATTCACGTCGTATTCCCAAACTAAAGTTAAAAAAGTACTTACGTATAGTCTGACTATAGCTAAAGCCGTAATACTTGTACAGTACATACTGCAATTACGAGATCGAAGCCAAATAAAAACATGTCATTGTTCACATAAGGTGCCACATACACCACCCGAATTGATAGGTCATCGCGAAATACTGTATGATAAGGGTAGAACGTAAGCATACAAGCTTCAGTTGGTTTAATTTCCAAGCGTTAATCAGCAGCTCTACAGTAATCAGAAGTTGTAGTAGGTAGAACAAATAACTGACAGCACAAAGCGCAGCAAAAACAAGCACAGCATGTAGCAAGATAGGCAACAAGAATCTGCATAATATAAGTACTCGTAAGATGCAAAGAAACGTACTTCTGTGGTATTATAAGTACTCGTACTGTAACCGTGCGCCATACCCGCCTAACAGTTGTGGACTGACTTGTAGCAGTGAACCATACTTACTTGTGGTAGTTTAACAGGGTCGCACAACTGCGAGTCCACGAGGGACTGGCGGCATCGTCGCCCATGGCGACCACGCAGCTGTCCTTGACGGGGATCGGTCTGGGAATTGGCAGTCGGTGTGGCACATCCAAGTCCTCCATGACGCTGATACCTGACGGGGTGTTGATCAGACTACTAGCATTCTGTTTGCCCTTGACGCCGCCTCTCTGACCACCACTACTGCATCCACTGTGCTCCGTATCTCCACTGGTGCTGCAGTTGGACGGCATCGACACCGGGCTGGACGTGCCTTCCAGACTTTCCCATTCATCGAGATCCTTGCTCTCTGAATCCATAGTGCCTGCGGCGCTGTGATTGATGAAGTTGCCGAGATTACCAATCGTATCCCGACTGGAGGAACGCCGGCGCATAACGCTGTTTGTTTGCGCTACGTGGACCTGCGTGAAATCCAACCGGCTGGATGGTGTCCGTATTGTGTCGCGTGTCGGTGAATATGTGGTCTTGGATTTAGCGGACGATTTTTGTCCCCGACCGCTGTTGCGGCGCCGGAAGGAACGACGTTTCGTAATGGCTTTCTTCGCTTCTGATGGATTTTCCGAAGCCGGTTTTTTGCGAGCAGGGATGTTTTCTTTATTTCTTGATGATTGTGTTGACTGGGTAGGAATTCTGTTCTGAATTTTTGGCTAAAACACAACAGCTGGTCAATGGTCAGTTAATGTGGCTACCCATAGTTTGTATGCGGCGACGAGCAAAATTTAATATTACAGTGCGAGTTCTTCCTACATGCAAAAAAACGAAAATCAGTACGAGTACTATTCTCTTCATACCCGTGGATTTGCCAAATTCGAAGCCGGGTGACACCCAGGAGCGGTTCGTAGTGGATATTTCAGTTTAGATTGCTTTTTGCCATTTTCAACAGAAGCCTCAGCTGCTTGATTTTCCTTTGCTTTTGTTGACAGTGTTGGCTTCTGGCTGGTGTTGATGGTGCTCCTCTTTTCTGCATTAGAATGGCGGAGTAGAGGCTTTCTTTCTGCCGGAAGTGATTTCCGAGCTGGCTTCTGCTTTTCCGGCTCTTCTTGTGCTACCCTTTTCATAGTTGCTGCTTTCGTATCAAGCATATCCGCTGATGCACTCCGACGAACTGCGCGTTTTTCCTCTAGGCTTTTGGCAGCTTTTCCACTCATTGTTTTGTCGCGGATCAATGTCTCCGTGTCGTCATGATGGCCATCGATGTTTGCCTCGACAGCGTCTGTTTTCGCCAGTTCCATCTGCTCGTCTTTGGAGACCGTGGATCTTGTGCGGACGGTTGGCTGTGGTTTAGCGCTCTTGTTTTCCTTCTTTTCCGGTGTACTCGATGTGTCCGTATGGTCTGGGAGCTCTGCATCATTCGCCACAGCATGATGCGCCGGCTCCAGCTGATGGATTTTATAGACAACATGTTGCGGTAGTGTTGCCTGCACCGGCTGGCAGTCTTCCTTGCTGAACTTAAAGGAGAATTCCTCAAAAGAATCCGGGCTCTTCGGTCGACATGATTCGTCTTCTGATTCAAAGGTCAACCCGTCCACGGAATTCAGTCCGTCGGAGTGTGACGGGTCCGTCGGCTCCAGCGTCGGACCGCTGGTGAAAATGACCGTTTCCGCTCCGGTACGGCTTTCCACAATGTAATCCACTTTATCCGGTGATTTATTCGATATGTCTTTTGTCTCCTTGGCGTCCAGTTCTTCTTCCTTTAATGGATCCTTTTTCTTACGATTAAACAGGCGCTTCCAGGGGGACTTACGGCGGTGATCATGAGCGCCGGTTTCCTCCATTCGCGCCGGCAGCGTGGCCGATTTATGGATATCTTCCTGAGTCACCTGCACATCGCCCATGGACGACTGATACGACACATGTTTGCTGTAGTGTTTCGTTACCACAGAATTCAGTGGTGTAATGTAGTTGATCGTATGTGTCGCTTCTGGATGGACAGTCCGGTCCACCGCCTCACTGTAGCTCTCGGTGGGCGATTTCAGTCCGGCAAACGAGCCTGACAAGCGCTTGTGCCAGTTGCGGGCTTTCTTGGCAGCGGATAATGTGGATGAGGGCCGTGTGGACGCATTGGATATACTGCGTTCGGGCTCGCATAGACTGATTGCACACGAACTAGTGCTGAAGGCATCATCCGGCATCGGTGATTCCAGGGAGTATTTCCGGTGCGATGGCATTTCTTCGGGTTTGTCGTCCTGGTGTTTGGATGAGAACAGTTTGGAGCGAAAACTCCCTGACACTGTAATACACACAACAGTTTTAGTTATTGAGCATTTTCATGGCAGCGTCAGCGTGAGCAACGATATGCAACTCGTTTACTGAATGTCCGCAGATTGTTTTGCCAATTGCGCGGCAAAGATGATCAAAATTTTCCGCTGATCAAGAACTGGTAACAAAATACCGCTACTTTCTGACACCAAACATACGGATAATAGTCCAAAGGAAACGTCAACATCAAAACGGCTATGATGTGCAATTCAAATCACGTACAGCAAGCCAGATTACAATGGAATTAAAGAATTATGCAAGCCCATTCAACTAACACTGAGGTGTTGCAACGCGCGCGTCTCTTTGTTCTTTTTTGAGAAGCGGAAGTTGCTTACAGTCACGGCGCAATTCGCAGCTCTCAACTGGCCTACGCAGTTTCAATGCGCCACATTGCCAAATGATCAATATTAATAAGAAATCACTAATTTATGCAACAATTCACCTACCAAAGGGGAATACTGTTATTCATACCCACATTCTTTCGTATCATGCAAATTGAGAGCAGAAAACAGTGAGAGCACAGGGCTAAAACAGGACGTCGGAGCTACAATCTTTGTTGGAATCACAATATTTCGCATTGTCTTTTTGCCAGATTATTGGTCAGGGCTGCTCATTTAGTCAAGTAATGTTTATGCGGCACATGTTTCTTACGTTGAGATGTGTCAATTTTTGATCAAGAATCGATTACTAAAGTAACAGACGTCTTACATGCAGATTTTCTTAGAAAAGTTTACGCGTTGTGGGGGGGGGGGGGTGAGCTATACGTAGTTTGCTTGTTTACGATCGACTACTCTACTCTAAAACTCTAGAAAAACACAGTGCACAAGGGTCAGCAGCTTCCGTAAACAACCGAGTATGCCGTCGCATCTGTTCGAGGACTGTTTCAATAATTCGCAAAGAGTGTATATATATGTTATGTACGAGGAATACACGTATAACTATACCGTACTTCTCATGGCCTAGTAAAAAAACGAATCAGTAGGTGGTCAATTTACTAGCCGAGTAGGTAGAAAATAGAAAACAGATTGCCTACACAAGAGCCAGTTACATTATGTGACCCGTATTATTGTCTTCTGATTTGACATTGAAATTGATTTATGAATGATTCAGCTATGAGGCGCTTTCTCACCTAGAAGAATACTTGTAACCCACTTTGCAATCAAGACAGCACACAAATAAACAGCTTGTACCAGCAGCATCCACGCGTGCGCGCGCGCGGTTCAGGTTGAGCCGGTGCAACATCTGCATTAATCTTTACGGCTTTGTGCCGGCTCAACAGATGCCCACAACACGGTCAATTGTACCTGTTGAGTACAGCGTGTTTTTGATCAAGTTCACCCTCTGACAACACCCCTCATTCTCATCGTCGGCTGATGGATCGATTATGCCATTAGTCAATTATTATACTGCAGAGTATTAGTTACTATTACACTGGACAAGTGAACAGTTAAATTAACGCGCCAACGTACATGCGCACACGGGCTGGATGTTGTATTTGATAATATAATGCAATTAAACACTGCAAACAATGTCGATGCTACACGCATTCCGGGCAAGAACACTTGTTTGCTGCTTTATCAGGATGTGAGTATCAGAATAATACCCTAGTTTTCTGGTCCAGTTTGGTTTGGTTCGCAGTTGTGTAGGAACATCCGTAATAAATTAGCGCGGTTTCTACATATTTGACCACAAACATCGGTGGATCTATAAATGCTTGCATAAATTAACGGTCCAACGATCGACCGCGCATTTTTTGCCACTTATTACGGTGCAGTTAAAAGAGACAAAAAAAATATTTTTTGTCAAACGGTTGTATATATTTAATTTACATCTTATGCAGCGACACAAAAATATGACAAGCAAGATGCGTTAACTTCAGTCTATTCACATCTAAAAAGCTTAAGCGAACATGACTTTGAACTTCAAATCTGCACTCTTTTTGCTTTTAGCGTACGTCTACTACGTTTCGTTTTTAGAAAAAAATGTACGCTCTTGTGTCAGCCGTGTGCGCATTGCGTTTTTCAAAGAAGTGTTAACAGATCGGGATCAAATGCAATGTATGCAGGAATCACTAGTATAAGTATCTCATTGCATTGTACGAAACAAACATATAATCAGTCATCGGTAGTACTGAGCACAAACAGTAAGCATGCTGATTATCCTTGATGATAGTCTTTAATCAACCATTTACAGCAACACCGGAAAACATCAGGCTAAACTTGACACTGAAAACCATTCTTGTGCATAGCTCTGTGCAGACTCCTGCTGCTTTTCGAAAAGTCAATATCTACCTGACAGATCCGCAAACCTAAATACTTGCATAATAATACGTACACTCCGGCTACTAATGCTAAAGTTATTTAAAATTTCAGCAATCAGCTCAATTTAACTCCATTGCGTTTTGACTCTAGTATCGCATAACAAGCCCTGCTGACCAGTGAAGCAGTTAAAAATGCCGAGGAAGATACCAACTGCAGGTTTCGTACAAAAATAAGTACATTTTTTACAGTAACTGGCATATTAGTTTACATAAAATGATTTGTTTGTTGATTTGCAATCTTAATATGCACTATTTAGCAGCCAATTTAATTACCAAAAGTAATTTAGAGACGACATAAAAAAATATAAAAAAATTAAGCTCATAATGTCATACTCATGAGTCATAACTCAGGTTCTGAACGGTTCTGTATAAAAAAAAGATAGTGTCACGATATTCACTGTTACACTCGATATTCTTCAGCCTATAGTGAATTATACGGTGTCTGCTACAAGCAAGGGAAATTTAACGTAAATTTGTTTCGAGGAATGTTATGTACAACAAAGAAGCCTAAATTTTAGTGGTTAATCAATTTTCTTTCACCCTTTGCTGTTTATTGCAGAGAGCAATGATTTACAAGGATTTACAAGTCGCTCCTCGTTCATTAATTGAAAATGTGCAGGAGGCCCACAACGATGTGTGAGTGCCGTCCTGTACGTAAAAAAAATCCACAAATCACTTACCTCTTGCGAATAAATTTTTCTCCGAAGAGGATTTTTTCAGCGGACCACCTTGGGTTGCGTTTTCTGCACTAAACGAAGGATTCGTAGAAACTACTTCCATTTTTCTTTCGCTTTTTTCAGGTGATTTATTTATCACCTTGACCTAAAAACATTTTCGTGCATATAAATAAATAAAAAGCAAATAATGAACAGTAAATGTTGCTGTAACGTAGAACGTTAATTCGGCACAAAAATAAAAACAATTTGTTCATAGAAACTTTAAAAGATATCGGGAAACAAAACGTTTATACCGTAAAAAGCACAAACACAGACATTCCCAAAAGTTTGCCGAAAAACAGCAGGCTTTACTGGTTTATAGACACTGGGTTTGCGAAGGGAAAAAGCGCACTCAAAGTTCTTATTAAAACCTGATTACTGTATTTGCTTTATTTGCAAATAATTGATTTAACCTATTTACGGTACAAAAAATACTGTAGTTAATGTAATAATAAAGATAATATTTTGATAGGTCATTTTGCTCAACATGCAGCGCTTATCCCGGTTTCACCGACTATATTCAATTTTTTAATTTTAAATTTTAGTCTTCAGTTTTTAGAAACAAATTTAGTGTAATACTCCTAATCTAAGTCACGATATAAAAAAAGCACTTATAATGATATTGTCATATGATACGGATATTAGTAATAATGTTATCATTATTACAGCGTAAGCCAACAAATACTGATAGCAGGTTCATGACGCAATAACAGTTTACCGCCACACTGGTGCATCCAGCACAATACAAAACGATAGCTTGTTTGGAATCTTTTGAAGATTTGCGCAACGTACTCTGTACGTACCGAAATTTTAGAAAGGCACACAGGGTTCCAGAAATATCCAACAGACAAACAGGGTATAATTTATTAAGATAAGGTAGTGTCAGTATAAGGTAAGCTTGGAACACGCAGGTAGTGGGAATGCTGGTAAGGACGCATAAGATGGCTATAGGGTAATTACGATTAGCAATGCACTGTTAAAAATGAATCAGAATAAATTCGAAAAATCGGTACTTTAAAAATAGGTATAACACAAAATCTGTAGACTTTCGAACAATTTTCCGTTTTCGGTAATGGTCATATGAAAGCAAGCACAAATGGATGCGATACCGGTGCGAGAAAAAACAAATAACACTGCCTTAATGTCGTTAGTTCTGGTCAAGCAAAGCTGACGTTGTCAGTATTACAAACCAGGCATTTAGGTTGGCGGGCGGGAGCAAAGACTAACGTCTGTCGCCGCATTGTATTATCGGCGGTATTCATTAGATTATTATGATGGCTATACTACACATACACGAGCCCAGTGCCAAAAACTGACCATCGGTAATAATCGCGCTTAAACATAACGCCAGCAGCACCAAGCCAATCAGACCGTCATATAATTGAAAATCTTGTCATATATTACATACAAAATGCAACTGTCCCATCATTTTCTTTTAGAACGAGAGAGAAATTAAGTGCTTTAAACCGACAGATACTTGACAAAACTGTAACAAAATGCGTAGCTTTTCGAATAGAATTGCGCGAACGATGCCGCTTAAATCCTTCTCTTGAAAGCCAATATAGTTGTCCTCTTCGTATTGTTTTATGTATCTATAGTTGTCCGTCCGTACATTTCACGCATGGTTGGCACCATGAATGACTCGTTAATTACGGAATATTAGAAAGAAACATAAATCAAAAGAATTTTGAACTCGGTGGAATGAAAAAATTACTGCGCGCGCACACGGTACGATGCAGCCAAAGCCTGCAACAGCCCTCGCATCTGCTTTTATCGTTTTACTACATAGAGAAGTACCTAGGATAGTACTTTGATGTTCGGTAGTACAAAACATAGGACGAGCGAGGAGATTTCATTACTTAATTGCAATCGACACCGAAACATTCTGTTTCGGTAATGCTCGATGATAAACGGGTTGTTATTAAGTAATAAATTTCTTAAACCTCAGAAGAAGGTTGTTTCACATGCATTAGCGAATATACCAAAAAGAATAATAATGCATAATTATAAGATTTACTGTTATAGTGAAAGTAGCAGCATTCGGGCGTTTCACGTATACAGAATTTATATTTTGATGTACTACTTAGTGTGACCAAAGTATAAAATATGTAAACTTTCATCATTTCTGGTGCATTATTACGTAATTCTAACGGCAGTAACTCAATTAGAACAGCTGTAAGATGAACTAATCAAGGTTACAACTTACAAGTATCCAGTAGGTGTATTATATATATACCGAAAAGGTCCAAACAAAGATTGGAAGATGACAGTTTCTGGTGTACTTTAGAGTTGTTTCGTTGTAAATGGCAGAAACTTAAGAAACAACGAAGTAATCTTATGAAACCTTTTTCGAATTATACTAACGTTCAATATTCAAAATTTAATATGTAGCTACCACTATCAGAAAAATGTGAGTCTCGGTTTCAGGTTACTTATATTTTGGTTAGTCAATAATCCAGTCATCGTTACATTAGTGAATAGATATATACGGTAGGTCACCGTAGGACGTACAGTAGCTGTACAAACAATGTACATAATCAAGTGTATACATTACATTGCAGAACTCGCGCGACGCGTACGTAATATCTATATAAATATAAAAAGCATATTTCCGGGCAGTCCAGCAGGCATATTAACTCGCCCATGTACGCTTACCGTAACAAACATTTCCCGAGGAGCGGGAACAACGGTTACGGGAAGATGCAGCAACCGAGAATCACCCGTAGGCTCGGAGGAGAGTCTGTTTTGGAAAACTGTTGGTCTTTCGACGGTGAACTCTTTGTAGATATTGTCAAAACCTCGCGCCATAATTCCCACTGGCGTATGGCCCAGATCAAAGGCGTGTCCTAGTTCGTGGCAGGCAGCCCCTAGTGTAGTACTGTAACAAGCCCAACGAGTTCCTCTGCAACAGAACAACGATCTGTATTCCCCGAATGCCAGCAAATAATCGGCACAGCTAGTAAAATCCAGTCATGATCAAATCAACAAATCTATCAAGGTGTCTTCTCAAAAAAAAAATCGAAAAAATACAATAAATAATGATTGCGTGGTTTATGAATTTAATGTACCTGTATGCACTGTCGTCCATAAAATGGTATTGATTAATGGGTCGTTCATCCGTTAAATACCGTTGCAGATCTGCCACATTTTCCGGCCAGGTATACAAGCATCCTGTACCAAGAAGCGCAAGACCTGTCAAAAGGGCAGTGATTTATTACTGTGGCTACTAGAAATCCACCAGTATAATAATATCAACTATGAAACAGACAACGATATAATTATACGAAAGGTGAAGTCAAGCAACTACTGAAAAAGCGGCGTGGTACATATTATATTACAGTTATAATTTTAAGTACACTGTACGCTCCTTTAAACGGTTTTGTTTACAGGTAGGCACAATTGTTTTGCGAAGGTGCAGTGGCTTAGTATATTTTTTACGATAGGATATTGGTCTAAATATTATTATTCGGAAAACGAGATAATAAAGCGGGTTTTGGAAGAGTCACCAAACAAACTTGTGGGCTGCAGTTGGCAGCTCATAATCTGCAGGGAAAGCCAGATTCACTCTATACCGAACACGTCCGAACTCAGACAGTGTGTGTTTTTTGCAAAAATTAAGAACGGCTTAGTAGCGGCTTTCCGCCGGCAATGAGGCATAAATTGCAGAACCCTTTTAACTGCAAATAAATTATAAGTTACAGAAGTCTAACAAAAATAATGTTGTTGCTGCTTAATGCCATAACGCTGGCAGTTCGATGCATCTGTGAACAGTAAAAAGTGTGACGGTATATATAACGATAAGTTGTTTACTTGATCCTCCCAGAGCAACTTGTCCTTTGACATTATGCAAAACATCCTCATAGAGCTGCGGTACTGGCTGATCGTCTTTTATCCGCTGATAGCGTGTGTCCGCCAAAAACGCTAGGAACTTGCATCTGCCTTTCAAACTCGGAAAGCGCCCAGCCAGTTCCTTCTTCAAGTGTCTCCATATATCCACATCTTTCATTGCGTACAATTCTTGAATTTTAAGCCTTGTCCTAAAAATTGTGCACTTTGGTAATCCGGTTTCGATGTCACTGGAGAGTCGGAATGTCTTCCGGGGATATCCTTCGTCAACCAATTTTTCCGCCGTAAAACTCTGCAGTAGCCCGGCCCCGGTGGCGATTCTCCGTACGGCACTGTGCGGCGAATCGTCCTCGTCCGCTTCAGCTTGGAAGGTCCCGTTGGCATCTCGGCATATCACATATAACGGCATCACAAAGCAATCATTTTGAGCGGTGCGGTAAGAAATTTTGAGCAAAGTTGCCATACGCTGGTCGTCGCTTCCTGAGAGGGTTACGGTGAACTTTACCGCATTGCTTCCGAGAGCTAACGGTACGACCCCCCGGAAGTGACGACGGCAGACTGACCACACGGCGTTGAAGGCATTTCTGTCGTTGCTGATTGCAGTCGTCTTCGCAAAGCTCCCTGCCGGATGCGTTACATACCCGCGGATAATAACAAACGGATAGTCAACAACATGCTCTTTTTGCTCGCAAAAATTTGCGATTATGATACCATTGCGAAAGGGTGTTTGATCATACGCCATGTGCGATAATTGATACAGATCTTCCAGACTTCTTACATCTCACGCTTTAACGCATCGCCTCGTCTGCATAATGCTGCGTGCAGCACAATATTAACACTTTCATTTCACAATGCTGCTCACTGTCATGCATGTCCATGCGGAACCAGACATCCATGTTTTTTATTCAGCAATTAACACAAGTGTACATGATACTAAGTAATCCTTGAAAATCAATAGCTACTCCGCATTATAGACCAAGCTTGTGAAACCACATGTACAATGTAGGCGGATTTGAGTGAGCCACTTTGCTCAAAACAAATTTTCGTTCTAAACAAACCGTTTGCATTTATGCCAGGCAGACGTTCAAGATCAAAGCTCTAAAAATTATGGCATCACAACACTTCCGCTGATCCTGTCGCGCTGTCAACACGCGAGGAGAAGGAGCGATTGTGCAATGGCAAATAATAGTCCCTTAATGTATCATTGCATGTACTCGTAGCAGTCCGCGTAATTGTATGATTTTCTGTAGTCTTGAAGCCAGCAAGCAGAAACAATATTGTGATTTGGACACATGCGATAAGCAGCAGGAAAATTACGCTTCCGGGTAATCAAAACCGGTTACTTGTGGCAAGTCGTTGACCAGTGATACACCGATTACGTATGCGGTTGTGAATGCGGCAGCTGCAAATACATTACACCGGTGGATGTTCTCCCTGTAGTTAAAAAACCGAACAAATTAAAACCAAATTAACATTAAAAACGTTGGGAACTCACAAATTACCCCACTAAAATCTGCGTAATTTTCTCTGTAGCCTAAAATTAATCAAGATTTCGTAGCAAGCTCACAAATAAACAAAGCAAAGTTTACCGTACGGCGTACGGTTAGTACTGACATGGAGTTTCTCCATTACGCTGTTAGCCTCATTCACGTTCTAGAATCGAAAGTTTATTACCAGCCAAGATTCACAATTTTAATGTAGGTGATTTATGGAGCACTTTCCTGTTTTTAGTTGCAGACATTACTGTATCGTTAAATAGCTAAGATAATAATATATTTCTACAAAGGCTATAGGAGCTGAATGTAGTGTACAGACGCCAATTTCATCCAGCAGTTACCCTTAATTACCGCCATCCTGTGAATCCATTTTTTGTTCTGTACATGCTGTTCTGTATTATTATGAAGCAATGCGTTAGCGTCTTCCATGTGCCTCATCTCGCCATCCCCCATGGCCGACCATGGCCAGATGGTTCTTAACTTCTTACAATTATTAGACTGCAAATTCCGATGCAATGAATGGCATGGTCTCGCAAGACAGGTCGTTGGAGTAGTTGTTTGATCAGTTCGCATGGATCCATGCGATGATGCCGTGCAGGACCTAAAATGATAACGGTAAGTTGGAAACCGTGAAAATTCGATGAAGCTTAGTCAATTATAATTAATCATTTCCGTTGACGTGCTTGCACACTTTCCTGCAATGTTAGAATCTGAATGTGTTTACTGAAGCTGGTTTTGAGGCAGTCCTTTTTGGCCAAATCATCGTGCTAGCACCTTAATGATAATCTGGACAAGATTATGCAAAGGAACTGGAAGAAGCAATATATATATATATGCGGCTTGAGTGGTGAGCCTCAGCCGGTGACCTCGGGTTTCCGTTCTGAGGCAGCTCAGAAGCTGAAGCCATCGAAGAGATGTACTACGAGTAATATAAAACGCCGAATATTTCTGCGATGGCTTTTTTTAGATTGCTGGAAGTCTTATTGAAATATACGGCTGAAGGAAAGGATTCAGAACATTAATCAGGAAGCAGCAGTGCCAGTACTTACAATTAAATGGAGGTTTTTGCCGAGGGTAGACTCCCGGCATCAATTTCTTCAGTTGGGGCTGATGTTGTTTACTTTGGACGATTGAAAACACTGGTCTCGCTTTTAAAAAAATTGTGCATATTTCTTGAATTGTATTGCCAAGGCATCGTACCATGTAGTTCGCGGACGTGGGCGCCTCCAAAACCAAAACAGTTCAAATGACAGAAAAATTTCGTCTAAATTTGCCGCCGGTGGTGCTTCTCCATTATACTCGTATACTGTACTTATTATACTTCTATCATCTATACATACGAGGTACTATCGAAGTACTTACGATTGGAACAAGTACTCCTCTATGGGGCAGTTTGCCATGCATTTAGCACGGTCCTCGTTTGTCAGACACTTGTATGCTAAGCGCAGTTGATTTAAATCGTTGATATCTCGTTTCTCCGAAAAAGTTTTACTTGCAAACTTTCCGTTTTCCATAAAAAATTTTTTTCTGCATTTTTAAGGTATAGTTTGAACAGATCGAATGAATCGAAGACTCTCGAGAAATACCGAACCTGCAGGGGTTGCCCAGTTCGCAGCACAGGAGGCATCAACCTTAGCACACTTAGGCCTTGTCCCGAATTCAAAGCGAATCTCGCTATGGTACGGTTGCTCAACCGCACGAGGTGGCTGTATGCAGTGGCCACGCCTACAGATACGGTACGCGAAGCCACCTCGCGAGGTGGAGTTGCTGTATCGCAACGAGATTCGCTTTGAATTCGGGACGAGGCCTTATCCTTATAAAATGCTACGTAAAAAGCACTCGCAAGTCACGGCATAGGTAAGGTAGGGCCAAGGAGCGCATACGTAAAGCGCTGGATTGAGTTCTCCCATAATATTTGTTTTTAGAATCAAAATTTTTTTGGTAATATTAAGTGCTTCTTTTGGTTTCCCTTCTTTTAGTTTCACCTGCTGATTTCCTGGATGGAGAAGCTCTCGAAAAGAGAGCACAATAACATCATTATTTTCTTGCACAGTTGCGGACCTTTAGTTAGTTTTGCTCTTGAGTGCAGTAAGACTTGGTTCCTCCATCGACACTGTTGTTTGATTCGAGAGTGTGTGTGGAATTTGACTTCAAAATCAGGTATGATTTTCGGTATCGTTTGGTATTCCATGTTGATGTTGCCATTCTTTTGGATTTTAATGTGGCTTAGCCATTTTAGATATCAGATAAGTATTTGAAAACCTCTGTAAGAACAGACAGTATGATGATTATTTTATATTTATGAATATCTATATGATCACTCCTAAAAGTCTTAAAGGCTTGGTAATTGTAAGTTCGTCATTTATTTTATTGACAGGCTAATATGATGGCACGAGGAGCAAAGTCTACTGAGAAAATAAAAAAATTTTTCTTTTACTTACCATTAGCGATGGAAACCTCTACTTTGCAGTTTGCAGTAGCTGAGAGGTTTCTGATGAAAATCTTGCACTACATAATTTGCTACAGCTGAATAAGCCAAGATTTACCACAACAGCAAAACAATTTTAACGCAGCGAAATACAGCCTACGAGTAGGTTGTGGATTTGTACAGTTTTTCAACTGTTTTTGCTAGCATATTCAGTACTGCACGCCAAATTAGCGACAGAGTGGTTGCTGTATTCCGTGAGAACTGAAAGGCTCGAGTCTTGTCACTTGTCACCTTGTGTTCTGCAGATATACCTTACATGCTACATTTCTGATCGAGTATTTGCTATTTAAGTTACGCTTACGGCTTAATCACGAGATATTATTTCTTGGTTGATATGATCATATGCGTGTAGAGAATGTGACCGAGCATCCCGTTGAAAACATGCTGGAACCGCTGAAAGGCCCTTTTATTGTGGTGCGCGATCAGGTGCCTCGCGGCCAGGAATCCCCAACGTCCTACAGCAGCAGTAACGGCAACGGTGATACGCAGTCAGAAGCTGGTCAGGTGAACAACAACAACAATGGTCCCTCTTGGATCCTCTCGGAACTGGAGCTGGCCATGGAGGCCAATCCGCCCTTCATCATTGTGGATTCGCTCTACGCGGAGGAAGTGGCTAAGAATATCTACCGCGGAAATCTCTGTCGCATGATGGCGGTGACGGGCAGCGTCATCTCGGCTGGTTTGGCCTTTAGCCGTCCCACGCTGCCGGTTGCGGTGCCCATTCTGTCGATGACACTGGCCACTGCGGGATTTTATGGTGTATTCTACATGCGTGATCCCAGTCTGAAGTATCTGGTGCTGGGCAGACGTTGGCGGACGAGTGGCTTCCAGTTGAACAGTGATCATTTTCTCTACAGTGATCAGCCGCCGTTGATCTTGAAAGCCGCTAATTCACGCTTCCGAAAGGCGCTGAGAATTTTACCCACGTTTCTGCCCCTATTGAGTGTGGGAATTGTTGTCTATCGCTTTTGGAAAGTTTTATCGTGAAAGCCTTACGTGTTCTGTATCTTCAGAACCACAGCTTGGTTTGTTCCCTTTCAGTTATATTTAGAGTTTCCGAAAAAATCTTGAATATTCTCGCATGTGTTTGCTCAGAAATATAGATGAAGTTGCTGTGGAAAGTACGTAATGTTACACAGGCAGGTTGCGCTTGATCTGCTGTTGTTTACATAGAACTTGATAGAAGTATGAATAAAATGCTGCTAACAAGTTTTACCATGACGAATAAAGTTTCAAACAAGGCTACTCGGACGAATTAACGTACGTGTAATAACGAACCAGTTTTAATTCCCCTTGTGCTTGGAAGAGGAGCATCACAGTACACAATCTAAGATACAGAAATAAATAAATTCGAATAAATCTCTCGACCACAAAGCCACCGTCAGACAGGAAAAACCCTTTAAATTCCAACATATACCCAAACAACGCGTCATAAAACTCAAAAACAAAACGTTCCCAAAACTTTACCCAACCATCTCAGACGACACAAACATACCACAAATGCCTGCAGACACCGATCACTCATAATCAGTCCTTCCACACCTTATTGAACATCTCCATAAAGGAATCGTAAATCATAAAGGTAATTCCAACATCCAAACAGACACGTCCCAATCGCGGCACAGTTCCTTTGTAAAATCTATTAATCGTAAAAAACAACATTAGTACATTGGAGTTGTTAGGCCAGCATGTCAGCAAGAAGCAAATACATACGCAAATAGCCCTTCTTTCGTTGCAATTTGGTAGGCACAATCCAGAGTGTTTTTGTATTTGCTGGCTTCCAAGCCCTGCATGCGGGTTTTCACTACATCGAGCGGTGTATTACCAAATACAGATGCAGCCCCGGCAATAGCACCAAACAATCCGGTTAAGGGTTTGTTGATCTTCTGTTTGGAATCGCCGCCAGTGTACCATTGTTTCAGGCTTTCCACAACATAAAACCGAATAGCTTGATTGCTTCCCTGTTTGAGAATGGTCGCCGTCAAGCCTTGGTATGTCCCTTTTATTCCTAAGGAATCGAAAACCAAATTTTCCATACCTTTCAGTCATACTATGGAGTATGAACGTTAATAAGTAATAATCACGTTATCATGTTTCAGATGCCTTATCCAAGTTTACCTCGATTATCTACTGTAATACTGTATCACCACAATCCCTGTCATTATTATACACAAGGCAAACGACACCATCTTACCCCTTTACCAGGAATTCGTTAATTATTAAACTGCTATCCAGTATCTACTAGGTGATTACGTGATAAAAGCCGCTCTACATTTCAGAAACATGATGTTGCTCCCACCTTGTTCCCGCACAATCATTCTCACGCCGTGGAAGAAGCCTTTGTACCGGGGCACCGGTTGGTTTTGGTCATGGATGAATTTGACTTTGACGGTTTCCATGGGGGTAACAGCAAAGATCGCTTCACAAATCCCAGCACCCATCCCGCACAGAAGCCGCTTAGCCGGCGTCAGGTTGCCCTTGGCGTCCACATTGCGCTTCTTGAACTCTTCGAAGGCACCGAAGCGCACAGCCGACTTGGGAATAGACCCATACACTAACACACTCAAGCCGCGATACAGACCCGCCACACCATGTCCTCGCACAGTCTGCTTTACACAGTCGATGACTCCAGTGTACCTGTAGCAATAATAAAAGTGGAAACAAAGATTCAACAAATTGCAGGGTTGTCATATTCAGTACAAACTACAAGCACATTCTTTTCACCGTCATACACCGAAATCAAACGCCGAATACACAAGAATCGATCATGACCAAACTTCGCATCATGGTTTCAGTGGCACAAATAATTCTCTTACTAGAGCCAAAATTAGAAACCAATTCATATTTTTCAAATGTCTCTAAACCAGTAATTAATAAGTTATTATTCCAAACACTTTGAAAATGTCAAAAGGGGCAGCGCAACAACGAAAGCGGCGCAGTCCACTTATGCCCCAATTTGCATAGTTATCTCATCCCAAGACAAGAAATCGACAAATCGATTGCACCTAGGCAGCGTCGTCAGCTCTGCCTCTAACCACAAAGAACTGGGAGAAGACGAGCACGACAATCACTTACTTAGGCTTCGCTGAGCGCTCATCCAGTTGTAGCTGAGTCTTAACGTATTCCGTAGGGAATGTAATGCACTGCAATTCAACGCGAAATATTGCTTACACAGGATAACTGCAATTACGAAAGAAATACACCCAGTGTCCTAACAGCAGGAAACTGCCAGCTACAAGAGTTTTGCTAGCAAAACTCACAGCTTACCGCTTTTCTACTCTACACCGACTACACGCAAACCGTAATTCAGGAAATACGTCCATTACTTGAAAAAAAAAAGCAATAAATAGAATAAACTTTTTCGTATGCTAGACGGGGGTGAAATTACACTAGTAAAAATTCAAAATGACAAGGTAACGCAGTAGCTGCTGCAGGGTACTTATTTTAATTTAGAAAACAAAATTTACTGCCTGTCCGTCTTTTTATACGCACAATTTCAATGCCTCCCGTAATTCCACCAGCGATAATTCCCTTCAAAGCCTTGTGGGATGGCGTCAAGGAGGAAAGCAATGACGGCGGGGGTGCTGGAGGTTCGGGCGGGCTAACAAGATTACGAATCTCCGCCACAATATCAGGAACTTGGGGTTGTGGTTGGTCCTGGTCTGAGACCATGGGTGAGCTCTCCAATACGACCATCCCGTTAACATCCACAACCTAATCTCTCCACGAACTGCTGATCAATTTCCAATTGTGCAATCATACACACGCCGGTTCGGATCTTTCAGTTTCCTGCTGTTATGAGAGCTCCCCCAAGCCAAATTAGTCACACACGAACTACGCGAAAAATGGAAAAGACTACCTGCAGCTGCACTGACAAATGACAACCGAACCAAATTGGCAGTAGCAACACTGCGACGTCATACATACACTACTTACGGTATCGACGCACCACTTGCGCAACGAGCTTTGCCTACCGGAAATGATCGATAGTTGAATTAAAACGATTTGCAGCCTGCCCATAGCCCAATTGTTTGAGGAGCAAAACGGAAGTAGCCGGGATGACCACTTGTTTTTACTGGCTAGTAGTGGCTACCAAACTGTAATGAGATTATCCATGATCTTTGCATCCGGTAGTGATAAATGTTGAAATACGTCCTTGACAAAATCTTGAAAATTAGAAATGACATTGTACGTAGTTTAGTTTGGTTTATTCATTGAGCAGACAAACCCTCGAGGCACTTTCAGGTCTGGTCAGTACAATACTTGGACAAAAACAGAAAAATAAGAACTACAAGAAATTTTTTTGATTTCAACAAGAACAGGAAAGTCTTAGCAGATCCACAACCAAACAACGCATTTCCACTTCCCACTACTTTGTTAAACAAATCTTTCAGCCTCATCGCCAGGGTTGTCTATCCAATTCGTAGCTTTGCCGCAGGTACATCCAAACGTTCTATCCGGCGGAAGTCATACCTCGCGCTAATGTCCTTAAATGGAACAAGGTCACACATCTATGCTGGCACGTCAAAACTGTCGCGGTTTCGGATCTTATACAGCCACACTGCTTCCAATTCTGGCGCCATCGCTAGACTGCCGGTACTATGCCCAGCTGCTCGTACAGTTGCGGTGTTACCCGAACCGTATTGTAGCGATAGAAATTAGATGTACCGCCAGTAGGAGTGTTAATTGCATTTCTCTACCGTTTATTGGTTGTTGTGTTATGAGGATCAGAATCCTAGTTTTCCTACTTTCACCGACCGCATCTCACGGTCAGAAACATCTTGAAATTAGTCTTGCTGCAGCTTGCTCCGAATCTTGCTAACGCGCCTTCCGCGCTTCTTGCTCAACGCTTATGCGTCTTGCTCCTCAGCTTGCGTTGCTCGCCGAATCTTGCTTTGTGTACTTGCTAATAAACTCATGCGATGACCTTGTGTTGTGTTGCGTAATCGCCATGGGATGATCGTGCATCTCCCATCATTGCCACCATGTAAACGGTAGTCAGCTTCCGGTCAGCATCGCTGCCGACCGTGCCAGCCTTTCCCACACTAACAGCCGACAGATCGTGGTAAGGTGGATTAACCAACCCACTAGAACAGCAGTCAAACCGGCTGCTGTTACATGGCGCTCCTGGTTTCCGAACCAACCCGACAGGATACCAGGAAGCCGACCGACGCCATCATTTTGCCAGTTGTCGTTCAGTGAGTTGTTACTTTTTGTAATCATCGGTAGCAGTGAGCACTATTGCGAATTTTCGATTTTAGTGTATAATTCTGGCCAAATTAGACATTTGAATTGCATAATTCCCATTTTGCCGCTGTTTTTTGCATAATCGTACATAACTTTCTGAGTGGCTTTTGTGCAAAAATATTAACATAAAATTTCGAAAGTACATTAGCGAAATTATTTACTAAATTAAAATTGCGAATAGATTGATTACTGTAACTGTTTGGCTCTTAAAAAATTGTTGGAAATCATATTATTTTGGCATTGCCGATAATTTTGCCACACCCTGTCCTTTGTCTACAGTACATATATACAGTACATACTGTAGCAAAATTATTGAATGCCATTGTGTTCCCGCATCCGATGAGACTGTAAGAGCACAGACAGATCTTTTCTCCATGGGAAAGCATTAAGCGTTCCGCTCCAGCAGATCCATGGAATCTTCAGAGAAGATTCTTCTCCTGTCTCTTCTGAACTGTTCGTCAAAGTCAGAGCTGCGCTGGCTTAGCGAACAATTCAGTCTAAACATTAACAAAGCGAAGAAGAAACAGCATTTTGTGGAAAAATTATCTGCATACATATCGGCAAATAATATTCCATTGTCAAGTGTGCAGCAGCATCTGTTACAAGCAACAACAGATGACCCAAAGCAGGCACACCGAGAGATTTCCTTGCACACTCTTCCCGTGGGCAGTCAGACAGCCGTAGTCACAGGCACAGACAGTACACAGCCACAACCCGTGCCTGCAAGTTCCCCCGTTTCCAGCACAGTGAGCGAGACAGAACAGACCACTGAATGGCTAGTGCAGCGTAGCATCTTACAGTCTCTTCCCTGTGAACCTGAGCTGTATAGAGAGAAGTACCAAAATCTAAGTCGTTCGCTAACGGAAGAAAAAAACTACTTTCTGGATAACGCAGTGCTTATGCAGATCCGCCGTGCTGCTGTATCTAGCATTCAGCAGATTGACGACAACTCAGTCATTGCACAGCTATCCGCTGCCCAGCACGCAGCCAACTTTATGCAGTGGCTTAAGCAGCCCACCACAGAAGCACGCACAGATAGCACTGCATGCGCATCAACGGAAGCGAAATTATCTGCGCATACACACCGCGCCCATATTGATAATACGAGTACGAGTAAAATTAACGCCGGTAAATTAAATGTGCGCAGTGCACGCATATTATCAGCTGTTCCATCAGAACCTACATTAAATGAACTGGAAGATTATAAAGCAACCAAATTAAAAGTGCTGCGTTGCAAAAAGTACACAGACGGTACCGATATTAATGATTTCTTTAATGAAATGGAGAAATTATTTTATGAAATTAATCCTGATATGCCGGAAGCACAAAAAGTCGAAGAAATACACCGTGCATTCGACTACAAATTAAAACACCGAAAATTTATGATCGGTTTGAACTTTGAACACTGTTCACAAAATACGATTGATGCTCATAAGATTAGACAAGTTTGAGCATAAAGAACAATCTCGTTTACCACCAGACCCGGTTGAGATTATAACGGCTAACCAACGGGATGATGACTACGACTACACTAGTCATCGGTCAGTACGTGCACAACGCCACTATGCACCTGACCAGCAAAATATTACAATGGAACGTGGTTTTGACCGTTACCGCGACGCCGACGACTATCGATACGAGCACCACACTCCAAAGCAAAGGAACTGTTCTGTGTGTGTTCCCAAAATTACCGAAGAATCCATCCTCGACATATCGACTTCGACAGCTACAGACTGAAGAATGGAAAGCTATTTTGCCCGAAATGCAAAGATTTCCTGCATTCATATCGAGAATGCACAGAAGCCGACTACGACGATAAATACAGTATTCAACGCATATGCCCGGACCATGTCAAAGCCAGAGTACAAACTGCATATGACGACTACATCTCCTACATGCTCTGGAAATATGGAGACGACTTTTGGTTCACCGCTCAAGGAAAACGGATGAGACGTTACGGAAAAGGAGGTCCATATGGACGTGACTACGTTCCACCTGTCTGCTACACTGAAGCCGAAGTTAAATTATATAACCCTCAACGGGATGCCACTACACCACGAAGTACACGAACATTAGGCCAGCGTGTACGGATGCCGACTGTGCATTTCAATGTGTCCGAACCGCTAATTCCTCGGACACCGTACATTAAAACTGATCGCCGTCACTCTTCCAGTGCGAGTCCAAGTTACAACAATGACTCACAGTATCAGCCCACTACGTCAACACCAGAACCTTTGGAAACATTAAGCCCTACACCGCTCGCCGGCACCAGGAACAACCCGCCGCTACTTTCCATCATAAAGTCTACAGTGGACACAATGGATGCCACCGTGACCGCTTCGCCGTCTCGCCGCGACCAGCCGACGTTGCGAAAAGTTAATTCGAAAGCATCGTTATCACCGCTGAATACAATAAGACCTGAAGTGCTAACGCCATCCAGCTGCATTTCCTCTGATTCATGCATCTCACCTTCCGATTCTGAATCGCCGGTAAATGATCCCTACAGACCGCAACCGGCATGCGATTTAACCAGTTGTACAATGGAAAACATTAAAACGGAGAAAGCCGGTACACCACAAAACGGCTATGATTTCGTCACAATCCCAAATGTGCATAAAATTAAAACTGCAAATGCACCCATGTCATCATTACTGCGCCATTTCCGTGCTACACCATGCCACCGGATACAAGCGGAAAATTTTCGGATACCGTGAGGGACACATTTCCCATCCAGTACCACACCAACCTACCACCGCTCACATCGATCGCAGAATCCCGATCGCCTAACATTAGCGATTTCCGTGGAAGATTAACCCAACACCAACGGATCCGCCACGTTTACTTCAGGACCATTACTGGACTCCTACAGCTAACTTCTTAAACTTTTCTAAATTAATTTCAATTTTTTACTATTTTTTAATTAACACTCCCTAATATTATCTTGATGAGACAAGTATATCTCATCGCTACCGTGAGGGATGTAGCGATAGAAATTAGATGTACCGCCAGTAGGAGTGTTAATTGCATTTCTCTACCGTTTATTGGTTGTTGTGTTATGAGGATCAGAATCCTAGTTTTCCTACTTTCACCGACCGCATCTCACGGTCAGAAACATCTTGAAATTAGTCTTGCTGCAGCTTGCTCCGAATCTTGCTAACGCGCCTTCCGCGCTTCTTGCTCAACGCTTATGCGTCTTGCTCCTCAGCTTGCGTTGCTCGCCGAATCTTGCTTTGTGTACTTGCTAATAAACTCATGCGATGACCTTGTGTTGTGTTGCGTAATCGCCATGGGATGATCGTGCATCTCCCATCATTGCCACCATGTAAACGGTAGTCAGCTTCCGGTCAGCATCGCTGCCGACCGTGCCAGCCTTTCCCACACTAACAGCCGACAGATCGTGGTAAGGTGGATTAACCAACCCACTAGAACAGCAGTCAAACCGGCTGCTGTTACAGTATCATCGGTGATGGTCCGTAGGGCGGCGTGCTGTCGTTTCGCTCTCCCAAAGACGCTGCTGACCAGGCCAATGCACAGTAATCTATGTATGGCTGGACAAAAGCGTGGTGAGGGGTGACTCGCTGGGGGATGCTGAGCCCGGACTGTACCCGCTTGATCTTTTAATGCCGTAGTTGATGTTTCGCTTCACTTTCACATACTGTTTAGTCCATTTCAGGTTGCTGTCCACTTCGTAGTGGACAGCAACCACTTCGAGGTTGCTGTCCACGTAGTAAACAATACGTACGTGATACTTCGGTATGTATTTTATAATACTTACTGTAATAATTATATCAGCTACATGTACAATATTACAATAATAATATTACAATATTATTATCAATTTATTACTACTTACCTTAATAATTTATATTGAACACTGCAATCTGCACGGCTGCGCATGTACCGTATTAAAGTAGTACCCTAGTACGACATGCACAGTACATAGTCATACGTGGACACAAACTTCGTATTAAATGCAAATCAAAACGCGCAGAATTTGCACGCGAAATCAGAAAATTCGACCATGCCTGCAGTTTTGGCCTCGATTTCCTGTCGGCTGTCAGAAGTCAGCTGTTTGCGTTGTTATTTCTCGATGTCACGGCTTGTTGGTATTTAATATTGATACCTATTAGTACCAATACAACCAGCGCAATATCCCGCAATCCCATTAGCATGACCAATTAGCATTTGGCAGGTTATAATGGTGCAGGCAGTTCCTCAAGGCACAGACAATCGCGATTCGTGATTATTCCATTCCAGGTTTTCCATGTCGACACTTCGACAGATAGGCAACATGGGCGAGCGGAACTGCAACGCCAAACTCCAAGCCATTGCGACGATCGGATTCGACGCTTTCGTGGATGTTACCACCGAACCCGTCCTCGCTGACGACAATGCCTTGACATTGGTCGGCCTGGAAGACAATTTCCTCAAGCCCAATCGCATGCAGGCACCACAGCCGTGTTTGATGGACCATCCGAAATTACTCGCCAATAACTTCCATTTCCTGCAAGGCATCGATACCGAGCACGCCGTTTTATCGCACGAGCTGGCCTTCGCTGATGGTGTGGCGACGCGAAGTAATCCGACAACGCTGGAGAACCTGCGGACCAAACTGACAACATTGCCTCCGAATTTCTCGGCTTTCAGCGCAGAACAACAGGAAGCCTTCTGCCGTCTGGTGGACGCAGCCGAAGTCAAACACGTCCTAAAGTACGAGTTGAAAAAGAAGGAGAAGCTAATTCGGGATTTGGAGCTCAAGTACTTGACCACGGATTTCGGTCTGGGAAATGTGGTGAACGGGTGGGATCTGCCGCATCCTGGTTACGCAACGGAGCGCCAGATGAGCACGGCGCGCAGTAATCGACGGAAGATTAAGGATTCCGATCGCATCTTCTCGGCGTCCTCGGTGATGTCATTCATCAGTGCGACGAAGCTGTCACGCGCGAAACAGACGGAATCCAGGAAGAAGAAACGGGAGGTGGAGAAGATCCGCAGACTGCGCAAGAAGCAGATGCATATTCAGCGGCAGGGCTTGAACGCGGGGCGCGATAAGAAGGTGGTGGAAAGTGAGGATGATGCGGTGGCATTGGGTGCTAAGGCGTACTCGTGGTTGAAGGAGAAAAAGAGAGAAACCCCGAAGGATGAACTGCTGTCGCCGGCGACAATTGCTGCGGGATCCTCTAAGAAAAAAGCTGGTTCGGGTGTGAAAAAGTCTAAGAATCTCGGTGGAGAACGAGAAGCTCCCGCTACTGGTAAGCATCCGCTGATGATCAGTGCGCCACCAGCACCTGCGACCCAAAGTGCACCGGTGAGCAAACCTGATAAGCCGGTGGAGACGGGTCATCGTCTGCGAACGCTGCTGACCAACAAGACGCCAAGGCCGGCTGCTGCCGCATTTCTTGTGAGTTTCCTGAAAGTTTCACGAATATGAAAATAACGCACGTGCAGAGTTTAGTATCAATCTAATACTTGTCATTTAATGGTAAAGTATGCTGTAGGTATTCAGGTTGCAGTGCTCCTGTTCGATAGGCCTTTTGGTGGGAACACAAAATTTCATATACGGTATACAATGCTACATTTAATTAAATGTGTGTTGTTTTGCTTTATTTTAGTCAGGTTGCTATAAGTGGTTGCTATAATGTGATAGCGTTGTGTTTTTGTAGAACGGGTTCGACAGTCCTCCGCCTCCAACTCAACGAGAGCAAAGCGGTATTAAACTGAAAATCTCCAGAACCCGGTTCGACATGCCGATGAGGGGCGATACAGCTTCCCGCAGTCCAACGGCATCCATATCCGCACTAGATAGCAATCCCGAGACGCCCAGCGCTCCCGGTTTCGCTTCGGGTCTTTCTAAGCGCCACCGTGGTCGTCCTCCACGCCGGCCCAACTAAGCTGTGCATACAAACATGCTCATAACCGTACGATGATAGGTGATGATGGCCTTACATTCTCGTTTTGGAGTTTTACTAGAATATTACGCTACTGATCTTTTTTTCGTACCATGTATTCTCTTCCAGAATACTACGCACTGCCTACTACGTTTGTAGTATATTTCTCTTATCTCATATCTCCATATGTTCCTGGTATTTTCTGTTTCCTAATTATTGTTAATTAAGGGTTCTGACCGGTTGGTCTTTTCTATGGTAGATTGGTTTAATTTGGTAGTAAGTACAAAAATATTCTGTTGTACAAGTACGTCTTTTGTTCGAGCGCCTTAAAGATTATTTCTATTGTTTATTTTGAAGTATAAAAGATAACTACCGTACATATCTAGTTACCATTAGTTCCTCGACACAGGTACACGAATACTCTTAACAAATCTGTGAGCAAATCATCGACTTTTGTGCAAAGACAGGTAGAAATTTAGAAACCACACGTACATAGATGTAAATGTGTAATGCAACCGGGATACAAAAAATCACTGGATAGGCATTGCCTTATCATCCACAGGAACCAAATGATTGCCATTGAGCAGCACTCTCGCCTCAGAAAGGCTGGGTGACCTGTGCACCACCGTCGACTGTGTCTTTTGAGGAAGAAAGCGCAGTCGTTCTTTCCACGTCATGTTCTTGCCGAACGCTTCACCCTCTTCCAATGTCTCGGGCAACATTGTGTTAGCCGTCTCGGGAAGGATCAAAGTTGTTCCACCTCCAACAATGGCTAACACGCCAAAAATAATCAATGGCACGAAAATGTAATGTTTCGCTAAATGGGAGATAATCGGACTGATACACAATCCCACCGCCGACACCGTCTGCGTAAGCGATGCACCGGCACCGCGGACAACTGTCGGAAACAATTCGGAGGCCACCAAGTCCGTCACGAAAAACGAACATGTAATACAAAATTTGGACATTAAGAAAAAGATAACTAGGACGATCTGATTGGCCGTGGTCATCATTGTCGCAGCAATAATACTGAATATGCCACCGGTCACCATGGTGGACATTAAAATCACACGGCGGCCAAAACGGTTGAGGGTCAGGTATAAAATCAGGTAGGAAGGTAATTCGACCAAGGCACTCAGCAAGAAACTCACATGTTCGTCACCCAGATGCGGGACAAAGAAATTTAATCCATTGTACACAGCGTAATTACTAAACGAATTAAAGACCACTAGAATAGTTTTCATCCGCAGGTTTGGTGTTCGGAAAAGATCCAGCAGATTATACCGCCTCTGTGCTTGCTCTTCTTCGTACGCTACTCGACACCGGTCTTGCCATTTATCGATCTGTTTCTCCATCAGAACCACACCGTTCACCTTGGCAATCTTCCGCACAATGACCATCATCTCATCGAAACGCCCCTGCGACATCAACCATCGCGGCGACTCCGGCAAGAGCCACCACCAGAACACAAAAATCGAAAACGGTAATGTCACCGTCAGTTGCAGTGGTATCCAGTCGCGTATAAAAAACGCCACTGTCGCTAAGCCAACCACCCCGAGAGTGTAGAATACAGACATGGTCACGCCGACGGGAGCGCGCTTCGTCGGCCCGATCAGTTCCAATCCCATGATTAACGGCAGAATCCACACCGGTACAATAGTTATGCCATTAACGAAACGGATACAACAGAAGACGATAAAATTTGGCGCTGCAATGGTCACCAGACCGCTGATAAGCTGTAGCATAGCGGCAATGTAGAAGGCTTTCTTCCGGCCGAGTCGGTCACCCAGATACCCGAACAGTAATGATCCGAATAGTGTCCCCAGAGTGTGGATCTCGATGGACAGCGTGGGGAAGAAGTCCCTCGCACAAACCAAATTCCATTCTGTCGCCGCGGTCTTCTTGTACACCGACGTATCATAATCCCACCCATACTGGCACGCTATCGTGCGCGTATGGTTTGGCTGAAAAGTATACAGCTGGGTGGCATTGCTGTAGTCCACGTCGTACATGTCGCACTTGCTCGGTTCGCCATTGTCCAGTGGAGGGATGAAAGACTGCTGGTAGAAGATTGAAAAGTTGTACAAGGTGTTATTTATCGGGATGTGGCAGGAGTAGTTTTCTGGAGTCCCAACGGAAAATAGCTATAAAAAATAAGTCAATTGCAAAAAATAAGTCAATAAATATAAAATTTTTCTTGCCAAATGTTCTGCTTAAAAAGAGTTCTGCACATGATATATGTATTATTTATATCAGCTCAGAACTGGAATCCTTTCCAGCGCCAAGTGTCGTACTTCTATATATAACTTCCGCTGGTTGGCTACAGTAGACACCGGTTAAACTAATTTTATTCCCAGTTGACCTAGATTAAAACTTATCGATCACATTCACTCAGCATTCATAAAGATCATGTTTGAAGTTTTATATCTCCGGTCCCAAGTTGCTCTACAAGTGGAAGCACGGGAAAATATCATAGACTAACAAATTAATTACAGTGTGTAAACAACTAATAAAACTGTTGTACACATTATGCATACTAGGGTATCTATAGTTTAGCGGCCCGGTGTTCGCCGACAATTAAGTACATCTGCAGTAATTTGCAATTTTTAATGTGGAATTCGAGTTAATCGAAGACTAACCCTGTTACTTTACAGTTTCCCTAGGCAAACTAAATTTGAAATTTAAATAAGAAACAATAGATTCTACTTTACAAGCGATCCTTGATTAGAAGAATTCAACATGATTTACTCCAGCAAAACTGCTACGAATCTTTAATTATAATTATTACATTACAATTACAGTATACTGCGATGTTATTATACGGTATATTTTATTCACTATTCTCTCCGCGCACAGTAATAAGCCCTTGCGGAAAAGAATTAGTAAGCACTGCACCTGGGAGAAACCGTGAAATCCTCCTGGTAAACAGGCCGGCAGTATTACAAAAACAAACAACAATTTTTGATAACGACCGAATTCTCCAATATCCTTCAGGATTACATCAAAATCCATCCCCTCTCGAAAGGGGATGTGTCGATAGTCCGCGGGCAATACAAATCAGTATAAACATGCAGGGCAAAAAATACACCGCTCGGATAAGCTATATTTAACGCAACACTTGAATCAATATTTTCGGTCGTATTACTTGTTATTGTTAGTGTTCCAACCAACCAACACGTATCGCGGTATTTTTACCACACAAACAGATACGGACTGGTGTCGATTGTAAACAAGTTTCAGAACGCTAATCAGTCCGTAAATTAATATCGCCTACTAGAAATACTTAGCTGTAAGGTTATAAGTAGGTTTGGCTCTATCAAGAGAACCTTCTGCTGGCTCATCTGTTTGTGAGATAGTCCACTGCCATGATGTTGTTGGACCTGGTGGTTGAGCACATGTGCGGCGGCATGCTCTACAGCGCGTTCTGAACGATAATTGCTGATCCAGCTGACGCCAGATTACAGATTACTGGTCTGTGCTAGTACAGATATAGCGCACAATCGTTCTGTATAAAACATATATTTCTGGCCCGAAACAGTGCGAAAGCCATTATTCTTTTTATCACTCCGCTTGTAATCAGCATATTTATTAAGTAATTCCTGCCAGGGTCAAACGCTTTATCTATATACCCCACGTTACAAATAGATCGCTGCATATATTGGTGGTTCGTTTTTCTTCAGATGTGCACGCTATTCGCCAGCATCATTCATAAACCAATAATTTAAATTGTCCGATAAATAATTGTGAGTACTATTGCAGTTGATCATTGCTCAAATTAACTATTGTACAAAACAATGATATACAGATATAAGATCTTATACATGTACAGCTATATACATTGATTAATTATTATTTTCTTAAGTTCCAGTGTCCACTTACTGTTAGCTGAATCGACTAAAGCTGCTATTATTCGAACAACTTAATTTAATAAATCTGAAAAGTTATCGCTTTTCAGGTTTGCATAAAATAAATGGTTGGTACGATGGTTATTGGTTGAGTAACTTCACTAACTTCGTACACAGGTACACATACTGTATGCTGTACGCAGTGATTCATTGTCGGACAATATCTCGTTAAAGAACTGGGAAGAAGATTGCAACAACACACCGGAGAACTACGTTCGCATGAATTTCTACGAGAGCGCTTGTCTATAGAAATTCAACGGGGAAATGTCAAATGTGGCGTCAGTGTGTAACGGGGGATTCCTGTCTCATGTATTAGTATGTACGAGTATGTGCTTGGTTGTCCCGCCTCTTGTATTTCCTGTTCCTGTACGAGCGGTTTAGTATATATACGATGTATTTCCTGCGGTTTCTTCAGTCGTTGGGTTAGCAATATTTCGAGCAGTATCAGCCGGTTCCGTTGCCCGTTATACTTGGAGTCGCATACCGAGAACGAAAATTTTTTTCAAGTCGATAGTTTCAGTGCCCTTTAACTTTTACCACCGCTACCCCTCCGCCTCCCTGTTGAACAGTGCCCTTTAGCCTTTACCACCGCTACCCCTCCGCCTCCCTGTTTCAACAGGTAAGTCCTTATGTATCACGTCCAATTTTTTGCCCAAAAAGAACAATCTTAACTGTTACCGATCCTAATACTATTTTCGAATTCGGTATTAACGCGCCATTTTTCAAGAAAATTTAATTAACGATCGTATAGTCAACTTTCCGCAGTTGGCAGGCTGTTTGCAATAATTAATAAGTACTAATTACCAGCAAGTCAATATCATGGCTATAGACCCGCAAGCACTGCAGAATATGCTTAACACCGTTAATGCCGCTTCCGCTCAGCAGAATGCAGCTTTACAGCAAAGCCTACAGAATAACGCTACTGCACATCAGAATTTATTGAATTTTTTGAATAACCAGAATGCCGCTGCAGTTACCCGTATAACATCTCTCGAATTGGGTGATTTGCCGAAATTTGGTGGTTTTTCTTACGAAGACGCCCAGGACTTTTTAACACAGTTTGAGACGATGGCAGTTGCTAATAATTTTACACCAGCTAACAGAATTCAACATTTTGCGGTCTGTTTGAGGAACAACGCTCTTCGCTGGTATACCGCAGAACCAGCAGGTATCACATGGCCAGACCTTCGATCCCATTTTTTAACAGCTTTTGGAAAAACCCATTTTGAACTCGATCTCATGAATGAAGGTTGCCGTACACTAGCATTTACAGATCCTCGTACTTTTGTCCATCGTGTCCTTGATTACGTGGAAGCCACTAATCCCGCAGCTACCGAAGCAGAAAAAACAGTTCGTCTCTTCGAAGCCTTGGCCCTTGAATTTAAACCGGCATTCGTGACTAACAGCCCCAGAACCGTAGCCGATTTTTTCAATCGTTTACGTGATGTGTCCGTTAAGCAACAATACAAGCTCGCGATGCAGAATCAAAATTCGTCATACCAGGCGTCCAATAATGTTACAGATCAGTCAAATCTCTCGTCGCTATACAGCCAACCGACAGCGCCTAGCTCTAATCAGATAGAGATTGTCGCTCATAACCTGATGAAAGGTTTGGATGAAAGACTAAAGCATCTTGCTGAACAAATAAAGTGTTTACAGGAGAATAACGAATCACAGGGCAGTTACGATCTTTCTCAGAATTACTTAACGGGTAATGCGAACCAGTCAACCCTTCGACTCACAGATGCGCCAAGCCAAGACAATGGATGCTTTAATTGCGGTAACTATGATCATCTTTCGTATGCTTGCCCGTTTGGAGCTGGCCACTCTACGCAGGCACAGTATGCACAGGCAGAACAAGATTCTGAAGATCGTTATCCGATGTCATTCGGTGCAGCACAGCATCCACCAACAACGCAGCAACTGACTTTTAACACACCCGGTAAATTACCATCTCAGGCGCAGCAGTTTAGGTCTGCAAAATCTCAGGTCACCGGTAGTGCACAACCGGCGTATTCGAGATGGCAGATTTAACTTTTCTGGTCTAATTGTCGTTCGTACGTGAAAATTTGTTTCGGTTTTGTAAACTAAAGTGCTCTTTGAAAATTTTGTTAATATTATATTATTGTACTGAGTTATTAATGATGCCTGCCCGTTGATTTTGAAGGCTGCAGCAGTATTTATTGTTATTGAGAAAAGGGCAGATAAGTGAGAAAATTTTTGAGGTTGACAGCGCTGATTCGCTGAATATTTGTTTGATGATGGCCAGATGTGAAAAGCCTCGCGATGGTAACGGTAATGGTTTATCTCAATGTAATGTGCAGAAATGAATTTTGGGATATATTTAAATTGTTATTGCATATGCGCAGCACCGCTTAAATCTTATCTATCATTAATTTTCCGCCGCTGGTTCGGCTAATGACTTAAAACGCCAGATGTTGTCGTCTCCTTTTGGGCAGCCAGAGATCGTTAATGTCAACTTAAATTATAAAATTTTCAATAAAATCACTAAAACCAGATGTACCATCATTTAAAGTTAAGAATAAATTCCAACTTATCGCATTCCACGAAAATAAGATCCTAAATCTAAATGTCAGCGTTCACAACACATGACGGCATGCTTGGCACAAAAACATGAACTATTATTCGAAATTCCCATTAACTGGTGCGGTTATGTGGTAGTACTGCAATATGCGCATTGATTTTGGTAACAGACAATTATGAATGTTTGCTTCGACTGCAAAGAGAAAAATTGATTGGTTCAGTTTTAAGGTTGTGCAAAGTTTATGGTAACAGTAATGCGCGCATTAATTTGAATAATAATTCCGCCGAACAGAAGACGCAGCTTGATCACCACTGTGTACCACGGCAGCTCAAGTAAGTATTTGTGTTAAACCGAATTACGCTAATTACGCAAAATGAAATTAAAGTAGATCTACGAAATTAAGAAGATCACTGAAAATTTATGGAAAAGGGCTTTTGCACGAGCAAATCTATTTATATTCGCTCATATACGGGTGCGTGCTATAAACGCCCATCCTTGTTTTGTTGCGTCGTAATCTATTTTTTCGATCATATAGACGGGCCACGGCTATAAACGCCTGCCCTTGTCCGTGCCCTCTGTTTCTATTGTAATTGTGTTGTCATCCAGGTGCGCCTATAAACGGTCCCTGTTGGTCTGATTACAGTAATAAAGCCCTCGAGATCCTAATAATTAAATGCGTAACATGTCAGCAAGTCGTGTGACTCGAAAAACAAACGATCGCATCATTCAGAACAGTAAACAGCTGTTGGGATTTTGATTACGCAACCGAGCTCGCCTATTGGTAGTCTACCATCATCACTGCTGCACAGTGCTTCTGACGGTAAGTATTTTGTTTATATTAAAACGCGAAATTTGTTTTTAAAAAAAAATTGTATATTTCGTGCGCATATCGCGGTATTGGAAAGATGGGCGTCCCTTCCATAGTTCGGGCATAAAAAAGTATTTGTTCTGAAGTTATGCATTGTCAGATGTTGTTTTGCTGATATTGGTTTGGACTTAACTCTGGTTAGCGAATAATTTTTTTGTAAAGCAGCAGATTACGACAGTACATTTCTCGACGTGATTTAATCTTTTGTACTTGTTTCGTTAATTTATATGTCATAGTGTAAAGGCGTAAGTACATCTTTTCAATAATTCAAGAACAGAATCTTAACAGATAGTACTGCCACTTCCGTAATATTAACAGTATGCATCTTTTGTTATTTCTTGCCACTCTTTTGTTATTTCTTATTATAATTTTATTAGCAGCCAAACATGTGTCACATCTTGTCACCTATTTTCCTTTTTTTAATCTTGGTTTTGCCAGTCGATTATCTTTTTTAGCCGGTCGTACTATTCTCAGCAATTCTGTATAGCCAGAACAGGGAAGATCATTGCATTCGCTGGATATTCATTTTCCATTTGGCCCGATGAAGCACCTCTCGATTTTATTAGGAAAGTAACTTTGGCCCGATTCTCTCCCCGCTCTATCTTTTCTCTTGTTCACGCCTCACCAGTTCTGAGGTATTCATACCTTCCCGTCGCATCATTTCATGCAAACAGAGAGCACAGGTTCTCTCTTGCCCCTATCATCCTGTCTCCACTGCTGATCCTCATAACTCTGTCTTGCCACTCATCACTCAAATTCACCCCATTGTAATGCACTCGCTTTACGCAGTATTGCTCTAGTGCCTTTGTCTCTCCCCATCTTATCCGCATTGTCTTCTTATCTCGCTCCATTCATTCTCCCTTCATGCGTCATTGTCGCAATATTACGCCATACAATGTTATATACTTCATTGACCGAAAGATTTTCGCAAGGTTTATTTTGAAGGTGGCGTTTCTGGAATAATTTTGATTTGTATTTGCGGCAATTTTCAACAACTGAATCGTTAAATTAAATTAGCGCGTTAATTGAAAATTACAAAACATTTGTAAATATAAGTAGGGTTGCGTCAATGTGTGTTCGAGTTTTTCAGAACCAGAAGTTTGTAATGATTTTCTACTGGTGTACTCACGTCGTGGACATCGATTTTACACTTCCTTTCCCAAGACCAATACGAAACCGGATGTCGCAAATCTATGTGGATAACGTGGTCAATCTTCAGCGTTGGACGGACTGACTTTACCGGACGGATGCAACAACTTATGTCGTACGTGGAACCGGACGGATACAGCAACTATCGTCTCACGTGGAACGCTACGGATCATATTTGCCCTATTTACCTATTATTTTAATACTAATGTTTTCGAACTAAATCTACGTTTTGTACTCCCAAAAAAAAATCTGATAGTGATTTCTCTAATGTTTTTGCACGCTTTGCATTTCTTTTGTATATGTTTTTGATTGGTTTTCCCTGAAAACATTCTGTTTTCAGTTTGGTAAGAGGGGAGTGTAACGGGGGATTCCTGTCTCATGTATTAGTATGTACGAGTATGTGCTTGGTTGTCCCGCCTCTTGTATTTCCTGTTCCTGTACGAGCGGTTTAGTATATATACGATGTATTTCCTGCGGTTTCTTCAGTCGTTGGGTTAGCAATATTTCGAGCAGTATCAGCCGGTTCCGTTGCCCGTTATAAGTGCTAGGCGCGATGGAAGGGCTGGACAAACTAAACGAAATTTTTATGTTGTAGTTTGCGTGTCTTTTCTAATAATTTGTGTATTGCATTTTGATTTGACCAATAAAATCAACCAGATATCGAGTTAACCGGTAAGGGTCTAGTTAACAACACCAATAGCTTTACATGTGTAAGGGGCCAGTGCGCTAAACATCTTCGGTAGCGATTACGAATCCGATTAAGACATTTTCTCCAGAAAATTTCTTAATCGGTCGGGTTTTTAATCGGTTTATTAATCGATTTAACACCACAGGTGCGCAAAACCGATTAAAAAATCAAGCGATACGAAAATTTCAAGGAGTCAAATAGAAAATTCGGCAATATGGACCCCCAAAAAGCACCCCGGATCAGTATCCCTAGTTAGGCTGTCAGACATCGTAACTGCTAGCGAAACAACCCCAGAATAACCGCTAACCGATTAAGACTTTTACCGATTAAGAAAATTCCGAAAATTTCTTGATCGCTTTTGCTCAACCGGTTGCGATTAAGATTTTTTGCAACCGGAAGTGTTTCGGATTGTCCAGTAGACGCATTCGGGAGGTGCGGTCGCTTGAGTCAGGATGAAAAAGCATTAATCGGATCGGTTTCTTAATCGGTTTTGGAGCTTAGCGCACACTGCTTTAACTTAAAAGCTTCTGATTTGTGAAGGATATTTTCGCGACCATGTTTTCCATTTGGCATATGTTTTGCGAAGGCCTAACAATAAATGTGTCGGAAAATACCAAACCATTGTTCTGCATAATGATAAGTGATATGTCTGTCATCCGACAATCCTGTTGATGCGTCCAGTTTCGCGTTAGCAAACGGGCACATGACCTTTATTCAAGGTCATGTGTCCGTTGTTGCACCATTATTCAAGGAAACTTAAGCAAAATAAATATGGTACCGCACTACTTAAGAATTGCGAAATGGACATCACCTTAACTGTACTTCTAGCATCACGTTTCTCGCACTCGGTGCAAATTATGACGACTTGGGGTGAAAACGCTGTAGAATTATAAGACCATTATGGCCAAATTAAAGGCATTAGTATGGGCACGTAAGTATTTAAAAATTATAAAGGTATAACAATAATGTACAAATACATATATAAGAAGAATTTGCAAAACGTTCTGTAGAAAATCAAGACAGAGCTGCACGATCCTGTTTCGACATCAGATAAGTGGCACTGTTCAGACGCACTGCCGCCTTCTTCTGCGGTATCGACGGAAAGGAACGCAGGTGAGCCTTGCGCTCAAATGCCAGTTCGTCGTCCGCATCATCTTTCTCCAGCGAATGAGTTACCAGCGAACTACTCTTCTCCTTGGTTTCGGATGCGCCGATCATGCCTGGGATGGGCTGATGCTTCGTGCTCTCGTATGTTTTCAATTTGAACAGATTGAAACACACCGCTTCACTGCCAAATTCTTCGCCTTCAGCTAGAGTTTCCGGCAGCTTTTGATGCCAGGTTTCCGGCAAAAAGAGCGGAGCGAATCCTCCCAAAATGGCAAATATGCCAAAGATCACCAGAGGAAGGGTCATATAATCTTTGCCTATGTGAATAATAACCGGGCCCAGACAAACGCCCAGGGTGGCGAACGTGGCGCTGGTGGCAAGACCTGAAAAACGCTGTGTGACGGTTGCAGTTGTGTGTGAGTGAACAATTATTTGATTTGTAATTCATACACTTCTGTAACTTATATCACCCACGTATGAAACCCTGATATTTAAATACGGAAACATTTGTCATCTGTACTTACCGATACCGCGAACAACTGTCGGATACAATTCACCGGCATAAACGCAAATCACAAAAAATGACGCTGAAATGCAGAACTTCCCCAGGAGGTACATGACCAGAATGGCGTCGGGATTCTTCTCGGGCAGGGCCACGGTAATCACACAGAGCACCCCGCCACAAATCATAGCCACACACAACGGCAGGCGCCTGCCGAGCTTCTCGGTGACAAACCACACAATGCCGTACGCTGGGATTTCCATCACCATGGACAAAAGATAACTCAAGAAGAGTGATGAGCCACCCAGCGTCGGCGAATAGTAGCTTAATCCCATGTAGACGGAAATATTACTGAACCAAATGAATGTAATCAGGAAAGTCTTCTTGCGAAGATTCGGCAGTCGAAACAAGTCAAAGAAAGTGGGACTGGTCTTTGCTGCATTCGATGAAGCAGCTTCGTGGTCCAGAATCAAGTCTAGCTTGTTTAAAGTGTTAGAACCTAAAATCTTCCCATTAACTTGGGCCGTAAAGCGCAGGAAGTCTTTGATTTCCACACTGCGATGTTTGGCCAGCAGCCAGCGCGGTGATTCCGGGATGAAGAACCAGGCTAATAGAAGCACCAGCTCGGGCAACGAAGTAGCCAACGAGAGGCGACGCCATTCGGGCAAAATGTAGGCCAGACCGGCCAACATAATCGTTCCGACGGCGTACGAAGCAGTGGAGAGAATGCCGACACGGGTACGTTTCTCCGGTCGCACCAGTTCGATGGCGTAGATCATGGGAATGCGCAAAGATGAGGGAACCGTCAAACCAATGAAAAACCGGCACGTACACCATGCAGCGAAGTTGGGAGCGAAGGATGACAATAGTCCGAATATGGCCTGCAGTGCTGAAAAACGAAACAGTTCTTCATCTAAGGTCAACAACTTCGGCGGACGTACTGTTGTGACGTGATCGCCTCGTTACTCAATATCCTCGCAATATCATTTACTGCGTCAAAAGCGCTTCATAATTATAGGAAATCTAATCACTACAACAGAACTGCTTCCACAAAATAATATCTTATCTGTATGGTTGTACGAACATACGCATGCAAGAATTAATATAGGACAATAGGCCATTATATAGATACATAAATTATATCGTATCAACCAAATACTGTACAGCACAACATCTCTGGTTTACAATTAGAGAGGATCTTTGATTTTGGTACGAATAATCCTTTTGTAATTTACGCCTATGTGCTGATGTCTCGTATACTTGTAGACTATATAAATATTTAAGTACGCTAGCTTTAAAAAGGAAATTAGTGAGGTTACCTAGAATCATGAAAATCGTAATCTTCCGGCCAAAATAATCCGACACCAAGCCAAAAACGAGCAACCCACACACACTGCCCAGCGTAAAGCAGACCAAAGCCAAAGTGACCAACCAGTCACGTGAACACACCAAATCGAATTCCGTCACAACACTGTGAATTTGAACATTCTGGTAGATCCATCCGCTTTGACAGGGAGCAATGGGAGACTGTGTAACATTGGTGGCGGAACTGTTTGGGGAGTTATGCAGAATGCCGTGCAGGGCAGTGTAGTTGGCGGTGAACATAGTGCACTGGTCATACTGATAGACTGGGCTTTCGCTTTCATAAAAAAATTGTTTGACGGACCGTGGAATACCAATTAGCTGCATTGTGGCGTTGAAATGTTCGAGTTCGGGAATGTGACACCGGAAACTCTTGGGGGTCACGGATTGGAAGAGCTAGTAAGTGCGATGCGCTTGATTAACTCACAATCAGTTGTTATTTATTAATATTATCGCCTAAAATTTTCGCTTCTCACAGACACGTTGCATTACAGGCTATTGGATAGAAATATGTACGTCGGCCATTTAATTTAGTACTACCGCTTACTAAAATTCCGCGTCACATGTAATATTATTCTACTACAAAAAGGATTATGTATGCACTCTAATATGTATACAATACGTAACGTGAAGCCTGCTTTAGAAGTGTTCTAACCATAAGATTTCCCCGAGCACTTAAGCTTTTCCTGACTCGATCTTCCAAACATTTGTATCGAGCTGCATTTTGAAGAACTTAAATAATTATGCACGTAGGCCAAACCAAAATTAACTTTACACGTGCGGCACAATGCTATGTATAACATTTTAGATGGTAAATTAAATAATATTATGATCTTTACGTCCGATTCTTTGCTGTACTGCTTACTGTTCAGGTTGCAGTAGTACAGTTTTCGTACCTGTATGAAAGAATGTATCCCGGCAAAAAGACAAACTGGCAGGATAAAACCGCACAAGATGAACAACTGGTAGCGGCCATAATCACCAACGTCGAGCAAAATGTCGTCAAATTCCATTTTTAATGTCGTAAGCAGTGCTGTGCAGCTTTATAAACAACAGGTAACTGTAACAAGGATTTTGGATTGCTGTGTTCCTATAATCCACTAATCGCCCTTGCGGTTGGCTGTTTATATAAAGATCAAATACGGAAACAAGTACAGTGAATTTAATTATTTTCTAATATCTCCTTGAGTATGGTGAAAATACTTACTCTTTCAGTTACAAAAGAAGTTTTTCCAGCAATCTATATGCATAATAATTTACTGAGCGCCGAAGTCGTTAGCGCTGTTATTCATTATCGCTAGCATACCGGAAGATTCTAAGGTTTGCTCATAATATCGTTCGAGTAGCGTGTCTTGGGGTAAACTTTGGAACATGCAATCTCTGTTCGATTGTGTCGAGCATAATTGAACTATATTTCCCGGTTAGATTTATTTACCTTCTTGATGGATATTGGACGAGATAATTGTTATACCAATCTTTTTGTAGTACGGCACCACTAAACTTAACATTTCAAATGCACACTTCGTTGTTAAAGCAATCAGCACCTTTATTCCAATTCTAACGTATGCTGTACAGTTCAGTACAACATCATACCGTACAAATTGTATCCCAGTACACGTCTAATGTAAACTGCTAGAACTCCTTACATTTTTAGGATCAAAAAAATTTCTTGCATACACAAATACTGTACAACTGTACAAGTATTTGATGCTTATAATAACAGATATGCATTTTATTCAATATAAAATAGCTACTAAAGAATATAAACGATGGAGCAGTGTTTTGTTTAATCAAGGTTACGATGAGAGCTTTTATTGCTTTCTTTCGGGAGTACTTCCCAGACATTTGACATTCTAATAGAGCATTCTTATTCTTTGTACGCTTTTAAACGCGCTATTGCGGATGATAATTTTTGTACCACCTCGCGGTACTAATGAAAGTTTTTAACAGAAAACCGAACGGCATAAACATTTTATTTATTCTGTTTTCTTTATCGTATTATTTATCATGTATTGCTGCTCACTAAGCAGAGAAGGATTACTGTTGGTACGTACCGCAGGATAATGCACCTTAATTACAGGACCATTATTGTGAAACTTGCAAAATTGTCTGAAAGAGCAGATTGATTCTGTTTATGTATGAAATATGAATATTACCAATATTAATAATGGATAAAATGTATATTTGGTGGTGGGGGTATATTGTTCTACAAACAATCTTAACTTTTCACAAGAATAACAAAGAAGCCGTAAAACTTAGAATGTGTCGTAAAGTCATAAAGAAGCAGCTGTACGTTGTAAAGTTTTAATGGCTCAGTTCGGCCCAAGGCAATGTGCACCCTCTACATCATGCGCTGTTTGTTATGGATTTATCTAAAAAACAAGAATGTTTGTTTATGTGCATTAATGATCCCGCAGATATATTAATTACTGCAGTCAATTTTGCTTTTGCAGTGTAAAGAGCATGCATGCAGTACGGTACAACGGCTGCAAATTTTACCATACAATTGTATTAGTTTATAATTTTGTTAAGGAATTGTGATGCATGTAAAATATGTAGATGCAGAAAAGCACACTATATATTGATGCAGATTGATTCGGTTTATGTATGAAATATGAATATTACCAATATTAATAATGGATAAAATGTATATTTGGTGGGGGTAGTTATAAAGCTTGCGGGCTGACTCCGATTTCTTTGAAACGGTATTTATCACTTTCTTAATAAAAGTTATTGCGAGTTGTGTACGATTACTTAATAGCAAGTGTGCAAAAGGTTTTTCTCGGATGTGCATGCAGTATATATAGCACCACTAACCACTGTAACCAACAAGAAAACCGTGGTAACATCCCAGTTACGTATACAAAAGGTCGTGTGCATGCGGCAGCTAGTATATCTGTACATGGATACAAAATATCTATAGTTAAAAATACCGTACACCCTTAATTAAAGCATGCAGATTCGGTTTTTGGCGGTCAGCGGGTCTGTTCTGTCCACTAGTTTTCGGTTACTTTCTGCTCAACAATTCCCCTGTTAGCAGCGCCGGTGCAGTTTATTGGGATGCAGGCGGCATGCCCCAATGAAATCGTCTGGCTTGTTACTTGTTTCTTAACTGCGTACATCTCATTACCAAAGACAAAATCTTTCTGACTGGTGAGAATAGTATTTCATGCAATACGCCGTCGATACCAAAATAAAGCGCTCCAGGTTTCGTTTCCGCTGCACTTCCGGGTTGTCTGCTTTTACACAGACAGTAAGTACCGTACGGCTTCTGCTATCGTACTCCCTCACTCGGGCCACCCAGTTCCGATCTTAATCAAAAACTAGTGGGCACAGCTGAGTAATCGCTGTTTTTCCAATTCATTTGAGTGCTTTCAAGCCCGGCCTTCCGTCAATTTGCACCAAAATAATCGCCGGCGCATCGTACGCAGAGCGGACATTGCAAGTGTATAATCTTGTTATTCGCCGATACTTCCGGCGGCTTCGTACACTGCCAGCGGGTGTTCACTGTGAACAGGTCATTAAGTTATAATTCTCTGCGCCGCCGCACTGAAAATTTCACCCGGCACCGCTGCTCGAGGCAAAACTGCTGCTGAAAAACCGGTCGATTGAAGCAGAAAAACAGAAGACTAGCAGCAATTTTCGCTTGGAGTATTTCAGCTGTTGCCACTTCGCCAGTATATAGTCGCTTTTTGCGTGATCGAAAGAGAGTCAACTTCGTATTATTTGAGACACATTGCGGCCATTAGGAGGCCTGTGCAGTGCGCACTCGCATCAACGGCTGCTGAGTGTTGCTGAATAATTGATGAACACCGTATCCATTTCTGCGCCGGCAATGGTACATTGAATCTCTATCGAATAATAATCAGGGAATATTTGCTCTTTTATAAATTCAAACACCACTCAATACAGCACGTCGCTACGCAAAAGGCAGCAGCGCCCAAGAGAATGGCCGATCTAACATCATCAGTCAGTGTGCCTGGCGCATCGTCGGCCGCCAGTGCCAGGGCTTCACGTTTCTCACGCGGTGGCAGCGGCGGCGGTCCCAACAGTGCTGCACTGCACGGCAGCATGTCAATCGATCATTATTCGTCTGGCTTCTCCGCATCCAGTCCTCCCGCTGGTATTCCTGGTCATCGCAAGTCCGTCTCCGCTATCATGTCGACACGAAGACCCTCCGTTTCCAATGACTCCGAGTATCAATATTATCCCCCGCAACGTCGAGGTAAGGCGCACAAATGTCGAGCGCAATTAATTAGCAGGGAAAATAAACACAGGCGCTACGCGTGCACTGATTGAACTGATATGGAAGTGCTATGGTTTACGTAACTAACGTAAGGGATCCCATGACGCTTAGAATGCAATTAGCACGCTTTTTAAATGTCTTGCATACTTTCTTTGGGCTGGTATCTGGAAGACAAATAAATGCTTCTTGTGTGGATTGTGGGGTAAACAGCAGCTGCAATTCGCAAGTCAGTATTTCGGTAGATTAGAACCAGTTTCCATTTCTGTTGTGGTTAACAGGAATAGCTATTCAAAAGGCACGGCATTGTTAATTGTTACGCTTAAGTGTTCGTTGTTGTGCGTTTTTATTTGTGGGGCTTTTTAACAAAAGGTATCGGCGTTCAAGGGCGGATGTTAGTGTTAATAGCGATTAGTGATGTCTTTTGAATTTGTTGCACGTGTCGAATATCCAAGATATGGTTCATTAATGTACATACTAGATACAGATAAGTACATAATACGTGTGCATCTGGAAAGTTGCTTTTGGCGCTTTTTGTCACATATTTTCTAGACTATTTGCTTGTTGAGGCGAAATTCACTCTCTAACGGCTGCGAAACTTTCGCATTTTCGTTTCACATGTTCAGTTTGCAACCGAACGAATCTGTGTATATCGCATATTTCCTCCGCTGAAGTAACCAGACTGTCGATATTACTAGTAATTAGTAAATATTTAGTAAATATCGAGTGTCTTGAATACTACTTTTGAATTTCGTTTTCACCAGAAACTTAACGATGCGTTTACTGTGTTAATACTAATACGTACAGCAATTTGAAAAATGCACTGAACATGGTTGACTGCAAGATATTCGAAATTTAATTCCGCTATGATCTGCAGGAAATTTTGCATCCACCATAAAGTAAAAAATTGTGATCTGTGTCCTATAATATTATGGTAGTACCATAGTACAAATACAAGTTATTTTGTAGTACAATACAAATTCTGCATTATGAAATCAGAATGGAAAGTGTTACGATTTGACAACATTAGCGCATCTGTAGTCGTAAAAATATAAATGGCCATTTTAACAGCGATCGTGGAAGCACATAAAAATCTACTGGATTAGGCTAAACTGTACTTAAGCAAAATTTATTGGGATAGCAATAAATTCCCCTGATAAGTGACGCCGCCTAAGCATGTGCATGTAAGTTGATGTAACATATTTTTATGCTGTTATATAGTGATTCTGGGCCGTCCAGCGCGAGTATTTTGGGATCTGGAGAATTGCGCCATCGGTGGTCGGGATTACATGGCGGAAATCATGCGTACTATCCAGACACGCGTCGAACAGGACACCGGCGTGGAAGTCTTTGAAATCTTCGCTTCCTATCATCATGCATCGCATATTCCCAACGAGATCTATCAGGAGCTGGTGGCTTATGATGTAATGTACAGTAAATTGACCGTAAATTGCTCTAGTGTCCCGCTCCACAGGGATTTCACACGGCTAACTCGTAAATCAACTGGAAACTGTTCTATGTATACTCGTGTGAATGGTGCCTAGTAAAAGACCGAGTCCCCGACGACCATCACTGTGATTATTTTTTCTCTATTTAAGTGCTATCCAACCGGAAGTGGGAGGGAGTTGTATTGGGTGTAGTTTACAGTTCTCTTATTGATTTTTAATGCTGTTTAAATGCCCTGTGTGCTGCTGGAGCGTTATGACGGAGCATAGTGTTTGTTTCCAGTCCGCTGGAGTAAGTTGTGAATTTTTTCTTGAAGGTGAACTTCAACAAAGTGCAACTGGTTGAGAATGCCGACAGCAAGAATTCCGTGGAAGATGATATCTACAGAGAAGTTGATAAATTTATCGATACGCAAAGTCAAAGGACACATTTATTTCCATATGTGTTAGTAATTGCCGGTACGTTTGAATGTAACTGTATTTCTAATTCATATGCAGCTCACAATTTTACTAATTCCTATTGTGGACTACAATTGTTACTATCTCTACCGGTGATTTAATAAATTTTAAGAGCATATGTGCTCCCCACAATTTTTTACTGTTTTTTGGGCTTTAAGTATAGGGAATGTTTCGAAATATGTTTCAAATTTTCTGTGTTTTTCGAACCAGCATTAGAGTAGGCTTTGTGGAAATAGTGGCAGAGTGCATAATTCGCCTTCCGTATAATGTTTTAAATTTGAAATAGTTAATAAACAGCTAACTGCATTGTATCATAAAAATCTTAATTTACTGTATCCAGTTGGCTTGTCTTGGTATATTTTTGCGTCGCCATTATGTTTTACATTGCTAAAGCAAAGTTTACAATCCGTCGTAGGCCATGTTTCGTTGATCGACAAGATTGATCCCTTGGAGAAACGTGGCAAAATCGTGTACGCAATAAGAAAAGACAAGGATACGAATTTTGGCAACACACTGGGCAAGCACGTTGTTTATGAGTACTCAATGACGAAAGGCATCCAAAACCGGATCAATTAAAGCCCAGCGTTTTCCAACTTTCCGGCCCGGTCATCAAGCAGTTGAACTGGCTCTCTTTACTTTTATTGAACCACAATAACAATAATCAAAACCTGGCCCGTTTATTGGGCCGTTTGGGACGAAATATTTTGTGGCATTTATGAGATAATAGCTTAATACAAAAAAATCAGTGGCGGTTCATGGTCGTATGATCCATAAAAAACTTCCGCTGCTGTATTGGGTTGTTGTGGATTTTGTGAATCTTTTTGTGTGAAGTATTATACTCAATGTCGGTTTCTGTTTCCGGTTTATTCTGGCAATATACTTCAGTATAACACTGCTTTCGTTCTGATTTGTTGTATTTTATCTTCAGAGCGAGGCTGTCGCATGTCACGGTTGTCCCAGTGTTTTGCTTTTGACGTTGTTTTACTTGCTTTCTAAAGCAAGTATGCTTGGCACGTTGAAAACGTTTTGCAAATTAAGAGCTAAGTATGTTGATGAAAGACTGCAATTAATGTAATGCATTCCGAATGCTGTTTGAAAGAATTGTTTGGTAAAGCTGTTTATACATGAACCTGACTTCAGCCGCAATTACACAGCATATTGTCCGAACCTTGTCCAGTAAGTACAAAAAAAGTAAATTAAAAAGATAAACAGAATGCCTAACCTGGTTACGATATACTAACAGAAAAATGATAATCATGTACGATAATATATACGAGTACTCGTACAAAATTCAGTCAGTGGAGTCAGACAAAATTTAATGCACAAATCGTCGGAAGGAAATGTGGCATTATGTCAGCCGATTATAATTGTAACAAAAGCCGTCGGCTTAGGTTCACTTGAAAAGAATTGCCAGCAAACTATCATGAACGTGCAGCTTTGGTAATCCATTATGAGACGATGTAGGTTTGTGCAACGGTTCAGCATTCAGTTGCCCTTCATATCAAATAATCATCCCGAAAACTGAGAAGCACTTTCGATCGGCGATGATATTTGCGCATTCCGTCCGGAGTTTTAAAGTAAGCATCCCTGCATCAATCAGTCATTACTTATCAGACACATCGGTGGAATAGCGCGGCCGGACAGAAAGACAGAAATTAAACATACGATTATGTAAATAACGCATTGACGCATAAATACAATTACTCTCGGTTAGATATGTATTTCCTTCTTAAGTTTCCTCATACGCACAGGAGCAGGTCAGTGGAAGTGTCTCGAATGGGACCTCCGTCTGGCGAATGATCAAAGGAGATGAGCGGCTCGGAGCAAGGAGTATTCTCCCGGTTACTGGTGGATGTTTCCTTGTCGGACAATCCGGACTCTTCACTGAAATTAATCCACTTATTGCAGTCGCATGCATTCTGTGGCCGCATGTACCAGTTTGCAGTTTACGCATTACTTTTAAAAGTTCTGTATGGAATAATGAAAAATCTTTATCTGATTCATGCACGATATGAGCTTTGCTTTCCGTGAAGTAAAGTATTCAATAGCTTTGGAAATCCAGTAATAGTATGTACATGTGAATAGTACTTTAATATATTTATATACTCGTACTGTATATATATGTGATAATCGTATTGCTTTAGTGTTATCGTCTAAGCACAATACACAGTTCCACCGCATAAGTCTTGCAGATTTTACTGTAGAATACCTTAACCCGACTATATCCCGATAGGTTTATTCTATATATGACGAGTGACGAAGGTAATTTATAAAGCTTGCAAAAAAACAAATTTCAAGGGTAGTACCAGCTTATTAATTGAATTAATGGATCGGATGCCAAGGAAGTTACGGGAGATTCGTGATTTTGGGATTGCATCGATTCTTGACATGTTCCATCGGCCAAAGAAAACTGCTGCCTAATCGGCGATGGTTGGTTTTCCATCAGTCCGTAATCGCGGGCTAACCTCTTTTTGAACCGAAAAGAATTCCGTACTCTCTGCAAACAATACTTTTTACAATGCACTAATTATAATTGTTCAACTGCACGAAATAACAGTGTAATATCGTAGGGTACAGTGTAAGTACTATCATCAACAGTACTTCTACATTCGTTGCGATTCCAAACTAAGCTACATAAATTTTAAGTAAGTTTCGTTTTTCAATAACTAATGTCCTAACACTGCTACTTTTTTGTATGGGTTATGAATGGAAAAGGGTAAGGGCTTTGGAGTTTTTGATGATTTTCGGGTTTTCCGGGGGGAAAAAAGTTTTAAGGGGCAGTACTGCGAAAATTTCAAGGAGAGTTTTATAGCGGGGTGCCGCGGAAGGACCTAACTGATAAAATACGGTGAATATTTAGCAGTTGTTTTGTTTATCAGCGTCTTATTTTCGCTGTGTAATTAGCATCATAATATTACTAAACCTTAATTAAGGTTTAGTAATATTATATATATTAGCATTTACAAGTTATGTATAATTCACACCTCCAGCCTGCATTAGATTAAATAAGATTACTGTAAATAATTAGATTAAATAAGATTAAATAATTACTTTGTACACACACAACCGCACACTTTGCATACAAAATTAGATCCTTTATAAACTGATGCTGCATCAATTAATAAAACATCCAATTTGTTTTTATACTTCAAAGTACTCGTACAATGACATATTGCCGCGCTTCGACCATTCTATTGTCCCTACAGAAAAGGTCGCCAAACAGTGGACGTTTGATAAAGCACTAGAAGTATGGTTAGCAAATCAACGTGAAATTGATGACAAACATTTTTCGATATGTTTTGTCGAAGTTCTACTAAGTTTTTTATAGTATAAGCATCAGCCGCTCTTAAGTATGAAAATACATTGAGCTTGCGTAACCTGCTTTGCGTTTTAGCAGTATTAGCACGTGCGCTTTTACTTAAAACTATCTGTACTTTTCTGTCGCAGTTGTATTATCTTCCCTCACAAAATTTAAAAGATTAAGGCATTAATAGCAATCGCTAATTAATAATTACCTGAACAAATCCAGCGGAAGTATTGCTCCGTTGTGGAAGGTTTTTGTTCCGCGCAAGTGGAACTCTTTCGGGATCCACTTCAATTGGAGTAAATTTTATTGGAGTACAGTTCGGTGACTCCGCTTGGGTGCCATACGGAATGTTGCTGTCATTATGTCGGCCAATCAGCCTCAACAGGGCACTTTTCACCATTTCAGAATCTGCATTCATATGAAAAGAGTGTGAAAAGAGTGGTTCATATCTCGTACTCGAAACTTACAACTTTTGCAGTTGCCATAATTATGTAAACTCGTGCACTGCTAGCAACGGTTTGTGAAATGAAAATATATACAACTATCAGTCCACAAAATTTTGTTATAGGTATTTGACAAAAACACTGTGGAGTATCAGATAGTTCACGGCCAGTCAGAAGTACTGAAATATTTAATAGCATAATACAGTTAGCTGTAGCGTGCACATATAAGCATTAATAGTATAGAAGTACAGATTTAGTGCTATCTTGCCAAAAAGTTTTTAGTAACCTAACTCGCAGCATTATCGTTAACATTAGAACTATAAGTACTGTATGTATCGTGGTAAACCGCCATGTAATGTGACAATACCAAGAGTCAAAAACTTACTACGTCTTCTCGACTTTCTGCACAATCCTATCAATACTGCCGCAGATATTTCTGGAAAATGAAGTTTATCCAGGTTCACAGGCCAAATAGATTCGATTTCGTTCGTTCCTCCGGAGTTATGGAGCAACGAAGACGATCCTAGACCGCTGCTGTCCGGACGATGTCCCGCACTTAGTCGCAATAATATCGATTACTTATTGATGAACGGCGAAATCGTAGCGCTAGCAATCTGTTGTGGGACTATGACGAAACCCGAATTTCAGAATTTGCGAATGGGGTAGATATATTTATTACTGTGTTATTAGTTATTAGTTTTATTATTGGCAAATGGCAAATGGCAAATGATGCTCAACGGTCAGCCGTTATTCCAACGTTTACATGCCATCTGCAAGATGCCCGTACTGTATGTACATACTGTACACACAGCCTATAATATACAATCATAGTATTGCCTATTTGTACCTATACTGTACACGAAAGCCAAAGCACAGAACACAGTTCAACACAGAACACAGTTCACAGAACACAGTTACTTACCATAATGGCACAACTGTGAAACTTATTCAAACACAGACAAACGATTCGAGAAGAATCAGCTATAGTTCACCTACGCTATAAAGGATATACAAAGTACCAAGCGTAACACTGCAAAATTGTAATGGTATTATTTTTTATTTTCTGTTATTATGACCCAAGCAGGATTTTACGCGCGTTTTATTATTTCTGTTTAAGATAGTGATGTACTTATTACTTATACGGTTATACCTGCATCACATGCTCTTGTACGTACGTATTTGTCTCTTGATACAGCAGAAATAATTGAAACTGTAATTTGAATGCTTTTTCAAAGCCGTATCCAATTAAGGGGCAATACTGTATTATTACATACAAAAAAATATGTATTATATAGGATAAAAATACGTAATACAGGGTATATTCCCTTGAGTAATGCACTGGCTTTTATAAACTAATAAAACTAAATACGTTTAAATTATTTTCCCTAATTCATAATAATCACGTAATTTAGCAGAGTATACAACTTAATTTTGTGCAATAACATCCCTGTGACAATGTATATATCACGCATCATGGGACTCTGATATTAAACTTTAATAAGGAGTACAAGTACGGCTCGTTTATGCGATGACCTTTGAACTCTGCACGCTAGTTTTAAGCTGCAGGCATACAGAGTACAATAACAAAATAATAATTGTAATCGTTTGCCGGTAACTTAGCCCAATGATGAAAAAGAAATCATATGTAAAATATCTAGTAATTCCATGATAATTGACATATTCCATCATGAGTGGGTATTGTAATATCTATATATGTGTTTTGACATGTAGAGAAAAAAATTCGGAAAAGTGAACAGCTGTTGGAAAAAACAGTACAGAAAATATTTGGAAATGTGTGAAGCGGATTATACATAAACTATACGAGTACTTCTATATCTTGTCGTTCGATTTTGAAACTAAATTTTGGATCGTTGTCCTATCGTGCATGTATTATTCTTTTTCATACTAGTTGGGTGAGATGATCATGACGTTACTACTACGATCGAGCAGGAAAATGCAGAGGGTATCTACTGTAATATACATGTAAATATCCAGTAAAAAGCTACGACGACACTTATTTATTTTATTATGTCGTTTATTGCTTTAGTTGTGGACAGAAAATGATCATGCATGCATCGACATGCAGACCGACATGCAGACGAAACATTTAATTCTGATGCTGATCGAATGATGTCATGCAAACAACAGACGGTTTGCGAAGAACGGTATACGATAACGGGATTCGTAATCATAGCTACGGTTTAATCGACATTCCACCAATTGCGCGAAAGTGGGGACTTCCTAGTCATGATTAGCGTGTAAGTGACACAAGCAAGTCAGCGTTTTCGGTCAGAGCAGCAGCATTTTCAAATACTTCTATAAGTATTCGTACTATAACATCACTTGTGTTAGTCGGTGGAAATTTCATTTACGCTACATTTTCTAAATTATAATACAACTGCCACAAAAATAAAGATTGTTGGACAGCATTACTCCTAAGAGTTTTTGTTACGGTTTATCGCTACATTCACATACCGCGGCCGCGCTAGCAGCTGTCACCACTATGTCTTGGCAACCTCCTTATAACCCGAATTATAACCCGAACTATCCCCCGCCGCCTCCCTACGTCCCTCCCGGATATCCGGCTGGCTCGACGGTGCCTCCGCCGCCCGGGTACTATCCGCCTCCCGTGTACGGCCCGCCCCCACCACCGGGAGCAGTGTACACAACACACGTGCCCTATTGTCCGCCCCCGACACACCACGTGGTTTACGATCACCACGATCATGGTCATCACGGGATTGTACACGATTTGCTCCATGGGCATCATCACGGCCATCACCACCACCACCACTGTTAGCTGATCTCTGGTTATCTTATATTGGTTTCTTTACTTTCTAAGATCTATATGACAAATTGTCAATTACTACGTATCATACTACAATTACTGCTGAACGGATCGGCCATTTCATAGTATCTGTCTATACATTGTTGATTGTACCTTCGTGACCATATAGCATACAGATACAGTACATATTACTCGTACCATTGTGTATCCAGTGATAATAGCAATAAATGTCTGTTTTATGAACGCATAAGTCAGTTATATAATTTTTAGACATCAAAGTTGCTTTTAGCAACTTATTCATGGATTTATTTTCACAACACGCTATACACGGATAGTGACAGCACTCTTCACAAAAGAAAGTGGAACGAACGCTTCGTTTAAGTTTGAATGTTACGACTCAAATTATTCATATTACTTAAGGAATTCAAAAACAAACTGTGGGGCAGTAGCTTCTAAGCATCACATTACGATTCTATGATGCAATCTTAAACTAGGAGCAACAAAATATTAATCACCTTGAATATTTATTTTTTTTTAAATTTAGCACCTCATGACCTTCTTACCAATTGTACCCCCACCCCCTCCCCAGCATTCACTAGTGTACTCGTATAGGTCAGCAATGCTTTGAGCATGTACTGTTAACATGCCGTTCAAAATTGGAAAAAAACAACTTAAATCTTGACCACTCACAAGCTAAGTTAATTTATTTTCTAGCAAAGTGTCCAAAATAGCTGCAGCATTCGTTTCGTAACAGTCAAACTAATTCCGGTTTCAGCTTTAAGCGGGCTGCTGCTGTGGCTGCTTCGAATTCGCTTATTCCCGGCATCGGGACATCCATACCGGCAGTTCACCATGCCGAATTGGGCTCCACTTTCATCGCGTCATCTTCTCGACTGAGTGCCGTTCCCAACTTTACAAAGAATTTGAATGAAGTCACCTACAGTACCGATTACCGAAAGTTGATCTTCGTACGACAAATTGCAGAACTTAGAAATTTTGGTGACCAAAAACAAAAATCTACTTTAGCTTTCAACACAGAATACAAAACTGATATCAGTTATTACTGTTAAAGGAAGTAATAAAAGGAACAAGCAAAAATATTACGACTTTTATCTACCTACAAATAGTACATACTGTACTGGCCTACTACTATCGTTTTTTGCAGTCACTGTCATCGTTAATTTTTATTCCGTTTCGGGATCACCTGTGCAGCTTTGGGGGGTACTACACCAATCAACTTAGGATCTTTTCACATTTTTAGGGCGCAGATTTCCGGGAAAAAAACCAAAGAGCATTTCATTTAATACGGTAATTCTTTTCTAAGTAGCATTGTACTAGTGTTAAAAATCATTGCTTTTGAAAGTAGCAAAACATTCGTTATTCTTGTTAAATTGCTACTGTACCGTACGGCGTATTGTAAGTACACTTTTGTACAAGTACAGTACGCTGGAACCACGAACGTCAAGTATAAAATTTATTCCGCATCAACATTCAACAATAAAAAAAAGCGAATTCGCTTGCATCGTTGCTCTTTAGTCTTTACCGACCTTACCGTTAGTTTACGGCTTCTTCGTATTATTTAAAATTAATTCTTTCAAGTGCTTAATTTTTAACAGGTGTTCTGTGTCTGCAGAATTGTTATTTTCGGTTTGAGTTCGTTTCGTTTGTGTTTTTGAGTTATTACTGTCTTACTGGTATCTGTGCCTTATGGAACTTATGCAGAAGGAACGAAACATCTGCTGTGCTGACTGAATCTGTGGTGTGTGTATCTGGCATTTGACGAGTCTGCTTCAAATGCAGCAGATACCAATGTCTTCGTGGCCGAGCTCAAAATGGGAAGGTAAGGTTTCCATGATCCGGGTTTTCGTAAGTTTAGCCGCTGCTTTGGCGAGTGGTTTTAAATTCCGTTGCAATAGATCTTCGCAAACAAGCCAGGACGCTCGAGAACGAGATCGACTCGAAACTGGTTAGTTTCAGCAAACTGAGTTCGCAGCATGCAGCCACTTCTAATCTTTTCCCTCGCCCTGACTCTTTCAATCGCATCCCCAGGTAAATGCACGTGCGTATCGAAATAATATGAGTCTTACACTTTTGACGAAGTCTTTGTTTCTTCACAGCGAAGAGAACATTCCACTTATCAATGCGACAGATGACAATCGCGTTTTCGATGCTCTAGCTTCCGAGATCGAATCGCATCTTGCCAAGGTATTCTTGTGAGACAATTTTCAGTAATTCGAAATTATTGGAAGCTCCGTAATGACCGCGCTGTGATAGTTGAGTGGGATAAACGATCAGATGGCCGATTGTATGGAGCGCTTTTCTTCGTCGCCTGGCGCAGCATTGCTGCACACGCTGCAGCGTCATCGCGATATTCTTCAGGATTATCTGCAGGAATTCAACAAGACTAAGGCGAATTTTGAACAGCTACGGGCTAGGGAGGAATTATTTGGCCCCTTGAAGCTGCAGTCGGGCAGCAGTAGGAATAGGCCCGATCCTTACCTTAAAGAGCACGAACATTTACGAAAGTAAGCCCTGTTTAGTGTTTACTTTGTTATTGCTTCATACGAGTTCCTGGCTGATGACGCAGTTTGAATGCTCTTGCAGTTCGGAGAAAATGGTCGAAGATCAGATCGGGTAAGCACTGTCTTTGGAAATTTTGACACTTTTTTTAAACAATGTTGGTATAAGTTTAGTGAAATTGTATTGCCAGCAAAGTGCAGTTGAACGCTTTAACAGCGGCTTGGAAATTTAAGTTATATCCTACTCTAATGGTGTGACGTTTGCGGTATAGCAAGCTGTAATTAGTGAAACAGCGTAATCCACGAAATTAAATTCGTAATCCACTTTGTTATACAAAGGATGATAGAGTGGAGTTTATATTTGTTTTTCTTAGTCCGTACAGTAGTTCGTTGCAGTATTTTTTCCATTCGATCAGAAGATAACTGTTTGCAAACGCTGGAACGAGTTGTTGGTACAGTAGCGTTCTTGTGTTGCAGAATTGCAGTGATGACCAAGGAAAATCTCGCCTCTCAGCGGAATAGTTTACGGAATGTTGTTGGCCGGTTGGGTGCCATATCAAGTACGTGCATTCTTTTTTTAGCGTAATTTGTTAATAACTATTAATTGAAGGAAAAGCGTTAATGAAAATTATAACACCCCTAAATCGATTTTGGCAGAATAAATTTTTGTTTCCTCCTTTGTTGTGTTAATCAGCTATCCGTACCCGTCTTGACGCCTGCGTTCTCCGCTGTCTTGTAGATCGGTTTCCTTCGGTGAATGGACTGATGCAGAAGATAAATTTCAGAAAACGGCGTGATGCCATAATTTTGGGCACTGTGATTGGAATCTGCCTCTTCATCATCATGGTAATTTTGTTCTGATAATTTTGGTCTATCCCGGATTGCCACTTCCGGTCAGAGTTAACGTTTGGTCTTGCAAGCTCGCTCGGCTGCCCTTACGGAATACCGCAATGCCTGTTTGTTAAAAACCAATTTGCTGGGCAAAATGGACGCAGAGGTTAATTATTTGGTAACTGTTTCTGTGGAGCCCGAAAGTTCTAAGGGACGCTTCTGTCTCTCCGATGCTTGGTACTTGTGTAAGAATTGTTTTTATTGGTGAGATATGCTACTATTTCTTTCAGATTATTTTTTATTTACTGCGTAAATGAGCATTAAACAGTGTTAAAAATTTTGCTGCGGTCACTAGAACATCGGGAGCGAACGCCTGGCACGATTCTAATGGGTCGTGCAAAAGTTATGAGGGTGCACCATGAGAAAGAGAGAGCTCTTCCGGTTCATTTTCTTTTATTCCATTTTTGAACATCATGACACAACAGGTTTATTCTCCTCGGCTGTCAATAACACCAGGCATCGTTCTGATAATATCAGAATCTCCCGGATCGGTAATGCTCATCGTAGCCACTCGGAAGTATTTACCGCAGGCGGTGCCCAGCTCGATATTGTTTCCCGTGTAATGATGGACTCCGGTTTTTGCTAGCATGGCATAGTACTCGATCTCCGATTTTCTGTTAATAAAAACAATTTCTGTTAATTAAAACGAACATAAACGAAAGTTAGATCAGACTACTGGTTAGTAACTGTAACTTAGTACCTCAAGAAAACACCTTTGTTTAAAAAAATCCATGAAATAAGCCATGAATCTATAGGCTATGATCGCAAAAGATAATTCAGCCAGCATCTCATTATTAGTCTCAATAGTACCATAAGTATTCAATTTTATTAAAACATAATCATCCTTAAACAAAAAATATGAGTGAATAAATACGTATATAACGCTTAAACAAAGATGGAAAGTTTATGGAAATATTAGACTGGCCAAAACAGCTACCAACAAATTGCGTATCGCGGAGACATATCTGGTGCATATTTGTAGATTTGCTTTCACAATTTAAAGTACTATACATAATGAATGAACTCACGCCAAGTTGTTATTATTATTTACATTCTTAACTATATAGATTCTACATTAAGTAACTACTGACCGTGAGATTTTACAATCTTCTTAGCATTACAGACTGCTATTAAATAATTAACTGTAAACACTAAACAGTAAAAATAATATTCAATAACTTAAATGTTGTAGTTTAAGCCAAGAAAATGTACTCACCTGAGCGCTGGAGTATTGTTAGCAATAATGATAAGCTTGGCTTTTCCTTGACGAAGAGTTTTAAGAGTCTGCTTGTATCCAAGAACAAACTTTCCAGATTTCATCACCAAAGCTAGTCGGGCATTAATATTTTCCGCGGACTTTTTCTGCAACATCGGGCTCATCAGTTTCCAATCACGCTTAATTTTACTTCACTAGAGTAACACGGTTTATCAGCCTCCGACTAGATCGGCTAAGCAGAAATTCAATATCATGTACGCGTATGCTGCATACTCATAACTGCAAAACTCGAGCGCAGAACAAAACAGAATCCCCTTACGGATTTCTTGGATACCGCAGCGGCTTGCTGGGCTCCTCCGGACTGAGCTGGGGCCGACATTGTGATTTAGTTGCAGGCTGTCAGATGTACACCCTTGAATGTTTCGATAACTATAAAAGAATACAGTCAAAAGTTAATATTCAGAAAGTCAATGAGCCTCCACCCACCTTACGGTAGCTTCTCGGGCTCCCCAAAAAAGTGTCGAAAGCAAATGGAAATCTAAGATTCAAATAATCAAATTGATTCAAAACCTTCAACGCGCAAAATCTGCAGTGATTCTGCGGCCGTATCTGTTACAACAGCCATACGCCGGGTTAGACGCATCTCGCGGCGGGTGTCTGTTACACAGAACTCTGGCTGTGCAACAGAGTGAAGTAACAGAAGTCATAATTTACCATTAGTTTATAATTATTAGTTTTTTCAGTAATGTTATTAAAATACCATTTTTGTTTTGTGTCTCATTCTTTTTTGCACTGAAATGAACAGTTGTATTTTTGTGGGCCAGTCTGAGAAATCACCACTACAACCTGAAGTCGGAAAAACGCTTAAATTGCCCTTGTGAAAGTGAATTTCCATCCCAGCTGAAAGCTGATCTCTAATCGAGCTCTCATCAGTCCGAGCATCATTTTATATCTTGACAATTGACATTCCCTGCGTTTTCACTGGTTGATCTTCGTCTGAACTGTGGAGGACTCACATCCATCTCCTTACTTCATTCTATTTGGGTCCGACTCCAGTAAAGAACTTCACAATGTTGTTTTTGTACTGTCTGACCTGGGTATCATATCTGCTTCTTATATGTGGATTCACTTTTGCTTTATGTAAGTCATTTTTACTTTAAATAATTAATTTGTATAGATATTTCCACTGGTATTATTTATACCTTGCTTTATTATTATCTTATATTCTATATACAATTTTACATACTTACTCTTATGTATGGCAGTAAGAACAGTATGAAGAGTTGAAGACTATGAACTATGTCACTGTGAGTACGGTAATGGAATGTACTGCTCATGTTTTACTGTATTTTTTTCAGCTGTTGCCTTATATTTATTGGCGGAGTTAATTGAGGAGAATACCAAGACTTCCGCTAAAATCATCAGGTCCATGATTGTGGTGAGCATTTTCACTAACGCTATTATAAAACCTAAAAGCGTGACAGCTAGTGTAAAATGTAAATTATGCAATACCAGCTACTCTGATACTGTGATAGTTCTATTTTTAGATTTGCACATTGTTGTTCTTGCTGCTTGTTCCACTGGAAAACTTTCCCATAACGCTGGTGGCTGGTGGTTTGTGTGCTCAAGTATGCCATTTTATGCTGATGCAGACTTTTCCTGCGATACAGCTGAAATCCATCTGGTTTGCCGGAACTCTTGGTAGGTCTCTTTTATCAACTGACTGCAAATAATTTGGATCTTGCGAATCTTGCCGGCAATTTACGCTTTCCAACATAATAATGCGAAAATAAAAAGTGCCGGAAATGTGATCGTCTGCGATAATTATTAAAGTGGCAAATTGAAATTGATGTTAACGTTATGGTTTTTTCCAGTGTTCTGTGTTGTAAATCACATTTTGGCTTTCCGTCACTTCACGGAAAACTACTATCCCTTCAATGAAGTGGCAGCTTTTTTCATTTTGTTCATGTGGATTGTTCCCATGGCCCTATTGGTATCGCTCTCAGCCAACGACATGGTGTTGCCCAATTACAATGAAACTGTCCCGCTAGTCAGAAGTAGGCGTTATTAAGGGTCATTCTAAATTAATTAAATGGATAATAATATTGGAAGCAAAATCTTGCTACGTAGCTTATAGGCACTCGTGGTTTAAAATTTATGGAAAAAAGCAGTTAAATGTGATGAAAGTCATGTGATTCATTTATTGTAGTCTGCATTTGCTGACAAATTTGATGAAATGATTAAATTTTTCTACCCACGGTAATTTTGCAGGCAGGGATAATCTTTTGCCATCGCAATATGCCAGCCGGCGGAAAGGTGGATACAGCCTGAAGAATTTTCTAACTCATATAAAAGAAAATTATCTGCCTTTGATTGGAATCGGCGCTAAAAAGTCTTTCTGACATGGTTTTGTCTGTCCGATGCAGCAGTTAATTGGCCGTGCTTTTTTTAAAGAACTCTAAAATTAATGGCGAATAATTTGATAATGCTGATTTTTTTACAACAAAGATGGATACAGAATCAGATATGCGAGAGATTTACAGGACTTGTAAACAGAACAGGCCAAGAGTGATATTAAGTCGAAGTTTTCAGTTTCTCATGGTTTATCTAAAGTAAAAGGACGACATGCTGGGACAAATCAGTTAGAACGCAAAAAATAAAATATGATAGCAAGTCTTAATAATAATATCGGTAATTTATACGAGTACAATCACCAATTAATTATCGTAGCAAGAAAGGAAAGAAAAGTTCGACCGAATGAGAGCGAGCAGATAATATTCGAAGAAATCGGTAAAAATTCATAACTTGCAGTGGTTCAGAAGTTGAGCTGTTTAATCCAGCTCGACGGAGAATCGGAAGGGATAGTGAGCGTCATCCGTTGAGAAAAATCCCGGTTTGAGATTCTGGCGAAAGAGTTGAGCGTGCTGCCAAGCATGTTCACCTTGACCACGGGACAGTTCCGCGATGATAGAAAAGCGCTGAAGTCCGACCACGCCGGAAATCTCTTGACTGCGATCCGAATCTTTAAGGGGAATATTTTCACCTCGCTCCGTAGCGATATAGGCGTGAACCTGACCGTCTTCGTACAGCTTCCATGGGAACTTAACGTGCAGGCGCTTAATTCGTTTTCCTGCAAGATATAAATGTGACGCTGTAATTCTTACCGACATTTTTCGGCATTGGAATTTGGAACTGCAACATGATAACCGAAATCTGGTGGGGATGGTGTTCCTACTGCGGTACTCGTATACCAAATGTTTCACATACCCGCTTCAGTGGAGTCGAAGCGCCATTCAATACGGCCAAACACGCCATTTTCCTTGCGCGCCAAATACGACATCTGGTGATCGTGTTCCACTTTCTGCTGTATGTTTTGTTCGGCATATACCAAAGATCGCCATCCTGAAAATCGAGGAAGCATTGCACAATACTGTAATTATTATGGTATCAAGCACATATCGTAATTTATTCAAAATGCGCTATCCCTGAGCTAAAATATGAATCTGTGTCGTCACTGTCGTGGAACAACGCAGACAGAGAAGGACAAACGTACCGGCAATTTCCTGGTTGTGGTCAGACATGCGGACATACTTGTCTATGCTGGGAGAATATTTCACGTCGAAGTGGTGCTTGGATTTTTCGTGATCACTCAAACGGAAAACATAGCCAACGACGTCCTGTGGACCATACGGCGTTTGAGATTGCATGGAAGGATAAGCGCCGGGATACGGATAAGAATGGGCCTGCGAATCAGGATGCGTGAATGCTGGATTGTACGGCGGCATATTCAGCGCGCCAGCCGGGTACGGTCCACTTCCACTCATGTTGTAACCGGCCGGAAGTGCGCTGGAACTAGTTGGATAACCTGCACACAAACATATTTTTCGGTTAAACTCATATAAAATGTCATTACCCACTCTAATTAGCGATAAACATATATGCGATCAACGATGTACGGAAAAAAATGCAGCGTCATCTACATATATGATCGAGCCGCGCAGTTGCCCAATGCACCATACGGCTGATTCTACGAGGTAATTAAAACAGCATTCTTACACAGTGAGGTGCTGCGATATTCACACTGGTACTGGTAGCTCACCCTGCAAGGATTCCTTACCTGGGGGAAGCGTAGCCGAAGTGGGATACCCAGGCGCCCCGGGTACAGCCCCAGCTGGATATGGTTGGTTGTAACTTCCTGCTGGTGGCATGCCAGTAGTGCTGCTGGTGGGGTAACCCGGAGGCAATGCACCTGCTGGAGTGGCGTTGTACGGATTCTGCCAGGACATTTTACCGCACCTCTTCCAAGACGCTGGCTATTATTAATCTCAAGTGCCAGACACTGAAAACACTGAAATGGTTTGCTAATTAGAAAAAGATACAGTATAATTTTTATTGAAAATATCACCTACAGATATAAATTGTATCAGTCCGTAAATCCGCAACAAAAGCGCACCACACTTGTTGCTTGGCTTGCTGGCGAATGGTCTGTCATCGTCTGTGTAAATTTGTAGCGTATCGGTATCCGTTCTGTGAGCATTTTTGCGCTAGAAAAGGATTACGCCGCAGATCGGAGCCATCCTATGGAAATTGACTCATGCCTTTGGTGGGCGTCATAATCTGTGGCGCACTGGTTAAAGTGTAACCTCACCTGCCACTGCCCGTACAATACTCGTATTAATACTTAAACAAATCATCAGAATTGAAGCAAAATCAAGGAAGAATCGATGAGCATGCACAATATACTGAATTTTGAATTTTACTTATGCTTATACTTATAGTAATTACGTAAATAATATAACTATAATCTATAGACTATAATTACAAAAATGTATTCCCTATAATCCTCTGTAGAAGTATGGCATCTGCACGAAGTAAAGTGTCGTTTAAGTCTAGAGTTAGACAGCTTAGACTGTATAACTGCTATTCAGTCTTATAAAAACCGTATCAAATGAAATTTTAGCGTAGAAATATATTTCTGTAAAAGAAATCGATTGATATGGGTTTATGGTATCAAAGCGTAAACAACGCAATGTTCGCGCAGTTCAAAGTCGGAACTCAACGATGTTGTCGCTGTATCTGCGAACCGGCTACTCCTGCAATACAGTAGTGTCGAATCTCGATGATCTTGACTAACTGGTGTTCGGTCTTAACTAACTTTGTTTAAGCGTACAAAGTCAAAATTTCACGATAATCTGCACGAAACGATGTAATTCCGACTTGAAAATAAAATTATTAGGAACTAAGTAAATGCTTTTATAGTACTGCAAACATCCATATACATATCTATAAGAGATTCATGATATCTATCGACTATCTGCAAATATATGTATATATAGATATATATATATATATATATATAAATATACATGTATATATATATATATATATATATATATATATATATATATATATATATATATATATATATATATATAAAGGTTTAAATACATTATTGTGATAATATAGATCTCAAACTATACTCATATAATCAGTACAGACTTTTCTTTATTAGTTGTTGCCTGTATTGTGCATTTGTAGAAATGGCAATTAAGCACGGAAACTACTATTTATATAGATATTTCGGTATAAGAGATGCTGCACAGCTGCAGCAAAAAAATGGCTGTACCTCCGGTGACCGAACTGCTGTATTAATGCCGGTAAAACAGAAAAACTGGAACCGAATTTCAGGGCGGTTGTTACTTGTTGGCCAATGGCCACTGTATAAAATATCATTTTGTTGGACCACTGTTTTGGTTTGCATGACTCATGTTGCATGACTCGTACAACTGACAACTGTAAGCATTTTTAAAGCAGGAAAAAGATGTGACTTCGCTGCCAAACTAAAAACTTTTACAGTTTTACTTATACTTTGCATATCTGCATTAATAATTCAGTTCTTCTTTTCCTCCCGGGTAATATAAGAAGATGAATAGTCAATAGTAATAGTGATTGATCGAACTAACGGAAGTATTTACATTCATCTAAATCTGTTGAAATTCATGCAGATAGTTCTGTGCTTCTTCCAAGATGATCACTAGAGTGGCGTTCATACTATTTGGAGTTTTAAAATATCTCCTGATAATCGAGTTTTTGATTGCCTTATTTATTATTATTGAGGGAGTTTTTAATGTCAGAGTGGGTCTGCGTTCGGGCTACATTAAAACGATTTTGTGGCTGCTGCAGGCAAGTGGTGCATGAATCCGCCGTAGACTCACGTTTTGCGAAGAAATTCTGTTTCTTGATAGTATGGAAAACGGCGATTGGACTCTAAGCTGTCGGCCGTAGAGCTCTTTCAGCGGCCGGAAAAAACGTGGTCGCAGCTGCAGGCCAGAGCTGATCTCTTGGAAGATGATGCTGCGACTAAGCCACTGCAGGTTGAAGTGGAAGAGATGGAGCCCAGTCAGTTTAAGCTTTCCAGCACGTTCACATTACTCAGATCAGGACTGCGGGCCATTGTGGAAGATGACGTTACGAAGGCTTTCGATGCCGAAGGTAGAGCACACTGATGTATCCGAGATCGCAGGAAGTTTAAAGATGTTTTCTTTGCGCTGGTTTATAATATTGCGTTTATCGTTTTATAGACAGTAATTTTTTATTTAGAACGGAATTAGGTGAATCCTTATACTCGTACGCTGTAATCGGTAATACGCTTTTTTGTATATTATTTTTGCAGCCGCACAACCACTGCGCATTTTTGGTGGTGCTGTAGCTGCTCGTGCACCGAAAATTGCTTTTTCTCTTGCCAGTTTATACGGCTTTGGTTTTGTATTGTTTTGTAGAATTACCATACTGGAATCTCTTGACGCGAACCAACAAAGGCTACCAGTACATCAGCTTCCGGTTGAGCGTGTTGTGGGGACTGGGCTTTCTCTTTCGGCACTTTCTCCTGTTTCCCGTTCGATTGATTGTCTGTATTTTTGGGTTGCTCTTTTTGATTATCACTGCGACAATCTGTTCCAAACTGCGCGACGGTAAAATAAAATCGCGCCTGGTTACATACTCCAGTCTGGTCAGTTTCCGCATTCTGGCCAGGGCTCTGACGCTGCACTGCACCTATCATGATCGGTAATTGGGTGTGTTTTACAAGTTAGCCGTGTCATAGTCGGGCGTGTGCGTACGAATCCGAAGGAATTAATTCATTTCTGCAAATAAAACTATAATTGTAGGCAAAACAAAGCCAAGAAAGACGGGATTTGCGTTGCCAACCATACATCACCGATTGATGCGGTTGTCATGTCCTGTGACAATGTTTACTCATTTGTATGTTTTTCCTTTGCCCTTGTGAATTTTCATTTCAGTGTTTCTGTGATTAGGTTTGTTTCAGGTTGGTCAACAACATGGCGGGCCATTTGGGTTCCTTCAGAACGTTTTGGCCAAGGCTTTTGATCATATTTATTTTGAACGGTCGGAAGCCAAAGATCGGAGTCTCGTTAGCCGGCGTATGCACGAGCATATACTGGATCCGTCGAAACCACCAATCCTCATCTTCCCCGAAGGTGCGTATGGCTGAGCCAGAGCGTTGATGTGATTTAATTCGCCAACCGCACGATTTGCAGGCGCTTGCGTGAACAATACCTCCGTCATGATGTTCAAAAAAGGCAGCTTTGAAGTCGATGCACTCGTATATCCGGTGGCCATCCGTTATAACCCCATATTTGGCGATGCATTCTGGGGCAACCAACCGACTATGCAGGATCACATCTGGGACATGATGACCAGCTGGGCCATTGTCTGTGATGTGTGGTATCTACCTCCAACCCGGAAAATGGTGCGTCTAATATTAATTTATTCGTTATCCCACAGCGTCCGTGTTTTCTCAAATAATTTGGTCGTTTAGCCGGATGAAGATGCCACGCAATTCGCTAACCGTGTGCGCATGGAAATCGCCAAGAAAGGCGGTTTGGTTGATATCGACTGGGATCCTCGATTTTTTCCTGAATCCAAAAGACCTTCCGAGAGTAGGTGGAGAAAAGAGCAGCAGAAAGCGCTGGGTGATAGGATCTCAGGGAAGCAGAGGAATGAACCTTCCTCAGATTGATCGTGGGTTTTGAGTTCTGTTGTTCGGAGAACGAACAATCTGGCAATCGAGATCAGAAATTTTTCAGAATATTAACAATATTTTACATATATTTGACTTTAGAGATTTTATCGCATCATATCGGAAGATTGACAGCAACAGCTTGTTATAATACATTACTGATCAGATAACCAAAAAGCCCCTAATTTTAACTGTCGTCAGTGTTGTTTTTTGACTTTTTGTTGTGGATTTTGTTTATTGTGTTAACAAGACCAAATTGATGTTTGATTTAAGCTTGTAAACTACAAGTTGATTTATGCTAACTTACACACAACCTCCGGAACACTTGGATTGCTTTAATGTACACTATTACACCCAACACGTTCACAAATCCATTGCTGTAAGTTGTAAGTGATAGAGAGATAATAATATATGCTTGGATAACATCATACCGCACTGGAGAACATACAAAAGAGGGAAATAGACTGACGGCACACACTCTCAGACTATGCTTTGGCCTTCGCTTGTTTCAAGTGTCGCTGGCTGGGAAGCACAGCTTTCCCTTCCAGAATCTTCAGTTTCTTTTCTCTGTTCAACGACATGAACTCCTTCTCATTATCCGTCAAATTAGGCAGCATTTTCGTGATTACTCCGGTACAGAGGGTCTGTACGCCAGTGCGCAGGGTAAACCGAAAACCAGGCGCCATTACCATAGGCTTAAGCAGCCTCAACTTGAACCTACAAAGATAAATTAACTCTAGTACAAATAGGTTAACAGATGTTCAAAAGTTTCCGTACAATCCGTTTTCTCCCGGCATAATCATATCTTTTCCTTCGCCCAAGTGGAGTTCGGTCTGAACGTCCCATGTTTTGCAGAACATGTGGGGTCGGAATAGACTGGGAATGGCTTTCGTACTGCCTCCCTCCTCTTTCGTTAGCATGTATATCTAACAACAAGAAAAATGTGGATTACGATTCAATCAAGTATACGCCTTGTAGTTTGTGCTTATGTCGATCCACAAACTGGTCAATGTTAAATTATATTACACTCGTAACATACCTGCGCTTCCAGTTGATCGTGCTGTGTGAATGTACCTACACAAGCAATCTTCATTATCCCTACACCAAAGTACCAAACCAACGAAAATACTGCCTCATTACCTGGTTTGCAGAGGGCCATCCCACGTCGTACTTCATCTCGTTTAATACCGCGAAGGAGGGCTCCCAGCTGATCGCCGGCTTCCGATCGATCCAATATCTGTCGAAACATCTCCACGCCGGTCACCGTGGACTTCACCTGTTTTCCGTATCCAATGATCTCACAAGCATCGCCCTTCTTAATAAGCCCTCGCTCCAACAACCCAGTGACTACAGTTCCACGGCCTACGGAACGACATGATCATTACGAAATCCATCAAAGCGAGTCAAACATGCGTCTGAGTATATGACTGCTCGAAAATCCGGCAAAAGACTTCATTTGTTGCGTCTTACCGGGGATCGAGTGCACGTGCTCGATAGGCATAAAGAACGTTTTGTCCAAATCGCGTTCAGGAATGGGAACATAGCTGTCAACAGCCGCCAGGAGTTCCTTTACAGCCTTCTTTCCCTCCTCTTTTCCTTCCAGAGCGTATAAAGCTGAACCCTTGATCACGGGTGACTCGTCGCCTTTGTAGCCGAACGTATTCATCACTTCGCGCACTTCCATTTCCACCAGCTCAACCATCTCGCTGTCAGCCTGGTCGACTTTGTTAATAAACACCACAATTTTCTCCACGCCGATCTGCTTGGCCAAGATCAGATGCTCACGGGTCTGTGGCATCACGCCGTCCGTGGCCGCCACCACCTGCAACGGTACAATGTAGTTTGTCGTTCCGATCCAGCCAGTTCTGACGCAATCAAACACTCCATACCAAAATGGCTCCATCCATTTGCGCGGTACCCGTGATCATGTTCTACATACAACACTTTCTGTCAAACACACGGACATCCCAAGACCGGAATGTGGACTTCTTCTACCTTAATATAATCCGCGTGGCCGGGACAGTCAACATGGGCGTAATGCCGATTATCCGTGGCGTACTCGATGTGCGCGGCGTTGATGGTGATGCCGCGAGCTCGTTCTTCCGGGGCATTGTCAATATCTTCGTATTTGGCATATTTGGCTTTGTTCTCCTCCGCAAGAACTGAGGAAATAAAACATTTAAAGATCTGTCAGCTTGTAATCGTAAATTTCTTGCCAAAACGCTCAAATTAAGTTTCAAGTTGTCTTCAAAATCAAGAATTTACGGCCTATCCTTTTATTTCGACTGCTCAGTTTTCTAAAGGAAACGACGGCATGTACTTTTAGTAATGGCCGCAGTCAGTGTAGTTTTTCCATGGTCAACATGTCCAATGGTCCCCACGTTGCAATGAGGTTTGTCCCTCGCAAAAACTTTCTTTTCGCTAGCAGGAGCAGCGTAAAATCGCTTGGGTGCGCCTGTTTTAATGAACCGTATGCATAGTTCATCAAATTATAAACAAAAAAACCGGATGGTTTGCATTTCGAAAGCTTGCGTACTTCCCAGTTCTTGCTGGAAACGATCGAGGACAACCCGCGGAAAGCAGCTGGGATCAGTCGCGAATCTGCATTGAAGCACTTTGTAACAACAAGGTCTCTGCGCGAGCGTCAGGCTCCTTTCCAAGCTGGAGAGCAATGCGGTAGCCATCGTTGTCTGGATCGGAGATTTCAAATTCCTATGAATGCAGTCACCAGTAACGGATATGGACCAAGCTAAAAGCAACTCAGCCAACTGAAGTATTTCAACTTCACGGGCGTAGTGATTAGTCAATCAGTGTTCTGCTAACAACTCTAATAACGCGCAGGAAAACTTTGATCAAACTGTTCAAACACCAGTGCACCACGTACAGCAGGACAACAACAACCGATGAGCCAAAATGTTAGCACTAACCTAAACGTCAAAAATTTTCGACGGATTGAACTGCCTCGTAGATCAAACAAAAGACGTAATATTCCTCCTTCTGCTTAGAAAAACTGAAATTCGAAATTTCCCACAACAGAAATTAGCGAACTTGGCAAGCTTTCCCGTTGCGGGTTTTCTTGAATCATTAAAAGACATGCGTAATAGTCAGGATTTGGACGTGCCGAAGCGAAACAACTATTCGCTATGTCAATAGACGGATCTCGCGATCCAAACACGTTTCTTATAATATGCAACTGTAACCAATCAAACCTTCTGAAACGTCCCCATTGGTTACATAGACAATACAATTCAGGCTCAGTGTTGGATCACCGGTCCGCCCGCGGGCCCAGCCTGGTCACTGGTGTCTCAGCCTTTATTGTCCTGTGGTTGGTACAATTCAAGATCGTCAGTACATGTAGTTCACAATTTCAGAAAACAATCAAACAAAGTGCTACGTAATTGACAACAAGGCAACATTTTGGCGCCGCAAAAAAGGGCAAGCCGACCTGCACATCACAAAGGGGCCTAAAAAAGAATGAAGTAGCAAAAGCTGATTGGACAACTCCGCCCACTCCAAATGCCGATGGCGAATGGCAATTGCACAGTCTTTGATGGAATGAGAGGCCCTCCTCCTCGATGTGAGGCACACGGCAGCATGGATGGAGGCACCCGCGTCGTGTGCAAAACGCAAAAGGTGGAAAGCGATGCTGCGTGTAAATTCTGGATGATGCCAGATCCAGGAGTCTTGGCTTACCGGATGTTGTTAACGTCCAAAGTAGGGAAAACAGCCAGATGCTTCTGCTTTATGGTGGGCCAGATATCCAACGGTCGACCGTTATTCCAACAGCGAGGCGTCGTATATCCAGCAGCCTGCTCCACAAATTGCAGGAAAAAAAGGAAGATGCAGAAGATATGCTTCCATAATGAATCTCCATTACCCGATGGGCAAGCTCTAATTAAGAGCGCCGCGTTCAAGTAAAAAAACTCATACTTTGGCAAGGAAAAAACAGTGGGAAAAAAGCGAGAAAAGGGGTACAGAAAAGTTCTAGATTTATTGGCCGTTCGGTAGCTGTGCAGGCCAAGACGTGTGCAGGCCAAGACGTCTACAGTGAACTAGGACTATCTACAGTACTTTGCATCTCATCATATAAAATCCCAAATATACTGTACCCATAAAAAAAGTGATTTGTAATTAGTGTCCTGCTTGGATGCTGCTATCTCGTCTAAGCCTATCGTTCAGCAAGGTGAGACATTTCAGCATGCGCCGAAGGTGTTTTCAGGGGCTTAGCGTAGGCTTAGAATAGATTTCTATATCAGCTCAATTGAGAGCCATCAAATTTGGTAGAATTCGTTTTGATGTGCAAATTATTATAAGTAAGTAATATTATACCATTAAATTATTAAGTATTATTATGCCAATTAAGTATTAAGTATAATACCAGTAAGTATTATTATACCAATTTATTTTTTCTCTAACTCTAATAAATGACACCACGCAAACCAATGAAGAGTGGGTGGGCGGGGTCTTCGATATAGACCGACCCCTTAAGTCATAACATTCTGCGCACTCCCCTTAGTGCTTGTATAATTATCGATTTTTTCCCTTCGCTTTTCACCCATTTCGGTAATATCAATTTTAAGTGTTAGGGTTCGGACCACTTCGGTACTAATTTTTGTTGAAAACATCATAAATTTAAGACTCCAGTTTGGGGTCTAAACTGAAGTTAAGGTTGGATGCGGACAGCTAACGCAGCCATATTTCAGAAGATTTTGATTATCCGCGATCGTTCACGTAAGCAGTACGACTGTACGAGAGATTTGTTCTACTGGACTTGTGTCATGTCTGCTGACTTACTGCTGCTCTATCTATAATATGTACTGTTATCTTCCTGTTCGTTCCTGTTGAAGTTAATTGTTATTAGGTTTAGCAGAATGGCCAGCAAGTCATCGCAAGGCAGTTCTCCTGCATCTCCTACCCCCGTGGAGAATGAGGCATCTACACCAAAATCCTTGAAGAAGTCTGATCCAGCATCTTCGAAGTCCGCTCGAGGAGCGAAAGTCTTTCGCGAGACATACCAGATTGGTCCCTCGTCATCTCTGGTATGTTCATGTTGTGCTTGTCATCTGATTTGTGTACAATCTAATACGAGAGTCGATTAAAAGTTTGGTTAATACTTAAACATTAAAGACCACATTTCCTTTTGTTATTAGTGTTAGTAACTGCATTAGTTGTGACATTTTTCTGGACGTAGGAAGAAATGGAGCCTAAAGTTTTACGCTTTCAAAATCGGAAACTTGCGGAAAGGCTTGAGCATTACCAGACGGTGACAGAGGAACTGCGCAATCGGAATGAACAGCTGCAGCAGCGTCTGGCGTCAACAGATTCGGAAATCTTCATCATCAATCGTCATATGAAATCCGTGAGTGCCATACTGTCACAGGAATTTTATACAGATGTGCAGTACATTCTTGCTTGTAGCTGGATGAGAATGCGCGTCTTTTGGTGAAGAATTTCGAAGATGAGCACCTAAAAGATTCGGAAGCTGCCGAGAATCCCTTGAGTCCCGTAGAATCCTTCGTGACGCAGTTGTCAACTCTGGACGAGGAGGAACTGGATAAGACGATGGCCGGACGAGTACAGGAGACGCGCAATCTCATTTCCAAATTGGTACAGGTCTATGCAACGGTGTGGAATCAGTCGCGCTCTGCCATGGAAAAGCTGAAAAACGCAGAGAATGTCGGTGAGTAATGCAGTTTTAGTCCCTTCAGCAACACACATCCATGTTTTATTTTTATGCAATGCTTTCTTAAAATTTTACAGAATTTTGTGCTGTCTTCATTTGTAAGTAGTTTTGATTTGCAGAGGAACCTGCAAAAAGCGCTATGGAGCAGATGATGAAAAAGAATGAAAAACTGGAGAAGCAACAATTAATCCTTCAGGAAAAACACACAGCTTTCTCCCTGGAAGTATGTATTTTATCCTCTGATCAGTGGAATATGTCAGATTTGTAACGTAATTATGGTTCTGAAGAGTTCCAAATTGAAAGATCGCATTACGGAATTAGAAACGGAACGGGATGAACTAAACAATCGTAAGGCTGATTTGTCTTGGTCGCTGGATAAAGAGCAGACAAGAAGGGAGAAAGCGGAAAATATGGTTGTCGAGCTGCGCCAGAAAGTCATTGCACTGGAGACGCAGCTGGGGACAAAAAAGAAAGAAGGCACATACGTGGAAGTGGCTGCCACCGATGCGAACTTGTCCCAGTCCAAGGTGACATATTTTATATAACACATGTGAAAACTTATTTTGGATTACAGTGGAACTAATGTGAACACGAGGTGGCACGCAGATTGATTTCCAGTGTTTTCAAGTTTTTGAATCTTTTCCAGATGGGGGAAATGGTAACAGAACTGGAAAACTTGAAAACCTTGTCGGCTAATCGATTACAGGAAATTGATAAAATCCACGCAGAAAAAGCGGATTTGAAATCTACAATTGATCGGATGAAAATCCAGGTGGGATAAATATTTTCAGTCTGGAGAAATAGGAAGTTGAAATTCCGCTGTTTAAAATTAGATATCCAGCCCTCCCGATGACCTGGTTATCAATAGCGCTAAATATAAATCCCTTCAGACCAGCTTTTCGGTAATCTTCGTCGAGCATGAAAAGTTAAAAGAGCACTATAAAATTGCACGAGAAGCGGTGACGACGATCCGTAACAGCTACCTGCAACAGCTGAAAGAAGCTCAGGTAAGCTTGATTGTGGAGTGTTTTTCGTGGAGAACACTTACCTGCTGAGTGTTAATAATGGGGAATACCAGTCTGATTGTAATGCATCGTTTGGATAGAAACATGAAGAAGATGGAAGCCAAATGTTTCAATCCTTCTTAAGCAATTTACAAACTGCTACCAATGCGGCTAAAGTGGATTATCAAAGATTAAAAATTGAATTTGAGCAGGAGCGTGCCAGCCGCGAAACTAGCGGTAAGTGCTCCGAAAACTAACCTTTTAAGCTTTTTCTACCGAGTTTATCGTGAATTACAGGGACAAATAAGGATTACGATAAACTGTTCAAATCAATGATGCAGCATAATAATTCCATGCAGAGTGAGGTGCTGCGGTTGCGGAAACGGATTCAGTCAATGCAGGCGGAATTGGCAAAGGTGAAGGTTTGATTTACCGCTTCATAACTTTTGTGAATTTTTTTTTATGAATTTGGTTTGCAGACACAACCTCGTGACGCGGCTCGGCCGAGCACTAAGATCTCTACACCTGAAAAGCGTGGTTTCGATGGTGAGCCAAAAGGGCAAGAACCGGGTAGCGCCGACACAGTTGGATCCTTGCGGCACACATCTACCGGATCTCAGGATTCAGTCAATTCCCCGGATAGCCGGGGTGATTCGCAGACGATTAAAGATCTGCGCAAACAGCTTCGGTATGAGTGTTCGGTATTTATGTATGGAATTCCTCTTAATTTAAGTATTTGTCTTTAGAGACAAAACCAAGGAATACGATGAACTGAAGCTGTTGTATGATATAACCAAGCAGTCCGGTAAAACTACCCGCGAACTGGTGGAAGTGATGGTGTCCGAAAGGCGCTTAAAGGACGAAAATGCTGAACTGCGCAAGCTGGCGGCTGGTGCGGACGAGAAGATCCATGCGGCGGAGTCCGGTTACAAGACCCTGGTGGATACCGTGGATAACTTCCGCTCGCGAAACCGGCAGCTGGAAGAAAAGGTGCATGAGCTGGAAAGAGAAAAAGAGAAGGAGAGAAGTGAAAAAGCGCGCGGTGGTCCCGATGAAGAATTGCAGCGGAAAGTGAAATTTTTGGAAGATTCCCTGGCGTCGTGTAAGAAGGCCCTCCAGAGTCATAAAATTGAAGAGGAAGCAATGATGAGCGAAATGGAAATCACCGGGCAGGCTCTGGAAGATTTGCAGAATCAAAATAAACAGTTGATTGATCAACTAAAGGAAAAGGACAACACTAACCTAAAATGGATGTCTGATGTAAGGGTTTGACAAAGATTTGTGTCGCAATTCATAACTGGGAAAGCATCGTTTTCTGTGCAGATTGCTTGATTTTTGCATATTGTTGTTCAGAATATTCGGAATAACCAAATTATCAAGACCTTGAAAGACGAGAAGATTGCCCAGGAAATGCGCTTTCGCACCGCTGTGGAGACCATACAGAAGTACGAAAAGCAGATGATATTGGCGGAAGAACGGATAAAAGCAATCGAAGACGCCAACACAACACTCGAAGAGGACCGCAAAACGTGTGATTATATGATAGAGAGCTGGAAACGAAAGGCACACGATCAGACGAAAGAAGCGAATGATCTGCGATTGAAACTGGAACAGTTGGAAAAGGAAGTTGAGTTTGCACGCACAGTCCATGCTGACCGGATCAAGTCGCACGAAGGCGATGTGTATAAAACCAAACGGCTCACGGTAATGTCCCGTAATTCGGTTACGTTTTTGTATCAAAAATACTTGAAAAGCCGGCATAGTTCTCCGACACTGTGTTGTAGTATTTGATTCCTCGTTTTATTAAATCGGTTCACAGTCGCACCTTAAGCACAAGTTGCACAACAGCATGGTCCAGCTTTCAGTATACAAAAAACAATCAAAATCGTTACCATTGTTAAGTTTCTTTATCAATGGCAAAGTGCCTGTGCGTACAGTATTTACTCAAAATAAAAACAGTCCCTGCTGTTTAATATCACAGAATGTTTTTCATGTATTGTATTACATGATTATATTGCATGTTCATGGGTTTACAGTAATCGTAACCGGATGTTTAGTGTGTTCTTTTCGTAGGAAGAGAATGCGGAGCTGAAAAGGCGGCTAGAGCGAGCCAAATTAGTCGAAATAACAGGCTCAAGTGAGGAAATATTAAAAGAAGATTTACGCGAATACAAGGATCTCCTGAACTGCCCGTCGTGTAAATGTGCTCGCAAGGATACCGTTTTGACGAAATGCTTCCATGTTTTCTGTAATTCTTGCATATCGAAACGCTATGAAACCCGCCAAAGACGTTGTCCGCAGTGCGGAACATCCTTTGGAGCAAATGATTATCGGCGTCTGTACCTTGCTTGAATCGCAACTATGGTGCAAATTTTCCTTTTTTTATGGACTTCAGTTATAATCTCGATATTGTTCTTGGTGTCACTCCTTAATTTATTGATTCGCGATACGAATAACATATTTTGGTTACGGTATCGTCGTCAGACATTAAAATGAACACAGCACACGTGACTGAACCCGTTGCTGTTCTAATTTTCTCTGTAAAATATGCCAAAAAAATCGGAATTAAATAAAAGCATCGCAATAATGCAAACTTATGCGTTAAACCAAATAAATCTATTTACTATCTGACGGCAATATAGTATATAAAATATCAGTTAAGTACAAGCATTCGCGAAAAAAAATTTTGAACGTAATCATAAATATCGGAAACATGAAAGCAGCACAAGAAAAAAAGGAATTTTCGACGTAGAAAATGTTCCGATTATTCTCGGCGTAAGTTCTCCAATCTCGCTTCCAGATCGGCATCTAAATCGCTTCCGCCAGCCGGCTGGGCGGAAGGCAGTTTCTTGGCAGCACCGGGCGCCACCGAGCCTTGGGCGATGGGCAGTCCACCCACTTGGTCAGCGATCTGCAGGCCAAGCTCATCCAGTACTTTGTTGACAATCTGGTCGCTACAAGGCAGCAGATAAATAAATACGCTTTTATCCAACATGCGGAGCAACGTATGCATGGATAAAGGCTAACCTATACTTATCTAACTTAGTAATAAGGTTTCTAATAATCGATAGAGCAAATTAACGGCACACGGCTGCTGCTAACATAAAACTGTGCTGGAGTACTTCATTTCAGTCACTGCCACTCATATTAAACGACATAATTTGTGATTATATATCAGAATAAATGAGCAATAACGGCAATAAATTAATAACAAAGCATCTTTTACAAAATCATGAAAATTTCTCCTCAAAATCGGTCATAACTCGGAAATACAGACTTACGTTTCTTCCTCATCGTCGTCCGCTCCAATGGCATCGTCCATGGCATCATTCATCATTTCCTCTTTCATATCCATGATTTCAGACTGCTTCTCGAATTCCTGCATTATCTTCTGGATTTGCGGCAGATTCATCTGCAACAACCAGCAACGCGCTACACCAACATGAATTATTACAGTAAACAACCAAAAACACTGGACCGTTATGCCGTCATAAATTTGCAATTTGCAACCGTAAAATAAAACCATAACAACCCCTAGGACAGTCGGGCAGTAGAGTAAAGCATAGAGAACGATAAGACTCATAAGAGATTCATCAGTCTACGGTAAAACCGTAAAGTATCTCAATCCTCCAAAGATCAGGCAGGTCGAGCCAAAATGGATGTACCTGCTTATTCATTTGTCCCATGGCCTTGGCGACACCCTTCATAGCCTGCGCCATAGCGTTAGTGGATTTCAGTCCCGTGATTTTCAGGGACACTGCCTGGATGTTGGCGCGCATCATCATGAACTTCTTCACGTAGCGTCTGGTGCGCACGAGATCTTTGGCCATCACTTTCACAGCATCCTGAAAAGCATGACCAAAACCTTGTTGGTCAGCAACATATGCAGAGAGAACACATTCACACCATCTGGTTATCTTTGGCCATTTTCTTAATATCCATAATAATCTTCTTTTCCTGTTGTTCCATCCGTGCTCGTTCACGATCCAGATCGCGCATAGCTTTGTTCAGCGTGCGCTGATTCTCTCGCATCATTTGCTCAGGAGTTTTCCGTTTACCGAATAGAAATTCAAGTGCCATTTTCGCGTAAGTTACACAACTCCTCGATAACCAGAAAATTAGTCCGAAATAGTAAATAGTCAAGACTATAGAACAAACGCAAAACTAAAACCGTAAAGAGTAAACACGAAGGCAAATAAGGCAATACGCCTTCAAACTGCAAGGACCACACCAAGGGATAAGAACAGCGATAAAAAGGCAACTCTGCTACTGCAGTCAAAACAAAACAAAATTTCGGAACCTGATAAATCAGAATCTGATAAATCTCAAAGCATCCGACACAGCGAGATAGAATTTTAACGAGATACAGTAATAACTAACAAGTGCTATCGTCCAATATTAAACTGTAATTTTTTACTTTTACAAAATTAACTAGGAGAATCGTATGAGAACAACAAGATTTAATTTACAACTAATACAGCACGTATCGATATCACTATGGATTCAGCTTTGTCAGCGTGGCGTCCCGAGCTTACTGCCAGTTACAAGGACCAGTCGTAAGGACACGGAATAACGTGCAACGATGGAACGGCGAGAAAATTTACTTATCTGCTATTACTCAACTTTTAACTGTAAATCGTGTAACTTCATCCTAAAAATTGAATTTTGCGGAAGAGTAAATCCAGAAGGTTAATCTCTGCCGAATGGCAGAGCCAGAACCCATGAGTGACCATGACCAGGGATTTAGCCGTCCATAGTTCGCAACGCTCCCAGCGGCCAGTTAGTCACTCCGGAAATAATTTACCCGACTCGAAAAGCATCGGCTGACGTCGGAAGTGCAATCAAACAGGTGATAAGTGAAAGAAATGAGTAACCAAGATGAAATCATATTTGCAAGTGTAAAAAACCGAACTCGTGCCATTTGATAAGTTTTCTTTCATTCTCCAAAGAAAATGTAAACTAGCGACTAAGGAATTAAAGTTGAAGGGTAGAAAACAGGTTTAAAACAACTGAAAACGAACTGTATTATTTAAATCTTTAAACCTCAATTTTAATGTATAAAAACTAAAACAAATGCACAGAAAACCCGAATCCAAATCCAGGAAAGAAGAGCAGATCGTTTCGGCGAACACCACTTGCAATTACTAACAAGTAACATGATGGTCGAACAAATTTGTCCTTCAGGAGAAGCAGACTTATCGTTTTATGTGGCATACGCCACACGGTCCTTATATAAAGCTATGTCCAAAAATGAACATTGTGTACAAAGAATCACCGTGCGCAACTACCGTTACGCATGCCATTGCACCTAGCCGATCTTTGAATCCCCAATTATAACTTTCTTCGCGATGTTTCTCATAACCGCCATCGGTTTCCGACCGCGCTTCTTCCCCTGTGGCACCGGAATACTGGACTCCACGATCTCCGTTTCCAGTTCCGCAGTGGTGGTGACGGATTCTTCCGGTGTGGCGCTCATATCATCCAGCGGCGTTAATGCATCGATCATGTCCTGATCGCTTGCATTGTGGTCCGAAGGCGCTGCCAGTGTCGCTTCCGAGGCTGAGCTGTCCGCCACCATGTCGCCATCCACTTGCAGAGCCTGCGTGACCGTGGTCAAGCCGTCTTCAAAGGTCACCTGCGTCACACTGTCGCCTAGACTGACCAGAAACGCCTGATCGACCACGTTCAGCGGCGGCACCGACTGGATCACGAGGACCACTTCACAGGACTGGAAATCGAAGTTGAACATGCTCTCCACCATTTTAGTGGACGCGGCGCGGCCGTCTTCCAGGAAATCGCTGTATTTCTGCGGCAGGATGTTGTGGCTGCCCGATGACAGGGTGGCGCTCATGTCCTCCTCGAAGCGCACAAAATCTACCACGGCGCTGTACATTAAACGAGAGTTGTTGCCTTTCCGGACTCGACTGAACGTTATAAAGGCATCGTGCTTCTCGAAAACGGACCAATTTCCCAGATTGTCCGTTGGCGCCGGCGGCTTGTAATACGGATTTCGAATGTGCTTCCTACGACAATATCAATTAACAGAAAATGCAAAGAAATCGCTATGACGATAGAAATGCAAGAATGAGGTGCAGAGAATGCCACAATTATATTATTGCACAAACTATTATTATACAAACAAACAGAAATATAATAATAGTCCGCTTTAACATTTAAGGTTTTGTTGCAGTCAGTGCTAGTAGAAGTTCCAGCATTTGTTACCAAGTTTCTTTGCAGCCTTTCTCAAATCGGTATCGCCGAATTTTCTCCTCATCCGCTTCCACATTCCTTGTTCTTTCTTCAAGCAGTTTGGCGTGAGGCATTTCTTCCTCAGTGCCGGGCAGAAAGCGAGTGGGATAAGCAGTTGGCCGTAATTTGGCGCGGTTTGTATCGAGATCGATGTCATCCGGCTCGAAATGCAGCGAGCAGACGCGGTGATACTTGGAAAACTGGTCAATGTCATTCCGACCACAGGCCATGAACCACTTGTTATACAAGTCCATCGCTTCATCCGACTGCTCGGACAAGGATTTCTGGGGGCAGTAGAAAAAGTGGAGATTCATAATTTGCCGCTCTCCCGTGTAACTGCGGCAGCCCTGCACGGCGCACAGGTTTCCTTTCCATTTCTTTCCAATTCGTACCGGCTTGTCCACATCCCATAATTCACTGCAATGCAGCACCTGTTTTACAGACTACGTGTACAGCTATTTAAACATTGCGTATTTTCTGATAAAGCGATAGTTGAAAGAGCAGGCAGCAAATATTAGAGTAGACACAGTCATAGTAATTCATATGAAAGCGAAAAAAAACCGAATTCGATAATTTTTAAAAATGCCCAATGGTCACGTCACATTTGATGACGTGAAAATTATCTGAACACTGAAACCTGTTTTCCCACTGGCTCATAGCGAGTTTTAAAATTTCGAAGTCCCGCTTACCATTGTTTTTCTGTTAGTAACCTATGTTCTATACCGTAATGCTGTATTTCCGATAGAATGACATTACTTATTTTTCCGAAAGAACGATGCGCAATTTCTTAACATAGCGGTCTTCTTAACAATTACGACCAAATATAGATAGTAGTGTACACATTTTCTTTTGGAAACTGCCGAATTAATGACACAGAAAAACGGTAATAACCTGTTAAGTATCTCTGTATCAGTAAAACGCACTCACGTAATAAGATTCAGACTGGGCAGCGCGTTCCTTTTTAAATGCCCAGATTTTGTTAAATCGTTTTCTGTGAAATGCTGCGAACATATCACGGAGCATTTGGCGACTTCCCCAGTGCGGCTGCACAGGCTTTTGTACACTTCCCTTGCCTCGGGATCATCGGGAACAGAGTAAAAGCGGATTTCTCCTGGTTCCCTACTCAGATCACGCTGGTAGTTCATGCAGGATTTGACAAAACAACGTCGACCACGGTGGAATCGCGGCATTTTTGTGGATGACTCTTCCGTTTCGTCGGATATACCGCTGATAATAAACGCAGCCACATCAGAGCTGGACATTGAGCACTCGCTCTGAAAACTTTTTTCATTCGGAATCAACCTCCCCGAATTCACGGAGAACTCTGCGAAAGTTGTGAACTCTGCACCGCGTGCATACCAGCCGATGGCAAACGACGCTGCTGCCATCTGTGACAGGGGAATGGGCAAAATAACGTGACTGCTGCGAGAGAGCGTTCGACTTAACATTTGATGCCCTAACCGTCGAGCGCCCGCTGTGTGAGTTAAGCCTCCACTGTGTAATGTTGAAGCAGGGCCACAGACTGCCACAGACTGCCACTTAATAAAAAGTCGCTGGTTGAAGTGAATGTTCGCTAATACGAGTAAGTACTTCTTGCATCGTTTTGAAATTATTTTCTCAAAAATTCAAAACGCAAACAAATTTAACATTGTGAGCAGTTCCCTGTTGTAATTATAATTTGTATTGAGTTTATAAAATTATTATTACAGTTTTGGCTTGTACGTGTGCTATAACATGTATGAGGTAATAATAAGTACTGCATGTGTTCCTGAAGAAACTTTAGTAACTACCGTGAGCGATTACTACTAATAACAGAGATGGATGATGAATCCGAGGAATCCTTGCCTTGTAAGCCACTTGACAATGGGCTTCGCTTGTGGCATTCCTTCAGATTGATTGGCAATTGTTTAATAGCATAAAATCTGGCATTGTTTTCAGTAGCAGAGGACCCACCAGCTTCATGCAGTGGCTACCAGCGATTGAAATTATGGAATTATTTCGAGAAGGGAACAAGAAAACACTGCACTAGTAATCATCCGGAAGCCTTCTGCTGTGCTTGCAAAGCAGTGGGGATCGTGGAGGCGCTGCGTGGTGAACGTTTAGCGATGATGCGCCATGTAAAAAAATGCCCGTACATGTCTGCCAGCGTTAAAACTGATCTGCAGTGTGATGCATGTGACACGTCGGCACAGAAGAAACCAAAGATGGAAGCCAAGAAATTGTCTTCCAGTATGCGTCTTCCCATGCCTACCTCCGTTAAATGCGATGAATATGCCGCTCTGCCCGTCAACGACGATGAGATGCAAGGCTCTGGTGAATATTCTGATGACGGTCCGAGTAAGTTGCTTAGTTGACTGCGAAATTCCTAGCCTGTTAATTGAGTGTCACTTCGGTAAATTGGAATAAGTACAGTCGGGATTTTAATAAATTGTTTCAGAGCGATGGGTTATTTGCTGCACAAGACGAACATTTCGGCTAAATTATTATTGGTATGGCATTTGCTTGTGGTTTTTGGCATTTATAATTAAATTTTGCTAACGTAATTAATTTTCAGTTGTTCTGTAATTCATAATATTTCGATTTTGAAAACTTTGTTTCGCTTTTCCGGTCATGACTATTAGTAATAGTCACGACCGGAATAGTAATAGTCTATTCTGTTAAAATTCGCATTATATGGATACGTACATACCGTATACCGGTAGTTAACGCTTTTCCAGTTTTGCGCCCAGAGTAAGCTTGTGCCGACTGTCGGATAGATGGATACGAAGCTTTCTCCATAAATGAAATGTGTAATGTTTTTATATCCAACTATGGAAAATTGATGTAATCATTCCGATTTATCGTATGACGATATACTGCCAGTAGGGAATTTAGGATTATACTTTATGAGACACTTAATTGTCTTTTACTAAAGCTGACGAAGATCCTTGGTTGTGTTAGTGGATCCGGAGTACAAAAGCAATACCGTATTATGGACGCACTTTCGAAAAGGTCCCGGAAAGTATCGCGGCCAACATCACTCCGTCGCTTATTGTGTGGCATGCCATGAACACACTGGAGAATGGGAACCCTTGCGTCGCGAACGGGATCGATTAATGATTCATGTGAGGAGATGTCCGTACTTGACGCACGAAGCTAGGCTGGACCTGACTAATGAAGACCAGATGAGGAGATCGTCCAAGAAGCGCACTTATTCCACGATTAAGCTAAAGGCTCCGGTAAAAGTTGCAGAGAATAACGACGTGCTGCCGCCAGATACGGGACCCGTTTCCGTTGAGTCCACTTCCAGTGCTTCCACAGTCGCTACTACTCTTCCCAGCGCAGTGCCGAAAGTGAAAGCGTTGGACTTAGATGTGATTAAAGCATGTATTTCGGCAGGCATTCCCTTTTCTGCCTTGTCTGATAACCATGTTGTCCATCTCTTCAAAACACTGAATTCGACGGCACTGCTTCCGAGCGTCAGTGATCTGATGGGGGAGGTTTTGGCTAGCGTTGTACTGGAAACAAAGAAGGATACGGTCAACTTACTGGTCGACCAGGAATGTGTGACATTGCATGTTCGTATGTGGAATGATTCGCGGAGTCGCTTTGTGACCGGTATGAGTATTTATGTTGAGCGGGATGTAGAAACCGACTTCTGATCAAAAATAGAAGGCTAGTTAAATAATAATTAACATAATCTATTTTTGCGAAAGGAACTGAATGTACTTTATGGTGCACGCACGTATGGGCAAAAATTATGTCATATGGAAATATGTATAGAAAACATATAAAGTGGAGATTTGAATGATTTATTGGGATGAAGTCCAAAATTCTTGCAGGGTTCGTGGCTTCTGTGCGGGTCGGCAGCATTGCAGATAGCTTTCTCCTGAGTGTTTCCGAACCAGTAAGCCAGGACGCAGCTGCACAGGGACTGACTCAGGAAATTATGCACGCTGTAGAGTTACTGCAGCAAGAACACGGTGCCACTGTGGCGTCCATTGTTTTATCCTCCCTCTGCATTAATATCCACCGTGCTGTGCACGAGCAGATTTCCAGTTTTATCGTTTTGCCATTATATTCTCAGCATTTTGATAAACTAACGCGAGATGCGTTGCAACTGCTGCAATTCCAGCGATGGCTGGATAAGGTAGTCTTGCTGCAAGAATGTCTTCACCGGAGTAAATCGACTGCGGAACTGTTTAGGAAGATACAATTAATATTCGATCCCAGCGCTGAAGAAGTGCCCACTCCTGTTGGACAACGCTGGAATTCATATGTGCAATGCTTCTCCAGTATTGTGGAAAACAAAGATGCTTTGCAGGTGCGTAAGGTGTTGTTCGGGCATCAAAGAGCACGAAAAATCGATGTCTGTCATCTTTAACACCTGTTGACTATAACTCTGTGAGAACCATCAGCCCAAAAGTTATTATGGCTATTCGTATAGATACTGCATAGGGAGAAAGGCTGCGCAATGAGCACGTCAGCTTATTGATTTCATGCAAAAATCTTGCCGGGTCGACCCGTCGTCATTAGGCCTTGTCCCGAATTCGAAGCGAATCTCGCTATGGTACGGTTGCTCAACCGCACGAGGTGGCTGTATGCAGTGGCCACGCCTACAGATACGGTACGCGAAGCCACCTCGCGAGGTGGAGTTGCTGTATCGCAACGAGATTCGCTTCAAATTCGGGACGAGGCCTTAGTGTTAGAGGACGTTACTGCATTAAGAATCACAGATAGATGAGATGAAAGAAAGAAAAAGTTACCCATTATGATTTCTACTTTCAAACACATCTTAGTAGAGTATTATGCAAAAATGTACGTACAGTACATAACTTTCTACATTAATTTTGTATCAGAAAATACGCAACCACGCACTCAATAATAGTGGAATACTAAGAATTATTTCATCGTACAGTTACTGCATTGTATTGTGTCAACGATGCATTGCGTTAAATTAAGAAATTTATGTTTGTTTTTGGCAGGATTTTTCAAGGAGTGAAGATAGCGAATTACCAATAGAGTTGCAACTATTGATGGAAGACGAAACATTTTGGAGCAGTTTGGAGAATCTCCAGCACGTTTTGCTGCCACTTACCAATGCCCAGCGGAGTATTCAGCGTGATAACCTTTTCATTTGCGATCTTCTCATCCAGCTGCAAATTCTGCATAAAGCCTTTGCTAATGTTTCCGATATGCTGGTGAGGACAGCTCTCTTAAACAATCTGGAAACGTTCTGGAAAAATCACTGCGACCAGAAGTTGCTAATTATTGCCTGCGCTCTTAACATTGAAACGCGTTTGTCCATTTTCACGGCCAACACGATCAAATGGACGAAAATCGGGAGCTGGGCATTGAAGTTGTACGAACAGGTATTTCATTGCCAACCGGATGCGTTGCTTCCTTCCATCGGAGCTTACCGGGATGAAGAAGAGCCGTTCAATCAATCCACTATTCGACAATGGAAAGCTCAAGGTCAGATCTACTACTGGAAGTATGTTAAGGAAATCCATCCCGAGCTGGCCAAATTAGCCATCTTTCTGCTGCGAATCACTCCATCGGCAGTGGCTGTAGAGACGGTGTGGAAAGACGCGGAGAGGACATGCCCAGACCTGACCAGTAGAGAAAAGCTTATACAAATAGCTAGAACGAAAGTGAAACTGATGAAGGATGAGAGAAAGGCGAAGAAGCAGGGAAGCACGGAGAATGTTGATTTAAAAGAGGCCGATGTGGTTGGATGTCAGGACGCTGTAGCTAATTATATGGAGAACATCAAGAGCGATGTCCCCGAGGAAGGATGGTTTGGGGAGAGCAGCAGAGTGGCCTCTTTAAAAGAACTATTCGCATGATCTGTACAGAATTAATGATTTTTTTATCGTTTTGACTCGTTGGATTTCTTAGTCGTGACTTTACTATAAAATCCAGTATCCAGTATTTATATTTTTGTTTTATTTTGGATTATTAAATCATTTGCAGAGTGAATACCACGGTGGCACTGTCAGTAATCTGCATGCATTTTCGATGCACACGTCGATGAAAAGCCATTTCTTTAAAATTCGTCAACGCAGCTCACAAGCGCCTTGAATAGTCGCTTGATAGTCGTACAAAATACAATAACTGTTATAGGTTTTAATTTTATGACCAAACGTGTGTAAGTGTACAGACTGTGTACATATCTGTAATTACTGCATTAGAAAAGTACATACTTACATTCGTTACTGTAAAGTATGGCACCAAAAACGCCTACCAAGATTGGATCAGCCCTCGAAAATTCAGGCAGTATGCCAAAAGGAAGGTGTTTACAGTACAGTGTGAACTTACACTGCACACCGTACTGCGTCTCATAAGGATGTGCTCCTTAACCTTAACTAAAAAGGTCAGTTTGGATGGCGTTGCACTAGGCACTTAAAAAATCCCTAATTCAGATGATACTTATATGCCGTAATTCTGTTTAGCTGCATTCTTTGAACTTTGCTCGCCCATCGGTTTATGGTTGTTCTTTTTGCATGATTGCACCGATGCGGATCGCGAGCTTGATGAGCGCGCAGTACGCAGAATTATAACGGCACATCGTTATCTGCGTACATCACCAAGCCATTTTCTGCGGTATGTAACAGGAAGCTGGACGGCAAATAGCTCACACAAGACAATTAAAGATTTACAAATTACATAATAATTACTATTTAGCTGCAATGAAAAAATACCTGATCACAAGCATAACTCACACCGAAAACGATGCGAGAACCTGACTGTAAACAAGAAGTGTACTAAGAGATCAAAACGTAGTGAGCAGCAGCATTAGCAGGATTCTAGAAATTCTTCATCCACCAAACCATGCCATTTTTCATATTTTGTATCGGGATTGCGCAGCATTTCATACCAGTGTTTCAGCTTCTCACCTTTGGAATTTATGCCCATTTGCACGCCACCTATGCAAGGCACGGAAACAAATCAAAGTTTTGATTCACATGTCCAGTTTTGAAATAAGTGATTTAGTTATTGTTACCAATAAAATCGCTGGTTTTAGCGAAATCTTTATCCCACACGGTAATTTCTAAGGTCTTCTTCAACAGATCGCCCAGTTTGATTGGATAGGTAAACTCCTGAATAATCAAAAGGTCGTGCATAACACACATCGATGCTGAATATTTGTGTTTTCGATGTGTCTTGCCTTTGGTGTAAGGTAATTTGGTGAAAGGTCACAGCAAGGTACGTGTACACCTTTACTATAATAGATACAACTTACCTCATTATATTCCGGATTCAGTGTGTGTTTCTTTACTCCGGTTTTGTTCTTAGTTTTCTTTAGCGGATCGGGTTTTAAGTATCTACAGAAGATCGTTGTATACTTGCCAATTAAATGCCACAAAAAAGTGCAATACAATCAAGTAACGAATTTATAATGATCACCAATCACGATCGACGCAACAATGATTGGTAAAACGTGGAAACTAATGTGCATCCGCTGCCGTCAGCTTTCGGATATGAAAACATCATCAGGACTTCGTTAATTACCAGATCCGTTCTTACATTTTAACGTAAGGATCGCTAAACCCATCCCGATCCATGGCCGGCAGTCCGGCACAACGAACAATTCCCACCACCAGAGCCTGTCGTTTCACCGAATACATCAGCCGAATTAGGATTCTCCCCCGTTCTTCCAGCAGTTCATCCCCCTTATCGGCCACCGGGATTCGTTTCTCCAGTACCACATCGAAATGTTTCCACTCCATGGAAGTGGACATCAGTCGTTTCAGCGGCACCCGGGTTTCCCCGATGAAATCGTGCCCAAACGTATCCTCATCCAATACGGCAAGGCGAAGAATTTTGCGCGCCATATCGTCATCCGTCATACCATAGTACGTCAGTGTTTCGTTGAACACCGGGTTGAGCGTCTTGTTGATCGTGTGCGTTCGTTGTTTGTTGGACTTGCTGGCACCGGGGAGCAAGTGTAGTTTTACGTATGGATCCGACAACCCATTGCGGTCCATGGCTTTTAAATTCTTGAAAGAAATTCAGTTCGACAAATAATTTCGCATGCACTAATTTTTCACAGTCACTTACACGTGCACGAATAATTCTGCACTGGAGTGTACACTGCGTTGCGTTGTACATGAGGTCAAATTCCAAATATCCCAGCGATGCTGCAAAGAGCAGCATCAATTATGCGCTGTTTTGCACGGCACGGGACAATAATCACTAAATTATTTACAAAAGTGGATCATTATCCATGCACTCAGCGCGAAGCCACGCTTTGCGTAAGTGAACATCAAGATTCATTTCACAGAAATCTCGTGTCAAGTGTGCCGTAAAAATTTGCGCCATCATTATATTCGCTTCAAAACATGTTGCTTCGAACTGTTTAAATAGACTGCTGTACTTACTGAGGTCATCTTCCGGAGATTCAACAAAACTGGTAGACTGTTCATCCATATCGATGCCATTCTGAGTGGTTCGGTTGGAAGCATGGCTGGAAGCCGAACTGCTGAAATCGACGCTGCGCTTAGGCTGCTTGAGCGATCGAGTCCGGACGGGCGTGGGCGTGGGAGAAGGCGACGGCTGTGGTGTGATGGGCGTGACCGTGGGAGCCAGGGCGTCCTGACGTCGCTCGGGGGTGGATACTGGCACATTAAACGACTCTCCGCGATTCCGCGGTGGAGACGTGTTCGAGTTCGGAGCGGGTGGTGTGGTGACCGGCCGAGAAAGAGTGGCTACTGGAAATCATACTGTCAGTATTGGAATAACAGCCGTGGTGGCACACGCGCTATTTACCCGTTTCGGTTTTACTTCGCATGCGCATACGAAATGACCCCGATGAGTCCTTCATCCGGAATGAGCCCGAGTCGTGATCACCAAAGGATTTCGACGCATCCGATGTGGTGCTATCGATGCTGCCGCGAGCGGACATTCCCGATTCGCTATCTATTTAAAAGATTTAAAAGTACCAACGTTAATACGGAGTTGGTGTTTTGTATCAGTAGTACCAACCGGTATCGGTCTGATGCCGCCGTCGACTAAACGTTCGATGAATGACCACCGTCTCTTCCTGATCCGTATCCGCTAGGATGTGCGCTGGCTTACCACCCGGCCCGGACATGGCCTGCATGGAAGTGGGCGCGGGTGAGGGCGGTGGTGGACCGGGTGTTTCATCTTTGGAGCGATTGGTCATAAAGGACCACATCATGCTGATGGACGGCCGGCGGGATGCCGCTTCCGACGCGGTCAACAGCGGCGTTTTGGGCGGCGACTGGGTGAGATGCGCAGTGGATGGTGAGCGTGACGGGGAGCTGACCTCAATGGCGGTGGTCACCGTGGGCGAGGGCTTGATCTCGCCGGGACCACTAACCCGTTTGTTGGTATTACCCAGCGTTCCGTTGTCGTTCTTCTCGGGCATGATGTGCTTGGGTATTCCTTTAAAAAACCACGCCCCCGACTTCTTCCACACTTCCCGAGCCTCACTGCATACTTTGCACAACCAGATGGAACGCTTCCGTGTATCCGACGTGTCGACGCCGCACTTTGAGCACACTGCCTGTATACGTGAACAAGAACATTGATCTGTTTTTCCCGACTTTCAATATGGCTAAAGCCAGTGCAACCACGAGCGTGACAAGTAACAATGCATGCTCCACACACCTGACCACAGTCTTTGCATGTCTGCGGTGATCCGCCCAGCACGCGTCCAAACTCACGCCCGCAGAATGCACAGTGCGTGATCCCATTGCCAGCCGTCAGTTTCTTCAAATTATCCAGTCGATCCACCAATTTTCTACAAATTACCACGATGCGGTACACATTTAATCAAAAGCTTACGACCAAATTATTTCTTGAAATCATCTCTATACATTTTTAATAAACCTGTTAATCGACGTTTTGTGTTGTACTAATTTGATAGATTATCGCAAAGGTCACGCGGATATACCCGATGCGCTCTTGTTCCTGCTGTTCCATGGCTTCGGCGCGACGGATTACTGACAAGATTGCCTCCTGCTCCTCATAAGTCAAGGGTGCCGGCACGGATTTCTTGGCAGGCGCTGATGCTTTATTAGAATGTACAGACCATCCCGCCTTTAATCTGTCGTAGCAAAATAAGAGATTATGAACACTGGCGCTAGTCAACAAACTATTTTCACCCAGTCCTGGATGCGTGATTTATTCTCAAGTTTTTTTTTTGCGATATCAACTGCGTTCGAACTATCTCATTAGGTTTTAATTCACACCTTCGCTGTATTCAATAAAATACGGTATTTTTTACAAGAGATCGAGAAACGACAACAAACGTATTATTTACATACGCGGAGTCAGAGGTTGATGTATGCAAATCACTACAACACATATATTCAGCCCATTATCTTTAGAAAAAGGTTAGATTTGCTCGTACTTCCGACTCCAGCAGAAAATCACAAATCGAAACATGACTGTTTTTGCTTAATTCTGAGTACAAAAACGTTTGTTGTGCACAATAAAAGAGTAAGACTGCTGCCGGGAGATTCTAAAATACACCACAAGAAGCAGGACTGTAGCATAAAGTACGAAAAAAGTGACGTCTTCGTGGGATCAGTACCCTTCCCAATTCAATTAGAGTCCATTCAATCTATTCAAGCGCTAATACAAAGAGAACTAGACCGAAACCGCTGCAATCCAGTTGTAAACATTTGTCTCATTTTGCTTCTCTGCTAACTGTACAAGTATGGACTGAGGCCATAATTATGTTCCCAGAAAGTAAACTCTACGGCAAAAGTCACTGTTGTATGTTTCTGCCGACTCCACTGTTGCCTGTAATGCTACCCAGAAAACCGAAAAGTAAAACGCTTCTTAACATTCGGAAATTTTTTAAAATTACGGGCGGAGTTCTTTACATTCAGCCTGTGAAACTAATGCTTATGTCAAAGTTAAAAACGAAATTCATGAAATAGTCCAACAAACTGGGCCGTACCGGCAGGGGTCAGCAACTAATCGTAAGCAGCGGTTTGTATCAAATTTACGAATACAGCTGTAACAAAAATGCGCAAATCAGTGTTGGCAGCTCAGACATTTTACGGGATTAAAAGCATCGTTTCAAAACGTACAGATATAATATGAAGAACGGCAGACGGCAGAGAAGATCAAAAGCTAATATATATTAATTCACATTAAGGAAGCCGTTAGCAAAAAATTCAAGAATTAATCAGTTATCCAAAATAAGTATTAACAACAATAGAATCAGGAATAGAGGGACACGTGAGGTCCTCCTATTTAATATAACTAATCACTGGTGTAATTAATGTTTGCCCATACCTTCCGCGTAAAGCCAGCTGTCGATCATCAGGACACACCCACGCGTCGGGCACATGAGGGGTGACAGTGGGCGACGGAAGTCCACCGGAACCTGGAACCGGTGCGAAACCAGCCATGCCTGTTAGATGCACACCGCGCTAACCCGGCCGAGTGACAGTGTACAGGAGGGCCGCTTATTAGCAGTGAACTAGACCGACTCCTGACACTTCCGATACGTCGGCAGTCCTAACAGCTAAGCGGCGTAATTATGATGGATGGAAGGATGCAAATCTGAAAGCACATTTAAATTCATACATGCGGCGCCGACACACTCCTCCATGCTACGGCAGAAATTGTGCAGTACTCATACCGCACCACACTAAAAAACTTCTTTAGCTGCAGTTAAGATTTAAAGTATTTAATTTCTGAATACGCTTTTCTCCTTTTTTCAGTTAGCGAGATCTCCTGAACCAGGCAAGAAAATATTTCTCATAAAATTGTCACGACACTGAGTTAATGACCTATCGTGTGCTTAACCTTTATAACAGCGCCTAAGTCAATTCAATACATAGCAGGAACAACAATAAATAATATAGTCGACGTCGCCGATTCAGATCATGAAAAATGTTTCAAAACTACAAAATGTGGTACGCATATGCATGTATCAGTGCATCCAGGCACCTTCTAAAACAACAGGTAATCCGGCTGTCTTATTTTCTAAATTAAGCTGCAAAAGCAACGCCGCATACAAGCCCAACATATGTTTTTACGGCCGAGTAAACAGCGCAAAATTTATGAGATTTCCGCTGTATAATTTAGTAGAGCGACATTTTCCGACTGGGACTTGGGACTATGGATGTGCGGCAGCGCGGCAGGGAGTGGGAGAGAAAGCGAAATGACAGTTTTACGCACGGATCAAGCTGGTCTCAAAAGGCACCTAATGATCAGCCACAGCCCTAACGAATTTACAACTTGTTCTAAGCTCTGGGCATAAAAAATCCCAATAAACCCATCAGTTGACTCCACACTCTGCCGGCTGTGAACGATTTACACCAGAATTGTTCAAGACCCATGCGCACAGGATTCTGTTTCTACAATTAAGGAAGGAAAACAAAGTAATTATAATGAGCTACCAAGGAATACCGGTAAAATCGACCGACATTGTTAGTAATCAACAAATAAGCGACGTAGCGCTTCCGCAATATGGCAGCGCACGCGTTGTAATACTGGCCTTCCTAAATCTCTCCGCAGGTTTACTGTTGCGTGATTATAACATTTCATGGATTTCACTGAAGCATGCTATGTCTAATCAAAGCTGATGTACAATGTTTGTAGTAATCATGAAATGATACTGACGCAATGTAAGCGTTTTTGGCACATAAGTTTAAATCAACGGAACGGGATAAGTTCATGTTCACTCGTCTGTATACACAGTGTAAAGTGGATATTTTCAAATTTTACGGCATTCAAATCTTATGATGCGAGAAAGTTAAAACGCTAATCCCTCTTCATTTTCCCGAATTTACGAGATCAAGCGGAAAAAATCCCATTTGACCCTGTTGCTAACTCTTCATATGCCTATATACAATGTGACTGTTGTCGCTTGCCGGCTGCCTCTGGTTGCCGACGATGAGGCAATCAGGGATTTGTTGTCCCTGACGCAAGTCATTCAGACGAATGTGAATATCCTGACGAAGGCAGAACACACCGATTATTATCAAAAATGTATAATACTATTAATTGAGGCATTGTAGTCTGCATTTTCCCTTCCTTACTTTTGGAAGATTCCGCTCCAAAATTTGTTTAGAACCTGTTTTCATGGAAGAATACAGTGGAGGAAAAACCTTTCCAGGGAAATCTCTAATGAGGGAGAAACGTGAGATTAATGTACCCTAGCCAGCAATTCTCACTCCCTTGAAAGTAGCGCGTTGGAAGGCGAAAAAGCGCATTAATGGTACTGGTGCGGATATAAAAAGATCTTAATCATAATGTGTCCAGCGCCACTAATCGTGCACCCATGTCAGTACATTAACGTCAAGGAATTAGCATGTGTACTTATATTCTCTGGCCTATCATGGGGGCAGCGATAAATACGGGAGCGGTATCAAAATCCAACTATATATTCTTGTATGCATGCGTTAAAATCGGGGAAAGGATATATACTGCGTGAACACCACCAACGCTCAACGTTTATAACCATTAACCACAATGCCGAAACATTAGCGCCAAGGCCCATACATACACTACAGCAGGCGACACATACCGGACCGGAAATCAATCGATCCGCTTTACTGTTTCCCGTCAGACTTCATTTTCAGTACACTGTTGCAGAGCCCACAGTGCCGTCGTCGTTATCGCGATCGCAGGGCATTGTAGTTAAATTACGTGGGAAAAAAACGAATGCCATCCGTCGACATGAGCTGAATTATCGTCAGCTGATGCATCATTCCCCTCACTTTGATAAACATTGGCCCTCAGGATTATTTTATTACTCCAAGGCCCAAACAAACACGACGCCTAACTGTTTTTGCACTTATCCTGCCGGTCACGGGCTCATCAATCCGGCAATGCTGAAATTTTCACTCAATGTTTGCTAATCAGCCAATAAATCATTGTATGGCTTAACTGCTGATTATAGCGATATCGTAGCACAATACGAGTATACGACAAAAATCGATGTCCCATATGATGAAATTTTATTCAAAAAGGAATTATTTCGAAAAACATTACAATACATAATATCGTTAACCAATGTGACCCAACATGAAAATATAGTCAGAGTTTAATATCAATGTGTAGCAGGACGTTTGCAAAAGGAATACATTAGACGTTAAAAGGAATACATTAGACAGCAGGATGTTAAGGGAAAAGTTTTTCGCAGTATCGGTACGACGGTAGGCATAACTTACATCAGTAGGAGAAGTAAAATATAGATATTACTTAACATAATGTATATCCCTCGATAGCATTTAACAAATTTCATACGCCGGACTTTCGGACTTAACGTGTATTTCGTATAAAAGTATTCATAAAATCGAACTACTGAAACCGTACGTATGTTTCCCAAGAGGAAGTTTTCTAGTAGCGCACAGGCGGTACATCAAAACTCTAGCAATACGACGAAATGCGCTGTTCCATTCGCTGGTCAAACACGGACATTACGTTCCATGTGCTGAAAGTGACCATCCGCTGCGAATGTCATATGATTAATATACGAAGGAACAAAATGTTTTCTCGATGGGATTCAATGGAGCACAACAGAAAGTAGCACTTGAAAATGTAAATTGACCCTTTCAGCATGTAGTAATACATTACACGATCATGATCACATAAAGCACTTACGTTCCTTGAGCCAGAACTCATGACACAGATAGGCAGCATACAGGACGGACGTCAAAATAAAGCAGCATTCATCCAGTGTACACGATGGTGGATTGATAAGAAAATATAAGCAATCCAATCTGTTATGTTATTATGGTGAGAAAATCAAGGTTGGCGTACACACATAACGCTCGGTACACACAGGGAAGCGAATGGGAAGCATATTGATCCTCGACAAATGCCGTGCAAAACCAGCCGACGGAGGGATCGGAGTAGAATGGGAATTTTGTTCATCATCACAGTACACAACACTGTGACACCAGTGACATGCACGATAAACGTTCCAGCGGCTGTTGCTAGTCCCGATAGTTGGTTTTGGTGCAGTACGAATGTAATGCGGTAATGTTGTACACATGAACAGGTATCATGGGATTAGTGCCGCTGCATGCACGAAGGCCTTGGGAAAAAATAAATGGGAGACACCACCAGCCTCTCTCGCGCTAACACAGAGAGATCGCGGCGCCGTCGGGGAGGGATTGGGCAGAATCATAGAAACAGGAATCATCCCCGCAGACAGCAACCAGCGGTCCTGTTGCTTCTCGCTATAGTGCACTCGAGCGCAGAGGCGTAGCGAGACCGCGCGTGGTAGTGTGGTATGCCAATCGCAAAAACCATGTACAGCCTGCGCAGCCACCCGGTGCATGACTAGGCCGCTAGGGTTAGACAGCTTGTTGTTGATGTAAGTACCTGGCCCAGTTCCACTTCCGTGCGCTACGCCTTCTGTACGATGTACGACTCTGCCAGGCATCTTAGGCCTTGTCCCGAATTCAAAGCGAATCTCGCTATGGTACGGTTGCTCAACCGCACGAGGTGGCTGTATGCAGTGGCCACGCCTACAGATACGGTACGCGAAGCCACCTCGCGAGGTGGAGTTGCTGTATCGCAACGAGATTCGCTTTGAATTCGGGACGAGGCCTTATACTTATCCTGGACTTATTACCTTAAATAGAATTCTATTGTAGTACCTTTGCTAATGCGTATAATAGCACAGTTAAGACATACTAATATAGATATAATAGATTCTATACAAACGTATTTTGCGTGGTAGTGTTAGTGAGCACCTGGGAATGATTATGTCTGTAATCTTTTAAGAACCTGTGCTTCGTTTTAATGAATATTCGTACTCAAACCATTAGCGAATCTGGAGCTAACCAGTAAATCAAAGTGTAATATCTCATATGTATATATATATTATGTACGTAAGCCTCCATACTACCGTGTCCATACTACATAATACTGAATACAGCATATCGTAATAATTTGAAATCGAAGCTGTTATAGTTTTTCGGAGTAAAAACTGTGTGATCGAAGTCGCTTTTACAGTTTTACTCATACTGTAGTAGTACAGCACGAGTGGAAGTATAACGGTAGAACACGCATTAATTTAATTTATCATAAAATATTGCAAACTTTTAACTATCTATCAGTCAACATAACCAGATTACCTAGCGTATATATATCGGGTTACATGTGACGTTAAGAAATACCATGCATCGTACAATACATAAGCAAATTTTTGCAAGCGAATTTCTTCGGCCGAAAAGGCTTGCAAATTTATATATATCAACCTTTATTGAGTTCCGTTTGCTGTTATGCGGCAAAAAACCCCTATTACAAATTAGGGGAAAAGGCACGCATAACCTATAGTGCAGTGCCGGCCTACTGCAGCAGACGTACAATACATACGACACACAGTGCCACACACCTAACTACGTCCATTAAATTCAGTCCTTTTATGAAAACTGTGACTGAAACTGAAAAGTGAACTACCACCATTTTTAAATAATTATTGTGCGAATGATATATAACAAGCTACATGGCACGCTAACACATAACAAGCTACTTATTACACTGCGTCATAAACAGAACTATTCTGCAAAAGTAAAACGAAATATTAATGGCTTTATCTAACCCGTAAGATTCAGGTTAGACCTATATAAGCTAAAATGCCGTTTTTTTAAAATGCTATTTTAAATGCCGCATACAATGACATTTTATCGATCAAATCATCAACCGGTTTCAGATTTCAATTTGCCCGACGACAGTTGAACAATGTCGTTTTCACTGGCGATTTTTGAACTTAAATATTAAGTATGTGCTCGATTTCTGTTTGTGTTTACTGCGTAGCGCGTCATACTGCCGGCATCGTTGTGCTGATTGCGAGCAGCTTGTGTGCAACACCGTCACTGTGTATGCAAATTCAAGTCTGAAAAATTGTAATTTACCGCTACGCCAGCATATTGTAATTGAATAATCAATTTTTCGGTCCACTGTGTAACGATCTACCCTAGTATTTACAGTCGTCGTAAGAGCGAGAATCATGTGTACAAATGAACAACCAGATCCAGAAAAATCAGTCATCTCCGGCCGAAACACTTGGTGCCCGGGAACACGACGCGTAATTGCTTCCCTAACACCTGGACGTAAGTGCACACTTGGTACGGCAACCGGGACATGGGACCATGTGGCAGCGCCGCCGACGTATTCTTGCTTACAAGCGAATCAAAGAGATCGCATTGCACCCCTTGTATCACAAAGGAATCGTGCTGAATATGCCATTACGTATGCAAGGACTCACATCAGTCACATGCGATGTTCAAAACAATTATGACAGAAAATGTAATCAATTTTATTCGAAAATTACCGCAGCGCTTTAATATTTTGTTTTAAAAATCCAAGCTTCAAAAACAAAATATTCCCAGCGATTTTTGCACTCGGTCACCGAAACTAACCAATACAGTATAATAAGTTTTGTATTTGTTACTGTACTAAACCTTAAGCAATATTATAACACTAATAACCCTGTAGCTTCTTCACGCTTTACTGTTGTTTCTTCATGAGTGATTCAATTTCAGCGCAACTGCGAATGCACCTTCGGGCCTTTTCCAAATCAGCTGCACCGATGCTTTCTGTAAAAAGGGAGAAAAAAACTGGAATGCCAATTTTTCAAGAATGAAAATAAGCCTGCTACCTTATTCGGAATACAAGAGCGACACGATGTAATTTAAAACGAATGAACCATTGAAAGCAAATCTCAGCATTTTTCGAAAGAAAGTCAGATTTGTAATTTTCCATAAATATACCAACCTGCATGAATAGCGTCTACAGCCCACCCCTCCAGCTGATCGGACAACTGGATTTCTTCATCCAGTTCAGCCAAGATCATGTCTAAAGCCGCATTTCCGGCGCGCAGCGTCAACAGATTCTCGTAATTATCAACCAGTTGAGCCATCTCGTTCACCACTAATTCGGCTTTCCAGTTATCCGGTACAGAATCGTCGTCGAGGAGACAATCAGGCGATAATAAATGGAGATCAGAAACCGCTCTCTATTTCCACAAAACAAACCTGGTTATAACAGTTTACAATGTTACAAATTCAAAAACAAAAAAATAAGCAACTTTCAAGCCATTCGGGATCCAAAGACTGCTGTTTACCTGTAAATATGATCGTATCAGTACTTTCAATTCTTTCGAATGCTTTAACTGCATTCCATAAGGGAAACCGGAAATGCATATATATGTCTGACTCTGGAGTCTTTTGCAAATACATTCCAGCAACTGAAGTACTAATTCTGCTGCACTTAACTATGAAAATAAATGTTTAGCAGCAACTATCAGTAAGTGGTAGCATCAAATTAATTAATTCAAGGCTGACCAGTCAAGGTAAATGGGCAAACGGAAGCCGCACCTGAAATCGCTCGGAGGCGACTGCCACCGAAAGGTTCCACTGAGCCAGAACTTCGTCAGCCATTTGACGAAGTGGGTCTTCCTGGACATGACGGTTTTTATCCAGTTCTCTGAAGAAGGATTTCATGCTGGCAAAAATACAAGCAGATGCCTTCCTCTCCACTAAAACACGACGATTATTCATTAGAAACCGATGCAACAAAAAAAGCAAAAAGCGGACAATCTTCAATATCAGTACTATGTAACAACAATACAATCTTCGTTATTTCATACAGTTGTTATATTGATTGCTGATGGCTGGTTAACAGCCAAATAATTACCATTCTTCCTTGGAACGTAAAATGAAAGTAAACAATGCACGTGTCCACCACAATGCGCTGTAGCTTACGATTTCGATACTCTTCCTGGTTGGCGAATGTTTTTGGATCGAAGTGGTTCAAGAAATATTGTGGTTCGTCAATCTTGCCGTTTGAACGCTCCGCATGCGGGAGGTCTTTCGCTGAATATACCATAAAGTTCTCTTTTTCCATTGTTTCTGGGAAAGGACGAAGCGCCTCAGAAGATAAAATCACAAAGCAGAACGATTGACAAAAGACACGGTTTACACGGTAACAGCAAGATTATGGTAACAGCGAAGACTATGCTGCAGACTGCAGTATCAGTTTTCAGTATTAAACGACTGCAAAATATGAAAGAATCGCATCAAGCCGTAATGTGATCATTTCAAAACTGTTTCTAAAGCTTCTTAAGATAGGTAAGTATGTCCTCAGTCCTCACGAATATAAAATGTGTATAAAGTATAACGTGTAAAAACTAGAACTAAAAGCTCATTGTTTGAAAACATAAACAAACCAATATAACTGATTTTGGGTATGTACCTGCATAAAAGATGGGAAGACTCACCGCCGCGTCAGTAGCAGAGATAAGGCCGCATGGGGCACAAAGTCTGGGGACTTTGTGCCCCATGTATTTTTTGTACCGTGCTTTATTAGTGTGTGATGTGTGTGATCAGTGATCACTGATCACCCACCAGTGGCACATATGCCAGAGCTCCTGTTTATAAGAACGTATATAGCTAACAATAAAGCCTAAAGTTTTTAAACATCTTGATCTGGGAATAGAAAATTACAGAATCTTGTTTCCCTTTAAATAGCTCCAGGGGCACATTAGTCTCTTTATTATAGATCTTACCAAAATGGATGAGGGATACGAGAGATTCGAAGTAACCGCGGATGATCTGGAGGACGCCTTCGATCCAACATCTCGCAAACGACGAAAATTCACCAAGAACGACGCTATATATGGCAAGAATCTCACGTTACGCTTTTATTTATCAGCTGTCTTGAGATTTACGAATTCTAACGACAGAAGAATATCTTTTGTCCAGGGATGTGGGCTGATCACGACAGCGATGAGGAAGATGATCGATCAGGACGCAGAAAGAAGGACTACGCTTCCATGCCAATGAGTTTCGTCAGTGGTGGTGTCGCTCAGAGCGAGGCAGAGAAAAAACGCAAAACTGATCGTGAACGTGGTGAGGATGATACTACTGACTTAAGTACTCGCATTTCCTCCAAATCCAAGGTAGGGCGGCATAAAGTTAGAAGGAAACCAGATGTAGCGTTTGACTGTTGAAAATTGGAGTTTAGCGTTTACTGCGAGTACAGACAGCTTGCAATTGATAAAAGTCGAATTAGCCAGTAGTAGATTTGATATAAAACTCGAAAGATAGTGCCAGTATTAAGCGGATTTTTAGTATGATATGCTGGAACCTCCCGAACTATGATTCTGAGATTCCACGTGTTTGTCGTATTCGTGTCTCATGGGTGTATGTATTTGAAATTACTGAAGGCTTCAGACTTTAGTCTGGTTGTAGCCGTGTTTTGCTTCTTCTGTAGCGAACTCAGAAACACTGTGTGACTTGAGTAGCTTAATACTGCAGTGTCTAGCTCGAGTAATCAGTACGTGTTATTAGAAAGGAATCAAGACAAGGCATCAGCAATACTATTTTCTTCAGTGTTCAGATATTGAACATTTTGTTGTTCAAGTATCGAAAGTAAATATTTTGTATTTTACATTTATGAATATGTGAAATGTTACACCTTTGCTTTCTAAGTCTGCGTTTCCGTAGCTAACGCTATAGCTGCGTACTATAATGTCCAAACAAACGCAGCTTTTATTAGAAATTTGTGTTACTTTGCTGCCTTACCTTACCGTGTTAAAATTCTAGGGATCTTCGAGAACTTCTCACCATGGATCAAAAGCACAGACCTTTGCTGGATTGGGCAAACCGGTCGATAAAGAGTTTGGTAGTTGGGAGCAGCATACAACGGGAATTGGGCAGAAACTTCTCCGAAAGATGGGGTGAGAACCGCATCTGCGAAGTGCGAACGTGCAGCACTCGGTTGGTCAGGTAACGTTTCTGGTATTTGCTACAGATACAAACCCGGCCAAGGTTTGGGCAAGGAAGGAACTGGTATTGCTACGCCGATTGTGGCTACCGTACGGAAAGGAAAAGGAGCCATCGGCGCTCACGGTTCCGAAGGAGTTCGTGATCCTCGAGAGAATGACGAGGTTGCAGTACTGGCGCAGCAGAAAACAGTTATCCGTCATAAAAAGCAGTGGCGAAAAAAGGATGGAGAACAGATGACGGCTTATGATTACAAGACTGTCGATGAGGTTCTGCAGGAGAAGGATTCGCGTCAGGCTGGTGGTTGGGATGCTTCTGAGTTGAGTAAAGTTAAGGTTATTGATATGACCGGAAAGGAAACCAAGGTTTTGTCAGGTGGGTATACTGACTTATTGGTAGAACTATTGTATAATACCAATAACAGACTGCAGTAAGCCAAACTGCTTTTAATGAAGTGATCATATCGGGCCACTAGCAGAAATCCTGGTTAAGTTTGCTAAATTTAAGCTTCATCCGTTGCATTTTTGAGAATAGAGATAGCCGTATTATTTCATTCCTGGTACTATACGTACAGTCTGTTTACTATGGATTTTGTATGGATTAGTTTCTTTCAGGTTATCATGCCATTCACACGCAGAGAGGTTTCGAAGACGCGGATAGCGAGCGGATATTTGATGTGGCTGAGTTGAGACATAATTTGGATTTGCTGATTGATATGAGCGAAGCGAGGATTATCGAATGCACGAAAAAGCTGGATTACGAAAAGAACTTATTAGTCACTTTGAAAGATGAAGAGAAAGGCTCAAAAGAAGCACTGGATAAGGATGATGTGCTGGTTGACCGGCTAAATGCCATTAACGACCGTGTAGAGAGGTACCGCTTCATAAATATGTGTTATTCAAGGTTATTTTTGTAGCTGTTCTGGTATTTACAGAGAATAAAATGAATGATATGTTTTTTAATAAATTTACTATTAATTAACTGTTAAAAAATTTGTTATATTTATTACTGCACAAAACTAGTTGTTCTAATGTTTTAGAGCTATCACGAAACAAAATGAATTGTCCTTGGATGAATGTCTGGATCTTTTCAATGATCTGTTTGACAATTATAATGAACAGTATCGCTATTACGAAATGGACCTGTTGGCTGGATCCACAGTGATACCAATAGTAAGTGACTGAATTCCTTTATTAAAATAATTAATTTTAAAAGCGATTCTTACTGCATTTATACTAGGAAAGATTGCTAATTTTAGCTGGTATGGTAAATTATTTTTGCAGATGCAGCGGTTTTTCGCGGGTTGGAACCCGCTAGTTGATCCGAATTTTGGCTGGGGAGAGCTACAGGAGTGGAAGCGATTGTTGGAGCCACCGCAGCGATCTTTTGAAGCTTCAAGAAATGTAGTCAATTCGTATCACAACATTCTTTGGGAGGTTTGGATGCCATTTGTTCGAACAGCGATACTGTAAGCCATCTGTTACATTAATTATTATAAATAATTGTAAGTAGCAAATACCTATATATGTTCGTATGTTACAGAAACTGGTCTCCTCGAAGTTCTCCCGAAGTGAACCCGATCATTGAATTGATCCATACATGGAACTCCACATTACCGCAGTGGATGCTGGATAATATCGTGGAGCAGCAGGTTCTGCCTCGACTCGTCACCGAAATGGAAGAGTGGGATCCGACTATGGATCCGATGCCGGTGCATCACTGGATACACCCCTGGTTGCCATACCTCGACAAGCGCTTAGAAGTCGTTTATTCCATTCTGCGCCAAAAGCTGGGTATTGCCTTGACACGGTGGCATCCCAGCGATATGTCTGCCAAACTAATGCTACAGCCGTGGATACCGCTTTTTTCTAAAGCGACAATGGATCAATTTCTGATAAGGAATATCTTACCTAAACTGCAGGTTGGAATTTATGCTGTCGAATTGCTTTTATTTTGATTTTGGAATTGTTTTTTTATTTTTGTCCGTATGTGTTTCTGTCAGTTTCTATCTGACTATGTATCTCTTGTAGGAACTGATGCAGACCTTTCAAGTGAATCCGAAACAACAAGAACTCCGTCCCTTAGATTACATTTTTGAATGGTTGGATCTAATGCCACTGAATTCGATGGTAATGCTATTCGAGAAGTACCTATTTCCTCAATGGTTCGACATTCTGTACCGATGGTTGAATATGGATCCTAATTTACAAGAAGTATCCCAGTGGTACCTTGAATGGAAGAAACTCTTCCCAGAAGCCCTCCGTAACCATCCTAACATGCAAAAACAATGGAATGCCGCACTGATGGCTATGAACCAAGCCGCAACTGGCGAAGAAATCACAGTACAAATAGTTGATGCGCAGTTACCGTCCGCGCCTGCGCCGCCACCTTCTCCTCCGGCCAAAGAAGAGAGTGTCAGAGTTGGCTTTGCTAAGACGTTCCGGGATCTCGTAGAAGAAAAGGCTAATGAACGAGGTATACTATTTGTCCGGAACTTCAACCGCAACTATCAGGGAAAACCGGTCTTTCAATTCGGAAAACGAAACGTCTATATCGATAGAAATGTCATTTTTGTACAGGCTGGGACCGCTTGGGCGCCGATTGCGCTGGAAACATTGCTCCAGCAGGAGTGATTTTGTTTTATCTGGTGTGGTTTTTTCGTAATCTTGAATTGCTTTGCGAATGTCGTTTACCACGGCTCTATGTTGTTTAGCTACGCGCGCATTATGTTGCTTATGCATAGAAAGTGGATATAACTGATACATAATAATGATACATAATACTAGTACAGCTGGAAACTTACTGTACGTTATGCACTCTCTATTATTTACTCTTTGAATACTCGAAAGTCAAAAGTTCAAAACCGATACAGAAAAATAAACGATTGCACAGGAAATCGATACATACAACAAAAAAAAGATCAAAAGGGATTCAAGGTATATACAAACACATAACATGAAACTAGAGATACAACCAAAACAAGGGAGTAAAATTACATCCGCATTGCAGCAAAACAGAAAGCACCATATCAAAATTAAAACAGTCAAATAGCTATAACTCAACACAGTCGTCAATAACTTTGCTATCATGCAGGAGGCACTAATGTCATTGGCGAGGGAAAGTCTGCACTTCCTGGAACACCATTTCTGCAAAAAGCGCAGCAGTTGAATTTCGCACCGCAATTATACGATACACAACGGTAGTGCGTCTTGCAGGCAACCACACGTACCACGCCATTGATCAATGGTAAGCTCCAGATCTTCGAAGGCCTGATCATACGGTTCCTCGCAGATCGGTTCATCGCCGGGGTCATGGTAATCATGCAAATACTCGTGAGCCAGAGCATCTTCGGCTGTGACGCGATTGTCCGGATCCAGTTCCAACATCCGCCTCAGCAAATCAACAGCTGCAAAAACCAATGCGAATTATAGTAGCGCTGTCTTAACAGCAACGAAAACCAACGCATACATACCAGCCTCACTTGCTTTAGGAAATTCGCGATGAAAATCTCGAGGAGCTTTTCGGGGCAAAGAACATATATAGCTGCGAGCCTGCAGATGAACAAGACCAAAACGCACAATGAGCACAAGTAACAACAAATTTGGCACTTCAGTGAAATAAATTAACATCCGGAATCAGCCGCAAGTAACGGAGATGCAGAAATTAACACTGCATACTGTAATTCCAGACCAAGCCATTACTATCGCTTACATCCTCGCTTTCAATCTTGTCCAAAAAATGCTGGCTTGGAGTGCCGACCAAATCCAAAATCAAATTCAGCTGGCTGATATCTGCAACAGATTGTGCTTCTGCAACTCTTTCAACTTGTGCAATCACAGAATATCAACATACTGCCGAAATGCCAATCAAAAATACTACTTACGATCCGTGCCCGGAAATAATGGCCGTCCACTAATAAGCTCTGCCATTATACAGCCAACAGACCAGATGTCCACTACAACGAAACGCATTTACATCAAACTTTTGATAAACTAACGCATACATGATTTGGAACACCGCTCTGACAGAGTAAACTGACACAAATGCAATCATCACAAACGTCAAAAACAATCCAAAAAAATGAATGTGACAAATAAGTACAATAACGTACCAGTTTGTGTATAATGCATCCAATTCAGCATGATTTCAGGGGCGCGGTACCTATGAGCATAACTTGCATTATAACCGAGTATCTCTTTTCCATAACAAACCCATTGACGCACCATCGAGTGGCAACGTATCCTAAAATTAAAAACACCAGATAAAAAACAGCAGAAGTTCAAAATCTTCATTTCAATTTGCAGTTGTCAGTGAATTGGTGACTAGTGGTGTTTTATCCCCACCTTCGTTATTATTGTTAGTGTTAACCCAAATACGATGCTCGCGCCTATTTGCGATTATCATAATCGATGGCCACAGTTAATTTTTACCGGTCATTTCATCTTGTGCTTGCCGAGCCAGGCCGAAATCCAAGATGCGCAGTTCGCAGTCTTCATTAACGGCAATATTACCCGGCTTCAAATCCTAAACAGATCACTCAAAGTCAGCTGTAATCCACTTGAAGGGATTAAATACTGCAGTTCTGCACCACACAGCGAAGAGGAGCGGCTACACAGCACGCGGTATCTTACCCGGTGAATCACTCCAGCGGAATGAATATACTATGACATCAAACGTTTGTTAGTGTATGCCAAAAAACAATAATCAGCATCCGCCATCAACTCACCTTCAGTCCACGCAGAATCTGATAAATCAGAAACTGCACATGGCTGTCGCTCAAGATCTGCGTTTTCACTATGGACGACAAATCAGCGCCCATCAAGTGCGTAACCTGCAACAATCAAACCAAACCATAACTGAAAATGAATAATTCATCAAAGAGAGTATGCAAAGAAACCTGCAACGGATTTTAGTTCTAATTGTATTGTATCAGTAACTCACAAAATAAACTTCCTTCAGCTCTTGAGGACTAAACTGTGGCGTAAAAACATCCAACAAACCAATAACCTTTAGGAGAAAAATGCCAGACAGTTAAAAGGCAGGCGCACTGAGCACGAGCTGATGCAAATCTGCATACGTTTTCATGCTTCATGTGCTGCAGCAGACGCAATTCACGGTACGTTCTCTTGGCATGGATTACGGTCTGGAAAGGACGAGCCAGCTTCTTAATGGCCACTTTTTGTTTGGTTATTTTGTCATATGCTGACCTGCAAAAACACTTGCTTCCGAACATCGTAGGAAAAAGGGATACGAAATCTTCGACGACACCAAATGTCGCAATTTTCTTGCTCTAACAGTCAAATTTATTCAAGTGTTTACCATTATATTCTAGAGTATCTACCTACGACATGCAGATGTACCTTGTAAATCCTTCCAGCAACCTATTCATTATTCGAACAGGAGCAGAAAAGCAGTACAAGGCAGCTGAAGACACTTTGTAAAATTTACAGTTAGAATTAACATAACCTAGATTAGGGAAATGACGTCATATCGCCATTAAAAATGGATCGACTTGTCACTTACGCTACATTGCCGTACGCGCCGCTGCCGATCGCTTCCAGACCTTCGTAGCGTTCAGGCACTTCCCATGTTGTACGATGCAGCTCCTTTGTAACAAATTTCACATGCGCCACTTCGTGGTCCACTTCCATAGTGGATGCCTTATCACCGGATCGCAAACGCACCGCAAACCAGTTTCGAATTCTACTGAAAAAACCCATCTTGTACAGGATAGCAGCCTGACAGCAAACAAAAAACGAAACAAATGGCGTATTAGCCATTTGCTAAACAGTATTACGGAAAAAAAGGTAATTACATTTCCGGAACAATACAATAATGATAAGCAATAGTGACGCCAACCCAGAAAAACGGCAGACAACACGACGGCCTCAGCGCAGCCATCAATAATAAATCTGCACTCACATCTGGTCTGATCTTTTATACGGGAGTTTGGCAAGATGTGGGCTCACTGGGCTGCTGTGTGATGTGCAGTCTGCACCAGTCAATGCGCCACAACCAAAACTGGGATCACAGCCAACACAGAGATCACAGATTTAACACAGTAGACTCCAATAAATTAAACAGGAGAACAATTAGAAGCAGCTTCTCTAGTGAACAAACAAAACATGAACAATTTCTCAACAAAATGCAAATGCCAGGTTTAGCAGTGCATGCAAAATAAGGTTCTGAAACTGCAGAAAGCAAAGGGTCCAAGAAGGTGAACTTGAAACCTTCAGAATGGTGTTGTCTAGTCAAAGAAGGCGTCTGCTTCGAAAGGCTGCAGCGCTCAATGATGGTTGCCTCTACTACTTACAACTTTGCATACTGACTGCACCCCTGATTGCACATACGCACATTTCCGGCTCCAAAAATCCGCATTCGTTCCACTCCAAAACTTTTATCTTTTATAGAATTTTTATATTTTTTTTACTGTACGCTAAGCAATTTATTACGCTGTGTGTTACTAAAAGTGAGAAACGAAACAGGTGTTTTGATTCGGTGTTTTATACAACTTATAAGCATTTGTCGTATCATGCTGTACACCGAGCACATCTTACATCCTTCAGGACAGTTCGTACAACTTGGATAACTTATCATTACTTATGGTTAGCAAACAGGCTTGCATGCTGTGGCTACGAATAAGTAATAACAGTAAGCAAAACTTACTCTGGATACATTTTCCGCGGAGAGATAGATCTTGTCGATATCGCTTACGGAATGAAGCGCAGCGGTGCAGTTAACAGTCCATGTGTCCTTGCTGTCGGTTTTCTGCTCTGGACTGCGGTTGCGGAGTTTTGCTATGGAAGCACGGAGTCATCAACAGCGGCAGGTAAACAATGGATATTCAGTAATATATCGTATTTGTTGTGTCCTCGAAGCGCCACAGTATTGACGCTCGTTCGGTTATTTTTAGCCAAATCTGTAGGAAATGATGTGATTAGAATGCGGATTATATCCGATCCAGTTTCCTTAGCACATGGCGCAGTAACGAGGCACGACGAAACGGAAGATGCTGATGACGAAACGGAAGCGGCGCTGGATTCAGCGAATGACAGCCTGGTCATGCCAGCTGCTTTCACTGGACCAGATCATTTTCGCCTGTACGACGGACGATGTTACACTTTGGAAAAATCCAAGTGTGTACTGCAGCGGTGTATTCAGTATTCCTACAGAGTCGGTTTTCGGTTTACATAACCCTAGAAATACTTCTATGGAGAATACGTATGGCTCTGTGCATGTTTTTTTCAAATTGCATACTATATGACAATTATGAGTTCGGAAATATTAAGTTTCATAAATCACAGATCTAAATAAATCAGTGCGATGAGTGTGATCGATATATTGGTAGATTCTTTTGAACCTTTTGTTTTGTCCGCGAGAAAATTTAAAATTGTTTTTTAATATATTTTGCGTTTTTCCAGTTTTGAATACAAAATCTGTCCGTTTCAAAATATCACTCAAAGAGAGACATCATACGCTGTCGGACGGAAGCGGGCGACCAGGATCATTGGGTCTGTCTATCACTATCTTCGTTGCGATCTTTTTATAAATTCTGGGCTATATTTTGCGCTCTTATCATAATAGCATTTGGTACGACTGGATCATCGAAGAAGGGAATTTCGCCGGCTGGAATATGCAGAACGGAGAAATGTGCGGAAATAAGCCGCGATCTGCAAAAGTGCGTACAGTTGAGTTCTGTGGGAAAGATTCTCGTAATTCTTATGATACAGCACTAATATTTTGAAGACCGTTCGCTTTTCGGTCCGATTATTTTGGTGAGACGCAATGTTGAGTAGTATGCATTTGAATTGTTTTGGGTGATGTTGAATAATCTTTTTCTTGTAGGTAGAGTTCGCATGCAACGACGACGCGGGATTATGGGATGTAACTGAACCGCACCAGTGCGCATACCATGCCGTATTTAAACTTCCCCAGGCTTGCTCTCCTGACGCTCTTTTGATCTATCCTATGCTATCCGATGAATTACAAATAAAATGGGATATTTTTGAAACTCAACGGCTGGAAGGGGACCTTACCGAAAAGGTAATGTATCCGTTTGATACAATGTTATCTGGGCTGAATTGTGAATTTATTTGTAGGGTTTCAATTTGCGGTTGATGAACTTAATGAGGCTTGCTGGATTTGTGCAAAATGTAACGGAAACGCCTGTTGCACTTGTTACTGGGGTTACTCCTGAATTGACACAATCGGCAACCGGCGCACCTATGATCCAACCAGAGGTCAGCCCAGGTAATCAGATTGTGTCCCGACGTGTCTTCGGCAGTTTGGAACAATGCCAGAAGGTAACTGGCGTTAAGTTCGTAACACTGGATATGCTGCGGTATTCTTGCGTTGTTATACACAGTTCGAGTGGTTTTGTCGTTACTTTCTACTTTCTCGTGTATTAATACGGGGAACGATCGGTGAATTGACAGTTTTATGAATGAAATGTTTTCCGCAGGAATATGATATCTTGGCGAAACGCCATGAAGGAGAAATGAGGAGAAGTGAAAACGAAATATGAACACCCCGTGGCCATAGTCATATGACTGTGTGGATTCTGCTTTTATTCCATAAGCCGGCCGAGCACACTTCTGCAGTTATTTGGATAGTTTGTGATAGGCTTTTCTGTGATGATCTGATCAGCATTTCATGATGTTAGAAAGTTTAGCAGTTAAAGTTTTGAAATAGTTTGTTAAACAAAAGTTTCATATGCCCTGATGCTTGCTGCTCGTATTATGCTTGCGCATTCTCTTATTGAACTTACGATTAAGTAATCCTGTGGCTGCATCTGTGAACATTTGTCAGAAGTAAAAACCTTGCAAGGGATCGTCTGCCTCACTGCTGATTACTGACATTTGATGACTGTAGACTCTGAGTATAGAGAAGCTCAAGAAGTCTTATGAAACAATTTCCGAACAGAAAGTGGCAATTAAAACGGCACACATCCCTCGTAAAGCGTAATTACGAACAAATTCGGATGTTTTTATTCTACCCAGTTACACCGTTCCACCTTCAACACATTCGGTTCAGGTATACGAGCAATCAAACAATATCCATTATGGTATATTTTATTTGATAACAATATGATATCTGTCAGACTTTCATTTCTAATTCATCTTCCAGGTCTTTCAGAGCCTTCTTGTATCCTGCTTCCAAAGCAGACATGTCGTCAGCTTTCACATCCAGCTGTTTCGGAAACGTTTTCTTCAGCGCCTTCACTAACCCATTGAATTCTTTCTTCTCATTGGGCTTTAGAAGCGTTAGCGTTGTTCCATGTCGTCCGGCCCGCGCCGTTCGACCACTGCGGTGAATATAGGTCTTAGCATGCAATGGCACATCGTACAATATCACGTAATCCACGTTGGGTAAATCAATGCCACGCGCCATGGCATCCGATGCAACAATCACATCCACATTGCCTTTCTCAAATCGTTCCAGCGTCGCTTGTCGTTTCCGCTGGAGCACCTCCGATGAGACTTCCTGAACGTTGAGCTTGACGGGACTTTTGTAGAGGCTTATCAGACGATACAAACGATGAGTGCTTTCCAGGGAATTGGTGAAGACAAGAACGCGTCTCCATGCAAGATTATGAAGTAAATGGAGAACAATAAGTGGTTTGAGACGTGGGTCACACTGCACGAAGAGTTCGTTTAATCCTTCCGGCGTTACATAGGCGCCGACCAGCTCCGCGTCATTACGGAACAAAACATCATCGCCGACGTAGCCGGACACCACGGAGAAGAGCTGAGGACGATAAAGTTTTAATGTCTCAAAGCGTTGCGGATCGTACGATAAAGTGGCCGAAAACAGGAGCTTTTGCAGTGGAAGAGATGGTGTTTCCAGATCCGCGAGGCAATTGTATTGCAGCGCTGGTCTGATTTCAGGGTTCCTGCAAAACAAAAACACATATATTAAGCCGACAAATTACTACAAGATCCGGAAAAAATTCCATATTAAAATAAAAAACTAAGCGGCGACAAAATCCAGTCAACAAATTTAGTAGCACTAGCAAGACAAAAGCAATTATAAATTACCGAAACATAAACGAAGTAAGAAGACTTGCTTATTTAAGCTGTAACAATAAATCACGTCATTATTGTTATGTTCAAAAAGTCACCATACCGAAAAACTGCTCGCTCCAGCAAGCGGAACCAATTATTTTTGAATTCCTCGATCATCCTATCAGCTTCATCTACAATCAAATACTCCAGCGCTTGCATATCCAATCCTTTGGTCTCGTACAAATGGTCCACCAAGCGACCAGGAGTAGCTATTAGAACATCCACAGCAGTGACAGCACTACTCATTTCACTGCTCAAGCCTCCGGGTAAACTTAACGTGTCATCATTCTGCACAAATAGCTCTTTCGCCTCCTGCTCAAATGACTGCTTTCCGCATACTAGAGCAATTTTCACGCGTGTTCCTTTGGCAAAGGTTCGAAACACATCCGCCACCTGAATCGCCAATTCTTTCACCGGCAGCAATACCAGCGCGCGAATGCGATGATCATGACGGGAAATCAAATCGTGCAGAATGGGAAGCACATACGACAGCGTCTTCCCACTTCCGGTGGGAGCGCACACACACAGATCGCGTGGCCGGCGCGCATAGTAACGCTGGAATGTCTGATATCTCAGAATTTCCGGAATCACAGCGCTCTGGACGGGAAAAAAGTTAATCATGCCTTGTTCTCGCAGTACATCGATAAAGTGCGGATTCAAACCGGAAATCTCCTCCAGGGGAACCAAGGAGCTTGTTAGTCCCGCTGCAATGGGAACAGGACTGCTGTACCATGCCGGCAGGAACGGGGGAAGTTTGGCCTTCTTCGCGGGGGTTTGAGCACCAATGATGGTAAAATCCGACTGTACAGTGGCGGCCTGTTTCGGCGCGGCATCGCTCGGCTCTTCGCCGTCCTCTTCACTGGCTGCGGCCAGCCTGGGCTTCTTGGCGTTGCCGTTCGCACGCCTTGAACGCCCACGTATTCGCTTCTTCTTTTTTATCGGAACGACTGCTGTACCGTCTGAAGGAATGGGAGCGTTGCTGGCTGATTTTTCGGCAGGAATAAGTTCTTCTGCACCGTGATTCTCCCGTTTTAACTTTTTTCTGGCTTTTCGTCTTTGGTTCTTCGTTGTGGCATGTTCCATACTCATAGTTTCCATCTCCTCAATTTTTTCAGCAGCCTCAACACAACTCTATACTTTAAAAAAATAGATCATGATCCGTAATTGGACCAGTTTGCTGTAAAAGATTTATATTCATGAATAGGTTATAGGTAAGTATTTCAAATTGTTTTCAATTAATCATTATTAATGCAAAATTACAGTACTGAAATTACTTACAGTCTTACACTATTAATAACAGCAGCGGACTTGTCAGTCGCCATGAGACACCCTTTGAATCGGCAATTACTTTCGAAGTCATGTTTTCCGTTTCCCGTTTACACTTCGCTGTTTCTTCAACTTTCTTGTCAGTCCGTGCCGCGGATCTTTCGTTTGGTTTGGGACTGTTTTTAGTAAAGAAATATTCCTTGCAGTTGCTGTATAAACTTAGTTGAAATAACGGATAGCATTTTACTGGTTGTAGTGAAGATCGAAGGCTGCTCATCGGGCTGTGTTCTTCTTTTTTGGAATTGGCTCGGGAAATTCGTAGTGGATTGACAAAGTTTGATTGAGTGGTTGTCGTTGTCAGCTTGAAATATGGCGCAAGTTGCGAAGCGCATGGGTGAAAGCGACGCCATGGTTCCCTTGGCGAAGCGTGCTCGAAATGAGCTGGTTCCGTCCACAGGCGGAGCAGGTGGCGGCGAACTGGTCTTATCTGTAAGTGCCAGCATCTCACTTTTCAGTTACATTTGCGGTGGACTGCTCTGATGTACGCCACTTACTGTATGCCAGGAGGCGCTTTTGAAAAGCAGTTTGTGGAATTACCAAACCAGCTGCGCATTGGGCAACCCCTGCAGGTTTGGTGTTTTTTCGATTTGTTCAAATTCATACAATCCGTGCGTACCATAGCTTAAAAAATGCAGAAAAAAAAGTTAAGTTTGAAAACGAAAAGTCTATAAGCAAAAAGTTTTGAAAGAAACGTTTGATTTGCGATTTAAGAGAATTTCGTTCAGCATAGCGGTCTATGGCAAACCGCCTCGTAGACCTCCATGCTGAACGAAATTCTCTTAAATCGCAAATCAAACGTTTCTTTCAAAACTTTTTGCTTATAGACTTTTCGTTTTCAAACTTAACTTTTTTTTCTGCATTTTTTAAGCTATGGTACGCACGGATTGTATGAATTTGAACAAATCGAAAAAACACCAAACCTGCAGGGGTTGCCAAATGCGCAGCTGTTTTGGTAATTCCACAAACTGCTTTTCAAAAGCGCCTCCTGGCATACAGTAAGTGGCGTACCTCTGATCTTGACGCACTGAATGTGTTAACAGGGTATTCCTCGAACCTCCACTCTGGAAGCTCCCATTATGCTGTTAGCGGGACATGGTGGCGAAATATTCACTGCGAAATTTCATCCCGATGGAAGTGCACTAGCGTCCGCTGGCTTTGATCGGCAAATTTGTATGTGAATGTATATATCTCCGCATACTAAATGAGAAAGTGTGGTCGGTGCGGAGTTTTGTAATATTGTGCATGTGTTGCAGATCTTTGGAATGTTCACGGTGAATGTGAAAATTATGCGGTGCTTCCCGCTCACAGTGGGGCGATTATGGATCTCCAGTTTTCGGCTGATGGAAAGTAAGGAACTAACCGTAAAGATAATTATTAAAAACTTTATGATTTTATCATTTATTCTTTAATCAGCACTAGGCTCGTGGTCCTCATTTAAATCGATTTTATGCTCCATGACCATTTTTTAAAATTTTCCGTTTTGCGTTGTTCGACTACATCAGGAAGAGCATAACAGTAATGGCCTAATGGGTAACGCTCTAGCTCGTGTTTGAATCATGGTTTTGGGTTTCTTTCCGTACAAATCATGTCCTTCTGGATCGGTATCTGCGTAATTGCAACATGCAACCAATGCAGAATTAAAAGTGCCGTTGACGGTTACCAACTTTAGTGAATTGCGTTACTGTTAAACGAGTATTTTCTAGCGTTTATAAACGGAACCGGTGTTGGATTTTTTATTTTGATGCGAGGAGATAATCTGGTGCGTTTAACTTTTATTTCCGTATTCAGCAACGGAATACTCATTGCTGTGTCGATCGAGTTACAATTCTTGAAAATTAAATAGTGGTCTCTAGGAAGGTGATAACTGACTACCGTACTAACTGTACTAACGAACCAACTCAGATACATCCGCAGTTGTTCATTCAGTGATGTCCACAAGGTGTTCATAGATGTTCTGTACAACACTCGCTTATATACCACAGTTGGTAACATAACAGTCATACATTAGTCAGCACTTCTCCCAGAAGTCTGATCATCATTAGGGATAGGTGTACTGAGTGGACGTTACACTCACTGATCAGCTATGAAGATTGTACACTCATAGATCAGCTACTGATTACGCACACGTAATACATTAATATAATATTTCCAATCCTAACAACAATGGTGCATAGTAATTAATGTATTGATCGGATTTTAATTCTATAATATCGACTGTGTTTTGGCGATATGGTTCTAATGGTTTGTGCCTTGGTGGTTTCTAGAAAAATTTTCACGGCTGCGACGGACAAAACAGTTGGAATATTTGATTTCGAGACAGGCGCGCGTTTAAAGCGTTTTAAAGGCCACCAAATGTTCGTCAACAGCTGCCATTCCAGTCGGAAAGGACCAGAATTGATATGCAGCGCCAGCGATGATGGAACGGTGAAAGTATGGGATCCCCGAAGCCGGGCGTTTGTGCGCTCATTCGATTCCAAATATCCTCTTTTGGCTTGTTGTTTCAATGAAAATTCAGATGCCGTTATCACCGGTGGCATCGATACAGAGATTCGGGTAAGAAATTAGGTTTGGGAGTCGATCACGACAGGTGCCCGTATAGTGATTTTTACAATCAGTTTTGAAATTGTTGCTCTGCATTGTCTTGGTCGGCAATATAATCGCGAAAATTGTTCTCTCGTATACCATAAACTCTGATCTACGATGTGTGGAAAGTCTGTTTCAATTCATATGCCGCTTGTGTTCTAGGTTTGGGATTTGAAAAGCGATAGCATGCACTTCAGTATTCCGGGGCACACCGATACCATCACAGGGTTGGCTTTGGATCCAACCGGCAACTTTGTCCTTTCCAACTCAATGGACAACACGGGTACGAACTCGTCCCTCTGATCTTTTGTCAGAATATGCACACACATTGGATATACAGTAATCATATATTGTTCCAAGAACTTATTTTCTGTCTTCTGTACAAAATATTCCAGTATTCGTACCGATTATTTTTGACCGCCTTATTGTAGCGAGAATATGGGACATTCGACCTTATGCTCCTCCTCAGCGCTGCGCGGGGCTGTTCACCGGACATCAACATAATTTTGAAAAGAACTTATTAAAATGTGCGTGGTCGAAAGACGGGAAAAGAGTCGCATGTGGGTCGGGTGATCGGTTTGTTTACATCTGGGAAACACAAACTCGCAAGATTCTCTACAAATTGCCGGGACACAATGGATCAGTGAACGATGTGCAGTTCCATCCGAACGAACCAATAAGTACGGAACCTGTGTAATGCGTGACAGCAATAAAATAACCGACCCACATGATGAACTTCAGCAGCAAATGTTTTTTCTCTTTTCAGTTCTCTCAGTTTCCAGCGACAAACAGATTTATTTAGGAGAAATTGAACCGAGCTGATTCCAAGAACGGAGTTCCTGTCGGTTCGTTTCATCACATTTTTTGTGCATCTGCTGATCAGAAGCAGCTTTGATTAGCTACATGAGGCACACTGATGGATTTTCCGGCTTTTTTCAGTGAAACTTGCGCTTGAGATTTGAATTCATCGATGTGGACGTAGCATCCCTTGTAAAATAAGAAAAGCCGTCGGACATGTAGGTCTTTTACATTATGTTGTCAATTTTTTATTTCTGCGTTGATTCACTGCAAAACAGTTCTTTAAAATAGCAGTATTTTTCCTTACTTGGAAATGGCGAAGACCGGAGCTCGTAGTAAACGCATTTCTCCCATGCAGCATTCGTCTGTTATTAAATACAAGCACTTCACCAGGTTGTAGCCGGAACTGAATTTTCACAGAAGGATCATGGATAAGTCGCGCGAATTTCCGATAGGCACTGTAGTACTTGGATATTACGTCCTACACGAAACATGATATTTTTCGTACCGTTGTATAAAAATTATTTGTCCCTTTAGGGATTACGGAAATTTACTTGCGTTGCCCTTAGCGGTCCCTCGAACTGAGGTGCCCAGAAGACACTTGTAACCTAAAAGCACGAGCTATTAAACCAACTGCATGGAACAAAGTTACAAAGTAGAATGGTTATGCCTAATCACCACGGAACTCCTAAAAGGTTGCAACGATCTGAATTAACTCTAGCACTGTACACGAAATCTGCATGATTATCAATTATTTTCACTGACACAACACAAAGCATTTGCAATCAGTAAATTTCTGTGTACCTTTTTGTTCGCATCCACTGCTATGTGGGGACGGGAATACCGCATCCACACAGGTAAATCTCGGTTGAAATGGATTTTTTCGAATGTTGCCGGCGTGTTGATAAGGATTTCGGCTTCCTGTGGATACCGCCTGATCATTTCTTCCGCCGCAAATATCCCATCCACCAGCGTACTTTCTCCCCCTTCGACCGTTTCATCAAACCTTGCACCAGCAACCGATTCCGATGCGTTACAGAAGGAGACACAGTTTATCGAACCACACAGACCGACCTTAAGCAGTGCAGCAGCTGCAATCCTGGAGGCGATTCGTAATAAACGAGATCAATATGGGGTTTCAATTCTGCATTGCTGTACGCGACGTTTATCGGATTTGGTGTGGATAAAACATCGAAAATCTGCAAAAATCAGCAAAAGGTCACTGCGAACAGGATGCGACAAATCCCAGAGTCACATTATACCTAGAGATGGGCAAACTAAAATTAGTCGACTAATTAACGGTTAACTTCGGTTAACCTGACCAAAACTAAAAAAATTAGTTTAGCAAACTTTGGTAACTAAAAAATTTAGTAAGAAGCTTTTTAGTGACTAAATATTTTAGTCAAGTTGATTTTAGTTACTAAATTTCCACGGTTAATCGGTTAACCAAAATTGTTTGGTTAGGGCCCTAGCAGACCAAGCCCAAATATACAAAATAAATTCATTCGTGCATTACACTCCTTCCCTGTACTCAGTAATGCTCTAATAATCGCCTCAAGTATGATCAAATAGCGAAACTACGGGCGGACGACTGCAGCAGTACCAGGAGGTGTGTAATGCATCTTGATTTACGGCTATATTATTCCAGTGTCTGAGTGAGCCGCAATTAAATGACTGTTTGTCTACGTGTTCTGTAAAGTTTAAGCTCGGCAACCATAGGCGTACGGCGAAAAGAGCAATATATTTTTACAAATGACAATAGCTTGGACGCAGTAAATTACACTTGATTGGAAAACCGAAAAATTTAACTTCAGTCTCGGTTAACTTTGGTTAACCGGTTAAAAATTTTAACCAACTCGTGGTTAACCGCTAACAAATTTAGTCGCCAGCGTTTAGTTGACTAAAAGTTTTAACCAAGTCAGTTTTAGCAACTAAAACTTTTAACCGAGTTTTAGTTTAGTTTAGTTTAGTTAGATTTAGTTTGCCCATCTCTAATTATACCTCGCCATAAATCGTTTTTTGCACAGGCAGAGCGAAAACGTCTTCGACAAATGATTTCACAGTTCCCTCGGTTGTTGGAAGCCCGCTGACGATGCAAAAACCGTCCAACAACAGATGGTTGTAGAACTGAAGTTTCGCAAGCGTTGCATGGGTTTTATCGGTGCGACTGCCGATGAGCAAACGGTGATCGTCTATCCTGGGCAACTTTTGATTTTGCTGTAAACCAGTCCAACGAAACACTAGTGTAAACACTAAACAGCCTTTAAACGGTAAACTTATGCTGGTCGTATTTGGCATGTTGCTGGATGTGAGTATAAGTACCTGAAACGGCGTAATAGGCAGTTCCCGGTAATGCACGGCATCATACAGCCAATCCAGACCAATCCATCCGTCGTGAGCGTCTTCCGCCCAGCGGACACTCAGTCGGTTACCTGTACAAACAAAGTCACAGCACCGCTCTCAAAATACGTACAATAAAGTGAAAACTATTGGTTGATTTTGCTTGTGATTGGCAATCGTGCGGTATGCTACACAATCCAGCACCCGTGTACCTACCGTCCACAATTGTTGCCTTGCATATGGAGATATCTTCGGGAATATCCGCACAGTCTAGCATACGCTGATTGGACGATGGCTGACGGCACGTATCACACATGCACTGAAAGCGTAACCACTGGGCGTCCACTAAAAAGAGGTGACAGTCAATGGACGTACAAAACGGCCAGAATGTTTTCATAAAGTACCAGGCACAATGGCACAATAAAATGGCACAATGGCACAATATAATAATGTTGTTGTGCAGAAGTTATTCCAGTGCAGAGTCTGCAGACCTACATTCTGACCATGTTCCCCGTTCTTGCGACACATCGCCGCTATTCCACTGTATCAGTAGAGATTTCTTGCCCACTTCGATGTGCTGTGCACTTTTTGGCACAGACGAATTTGCAGTGCGCTGACACGTATTAGTTGTGGCAGCTCCTTGAATCGGTTTCTGGGAGAGTGGTCCAAAAGTTGATCGTGTACGGCATAACAATGTGTCAGTTAAACTCGCGTAGTTCCGTTTGCGCAGAAGCGGTTTCGGTGCTTTGCATATTACCGAAGGGGACGATGGCGAAAGCACCAACTTCAGGACACATTGGCTGCGGATGTTTAGCATTCTAACAGCGATAAAAGCACTGCACCAAGTTCTGCACAAGCAACAAGTGCATTTACACAGAAAGTCTGAAAGCAAAATGCTTTCAAATGCTTTTAAAATGTTAAGCTTTTAAATGCGTAAGTGCGTAAAGCTTTGACTTCTACCTTACGCAAATAATTATGGCATTATTGTATTCAGTGTATTGTATTACTACGATCACAGTATGGTGTGTGTGTACTGTGATATCGGTGTACATGTTGTACTGTGCACATGCATTGTCATGCAATGACAATTTTCCAATCCGTTACAATAAAGCATCTCACTTACGTCTAAAAGTACCTACTGTAAGAGTTCACTTTCTAAGGACTTTGAAGTTTGGAATTGTAGTAGCAGAAGAACAAAACTGTAAAGTGCAAGCACCAGCCCACACCATACGAGTACAGTTAAGTACTCGTATGGTGTGGGCTGTCACTTTAAAGCGCGCCTTTGTTTATCAATGTCACTTTAAAGCGCGCCTTTGCTTCCGCCGGTATTGAAACGGAACTGGAACCACCTGGTACTTGCCTAACCAATGGCAAGCGCCCCGACGGAGTGACTTTGGTCCCATGGGAAAGAGGAAAGATGTTGACCTGGGACGCCACATGTGTGTGCACGGTAGCTTTGTCGCACATCGCGGCAACATCGAAGCAAGCGGGAGCAGCCGCGGCGCGCGCAGAGCAGGATAAAGTGGCGAAGTATCGGGAACTCACTCGAGATTACCTGTTCCGCGCATTTGGCGTCGAAACACTTGGACCACTCGGACCGGATGCTTCTCGTTTGGTGACCGAAGTCGGGAAGATGATACAACAGGAAACAGGCGAGGTACGGGCGACGGAGTTTTTGCGCCAACGGATCAGCATTGACGTCCAACGCGGGAACGCGGCCTCTGTCATGGGAACAGCACCAGCATCGGCCAACTTAGACGAAATGTTCTTTGTGATTAGGCCGCCCATTTCCGTAGTCGGTTGAGGCTGTGTATTCAGTACAATTCTTTTCACTTCTATGGAAACTTGTGACCGTATTAAAGTAATGGTAAAGCTACCACTAAAAAAAAAAAAAAAGTTAAGTACTTGTACTGTGTACATACAAACGAATTATGTACATACAGCGCGAATAATAACCATCAGTAAAATGTAAATTAACCGTTTCTGATAAAATTTGAAGGAAGGAGGATTCGGTGTGGACCGTGGTCATCGCACGTTTCACTTAGCGATGCTTCAGGGACTTTTTGCGCACTGTCGGTTCAGAATGGCAAACTGCATGGTGCTCTGCATGAAACAAAGCTATAATAATCGTCTGATTTTTCTAAATAAATGTTCCTGTTTGAGAGTCGCTGGGTCAAACCACCCAATAACAAACAATTTTACTTACGACAATAAATTGTTTTATTTTCGAGGATTATTAAATAAACTGTAGGTTCTGCGAAATCACGAACTGCAATGCGCACCAAGACGTGGATTATTGATAAAATTACTGGAAAATTCTTTGCTCCTGATTTTCTCACAACAAGGACCACAAGGGAACAGAACACCGGGTTAATGCACCAATCAGGACATCAAATGGTAAAAAATTTGAGAATTTTGCTTATCAACACTGGAAACAACCAACTCTTAGACGGACCGATACGCCGACTGAAACACAACTTATCGCAGATAAGGTCATGCGCTGTAGCAGACATCCTTCGGACCTGAATCGATCCGCTGCGATCCACTCGATCTGCACCGTGTTTTGGGTATGTGTAAATGCACTGCAACGTCCAAATGTATCAACCAGCGTGTGTCGCTATCTGTTGGGATTGAGATGACCAGAGGACTGGCCGTGCATGTCGGGATTAGGCCGCAGACTGGAAGCGCCCGGCGGAGGCGCGCGAGACTGAGCCGTCATCGACTGGGCAGTGCGGGGTGACTGGGCCATATCATGGGGCTCCCGAATGACCGGTGGGGGCTTATTGGAGCGGGCTTGGTTCGTGGAGGAGGGTCCGGAGGGGTTGGGGGGAGGACGGGCACCAGCCATCCCGGGAGGGGGATTGGCACCGGATGCATCGCGCAGGAAGTTCGATGGCACCAAGCCGCGCTTTCCATTCAGTTCACCTTCGAAGAACCCGTCTTCGTCCATTTCACCGCTCACGTAAATTGTGTCACCTTTCTTAAAGGATAATTCCATCTACGACACATAACGAATCTGATCTAGTGAATTAACGAAGCTTTAGCAAAAATGTTTTAGCATTCTGTACAAGAAATGTTCGAAGTATACGAAACTGTTGGAAAGCATGCTCACAATTACGGCACAAATGTTGCCGTCTTCAGAATAGAAAGTCTGTTCAGCTGGGTACACAAGTAAGATCAGTAACGACACAAAGAAACTATCACCAGAATCCGGCTTTCCAGTAGAATGGAAGCAGGTAATCAACCGCAGCGAAACCGTTGCTGTACCTCATCGTCAACATTGGGGGAAGCCGATTTGCTGTCGTAGTCGTACATCGCTACCATCCTTCGTACAGGCCCTTTGGCCGTACGATCCGCCGGCTGGTTCGTGTTTTTTTGGCGGAACTGCACGGTCGCCTGTCCAGGCTGCTTCGTTTCCTTTCCAGGATTGGAGCGAGTGCGTTCTAATGTGGATGTTCCGCTGTTGCCAAGAATGCGCCGAACCGTGGCTTCGTCTGTGACTTCCGAGACAAGATTGCACGGAACCAGTCCTTGCCGTCCTTGTATGTCACCTTTGTAGAATCCATCAGAATCTTTGTCCCCGTAGATCTGCAAATATGTTCGCATTAAAAAATGTGAATGTATCAAAAATTATTAGTGTTTATTAGTAGAGCAAAAATAAGCTCCAGAAGTCGTTAGAAAAATGGTACATTGTAATCGGCATAGGTACTTCAACATTTTACGAAAACGTTTTTATGGAATTCGATGGTCACATGATTATCACTGAGCGATTGCTTTTGCAAGCTTTATATTAATTACATTCAGTCATTCAGTTACATGCACCTTTAGGAGTTGTCCTTGCTTGAACGACAGTTCCTCACTGTCGGCATCGACATTCGGTGACATGGACGCATCGTAGTCGAAATTTGCTCGGAACACTCGTACCATTCTTGCGTTGCGCTCCAGTGTTCCTCCCGTGCGTCCATCTCCTCTCCGTCTATCTAAGGGCTCATTTAATCCCGTTGACCTTTCATCGCGATATCCATCCCTCGGTAAATCCCTCCGCATGTCTTCACCTCTCCGCCTGGCCGCTTCCTCTTCATACTCGTCTTGCCTCAGAGCGCCCTGATCGTACCTGTCGCGTTTCCTATCGCGGGATTGGCTGCGTTGACGCGCTGATTGCCGGTGGAACGAACCGCCTTCTTCCATGCCCGGTGGACTGTTGTACCGGCTGCGTAGGCTGCGACGCGGCCGTTCTTCTTCCCGATCGGAGAAGGCCCGATGTCGGGAGTCCATACTCTCGAAAGAATCGTCCTTGGTGATTTCGATCTGTGGCAAGGAAGACGTGCGGATCTGCATGGCACCGTAGGGTTCACGTGGGAGACGAGGATCGCGGTCGCGGTCTCGGTCGGGTCCTCGACGGAGGAAGTAGTCGTCTTCGTACGGCGCTGGAAAGTAGTCATCGCGACGGTTTTGGCGGCGCATTCCGTCGGGGCCCAGCGGCCGGTCACGAAACCGACCGGGCGGGAAGAACGGTGGCTGGCCGGGCGGCGGTCCCATGTTCATGCCTTGGAAGGATCGAGCGAAGCCGAATTGGGGAGGAGGGAGCGGTGGTCCTCCTGGGCTTGACATCTGTAATTTTCACAGGCGTGTAGAGAACAGAATCACGACAATGTGTTTGAATGTGTCCAACCATATTACCTAGAAATACATATGTTATAATTTTACACCCGAAATTATCGTGTTGCAGGTGCCTTCAATTCATAAAGTACGAAAGGTGTAATTCATTGCTGTACAATCACAATATTTAATCATGTTATGGTACCATGCAGTTATTGTTTTAGTATTTTTTTATAGTATGAGTATGACTTTTTACCATCATGTCAGATTCCGGCAAAGGCGGTTCTCTTCGGCCACCAGGTCGATTCATCAGTGGGCTGCGCAGTCCTCCCCGGGGCGGCATATTCGGCCGGCCGAATTGTGCACCAAATGGTCCCATGCGATGCATTCGCTCCATCATCGCTTCCTCTTCCACTTCCTCCATAATATCAGATAGTTCTTCTCGTTCTGGTGCAACGGCGAAAACATCCGGCGACGGACCCTGTGGTGGAAACATGCCGGGTGAATTACCGGGAAATGGAGCCGTGCGGGAAGGAAAGTCGGAAAAGGTCACTGTTGTCTGGCGATTGGATGGCATGCGGGGCGGATGGCCGCCTGGGGAGGGGTTGAGAGAGGCCGGAATGAGCGGGAGTGCGGTGGATTGTAGTTGCGTGGTCTGAGGTTGTGAGTAAGGCTGTTCGCTTTGGGCTTGAGCAACGGCTTTTACGCGTCCCAGTAACACGTCTTCGGTGACGTTCAGGTAGGGGGAATCGCGCGATAAACTTTTTGAGGAGACCGTACGAACGGTAAAACTGCGTGGAACCGGCGGCTGCAGACGGGTGATGTCCAACAGTGCGTGATCGCCTAGGATATAAATTTACCCGTCATGCAACTCTAGTCTTTATCACAAGATGGAATGTAAGAAGGTACTAGAATACTCGAAGTATCTCAAAGCAATCGAATTGCAGTACCGTGAGTATTTAGCGATATGCACCCTGACAATGCACAGTTTTGTTTTCAAACCCATCTGCTTTTCGCCCAGTATTTTTGATCCTGTTGTTTGAACGGCTTCAGTCATTTTACAACAATAAGTAATTTATTTTTTGGTAGGTCGCCTCTGTTATGAATTGTGCAACATCATGAGCAACATTTTCGAGGAGACAGAGATTTATCAAGTACTCGTACCCTGCATTAACATCCTTACAAGATGACGAATGACCTGAATCGTGTAGTGTACCTGTGGGGCTGTCGATCTGTTTAACCTTTTGGCCGTCAGCGTAAATGGCATAACCAACAACATCACAGTTCCGCTGCGCGGTCACCGGTGTCCACGTGAGCAGCAGAGTGCCGTCCTGCGGCCCACTTTCCAATTGCAGTGTGCTCGGTGGATCGGGCACATTGTCCGGGAGCGTCTTGAATTCCACTTGAGCACAGGCTTGCAGATAACTGGAGTAGTCCAGCGTGGATTTCGGTACAATGGGCACCACTCGCACCCGGTACATGGTGGAGGCCGTCAGATCGGGAATGGTGAAGCGGTGGCTGGATGCCGGTACAATGGCGTACTCCTGCTCGTTGACGAAAATACTGTGCTGATAATTGCTATTGGCCGGAAACCAGGATACCGTGGCCGAATTGGAGGTTATGTTGGTAATGCGCAATTGTGTCGGCATTACCGGACAGTCTTTTCCGACCAGGATGGTGCATAAACTATCCATGGATTCCCTTCCGGTTGCTGTCAGAAAGCCGTTGCACGGTGAGTTATTCGAATGAAACTTAATTTTAAAAATATTTCAACACATACTGGTCTTCGACCGTACGCTAACGCGATGACAGGACGACAGGTCCACTCCCTCGATTAAGGCACGACAACGTTCATTGGCCCCCACGGTGCAGCGTAGATGCCCGTCGACATATACATTGTAGGCGTCTATGGCGCCGCTACTAGGCGGCGGCCTGTTGATCGGAATCATCGCCGGTGACCAGCCGATCATAATACTTTTGTGCATCTGCTTCTCCAGCACCAGATTAACCGGCGGCGCCACCGAGATGTCTTCCTGACCACGGTTGGACGGGTCACGTAAAACAGACGCGGGATGGTGAGCGCTCTGACTCAGGCTCGATGGGCGGGTGGTATTGTTGCCCATTACCGGGGCTGGCACGGAATCAGATGGTATTATACCTAGTAACATCGTTTGTTTTGATTAATTAGTGACTTTAAACTAATAGAAAACTTCCATCGCTCCCACTCACTTTCTTCCTCTCGAAACCTTATCCGTCCGGGCGTTGCAGAAACATGAGCATGGGCGGTAGTAAAGTTTACCCCTTGGAGATTGGCACCGGTAATAATAGGCGGTCCCATACCGGTTGTAGCGGATGCTATAGCCGGGTTATTAGGATAGCTGGCATGAAAATCTACCAGCTCTTCCGGCGGCAGGCGCTCCACATAATTGCTGGGCACGAGACCGTGCCGACCATCCAACGTCTCCGCTTCGTAATAACCATCTTCGTCCATATCACCAAAAACTATCACAAATTCACCCTTTTTCAGTTCCAGCTCCTGATCATGGATATCGTTGGGGGAGTGCTTAGCCGGAATATATGCGAATCGCGTCACAAAGACGGACAGTCTCCCGGATAGGTCACCGGCGGAAGGCACCGTGTCCACGGCGCGGTCAACCGTCGCGGATAGCGGATGATGGATTAAATTGCGCGCCGATCTGCAATGAGAGGGGAAGTGTTCATGTTCACGCTGTAGTAGGCAGGTGTGTACAGAACGCGCACGTGGGCGGTGTCATCATTAGCTCGATTATTGACCTGCACTTGTTACGATAATGACACAGGCGTGGACGCTGCATGCGATATGGATTAATGGTTGTTAAAGGGGATGCTTGCCTTTTCGCTACATACTTTGATGAGCTCGAGTAGTCCTTCCGGGAGGAGACGGATTCGTCCAGACTGGATCCTACTAAAAGCATTCGGTCAAGGACGGTTTCCGTGTATATATGCGGTGTCAGCACTCCGTTAACGTACCAAGTCCGGAATCGCTCTTCTGGTGTCCGAAACGCGGTTTGCAGTTGACCACCGCCTGCCGCTGGGTGGTAGATGGCGTCTCGCCGTTGACCATTCGCGAGCCGGTGGCGACGGTGGCAGTGCCGGTGTTGGTGCCGATACTGCTCAGGGCCGAGTCGGGTGTGGACGTGCCCGATTCGGGAGAGGTCTGCACTTCCGCTGTTGTCACACTGGCTAACGAGCGCGAACGCGACGCCTGCCGTTGCACGGATTCCATCTCCACGCTCAGCTCTTCGTAGCGGACCTTTTGCAGCTCGCATTTCTTTTCCACTTCTCGTAACTTAGACTAAGTGCATAAAATATTGGTCCATTATAATTCAACATATTTCAACAAAAATGCCCGATTTAGTTTCACATATCAGAGCATTATTTAAAGCCCATAGAATAGAGCCAAAACACATTCTTAAATCAGCAAGATGCTAACGGAAGGCCCAGATTGCTGCTCTATATTATGTCTGATTTGAATTATTTTGGGTTCTGATATATATCGGCACAAGTAGACAAACCTCGAGCGCTTCGATTACTTCTTGATGTTTGCGTCGTCCGGCTACTTCATTCTACAAAGAAAGGATAGCGCGCTGTTTACAGTCCTGAAGCAACGCAAACGAAGACGTGTTGCCTAACCTTGTGGAGTTGTTTGATCTCATCCTGCTTTTCGCGAAGCTGGTTTTGTGCTTCCTGGTGCTCTAATTCCAGGTCTTTCCGCCTTTCAGCGGCTTCTCGAAGAGACTGCAACGGCGCAGAACAACGTAAAGAATCTGTCTATGTACGTGGACGTGCAGCAAGCAAGCAAGCGAAGACTTTTCCTGTATACACCGTCAATTCAAGAACCAAGGTGAGACCAGCTGTACGAGTATGTTATGATCGATATTATAAGCAGCATAAATTATTACAATCGAAGTGCGACGAGCTTCAACTTGACGACGATATGCAAAGCGAGTGTGTGCAAACACTGACCTTCACTAAGGAATCCAGGTTGCCGGATTTAGCATAATATTCATCACGTGCACTTTGGACAATCTGACATTCTATCTTTAAACTGCAAACTGACTCCTTGATGCCCTTTAATTCCTTGGAAGCCTACAAAATATAAACAGTACTGTAGTACAATGCTGCAATATTTGCGGACACTGTAAATTGATGAAAATTATTTCCACAAATTACTGCTCATAGCGGCATACTGCAGCTGCGAGCTCTTGCTCTTTATACGAATTTTAATTGTAGTTGCGCACACACGTCACAGACGCTTGCAGCATGCTATCGCAGTCAGTTTCAAGATTATCCCGTCATTGTTTAGATTTCTCTCCAGTCACAATTATTGTCATGTCAAACGTAGCGGGAGTAGGCCACAGTTGACAGGAACATTACCAATGTTGTCAGTTTGGCGGGCCCAGGCGGGGATACTCTCAACTTCCGGGGCAGAACAAATTGAGAAACCGGATATACACATATATATAGCCCTACTTGGCATTAAAGTACCGCATGTGTGTATTTCGGCGCTCGATTTGGCCTCATACGTGTCCGTACGTGAGGAGGTGGCTTTGGCGTCACAAATTGTGTCAACGACTTCCCCCTTTTATTTTCTTTAGCTATAATTAGGTTGCCTCGGAGTGTTGTTTTTATCGAATGAGAAAAGTTGAAAACACCCGTAGCAGGTAACCGGAATCCACAAGTCTGAGATTTACGATATTTTCCCGGAAAAATGGCAACGGGAAAATTAAGTACTACGGTATCACCAGAAACTTAGAGACTCGGTTAATTTTCTACTCTACGGTAATACGGTATCTGTAGACTACAGACTACACAATTCAGAAATATACATAACCACGTTTACACCACAACCGCAAATAATTCTGTAACCGCCGCGAATTGACGAACCTAAGGAAATCAAATACATGCGGAGGAGTTGAAAATGCAGAAAAATTTCAGAATATTCCACGTATGTATACAGCACGAACAGATTTTTAATCAACTTCAGCAAATTTAGCGCATAAGGAAAAATGGTTTTGCCATCTACTACAGTACTTGTACGTCTGAGATTCATATGGTTAGACACGTTGCGAAATCAGAGACGTCCTGCTGGAGTTGTCTCGCTAATGTCACATCGTCGTCACAATGCTCCGGCAATTTACCATCCCTGACTTTATCTGTTTAAGTGATACTTTGGATCAATGTGAATTATATGTCTCCACCAGCAAAATTATCTGAACTCAGACCTCTAACAGCGAATTCATTCAACGGTGGATTGGATAGGATGGGCGTAACAAATCAGGCTTTTTATTAAGCAAAAGCACGCTAAAGATTGCAGTGCGCCAAAAGATGGTGCCGCATCTTGGCGGCGCACATTTGGAGGTTGCAGAAACTACGAGTAGGGGAGTCGAACAGCATACTCTAATAAAATGCAAAAGAATTTTTCCATTCCTCAAGCAAAATCGAGTATGCCTTCACGACACGAATTTTAGTAATTGGTCGTAGTGAAAAAATATTATTATCAAGATAATGTCCATTCCGTCAAAATTTAATGCGACAGGATACTCTCGCATCGATAAGGACATAATTAACTGAGAAGAATTGTGGAATGTCCATTAGGCTTTTCCTTGTCAATTACATTTAAAAGTTACTGACTGCTTTGCTACTTTTCATTGTGCATTAATTGGCCATGCAATCCGGTTAGCAATGAATTCCCGTGGGCATCCCTTTAAGCCACCAATAATTTCCATCACTTTTTCCCCAACGTACCACCCCCATCCAGCGCTTGCATCATCAAGGGATACAGGCACATGCAATGTCAAATGCATAATGACCATTTTGTACCGTGCGTATATCGGCAGATGTACTTTACTGTGTACTGTATCGTGCTGTTTTATTAGTTATCTATTGCAGTAACCAATACTACTATATACACAACACAGACAGCAATAAATGAGTAAGAATAAACTCAGTTGAATAACTCGTAAAGCATTGGCTATATAACAACAACAAAATATTTTGTGGGCCCTGAGCGCACGGAAATCACGATGACATTTGTGACCCAGTATTCTGAAAGTCTAAAGCCGATTATGGCAAGGACGACTAGCGAATTCCCGATTTCCCCAGTCGGATCTATCCTGAATGTGGATTCAGCTGGCTGCGATACATACTGAGTACATTGAATGTGACATAATAAAAGCATGCTAGTGTGACAATTTAATGAACTGTTAACAGTTCCCAGAGCTGCTATTATGTCCAGCACTATGCGCATGAGCAAAATGCTTAAATTCATATGTGCCGCGTAAACCATACACGAATGCTGAACGATATATGTACAATATGATCTCTTCCTCCCATATGCATACATCCTAACTTCTAAGGAATAGTTTTATCGCTTTGCATAACAAAAAACGACAACCAATACGGTGTTGAAGTATTGCGTTGTTATGTTTTGGCCAGGAATTTGATAAACGTTCGCCGTAAATATCGCCAACTGATTTTTGCATGCTCAATATCGGAATACGAAAGCATTAAGGTTGGTGATCATGGTAAAAATTATCTCAATAGCGAGTTCGTTTATCACTCCAAGTACCGAATTCAGAAATAAGGAAGGAGAGCGCAGCAACACTGTTGTGATAAAAAGTTTTTTGCGTTTAAAAGCAAATTTTGAATCAGTAGCAATCAGGAGTCAGAATTAAAATCGGTAATAATCAGTCATACGCTTACAATTTAAATTAATTCAAATACATCCGGTTGCGAAAGTATCCACCGCGCTACTTTAATAATTATTATAATATAATATTATTATGTACATAGATGCAGCTAACCGGTAAGATGCTCGTATGATCTCTACACAATGTCATGGCGCCAGATGTACGTACAGAACCATGACGTCATGTATAAGCAAATCGTATCGTTTTATTATTTTTACTGGGACTGTCCTAGCCAATCCGGTGCCGTTGTTGAAAAATTAATCAATAACTCCTTTTCTCAGCTGAATTGTCAGGGAAAGAAGGAGAAAAAACGTCCAGACAAAGACCGTCTCTTCAGAGTCTATTGACAATTTCATGATCATTCACTGTCCGGATCCGATTCTCGACTTGACAGTGAGCAAAAGAAAGCAACGCAATACTTACTTACGCATAAGGCTCAATGATTCATCTTTGGGATGCTGTCCCTGTTTCTTGGACTCCCTTGGCGTCGGTATATATCGTACGCGCACACTCGCACATACTGTACATATCCATATGCCGGGTGTAACACCGATAACTCTCCGGCCCGGCCTAACGAATTTCGGCACGGAATGCCTAAATGCGTTTGCGACGAACCTTTACAATCGGCAAACGGCATGTTCTTCTGCTTGCTCTAGCTTTTGGATGCAACAACAATAGCATCAGCGTTGTCGTCTTGTGCTAGTACGATCACACAAAGGACCAGTATAATGTGCGACATTTTTTCTCCTGTGTGTGTGGTACTAGTAGGTAGCTAGGCGTCGTTAGTGTAATTGCATGGCAGAAAAGAAACAGGATGTGCGAAAAAAAAAACTTTGGACCTTTTGCCAGTACCGGGATTTGCTATGCATCGCGCTCCAGCAGCATAAAACCGCAGCAGACCGACAAAAAACATTTTAATTTTCTTTTTGGACGATACAAAAGACAGTATACAAATGGCGCCAGCCGCCAGGATAATGATAAAACACGCGTATGAGAGCGAGCACTCAGTTAAAAGTGCAGGATACAGCACGGATGCACAAAACACACGTCCCATCTCATATTCTAAGTCAACACATAAAGTCAACATGGAGGCTGATTCTCTGTTTAAGGCAACCTACACCGTTATTTCGAGGGAGCGCACGAGCGAATTTGACATCATTTTCATGATGGGGGCTGTTATACCCGCAGCTGAAGATAATAATTACATAACACCGCCTGATATGTGGTACACGCTTATTAAATGTGGATGTACAACGGAACCGGCAAATTGCCATTGACACGGCGCACTTTTCTGTCAACGCTTGGATGCCTTGTAATTTGCATCCATAACAGGAAGGGATGCAGGCTATGGTTAGTACAATGTACAACAAAATGGAAGGAATATTTCGTCTTAACTTATCCATGTTGTTAACTGACTAATAAAGATAGATTTCATTGTGACAGACTTGTTACACAGATAAAGATGAAAATAGATTTGTTACATAAAAGTTATACTTTTTGCGGTTTACCATTTAATCAGACACTGAATTGAGTACACCGTTAAAAGTAGGTGATATATACAGATATACCAAGTGATAAAAAAACCTTTTGAGATTGAGCGAATGACAGCCCAGCTTCCGAAAATGCGGACCCCTTATAACGCAGGTACAGGAAGAGTACATGCAGTGCGTACTTTATGGGTGAATTAGTCATCACGTATCGTTATGGAAGCCTAGCGGAAAACGGCAGTGCATCCCGAGCATGAAATCAGTCCAGGACTAATGCAGTGCATGCTTTAACCGCACTACATCGACGTATCTATAATATTATGTACTGCGTCAGTGTTATTGCTTACTTCTCGGAATTCGCGCAGATATTCCCGTAGTTCGTCGGCTTCCTTTTCCAATTCCCTTTTCTCGTTGAAAAGTCTGAAGTACTCGGATTTCTGTCAATAAAAGACGAGGCTAGTGTACAAGTGTTGTGTTTCTTTAATTCCACTGCCTCCATAGCTTTGGATTTCTTCAGTTTTAACATTTCTGGTTTAATTACAGTTGTAATTACAACAGTCTAGTTTTTTCGTCGCAAAGGCACAAGCGCCCTTATAAAATCATAAGTTACACCGTATACTTAATTTATTAATTTTATTAATCAGCAAATCATTATTGCATTAGTTGAACTTGGATACTTAACTGCAGCCTTCCTGCAGAGTTGAAATATAATTTCGAAGAAGCCGAGAAGACGCTTAACAGTAACATACACGAAAACTGGAAAATTTTAATCAATTTCCTATAAACGCACATTGTATGATATATGACAAATAAGGTACTCAAGTTATACACTTTCATAGCATGAAGTTCCTTCGATTACCCGTAGTCAGCCATATGGCTTTAATAAGTTTTTTTCAATTTTGAACATATCTTTACTGGGACGCTACGCGGCTATTAACTTTTCATACAAAATTACTGCAGAATACCTAGAATAGGTTATAGTTAATTAAGAGCAGATGCTGCTTGTATTTATTGAAAAAACGCCTTGCGTAATCAATTAATTTACCCAATAAATATTCTCGTTGTGCCAAATTTGCGACTGCTCCGGATGTTTTGAAATCTGCAAAACGCGAAAGGTGGATGAGTGGTCGACGGTACATACCTACTTGTGCACGTAACTGCTAAGAATACAATACACGATGTTTTCCACAAAACCTAATCCACTGCAAACGGCTTCAGCTACAGTACACGTTCAACTACTATAATTATGATTTTACAAGTATATCTTGTACCTTGTGCATAAAATTAATTTTTGATATGCACATTAAATAACTTCCTAATACGGATGCCGAACAAATTACCTTTACGTGAGCCCAATTCTTTCCGTAAAATGTTGTCAAGCAAGCACATGCAAATCAGTTAAGTGACTGACATCTGCCTGTCTGTCAGCCAATATTAAGGCCAAATTACTTTTCTTTTTAAAAGGTGCTAGAAAACGCATTTTTTAATACATTGCACATTCATTGTGCAGCAGCAATAAAGGAGAAGTCAAAGGGAAGTACTTAAGGAGCCATCAGTTGGCTCCCGGCGTTTTTCTTCCAAGACACTGCAGTAATTAGACTGAGAGGGACAGCGTACTGTGTGCTTATCCAACCGAATTTGCGCAGCAATTTGCCATACCGCCTTTCAAATTTGCCCTCTTCTTTTTAATCTACTTAAAGGCGCCACATGAAACGTTTTCTTAAATGGAAGTATCATGCACCGCAGTTAAAAAAGTTGTCTAACAATTAATCACGTCAAATATGCGGCTTGTTTTGTTTAGGGCCCCCTCAAAAGATGCGCAAGCTGTGCACAACTGCACATGTTTCGTTACACTATCGCGTTAAGCTTTCGCGAGAGCTTACATCACTATTTAGTAGCAAAAATAGATAAAACATTTTATTAACATCGAAGTTAACACAATAAGCAAACAATCTGCCGTGTCACCATTAGTTTCTAATCTGATCTTGATAATTATTTTGAAGTCCAGTTAGGCTGGGAGAAACGTATTAATGCACGTTCACACGTGCGGAGAAAAGGTGTTCTCAATGCCGAATTTTCAGTTAGCTTCACGTGGTCAGATATGTACGCACATCTACTTATTTAAGTTCTGTGTGTGAAGGGCACACGGCACACCGGTACATTAAAGCTGAATGTTGGGAAAAACCACATCTTACACATGCTGTTGATCCAACGGAGAATTATTATTCTAAATACGCCAATATGCAATCTATTCAGAAAAAGTGCCTCATGCAAACGCGGATATTCAATAATTTGTTAAGTGTTTGTTCTTTTTTCATAATAACTACAACTGATGGAGACGGACGCTAGTAAGCAACAGTATAACGCTTGACGCTATTTTATTGCAGCAGCAAAACTGCATATGCAGTATTGATCCGGAACCACTTCGCATAACGATCTGTTGATGATTAATCGATGCAACAAAATAATTAGGGCAGTTCCCGAAAAAACAAATTTCCGTGATTGAACTAATACGTCGTACTCGGACTGACTTTCCCTATAAGGATATCACGCACATGCCTAACTTAATTATTACATTCCCACCATTAAGAAGTAAGAACTGACGTCGATAGTGCCCGGGTAGACGGTAATGTCGGTAACCGATTTTGACAAAAATGTTCACACCTGTCCACCTGTTCCCTAAACAATTCCACTACACTTTGCAATCTGAAGACGTACAAAGTACGTGCGCTATTTCAGCGTTTGATATGAAGGAAGTGAAATGTTCTGGACAATAGCGAACCGAAATATCATTGCCATACAGGAAAAATGGAAGCAGTACGTCTACTGTAACCTGAAGAAGCTATTTACTTCTATAAAATTAAATGGAAAGGCCATCTCGTGCTGTACTTACACAATCCGTAATCTGCAAGTGAGAGAGGGATCCCGTTAGCAAAGATAATAACTAATCAACCCGGCACAGCACCGTGAGTAAGATAATTAATCCGTTTGACGCGTGTACATGTATAATCCGCTGATCAGGGAAGACAGGTTACTTATTAACTATTTTTAATGCATATTTCATCCTCTGACAATCTGAAGGATGAAATCCGCACCAAGGTAGAGGAAAGCACGGATCTGCTGGGTCAATTATTCCGGTAGGAAGATATATTCTGCATTAAGGAACACTTCACCGTAGCCTATAGGCTCTGCATGCACACAGCACAAGAGTCGTTGCATGTAATCCGACAGCTAGGAGCTGCAGCGTTACGCCATCGCTGAACATTTATCCATTTAGTATGCTCACAAAAAACACACTACGTATACGGAATCAGAAGAGCCAATACGCCGGGATCAAACAAACAGGCACAACATCCATGGGTGAATTTATCACCTTGATAACGACGGCTAATCACAATTTTCCCGTTCACTCTCTCTCTTCCCCTTTCTGTCTCACAAAATCCGGCCACACGTTGCAGCCGTATAAGCGCGTTTTTGTGCACGGCGGCTGACAGTGTGAAGGTGTTAAGCAGCGACCGATTGGCCTCTCCAGCGTATATATCTGCGTAATAGGGAAATGGATGTCTTTTGTTGCCAGCACCCCGTTTGGCAGTGTTGCGATTTTAATATCCACGGCAAATCATCAAATTAACAGCTCTCGCACCCATCATGGCAAATATGCTCCCGTCTGCAGTGGACTGCCGAACCACATGCATCACTCACACATATAGGCACACATTTACACGTTCAGACGCAAAATACAACACAGACCGAGAGGAAACCAACGGGATGCAGGCAGGTACTAAAGTGAGCAGAGGAAAATCTGGCTATACCGCTGTGTGTGCTGCAACTTCCCAACTAATCCCAACCGTTAAACGGGCACAATCCAGCATGCCGCGATATAAAGCGCCTCACAGAACATCCTTTAGCGATGATTTCCGGTTAGCAGGGCTTTGTTAAAACGAAAGAAGAAAACTGCGAGGTAGAGAGATGATGACGAGATGTCGACAGAATAGGCGGCTACTTTGGCCAGGAAGAAAAAACAACATAGGAACCAGGTAGACCAGCGTTTTCCACCTAACTCAACGCCAGATAGGTTAATGCCGTCTGCTCACAGCATAACAGTATGTGTGGCGGTAGGGATTTTGCACGTACCAACCCACGATGAACCCTATCAACGTTGGATCAACTGCGGCGCCGTACACAGGCACACGCATCGCATCGCCATCACCGCTCTCCCGTTTTCATAAATCCCTGCCCACCACACACACACACACACTCTAGGCGCACTAGTCCGCATATGTGTAAAGAAGCCTCTTCTATTCTCCCCTGAAATCTGATTTTTTGTTGTGCGATAATTTGACATTTATAAATGTGATTTGTTTAGAATTTTTCATTGGGGATGATAAGCAGAATACTCACATTTGTATCGATTTTACTGGACCATGCGGAGCGGCCGTGACGGGCAGTTCCCTGTAATCGGCCTGTGCGGGATTACTGTGGATGCACCGTAAGCTAGGCCAGCGATACAAGACAGGATTCTCATCGTTTCCGGATTGCAGCGTCTGGTTCGTAGCAGCTGGATTTTGCTGGCTAACAGTTCCCACTGTTGTGCGCGGCGACTGGAGGACTCGTGGATCGATATTGTTCCTTGGGTGGCACAATGCACTAGTAGTGCAGCCAGTCACTAGTCAGTCAGTGTGGTGGCCAATCCGGGCGACTGAACAGTAGAAGTACACACCAAACACAACACTCTGCCATATTCCCCAATACACCTCGTTTAATCGATATAATATTAAACCCGGCGTCGCAGCGTTAAGTAATGGCACTGTAAAAACCCGCTCCTGCATAACCCGTACGCGACCGAGCCGGGCGCCAGCCGATCCCGTAGCAGACGTATCACGTACACTGGTTTTTTGTTCCGTAATTTTCTACACATGCCATGCTGCTTTTCTTGGCTAGTGCGCGTGTGTGCGCTTCTTCCATCGCATTTGCAGGATGACGTACATGCACAACAAATGAATCGATGCCGAATATCTGGTCCCTCTCTCTCTGTCGTTTCCTTTGTTGCGTACGGGATTAAGCGCGCAGCCCAGAACCGATCGGATAGTTTTCATGTAAGTTTTAATGAATGAAAATATACGCCATTCCCGTTCCCGCCCACCTTATCTCCCTTGCATGCCGTTCTATTACATTTACATTGGCCCGCATGAACAGCGCCGCGCGTTTCGCTTGGGCACATGGCAGTGTTTGAGATCAGTTGTCCTGTCACTGAGTTATGTGTGTGTTGGCCTGGCAAACTAAATGATGGGCTTAATTCCCGCGATCGGCTCCCGTAATATAGATGTATATAATTATAATGTCGGGCAACAGCGGCATCAGGGACATAGCCCGAACCGGAAGCAACACTTTAAGCAAGCCAGCACACCATCCTAGAGGTGTGGGTCTCGATAGGCCTCCACAAACACTCTAATTTTGTTATCGCCGCGGCCAGCCACGGAAACATGCGTTGAACAAATGAGCAACGCTCTGGGTGTGGCATGTAATTTACACACAAATAAACTGCAAATCATTTCATGGCCAAACCACAGAAATTGGTGACGTGAATGGATGGGCGATAGAATTTTATATTTAAAGTAAATAAAATTATACCGTATTGTTTAACACTTAGCTATCTATATGCCCCGAATAATCAAAATGTAATTTTTCTGGATGTGTCTGTCTAGATCAGTCTGCACTCTGCATGTGTCACTGATTTGTTGCGTTCTTTGTTGCTTTAACGGGTACGTACCGTAGAAAATAGTCGTACAATACGTAAGCACCTAATTTATATTATTGTATAATACCTATACGAGTTCTCGCGCAGTCCTGCACGTACAGTTATGGTCACGGTGACCCCTTGCAGTATACTGCAAGGGGTCACCGTGACCAAATTAAACAGCCACCGGCAACGCCAGCGCCTAATTATGCTAATGCACTGTACCGATTATTTTTCAAATTTGTATTTCAAACAAATTACTGTCAGGAGATTACAAACTTCTGTCTAAATTTTGTTTATTCAGATTTGGATGTACGAAATACAGTAGTCTTTGTTGGAACTGGTTGCATATTAATATAGTACGGTGCAAAATGCACTCAGAATATTTTTGTGGCGTCGATTGTCAAGTAAGCGATACGGTTCCCCATCGAAGTACTGAATATAGTTACGAAAACCAATACTTTTTCCCTCCTTTGGCTTGCGATTAACTTACTATAAATCCTCGAAAGTCTGGCTACGGTAAAAAATGTCAAGCATATCATTTAAACCATGGTATCGGACTACCGGAAAACACCGGCATTCTCACTTAAATTTTTTTTAATTTTTAAACTTTTGTAGTACCAGTTTTGCACAGGCTGTAAAGTTACCTCTGAAAGGACAGAAAAGCAAAGCTTCATGGTGGACGCTCCACAGTCCTCAGCACAGGCACTTGTAAGCGAACATACGGTCCCACTCTAGGTCAACATACTTAGCGTTTTTGGAGTTATGTATAATGATGAAGTGTTAATTAAACTGCGCAAATATAATAGTGTGATTAGCTACACAACCTGGTAAGTATATTTCACTGAAATTATAAACTGCTAGCTAGCAATGTCGTTGAATACTTCGTGTGAAAGTTTCTGTGAGCACAAAAATTTATTTCGGTGATCAATCAATACTATTTACACCAGATATAAAACTAAGTGTCACCGATATAAAACTAAACTAAACTAAATGTTGAAAAGTCACCAGCAATGGGTAAGACATTGTGCAATATAATTATGTACAATACATACTTCTCATATTACAGGTTTTCGCGTACCCGTGCACTGTTTTCCCGACTGGTCACTTGTTGCTTAAAAGCGTTGTCGACTCTCGATTTCCCATCCAACATATCGTTTCCGAGCGGTTTCAAATCGCTCATTATTAACTTCAGCATGCTGCCACCGCGTTATATTATCATAATAATAATGTTATTGCTTTTAAACGCTTAATTATGATTCTTTAACTAATATGAACTGAAACAACCATCAAGCCGGTACCTAGGTCATCTGTGTCTACAGCCAACCAACATGTACAATTTTGGGTTCCTACAAAATGCTACAAAATACAAATACAATGAAATACTCATATTGCATTTGAAAATGTGATCGAGCACCTAATTTGCACTGTTGCAAAAGCATATCAAGTGGCCACCACCAAATTTCACGATAAACAATGTTGCTCTTTGCACAAACATGCATTAGATAAAGGAAATCCAACCAAAGTATGATTAATAATTATATACAGCTAAAATACAGGTATCACAAAATGCGGTTACGGAAGTTTGACGCGGAGTGGCGCGGAATCAAACCATGACATCCAGATTAATTAAAGCACCATTTCCAAATGGCTTCGATAACCGTCGGTATCAGGTAAGGTGGTCAACTGAAATCAAGAAAAAGAATACTTAGAGTTGACCATAATTCATCCAAATTTCAACCAGTGTTAATTAATTGCAACATATTGTTCTGCAAAGGCGACAAACATATAGATAAGGAGATATTACCATTTAAAATAGTTATTACTATTCAACATACAGACAAAATAAAACATTAAAATATGACGTTAACTAATATTGTATTTAGGTCGAATTTATGCATAGCCATATATGTAGGAGGTCGCGTAATAGCCATAATGATCCCCCTGAAGCATCAAATTTTTGAAGCTGGTGTAAAAGATTATTAGCAACGCATACAAAATGACACTAGGGGAACATTTGATACTTGCAAAATGAAATGTCTCCATACAGCCCTCACAATGAATTAACAAACCATTCCTCTGACGTCGCACAAAAAAACGATTTTTGACGATTATCGCTCGTGGTGTAATAGTAATCGGATAAGATGACTTTTTTTACATCAAATGCAGTCATTTTACAAATCAAATTCACAGAGCCGGCTTCCATGTACACAGAAACAACTATATTTTGAATGCACAGCTGTATATGATTCCATCTTTGGTAACAAAATAAACAATTATCAACGGTAAAATGTGAACGGCCGTAATGGCCACTTTACTATAAGTGCCACGTTATACGGGCAATTTCGTGTTGTTATAAAGGGCACGCGTAATATAAATAAGTGTATGTTGGAAAAAAGCACATGTATGGATCGTTTGTACAGAAACGAGATTCTTCGCTTTCGTGTCAATCGTAGAATGTCTGAAAGACGCTTTTCGTTGTATGCTCTCGGAAACGATATTATCATGGCACAAATAGTGGCAGGAAGATTGAAGCATGGCCGTCAGATGCGATTCTACGTATATAGTTGCTGATCCCTGCAACGCATATTAGCTACAGATCATGCAGGAGGCTGTGTAACAGCTCTCTGGGCTTCTTTTAATTTTTCTACTGAATGAATTTGCATAATTAGTAAAGTCAATAATCCCAAATTGAAGCTTGGTTTGTGTGATCCATCGGCTTTTGACTTTTCCACCTTACGCGCCGCTACTATCCAAGATTAGCCATTAATGTTGCATAACTGCACTTTGTACATGTTAGGCACATACCGTACACTGTTTCAGCGGTTCATGCAGTGAAAAACTTCTTTTTTGTTTTGAAACACAATTTAGCTAAAGTGTACGTATATATATATATCAGGTCCGCGCACTTGGAGTACAGAATGAATGAACATTCCTTGTTCAACCATTCGTAATCTGTACTCCCAAAAAGCGGTCCTGGCCTTGTTCAATCTCCATGTTGTATCACCTAACACGATTTGAGATAATAATACTAAAATATTAGTATTGCAGTTTAGCAGTAGTATATTTCCTTTTTCTCCTAAAGGTTACTGGAATAGAGAGATGTCAATATATACAGAGTAAATATCAGCAGGTAATTTGGGCGTCTACGCACTATCCTTCTAGTTATTCTACGATAAAATTCTGCTTAATAAATGCATGCCAATAAGCAACTTAACTCGCTGGAGTCATTTATTCAGCATTGAATGCTGGAGAAAACCACTGCACAAACTGAAAACACGTGTTTATGACGTAAACTGAATTTATTCAAACGCAAAATGGTTATAGAGAAAGCGAGTGCGTGTACCTTTCGTTGCACTTGACGATTTGCCTTGAGATCGTTGTATTCTGCTGCCGGTCGTGATCTTTGGCGTAACCACAAACTCTTCTCAGACAAGTCCAGTATGTTAACGTTGCTGCTGTTAACGGGTCTAGAATCGATGACGTTCTCATTAGTGCTGGCTGCTGGGAAAGAAGTGGCAAAGTTGTTGCTATTTAGCTGGCCAGATTCCTGCAATTGCTTGACCTTTTTATACATAAATGAATAAACTGAGCGCAACTTTGGGGATATTTTTTCCAAAATCTGACGAATTCCACGTTAGAACTTTTAATATTTCTAGTTTAGCAAGCAAACACCCCAATGTTATCGTGTTGTACTTGGAAAGACTTTCACAACAATTTATTATATGCGTAACATACCGCGATATGCGCATTATGTGTGCTGTTCACTTTTGTTGACGGGATGATTTCCCGGTGGTAAATTTTTCCACTCAACGGGTTAACATTTTGATCATTTTCAGCAGGTTTTGCACGCAACGAAGTGGTCCTTCGAAAGGAGGTGGGACTGCTGGCTGAGACTTCTCCACTTCGCGTCGGACCGTGGAATGATCTGTGGCGAGTCGGTGGTGTGCGTACTGCCTGCCGACTACTGGCAGCGGGGGCAACGTACGCATTACCAAAAACTGGCGTTTTCATCGGTAGCATAGAGGATTTCCGAATAACTTCCTCCTGACGCCGAATGACCTTTTCTTTTTCCTTAATGATATCCTCCGCATGTTTTAGTGTGCGGACCATCTGTTCCGTGGCGGTCTTCTGCTGCAGCATGGCTTGACGAAGTGCCCTCTCGTGGTCAGTTTTCAGTCGGGAGAGTTCTAGTTTCAGTTGGTTATTTTCCTGATTTTTTATCTGGAGTTTGGCCTGTAGTTCGCTGGTGAGATTTTTCAGTCGTTGGATCTGTACCTCATTATTGCGCGTCACGCTGCTCTCGCGCCGTACAGCCGGTTCCGTCTGATGACCGCGAGCCGACCGCGGCGGCTGCAGGGCGGACGGCCGAAAACGGCTGGGAAAGCGGTGATCAAAGATACGCGGGGCCTCGTCGAAATGGGAACCCGATGAGGAATCAGGGTGTGTTGTAGTTGCATGGTTGCCGGTCACCACGGTAATTCCCGATGGAGTCGGTGGGGGAGAGGATAGGGAACGTATTACAGACTGCTTATACATTCTTGCTTGAAAAATATTTCTGATCCAGTGGGATAACACCTGTAACATAGACACACTCGATTTCAATCGATATTTTCACTCGCCTTGTAATATAAGAAAAGAGTTGCGATAAACCAATTTTACGAATTTTAACCAGTCATAGTTTACTCTCAAGCGCATTTTTTGTACAATAAAATGGTTTGCATTTCACGGTTCTAAAAGATACTTAATACTGCATAGTCTGCACAGTAAGTATTTTAAGTACTAGTACACGCATTTTCAAAAAGTTAGAAATTGTAATAACGTCCAATATTTGTTGCAGCACAAGAAGTGAACAACAGAAACTAAACTTATATGCGTGCATATATTTATATATCCGTACGTAGCGTACAATGCTGATATTTCCCATTTCGTACCACTCTATAAAAGCAACCCAATTTTTTTTGCCACCGTATTCCACGTATTTCTACGATAATCTGCTTGTATTCCTCTTGTGTTCCTGCTCCATTCTCCACTTTGCATGTATAATTTCAGTATTCTCTGCCAATGAGCCGGTATATATTCCTGCGTATTCTGCTTGCATTCCCAATGTATTTCCGGTGTGTTTACCATTATCTACTATCTAGTAGAGTGATTTTTAAGCAAGGCTGCAGTCTTTTTTAGTGTATCGCTATATTATTATTTATTATGTATTGCACACGTATTTTGCCCGAATTCAGAGCGTATTATAAATTCTTTAGTTAATAAACCGAAGAATGCATGGGGCACTGTGCACAATACGAGCAGAGTACCTGGTAATACGGTAAGGTGATGCCGGTAGACCGCAATCATTGAAGCGAGGCAAAAGAATCTGGAGAACACTTTGGGAATACAAGTAAGTAGTTATATAAGTGGGAATAGCCGGGCGCACTCTGCAGGCACAATCCACCTTGCTTGTGTGGGTCGTGACTAATTATAACGTCAGGTACATGCAGTTTTTAACAGTTTCCCACGTATTCGCGATGTACATGGTGAATACCGACAGCATAAAAGTAGAATACAGCGTATAGGTAGAATACGTGGGAATACGGTATACACTACAGGAAGACTGTCATCTATATACAAAAGCAAAATAATGGAGAATACACCGTTGACCTTACTACAGACAGAATATAGAGGTATACGACTATACGTGGAATACGGGGACCAAAATAGGGGTCGCCCTTAAAAAATGATATGAGATGGGCAGTACTGCCCATCTCATATCATTTTTTAAGGGCGACCCCTTTTTTGGTTCGCATAATTAGGTGTTCGCACCGGAAATAACTTTCAGTTTGAAAAAAAAACTTCATAATTATAAGCGCTGTAATAAGCGTCATTTCAATATATACATAACATTTCAATATACTGCTTATGCATATATTGTTAGATATTATGCGAACATGGGATCAACAATTTATCTGTACGTACTGCTGGCGCGCTTATAAGCAGACCAAGTCTCACTTACCACTAGAACGACAATCCAACAATGACGCCAATGTGGAAATCACGAAAGGTACTGTACCGGAAGCTGAGATTTTCCACAATGAATATAATTATTTGAGGGAAAATACTAGTGCTGTTTCAGCGTCCTTTGTATTCCAACATAAGATCGATGGATGGCAGATACAAAAATTTGGCTTCCAGTGTAGTTAACGCGTAATTTCAGGAAGGAGTGATCAAGAAATTTTTTATGTGGTTTACATATTGTTATCAGGACGACACTGTCTTATTATCTTTTCCCGTCCAGCTTTAGTACAGCCAAATAATGAGCATATGCAGAGTGGAACACTTAGTAAAAAAAACTGGACTTTGGTGTGCAAAGATGGTGGTGTTCCCGGGGAGGCTGTGGTGATAGGACTAAGACATCGTGAAACACATAAAAAAAGGATAGTCAGTAGAAAAGTTGCAAACAGGCGCAAAAAAACATCCGCCAGTGCATTTATCCGAACAACTGTTGTCAGCCGTAATATATACCTGTACGCGTAATGGTCGCGAGTCTTCACTTAACTATGGCTATGCGAAGCATAAAAATACTAAGACATCATTGCAAAATGATATTCATTGTGAATAATGGTATAATGGAGAAAATGCGGCAGGCGGCCATGACTGATGCCGGCGCGAGCGCGCGGTTGCATGTATATGAACTTGACAAAACATTATACTATTTTTCTAAGTACCCCTTAAGGCAATTAATGCGCTGCAATGAACTTTGCTGCACAGTTGATAAGAAGCTCTTAATGGAAATTAACAACGGATCGTTCGTGCGCTTTTAAACGTTCAAATGTTCGGCTTTAACTAACTGTTTGCATTCTACAAAAGATTGCCTGCAGATCGTGAATACGTTATGCATGCAGATATTGCATAGCGCATACTATAGAATACATGCGCTATGAATTGTACGCACAAACGGCACGTTTCCCTCAAACCTACTCTAGAAATGTTAATGCATAAGATTAATATCGCGAAAGCCGCCGAAAGGGGTGTTGGATGTTACAAGAAAATGGACACGACTGATTTTTTAAAGTGAATCTTGGAACTAAGGACACCTGATATTAAACTTACAATACGATACTGGAAAAGTAATAGATAGTTATTTCGCGTGAAATTTTTCAATTTAATTTTGAAATTCGGTATATTTATGTAATACTGCATACAGCTCGATCGAACGGTTGCCAAATATCCCATACTTCAATATCCAAGTTATTATTGTAATGTTACAGTAAATGTGGGTAGGTACCGGTAACTTCGCATACTGAGCACACGCAAAATGGTAAACGGGCATATGTACTAATATACTGTAATATAGCTATATTAATATTTTGTTTATCAAGTAAGAACAGTGAAGGTCACGTTTACCTGAGTCCAAGTAGTGATAGTTATTGTCTACTCTAGGGATAATTTATTTGTACTTTGCTGGCACTGAATGTGTATGTAAGCCCGACATACAGTAGCGATTGTCTCTTCAGCACCTGGTGGATTTTTCATTATTTTAAAAACTTCAAAGATTGAAAGGCTTATAAAAGAAGAACACTTACCCGGTACACGTGGTAGTCCAGCTGTTAGCTGGGAATTCCAGCTGACACAGCTAGACGTACAAGCTTCCGGTCATCTGCACATTACGCATTCGCCCTGTGGGGCAGTTACATGTTATGCGTTTGGCACTTATGGTTAGTAAGTACTTACACATACACATTACTGTGACGCAGCTCGTCGCAGCAAAGTACGTAGTAGTAGTACGTACCTGCTATGTACATACCGTGCAGCCCCATGCAATCGGTCCCGATATCTCACAGACGCACACATCTAATAAATCGTCACGTCAGTCGTCAGATGGTCGGGAAATGTCTTCCCTTTTAGACTTTAGTCGCTGACTCATCGGTTATTTGGAATTTTTAGTTTCCGTTAAACTCTGTGCCTCAGCCGATTGAATGTAAACAAGCAGGCATTAGTTTATCTTCTCGACTCGATTGTTTCTTTATGGCTGATTTGTAATGTGTTTACAAACGCTCGGTATGTTGTTACCTTGATGGCTTGGAGCTACTCGTACATGAGCCTTGAGGCTGGCATAGCCATTGTACGTAGTTCCTGCTCGTCTGAAACATTTGCGCTGCTATCGAACTATCTGTCTAGGATTTCACATCTCGCAGCGACGGAATTATCCTAAAAACTGTGTTGTCATTCATTTCTTGAAATGGTCTGAATGTGCAAACACGCAAATCTCTTCCAGAATTTCAGTGTGCTTAAAATAATATATTTGTGCGTTGAACGCCAAAATTAACGGCAGATGTCTGGAATCTCTAATCGGCAATGCCGCAATCGTATCAAATCGACGTTGCTGATCGGCTGCATCTGATATTCCTTAGCTGGTTATTACCGGAAATTTAGCTCCGACATGTTGTTTTTAACGCCTCTTCTTTGACTGACGAAGAAGTGCTCACAGACTTGCTAAGTCCAATGACACCATGGCCACCAAGTGGACGACGAACTTTGCAGCGCACTCGGTCTCGCAAAACGGCGCTCCTCTGGCCGATCTCAACCATGAAATGTCCCCTTCCTTGGACACGGCCAGCTCCAACGGAAGCTACAGTGGACCAGAGCAGCCGGAGCGTTGGGCAGATCGTGGCAGTCAGCAGTCGCACCGCCATCATCATCGCGATCCAGCCAGCGAAGAGTTCTTCAATTCGCATCGCTACGACGATCTCCTGCCGCTCTGCCTCGATATCGTGGACGAGCGTAAAGAAAAGGGCAAACGAACGGTGGTAAGTTTTCTTTTTCGCTCTCGGATGGTCAGTTATAAAACTTTTTAGACTGCCCTTTGTTTGGTTGTGCAGACGTGCTGGTCATATTACGGACAGTAATAAGTAACTGAATTATTTTAATCAGTTAACAGTTAACTAGAAGTTAATCTGGAAGGCGCATGCGGAAATGCGAGTCGTGGAGTTCTGATTCGGTTATTGCACTGTGACTAACGCTACCGGAAGTATGTTTTATTTACCTAGAACTTCTGCGTGAGTTAATTTTAATATCTGCCTGCAGTTGTCTTCCTGATTTGGTGCGCTGCCAAAAATAATGAAGAATGTCAGTTTTCGATTTCTGCGTCTGTCTCGCGGAATAAATTAACATGCACGGTGAACTGTGATAATAGCATCGTCACGCTTCCATTTCGTCTGCATAGCAGATCAAGTGGCCTTCGGGGGTGCATAATTAAAATGCGAGGTTTCTGATGCGTGAAAGCGCAACCACATGTGGGGTACCCTGCTTTCAAGGTCTGCCATGACTTTAATGTATGATAAATGTGGACATTTGATTTTGGTAATTTTTTTTGTCCGATTTCAGTTTCAGCTAGTTGCTTTGTAAATTAGAAGAAATAGAAGAATTTTAATGTAGCAGCTCTGACGCTCTGTGTGAATGAAACTAACTGTTTCTTCTTGGGATGGTCCGTCTTGGACCGCTATAACATTTTTACGATTGCCATTAAAAACATCTGATAGATGGAGATGGATGCACTCGGCAAAAGAGCTGTCAGCAAGCACAAATATTTGCAATATGGATATGTGCTCTTTCGGCACAGACACATGAGACACATACTTAACAAGTGTATTTATGCAGAAAGATGATGCAGCTGTTTAGTCGGCTGTGCGTATTTTCATTTCCGCAGTGTTCACGGTTTCCCAGTGTTTGTTGATTTTTAGATGTACACCGTTCGTGTACGAACAGGCCCGTTCAGTGACGCTGCCTACAAGGATTTTATGGTGGAAATTTCCTGTGATGCCCTGCACCAGCTGGCCGCTGATCTCAAACGCGAAGGCTATGCGCCGGGATGTACTCCGGGACATTCTCGAACTCGCAAAACCAGCGGAAGAGAGCGCGAAGAATACCATCACGAGACCGTTGAACCGACCGCTTCACCCTGTCCATCTCCGGTGCCTAGTTTGGCCAGTGATCAGTCGTCCGCGTCCAGTGTCGCCGGGGAACTGGATGTGCTGACAGCACTGCCGACCAATATGGCAACAATGGCTTCGACAAAGCCGGCCATCAATGCTAGGCGCACCTATTGGCAGGTTGGTAATCATGGGAATTATCCTGCTTTACAGTTAATTCTAGTTTCTTGCTATCTGATTCTCATTCTGTGATGCACATTAACAGAGTGCCGAATTATCCCAAGAATTTGAAAATAGTTCGCTTGTTGCTTTTGCTTTAGAAGATGAATAGACCCTCTTGTCTATGTTGGACAGTTTCTTTATGCAGTGTAGCTGCTTGTTGATTATAAATTTTGCAATACTTCAACTAACAGTAAGAATGATTGCATTTAGGAATTTCTGCAGTCGATCTGCACTAGCCTTTTGGCTTGTACCAACCCCTCCCTGCGCTATCTCTTATTTCCGAAGTTGGGTTTGACCGATTGGCATGGTAAGTTTTGTCGTACTATTTGTTTATCGCGATAGTTTAACTTGATAATTTTCTTGTAGGTTTAGCTATGCAACATGCGAAGATGGTACTAAACAGCGAAGGAATATGGGAGATCGATGAGCGATTGCCATGCATTGGCTGGCGGTTTGCCAAACATTACGCTATTGTCAGAGAAAGCCTGAACCGGGATTCCAAACTGATGATGAGCTGGGTAAGGTTGCAAAAAAATCGATTCATCGTGATAATATTCTTGGAGGCAACTGTTTTAATTGCTGATGTAGACCTTCGTGAACCGGAAATACTCGCACGTGGAAGTGAAAGAGCGCCAGGAAGCGTTGAAGCAGCTGCAGGTTTTACACCTACAGGTCACTTGTTGTTGTTGTTTACAAAACGCCTAAACAGGGAATAATTGGGGAAATTTTTTTGTTATTTGCAGCATCCATTGATATTTCCTATCGTTTATGAAAGTTTTCATGAAGCGGGGTGCCTGATTATGGAACCCATCTGCTCCGGTGGTTCGCTGAAGGATCGCATTTATAAATCTCGGTTTACCAAACATTTTCACAAAAAGTATATACGTTGCCACGAACGCCGGCCGTTTAGTTTGGATGAAGTGCGTACATATGGTCGACAGATTTTGGAGGCTTTGAATGTTATCCACGAAGCCGGCATACCTTATGGTAATAAGATCTTTAATGGTTACCTTTTTGCGTGATTTACGTATACTGTGCTTTGGTTACTTTACTATAGCTGACTGGACATTATTAGATGGATAAAAACCGTTATTTCTTCTGTTTTTGTGCGTTTAATATGGACTAGATTACCGAAAATTTTTGTAAGGTTCTGAGTTGCTCTTGGACAAAAGGGCCTTCTGTGGACTGTGTATACTTTAAACGGAAGGGTTTTTTTTTCAGGAAATCTGCACGCTCGTAATGTAATGCTGGAAAGGGGCACATGTCGTCTGGCCGGTCTTCACAACTCCATTATTGGCCTTCCTGCCTATTATCGCCCGTATCTTGTACAACTTCCAAAAATCTCGGTAGGAGATTGTTGCGGCTTTTGTTTATTTTATCCTGACCGTAGATACCTTTTAGATGTTTCCGTCTATTGATGTGTACTGTTTTGGGAGGATTTTATATGAAATGACCTTTGGAGAAGGTCTGGATGCACCGTGCATTGAATCTCTGCCGCCTGAGTGTCCGTCCGATGTTCAGTCCATTCTCAATCTTTTGATCACTACCGAGGCGTGCTTTGTTAAGGGCATGCCAACTGTAAAATTTCTCCTCTCAATTCCGTAAGTAAAAAGTCTTCAGAAACGGAAATGTGGTTTGCATTATGTTTTGTCTGCAAAGGTTCTTCAGCTCGGTGACCATGCAAGTGGAATGTCCGCCCATTCGGCTAACAAGCAAAGTGGTCGGATTCTGTCGTGGGCTGGCCGAACGCATTGAAAAGCGTCTGAGTGAAGGCGAAAAAGTATGCTTTTGTTGTTTCGTTATTCCATGACGCGTTTGATTTGTGTTCGGTGTTCCGGCTCGTTTCTGCAAGCTCTGCTTGGTTTCTGCAATAATCTTCGGTTGTTTCTTTATTCGAATCATATGGTTTTGTGTTTTCAGGGTATCTGATTAAACATTAGGTGTTTTAAAGCAGGCAGTGGTATGTAGTTTTTTCTCATGGGTGTCAACTGATGTTAATATTTGGCAGACATTCCATAATACGGTTGTGAAAGACGGTCCCTTTTTCCGGCCAATTAGTCCAGTTTTGGGACGCGTGAGAAAAAGTGGAAGCATACAGGTTTGTATAGGATTTATAAACACTATAGTCGGACAGTAAATGGTTATGGATTATATATGTAGTAAACGGTTTCATCAGTTGTTTTTGCTGTATTTAATTCCAGCGTTGAAATTCAAGGCGCGAATTGAATTGGTTTGGGACTTGAACATGCTTAAGCGTAAATATTTGTTGCGTTTTAGGTGATACGTAGATTTTTCTCTCCCTCCCATAAGAAACACCGGAGTCCTTCGATGGGCTGCTTTGCTTTAGCATCCGCTAGTGCACAGGATACCGGATCCGAGTCAGCTTCGGACGTGGAAGATGCCCAGGCGCTGGCCTTGCGAGCCAAACAGACACGCAGTCGCAGTTTGGACATGCATGCGCACAAATCCGCGGCCCTCGTGGTGCCAGTCTCCCCTTCTCAAGATGTCAGTCACGCTGCCGTTCCCAGTGTTTGATTCCCACTGATCATCATCATTATTTATTTCCTTTTCGCTTAAATGCGTTGGCTCCTGTCACAGAGCGCAGCATTCAAGAACTTGCGTTTAATCTTTAAGTTCCTCTGGTTTGATCTGATCGTCCTGGAATTTGCCTATGATCCCGTGAATGTGATCACTTAGACCGGCCGATAAAAGTATGGATCGTCTGTAAAGAGTGGGCTAAATTGTTGAGTAGCATGGTGCTGCGTGTCCGTGACGCTGTTTTTTTCCGCAGTACTCTGTATGCGTGCGGCATTATCTGCCATCATCCGAGTTTGGTTTCCCTCATACGCACTTTTGATTTCTGCGCGAAACTTGTTCACGGTTCACAAGTATCGGTTGATGTACAGTACTTATAAGTCTCCATTTTATTTTTGTTGACAGCATCAGACCCAGTGTCGCTTTGTTCAAGTCTGACGGTTAACTGAATATAACGTACCTTCAGCTTGATTCTGCTTTTATTTTTGACATGTCCCTGTGATGCTTTTGAACGGAGTTTGTCTAGCCGGCACAACAGATCGCTAAGGTTCGGCCGTGAAAAAAAAATCTTGATGATAGTTATTACCGGCCGAAACCAATTAAACAATGGATTTAAATGTTGACTGGAAATTTCTTTTAAAATGCAGTTTGGTTTCTGGAACAGTCCAGAACGTGCTGCACGATTTCCAAAATGCATTGACTAATTATAGCTTCTTTGTTACGAGTTAATTTGTTGCAGTGGTCAACAGACTCAACACGGATTTTAAGCTTTGGATACGTACTAGAGTAGTAGTATGGGCCGTATGCGGTTACCACTCATTAGCTCTTTAAACAGTTTTTTTCTCACATACCGGTACCTTATACGAAGGAAATCCCTAGATCATTTCTGTGTGAACTCGGATCTCTCGTTTCTGGTTCTTATCGCGAGATATAAATTGCTAACATAGTACAATTTCAACAATTCCTCTTCTAAAAAGTTTCGGCGTCCTGGCCAGGGACAAAAATACTATTGCACGGTGCAAATCTGCACCCATGCGATGTCTCTGGGCGGATGCCATAGCGATCCGATATTTGTATGGTGAGAGCCATGACGGCAGTGCATCTCCATTCAGCAGATCCAATCAGTCCAAGTTTCTCGTTTCCGCTTGTTTATCGTCCCAATCAGCTGATCCGATCATTCGCTTCAGCGTAGTGGAACCACTTTTCTAGCCAGTTACCAGTCGCTGTTCTGGATTTTGCTCATCTGCTGTTCGGAATTCCGTGTCGAGTACTGCGCAGTAGTGACCGGGTTTCTTTTCGGACCAGTTGTGCGGAAGGAGCATGCAGAAAGTGCTCCACAATATTAGCGGTTTCCAGCTCCCAGAATCTTTGCTTGCCACGGCTTGTCAGTTCCTGTTGAATTCCATTAGAAAAAGAACACGTCTTCCATAGTACGGATTGCTGTTCTGGAGCTCTTGTAGGAAAATGGCAAATCTCGGAATGGTTAATAATACTACTTCTCTTTCGGATGATTTCGGTATTCTGCCAAGAATCATTGCGGATGACTTCTTACGGGAGCCCTTTAGATTTATCTGGGAAAGCATGTTAAGTCGCTACACGAAATTCCAGATCTCTGTTTTTGGATCTGTCCTAGTACACGAAGTGAGTGACAGCATTCTCTTCTAATGTAGCTTTTATGCGGCAGTTACTTTGGGCATACAAGTGTGGGGTATTTCATAGTTTTCATAGTCGGATGTTTTAGTAATATCTATACTATTTACTTTACAAAACAAAGTTTAAAGCAGTAGTCACTGAGTAGTGGCTGGTCATAGCCGTGAGAATTATTTCATAGTTCAGTTTTCGAATTTTGTGTATCGGGGAAATGTTACATTAGGCCCATCTATTTCATGGCTAGAATCTAGATTCCGCTAGAATAGTAATAAACCTTTAGTTGAGATAAATACATACATTATGTGTACCATGTGGTGATGTCCTTTTGCCCGTTTTGCAATGTTGTAGATTGTTTACTTCGGAGCATGCCTGCCGGCGTTTATGTTCCAGTTCATTCCCTTTATGCAGCGCTTTAAAATCCAAAGGAATAAACCTGAAACATTTGAACAGCAGTGGAAATGCTTTAAAAAATTAATGTTTAGCCATTTCTGCATTCAGGTATGAGCCCGTGGATATTGATGCTTATTCAGTTTGATTCCACATCATCCACGCCTGTTTCGCTTGTGCATCTTTTATAAGCCTACTTATTTTTTTGTATGTTTTCAGTTCCCGCTGATCTGCGGGACCTTTACATTTACCGAGTACTTCGATATTCCCTACGCTTGGGATTCCATGCCGCGCTGGTATGTCTTAACGGGGCAAGTACTGGGCTGCGCGGTAATTGAAGACACATGGCATTATTTTCTTCATCGCGCACTGCACCATCGCAGCATCTACAAACATATCCACAAAATTCACCACAATTATCAGGCAAGCATTCGGTCTGTGCCTGATGATGATTTATTAAGGTCGATAACAGCAAGTTTTTGACTGTCTTTCTAATTCATCTGATTTTATGAATGATAAATTGAAAGTCTGTTGTTCTTGGTGTTACAAGCGGTGATTCGCTGTGTTTTGTGTTGACAGGCGCCGTTCGGTATGGTGGCTGAGTATGCCCATCCGGCGGAAACGTTAATCTTGGGAGCGGGATTCTTCATCGGCATTATGACATTTTGCACACACATTATCTTGCTGTGGGTGTGGGTCACTTTCCGGCTGCTGGAAACGATTGACGTGCATAGTGGTTATGACATTCCGTGGATTAATCCGTTTCATTTGGTTCCGGGTTATGCAGGTACTCTGTAGTTATGAACTTGGGGTCCACACAGGCTGGTTTTTAGATGTTGTTTTTCGTTTAGGAGCCCGCTACCATGACTTTCATCATCAGAACTTTACTGGCAATTATGCATCAACATTTACTTGGTGGGATAAATTGTTTGGAACCGATCGGCAGTATAACGAATTTCTCGCCGCAAAGGGTACCGATGATAAGAAAGGCCAGTAATACTATGCGACGAATTGCAGAACCTTGAAATTGAAACGCGTGTGATCCTTGTGGGTGTCAGACTGCTCCCATAGTGGCGCACTGATGATTGTTCATGGAATTTTGTAGGAAAAACACGTTTTTGTTGGACTGTTGGAATTTTTTATATCGATAAAATCGTTTGATTTATCCGTGAATTTTATTACGAACATAAGTGACATTCTGTGATATGAATTTGGGTTGCGCTTAGCATTCTGAAATTTCGTCTGAACTTTTATGTTTTAATTATTCGTACGAGTATGTATTGACATTGTTATCCAGCCAAAATAAACTTGCCAGTAGTCTCTGCATTTGAATACGCCATTTTTGACTGTAGTTTGCCCTTTATTGACTTTACATGCTGATGCGATACACCAAATGTTGCTGAACAAACATTAGTTTTAGTACTGTTGCAAATCACAACCGCATTAGCACTGCTTTGATAAATAAATTCTGTCCCTGTAGGCTGGAAAACCGATATGCAGTTTACTTCCAGTTCCTGTAAACGGAGCGGTCAGCTACTGCCAACCTTTATAATGAAAAGATTACAGTATCACTTCTTATAACGATAGTGTATCAGCATTGCCAGCGTTGGACATTCATAGCCTGGTCGAGACCAGCGATATCTCAATAACTCAAAACAGCAACGTCCGGTGTGCGCGTATTTCACGCTTTCATCCCTGCTTGTTAGGACGTTTCTCCGCAGCCAAAACCGTACCGTTTCTTCCCAGTCTGATTGTTTTTTCAGTATTTCCTGCGTCGAACCGTTCAATGTTTTCCGCAGCATTCGGGGAGTTCTCAGAAAGGGTTGTTTCCAGAGTACTTCGGGACCGGAATTCCGGCGCTTTCGGATGCCGACAACTGGCGGTTAATTTCAGAAAGCGCATCAGATATATCCGACTGACGCCGCAGTAGATTAAGAAATTGACGGAAAAATTGATGTACAAGAACTGGTAGTAAAATATCAGAAATATCACACTGTCATTGTCCGATATATGCGCTAAGCAGTGCCGTTCCAGTATCAGCAGAATATACCAGGATATAAAGGGAATTCGGCAGATAAGAAACAACACCACCGAGGCGGTCAGAAGGCGCACGGTTGTGGCAGCGCGGGTTTCCTTTTGCTGAAAATTTACGACAACTTCTCCTTTTTTGCGTTCCAGCTGGAGGCAGAATTTTGTGAATTTATCCAGGTCAACGTTTCCGCCGGTGGCTGATGGCTGCAGCATGCGGCGCTTGATCAGGATTAACAACACCAGAACGTTGATAATCAACATTGCCAGGAACACCCCCACGGGAATCGCCAACTAATACGGGCATAATTGTAGAATACATTAAAATAACGAACAAAATTTAAATTGATCAGAATGCCCTTGTCTAATGCGAGGGCGGACTTACAGTTCCGATATCCTCAACATCGCGCCATTGCTTAAGCCATGTAGAGTTCTGCGCTGGCTTGTCCTGCGTACCGTAATCGACCATTTGGTAAATTTTGGCAATGCCGGCCAACGGTATTATGCAGGTGATCAGTATTCGAATTTTTGTTTTGGTGTACCAGATGGATGAGAATGGATCAATGACGGTTAGCAGCCGTATCAGACTGAATATCAAAAGTGTCCTAGAAATTTCAGAATTTGTTCCTTAATTTTTATGATGACTATCATCGCTACCTGAAGCGTAAACGTAAAGGCATACCAATCCGAACAAAGCGCTGCAACGTTGCCGAAGTACTCGATGCTCGTCAGTGTCGCCCAGGCTGCTTGACCGGCAATGTTGTATTCCCCTACCCGATCCTGGAAAGTTATAATTACCAGAAATTTAGAAATAAGCGGAAACTGATGCAAGTCAAATTAAATGACGTAGCCAAGTTGTACAGTATACCAGTCTATTATACCCGATAGGCCTTACCAAGGCCTCACTTTGTAAACTTGCAATTATTCCGTAAAATTCCTTATACTGTGCATAGATTGGCCTCTGCTAATTAGAATTGGTATGTACGTAGCACGTTTCCTACACTGTCGTTCCGCACAGTTAAGATTAACTCGTAAGTACAGCTTACCCGGATGTACATTGCAAAAAACCAGGACCACCTGAAAAGGACGAAAAATTCACTGTTAATGTCATGCGTACAGTATGCGTATAACATGCATCATTAAGCTCGCAGGATATGATTATGCGAGTACAAATACAAATATGTACAAATTCACAGTACGTCAGTAACAAAGGAACTACGAATTCAAATTTGATTGTATAGTGTTGCTGGTATACATGAATATCATATCAAAAGCAGCCACTGAAACCAGAAATGTTGCCTGGAACGTGGTGATTTTTCTCAGGAGAATTATGTTGATGATATTGCCGGTTGTGCAGATTAACAGCCAAATTGGACGCAGGACACTATCAGTATATTTGAAGCCGGGCTGGCTATATATATAAATAAAGTTCCGCTCCGGCCAGCCACAATGAGTTGCGTTTTGGCTCATTGCTGCCGTATTAAAGAAATCAAATAAATATAAACAATAATTTTACCCAATAAAAATGCTTTTGCGTCAAATTCACTGTAACAAGAAATGTTACCGAAGAACGCAGTTTGGGTCCGCTAAATCTGAATCTGACTTGCGTACGTTCGAAACAGTAGTTCTAGCGTAGAAGAGTATCTATCACCCATTTGTATTTGGCCAACTGCGTATTTGTAAAAGACGAAAATCAATGTAAGCGTACAGCGCAAAATGTAAGCGGCGAATGACGGCGCGATAGAAACCCAAATTTGACATGATTATTGCAGTAATACGACAGCGCAAAATTTTTCTTAGCCTGAAATAGAAAAAAACTAAACAGTTGCTCACGAGTAAACTGTAATATCGAAGCCGTCCGTTTGGATTAGAAAACGAAAACATGGCCCGGTACGAGACGTTTCACGGTATTGCCTAATTCACAAATAGCATTCTAGCCGCGGGGATATGACTGCGTAAATAAACGAAGGAAAATCACCAAATATTGTTCTAACGGTTAGGTTTATTGTTTCCAGGTAAGTAGCGGTTTTGCAAAAATTACGGTGAAGCTTACGGCGAATGACGGCGCGATTTGCGCAGGATTCAATGTGAGCAAGAACTAGTATGCTTAAACATTATAGCGTATTATTATCATATTATTGATTACATGAATGTTACATAATATTATCGCGCCTGCTTTTTATTACTCGATTGGCTATTGCCTATTAAATTATGTTATTCATTTATTAAACTGACCACTTTCGTTAACTGAATAAAGCAGCGGAGTATCAACGTCATTCGTTGAAATCCAGTGGAGCTACCACGATATCATGGATTCCGTGGTGCTACGATCGTCATCGTAATGTGCGTTTTCATGTAAAATTTGAAGAGGATCGTTTCGTAATGAGACTTTCGGTTCAACTCGATGCGTTGCAACTTTTGGAATTTTGTTTCATTGATATCTATCCAACCAGACGTTGCGTGCGCAAAATGTTTTCACGCCGGTGTAAACAAATCATTTGGCTAAGGAATGTTCTAGAACCATGCAAAAAAGAGTTTGGGAGTGCGCAAAGCAAAAGTTTTTGCACATGCACACGAATGGTACCACGTACTTGTACCGGCACACTTCCCTTAACACAAGGTTTGCAACGATAGCCAACGATAGCGGCGATAGCGATTTGCAACGACAGGGGTAGCCGAATTACGTGGCATCTACTGCATTAAGCGAAATTTTGAGAAACAAAGTGCACAGATGAAGATCCAAATTACAAACAGCACTGAGGTTACAATGAAGTTAAAATGTTTACTCGGATTTGTAACAATATACGAATACATAGGGATATAAGCGCATTAAAACAGGAACAACAAAATTAATATCACACAAGAACTTGTGCACATACTAAAATTAATATCATGCGCTTGAAGTATCACTGAATAATCAATTAAAAGAGTATCATATCTTCGTGCACTGTTTTGTCATGCCGATTGGATTCCAAGATGGTACACCAACGCTGCGTTGCTTGCAACTGAGCATGGGAATGACCTTGCGATATTTTTGTAAAGAATTCTCACGGCAATTTATAAATGATTACATACACCATGCGATTCCATGTTCTGCACGTAGGGAAACTACTTACAATTACTGTAGTATGTAGAACATAACAAGTGTGTGCAACCGAGCTGGACACCAGAAACAATACCTTCCGGATTCGAGTATTTCGAATGTCCGTCACTAGCCACCGATCAGGTATGGCATACACGATGTCGATTAAAAGTCGTTAACTATCTTTGCTTGCTGCAGCATCCACAGCAATCACCGATCCGTTCTCATTCAGTGTAATTGTCTTATCAATCGCCCCATATGCAACGCCATCGTTGTCGAGATTCGCCTGGCCCGATGCTTGACTATCAGTTTCGAAAAAGGGGTTGTCCGAAACGATGGTTTCCGTAGTTGCTCGCGAATTATACACCGGTGGTTTGGGACGTGGACGGCAATGCGTAATTAAATAGAGGAACCGCGAAAAATATGCGCGGCTAACACCACAATAAATTAAAAAATTAACAGAATAGTTCATATACAGAAACTGATAATAAAATGGTAAGAATACTGCGCTCTGATCGTCCGTCAAATGGACCAAACAGTGTCGTTCTGCCTCAATCAGAACATACCATAACACAAAGGGAATGCGGCAGATCAAAAATAGCACCACGGAAGCGCTTAATAACCGAACAGTGGCCGATGCTCGAGATTCTTTTTTATGTGATTTCACGTAGACTTTTTTCTTCGTGTGCTCCAGTTTTAAGGCGAATTTCTTGGCATTTTCCACTCCTACATTTTCGCTGGCTGAACCGGAAACCAACATCCGTCGTTTTATCAACACAGCCACAACCATCGCGTTGATTATGAACATTGCTAGAAACACTCCAGCGGGAATGGCTAACTACAAAAGGTCACAACAATATAACAATCAACCTACATTATTGTATAATAGAACAGGGTAAGGGACTTAGCGGCATACATACAGTGCCAATATCTTCCACCTGTTGCCACTGTTTGAACCATGTAGCATTTTCCCCTGGCGTGTCCTTTACGATAAATTCCACAACAGGGTAAATTTTGGTGATACCGGCCAGTGGAACGAAAGCGGTGATAACCATCCGGATTCCCCGTTTTGTATAAAGGAACGATGAAAATGGATCGATCACTGTCAATAGCCGTACCAGACTGAATGTCAACAAAACCCTACAAACACAAACAACTTAATGTAATATAATGTGCAGTAAAGTAGGGACAATTGAAAGTTGAACAAAACAAGCTGCAAACCCAATACGTAGTTCGCAGAGTGCGGTTGCGTTTTATCTATTCTTTTTTCACTTACTGACTTTTTTCACTTTCACTTACAGGCCATTACCAAGATTTATACGTCTGAGCGAAGCTAGTTTATTAACGCACCAGTCTGAACAGAGGCCCGCCACATTTCCAAAATATTCGCATGTGGTAAGAAATCCCCAAACCGAGTGGTTCTGGATATTTTTGGCTCCAATCCTATCCTGTAAAAACACAAGGACAAATCTTCCTGTAAAAACACAAGGACAAAATCTTCCAGTATTATATATGCTAACGATTTACTGTAGCGACAACATCTGTATGTTACGTACATAAGTATTATAATGTATGTTATTATTAATTATTATTATTTTTCCTTACTCGGATGTAATACACTGACCATGACCACCTATAACAGAAATAACTGTCAAGTTCAGCAGATATTGCACTCGCAGCACCACAAACATCATATTATTAAGTTTTTAGTTTATTGTACTCACATAAACACCAGATCAAAAACAGCTACGGCCACTAAAAACGTTGCCTGAAATGTGCGAAGCTTTCTCAAGAGAATTATGTTAATGATATTCCCCGCAGTGCAAATGATCAACCAGATTGGGCGCAAAACGATGTCGGTGTACTTGAAACCAGGTTGATCCCATATGTAATGGAAATCTCTTTCCGGCCAACCACAATGAGTCCCGTTGGAATCTGCTCCCATGTCGACCTTTTTTGATTCCGGCAGGAAGTAGAGGTCATCACGCCGACATATTTCCGTATAATAATGCGAAAAAGTTCGATAAATTAACCTTGCTAATCATATTGTCAAATATTCTAAATGTTACTTGTAATTGCAATTGCATGTAGAATCGTAGTTAAGGACGCCATCAACGATTCAACATGAAGACTGCGAATTCTTATTCGCCCAACGTTTTTTACGGAGTTGCGGCTTGAGCTGTATTTAAGAACTGGTTGTCTTTACAATTAATTTAGTTGGAGATTTGAAAAGTATTTTGTAAGCTAATTACCGGTAAGCTTAAACAAATGAACCAATATACGTTAGCGTTCACATGTCTCGGTTACAGATTCAATTTTTCGTTGGTTATTGTACAAGTACATGGCTCAGAACGGAATGACGCGAACCAAAATATCTCGCGGCCCCGGTTGATGATATTTGCGGAATGCAGTGACCGAAGGAAACAACCAAATAATCGTGTTTACCAATAGGAGTTAATTATTTCCAAGCACGAAAGCTACCCTTCTGTCAACAGTCGAAGATTTTACAAAACAATCGACGGCAATTTCCCCGTTAATGTATTTTTTACGATTATGCGTACAATTACGTGCATTACAACCCATTGTTAGCTTAATTACTGCAGTTAAATCTAATAGTATTATCCTAACAACCGTGTACAGTAGTCATATTACGAATAGCTAGAAAGGTCGTAAGTGGGTTTTATGTAAGCTTATTTAGTGCATATTAACAAATTAATAGTCTGCAAGGACCCAAAAGTGTGCTCTTTGGTTACTAAAATTAACAGACAAAATCCATTTAACATATTACGCAATAATTGATTTTCTATCAGGCAGAAATATGCAAAACAGAAACAAAGATTGCAGCTGCTGCACCACGGAAACAATAAACAAATTTTGTCCTCCAGTATCGGTAAATATGGAATGGTTGCAAAATGGAGATCCGCATCATGGCTTATATACCGCAGTAGTCACACTGCCGTGCCCCCACGCGTGCATCTGCAAACTGCTGCTAATTATTCATTATTCAACAGGTAGACTGTCCGCTTTTGCATGGCCTTAGCGTCTTCGATGATCTTCTTTGGACACTGTATTGGGATGTTGGGCCCTGCTTCGTGGTGGTTCACTGCTGTTCTGAGGAGCTATTCCGTCTTCGCGCTGTCCGTCCCTGACATCATTGTTAGTATTTCGATTTTCCGCTCTATCTGTTGAGGATTGTTGTTGGGATTTATCGTCGTCTTCTTTTTGCTTCCGAGGCTTTTCATCAACATTTCGTTTTGACCGATTGGCAGATTGTTCGTCGTTCCTGTTCGAAGCGATTTGATTTAGAGATTCCTGCTTCGTCCCTTTTCGCAAATCCCCATCGCCCTTTTTCGGTTTTGCATTGTTCTTTTCAAAACCTTCCTTGTTTGTTCCACTTTCTCGTGGCTGAGATTGTTTTTTCGCTTGATCGTCGCGCTCAATGCTTTCTTCGTCGCTCCAGTCGGAAACTGTTTCCTTCTCATGCTCCTGTATTTCTCCCTTTTCGAGGTCTCGCTTCACTTTCCTTTTCGCATCTTGATTGCTCTCTGCACTATCTCGCCGTTTAACGGGCGTTTTCGGTTGTTTTATATGATCAACCGACGCCGCATCACTCTGATCGGAAACGGACAATGTGTCATCATAGATGATCGGCCTCTCCGATTCCCGTCGCGCCTGTATCTCCAGTGCCCTTTCCAACTCCGCGCTAATGACCGGTGCAGTGGTCATCTCCGTATCCTTGGACTTCGAGTGCTCGGAGTGCCTATCCAAGCGAGATGTCTGCGGGCGTCGACAATGGCGGATCATCCAAAGCGCTCGCGCGAAAAACTCCCGACTCACGCCGCAATATATCAGAAAATTAATGGAATAGTTTGCGTAGAGAAACTGGTAGTAAAACGGCAGGAATATCACACTTTGGTCATCGGTCAAGTGGCCCAAGCAGTTCTTCTCTGCTTGCCCAATAACATACCACGTGACGAAGGGGATTCGCGATATGAGGTACATGATGACGGAGGCCGTCAACAAATGCACGGCAGCGGCCGTCCGCTTATCTCGTCCATGTGATCGCACCGCCACGTTGCCTTTCTTGTTCTGTATGTTTAGTGCCCATTTGCGGGAGTTGATAACACCCACACGCTGCCCTGTTTCGGATGTTTTTAACATTCGCCGCTTAATTAGAATTCCAATGACAATGGCGTTGATCAGGAGCATAGCGATGAACGTTGATAACGGTGCGGCTATCTACAAGTAACATTTTGTCAAGAGACCCTTCCACATTGACAGGGCGTGCAATTTTGACAAAGGTCACTAACGCTGCCGGCATCTTGCACGTGGCGCCAGTTCTTTATCCAAGTGTCCGTGGCCACTTTGTTATCTTGAGTGGCGTATTCCGCTACAGAGAACATGTTGCTGGCAGCCGCAAAAGGGATAAAACACAGAATCACGATCCGCATCCGGCATTTCGTAAAACGCGTCGCCACTCCGAATGGATCAATTATGCTAAGCAAGCGTGTTATGCTGAAAGCTACAAGGACCCTGCAAAACAACAGCATGTAGGTAGGCGCATGGAAGATTTCGTTTTGAGAGATCCGTACCAGTCGGAGCACTGTGTAGCAACATTCCCTACAAAACCGAAACAATACAATTTTGTACGTAATTAAGTCAAAGACTACAAATGAAACATTGTTGAAAATTACTCACCAAAAAACTCGCATGTTACCAAAAATGCCCAGATGGATGGGTTTTCGATATTAGCGGCTCCTACTCGATCCTGTATAAAACAGTCCACTGAGTCCACGATCACTTTTTTTATTCACGCCACATAGTACCTGTTGCTTTGGTGTACAAAGTGTTGTGCATATTTTTCTGTACTAAAATTAGCGGTGTTTTCAACTTACCCTTATGTACAAGGCAAACCATGACCACCTGAAAAAGGTCTTGGGTTTAGTAAAGTATTTACTTCAAGCATACAGAATTTTAGCAAATTAATATGTTCATATGGCTTGTTAAGTTTAACCTGTTTAACGTACTTTAACGTTTATTGCTTGTGTTTTTAATACTGGAAACGCTTATTTCGGTACTTACATATAAATTAGATCAAAGAATGCAACGGACACCAAAAATGTTGCTTGGAATGTCTTAATACGACGCAGTAGCAGTATATTGGTGACATTCCCGACCGTACAGATAAACAGCCAAATTGGACGTAGAATGATGTCAGTGTATTTGTATCCGGGTTGATCCCATATGTACTGGAAATTCCTTTCCGGCCATCCACAATTTGTTACGTTTTTCACTGTTTCGTTAACCATTTTGTTCCCATGCGGATTCCTTAACTTATGCAAACGCTTATGAACAATACTAATACAGTGGAAAAATTTAATATTTCACAAGAATGTCCGCCAGATTAATAATGCGCGTCATCATCCAACTTTCGAGCAACAACAAAATTCAAGATGGCAGAAAAGTAAGCGGCGTATTTGTTGACTAGCCAGTAGCCACGCGGTTTAATGTGACAGATCCGCTCAGTTGCAGAGATTAAAGTACGAGCATGTTCGATGTGAACTCGTTGTATTGCGTCATACGAGTACAATAACTTACAGTACAGGAGAGAACATCTTGTCGTCAGATGAGAAAAATAATAATTATAATATAGATACACGACCTGTCATATGCGTTTCTGCAGACCAGCTTCCAAGATGTTGTCTTGTCAGCCTTTTTTTCGCATACAGCCAGGTTAAACAAAGGCTAAGCAAACAGGAAAGGATAACATTAACAAGTGCAAATGATATAATAATATGTTTTTTGCGGATAAAATTTCTCTAAAAGGGCGCATCGCTAAAAACTGGATGGCATGTTGCTCGATGGACGTGTGAACTGATTAGTCCTTATGCAGATTATTACAACATTCCTGTAGTAATAATTGTGCGGCAGCCGTATAACCATTGTGACATCCATAAATCGAGCCGGCATCTCCCAAAGCATCAAAATGATAATTTATTCCGTGAATTGAGTTCTCTTAGAAACGTTATACCAGATAGGTGTACTACTCAACATTGAAATAAATGGTAAATTGCTGTCACTTAGCGCAAAATACTTTTAACCCAATTTCTGTGTACAAGTAAAGCCGCATATGTATTGAACTTTCATGCACGTGCCGGTTAATAACACGTTTCGTCGTTGATACAGAGTAGTATTGGTCAACTCAAAATCTTCTTGTTTTTCTTGCATTATTGTTGGGGAAAACGGAAACTGACAAATATTCGCGAAATCACTGCCGTGTTGTGTTTTTAGAAATGCTCCCGGCGATTTTACCAGATCGGACATAACCAATCCAATCAAGCACCTTATGCCGCACAAGGATCACGATTTGATGAGGCATTGCTGTATTATATGAACAGAACAGCATTCGCGAGCTTAGCTTATTTTAGTAAGTCTTAATGTTGTATTTGTTCATTTATTATCAAGTTTTTATTTTTTCGGGTGAATGCTGTTTCGCTTATTTAGGTTTTTGGGAGCAACCATTTCGCCTTGCCCTCTATTAAACCCTTTTTTATGACTAGAAGCGAAAAAAGTGTTATTATATGCTTAAGACACTGATGACAATGATTCGAAAACGAAAACTGCATTGTGGTACTCATGTATCTGGTACTGCAGTTTTTTTGTCAACTAATATTATTAAATTTGATTTAGTTTCGGAATACTGAGCAACGCCCTCCCAGAGTCAGTCACTGACCACTTGATTTGGTTTCGTCAGATTCCATACACTTTACTATCGGTACGATGCCGTATATTATTGCAGTGCCACAGAAATATCTCCACACAATAAAATAGAAGGGTAAAAGTGGTTCATAAAAACGAAAGTAGTGCGAGTGTTGTTCGATTTGTACCTGAAAAAGGTTGCTAGCGCAGACGCCAACCATCGCATTATTAGTCAAGGTACTAAAGCAAATTGACCACAAAGCTGACTACTTTTTCGTGATTGACGTTCGGGTGGGATTGCTTGCGCTTCGATCCTCGTAACATCTGCGCAATGTTTATGGTGGCTTGCTTTTCGAGTATATGACAGGTAGCTCGCGTCGCCGACGCTAATTATATTGAGCAATGTTTACGAGAGAGCAGCATGTTCTGCACAATTTTTAATAGTAATCAACCGTGTATCGTACACACTGTACGCTGTACAAAATATTGTATAATTTATATCTATAGCTGTACCTACTAGTACTTACATACATAACATTAAATAGTCAATACTTGTTGCATGTATTTGCAATCCACCGGCTACTCGTAGTACTGGGTGTATGTAGTTATGAATTACTTATACAATCGTGTTGTACAATACAGGCTACTGTAGTACTTGTATACTTGGACATTGCAGACAGTTGTGATTTAAAAGAACAGAATGAAGCAACCCCAGAACCGTTCTATCATTCTGTTATTTTCATACAATACTGCACTAACATTTAATGATGTATGCATACTTCTGTGCACTGCGTACTGGGATTCAATAAATTCGCAACCATTTGATGTACTTAGCAGAAAACGAAAACTACGTACTTACAGAATACGGGTAAATACATCTACTGTAACAGGTACTATTTTAGCGATATTAGGTATTTTTTCGTGTTTCTGCACATGTTCATTGGATAATTGCATAATTATTAAGCGGGCTGACGTGAATGCACAACAGAACCGCAAAATTTTTATGAATTCTCGTGTATCGAACGGTGTGATATGGTACCCCAGCTTGTACTTGGACTTCAGTACTGGCACTACCTTGTTTGATTAATTTTCATTGTACAGTACGTACTGGTCGTTCTTGGTCAGAACTTACTAATGAGCTGTGTTCATAGTTCATACCATTATGGATGCAAGAATCTCTAGGCATATTAATTTTTGCAGAACGAGCTGGTCATGGTTGCCGTGTCATTCATCAACAACATAAGCTTTGGTATTTCCGGCTTAATATTAGTTGACTGCAACGATTAACAAATCAACTTATTACCGATAGTTTGGCGCCTCAAAGTGTCGTCGCTGAGCGCTTGAAAGGGAAACGTTGGGATATATGCGAAAACTTCATTATCCTCTCCTGGATGCAACTGATTAAGACTAGGCTCATTTCCGCTTGCTGTAGATTTAAGCTAGTGAAAATTCTGGTGAAGATGGTGACATCCTCCGCATTCTGTGAATCGTTTTCCCACTACCATGGTTCCATGTTGTGACCGGAAGTTTACACGATTGCCGGTGCCAACACTGAACCGGTACGTACGCGATGCCCTTTTGGCCGCACCAAGAGGCCTAAGATTGAACTGCCAGTTTTATAATTACTATCGTGTCTTGTCTCTTTTAAGCGTGTTCGTAGTTTCGCTGTAATTACAAACTTTGTAATGTCATTAGGAATGTTGCCACATTAACTCAACTCTAAGAAAATGAGTAGTTGTGTATGTTTATGCTCTATACGTGTCCATAAAACAACATACTTTAAGGTCTATTAGCGCGGCATAAAAACTTTAATCGTTCGTATTATCAAAGGTGAGTGCGCGAATTTTGACTTTACTGTATGCCTACAGTTCATCTTGGAATATGCCATGGAAAACTGCAATAATTCCTGCTGTTCTGATATTATTGATATCGTTTCCCAATGGATGCCTTTGTCAGCGACCGAGCAGTGCCACGGGTCGGTCTATCCCGCCGTCAACGCTGAACACCGCCACGGCTACGGTGTCCACTACGACCTCCTCGGTCACTCCTTCCTCCACCGTCGCACCAAGCGCCACCGATGGCCGAGGCAACAATCGCAAAGAAAGCGCGCAGCCGATAAAAGGACCGCACTTTCCCAATATTCCACCCCCGAAAGTGGAGGCCGATCTGATTGATCTGTCTTTCAAAAGCGCTCAACGACGGACTATTGATTTTCAGTCAGTCGAAACACTGATCTCAACCAGCTCACGTAAGACACAATTCTCCCAATGAATAATTATTAACGTTAATATTCATGATCAAAAGGTGCCGAACAAGAACGTTCGTGAACGTTTTAGTTCTAAAGAACACCTTCGCTCAGCGCAAAAGGACAAATCCTCACATAACCATACTATTACAGCTTTTTTCGGAAAATAATTATTTGAAGTGCGCTGTTAGGCGCGTTTACCTTTGGAATAGTACATTGTGAATATGTAAATGGCTAGAAGAAACTTGTGGTAGTAATTATTCGGTACAATATATTATTATTCCTTCTTCTGTATGTTATAGGGTAACAATAGCTGACAACGAGCTGAATTTCAAATTATTTACATATTTATATATACTCTAGGTACGAGTACTTCTACTGCATCAGCGATACTGAATACTTAATATATCTGTATAAGCTTAAACATTAAAGTTTCCCTGCAGTCAGTGTACAAAAAACACATTTAATACGGTAAAATAAACGTAAAAATTCGAAGGCACCACGGGTAGCATAAAGTAGCGATCAGTCGACAATTTTGTACGTGCGGTACATGGTTATTGTTCAGTTTACATATTATGGTTCTTGTGCGACGTTTGTGTTATACCGCGGTAGAAAGTATCAAACAGTCACTCCATTTATCATTACAGGAAGTCTTCCTCGGACACCTGTTGAGCTGGCCAACGTCGAATCCCGTCTGACAGCTGATGCCAAACGCGAATCCCAGCTAGCCTACATTCTGGAAGGAATGCTGGTCTTCATTTCCAACCGGTAAATTAAACCAGAGCAAATTACATGGTTTTGTGCGGCGTGGATCGAGTTAGACGTTATTGGCGTCATGCGCTTTGTGTTGGAATTCGATCAAAAATTCTGCCACACATTTTCTAGATTTTCTTTATGTAACTTGCATCTCATCATTCTGGGTGACTTAGACCCCGCAGCAGAATAAATGCATATAATTATTACCAACAGCTAGCGTGAGCAAAAGCGGATGATTTGCAGAACAACGTCCACGTGCTAAATCACTTTCCATTTCATGACGAGGCGACAATAATAATGGACTGTCGTAGCATGTAATCATTATGCAACGTGTTTTTGACACGACAAGAGCGGCATGTCAGTATTGTGCACAGGTCAAGTCTGCGGCGCGAGCAGATCATCTTCGGCTTGCCGCAAACACCAACCGACCATACGACCATCACTCGTCGCTGTCCGTACAATGTGCCGATTACCTGCAATATGACGGAATTCCGCAGCATACAGGGAGTCTGCAACAACATGCTGAATCCCTTCTGGGGCGCTACAAATACGCCTTACTCTCGCTTCTTGCCACACAATTACTCGGATGCCATTCGGGCGGTTAGAACGGACAGTCGGGGTGGCAGTCTGCCAAATCCGCGCTTCATCAGCTCGTCCGTGCACTGGCCGCTCACAGGAAACCATCCACATGTATCGCAGATGCTGGTCACTTTTGCACAGTTTCTGGATCATGACCTTTCACAAACTGCTGCTTACGCGGGTACAATCATTATTAACCATTCACCGTAGAACATTGTACAGAAGACCGAATCTGCTTTGTCTGGCTGCTGTTTCACCACTTAAATACTGTTTAACATGCCTACATGTGTACAGATTCCAATTTGCAATCCCTGAACTGCTGCAGCGACAAACTAAAAAATCACCCTGAATGTCTGCCGATCGAAGTTGACCCTAACGATTCGTACGATGACGACAGTGTGGATGCCTGCATAAACTATGTGCGCTCGGCTATAGCCCCCAAAACACTTTGCGCGATGGGCCCGCGCGACCAAGTTAATCAAGCTTCGCACTTTCTGGATGCGTCGGCTCTGTACGGCAACAATCCTCAGGATGCCCAACGACTTCGAGAAGGCGCTGGAGGCAAGCCGTAGCTAGACTAGCTGTTTGCATAAAAGCTGCAACGTTAATTATCAACTGCTTACCTTAAAAAAACTTACTGAAATTATTCGCATTGAGTTAAATCTCAAACTGTGATCTGTGTAAACTGTGTGTGTGAACTGTGTAAAGTTACAGATAAAAAATTCAGTAATTTGTAAGTGCCATAGTTTTTACTTGATAAACATATATGTTTTAACGTGTGTACTGCATGCGATTTTAAGGTCGCTTATGGATGACTGATTTTGAGAATGGGAAGAGTTTACTATCGGAAGCCCTCAACAGCAGCGACTGCCGCCCAGCCAAAGATGCTGACACAAACTGTTTTGATGCCGGTGACCGTCGTGTCAACGAAAATCTGCCCATTGCCTCGTTGTACACTTTGTAAGTAGATCTACAAACGGGGGCCCGCTGCGACGAACAAGTGCTACTTCCGCATCTTCTAACCAGTGCTTCCGTTTCTTGGCAGACTAGCCCGTGAACACAACAGTCTAGCTGAGAAACTGGCGAAGGTTAACGCGCACTGGGACGACGAACAACTGTATCAAAGCGCTCGGAAGATTCTGATCGCTCAGCTCCAGCACATCACTTTTAACGAATTTCTTCCGCTGTTGCTGGGCCGTAATGGATTGGCACGTAACGGCATCGAACTCGTGGCCGAGGGCTACTTCCGAGGTATGTGATTAACGACTGTGCTAATGACAGCAGTTGCGGTAGGTGACACTTTCGCTTTGTTAGCAACATGTCACGGCGATTGCCGGTAATTCATTAACAAATGCAAAAGTGATTTTGATGTTGCTCTTTTTTGGGCGTAATATTCAACGCTAAGCAGTTATGCAATCCACAGTAAGTGCAGTCACAAGGAAATTACGTTCTAAACTCGTAGTTCATCTTCCTCCCTCCTTGCACTAGTGTATTCAGTTCACAACAATATTATTTTAGTGTATTAATCAGAGTAGAGATCAGCGGTTTCTTTTTCTTTAGTGGTCTTGTTGAAGTCTATTGTTACAGCAGATTAATAATTAACTGTAAGACCAAAGTTTTAGATTTTACTTTTCGCTGAAGTTCCGAAGAAAATTTTAAAACGAATGTCTCTATAGATATAATATAATTGTATGTACACCGAGGCATCACAATAGTTACTAGTGAGCATAAAACTTAAAAACAGCAAAATTTATGTCTAAAAACCACCAAAATTAACGATCGGAAATCCTAATTTGACGACCGGAGTTTCTTAATAAACAGTCCACAGAATTCGCGGTGGTAAATCTGTTAAATACAGAAAGCACAGTATTTTCTGACAAACCGGTTCTCCCTCGATCTGACTACTCGTACCGTTTGTACTATTTTGTAGACTCTTGCTGGCGCATCCCATAGAAACCAAAACGCAGCAATACTTTTATAAAATTTTAATTATTTATCAGTTTCGAGATTTGAAAAGTTATCACTACCGATGATTTTTCATAAAATCCGCAAGGTGAACATTTTAAAAGCACCCTCAAAGCTTATCTTCGTTCGTCAGCAGCCCTCCCGAAAATGGGTAAAATAATATGAGAGCTAGTCCTACTCACAGAGGTGACGCGGCAGCTGCATTTTTTGCTGGTGATCTACTTATGTCTCTGACGCAAGTAACAAAACTGGAGCAACTGCCCCACAAACTGCAAAGTGCAAACCATTTACGATAACTCTGCGTAAAAATTAACAAAAAATGTTCGAAAAAGATAGAGTCCATACTGGTTCTGGTGAAGCAAAATTTAAAACGCCGAAGTTATTGAGTACATAATTATGTAAACATTTACATACATAAACATAAATTACATAAACATGGTGCAAGAACTGAGCATTTTTAGGTTATTCCGCGGCCGTGAACCCTGGGATTACGAACGAATTCGCCACTGCAGCTTCCAAGTTCTGGTATTCATTAATGGCAAATGGTACCCAGTTTATCGACAGACGAGGGCGTGTTAACTTCAAGCCGTTTAACACCCAATGGTTTCAACCTTATGATGTAAGAGTTATACATTATTGCGTACGCCATTTATCTTGCTGCAAAGTATTATGCCAGCACCACAATGTGCTTTTGCTTCGAAATATGCGCCCTTAAACGGTCAGATAATGACCTTTTGCTATCACAGCTGTATTTTTCTGGCGTACTGGATGGAACTATTCGGGGCATTGCAGACCAACCAGCTAGACCGGGAGACCAATCAGTAACCTCTGCGCTGACGAACAGCGGATGGCTGCGAATTGCGGATGATCCGGCAGCCAACGTTGGACAAAAGCTGGATTTGGCGGCTCTCACCATTCAGGTATCTCGATTGTAGCATACAAAAGGAAAACTGAAAACGACATAAAAACTGTATTATTGTACACAATTTCAGCGTGGTCGGGATCATGGATTATCTAGCTACAATTTCTGGCGGAGTGTGTGCGGTCTGAAGATGGCCACTTCATTCGACGATCTCAGAGACTCCGTCAGCGAAAGCAATATTAAAATATTGTCGGCTGTTTACAGGTATTGTAACTCTACATATTAATTTCAATAGTTTATATACTTGGCGCATGTTTTATAGTGGTTCATGATTCGCTTTCTAAATAATTTTGTTTCCTTCGTTCTTATATACAACTTACAGCTTCGATTGACCAGCGCAAACCCAAGTAATTTGATTCGCAAATGCGATTACGACGCCTGTAATAATTATAATTAAGAACAGTCAAGATTCCAGCGATTTCCGTTCTCATTTTAAAAACTGGTTATTTAATTTTTTCAATATTCGGCAATGCTCTGACACCAAGTGAGTCGAATATGCGTTGGGCTTTTAGCATTCTGCCAAATCACTATTTAGCTGACCGCATCCAATTTCGAACACTTTCAGTTTAAGGGAATCGTCCCGCGTACAGTTATACACTCGTTTTCAGCCGTAACACGCTATACCATGAACAAGCTCGTTTCCTTTGGACTGAAAACTGATCAAAAGTCGCTGTGATGAGTATGATCAACCATTGATGCTTGTTTGTTCTGGACATTGATAATTTCATAACTAGAGCACTACTATCATTAATTCATGAATTCTATTCGTTTACTTAGTACCGTCCATGATATTGATCTATTCACTGGAGGACTATCCGAAATTCATGAGCCAGGGGCATTAGTCGGGCCGGTGTTTTCCTGTATTATTGCAAAACAGTATCGTAATCTGAGGGTGGGCGATCGCTATTGGTATGAAAATGATCTTCCGGAAACCCGGTTTACGCCAGGTATGTTCACTTGTTGCACATACAGCACATGCATACGATGTACACCGATCGAGGGTTTCGACATTAATTACGTATTCTTTGTTGACAGAACAATTGACGGAGATACGAACTACAACCTTGGCAAGAATTATCTGTGAGAATGGCGACAATATTCCGTCTATTCAACCTCACGTTATGCTGCTGCCAGATTCGTTGCTGTAAGTGAAATTGGGAACCCACCGAAACTCGTAATTTCTTCAATTTTTCTGTAGAAAGTGGCAGGCATATCACGATAATTTACATTGTGATTAAACGACTTCTAATAAAAATGCTTTTGAGTAAAGCTTATGTGCAATGAACTAAGTTCTGCAATCTGCATGATTGTTTCTGTAATAAAACTAAACTAAGCGGCGCTAACCCTATACAGCTAATCCGTACTAGAGTTACGAGATACCATTGAACTTGATGCTTAGTCAACATACATTGCGATGCCATTACCTAAATGCAGTATTAATGTATTCATTGTATTGCTGCATAGGAACGCGGCAATGCCTTGTCGGTCGCCGTTTTCTGCCTCCCTGGATCTCAGCTTGTGGAAAGAAGGTCAGTTTCGAGATTTCAAAAATATTAAAAAATGTGATCCAAACAAGTGTAATCAGTTTCAAATTTTCCTGATATAGAAATACCTGCGGATCCCGAAATCTCCCCCGATATCCTGATGAACATTTTGGAAAAGGCCCGCGAAGAAGTGACAGTGACTGCCTTAGCGGATCTTGCCCGAGCACAGGCCCAAGGCAGCCAATCCGGCCGCATTCGTACCGCATTCAACAGCCCGACGGCCGCCGTCCGAGCCATGAATCTCGAGTCCAACGCCTTCATCCAGGGCACCAAACATATTCTTAAACGCCAATTCGTCAACCGGACACCTTCCAATATATCCAGTGTCATGTCCAAGCTGAAGCGCTTTGACGGACTGATTAAGTCCAAACTGGATGGACCAACGGAAAACATAACATGCGCCGAGCGGTTCGTCCCGTGCGATCACACCAGCAAATACCGCAGCATTTCGGGTTGGTGTAACAATCTGCAGCACCCCGAAAGAGGATCATCGGAGAGGATATTCGGCCGTCTGCTCGATCCAGCATTTGCTGACGGTGTCGATGAACCTCGCAATATGAGCGTCACAGGCGTGCCTCTGCCGTCCACCCGGGAGGTCCAACTGGGAGTCGTAGTAGATGTGGATCGGCCGCATCCTCGTTACACGGTAATAAACAATTAATTCGGCTTCTGCCAGCGCACAATTACCTACGCGCGTTTTATCATTCGTCAATCTGGCGCAAAGTTAAGGCAGTTCATGATGAGTTGAAGTCTTGTAGAAGAATTGATAGGAATTTACACAACAGAGTGAAGTATAAACTGAACAATCACCTTTCTTACAAAAAGAGCCAATTCTTATCTAAGTCGAAATTCAAGTAAACCACACACTCGACTCTATTTTTCTGTAACAGAAGTAAGATGCTTAGGGCAGGAATAGGATTGCATTATGCGTGCACGGTACAATAGAGGTACCGCCACCGTTACCGCTTTTTGTTTTTTATTTCAGCACATGCTCATGCAGTATGGCCAGTTTGTGGATCACGATATGACACTAACGCCCATCGCAACTGCTTTGAATGGGTTCAATTTTAATTGCCGATCGTGCAACGCACAGGAGGTGACCAGTGCGAATTGTCGGCCGATCCCGATCCCACTGGCGGATTCAAGTATGACCCCTTTTATCAGCAATACTACGGAGCGACGCTGTTTGGCTTTTATCCGCTCCGCAACCGGACGCACTTCGTTTGGAGCGCGGGAGCAGGTGAACCAGAACACGGCGTATGTGGACGCCAGTATGGTGTACGGCAGCACTCTCTGCAAGACCCAACGTTTGCGGACGTTTGTTGACGGTAATCTGCACATTTATTTTCGGAACTGCAACATTCACGCTTTCTAGCTGTAATTCGGTAATACAGGCAAACTGAATTCTACGAAGAACCCAAATGCCGGTCTGAAGGATCTTCTGCCAACCACCATCGACTCAAACGATGTGGAATTCCTCGAATGTCTTAATTCGGTTCCTGGAAATCTCTGCTTCTTGGCTGGAGATACGCGCGAGAACGAAAGTCCTGGGTTGACTGTTTCTCATACCATATGGGTAGGTGGAAAGGAAATTCGTGGACAAAAGCGTGAAATTGGGTTTGTGTCACATTCGACACAACGAAGCGAAGGTCATCTGCAGGTGTTTTTTGTGGATAAATATTACGTTAGACCTGTGGCAGCTACCATATGCTACAATCCGAGGAAGTTGCATGTGTTGCTCTGATCAGCGGTGTTCCATAAAATCCCCATCTGTCTAACAAAATTCAGTCAGACGAAAAATGCATGATTGTCTCGCTGATGTTAAATGTTCAGCAAACAGGAGCTATTTTGTGCGCGAGAAATTCATAACTGTTCTCGACTGTTTCGGGTGGGACCTAGTGGGTAATAGTGTGGTTTATGTATGTATAGTGTATATCTACTCTAGTTCTCTGAAGTGAGAGTCAGGGGCTCTGCCCTGAAAAACAGGAAAAGTTCGTTCCCAACCCATTTCACTGTCTCTGATTATACACAGCGATCCGATTTAGCGAATATTTTGCTTCTTATGTGTTCTTTAGCGTTTCTAGTATTCTACCATAAAATGAAATGTTTTCAGATGCGTTTGCATAACCAAATCGCAATCGAGCTGAAAAGGGTCAATAGTCACTGGAAAGACGAACAATTGTTTCAAGAATCGCGTCGAATCCTGATTGCCGTGCTCCAGCATATCAGCTTCAATGAGTATTTCCCACGAATATTAGGCGAAGCATTGACTCAAGCAGTTGATCTGAGATCCCGACGTTCCAGTTATTACACGAACTACGATCCAAACTGTGACGCAACGCTGGTCAATGAATTTTCCGCCGCGGCGTTCCGTTTCGGACACACGCTGGTGCAAGGAGAATTTGGCCGGTATGACAACAATTTTATCGCCGGTAACCGCAGCCGGGTGAAATTAATGGAGCACTTTGCCCGCGGGGACATTCTGTACGAGGATTTGGGAATCGATCAGTTGCTCATTGGTTTAATTGTGGAGCCGATGCAGAACATGGACTCTATTGTGACGAAAGCTCTGACGGATCATTTGTTCGAAGATCGCAGTAGAAAATTCAGTGGACAGGATCTGGTAGCCATCAACATAATGCGCGGTCGGGATCACGGTCTCCCGGGATACAATGAATTTCGCGAATACTGTAATTTGACGCGTGCAGCCGATTTCAATGATTTGACTGCATATATTCCGGACGAAATTGTTGAGGCGCTGAAAAAAGTCTACAAGCATGTGGACGACATTGATCTGTACATTGGGGGAATTTCCGAATACAGCGTTTATGGTGGTGTTGTAAGTTGTGACTGCGTCCTTTAAAGCGGCACGTATTTTTAGTTTGTGTCATGTGTAATAAAAGTTCTCTCAAGGTTGGACCTACATTTGGGTGTATGATCGCGGAACAGCTGCATCGAACGCGCCGATGTGACCGGTTCTGGTACGAAACGGGCGACCCTTTATTACGCTTCTCGGAAGGTTGGCGAATTTTTTGCCTTAGTGTTCCCTCCAACTGACGATAAGATAAAAGCGTTTTTTCCCCACACAGCTCAACTTGCCAGCCTCCGCAAAATGACGCTGGCCAAAGTGATCTGCGACACCTCCGACACCGTCTCCCACATTCAACGCTCAGTTTTCGATCTCTCCGATCCCTACATCAATCCCATTGTGGCTTGTGAACAGATCAGCGGACTGAATCTTAATCTATGGGCGGATGTGCCCGCGTGCAATGTGTCGGGAGTGATGTTAGCCAAGGGCCGGTCACAGCGGGTGACCCCTTGCAGCAGTTGCACCTGCACCAGTGAAGGCCTGTTCTGCCAGTCGATGTTGATCAAGAACTGTCGAAGTCTGTTGTTAACCTTCCCGGTCAATGATATTTTGAGTGACAGCGTTTGCAAGACGCAGTGTGCGAGCGTTTTCAGAGAAACAATTACCAAAGACAATGGCAATGTTTTAGCAGCCACTGACCTTTTTGCTGCATTTTTTTGAACTGGTGGAGGAAGGGTCTGATGTTCTTGTTTTACAATTGATAAAATATATAAATACATATATTATTTTTCCATACATTGAAAAAAAATTATACGAAAAACTTGGAACTAATTAGACCATTTCAACCACGTCGCTTTTCTCGCGAACATAAATTGACCTTTGACGTCACTCGCGATGCAGTCGTCACTTTACAGTCTGTGCATCCCATCACTTATTCTGTATTTATCCCAAAAGCGATTAAAATTGTGTTTGTAGGAGAGCACAGCGCACAGGAACAGTGTATGCTGATCAGTTTATTCAGTAACATTGAACACAATCTGGAAAATTTTTTTTTCTCCAAAAATACAGTTAATATTAAATTTTGTCGAACGTAAAGCTGAAATTTTGATTTCCGGCCCTCGCGTGAGTCACAATATCAGTCCTTGATACGGTACTCCCGGGAAACAAGCGATTGATTTCCAAGTACTTCGATTTGGACAACCGGCAAAGACTCTGGTGTGCTGATGACCCGTGCGAAATAGTCGTGACTTGCGCCACAATAGACCAAAACTTTATGGAGTATAGTTGGCGTATAAACCTGGAAAGTACAATGTCCACACGATGGTACTTTGGTCATCTGTGAAATGTGCCAGACAATTCTTCCCTAACTCGACTCAGATATGCCAGATCAAGAATGGAATTCGGGATAACAGATACACAGCGATGGAAGACACCAGCAGACGAATGGTCGTAGCTTCCTGTTTAAAGATGCCGTGCGCTCTGAATGGGCCGTGGTGCGGGTCGAGGTTTATTTTAATCGGAGATGGGTGGAAAGTTGTAGCGTTATTAAGAAGGGGACTGTCCATTTTTCTGCACAGTTTTCGCACATAATGCCGCTGTGCTGACAACAGGAGTACAACGCCGTTGGCCACCACCAGACAGTCGTCGTCAAAGACTTCATGATCAAGGGCTGTTATCCAAGAGCGAGAACCATGATTCTATGTGTCGATAGTGATGTTAGCCAAGGGGCGGTCACAGCGGGTGACGCCTTTGCGAAATATTTAGCACTGGCGTGACCTTTACAAAATATTTAGCACGCAGCTACTCCCGAAAAGTAGGCGCTCGGGTAATACGTTCCTGGAGCTTCGTTGCTTTAAACCAACATCCGGCAGTAGACGATATGTTGCACCACGAATATTACGTACAACACGTTATGTATTTCATATTCGTTTTACCGTTTTTAGTCAAAAGTCAAACAAATAAAATTTTACTATCGACCTTATGCTCCGTTTAGTACAATCACAATCAAAGTCATCATATTGAGCTTACGCTCAGGTGGCCTCATTCGGCGCTAATTAACTTGACACTGGTTGGTTTTATTGCACCAACACCTTGAACATTGCGCCAACGGTGAACCCCACGTGTTCCTGGCGTCGGCGTCAACGCGGGCTGCAAAGGCAGCCGCTTCATACAGATTGGCGCCAACAGCAAATGGGAGAAAACTACAGATCAGTACTGTATTCGCACACGGCATACGGTAAACTATGTGTTGCAGCGGAATGGAATCATGACAATTAAAAATCGACTCAGACTGAAAGAATTAGAACCCTTTTTAATGAGGCTGATGTCAGAATTCAATATGCCAATGCATTCATATATTATTTTGGTGAAAGATTATACTACTGTGGAACTGTGGAAGTACTTGTTTGTATAGTAAGCATGGGTCTTACGGTGACTGTCTAATTACCAGTGCGAACACTGAGCGGCAACATCTCCTACCAAGTGCAGTTAAGTAATCCCGAACATTTACAATTAGTTGAACTTGACATTTAGTTGATAACGCTGCAAGGTTCCAATGCAGAAGAATCCAAGTAAAAATACTCATATGCATTCTGCTTCCCGAAAAATTCGCAGGTCGTTAGAAATGCTAATTAAAATTTAACACCGGTTTAGGGTTCAGTCGATGTTCTCTTCTCCAATACGATCCTAAAATTAAATGAGCGCAGACACAAAATTTGTTCATTTTTCATACGCTATAGTAACTATATATGGCAGATGTTAATGCAACCAAACTTAAAGGATAAGTTCGACATGATTCATTCAGATGTCACTTTTCCTTACTTTGACATATAATCTGGCCACCTACAAATAAGCGCCACTTTAAAAATGAGAAATTTCATTACACAGGAGGAGCCGAAATTGTTTCGATTTAGAGCTTTTGTAATTGATACGAGTACAATAATTTGTTATCTACCAAGCTGCGTCTTCACACTATGTCTATCCCTGCGTATACTGGCGCAGTACAGACTACCGAATGTGAAACCATCGAACGTCGACGCCGCCATTAAATTTGATGTAAATATCTCGTTCGCGTAAACGAAAACACCAATTTGTTTTGCACCAAAATTTAGATGCAGATGCTAGTTGAACTTATTTATTTTGTCATTTTATTCAACGATAAAATTTGGTAAAACTGGTGATAGGCTCGCAAGTTGCAGCATCGGGTTAAAACACAATTGCACAACCATTCTGAATAAATCAGGCGCACAAAAAACAACAAGAAAAAGGCGTACCACAAAAACAAAATATTTCTCCATTATAAGATCAAAAGTTTCAAACGCATCATCAACGCACCCTCACATCAGTACACAACGATACAAAACAACAAATTAACAGCTGCAAACTGAGTTAAGAGCACCATTTTAATACCAAGGGCAGTATAAATAGGCCTGAGAGATCGTACAAATGCAGTAGAATATCAACGCGTCCCCGCCTATCCTACTCAGCGTCCCATCGGACCACGATCCATGCGGAGTACAAAGGGGTTCACTTATCCTCCACCATACGACATCGATCATACGTTTCCATTAATTCTTTGAGTTTGTACTGCTGGAGAACGTAGAACATCTTTAAATCACGATCCATCTTCTTAGCGCAATCGTAACAGCGCACAACGTACTCCGCAGAATCCTTTTCCTTTTCTTTGATAAATAAGATGTTGAATACCTCCAGCTAACAAAACAGAAAATCATGAGACTATGAAATCTAATAAAGTTCAGAAGTATTTATTCTAAACTGCTAATGCTCGCACGAGAAAAACGCATGACCATAAAAGATTTCGCATAGTCAAAACCAAGAAACAATCAGAATTCCAACAAATAAAGCCGCTGAGAATGCGTTAACTGCAACTATCGATCACTTCCAACTTATACTGCATAATAACTGACAGTAATACGTAATTTACCTCGCAGTCTTCACAGTAATGCGCATGTTCATTCTTATCCCGGGCCTGGTGTTTAACACTCTTCCCCACGCTCTTCAGGTGCTCCAGCATGAGGTGGCAATACTTAATCGACCGGCGTAATGTTAACCGGATCAACTTCCACAAGCGTTCGTCCTTTTTTTCGAATACAACATGCACCGCCACCGCCCACGTTAAATGCAGAATCGGCACAATGGACTTGAAGGCCTGCAGTTTATTCCACTCATAGCGCTCCGTGGCCAGATAATACTGTTCCGTAGTGAAAGGACCCACATTCCAAGCAATATTATTGCACCATCCATTAGCCTGCACCCAGTGCACGGTTCCCGCATTGACCCACACCAAATCGCCGGGTCTTTGGGTGAATCGATACACCGGCACGTTGGCGGCTCGCAGATCAGCTAAATTCGGCCACCATGATCCATGCAAAAAGTGCACATCGTTCCTGAAAAAAACGCAGCGTCCAGAACGTATTAATTTAAACCAATTATGATTTTAAAGAATAATTTTGAAAATTAAAAACAATGCCCAACAGTTTATGAAAGGTGCAAATAAAACCATTGAAAAAATACAAATGAGCCCGAAATATATAAGTACTGGTAGTTGTAAATCTGCTGAAACAAGCAAAACAATCTGAAGAAAACATTACGCAACGTACTTGTCGCAAAGCTGTTGTATCACTCCCCAGTACTCATGGGACACACAAAACCATTCACAGTCTCCCGGTCCGATATTGATATTAACCGAGCAGAAGTTGAGATTTTCTTGGTGTCCGGGCGTTCGACAACCCGGCACCTTCATATACAACTGTACACTGTTCATCCCCAAAATCGTATGATCCAGGTAGCTGAGCATATTCTTCGCAGCACGTACTTTCACCAGTGAGGGCAGTTTATCAAGTTCTACCAGCTGATTTCTCCACACCGTGTTGTCGGACAGGTCCAGATTGGTCCCAAATCGAATTGTAGTTTGCCGGCGTGCTTTCTTCATTTGATTCGAGTTATTCGAATCCGAGTCTGATATCGATTTGCTCCCTTCGGACTCTTCCTATACATCGCAGTACTCAGAGGTAATACAATTCTCAGCAATCACATAATCTCATTCAATTACCTGAAGGGCTTTCTGAAACTCTTGTGCCTGGTATATCCCGTACTTATACACTGTCGTATAGGTGCGTACACTCTCGCACTTCCACACGCGCTCTTGTTGATTGTTATCCGCAAAATTATCTTCCGGATTCTGTTTCTTCTGTGTGCGTACTTCGATCTGGTGATCCGGGGCGGTTTCCACAAGATTCTTCGTGGAGAACAGACTCAAGTCCAGCTTGAGCACATTACTGAGGTTCTTCACGATGGCACATGGCTGCTTTAATAAAAACTCTTCGAAATCCTTGGACATGGCTTCCTTTTTGGTCTCCACCTGAAGGAGTGAAAACAAAGAGATGAAAGTAACCTGAACTTAGCATAATTTAAAAGTACAATTTTTGCAACTCTAAGTTTCTAACAAACACACACTGATACCGGACTTGGTAGAAACAGTCGAACTAAAGTCGACTGTAACTCCACAAGTAATACCGTAAAAAGGGATACGCAATTACTGCGGTTAACTGAACTTAATCTGCAACAGATGGTAAGCACTAAGCAATAATTTCACATACGAAAATACTGGGGGTTGTGGGATTGAGTGCCGTTTTGGGGAGGGGAGTTGTGGGGGCCGCCGGGGGGACGGGAGGTGTGGCGGACTCGTTCAAGAGATTGAGTTTCAAAGGGGGACTGGCTCCTTCTTTGTTGTCGCACTCCACCAAGATCTCCGAGGCACTTTTCCGGATCAACGTATCAATCTGCTCCAGACGCTCACTCAGACCAGTATATAATTCCGGGGAAAAAGGAGGCATAGGAAAGGGCTGGTCGCGTAAGGCCTGCACAGCCGCTGCTTTGGGTTTGGTTTGTAGTTGTTGTTGAGCAAAATACTGTTGTTGCATCTGAGCGAGGTATATCTGCTGATTCGGTTGCAACTGGCCCTATAACCCATCGAAACCATAAGACAACTAAGACCAAGTTTACAGGTTTTCGTCCTTATTGTGGTTTACAACAGAGCTTCAACTTTACCTCCTCCACTTTTTCTGGTGAATAATCATCTTTCTCAACCACACTTTCCAACTTACGCTTTCCAGTCATAATTCAGTCAAATCAGTGCAAACAATCAGAAACGAATCGTTGTCAGATACTGACTTTCATGCTCACGTCTACTAACACTGATCAAAAGAAAAGAAAAACGACTTTAACTGTTTATAATCGAAGTCGCTGAAGTTCTTCCTGAACTGCACGGTGCACACCTTCCATGTAATCAATCATTAACCGTTAAAACGTTCGAAGCGTTTGTTCCTTTTTGAGAAGCTGCCCTCGCAATCAGATTAAAAACTCTGTAGCTATTGGTTAACCCATCACGCCATCAATAATAGCCGCAGCAGGCCGACAAAAGAACTTTCCTAATCGGAACTCGTACGACTACTGAAGCTCGTCTATCGAGTATCTCATACCAATTGCTAATCAACAAGAAAGACAGTCGTAACCAAGGAAATCACTCACAGTATCCGAACCAAAATCAACACCAACAAGCCGACCCGATTGCTATTACCATGGATACAAGGACACTGATCCGTACCTCATTCTGTTGTAAGAAATTCATAATCTGCAGTTGTTGTGCAGTGACAGCAGGAGAGTCCGCCAAATCTGGCAGTAAGGAAGTCTTTTTGGCGGGCTGCGGTGGCCGATGACCAGCGGTCAGTTCCGCCGCAATAGGCAAGGAAAGAGCCTCTTCCAAGGACGGTAGGGTCTTTGGTCTGCAATCCAACAGTGTTAGAATTATCACTCCGATAAATGCGAAAGGATGGTCTCACATGGAATCAAAAGCTGCAGCAGAAGTCTTAATAGCCGTTTCCAAAATACCAGCTCGCTGTATGATGGAAGGGGTAGCGGCGGCCTTTCCATGCTTGATCCCGTTTTGATAGCAATGAAACGCATCGGGAAATTGTTTGAGGCTTTCGTACAACATCCCTAAATCGAACCAAGCCGGACTATGGCTCTTATCAAGCTGGACTGCGCAAACATAAGCTTGCAAGGCATCCATCGGTTGGTTTTGCTGCTGATACAATGTTCTGCAGCAAACAATCTCATTGGGTCGTTAAGTCGTTTGCAATTACGAGTATTATCTGTATACAACAGTATAAAACAACAATATCAAACAATACTCGATTAATTCCGTGCAGGACTTCAGGTTATATATAGTTAACAAAGAATGCAAGATAGACTATAGAAGAGCGATAATATCTACAATAGTAACGAACAACCAGCAAATGTATGGCCCGGGTCGTTGGTTTCGTTGCAAATTTTTTAAGACCATTTTATGCGCAACATTTACTGTAAACACACAACTCGCGACATTGATAAACTTTACTTTGTAATTACCCTATGGAACACCAGGTATCAGCATTGGCTTCGGATTTATCAATGGAAGACCGGTAAGCGGCAAAGGCATCGTGAACGCGGCACATAGCGGCGTAGCAACGACCCATAAAATACCATGTCTGTCCGTTATTCGGATCATGTTCCAAGGATTTCTGAAGGCACTTTATAGCTAAATTCTCCCGTGTGTTCCGTTCACCAAACTCCTCTACCGTGTGGAACATCCAGCCAAGCTGGCGCAACACATCGGCCCTGAGTTTGTCATCACAGTTAGGCGACTGGAGGACTTGTTCGTAATACTTTTTGGCTGTTTCATATCGGCCTTGCAATTCGTAGATGTGGCCAATATGAAAATTAACTGAAAAATAAATATTGAAACATCAATTTCGTATTTTTCTTTTGCATCATTATTTTGTCGGAGCCAAGGTGCTATTCAGCAAAATCAAAACCACTGAAAACTGCACTGACCCATCTCTTTGCTCTCGCTGAAGGGATGAGGATCGCTCATGGTTCGTTTGAAATAGCGCAGAGCTACGTCATAATTTTGCAGATATTTGAAGATGATGCCCAAACGGAAAAAGATCTCATTGCTCGGCGCTATGGCGGCGTCCAGATACAAGGCGTGTTGGAAAGCGTACGTGGCCCTGAAAAATATTACTTAATCAACAATAATATACAGTTTTAACAAACACAACTAACAACTGTAAGCACATTTCGAGAACAGAAATACCCAGCGATACAAACGAGAAATTCGTTATATTCTTTCGGATAAAAGCATGCACATTCTACAGAGTAGCAGCACCATTCTCACTACGTACTTAGTTTTGTTGTGCCTAATCAGACGATTTCGACATTTCTGTACTTACTATACTACAAGTTTATAACAGCTTCCTTACGGAAACACTGTTGCATGAATTAACAGTTGCTGATAATTTTTATACAACCATTAATTATGTTATCCTTCGCTGACTGCGATGGTAGTCCGTTGCAGTACCAATAGTAAAACGATAATAACACCAATAATAAAAAGGTGTTCCTCGAACCGAAGCATACCTCTTGCAATCAAGCTGAAAATTCAGTCGCACTACAGTCTTAAGTATACACCATAAATTAGTATTCATTAAACCCAGTTTAACAAAGTCGTTATTATTGTACATGTGTTGGAAAGGTTTCAACCGAATCCTGTAAACTAATCAAATTAAGCCCATAAAAGAGCAAAAATAAAAGAACAATGTTAACTCCAAGCCCTGTAATCATGTTAGCTTGCTAGCAGGTTCACCGCTGATGGTGAAGCACATCAAGTTCACTGTTCGGAAGTCGGTATCACTTCTGTCTGACAAACAGCATGCCTGACGCGGCAGACAGAAAAGAAACAAACACCGAGGGATAGATCATAGGACACCAAATTCTCTACAGCCAGCGCATGGACAAAATGTTATACTCGAGAGAGGCTACCATTTGAGCAACAATGCACTGGGCGATTTTGTCCGGCTACAGCGCTCGTATTTTCAGCAGCCCAATATTTCGTCAGCGTCTATACATTCACTTTTCCGGCATATATTTACAACCATAATTCAGGTCAAATCATACTATGCTCAATGCGCCACGCTCAGCCGAGCCTCTGGTTAAATATTATAATTACTGCCGAAACGCTAAACACGAAGAGATGTGTGAACACCGATCGTGATCAGGGCTATTCTATCAAAATAGAAGATGCACTTTTCCACATGGATACGGTTATCTACACGAACGCAACTAGACACACAATTACAGTTCAAATTCCATGCAAAACAAATTATACGGAGTCTACACCTGTGCAAGTACATAGTCAAATTTGTACTCATTGCTTGTAATACATCCGTGGGCAACGTCAGCCGTAATTACTCGTACAGATACGTTTTTTAAGAAATTATTCACATTGGGAAAACCAAAACAATGGATACACTTTACGATTAAAATTTAATTAGCGACAAAACAAAAAACTGCAAGCACTCTTAAGTGCAAGCACTAGTTTTCGTAGTAACGTGAGTATTTTTGCTACGACAATTCCATTGCGAAATCAGCAGGAAAGCACGGACTGATAACGCTGTTTGATATGGAGAGGACACTAGTGTCACATCCTAATTTCTCAAAGGCAGTTTCGGAAGAGCACAACTTTACAAAGCAAAAAACGCGGAACGTGCACCTTTGATTTCTCACGCCCCAGTAACTATCCCGGTCACTGAGTACATATGCCATAAAATTCCGGCTATTTTTGCTACGACAGTGTCCAGCAAGGTACTCCAGTACTGATAAAAAATAGTAAATAAATCGATATCTAGTAAATCAAATCAAATCATTTCGCCAACGTAAGTAAAATTCTGCAGAAGTTCACATTTTTCCAATTTACGCCAACAATCCATCCCTAAAACTGCGTATCTAAAGCCAATCTTCTAAATCATGTAACAAAATTAAATACTACAAATCCTACAAATTCTAGTGTCTAACTCTCTATTAACATGCGAACCCGACTTCCTACTAACTTACGAAGAACAAAAAGCAGCCATTCCCAAATTTTCCATCAGAAAGATGTCGAAAAACAATCCCAGGATAAATTTTATATAATTAACAAACAAACGTAAAACAACACATTCCGGAACTGGAGTAGGCGTCTAGAAACGTCACAACTAAACCGGAAGAATGCAAACACCGGCTCCTAAAGAACGACTAAACGCGTCATCGCGGGAACGTTTTACCGGCAACCGACTATCTTCGTCCAATAAAACAAATCACCACCCAAGTATACCAAAACCCTTAGTGTGCAACTGTGCATACGCTCGGCGATTGTGGTTTCACACTACAAATCGGATAAAAACCCGGGTGGAACACAGCGGATGTTATGTCGCTTGCTTAAACGCTTCTTATCAGCGACTGTGGTCACGATGACGAACCCTCTGGCCAATCAGACGGACGACCAAGGTGAGGCCGATCGCGACTACGCTACAAATGCTCAAAGGTGCTGTGAGGTCGACTAATTTTTAATGCCAAATTTGTCCACACCTCTTTGTTTACAATCATTCAATTATTAAAAATAATAGACATGAATCACAAACGGTTACGAAAGGCATATGGCGCACCTTCCTCGGACGGTCGCCGTAACATGTGTGTGCTTATGTTGGAGTAATCGAGGTTCACATAAGCACGTTATCAACTTGCACAAAAATACAAATACAGTTCATTCACTTTTCAGTAGCGTGCGCTTCAACTTTCCATGTCTTATCCAACACAAGTAGGGACAGCAGCAGCATTGTGCATCGCTCTTTTCATTAACCACATCGCGGTCTTGAAAAACAGCTGTAATACTGCCGGCCAGCGAAATACCACACGGTATTAGTCCACAATCACATGCATCCAGAAATATTTTACCACGTCTTGTGCGTAAGTTTTAGTTCTTGTTTCAATGTTAGGCAATATCTACCTGCTTCTTATTTAACGATATACAATGCACACATTTGGAGGTCAGTGCCATCCAGTTTAATCATAATATTATTTTCAATGAGAACAATAATGCAGTCAGGGTAACATTACTGAAATAACGAACAAATTCTCAACGGCAAACCGAAACTGACTGAAACAAAAACGTAGCTGAAACGTTTTTATTCAGCATACTTTTAATTCCAAAAGCCTGTAACACTCAGAATATTTTACATTTTTATCCTATAACTAATCGCCACACAGAACAGATCAGTATTAAATTAATATTTTTATGACTTCTAAGGATGCTACTTTCGACTTTTACTTTCGACGCATTTTACTTTCGACACATCTTCCTTTATGACCAACAAAATAACAGTAGGCTTAATGCTGATCTGTTCGGACGGAACTTATTACGAAGATTCAAATTCCTCAACTGATAAACCGGTCACGCATACCGCAACCAAATAACATTCACAGTTTTTACACTTATCGCTACAATTACTGCTTCATGTCATAACTACTATCGAACTAACCATAAGATAAATAATTGGACCAACCCGACACTTGAAGTCGCAAGCTGACAGCGCAGCGGCCTGATAATTCTCAACAACAGAGTATAAAAAATCACAGAATGATACCGACCAAATGTAGAAAACAGCAAACATACTCAAGTTTCAATCGATACCTTAATGTTCTGCAACGGCACTTTTGCCACGCAGCTAGCCGGTGAAAAATAACGACGAAACTAGGCCACGCAATACAAACTGTAAGCAATCGGTTTTACGAGAGAAAAAAAGACTCCAATTTTCTTCAACCTTCGTGACCATATGCCGTAGAGGGTTTTATTCGGCAGCTGATTTTTCTACTCCCAAGTCCCAAACCTAGTCGTTCATAAAACTTCTAATACCCAAGCTTGGTGTTTTTTATGAACGTAATGATACACAATAACAATACGAACTTCTATTTATGAGACTAATTTGGCCAGAAAGCCAATAAAATGCTCCTTATATGATATAAGCGCAATGTATATTGTCAACATTAGCTGTTTAGGACGAAATTACAAAATTAATAATACCTCACTGAAAATCGACTCAGGGGATGAGTGTAAAATTAAGGACATAAAAAAAAACAGTCTGCATAAAAAGTAACCGCTTCTAGCGACTCGCTAGACAGTCGCCAGTGGACCCCAAAAATATTTTTGCAGCATATGGCCACATATACAAATATATGCGTCCGAATCCAGTAACACTTAACAAGTAGCCCACAAAGAAGCATTTAATCTAGCGAAGTGTAATTCCGCAAGGCAGTTCTGATAAGCCATTCTTGCAAACTGTAACCATTCCAAAATTTCCATAAAAACAAAGAGCACACACAATTACGTAAGAGTTCATTTACTGCCAGTCTGCCATCATGATTCATTAACAAAGTTGTGAATAACGAAGCAAGCTACGCAGAAGGCACAACCAAAACACATTTCAAATATCAAAATTTTAGGGAAACTATCCTCATGCCATCCGACGGAACGGCTATGTTTACCTTGCAAAATTTCAGTTAATCCTCAAAACACAATAAATTCCCACAAAAGATAATAATCTCCCATATCAAAACAATAAGATTTAGAGCGCAATCGAAATGGTAACGTACTCTAGGTACTGTTTCCGGGGCAAGAAACTTAACCAGGCCATGCCGAGTTTTAGGCGGAAGACTGTCAAGAACTACAAACGCCAAGCGTACAGATAATCAGGCCGCAAGCAGCCGCAGCAACAACAAGGCAGTCCTATCAGTCGATTTCTACAACCCCGATGCCTCGGTTATTAGTCGAGCACATTGCATGTTATAGGAGGCGACTGCAGTTGCAACATGTGCCAACCATTCACATAAACAGCATGGCAGAGGCATGCGCCGCAGCGAGAGCATCTTTTGACTGAATTCAAGGTATCTTCAAATATACCAGCAAACCGGTTCACATGCGATCACGATCACTATCCCACATCCCCCGCACTGTATCGCTCAACTGTTTTCGTCGCAAGCAGCCTACGCAATTTTCCACTGGCTCAATCAAATTATGTACAATCCATTTTCCTCGCCAATGTGGATTTTGTATGAATTAATTTCCCAAGATAGCCAAACGGTATTTCCGCTCATCTCCACCTGATCAAGACGTCATTTTGATGCCCGGAAAAGCGTTTTTACCAATTCCTACGCGCCAATCAAATCACAAGGCTCATGTTCAAGAAGCAATCCTATTTCTTTCTTTTGACGGCTTTTCATTGCGTCAAAGATAGAATTAGCGTTTTCAAAACAGAGAGCAAACGCGCCCCTTAATTCGACGCATTACTGTAAAATTCCATTTACACAAAAACACACCCGGAAAAACGCCACCACCTGAGCACAAGTATACTGTTTGGTTCAGCGTTAAAAAAGGCCGTTCCTGAATTTACAGTTCACCACGCGACCACACATGGTTATCGAAACCAAGGTCGGATTTTTCTATACTATCTATCGACTCATTAGCGGATAGACTATTATAAGGCTGTCAGCCATGCAGAGGAAAGTTCAGGTAACCGCTTCGCGCATTACCCGTATACAAACGCTTTGCACTTTCGAACACAATTCACGCGGAAACTTGAACCTTTTGGTTTAGAAAAGTAAAATTATAAACCAGACAAGTTCTTTTTACGTTTTTCGGATAACTTCAGAAAAGCAAATAAGCTTGATTGAATGGCTTTTTATTAACAGAACCGTAAAAAATTAACACAACCGGCTCGCCCGAAGTTATTAATCTGTAGCGCAGGACTTCACTCGATGCACCGGATGGCAGATGCAGAAAAATCATCAATCGCCCAGTTTCGGTGCGGTATCAGATCAAACTTGACGCATTCGTAGACGACATGTCACGAACACCGAAATTAAAATTGCATTGCATTGGTTAATTCCAAATCACACCTAACGGTGTAAATCAAATACTACCCTAGTTGTCCGTTTTCACTTACCCTACATAGCACTCCAGTTGCTGATATACGAGACCCAATCCATAATAAAAATATGTATCCTGTAACGAGGAAGACGAGATTCATACAGCACCGGTTCACCGTTTTACAGATAAATCGAAATAATCTCCAGTCCGATGGGAAGCCTGCCAACTTGCGAAGAAACTTACGGTACGAGATAGACAGCTGCTCACGTAATACGTCTGATACGCTGCCAAAGCTGCAAATGGACACTTTATTAGCGAAAACTGAAAAGCGAAAAGCAGTGAAGGCCAGTCGGTCCAGTCAATCAACAATGCTACTGCTTTGATGAAACTCTTACAATTCAAAGCTACTCCTACAATTAAAAAAAAACACAAATGCGATACGATACAGGAATTGAGTAAACTAAAAATGCACGACCGCCGACAACTGCAACTCAGGTCCTCGGAGCAACCGTTCGAACCACGTTCTAGATTCTAGAGTAGTGCCTGTACCTTTCTCCCATTCCAGGACCAGAAGATACATATGACCCAATCGGCAAAAGATTTTTGCACTGAATCGTCGTTCATTATCCACACTCGGAGTTGCTGCGCTCAGACTAGAACCTCCTGCTTTGGCTTTTTCGACTTCTTGAAGAAGGATATTATTATAATGGGCAATCGCCTAAAAAACGGCAGCATAAAAATAAAATACAAGGATCCAGCTAACTAAGGTATAAAATCAATATGATTCGATTATCACAGCCACCCGAATTACAGACAACTGAGTCGATTCACAAAAGGCTAATGTTCGGCCCATTACTACCATTAAAAAATAACAAAGTAACGTTTCACATTGAAACATTGTAATTTGCGCAGGGCTCGAGACTCGAGTGCAATCCTACCTTTCCGATTAGATCCAAAGTGTGGGCTCCTTCCTTGCTAGTCCAGTCGATAGTATCGTACAGTCGACTACATAAAACAATGCCAAGAAATACAATAAATTCGCTATGATCCTTACAATGTCCCTGTGTACCTGTCGAGCTGAGAAATCTGTCGCTGATCGTCTGCGGAGACACCAGGAACCAGATCCATCCACGAACTCGGATCAACAGACATTCTCTAACGATAAGTATTCCGAAATTCGTAAGCGACGTTTTCCAAATCCTTTGCTCGCGCACACAGTCGTGCTAAATTTTTACATGGATTCCCGGGCCTTATCTGCTAAACATTAAAGCATGCCTTAGCATGGCAATCTAGGGAGAATCACACAGGATAAAGAAGAATAAAACAATGAACGACCCACTGCAGACTGCTTTCGAATTCCACTGGCATAACAGACGAAATTATAACCAGAGGTCCAATTAATCAAGATAACAAGTAATAAACATTATACGGTGCAAAAAAGTTCTGGAACAAACGAAAACAGACTGTTCCAAAAGCAGCTGCAAAGGTCGCAAAAGGAATTTTTATCTGGAGACTAGAGCCCCCAAACAGTAACAAATTTTTGTACGGCTACGTACGGTTTCCCCTTACGGCTCCTACGGCTACGGTACGGTTACGGCAGAAATAACTGGATTGACCGTACGGTATACCGTATACGGCAGTACCGTATACGGCAAGCCCATTGTAAAACCGTGTTTTTGACTTACGGTTACGTACGGCACTTTCGTTACAGTACCAATTTTCACTACGGTTACGTACTGTTGTGCCGTACAGTATGCCGTATACGGCAGTACAGTATACTGTTTGGGGGCTCTACTGGAGACTACAAGAACGTTCGAAAAGAGCTCAAGCAGTCAAGCGGAAACAAAAACCAACAACACATGTTGTACATGCTCTGTATTTGGAACAGGAAACTGAGCAGGAAATATATGGTTTCTAATGCCATATTAATCGACAACATATTCTTCGTTTTTTGAACCTTTCTCTGTACTTACTCTGCTCAACTCCTTTCGTTCGCGCAGCGGCGATCGAAGTTTTTTTCAGGATTTTTGTGCAGTGTTAGGTTAACAAGTTACATTCTTTCAAGATTTGCACCTAGAGGCTAGAGCCTACTCTAACGGTTGATGTCATCCAGCAATTCTGAGTTTTTTAGTGGATCTTCTGAGTCAGTTTTGTACTGTCCAATCACGCTGTATCTTTACGGTAGCAATGAACGTGTTATAAACTTGTCCTGGTAGTCTGATAACACAATCATGTGGTTTTACGTCTTTACGGTATAAAACCAATCTGGATTTATTAAAACGTGACAGCTTCACTTATCACTTGGGTTTTTGAGTTTTGAATTTGATATTCTGATATTCATATTATTGTTTAATGCCGTAACATGCAAGCGGGTGGAGAATTTGATCCCAATTTCGACCGAAAAGTGCGTAAAGTTGCGGAGAAGATATCGGAGAACGTGCACAACATTCTTAACGAACCATCCCTCGGTTTATACCGAATACAAGAACATGTTCGCAAATCCATGCCTCTTCTGGTCTCCAAGAAGATGGAAGCGTCCCAGCAGCTACAGCAACTGCAGGGCGCCTGCTACGATATGGAGCTGACGCTGAACGCGACGAAGGGCCTCCTGGACAGTCGCAAACACTTCGCCTCCGTGCACGACATGATGAAAAATTCCATTTTCCATGCACAGCAAATCCAGTACGAGAAGACACGCAGCATGAACGCGGAAATCCAGCAACGGGGACGCGCGGGCGGAAGCAAATTGACGCCCGGATCGATGTCGGTGGATATCGCGGATCGCAGCAGTCGCTTGCCGCGCTCACCAGCCGCCATCAAGGCAAGTCGAACTCTTCACGGTCTCCAAGCGGAAACCGCGTCCGGTGGTGGGACATCACCTGGATCATCGGTGTCGCGCAGTGTTTCCCACGATCTCAAAGTGTCTCCCGCACCGTAGTGCAGGGTGTTGGGGTGCTGGTCGTCGGTGATTGTATAGATTGGTCGATACCTGGAGTGACGATCTGATTGTGTACTCTTTTTTATTGCGTTCCGTGTTTTAACCAAATGTTGTCTGTGGTTGAGTTATATGTACATGATTTACAATTGTTTAGATTAAATCTTGTAATTGACGCCTTTACCGTATACTATACATAAATACAAATTAGGTGATTTTAATTCGTTACTGTATTTGTTATGAGCATCTTTCTTTCAGTAGCCTGAAGCTTCTAGTTCCGGTTCCTTTACCGGTTTACCCTTATTTTTTTGTACTGAAGATTGAAAGTTTGAAGCTGAATTTGGGTGACTTGTACAGTATGCTTGACACGTATTAAATTAATATTTAATTTTTTACCGTGCTCTGCAGTAGCGTTAACGTTTTCTGCTAATAGCTCATGATCAACTACATTGATTATACCAGAAATACGTTCAACAATGACGTCGACAAGTGTGAATGTTTGTATCGAGCAAAAAGACAAACAGGATCGGACCGTGCAGCAGTCGAAATAGCAAACTAGGGCACTTATATAGCATGCTCAGAATGCAGAGCCATGGTAGGAAAGCGCCGGGGTGCCAGAGGAGGGCAGCGGGGATTGAGCGGAGGAAGAGGAGATCTGGCCGGCAGTTCCCGCACCCGTTTGACTGGTGGCCACTGGCGAGTGACCCGCTTTCAGGTTAAGGTCACCGCGGAGGAAGCGCTCCAGCTTATCGACACAAGCATCCTGATAATCGTGTATCCAACGAATACCGTTGAATTTGCATACAGACCGCATGTCTTCCGGGAGAGCATCCGGATTGGGCCAGATGAATGAGGGGTCAGTTATCGGGACGATATTGCATTTATACGACAATGCAGCTGAAATTTCCTACGAAAAAGTAAGATGTCATCACTCCTCACACAAGCTTTAACAATTATGTCTGAATTGTCCTGCAGTTTACTCTAACGTCCGTAATAGCCATTTCAGTTTACTTTTTTTGTTCGCCTTCGTTTTAATTAGACCCTTAAAAAGTTCACTACTCTGCCACCAAGGGTGACTGAAATAAGTTCTCGTAAACAGAAGTAATGCAACTACGCAATCCGCAAGTAACTACCGTACTACGCCGCGTATCAACGACGACAAACTGGTCAATACTATACGCCCTTTAAAAGTCACTAACTTGAACTGTTTTCATAATATAGAACTATAATTTACTACCGGTCTGTGTACTTCCCATTGCTGCTACAAAACTTGTAATCGTCTTACTCGATGTATCCAATCTTTTCGTTCTGCGTCATTGATACATCGGTCCAAAGCATTTGGTGAGAGAATGAGAACGAAATGTTTTGCCAAACGCACACTGTCAATTAATTTTTGGTCGAACGCGCCGGCATCCAGCTTGTCAATATCGATAAAAACGGAGAAACCACGCAGCTGCAGATGCACTTTTAGAAGGCTACAAGCAACAAAAACGCCTATTCTATAAAAAACAGAACCGATTTCCTGAATTTGGTTTCCGCAAATCGGATGTCTACCTCGCTAGCTGAGATCCAGTTGCGCGTCGATAGCTTATGAACACATCATTCTCCGATCTGACTTCCATCACCGCCCCTTTTTCTAAACTACGTCGCTTGCCAATGGCATCCAGAATTTTGGCACGGTGTACGCCATTTTCGATCCAGGCGTCATTTTTCAGATGATCATCATTGACAAAGGGAAACACAGAGGGATCAACACCGGCTTTCAACAGATTGTAAGTATACTGTGCATACTCAGGTCCGATTTGCAGGAGCAGCGAGTGAATATTAAACGGATCACAACTTGTGTAATCCGATATGCGTTTCAGTTGTAACAGGTCACGCAAAAATCGCTGACGCAATATTCGGCTGTGCATATTAAGATCATCCCGTAAGGTCTGTTCGGTCAGTTGCAGAAGAAGGTCACCGTCCACTTCTTTCTCAACAAAGGTCTTCGCGACGGACGAATAACCAACCTGAAAAAAACTAATTTACTTAGTCATGGTTAATTCATGTATAACGGTCAGTATCGTTATCGGCTACCTGCTGCAACCATTGTTTCACGTCCGGCACTGTCCAAAGAGGAACTTGTTGCGATAGCCGATGAGGTATCATTTCGCCCAGCACAGCCAATGCTTCGCCGGCTAATCTACTGGCAACGTCATTTGGCGAACTGGCGCAATTTTTCAAATGTTCTACGGCTCCCACTTCACGGAAGATCTGTATTGGACACAGCAAGTTAGGTTTCACACTTTCATACCTTAAATAAATTTCTTGAAAATGGAGAAAAGGTTTACCTTAAGCTCATTTCTCTTCTTGCGCGCGTAGGCCTCCGTAGCGAAATGAAACGCCGCCAGCTGCTGGGCTTCGGCGATGCGGCTTTCCAAAATCGGCATCAAACGGATGATGATATCCCGCGACTGTTTAGCATCTAGCTGCTCGGCATACTTACTGGCGAATTCCTCGGGACTATTCTCCGTCACAAAGTCATTCACCAGGTCCAGTGTGCCAGATTTAATTACGGCGGCTTCCAGTTCTTTATTGGCGATTAATGATCCCACGCATAAGCAGGCGAAATATTTTGTTGTCTGATCTTGCTGGCCAAATGCCAGTGGGAACAGCCAATCTGCCAAAAACATTTCCTGTTGTTCAAAGTACTGAATACAGACTCAACAAAACATTGAATTTACCCACCTTGAGCGCGTTGCTTGATCATCCGGTGCTGATTGAATTGACCACCGTACAGAGAGAGGTTTAGCAGTGCCAACGCGGAAGAACGCTGTGTTTCCACATCGGTACTCTTGCACGCCTCCAATACGGCGTCCAGACCCCCGTGATTGACCACTTCCGTGCATGCTGCTTCTGAATTGTTCAAAATCTTTTCAAGCAATCCAGCACCGGCTCGCCGCGATTCGGGATTTCCTTTGATCGTAGCAACCTATATTTATAGTAAACCTTGTCGCACCGTAGAACAGCACCACTGCTCATTTACATAAGTATTAGCAATTTAACAGTCACACAAGTTGAAGCAGGCAAATAGGCCGAGTATTTACGAAACAAATCTAAACTCGACATGACGAGCTCAAAGACTCACACCACAAAAAAAAGAGGAAAACCCACGTTTTATGTTAGTTTATTAATTAAAACCATATGACGATGGAAAGGTTCTGTTACTTTGCAATTCAAAGAAATGACTATATTGTTTCTCAGAAATGAACTACTTAAAAAATCAGCTTAATAAAGCCTTTTGTAAAGTATTTAACGAATTTAAATCACCATTACAAGTCACAATGCAATATTTTTTCCATAATTATAAATTAATGGAAATAAAAAGGACCTACTCTGACAATGCCGTCGATCCCCCGTTTCAACAATCTTTCTCTGGCATCGGTATTCATGCATTTGTCCAACATTTTGGCAGACAGCATGCTGACTTCCTGGTCTTGGGAATCGACGTTCTCAATGAGAAGGTCAACGACGCCGTCGTTCTCCAGTTTATTCTTTAGCATCGGAGTGATTGTGGTCTGCTCCTCCATCATTTCTACCATCTGCTTCAGTGTGCTGCGCACCTGATTCTCCAGAGCACTGGGTGTGCCGCGTAATTCCTCCATCAGACCGCTAATGGAACGCTTCTGACTGGGAAGAGGATTTCCTCCACCGGCATTGCTGTACGTGATGCTCTGTACTGTGCCATCTGGATTCTGCAGTCAACGTAAAACAATAGTATAATATTATCATCAAGATCCCAGCACGTCGTAAAAATTATAGGCATTTTTTGCATTAGCAGTTTTTGAAAACTGTATTACTGACAGTAAAACTCGCTTAATAGATCGGTCAAACTAGTACGTACGCCGTAACGCGCAACTGTTCTCCACGAATCTCGTTGAATAGGAGATCCGCTTTGAATACGTCTCATGACAACATTGTTGACAAAGTAGTAGTTAGGAACATGGGTCTGTCTAATAAAAGTTTCAAGATTTAAATTTTTTCGATATAAAATACCGGTTTTGGCAAAGTTGAGATCGACTGCTGGCTTAATTATATATACAAAGAAGATATGGCTACTGGCTACGTATATGAATCTCGTCCCATTCAAGAGTTCTGAATACAAAACGACCAGTCAATATTTTCATAACATTTACTACTGTACCTAGCTGAAACTTATGCTGATCGGTTCACAGCTCCTAAAACTATCAAACAATTAGCGCGTGCACTTTGGCCTTCATTTCTTATCAGCCTCTGGAGCGCAGATGTAGAATACTACTGTATCAATTCGCCGTGATTAAAATGTGCAAAAGCTTATGGTTAGCATCGTGCATATTATCGATTTGATTTTGATAACCCTTGCTAAATAAAAATGGGGCACTTATCACGTTTACATTTATCGAAATACGTAGTCGCATCAACTTCCGCAGTCCGCCAAAGCTACGGCAGTTTCGTTTTATTTGGCTGGTCTTCACGTAAGTATTTAGAAAAAATTATATTTCCAATATGCATAGTGGTGGAAGTGATTCAATTATTTTGTTCAATAGGTGCGGGATTTAGTTTGCTCGAATTATAGGTACTAGTATTTACTATTTACTATAACGCACAACATTATCAAAGCACCTATTGTACTATCTGTATGTACAATACCTATATGCACTCACCGGATACGCTACAAAGTTTTAAGGACGTCTTTAATATAATATTGATCGTTTATAATAACGTACTAGTACTTACTTTAATATGGAAGTACGTATACGACTGCTCCTGGTAGGCTGGTACTCTAATAAGAATAATGACTTATTTCTCGAACTACCACCTAGGATTTATGTCTGATGGTATTAAATTAAAAACGAAGTATAAATCTAATCAATTGCAGTTTTGTGAAAACACTTGTAAAGTGGAAAAAAAAGCGAGAACGGTCGTTGTTTTTAGATGTTTGTATACCGGCGCAGTACTAACCTGAATCGCTCTGGCTCCAATGGTTTCGCTTTTGCTCGTCTGGGTCAGTTCACCGATTCCCGAATGCGATCCGGCATAGCTACTGTTGGTTGCGTTGGAGGAATGACTGAGCGCCGCACACGCTGCCCGCAGGCTCTGTCCCATGCTGTCCAGGGCTTCGATGGAGGCCTTAGCGGCCGAACTGGACGACACTTTGTGGTCAGCATCCACCTTCACTTCCCCGTTGATCTCCGTGGAGTTTATCTTGGATTCCTTCTGATGGCTATTCTGCCGGGAGGCTGAATAGTTCACCACTTGTTTCCCATCGACAATCTCCTGGTACTGCCGACTCTGGTGGACAGTGACGGACTGCGATGAGGACTGGTGGTGTTTGCGCTCCACATGCGGACTGGATGAGCGGCCGTTAGCATGACTGCTCAGTAGATCCGTGCTGCCGAAGCGGGCCTTCGTCAGCGGTACAATCGGACTGCCCGGCTCGGAGATAATGGGTTCGGGGCTTTTAGCGTGTGGGAGACTCATTTTGGGAGGCAATCCCGAGGAGATTATGTTGTGAGTGTGTAAATTGTTAGTACTGTTCACAGCGGCCGCGTCGGCTGAGACGCGCCGTTCGAAGGTTTTTACGGCTTGGAATGCGTTCGGCGGTATATTGATATCGCCATGTGACGAACGCGATGTACTCGAGTCAAAGGATGTCGTACTGGAGTCTGATTTCTTTTTATGGCTGCTCCGGTCCATCGCGTTTTTCAGTCTACATTTGAAGGTCAGGTACACATGCGCGCTAGATGCTAATCGATATAAGTGGCGTTCGTACGCAGGAACGCCGTTTTGTACTCGTACTGTACTTCCGCTGTGTAAACGCTCGACGTGTATTTTTACATCTTATAAAATTTATATCAGACAAGTTGTACATAAATGCACGCATGTCGCCTCAAATCTATACCTAATTGCATTTACATACATACGTTCCAAATTTACTGTGATCAAGACACGACAAAATTTGCTTACGATCGCAGCATTGCGTTTGATCAGGGAAGATGGGAAGGACTTAATCGAGCCTTAAGCTGCTCCGCTTTTGTACAACCACAGCAGGAAATATGCTGAGCCGAGTGCCGGTCAACGCGAAAATTTTTCATGCAACTTAAGCGCAGCGCCCATAAAAACCCGCGCCATTAAGGCAGAATAAAAACTGTGTACCGCTTGGATCACTTATTTGGATATATAAATAAACCCCACGACCGAGACACTCTAAAACTACAATGATAATCGGCATCCAACGCGGCCTGCACTGCAATACTCAGTACAAGCAGAAGCAGCGCAAACTCGCCCGTTTCGCAATCACGTTGGCGTTTTGCAACGACAGCACTCTTTGACGTCCGAGACGCGATCCGACTACTGTTGTGCTGGCGCACAGAATTAAAGAAAGGTAAGTGCTATTTCAAAAACGCAGGCGTTTCAAAGTCCACCGATTCGAGATATGACCAACATCTGGGCTGTGCATCTGCGAACAGATGGAATCAAATTATACTTAACGCTTCCGACACCAACCGAACTGGGTTAAAAAGGTTTCGCGGTTTTACTTACGCATGCAATTAGCCTTTGCACAGTACAGTACAAATCACCATGTCCCTTTAAGCAGAACGGGAATTATGTCAAAAACAAACATTCCGTGCAAACAGCTGGGACAAAACGGAGAATGAATATACAGAATTTATTTACGGTTAAGTCCATAAACGTACACAACAGCGGGAAAACACTTTCGGACAACTGCTTGTTAACAATCCGCAACGGATGCGGAATTTCTGGCGAGTGTGCTATAGCTGACCTGCGCAATGCATGCTGGACAGTACGTTGTCATAAACGCACCATAACCTCTTGCTGGCCCGGTGCACTTACGGTTAAACTTGAAGCGACAAGCGTGCAAAAAATACAGATTGTATTGTGATTCTGTTGATTAATACAGAAAACCAAAACAAGGTTGTACTGGTCCAATGGACCTACAGCCGAACAGATACATATAAATATGCGTGATTATTAGTTATGTATCTGATTAAATTTTAGAATTAGATTATGATCATAAGCTATTAAGCCGTAAAATTGTAAATACACATTGCATATGCAAACTGTGCATTCCTAACAAGACATGACAGGTTACCACAATTAATTTTGCTTCTGTACACAAATTTATGGAGTCAGCATTAAGTACGCACCGCTAACTACTGCGAATATCACACGCGAAAGTCCATAAAACAGTTTAAATCCATAAATTATCCGATGCCGGTTACCGTCGATAAAGCAGTATTATAATCACAAGCGATATGCGCAAAACATCTCCAGCTTTCCGAAATGCAGATTCACAATAACCGACGCTTTTGCGACAGCTTCAATTTGAGATCGTTGGTTTTATCAGACTGCACAGCCTATCCGGCTAACTTCTTCTAAGGATGGAACATCAGAAACTGTCGTCAGTACGCAACACAATTTTTCAACGCGTGTGAGACACGCCACAGTTTACATGCGTCATGCATTCATCACAAAATATGATTGGCAATAAGGCAATTAATATGCCCGTCGACGGCATTAGAAAGAGAGCATGAGAAGATGAGAACGTTCGTGAAATTTCTCCGCACTGTAGCAGTTTTGAGTCATTGGCATTTGTGCTCATCAATTAGGCCAAAAAGAGCGTGGCGCTCCGGCGAATGCTAAATATATACTCTTACATCCGCCCGATATCAGTTTTCTCTGGATCATCTTTTTGGATACTTCCAAAAAATGCTGAGGAAAAATGCGGCCAACACACACCAGATGACAGCGCTACAATTTTTCAACCGAATATCCGGTTTTCGAATGTTGGAGAATCGGAGAAGTGTACGTACAGTATTTCATTTTCCGCTGTTGGTTGGGTTTAGCGGCGGTTTGGGCTACCAACGCTTCCGAACACACGATTCTGCAAAAATGCTTGTACCGTAAAAGTGGAAAACTTGTTCCACTTATACGGTGTCCGCTTGTGTGCAGAAACACTAACTACACAGGTACAGTAACAAAATTTATGCGCACTTCCGAGAATTTTAAAAAGCGTAACAAAATCCACTCGGCAGTATCAACATGAGCCGCAGCAAAGTGCGACATAAAATAAACTGGTTCTTGACTTGTTAGCCGCTTGAATGCAACCAGCTGAGTCAATCAAACTTTACCACGGAAATATAAACGACAACCTAACAGACACCGGTGCGGATTAGTACTGATTCATCTATTCTATCACTGCAATAAAATAACGTAAACAGACCAATGTATTGAGACATGACCAATAAAGTTCCTACCGAAAGCTGTTCATGTACTGTTTAGTTTCTTTCGATTTACTTTCACTTCAACTACCCCAACTTTACACGTGTATACACCATGTTTAACTGGAAAGACTTCGGAACACTCTCCTAGTCGAAATAATAAAAATACGTGATTTACCCACAAATCAAAAGATATCAAAGCAACGCTTAGGCACTGGGAGCTGGGGCGGGTTTTTGTTCGCCGTCTTTCGGTTTTTGCGTTTCATTCCAGCCTTCGAGACCCTTGGGCAGAGTGGTGTCCTCATCAAGGCTGCCAGTCCCCTCCACGAACTGTTCATATGTTGACTTCTCGGGGAAAGGTCGCGCTCCCAGTAATTCAATCATGTCGTCGCGTCCCAAAATTTCCTTCTCCAGCAATCTTAACGCAATCTATAAAAATTATAAGCTTCTTTAGTACCAGCATTCCACAAGTTTTTAGTGCTGCCAACTAAAAAAAATTTTCAGTTTAAAGTAGTTATAAATCCAGCAAATATACACAAGCTTTATAGAATGTTCGAAATATTAAACAGAAAAAAAACATCAGTAAGTACTGCATTCGTACTGCAATATCGATTTCACAGTACGTGCCGACTGAACACAAAAACATAAGGAATGCAGCCTCACAATTTTCCACTTCAAAGGTATTCTGACATGTGAGTAAATATCTATATTTCGCACACATGACATCAAGGAGCTCTTAAACCAACATTTAGATTTCAACTAATTTCGGCGCATACAAGTTTTTATCAGTCTCAGCTATAATTTAATCATGTAGGTACCTTTTCAATCTGTTCCTTTTTTTCTTTGACCAACTGGGTAGTTTTATCGTAAGCAGAGCGGATCAATGTACGAACTTCTTCATCAATCAGCTGTGAAGTCTGTTCGCTGTAGGGTTTGTCCATAGCGAAGTCACCCTGCTGTGGAAGATCGAAGGAGACATTGCCGACTTTCTCGCTCATGCCAAATTGTACAACCTGAAGAGAAAAGTGAGCTGTCAAATAAGTACTAACCAAATAAAAAACAATGCAGGTGTGAGTAAACAAGATGCAACAGCTACAGCGCGTATCAACGTTGCACGTAATGTACCTGTGCGTAAGCACTCTGTGTCACTTTCTTCAGGTCATCTTGGGCGCCAGTTGTCAGTTTACCGAAAAACAATTCTTCGGAGCATCGTCCACCCAATGTCATGCACATACGATCGAATAACTGAAAAGAAATTCCATTTTATGTTGCATGAAACTTAATCAATTGGCCAGTCACTTCATTAAGCGCTAAAAGCAATGACGAAAAAGTCAGGTCAGCCGACTACGAAGATGTCGGAATTAGATAGACTACTACTTAACCATCCAGAAAACCTGAAAATAGGCTTCCAGTACAATTTCTATTATCAGCATTGAGTTCGTTTTTTAGTGGCATTTAAAAAAGACTTGGCGGTTCCCATTTAAACTAGCTCAATGAACTAATTACATTTAAAATATCGACGATAACTGTTTGTCGCCTTACCTGTTCCTTAGAATATAAATACTGTTCTCTTGGTAAGTACTGGGCATAGCCCAGCCCTTTCCCTCTCGGTATAATCGACACCTTTAACAAGGGATCGGCATACTGCAGGAACCAACCCGCTACCGCATGTCCGGCTTCGTGAAACGCTACAATCCGTTTCTCCTCCGGCTGCAGCACCTGGCTCTTCTTTTCCATACCAGCCACCACCCGCTCAATGGCTTGTTCAAAGTGTTTGAGCACAATGGACTCCTGGGAGTCGCGGGCGGCAATTAGTGCAGCTTCATTGCACACATTAGCGATGTCGGCTCCAGTGAACCCTGGCGTGCGCGCTGCTAGCTTCCTGGCCAGGTCATCGATTTCCAATTTGGTTTTCAGAACACGGAGATGCACTCGAAAGATGGAAGCACGCCCTTTAATGTCGGGCGCCGGGACATAGATCTGTCGATCAAAGCGACCCGGACGAAGAAGCGCTTTATCCAAGATGTCCACACGATTAGTGGCGGCCAGAACGACAATTCCGCTGGTAGTATTGAAGCCTATATTGCAAGATTACTAATTTCACGTTCCCGCGAAACATTTTGTTCACTTTCAATTACTTTTATCCATACAGTGTGGTAAAACTCATGTAAAATGGAAAGCGACTGAATGAATGTACCAATGCTGATGACAAAACATTATTCTGTACTGCGTTTGTACGAGATATACACAGTGATATTAAGGCACTGCATTTCAAGTTTCAACGGAATACTAACCGTCCATTTCGACGAGTAGCTGATTGAGTGTATTTTCTTGTTCGCTATGTCCACCGAAATTTCGTCCTCCGCGCTTTCGTCCCACGGCATCGATTTCATCAATGAACAATATGCAAGGAGCATGTTTCCTGGCCATGGCAAACATATCTCGCACCTAATTTGACAGTATGTAATAAGTATCAAAGTAATAGTACATTACACAAGTACGCTACTCCAATCATAAACGATACAACACTAGAAGTATTCCAAACAATCCATCAGCTTTTAATGAGATAACAACCATTCGAGACTACAAAAGGTCTTCGAGCTTCGTTCTCGGTAGTTCTATGCATAATAAAAAACTTACGCGAGACGGACCAACACCGACAAACATTTCCAAAAACTCCGAACCGGATACAGTTAGGAATGGTACATTGGCCTCTCCTGCTGTAGCCTTCGCCAACAGTGTTTTCCCGGTCCCTGGTGGTCCCGTCAAAATGGCTCCTTTGGGAATTTTCGCCCCCAAATCGGTGTAACGATCCGGATTCTTCAGAAAATTAACAAATTCCATGATCTCAATCTTCGCTTCTTCGCAGCCAGCCACATCCCTAAAACAGACATCGTGAGTCGTGCCCATAAACAGTTCCCAGATACCGGCATAACAGATAAATTACAAATGACGCACTTGAATCTGACATTCATCTGGCCTTTCTCGACCAGTTTAGCCGTGCTTTCTCCAACGCCGAAAATGCCTGCCGGCCCCCGGCCACCCTTCCGCAATCCGTTCATCATACTGGCTGATCTCCTAAAACTCCATATCAAAAACGCCACCAGCAGAATGGTCGGAAGATGACCGGTGATGCTGGACGCGTCCAGTTCGCTTTTATACACAACAGGCACAAACTGTGCGGGATCCACAGCCATTTCCCGCTGAACGGCTTCTAAATTCCTCTCAAAGGAATCCACACTGCCAATGTTAAACCACAATCCCTGCGTGCCGCCCATCCGGGCAGCATAGTCAGGATGAACACGGATCCGCACCCATTTCTTATTGACTACTTCCAAGCGCTCTACAAGACCCTTGCCCAAGAATTCGTGGCAGAATTCCTTCCAGGTAATTTCTCGGTAATTCATCTCACGATAGCCAAGATACATAATCAGCAGCACGCTGCCAGCCAGAACGATATTATACCACCGGTTGGGATCATCGGGAGCAAACGGGTTCTTCATCCCCCTGTAAACGTCAACAAGAACGATGCAGAGATCTACCACCAGTTCAAACGTACAGTACAACTTAATAGATATGTTCAGAAGGTGCTAAGAAATCTGAAAATGCGGTCTAAAGCTATGTATTGCAAACTTGACAATCTTGAAAGAAAAATCAATTACTTGAAAAACAGAAAACGTCATGGAAACAATCACTAGAAACCGCGAATAAAATTCAACTGGCAGTCTCCGAAATGCATACTGAAATGCCGCAAACAATGGACCATGACCACTTAAAATTATGAGTCGAGAAACTTCAGGCAGAAATCTTCTTCCGAATATTACGGAAAAAAAGCAACTAATCGCAGTGATTCTAAAGTCGCCTTTATCCTTACTGCATCGGATTGAACCCAAAGCCAGGAGTAGGACTGCCTGAAGCAGGTGGATTAGGTTTCTTTTCGGGAGAAGCAGGATCCTCCTTAGCCGGAGTGTCATCTTTTTCGGGTCTGTGCGTCGGGGCTTCTGGTGGCGGTTCAGCCGATTGTCTGGGAGGTTCACTTTCCCGTTGGGCTTCCCGGTCAGGTTGGGGCGCCTGTTTCCCTTTCGGGTAAAACTTTCCGAATCCCTTTGGAGCAGGTTCACTGGATGATTCCGCACGCTGTAGGGGATCTTTCAGCCATTCTAAGCACGAAGACCATGGTAGAAAAATAACAACTACGAGCTGAATGCAAAGTTGCGTCATTATGCAACTTAAAATTATTTAAAGGCAGGGTCTGACTGTCACGATAAAAACGAAGGTCCAAAAATCGTTTCCATAAAAACGGGATGCTAACCTGCAGCAGCTGATAACTTTTGAACGGAGTTTTGGGAAAATGGGAAAAACACCGACGAAGCCGCTCTTGCCGGTGGTTTGTAAATATAAGCATATATCTGGGAGATCAGTTCAGATGTCTCTTGACGATCCGGTTTTTTTCCACTGGATGCTTTGGCAGAAGATCCTTCTAGTTCCAACAAAGCCGTTCGAAAATGTAATTGCCGCGTGCAAGTGCATGTCACACGAGACAAGATATTTCTGTTGAAATGGTACATCTTCCGCTGATTGAAGTGAAGAAAAGGATCTACCCAGGTATCCAAACACAGAAGGATAGCGCTAGCTCCAGCAAGTTGAAAAACAGTAATAATTTCTTATCGAGTGAAACTTTTAACAGCGACGGCTGCGACGCTTTAACATCATGTTTGTAATCACACTATTCTTCGCTTACTCAATTTCCAAGATTTTCGTCAAAAACCGGTAGCTTCCCAGCGGATCATTTTAATTTAAAAAAATCGTAAAAAACAGAAGTCAAATTTGTCTTGTGAAATAAAAAACAAACAAGATTTCCTATATAAACAATAAAGTCTACGAGCACGCGTACCGAAAATTTAGTCACGTAACCGTGAGGCTGCAAAATCGGAAGTTCGGAACAACTAGGTAGCGGTTGCGGTTCTGTCCGAAATCCGGGCCCGACGAAAAGCTGATAGCGGTAGATCACTGGACTCAACCGTCACTCAGGGCCTCAGGTACTAGTAGTGTCAGCCTGGGCCCTGAGCCTAGTACTTCTAACTACATAACTAACCGACCGGATTGTACCACGGTTTCGTGTTTTTCCGACTGTGATAACCGAACCGGACCACGATTTGGATCGTACTCTAATTTTGCACTGTCCTTAAACAGTTTGACGCGCGAATCCAACAAAATATTTTATTTAAATTAATTTAATATTTTATTTAGTCGGGGTGGTGGGGATCGTTCCCCCAGTTTTTAATGTTTTAAGTTTATTAGTTTATAACTTTATATACAAGTTGAGTTCAAAGCAATTTACCAGTTCAAAATTATTTCGTTATAAGAGGTAACTTGCAGACCGCCGGGTATCCAGTGGGCTCCGTAGCAAAGTCGTGATCTGCTGACTGTGTTTCTCGTCCTTGAACACCGATTTGCGCGAAAGCGCGGGTGTTCTGGAAAGCCAGGAAAGCAAGCCATTCCTTGAGCCGAGCCATGCAGTGAAATTCTCTACTGTCAGTTGTACACGACGTTATTATTTCGAGTGAATGCTGCGCTTGTGAAATGGAACAGGCGGACGAAGATCTGGGTTGGATAAAAGACGAAGATATATACGGGAATGGTGCGTTGATAACTTACCAGTTAGTGTTAGTTACTGTACTTAATCCTAATGTTGGATGTTGTAAACTTGTAATGAGCGCACTATGCTGCAGTGACGAGGGCTTTTATAATTTTATTCTGTTATAGAAATCTACCGACCCAACTTAAAACAGGCTGCTTTATTCATGGAGTTAATATGCAGTGGAACGATGCCCCAGCTGGAATGGCGCTCTCCGGGGCGCGTGCCCATGGCCCCTGCGCGATCACATGCGCATCCCTCGCATTTTCCCGCAGCTGCCATTGGGGTCATGGGAATGCAGCGCAGGATGCATGCCTTCCCTGCGCATCTTCCTAATCTTCCCAAAGAGCAGCCTCCGTTGCATCCCTCGCCTATGCTTCCGCCGCAAGGCCCCCAACTACCCAGAATCGCACAATCTCCGAAACCAGTTGCTGCGCAGGCGTAAGTAGATGCTGTATGTAGGACCGTAGGTGTATGTGAATCTCGGCACTGTTTTTGTAGAAAACTAACTGGGTCGTGCGCTAGACAGTTGCTGAGCGGTTAAGAAAGTTACTAAAGCGTTTTCTAGGATGAAGTGTTTAATCGCATCTAACCATAAGACGCTTCTGTTTTCGGTATTGCTGTGTAATTTCAGAATCACATCAGCATTTTTTATTTCCCAAAATAGTTAATTGTATTAAGGTTTATCTTATTTTTGCCATAAATTATTTTGAAGTTACTGGAATTAAGAAAAATTATGTAAACGGGACAAAAGTGCGAGCTGTACTGCGTTCTCGTCATCTTTCCATTAGACAGTTAAAACTCTCTTGAGCAGATATAAGTAACTAACAAGTAGTACCGTTTGGTATATTGTGTACCTGACTGCCTGTATTGTACACCGTTATAATCGAATAAAAGCTTACATGTTTGGAATTGAGTTGTATGCCGCAATGATTTAGTTTGTTGATTGTTCCTTTGTTTCTCTCCTCTGTTAAGTAAAGGCTTATTGTCTATCGTTTCCTCACTAAATCACATGCCATAGATACTTCATTTATTTTCAGGTCGCCCTTTGATTTTGATGACACAGAGAAACTCGAGTCCTCACTGGCGCAAGCAGCACGTTCTCAAGCTGCCTCGCCGCTGAAAATGGAGCCACGAAAACGTATTGTTGGCAGTCTGAGCAATGTGAGTATGCCGCCGCCACAAGAGAAACCTGGGGATTTTATTCCTGCTGCAATGACCAGCGGGAGTATCAACGACGCCCTCAATGACGCGCCCTTGCCATTGGATAACACTCCGCGTCCGCCCATCTTCGCACAAGCATCTCCTCCGAAACCCGCGATGCAGATACCAGCTGGTGAGATGCCGGCACTGGCCACCGCGGAGGCAGCTTCGGCGTTCCCGGTGACACCCTCGTTGGACAGTAACATTCTGTTGGTTGATAGATAACACGAAAACATAAATTACTGGAAAATATTTTTATCTCTTGATAACAGTGCTTTTTGGCTCTCATTTTGCCCCGATTTCAGTTTTCGTCTTATGCCCGGCTTTTGCTGTCTTTTTTTAAATTTATAGACTTTAAATAGTTTTTTTGATTTTATCCGTAATTTATGGATGTTCTGGTTTCGCATTCAATATTTTTGTTTCAATGTTGGCAGACTGTTGTCACCAAAAAATTTTATGTAAAAGGCTCCTGCTTGTAGCGGACGTCATCACGCGTCCTAAGGCTGAGCGCACGTATCCGCGTATGCGTGCATGTTATGCACACGTATGAAGACTTAGCGACTTTTTAAAACTGAAGCAATTCCAGTCCATTCTGCTTTCACAACATAACTGGAATCTCGAATATTCTGGCACCAGAAGTGAACTCGCACAGCTATGTGCCATAAGAAAATGAAAAAGCAATTACAACTGCTATTAGCTCTTGATATAATTAACAAAAGTGAACGTTTTTTCCTAGTCTTGCAATATTGTTAAAACAAACAGAATGCCACTGAAAAGCAATGCAATTCTTCTTATTCAGACAAATACATTCGGGTACCACCATTTCTGTTGAGCTCATCGTGGGCTTTTGCAAACTGCCTCAAGGCAATAAAATCTCAAGATCATATCATGTTCTTGGAATAATTTGAGAAAAAAACTTTCAAGACGCAAGACCAATGGTTCGCGTTTAGTTCTAAAAAATCCAATAAGTTCTATACATGGCTGTTCTTTAACTGCAAGTCAATCTACAGGCCAAAGTGAAGACATTTTAATCAAAGCGTACCGCATAGTTTATCCCATAGTGAAGTACATAGTGGAGCCCGCAGTTTATCCAGCAGTAAACCCCACAGTGTATTCCGGAGTTTTTTGCATAACGTTTTCACGTGCATATCAATCCGTAGTAAACAATACAATATATTCCACATAACATCTCAAATTTTTTATTTTATTTTGCAATATTTTTGTAGCAATATTTTTGCAGTATTTTTTAAAACACAATTTTTTCAAAAAACATTTATAATAAAGTAGTTTTAAAACGATGATGACTTATTCACAATCACTTCTGCCAGGTAGTTGCGCAACAACTGTGAGCAATTCGTAAACGCTATTATTAGGAACACTGGCAGGCATGTAAAGTAAATTTCTTTGTCTTAGCGAAGCTCCGGCATGTTTGCTTCGGTAGTTCCGTCAAAGAAATCGAATCTACAGCTATGTGCCTAGTCATAAAAGTACTTGATTTATGATATTTTGTTAATGTTTTGATCCCAATAATAATTCAGAAACTGTTTGCAGATCTAAATTTTATTGAAGTTTATGTTTATAAAAAATTATATTGAATACTAAATGCAATAATTCAACTGTTGTGAGGTCACTTATGTATTTACTAGTTGACCCCGCGCAAATTGCGCGAAAAAAATAGGCTAAATAACTAGGGTTAAAAGTTTTTCCGGCGCTTACTTTATTAATAATGGCTAAGTCAACCCCAAAACTATTCTGTTGTAACCCGGTTTTAAAATCGTTTAATATTAAATCTGCTCCTGTACAAAATATGCGTTTGATTACCGGCGTTATTGAATTTTTAACCTTTAAATTATTTTTCACTTCACGTCTATGTAATTAAGAACCCGAAAATAATGAAAAAAGAGCTGATTTGCGACTTGCGGTGATTTTCGGCTTGTTGTTTTTGTTGTAGACTTTTAAAATGGTTTCTTACACTTCAGTTTCTGCTATTACCAAGGAAATTCAAACTTTTCATAACCCTTATGCAGCAACTCGCTTGCTGCTCCGCGAGCTCTGCTTGCGCCGCACCTCGGCGTCGCTTTCGGCTCCGCCTTCGAATGATAGAGATAATAGAAGTAATTAACAATGCCTTGTGAAGTAATTCTAGCCGCTACAAAAAATTAGGTATGTATAATCAATCGGTTTTGATTATTAAGTAAACAATGAGAGAGCACTTACAATATTAATAAAGCCAGTGAGCGGGCCCAGAGTTGCCCCATTTCTGAGTTTCCCATCCCCATTCCCCTTTCCATTTTTTCTCTCCCTTTTCCCCCATTTTTCGCCCATTTTTTATCAGCTAGTACCATTCCTGCTTTGGAACATACAGAAAGCCCATTCCCATTTCCGTTTTAATATTTTCGCAACTGCACACCCGAAACGTAAATAGAAATTACGTTGGTTATTTTTCGCGCGAAGCTGACAATGTTTTTCTCTTACAAACTTTAGAAATTCCAATAGAAATAAATTGTAATTAGAATATTTATTTAAACTTTATTTTCGACAGACTGTTTCCGTCAATTATAATATTCCGCATTTAAAAAATTTATTTGTACGGCTTCCCATTTCCGCGCATTTGGCCTTTTCCCGTTTTTGCCCATTTTGCAAACTTTCCCATCCTTTTCCATCCATAAATTAAAAATAAATAAATGGGAAATGGGGAAAAAATGGGGCCCATCTCCATTTGAAATGGAAATGGGGCAACTCTGAGTCTGCTGTAGTTTAACTAAAATTTTCAGTAGTCATTCCCTGATTTGAATTTTTAGCAGTAACGTGTCCTGACTGTGATTTGTGACTGTGATTATGCTCGAAAACGTCTACTTAACTTTTCCTAGGCTTATATTTGTATAAGGGTTTACTAATAATTCATTAATTAATACTGAAATTGTGTGACAGTAATACCGTGGCTTATGAACTTGTAAATGAATTATTAACCTGACTCTGAATTATTAACCACACAGTACGCACATTATACATAGAACGAAAAAGGGTTTTCGGTTTGCAAAATAGTGTGAAAAATTGCCAATATAAAGTAAGTGGTGCCTGACTGCCTCTGTTCACCACACTTCGTAGAATAAAATGACTGCCCATTCCCATGACAGTACGTACTGTGCCAGGCCATGGTTGGATTGTTACGTTCACATTGAGCATTTAGGTTCGGGAGCGAGCTACGTAAAACGCAGCTAGCTGAGAAATAATTTGTCTTTTCTCTGATTTGTTGCCGCAGTGTTCCGTAGACTTTGCATAGCAAGGTTTTCCAAATTTTATTCGGAAACTTATTTGTTTTTCCAAATTAAATGCATATTGTACACTTTTACCAAATGAGGCTATTAAACGATATATAGAGAGCAGGGATTGGCCCAGTACATCGTTCGTAGTAGGAGCGCAAACACACTGGCCACACCCCCTCTTAATCTTTTATTATTAAGGATTTAACATTGCAGATCACAGAATTCAAAAGTGCAAACGCGAGTCGGCAACTGCATACAAACTTAAGTAGTTGTTTTGTTTGTAAAATTGTATATGCGAGTATCCCTCTGAGGCTCCAAAATATTGCAAAATAAAATAAAAAAAATTTGAGATGTTATGTGGAATATATTTTATTGTTTACTACGGATTCAACTGCACGCGAAACGATATGCGAAGAACTCCGGAATACACTGTGGGGTTTACTGTTGGAAGAACTGTGCGGTTAACTGTGTGGTTTACTGCGGGATAAATTGTGGGATCAACTATGTAGTTCACTATGGGATAAACTATGCTGTACACTGTGACTTGAATGTACTTATACACTTTGGCCTGTAGATTGCCTTGCCGTTAAAGAACAGCCATGTCTAGAATTTATTGGAATTTCTAGAATAAGCGACCAATGGATCTTGCCTTTTGAAAGTTTTCTTAAAATTATTCCAAGAACTTGATATTATGTTGAGGTTTTTATTATCTTGAGGCTTGCAAAAACTCACGATGAGCTCGCAAAACTGTGGTACCCGAATGTATTTGTCTGATTAAGAAGAATTGAATTGATTTTCAGTGATATTCTGTTTGTTCTAATAATGATTCAGGACGAAGAAAACATGTTCACTTTTGTTAATTATATCATGAGCTAATAGCAGTTGTAATTGCTTTTATGGCACATAGTTGTGCGAGTTCACTTCTGGTGCCAGAATATTCTAGATTCCAGTTATGTTGTGAAAGCAGAATGGACTGGAATTGCTTCAGTTTTAAAAAGTCGCTAAGTCTTCAGACGTGTGCATAATATGCACGCATACGCGGATACGTGCGCTCAGCCTTACGACGCGCGATGACGTCCGCTACAAGCAGGAGCCTTTTACATATAATTTTTTGGTGACTGTTGTCTCGCATGCGTTGTTGTTGATCGAAACGATCAATCAAATTGTTGCAAAAAAATACAAGTAAATGCTGCTTTGATTCGAGATCATTGTTCCGTAAAACGAATAATTAACATTGCAGTAGCAACTGTGTAGCTCAAATGGATGTTTCCTCCGGGATGACTTGTTCGTCGGTGTCGCTATCCATTTCCAACTCGGTTTACTCTGAACTAAACAGAAAAACTTCTCGGCATGCAAATCAAATTATAGTAAGTAATGCTACACATAGCGTGTTGTGATGTTGACATCATGTTGTACAGCTCCATGTCATGCTAACTGGGACAAATTCTTCATTTTCAGTAAGTGAAGCTCGCCCGTACATATGCGCATATTGAGAATGAAAGCTTACAAGTTACAATAACGTGAATAAACTTCTTTTCAAAAGAAATGTGTGTAGTAGTACTGTGTACTTTACTTTGGTTTCCGCTTTCGCAGAGTGATAGTGCTGTTTAGCTGTTCACTGACTGTGATAGACGATAGTACTAGTCTGTCTGTTGCACCTATGGATGACTTTCTCGGGGTTACGTTTAATCTAGAGATAAATGTAGGCGGACGAGTTTAAAGCGTTTGCGTGAAAATTATGCAATCCAGAGACGCCCCTCGGGCCACATCCAATTTTGCACTGAATGACCAATAACTTTATTTCCCTTTGGCTGGTTTAAAGCAGTGCAGTCCATATGAAATTGAGCCGTATGGCAACTAACCAAAGATGCATGTTCTTCAAGTAAAACGGCATCTCTTACGCAATACAGGCAAATTTGTCCGTTACTCTAATTCCATAACAAGAACACCGGGAAGCCTCCCGAGCATCCCTTTTAAATTTACACCATGAATAAGCTATCTGCAATAGCTTTTACTTACAGATATATATTGTGCTCTCATGAGGGGCACAAAATTTAATTGGACGCATAACAAGTCGGCAAGATCGAGAGCTATATATTGGAAATATTCTAAAACCAGGAATATTAAGCTGCATCGCCAGAAATATTATTTTATCGTCTATGGAAATGGATTCTAACTGTAAAAACTTGGATGGCTACAGATAAATTAATTTGCAATAATGCCATCGTTAGAACACATTCGCAGGCATAATCATGTTTATTTCAAGAGTACGTGAGTTGTTTCATTAATTAATCTGTTAGATATTTGACGCCCAGTAACAGCAAAAAATGACCTTATGGCTTATGCACATATGTTACAGTATCTGTATTATGATAAACCTGGGAGCGCCCGGAGAAAAGCATTGTGGAAACGTCGGTATCGATGACATTCTCAATGTTACTACATAATTACATTATTTACGTAAATGTATGACTGACTAAGGCCGCAATAGAAAATTACTATGATTATTGAGTAAGGAGTAAGCACAAAAATTACAGTTCCAGATTGCAACTCGCATATTGCGACTGACCCAGTTTTATAGGCTCTTTATCGAAAATTAGAAAACGTAGGGTAGTGATATTGTATTTCTGCTTACGAACGACAAATTAAAACATCGTTGGCAACAGGAAACAAGAGCATACAGCATACAGTAGAAGTATTTCGAAACCGCTCTATCATCACAACTGAAGAACTTACTTTTGTGTCTCCATACAATAAGATCCATGTTGTCCGGCATAACACTCCAGCCCAAAACAACACGTTTGTGATCTCCATTTCATGCCGTAGAGCTTTTGACTAACTCCACAAGGAGCACCTCGAACGGCACAGACCTTCTGTAATATTATCATTTACATAAACGCCACAAAATTATAGTGATGTGCTAGCTAATTACAACACAATGGAAAATCGACCTATAGTAATGCAAACCATAACTAATAAAATAAAATGCGTCCATCAGTTGTGATAGACTCATCTATAGCTGTACAATTCGGAAACGTTTCTTTATGTTTATGGGCGTAATATTATCCCAATTCACAAAGTATGATCCAGCCGGAGTCGACTGTTCCATACATGTCATACGTATTGCCGACAAAATATGAGAACATCACAGCCTCACCGGACGTAATTAACTTGCGCATTACCAACTTAATCAGTATCTAAAATAATTAAGCAACACGCCGGCATACTTACATAGGCAGCTGGACGGAAGTATTCCGCATTCCACTTAATGACCTTTTTCTCTGGATGCCACGCAGCGGCCAGCCATATGCAACAGAGTAGAAGAACCCCCGCTATCCATTGGATGCTGTTAGCTTTTTTCAACAACATTTCGTCGCCAATATTAATTTAAAAAGGAAAAAACTTCCGGTTCTCGAATCAGAAGCAGTGACCGTACTCCTTTCGAACACAGATTTATCGTGTTTCAGCACAAATATTATAAAACTAAATACTGAAGTCAACTGCAAAACAGGTACGCGCACAACCGCTCTGATACAAAGTGTAATGTTAAGTGGATTATCTCAGTTGTCGTAATGGATCATCAAGAACAGTGATACATCTAAAGAGAACGATTGATCCAATCGTGTGCTGAAATCCAGGACTTTTATATGCGGTTTATGGCAGTGGACGGACACATATGCAGCCTACTCGTCGTATGCAGATAGCCGGTAGAGTCGGCACTTGCTCTGGATATATTCGTACTTCTATACCACAAACATAAGCAATCGCTGTGGCGGTCATAAACATACTACCGGATGTGATATCAGAGGTAGTTGAATTAGCCCGCTGCGGATCCCGGCGAATGATTCAAGTTGTGACGATCAATTGGAAGACCGTATTATCTTCAATGACCCGACGTGTGAAATCTGTTTAAATAAATTACGGCATGCTGATTGCTTCCGCATGAGGGATTATGGAGCGCCGTGCCTAGAAGCGGTAAACTAACCGTCACATGGCCACAGTGATACGCTGTGGGATACACTGGCCGTAAATAAACCTCCGTGTCCGATTGTGTTTCTTGGTATTTTTAATGAATTGTCCTTGTTAGGTATTTATTTATCCTACGCATTAGCAGCGTACGCTGCATCCTGCAGGGTAATCCATGCGGTACGTGTCAAACACACACAATGTCTTGAAAACTCAGCCGTAATGCCGCTGACGCGATTTACCACACGGAAAACTGCCAGGGAAGAAGTTATTAATTTGATCCACTAAATTTTGATTCACCTGATTAGGAAATTTACCAATTCAGAAATCACGCCACCTAATAATCATTGGTAGAGATTTGATTATGCGCTAGATCACCACGATAATGTAAAGAGTCTGTTGTTAACATCTGTTGTACAAATACAATGAGTAAGTTAAAAAGTGCTCCATCTTGTTAGTATGGCAGAGGAAGCGCAAATTTAATTAAAAGCTGCAGATAATATAGTTAGGTAAAAATGCTTTTCCGTATCTTAGCCCAGCGGCCCAGAACCTCTGCAAAATTTGATGGCCTGTCAAAAAGTAATTTCCGGATCTAATACTACCGGTGTCGTGAGCAACGTGACAAACTGTTATCGCAAAGGTCAATACGGCTGCTATCGAATTTCTACAGTAGTTGTAAACGGATTCTGAATTTAGGAAAGGGCACTCATCATCAAACGTAAAACGCATGCACATCGCTGATTCATCTTTTCCTTTTTTCTCCCACTGCATTCAGTAGTTGCGGAATCAGTTCTTTCAAGTTATAAAATCAAATAGTGCCAGAAATTAAAGAACATAAGAAAAAACAATCAGGAAAATGGGAAAGCAAAGCATGCAAAATAACATACTTTAACAAAGCAGGCTTGTACAACAAACAATATCACAGTGGCTCAATCCACGTCAGTCCAGCAGCGGATCCTACAAGCCTTCCATTCATGCAGCGATATCGTTGTTCAATCCTGACCGTCTCCGTCTCACCCATTTACTAATCTGTGTTACGGACAGGATGACCGGAAGTGCGGCCGGCAGGAAGAGCGGCACATAAATGGCGAACCTATTCAATCACAGACAACGTTACATATCCATGTGCGCCATATAGGCCAACGAAAACTCCACGGCGCTGCAATCAATCACACATCTGCCTACTTCTGATCGTCGGGAAAGTACAGCTGTTCAAGCAGGGACGGATCGTAAAAGGCGCGTTCTACAACATACACAACAATGTCGTAACCTCCGCCAAGAGGCCAACAGCCAGCGCAACAGATGGTGTACCTATTACCTGATACATACCTGAATTTTCCCAAGCCCGTCGACTGGAGAGCAGTCCAGCGCGTTCGTCTCCGGACGACAGGGCTTGCTGTGCGTCATGGATATGACGCACTGCATCGTAGATGTTCCGGCCGACAATGTCGTTGATGGCGATGCTGCCCATTTGGTCCAGGAGACGCGCCAGTGATTTCAGGGTGGAGATTGAGTCATCCACATTCACACGCGCTCGTTTATCAAACAAACCCGGCAAATCCTATTAACCAAACGCATGGGTCAACATTATCCCGTAACATAAAATTTTCAATCAAACAGAACAAAATTACAAAAACTGAACTGCAATCCAACAGAAGCGCAACTGCCATGCACTCACGCAATCACGCTTGTGTCGTTTTTCACTGTGATATTCTAACAGATAATAAAAGAGTTAACTTCGAAAACTTCAGCTTTTTCCATGGGGACATTTAACATTGACGTTATTAATATTTTTCATTTGTAAAGAATGTATCGCATCAAGTAAGCAACCAGCGCTTTTAAATTATGCTGACACTCTACGTAAATACCTTCTCACCTTAGCAAAATCAATTGCGCCTTCCTGAGCATCTGCCTGCAAAAACATCCCAGTCCACTCACAAAAACCCGAGCACATTGCAACATCATGCGCTATCCAGTCGGTAAGTGTACTTTGAATAGTCCCCAGTGAACAAAAAGTTGGGTCAGGAAGATTTCCGCCACGCTCTGCACGTTCACCTCCATAACGGATAATTCCGGTGTGAGTGTCTCAGGAGAATAGATCATCACGCCGCCCCAGCGTGGAGTGATAATCGAATTAGTGGCCACAACTGTCCCACTAGCATCCAACAGGCGCAGTGGTCGCTGTTTAGCGGTGGGAATGTAAATGATCATGTTGATGATGCGGTGATCGGACGAAAACGAACCTAATCCGGCAACACGCAATGGTAATAAGGCAGACATACCGGAATATAAAACCATACAGTACGATAATCCATCATTTTTTTTATGTTTCATACCCGCAAACACTACCGGGTGGCTGAACAAAATGGCGGTCTCGGATTTTCGTTTGTCTCTTGCGGGGCAGTTTCCGCACCGCGAACTGCTTAAGTTCATTCGATAGAGAATTCATTCAACTACAAAAATCAGCAAAGCGTTCCTAAAAATGTTTAGTCGTGCTCACTTGCTCTGGAACCCTTTGAAATCGGGTGAAAATTTTTCGTGTCCCAGGTTTCAAAACCCAGAATCTCGTAGCACTGCCTTCCCGTAAGTACTTTTTGAAAAATCTTCAGTGTTTTATCTAGAGCACGACGTCTACTTTGATTATAAAAAAAGTTGTAGACATCGTGCTTTCCCAGGAAGAGTTATGCAGTCAGGACAGTTTGTAACTTTCCGAAAAAATGCTGGTTTTTTAATTTATTTTTAAGAGTATTTTTAATCTAAATTTTGGCCGCAATAAGGACTGCACCAAAAAATGCCGGTTTTAGCTTTTTACAGTAGCTAATGTATTGCGCGTGCAGATGCACTGTTGAACCTGATAAACTTCTGAAGGGTTGGCCAGAAATTTACTACCAAAATCCCTGCTTACGAATTTCATGAAAATTGTCCCATGCCTAATCGCCGCCATTCCGTGTATTGGCCAAACATGGTTACTAGAATACAACAGTTCTTTACATAAAAAAAACTAGAGACCACCCCTCAACCCGAAACAGCAACGTAAGTTACATTACGGCTCTTTGCTGAACAACAGCAATTTTTATTTTATAATAAGGTAATTTCAGATTTTCGTTTTCAGGACATCATTAAAACCTGCCCAATTTTTAAAAATAATTCAAGATAAAATTAAACCTCTGCCTTATGTAATCCGAGTTTAATTTTTGTATGCGGTAGACTTTGCTCTTTCGAATGAAATTAAGATTATGGCAATCGAACATTTGACGGACCCAGTGCGACGGTTCAAATGAAACCGCCATTTTGTTCAGCCACCCGGTACTTAACAATACAATGTACCTGATAGACTTCAACTGCGGTCACACATCCCATAATCATAACTGGTAAAAACAACCCAATTCTATCTCCAGCAAATTTGTTTTTGCTCGGCAAAGAGCCTATAACAGCATATTCTCCTCACAATCACTGTACTAAAGCACTTTGCTTCAGGAAAGCGACTTTCTCCTGATCCACTGTCCAGTGTCCACTGAAACTGTGCATCATTCGCAGCTCTTCTAATAATAAACACTCCCAGCGTTTCCACAGCGCATGGGTAAAACCGCCAGTGTGAAAAAACTGTACTGGCGTCGGTTCCGGATTTCTACTTGATCTACCGCTGCAACCGCTGGTGCGACTGCGCTGAAGTATCTGCAGAAAGAGATGTCCCATACCTAGGCGTACAACTGTTTTCCAGCACGTACAGAAACATCCTCCATCTAGAGGCCGGAACTCGCCGCTGGATATTTCTCTGTGCTAGTTCACAGTAAATACTAGCCGTAAAGCAACTCCGGGAAGGAATATCATTCACTTCGGAATAAAGACTCCATCTTTCTTGATAGTGCAGGTATACCAAGCCGTGCTGGTCGCCCGAACTGACTGGAAACACTACACTCGACAATTATTTGGAATCACCACTAGTAATCCAAAACGGACTCCCATAGCGGTTTATCTTTCAGGCAGTCAGTGTCCCTGAGCTGGTCGCCGGTAACGCAGATTACCAAATCATTTCTGGAGCTGTTAGTTGCAGCTTACAAAAAACCCAAAGGACTGAAGCAATGAACGCTCACAATGCTACCACACCTGGGCCGTTATTTTTAACGATTTAACGAAACGCGCGTTATTTCCGCGTTATAACATAACGCTGCAGCGTAACGCGCTACCTGAAAAGCGTAACTGTAGCGTAACGCTACCAAAAATCTATGTTTTACACTATACATTGTAACGTAGCGCGCAAAATAACGCGAAAGTCGGTTCACTTACAGAAATAGCGTAACGCATAGCATTACTGGTACCAAAAAATATGCCTCCTCCAAACTACGCAACATATCTCTGAAAACTTACTATGAATCCCTCATGCTAAGCTATTATGCAATACTTTCATTTACCCCTGTGAAAGCATTACAGCAAAATTCATAACTTTTAAAGGCGGAATAGTTTTGCAGAACAGCAAATACGTGACCTACCCAAACGACTTTCCACGTGGTTGATTATCTTCGAAGCCTCCTGAAGCGAGACAGAATGGCCGCCATTGGCACCGCCGGGTGTTGTGATTAATGGTTCATCCATGAAACGCAGGATTTGTGAGGAAACCGAAAAATTGGCCAGAGGATGCAACAACGACAAAGCTGGATCCAGATACTCTAAATGCAAAACGGATTCCTGTGTATCTGTTTAAAAAAATTCAATTCTTTTACTGCGCTCTTTTCATACTCTTCAGTCCTTCCTGGATGTTCCAGGACACCGTGAGTGCCTCCGGAGTGGGGTTGACCAGCGTGAAAACAATATCGACGGTCGTGCAGGCAGGGACGTTCCAGAAGGTATCCCATCTCTGCTGCAGCGCTGGTTGCACGCCACTGACTTCCTATTGGAAGCTCTACTTATTTAAAAGGCACATGAAACGAAAAGATGGTCTGCCATCCTTTGTGCACCTTTGTGGGAGCGTCACGCATCCGAAGTTCGCCGTAGGTCCGCAGCACGTCGATCTCATCGTAGGGCACGGAAACTCGAGTTACTGTTGTTGTTTTCCACCAAATGGGTACGCCGACCAAACAGAAGACGGCAACATAAAAACAACAGATGGCAATATCGGAAAAGGGACGTTCTTCGAGCTGTTCTTTAACAGTAGATTCCTGAGGCTCACTCGCAGACGTCGTGGGCTCCGCACTTGATTCCTCGGTCATCCTGGCTCACTGCAGACAAGAAACCAATAACAATACGACCACGTTCGGTAAACTAGTATGCACTCAGTGCAGGTGCCAGATGCTTATATTTGGCATCTGGAAAAGGATCCGAAATATAATCACGCCGCGAAAAGTTTTACAAAGAAGTTGCTACCTATCTGCCTATCAGAGTATAGCAGTTCTAGCAATTACGAATATCTAACCTCAGTCGTCGAGACAATAAACGGCTTAATTTCACTTCGGCAGATGCGAGTTTTGAATAATTAAGAAAACAATAAATGGAACGTACTGTAGGTAATATTAACTATGGATTTAAATGGCAATGACAAGGGACAAAAATTAAAAACCGAAAAAGATTTCAGAACCGAAAGGCAAAACGATAACAATGCGTGTTTTTATACATGAAGCATTATTATGATTGGCATTAATTTTGGCACCGTTGTTGATATGTATGCAAATTGCAAAGTCTTGGCCGAGAAAGTACGTGGTCAATACTGCCGGCCTGTGGCGCAAGTCAATGGGCGTAGCCCGCGCGCAGTAACAATCTGTTTTTTGTTTAACCGTAATTAGACCTTGATATTGTTACCACGCTATTGAAATAAAGTAGTACGCAACTTGATCTAGTGAATCTACTATGTATACTGTATTTATCTTATTATTAATATCGGTTTAATCTCGTTTTTCTTAAAAGTTCCAAATTTTATTCATTTTCCTTTGTGTCGTATGCGACGTTTTTTGGAAACTCCCTTGTACATTTATCTGGTCAGGCCAACAATATGTGTTATAGTTTCTGTTTACAATAATTATGTTTTTCCACTTGAACAACATAACTCAATATTTTTATTAGTAGTTGTGCGTGGCTTGCTGGCGACTGCGCCGTTGATACTTGTTACCGGAAGTCCGGAACTATACATCGCAAGAATTCGGGAAAATGAATCTGTAGCAAGACTTGAAACAAAACTATTTTCGCCCCTTTACTAAGTTTCTTCCGGGTGTCACCGGGTTCTAATTATAATAAGAAAACTCTCTAAAACGATGCTAAAAACGAAAGCTGTGTACTAGCCGTATACGCATGCCCTTGCACGATACAGCAACTCCTACGTATTGTACATACCCGAAGTGTCTCTACGGTACTTTCTGACAACGAACGGTGTAATTTTAGGTAAAGTAAACAATTGTTGACACCTTATTACGGCAAATACGTCACCTAGTTTTATTTTTACATGCCTATCAAATTTTGTGTGTGAATCCCATCCTGATGCCGACAGTTATTGCTGTTAACGCGTGGTGTACGATTTACGTATTTTTGTATTTAAAATCTACGTATCATCCCGCAGCTAAACTATATAATTATGCATTTATGCAAGCGTTACCTAGAGCAACCATTTTACAAGCCGGCGCATGGGAAAATTATGTTTTCAGAATTAATGAAATCCCGAATTCGCTTTTCCAAGAAAGTCTTTGGAAATACTAACCATAGATTTTTGTTTACAATTACAAAATCAGTGGGGGACTTGACTGGCTCGTTGAGTTTGGTATCGATGAAATCGGCTTTTTTGTCCGCAGAAATAATCCCACGAAGAACGTTTGCCTGCGTATCGGACAGACGCGCAACTTTGTTGCTAGAGTTAGTACTCGATCCAATGTCAGTCAAAACTGTCCCAGTGCTGCCGCGTCGGAAATCTGGTGTTTCACCTCGTACTCGTATCCAGAAATCCCGCACGTGGGTGCGGAATTTCTTACAAATAGTACAATAAAATATGAAATTCAAGTAGTAGTTGGCTAGAACGCTGATAAGCATGAAAGGTCGTGATGCCTGTTTGGCTTCCGGCGTGAAGCGGTATGTGCAGAAGGGCTCTCTACTGGCTAACTCCAGACATTTCCACACAACGTTCGGGGACTGGAAGATAAAATAGAGGGACACACATGCCGCCAGGAAAAGGAAACTGGTTCGACGCTGCGCCTGGTCGCTGTCGTTCACTTTGGCTGGGCCGGTGACCGTTGACCTTTTTATAACCGTTCGATTGCTACCTCTTCCATGGAGCACCGTTTTCCGATCCTTGTACCGCCTCATTATGACAATGAATATCGCCAGGTTTAAGACGATTAAGACAAAAAGTTTGGCTATGGTAATCCCAGTCTGCAATAAAACGAAGGTCAACCCTCCGCTGCAAGTTCGGTGATAACAATTAATTTGCAGTACTTCCGGTCCGGTCACAACATACGAAAGTCTGTAATGTACGGTATGCTCAGTACTATGCTCAAACGGATTCATGTTTGACCGTAAATCTACATCAGGACAATTTTATAAATACCTCAAACTGAAGCTGTACGTTTTTCCAATTATGAAGCCATGCAGAATTTTCAGAGTTGTCGTTTCCTTTAACCAGAATATAATACCATGTTGCGGCATTCTCCACAGTCGCGGCCAGCGCCAGAATGAGAAGACCCAGCTCGATTATTGCCGTCGTACATATTTGTCTTCCCATCTTGTATTTATATACACGACCCAATGGATTCGAAACCGCAATAAACCGTTCAATGGAAAAAGCGATTAAAGTCCTACAACGGAAAAGTTTTGCTCTTTCATGTCAAAAGTGGTAACTAACTACTCTAGGTTTTAATTCTTGTGTAGTTTAAATCTTAGCCATCACATCATTCACGTGTATGTATATGCCATGGACTTCATTTGGGCAACTTGTCACAGAGTTACAAAGCGCAAGGAAAAACTTAATAGCTATATGTTTATTATGTTATAAAATAGTACAGTACTATCAGCATTACCAGTCAGAAAACTGTATGCATGCTTCCGACAACCACGATTGTGCTCCTCCGAAATTGGCGTAGCCTTCTTCGTCGTTAGGATTGTCCATGGCAGCAGGACTGACTTTGATGATGTAAATCGGAAGATATAGCCAGCTGCAACAAAAAATTGCAGGCGACGAAATAATACAATGCGTACAATACATATATATTGTATGCATTATAACACATGTACACTGCCTCCCTTACAGTTAATACTGACAGTTACACATAAAAATTACGTGAAAATAAGTACAGAACGTGTCTAAGTGTTGCTTGTTGTGTAAACATAACGGCTTTTTATACTACTGATTTATTGTATAAGGCATAAAGAAATATTCACTTACAGGATGCACAAATCGGAAAGGGCTAACCATATAAGAAAAACACTGGTGGTGGTTTTATTCCTCTCCGTTCCCAGCACTAACAGATTCAGTATGTTGCCCACGGTGCAGAAGAGTAGAAGGATGGGGTAGAAAACAAATTCAACCCAGTTAGTGGGGTTATCACTACTTTCGTATGCAACTTGGACAGGAAGACCACATTGTATTTCAATGGATGTAATATTCACACTACCGCTATTTTCACCAGTTGTATTGGCAGACAAATCGAATCCGCCGCTTCCTGATGGATCCATAGCATACGGAGTTGAAATAACGGGAACACACAGGACAAAATGCGAGGGTTTGCTTAGCAGTAAAGTAATTTAACTATAATTAGGAGAATTAAGAAATATTCGCAAAACAGCTGGGTGCAGAAATTGGAAAGCGTTAAGCACATAATAAAAACACTACTTTAAAAAAATTTAAATGCCTAACGTCGATGTGTATCTGTACAGAGTATCAGGAACAACACCGCTTTCTGTCATGTAACAACAGCATATTCAAAGAACTTCATTCGCAACGTGATACAAATCAGCAAATACCCTAATTACTAGTTTAGTTTACGCTGATATGGTGGTTATACAGTAAGTATTAATATACTTATATCAACAAGCATTTTGCCTCGAGCGCTGGCGTCACACCGCACGACAGTAGAATACTTCAACTGCATCCGGTCACATTTATTTTTTAAAGCCCCATCGGCTTTGAGCTGTTATTACTTTTGCCGCTATTTAACGAGCCTCGAATCATAAAATGTTTACTTGTCACACCTAAGACTTCCTCACATGTGCGACAGAATGGCGGATTCTTTCATTTAAATCCACAATAGTTGTTTTTCACAAGTTTTCCGGTTTTACACATTTTCCCTTATTTGTCTGTCAAACACTTTTCCAGTTCGACTCAGTAAAACACTAGAAGCACTTAATCGCGCTGGGGAGATGTTTGACATAGAACAGTACTTCCCTGCGATGTGCATAATATTATAAAAGTTTTTGTACTTAAAAGCTATAAATGATTCATTAGTAATGAATTTTATTGTTGATCACGTTAATTATGTGCCTCAGTGCTTGACAGCCTGTAATATTTGGCTGATTGCTGTTTGCATTTTATAACCTAAAAAAACCTAACCTAGGTCCTAACCTAACCTTTTTTGCAACCTATAAACTTTATCCAGTTTGCCTGGGTCTCCTCCCCACAATGGCAGCGGTTACGTGCCGCTTCGATCTCACATCTACTGCCACAACTTCCACTGCCAGGGCGCGACGCGCGTCACGCGCCGGCCACTGCGATTTCTGTTTCTTCTTTCATTTTTTTGTCCGTGTACGTGATAACATCGTAACAAAGAACTGTCGTAATATTCCGCGCTACCAGTACCACTTTCAGTTTTGTAGTGTTACAAACAGTCAGACGACTGACCAATCTTTTAAAGGTTTTCCGAAAACCGTTTTCGAGGTCCCGACTTCATCTTTGTTTAGTTAGCCAGCTCATAAAAAATTCCTTTGCCATTTGATTGACTGGTTGTCTAGGTTAAAAAATGAATCGCTCCGGTGCTTCGTTTAATTTTGGAGGTACGATCGTTTACTGAACAGGGGAATCTCTTTCGCTCTGATCAAAAGTCTATAGAAGTATAGATAGTTGCATACAGTGTTTTTGTTTATTTAGGAGGAAGTGGCATACCTTGGAACGACTCTTCACGTGCAGCCGGGACAGGTAACAATCGCCTTCGTACGTTTGCTTTGTTAGCCAGTTTAAGGGCAAGGTTCCTAAGTTTAGACCGTCTTCTGAATTTCTTCTTTCATCAGTCTTCATGCTTCACGGTTTCAGTTTTTACTTCAACCTTCGGTCTGTTTCGGTTTGCAGCTAATGATTGTTGGTCGCACATTTTGTGAATCGCTTAAAAAGTGAAGCCGTGCTGTGAAGTCACGTTATCAGTGTGAAACAAAACGTTGTAATTTCTAATAGCGATAGGCCCGGACAGGGTTTATATAATGAACACAGTGAAGAATTCAACTTGACACAGTCGCCATAGCCTTCACAGGAAACAGGAATTAGGATATTGCGACCGAACTGCGCAATATGTTGTAACACGGCGTTATATGTTCAAAAAAATTTATGAGTTGCCTGATTTAAGGTGCAAGTTATCCGCCGGGAGGCAGTCATAGTGTTGGCGGGGGGTTCTTGTCCGGAGATACAGCCACTTCCGCCACCCAAATGGACGGTGCTGTCAAGGTAAAGAAAAACAATTACTGTTGAATGATCTTTGTTTTTTTTTCTTATTCGTCCAAATTTTTCTTAACGAAACGTCGAAAAACAGGGCGTTGGTAAAAGCATGGAAGTGGTCCCGGTTACCATTGCGGAAGTCGTGACCTCTCCCGATCTCAAACACGATCGGATGAAAATCGGCAACATGGAAGTGCATCGCGTAGGTTCGGCCATGTGACTGACTGCACAGTATTACTACTCATAGGGTTGAAATCACGCTTTCACCATTTCACATTTCACTTTTCATTTCACTTTCATTTCACAATCACGCGGACCCTCGCGTGAAATGTGAAAGTGAAATGAAATGAAACGTGAAATGCATGAAATGGTGAAATCGTGAAACCGCTTGAAAAGCATCAAAAGCGGACGAAATTAGAGCGATTCACAATATTTCTTGCAATGAAAATGTTCACTCCGTTGTATTTTTCTGTGTAACCGGTTCTAATTTGATTCCCTGCATTAGGCAGCACTGCGCGTGCCGCGGAGTCATTAATGTTGCAACTGGAAGAGAAAAAAACGTTTTTCGTACGCTTTTAGTGCCGGTAATTTCAGAATACCGAGATCTACCGTAAATGCATAGTTTGCCAAACCGCAAAAGATTTAGTTCTACTGTTGTTCCAGTAATACTAAGAATTCGGTTTAATAAAAAAAAACTATCCGTACTTAGGTAAAAGAACTCGGTTTGTCGAACTGGGATCTGGTGCACTGGATAACTAAACAATGTTTTAGAGGTGTTTACAGGGCAATTAGATCAGATGCAAAATAACGAAATTTCTGGGCTGCTTAGAGTTGAACCTGACGCGGACAAGGTCAAAAGGCGCGCCGCGCGCCCAAATACGACTAGCATGTAACTCGAAGGAAATTCCGTGCCGCAGTACGCTACTGCGCTGCTTTCTTGAATAGAAATGAAAATTTTTTTTGTACGCATTGTTCTTATGTACCGTTTACCATGGTCAAAATTCTGCTCTTAATTTCATTTTAAAATAGTTTTACCTTATTCTGTACTAAAAATGAAACCAAATTGCAAAATCTTTTTGCACTTACTGTATAGTCTGTACTGAATAATAAATTTAGCTAGTAATCCACTAACAACGAATTTTTTCGAAATTTTTTTCGAAACTTCTACAAGTACTGTGCAGTTGCAATATTTAATGTTTTGACTGCTTTCGGCTGTTTACAACCGTAATAAAAGCCAAGATAATCAATTTAAATTAATTTTTTTATTTCACGTTTCATTTCATTTCACTTCATTTCACTTTCATTTCACTTCTTTTCACAAATGGGTCTAAGCCTCGTGAATTTCAACCCTAACTACTCATACATTTCTGCAATTTTTGCGAAAAGGTTTTCTGTGAAATTGCTATGTTGAACTTAATGGCACTGCCCAGTTTTGGAATTTTCAGGTGACACTGGTCGCACAGGTGCGCGAGTGCCGACAGACAAGCACTTACACTTCGCTGACCCTGGACGACAAAACCGGCGCCACCCTTGAAGCCAAAATTTGGGGTGAATCGCAGGTAAAAGATTTTCTAATGGTGTCCAATTCACCTTACGGACATTACGGGTTGCGGTTGAATTAGGAGGAAGTGGAAGCGGCAGCAGTCGCGACGGGACAGTACGTCCGTGTGTACGGCACTGTCAAGTCTGTCAACGACAACGTTATGCTGACGGCCTACAGTGTGCAGCGTGTGAAAGATCTTAACGAGGTCTCCTTCCACATGCTCGATGTAATTCATTCCCACGTGATGATTGCAAAATGCGCTCAGGTTAGCCTGATCAATGTATTCCGAAGGATTGCTGTTGTGGATATGCTCCATGTGTGCGCTTTATTGTACTCATGGAAGCCACACACACCACAGAATCTTGCAACTATTTCTAAATCGTAAAGTAGTCTTTTTTCTACTTATAATTTCACTCAATTTTATTAACCTTTGACATTTGGAATTTGTGTTTTTTAGTTTTTGATTAAGTTTGCTGTTTAGGCTGGACCTGCTGCAGGGACTCAGGAGTTTCCCGCTGCCAGCAGTAGCTTCGTTGCCAGCACGCCAAGCAGAGTGGACTTAATGGATTATCAGGCAAGCGGGATGGACGGTGGCTTTTCCGTTGGGCAGCATTTTGCTCCTCTGGGACTGACGCCTATGCAAAGCGCGGTAAGTTCTTTACTGTTTTGATTTATTGGGATGCGTCGAATAAATTCAAGTTCTTGAACTCTTCCTGCCCTGAGCGGTGCATAGGACTGTGTGCCAGCTTGCAAGGCAGGAGTTTCTAAAACAGCTTTGATAATCTGCATTTACAGGTGTTCGCATACTGCCAGACTGGCTCTGAAACTAATGGACGAGATATTCGGCTAATGATCAGTGAACTCCCTCCGCAGTTCCGGAACAAACAGCTGATTGAGTGAGTGAAACTGGGAAATATGTAAAACGATTCCGCTGTTGTAACACAGTTCATCGTCAGTGCCCCGTGCGTTGCTGGACTGCTGCTGACGTATGTGTTTATGTCCCTCATAGGGATGCTCTGCAGTATCTGTCGCAAGAAGGACAAATTTACAATACAGTTGATGATTTTCACTACAAAAGCGTGGAATACTAGCAGTTATGACCGGCGTCAGTGCAAGGTAGGAGACATATGACATGACATGACAAAATTTGTAATTATTATTATTATTGCGAAGTGACCGTGCGAAACGAAAGTAGGTGTTGTTCATATCGTATCACCACAACAGCAAACGTGTGTCCTGGTCTTTCTCACAGATAAGCTTCTGTAGACCGCGAGATGCTGTTGGTTCCTTTGGAATAACGATTCTTCTTTTGCTGACTTGGAATGGGTTTTTACGTCTCCTGGCACATTTCCTTGTATATTTCCTTGCGTATTTCTTTGCACAAGAAGTTCCTTTTGTTGATTATACGAGAGGTTTCTTTTGTTATAGATTTCACTGAAACTGGGCAGTGTGTTCGAAATTGTTTTTGTTCTGGTTAGATCTGATTACCGAAGATGGATTTTGGATCTGTTAAGATTTTAAGTTACTCTCTACGTACTAGTTGCTTCCGCGTCCATTCTTCAGTCTTTTGTTGGCATTGATTTTGTTGCATACTCGTGTTTGTTGGTCATCTAGTGCGGCTGCCCGTGAGAAAATACTACTGTAATAGTCCGTAATACATAATAAAATAAGTAGTTGTAACCCGTACGTGGAGTTCTGATACTTAAAGGATTTTTGTGCTCCGAAACTCACGTCTGGTCTGAATAACGAATCTTTATTTTTTGTTTCTTCTGCTCTTATGTGTATAAAATATCGTACTTCTATGCAAGCGAAACATATGTGATAGCAAGATAAGTCAAAGGTCAAACAAAAACAATTTTTTACATGTCAGATAAAAGCTGACTTCCAGACAGCAAAGTGCAGTATATACTTAATAACGCAGTTACTCAGGAGATGGACTATAGTGTGATGCGGGCGCGTCTAAACAAGACCGCAGAGTCAACTGGACATTGCGGTTAATAGACACCGCGGGATAGAAGACACAACCGTCAGGAAGATTTTGAAATGCCGGAATGGGAGCTTGTGGCTCATCATTAACAAAGAAGCTAAGGCAGCCAGGTTGTTGGTCCAAGTCCAGCAGCACACCCACCGTGCAGCCGGCAACAATGCCGCCTTCCATGCGGTTGATGTGCTGGTTGTTGTGGAAGCACCAGGAGCGCGCGGCGTCAATATATACCGACCAGCCATGGCTATCTTTACCTAAAACAAGAGGATATTATATAGACTCTATATCGCAAACTTGTCTGCCGTACTTCATGCACGCTAAATTCACAAGTCAGCTGCAGTTATTTTGCCCGTATTTGCTGTTTTAATGTACCTAGCATAGTGTCTCTGCGCACACCGGCTGTAGCCACCCCAAATGCCGGATCGGGATGATTATCGTAGCGATCCACATGGATTTCCCAATAATGAATACCGCGGACGAATCCAGCACTGGCTAAGACAACAATGTCTTCGGAAGCTGTGGATGTCAGTGTTAGATCGGCATTGGTCAACACGATATCACGACTTATCGGCATTTGCTCCCAGGTAAAATACCCTGCAACACAAACTTTATGCAGGCGCTAAATTAGCATAAGTATCAACCTGAAGTTTATTTTACAAAATACTACGAATTCCTCAGGATTAGTATATACTTAATAACGCTGAGCAGTTCATATTTTCCTGAACTGCTCAGCACATTGCGTTTGCACTAGCGATGATGTGCTTTTACGAACCTCCTTCGATATGGAGAGTGATAGGGCTACTGTAAAGACTTTCACCGGCTGCATTAACAGCCTTGAGGCGCGCCTGATAGATCATGGTAGAAGATGTAAAGGTCAAGCAACAGGTTGTTTCCGATCCATAATACGCTCTCTGGAAAAGACACACTCGTTTAAAAATAATTCGTACGACTAATCACTAACCGCCGTTAATTTACCGTAAAGGCGTCTCCACTTTCGGCTACTTCTACAATGTAGAAGTCGGTGTTAAAGGGATCTTCGGATTCCCAGGCGAGGCTAATCTGGCCGTTGACAATGCGGCAGCGTTCTACGTCGAGACGCGGTACGGAGGGCAGGGAAACCTGGTTTAAATGCAAACTTCGCAAGGCATTGGCCACCGACCGGCTGTCCAGCCGGACACTGAGCTCCGGTGTCCAGTTATTTTGGTCCAGTATTTTATCCAACACATCCCCGGTCTCGGCCACTCTTTGATATAATGATGCAGAAAACTGCAATTTCGAAATACTCGTACAATCATTATGTACGAATGATATCGTTCAAATAGCGATAATAATTCATTTACAAAGCGTAAACTATTTGCAAACCGCAAAAGAGTTACAAAAGTTCTCATAATTTTACAAACGATTTTATGTGATATTGATGATTATAGCTTACTTGAAGGAAGTTGACCGCTTCGGTTTCTTTCAGAACCTCGATCCCAAATTGAATTTGAGCGGTGGCCTGCTGCAGCGCAATGGTGCAGTCTGACGCTATCTCACGCGATTCTCTGAGCTTCTGTTCTTTAAATAGTTGCAGTGAGTGCAACAACTGAGTTTTTTGGTCCTCAATGATTTGGACAAGCAGATCACATTGCGCGCTAATACTGCTCTCGATATCCAAAGCGGTTTCCTAAAGGAAATAAGATAACTTTAATTCAAAAATATGCCAGAAGCACTGACGAAGGCTTAAGAGCGTGGGTACAATCGTATGTAGTGCGTAGGCCGTGATTTCGCAAAATATGTCATAGGCTCGCAGTACGTATTTCATCTAAGCCATAACAAGAAATGAAATGTGCCAGTAAATTAAATTTCTTACTGGAATTCGACTGGATGCTCCTTTAACTCGGGATATCCATTCCGTCATGCGTTTGGACTTTTCGGAAAGTGACTGAAGAGCACGTGAGAAATCCGCCTGGAGAAAAGCAACAAAGTGTCCTTCAAGTTAACTAAGCGAAAGCTGCTACAACCTTTTATGGTAGACTATTCAGCAAAAGAAACTTGAATATTTCATGTGTGTATTTTTTACTACTTATTTTTCAAAATTCCTGGCCTGGTCTGGCTTGTGATTAAATAAGATCCCGATTTTGCCAAAATAGTAGTAAACGAATTATGCTGACGGTTGTTTAAGTTTTTTATTTGATCTGTTTCACCGGCGATTTTCATGATTATGCTAAATCCTTGGCAAATGCCAGTAGCTCAGTGGCTGGGCTGATGGCAGACACCCATCGCTATGAAAAAGCAGCAGTAAATTTGGGTGGAACGTCATCATCTATTGGGAAGCGTATGACCTTTAGCAATTCTAAAACAAGCCACTTATTTATAACCACCCGGTACGAAGAGCGTACGAAAGTACCTCGTAGCTAGTGGATAACGTTACGTAGAATGGTGCCAGACATTTTCATGACATGGTCAGGGTGGATTTCCTTCAGAGATCCGCTAAATGCACTGCAGCTGTCCCTTCCGTTACAGAGCGTGGGCACTGAATGCTACGCGTGTCAATCATAATATTAATTGATACAATATTTATTAGAGAGCACATATTACTTGGATTAAAGTTAATTAGCGCTGCCACTCCTTCCAGTAATTCCCGGGCACTGAGGGCAGTTATTGGAATCAGAGTGGGCATTACAAAGCAGTGCGAGCCATAAGCGATCACGTTATCAATTAGAAAAAAATATTTCGACAAACTAAGATGTGTGCAATAGCGGATAGTCATGCTCGCACGTAGAAGTGAAAACACTGACTATGCAAGTCACCGCTGTTTTGTGATTTTTATTGCAGAGTACAGGTCAAAGCAACAAACTTCGAGATTGATGAGATGATCAGAGTGAAGACGAATGTACACTGGCCACAACAAAGGTCATTCAAATTGCAGTTTCACATGCGACTTCGCGGTCCAAACGACGCCCGATCCTCTTCCACCATGTCTTCCGGTCGCTTGAGATCCCGGGTCTTGCGTCGCAACCACGACAAGGGATTGTTGAAACGAAACTTTCTTTTCCCGCTGCTTTTCTGTCCGATGAAGGAGCAGTCAATCTGGTCGAGCTCTTCGGTGGAAATCAATCCCAGTCCGGGGACATGGACAAACTCATCGTTGACGTTCTTTTCGGGTAAAATAGTGCGGTGCACGTACAGAGTTTCCGGCTTACCGCTGCTGCTGCTGGTCAAGCACTGCTCAGATGAAGCCGGCGACGAGAAGGATGACAGCCGGAAGTGCAGGGAGGACACTTCGCTCTCCAGTTTGACGTGCAGCTGGGCAATTTCCTCGCGCAGTCCGTGAACGGCTTTCTTAAACTCCGGAAATGAGGCCTGGTATTTAGCGGCTAAGGAGGTCAACAGACGTTCCTTGGCTTCCACCAGACCGGTCAACTCCTTCGTTTTGGCTTCGACATGAACCAGGACCTTTTGATAGATATTTTCCTGTAACATTACGTTGATGTTCTTTTGTAATTTGTGGCGTTTGATCGACTCCACATCCTTTTGTACGCTCTCCAGGCCGTGCTGACTGGCGGTACGCTGCATCAAAAGGTCACTAATTAAACGCTCGGCTTTGTACACGCGGATGACCAGGAAGAGTAGCGTCAGAAAGTTAAAGATGAAAAGCAGGATAATTTCCGGTTGGATTGTAGTGCGCTGCGCTGGCGTGGAGATCGTCTCCTGACTGCTGCTGCAATCGATGCTAGTAGGGATAACATCCATTTTTAATAACGAAACACGAACGATGAATAAAAGCTGTGTTGGATCGAATAGTACTAGTCCGGGATCGCGGTTAACAGCCGGATGAATCAAAGGAATTTAGGTTAATATGTATTTGTTCAGTGCGGGCCGATATTGATTCGCATGACAATAGTACAGGCTTGTTAGCCGTCCGGAAATTTGGGTATTACAGTCAGATAGTGTACCTTCATTGTGGACACGACATTCTGCTTAACACGGGGGACCGATAAAACTAACCATTTCCGGTGCCCGGACTACTTTCTCCCCAACATTAAAAACAGACGTGCTGCAGCAGCAGCAGCCGATCTCTATATAGTACGCCGCCGAATTTACAGTCGGCTCAAGTGGAACCTGCGCGGCTGTCAATCGACACGGAAACCAGAGTCCAATCTCGTGAGATGTTGACGTCAAAGTTTTTGGCATAGTTATCCAGCTGTCTACAGAGTACTGTGCAGTATTACCTCTTACGTGTCGCCAGTTTTCCTTGCACTTTTACTGCAAAGAAAACGCTACTGCAGCGCAGAGTGAACAAACCAATTAAACCAGAACTCAAACTGCGGCTATTTTGAGCGGTATTGGTATGAGCCACTGATTTGCCTATTAAATAAACCTGGAGAAATGCTTATTTTTACATACAGTCTCCCACTGCTAACTGTCCAAAATGACTGAAGTGCATGTGCAGTTACGCAAAAGTGCCGACGATCAGTCCTCGTCGTTAACATTTTATCAGAGCCCACGCTTATCTAATTTCCAGATGGCTTAAAAGATGGATCATGTGTACACGACCAGCAAGACAGACAAGTTATTAAGAAAAACAAATTCACGTACAGACTGATGAAGAGTAAAACAATATAACTGCACAATTAGGTATTTTCGAATCAACATGCAGTTTGGCTTCTCTACGCAAAATGCAGTTGCCTGCAGTCAGTCATCAATATGAGAACTACGAGTACTTCTCCACATGTGGACTATTGCAGTTATCATAGTTACAAAAGCAAACTTTGCCTTTGAAAAACAGTTTAGAAAATGTGCCGTCAGGATTGGGTGCTGCCGTCAAATCAATTTCACCGAGGTCCACATTATCAACGCAGTGCTTTGACTGCGATTTGACCTGCACTTTGTCTTGATCAAAACCAAATAATTTCATATTATACTTTGACGCGCAGTTCAGCTGAATTCCTGAGGAAAACAATAAAGTTTCATTAAGTACATGTTAAATCAACGGTCATTTTCACTGAAAATTATATTACATATAAAATAGACTTTTTTAAGTTGCAGTATTAGATTTTATAGAACAAAAATTTAAAGAATTACGGCGCAAATATACCTATAGTCTGCTTAATTTTTTCCGATTGCGTCGGCGCTGACTGATTAACAACAGTATGGTTTCCATCGATCTTGATGCAATATCGTGTAGCAGAACGACAAAGCATTGCGTGGTGTTGGTTTGATCCCGGGCACGCTTCCCATTTGCTTTTCATTAGGGAGTTGCACATCATGCAGGACAAGCCCTCAACTACACAATTCAAAATTCAAAACTTTCTAAATGCGACACAAGACAGAAGAATTTCTGTCTCACCTCCATACTTAGTGACCAGTGTAGCACATACAAAAAATAAGAGGAAGGACCAAATCTGCCTGAACATTGCAATTCAGGAATCACAATATAATTGCAGGAAGATTTAAAATGTTGTTTTCACCCTTTGACTTTCAACAAAAGCGCAACAATATTACAGTTTAGCGTGCATAGTACGATAGTACGATGCGGTTGTTCCAAGTTAAATTTCAAAACACTTTTTAGAAATTTACAGACTGACCAGTGCGACTATATACACAGTTAAGACCTATCTTGGTTATAAACTCACGAGTAAGTGAAATAAGTGTGCGCATCTACTGCAATCTACACAGATAGTCATCTAATCGATTCAACCAGAAAAACCACAAAAACATTTTCATGCTATGTGGATATGTATGTGCATTTTACCGTATGCTGCCACCATTCAACTAAGTTTTCTCAAGTCTCAGCCTTCACGTCATTTTTTATTAATCCAGGTTAGCGGAAATCGCAAGCGCGTAAAAGTTTGATCTTATCAGTGGCAAACGTTGTGCACATGTTGTTAAAGAAAATTCTTATTCGCAATTTCGCATATAGAGCTTGCTTTTGCAGATTTTTACGATGATAGTAAAACATCTGTGCTTCAGCTATATAAACAAGGTTTATGGCTACTTTACTGATTGTTAATACAAACCACATAGAAGTACATGTCGTATTGTCAACACCTCTGCCTTCTTGGCGAATGCATATTTATTATGAAATTCCCTAGAATGAATCCTGGAAATGAGATTATTAATCTAGAGGGTAGAACACATGCGTACTGTTAAAGCTAACATTAAGTTAGATTATGGCCGTCTAGCAGTCAAGGTCCTACGCGTCGACTACTCGTACCGGAAGTGGCCAGTTATTTCACACCTCTGCTCAGACCAATATGTTTACCTTCTTGTTGGGACTTTGTCGGTGTGCAAACAAAGTTGCTAATCATCGCGTCATGCTCTCACATCTGTCATAGTCTCATTGTGTCACAAATGTCATCATTTGTAAAAGCTTGACAGAAAAGTTCACGAATTTGGTACTGCAAATACGTTTTGTAATGCAAAGCAAGTGATATTCTGAGATATTTCCTTTCCTATCGAATTTAATGTGAATCAAAACGCATAAAACTCCAGCGAATGGGCATTAAATGAATTACAATATCCATCCACGTATTCTAAGAAAGGCACTGCCATGGAGAACTACCAGCACTTTTGTTTTTTAGCGGCTGCATAGTTTAAAAACTCATGCAAAATTGATGAGAAACGATTACATAGTTAATGTACATATATAGATATAAGATTATTTATCGTGCAAGATAGATGAGCCCCCGGAAATGTACTTCGGCACAACATAGTCAACAGGCTTTAATTCGCGGTCGAAGATGCAATGGCAATGTGGATTAATGGTTCCCATGACAGACATTGCGGAGAAAATTGTCAGATGGTCATCCCACAACTAGCTTCTCATTAGTGGAATAAACATACTTAAGCTGCTAAAAAAACCTTCATCTCAAATATATAATATTAATACGCCTCTCCCAGAGGGAAGCGCCGCCAATAGAAAGCACTTAAAGCCTAAAGGCAATCTCCCGAGCGCCGCTTCGTGGCGCGGTGGTGAATCTGATGTACGACCGTAAATCTTTCTGTGCTACTCAATCTTCTTCCATTTATGCAATGCGAATACAATGCAATAGAAATTTTATCCTTTTCATAAGCCTTCCGTTATTGAAGATCAATATACTAAACCCCACTAACTCGTAAATTATCGAGAAAGGCGCTTACGATGCACGGAACTGTTGTGTTGCATACGTAGCCTTTTATCGTCACAAATCATAGAAATTGTTGACTAATTTTGTCGCACAGCAAGAGCGAGAAGATATGCACACTTATACTGCCCCCAAAGTGTTCTTTTGAGTTCACAGCAAACTCTTACTGCTGCCGGCGGAAATCTCAAAGTGTATTATGTAATTGAATTGATCCGCAAGAAAAACAGTCAGCCTGTCCACAAAATCCAATTATCTATTGCTGCTTCTCACGCATACCGAACCACACTGCTCACCGTCCTAATTCTTTTATAACAGATTCTGTAATGCAATATGCCATGTTGTCTTTCCGCATGAAAAACCAAATTTTGCTCTATTTTACGCTTAAGATCAGTTACTAGTCTACCGCTGACCAATTCAAAAGATGCGCTAATGAAAACACAAAAAGGGTGTAAACCTAACTCGAAAACGCACAGGATGAGATTGTGAGAATGATGGAAGCGAAGGCGAAAAGCAGTCTTATATGACTTCTGATTTTGCTGAGTTTATTGATGTCGATGCAGATAGATAATATTGATGAATATCGAAGCCACAACGGTGTTAAGCGGATATTAACAAAATCTTTAAACAAATGGTTAGCTGAGAAAAATCAGTTGAATCGATCTATTGACAGCTCATCAAGCGGCGATATGTGTACTACTTTACTCCAGAGCCGAATACACCCTTCACAATCAATAATGCTGGCAAATCTATAACATATCATTTTGGCCTAGATACAATTTAGATTATACGGCAGTAGCCGGGTACTCAAGTGACGCAGATATAGGTCATTTACAGTTTTTACTACGGATCTAAACTTTACTTGCATCAACATGCAATAGTCTACGGCTCAAACGAGCTGGAAAAACATCACAGCTAATAAAATGGCGTTCATTAAGTTTTGTTTTTCCGAACAGATCGGTAAGGAATGGCAGCCGCGCCGCAGTGGGAGGCCACTGCTATCCACCCAGAAATCTCTAATGGAGTCCTGAACGGAGCAGTTGATGTCGCGACGCATACCTGATCCTCACGCTCATATAATATTAGGTAGCTCTGTGTTCTACATAGATGTGAGTACTGACAATGAGTACTATCAAAGTGTAGTACAGATACTATAAATTCAGAAGATCTGATGTGATGAGCGATAGGAAAGTAAAGCAATTATCATAATGGCGACCTACCGGTAATTATTGATTTTTAAGAAGCGATCCAGTTATTGCATTCGCCCGATGGATTTACAAGTTCTGGAAATATTTACACTAATTCAATATGACAATTGACATCACGATTTACAGAATTAATCTGAATTATTTTATTTTTGCGTTTAAAAATAAAAACAGGAAATCAAATATATGTACCCTGGATTTAACGATATGTTTAGTTGGTTAGCCAGTACCTGTATCTGGTTATATATTCTGTTTAGCTGCTCAGTACAGTTTGGCGCAACAAGCCTAACTGTGCGTTCTAAAACTTCACAACAGTTGCATATATCTACTGTAGCTTAAATTAGTAAATAACGTGGGAGAGAATCAAAAATTCGCGATGGATAATCTAATGAAAAATACATATCGTCGGTTCGGCATAGATAATGACTTTTTGAACGTTTGACAGCTGAAATAGGATCCGCGTCGGTCGATGGGGGAATTATGCACATTTTGGAGCATGTGCGCTGGCGCCGGCAAGTGAACCGTAAACTTAACCGGGACTCCATGCCGGCCTTGAAGTATTAATCACCTTAATTCATCTTGTCCAGCGGCGGAACCGCGGACACCGCTGCTGCTGACAGATATACGCCAATCCATTGGCCCGACATGCAGGCACGTGCCGCCTCGCCAGCCCCCCTTTAATGGATCAACTTATTTAGGCCATTGTCTTTTACAATGTCTTAATCAAGCAAATAACTGCGTGCCGCGTACAAAGCGTAAAGGGGACTGCTCCTGCCCTTTCAAAGGCCAGACGCGTCTGCTAGTCATAAAATGTACTGTGCCGTAATTGCTGACTGACCGGAGCTGAATAAACAGCAGCTGCAGATGGACAGTTAAGGGTAAGTTGTAACCCTTATGGAAGGCCCCCGAAATGGCTAGTTGTAAGCGAATGTGCGAAAACAGCCGGTAACAACTACTAAGTGTATACACTTAAATCTCAGCGCTGACCGCGAAGAACGGATACTCTGCGTATAATAACAGCTGGAATAAATCGGCGAAATCTGCTTGCATTTCCAATAGCCAAGAAGAATGCGGCGCCATTTCAAGCTGATGTTAATTGCTTGCATTTATGGGTGTGATAACTCTATAAACAACGGCGTTACGGTAGCAACCCACAGGCGCTGTTCAACAGAACTGTGAAATCCCAGTCGTACGAGTATTTGAACGTATCGAACAGGTTTTCCAAAATGAAACGGTGCAAACCAGTGAAACCACAAATTTTCGAAATTAGGTTATTTAACAGCTAATGACTCTCAAAATCTGTTATATGATTTCATAAACAGAAGTTGTATACGGTATATCAGGTTGTGTTGTGTCACTTCTGTGTTCGGTACCATCACAGATACGTCACTTAAGGAACCAAAATCTTTTCGTATACTTGTATACGTAGTAATGTGTATACGAGTATTTTGCATGACAGAATATTGCTTAATAAAAGCAACGCCATAAAGACACTAACAGCAATTATTTGATTTGCCAGCAATTGTCCATCAGTTCACATTAATATGTCCGTTTACTTCATGTGGTGTAGAATTAATGTGAGATGTCGGCGATATGGATTGTTAACGAGCCAATTAATTTTGCAAACACACATTGCTCGTTGACCTCCCCAATGATTTATCTACGGTCTATCACACTACATGTCTGACAGCCATATTTAAGGAGATACATTGTAGTGGTGATTAAAGTTTATCCAACAGAATCACAGTTATTTGCAGGTAAAAGGAAGCCATCATTCAAGAGACGACAACCGCCTACGCCTCTCTAACTTAGTTAAACCACATGTTTCTAACGGTTTTTTAAATGAAAAACTAACTAACTGTAAGCAGCAAAATTGTTCAAACCTGTTCAGGCGGAAATGATACAGAGGATGCGAGCAGAACCAAAAATCCTGATAGTTCACATTGTCGATTTTCGTGCCGGTGACAGTGAACTGCTTCTGCTAATCGCTCTGACAGGAAAAAGGAATCAGGCAAACGTACAAAAGTAATGCACGCTTGTGAACTCGACGTAAGAAAGACGTGATAAATGCCGCATTTAAAATGGCTCTTATCAAATCAAGTTGGGATTGAATGTGTATTTTCTCACGCTTGGATGATCGGTTACGCAAGTGCTACCACAGTTAAACTGCTGAATCTGCCCGCTGGCTATTACGCATCTTCCATATTGTTAATGCACCTATGCATACAATGTCCCCACAATTTCATTTTTCTGACAAATTTGTGCCCGGTGGTGCCGGTCTCACCAATTTGTACGATTATGCATCCATCCAAAGACAGATCGAAATCGAACAATATGGTAACAAATCGTTGGCTAATTTATATAACCGGCTTTTAGCAATCGATTGACGGTGACAATTCCACAGAAAGCCTTATTATATAGATATGTACACTTTGGGTGGCTTTTAGCGTATTAATACTACAATTTTTCCAAACCCAAAAGTTATTAAGGAACATTTCGCTCAAGTTTCAAACGCTATCACTGCCGTTCAGTACTATAATTATTATATACAATGTGGTAACTTACTTGTAACTCGTTGTGCGATATGCAGCACAAGGAGGAATAACAACCACATTTAATTTGATTTTAATTTATCATGATCATGAGTTGATGTTAGCATATTTATCGTGTCTGCTGGATGAGTTGTCGAAGCCTCTTCTTTTCTTCCAAAGTTTTCAGTTGTATTACATAAGCGACAATACCTTGCGGGCTTTGGACAGTCCTTGGAGGCTCTGCACATCGTGCTCTTCCTGGTGAAAGGTCTCACTCTCCAGACACCTCCAGCAGAGGGGCAGTCGGCATGGCGTACAGAACATGGTGTATTCGTGATTGTGAAGTGGGCATTTTTGTTGTTCAAGTGCAGCGGATACGTAGATGTTGTGAAGTTGTTGCTGCTGCTGCTGGTGAAGAATGGCCGGCGGCATACTTGTATTATGGTTGCTATTGCTGTCGCTGCAGTTGATGAATTCATGGCTGGCTAATGGGCCTCTTGGCGGATGAAAACTGTCACGACAGTTTTGGCAGTAAAATATTTTACACTGCTGGCAATACAAGGATGCTGGGCACAGCGGCTCCGTTTCACATAACTGACAAGTGGTGGTATGTCCGGCGGCGCCGGGTGCGCTACCGGTTCCCGTCTTGGAGGTGCTCCCGTAAATGGGACCGGAGAGAAGGGCACTGGTATATTTGGACAAGATTTTCATAAGGAGACGGTTCGGCGGTAAACTTTTCCCAGGCAGTTCATCCGTGAGAAAAACCTTGTGGCATGTAGTGCTTGGACACGTGAGCGTATATAAACCTGTAAAATATTTCAAGCTCCAGTATACAGAGTGCAAACAGCCAGATTTGTTGGCTTTTTCTTGAAAAAGATTACAACCTTTCGGCATAAGCGTATTCCTAAAGACCTGCAAATAATGTTACGGCACGGTATAAAAGAGATAAATCTCGTTTTAGAAATGTGGTTTGAATCGGGCATGTATACATAGAGGCCAGGCAGGCAGAGCGCTAGCGACAGTCTGTCTGCGCCCAACAACCGCACTCACTCCGACTGCTGCTACGATTTATATAAGGCTCACCCATATTCATAATTCGAGTTATGCAAAAATCATAATTTTGTATCAAACCGATAACGAGCATGGAGAGCATAAAAAACTAACCAGAGAATGTGCAATCCGTTTTAAAAAATTCCAAACGGTTGAGGCTGTAGGCCGTGCCACACGTTTACGCCCTTAATTACAACTTGATGCCTTTGACGAAAACATGCCGAAAAGTACTGAATTTTTGTACATGCTAAGTTCAGCATCATTCGCTACCAGAGATTTATCTCTTTTATACCGTGGTTACGGTTTTTGCACGCGCGCGTGCAAAAACCATCGACTGCTGTAGCATTTCGTCGAATTACAATAAATCATTTGCAATCGTCGGTGTTCGTGCAATTAATAGTAACAAGTGTAGCACGATGGTGGTGGTTATGATAACGAATTCAAAACACGGCGAAGGCTACAAAGACAAATACAGTAATATTTATATGAAACTTTACGCATAGTACACGGAATGTGTTGTGTTTGAAAGAATATATCCGAAGTGCGGTTGATGAGGGTCACTTCTTCATGCTCCGTAAAATCAACAAGAGCCCCAACTGAATGGCAGTGGGCAAATAAAATTTCCGCACGCGGAATGTAAACATTCATTGTCCAACGGTAATCTCATCCAGCCCTGCTGCGCTATTGAAAGCTAATTCGCTTTTTATGAAGAGAACAGTTGATCTAGTACAGAATCGTTATACACACTTACGGCATTCATTTCAGTCGATTAATGAATATCGTGCGAAAACTCATAAAATTCAAAGCACGCCATGTAGCTTGATGAACACATGAACGGTTCGCTTTTATGGTATGAAGTATAAAGATAGTTTATGCCAGTGGTAAGAGTTTGCAAAAATTCGATTAGTCGATTCATAGACTTATTCACCAAAGAAAAGCTAAGAATATACGCACTAGCAGCCTATTTACTCGTACATCAAAATTATTCGGGAAATTTGGCTAAGCAGTGATAGCATATACACAAACATAGAACACATACTTACTGCAATACGGCATCCACACAATCTCAAAATAGTATGATGCGAATGGCATATTTGTTTCACTGTGACAACTTCGCTACAGTATTTTTGCCAGGTTGGTATTAAATATTGTAGCGCAGTTCAAAATCAAAAAGCAGACGTAAAACTCACGAGTTAATAAGAGGAAATCAATCATGCGATTAGGGCTATTGCGGTACGGCGGCACTTTAAAATGCTATGCAAGTGTGACTACTGACCAGTGAATAGCTCATTTCTCCCTTGAATTACAAATATAGCGCTATAACCAAAGATCAGTTGTTACTGTTTATTTATTTATTTATTGATTAGTTGTCTGTCTGTACTTTAATAAAATTCCAATTAATGTGGCGCCGCATATGCATCCTAGTTGTCTTTTCCATCACTCAGCTCTTAATGAATTATTTCATTACTAAAGGTATTTTTCTAGTTCGCTCATACTGGAATTTTCCAGTAATCGTCCTGCTCGACTTATCTGAATGCTGTTACAGTGGTTGGGCGGACAGTACAGTAACAGACTTAAAAATTTAAACACGAGTCTACTGTTTTTTTTCTACCGCCTACTTAAATTCGAAATTAATGAGATTTTGGAGAATAATTGTAGCTGCTCGGTAGTTGGTTGAATCACAAAGTTTTGTAGATGTTAATTAAATACGTATAAAAGTATAAAACTGAATCAGTATAAAACTTAGCCAGAAGACGGCAGAACTTATAAGCAACATTCTGTCAGCAGTTTTGTCACCATTCTATGTAGTGTGCATAACAATTTGCACAAATAATTTAAAACGACTGGTTCGCGATATTTTTAGTTATTAATTATCCACCTAAACAGTGCGTTACACCGTTGACCGTACCGTGTTCTGATCCGGTAATGACGAAGCTATCCCGTTTATTCCCGGAACTCCCACAGACCACTCCGCTGTCCGCATCACTGGCCAGACTAATCTGATCTTCCATAATCACTGGCAAGTTGCCGCCGTTGTCCTTATCGGTCTCGTGCAGAATAATCATGGGCGGCAGCTGTGCATGGGATAATCGGGTCTCCTGGAGGGCCGTTAGTTCCTGTGCGAGCCGGCGTCCAGGCGGCGAAACGGAACTGGAAGAAGTGCCGGAATGACTGCTGCTGGTCGTCACGGCGCTGGCGCTGGACAAACACTTTTCACTACATCCGGCGCAAATATTATGACCACATGGCAGCATAACGGGATATTTGAATAGATCGGCACAGGCTGGACAGCGCAACTCAGATTCAATCCGTTTGTAATCCATGGCTCTGATCGCGATCGAGGAGAAGACCACTCACAAATTCCCACACGATCAAATAACCCCGGCCCACAGCTCGTCTTTCTAAACTGTGAAATCTGGATGAATAATGATGCGGCGTTATGCAAATGCTATTGACTCCGCAAAATGCGTGCTATTGTCATTGTGGGAGATGGCTGCACGCGGGATTCCAATACGCTTTTGAGTATTAATCCCAATATCGCTGGCTTATGTAAATGTAGCTTTTTATCGCACTGACGATTATATTCAGGAAGTAGCACTCTGTAGATTACCGGAGACAGCTGAGTTTGCAAAGCGGAAAAGCAACAATCTCCCGGCTGTTGGCGTTAATTGCGGTTAGAATAATATCATAACCATCACGTTTGCACTACTTTCACTCAACTTCGCAGGCAGTGCTGGCCTAAATGTTTCTTACTTCTCACCAGCCTGCACTTCTAAAACATCCGATCAGCAAAACCGACACGTCGAGAAATATGTACATTCCATACCGGCTATCATCTTGTGGACGAAAGAAAAACTTGTACAGGCGCAAAAGGGGGAGGATATGAATGAATGCGATTCTGGGAGAGACAGAGAGAAAGCGAGAGGATACTGCTTTGGCTTTGGGCCAACGAGAACTACAGCGAAACCAAAATATACAACTGATTGATGATGGGGAGGGATTTATCAAAGCCGTTCACTGGGTCGCCCAATCAACGAGTTGATCAGATGCCAGATTCCAGCCACACCCATGCGCGAGTTTCTGCATCCTAGCTAAATGTACTACCCTAGTATATTTTACTGCAAAATCAAAATTCCATTCTATAGAAGTATAAAAAAAATTTTGTTCCAAGCAGTATAACTCGTATTGCATTACATTCGCTGTAGAGAAAAATAACGAAAAAAATTGGAGAGGTACTCGTACTTATGTTGTTATCAGTATCGCGGTGCTCGTATAAAAACAATTTTGTTGCGAGAGCATGTTGCGTCTTCGTTTTATCTGGTAGTTCGCCTCCAGGTTTCATAATTACGCATTTCCGGCAATCCTCGTATAAACTGGAAGAATTATCTTGCATTGTCCAGCTTGTTACGTTGGCATAATTGATTTCATATCAGTATAATGCAGTATACGCGATGAACCGAATCGTTATATGTACACAGTACAGCCTGTACAGGTACTGCATCTTCAAGAAATTCAGAATGTTACAACATGGCACTGTAACTTACATTAGTATTTTTTGCTAGTTGTAATACAATTTTGTTAGTTAGAACAGTGCAAACTACCGATGAATAAACATACTTATTAGCCGCTAATAAGTATGTTTATTCGTCGGTAGTTTATTCGTAGTATTTGCTACACACTTCACCATTACTACCAGTACTCGTACAATACACAAAGTTTGCTATCAGGCGTATGAAAAAAGTTGCCGGTCATTCGCCTTGCATCTGAACTGGTGGACCTCAGCCAATTTGATATCCTGAGGTTGCCCCAAGGCCAGAATCGAAAACGTAGCTGTGTAATGTATTGCTAGAAGATCCAAAACATTTACTTGAGGATCTGTATGAGTACGCGGCAGTAGTGGCCTTTCGAAAAGTTATAGCGATATCATTTGATCCTTAACATACCTTTCATTAAAGCTCCTTTATTATTGTCTATATACGTAAGGTAAGTAAATAAATTGCCAGACGCGGATTTTTTGAAGTCGCATCTTGGTTGCTTGCGATATCCGGTCTGAATAGGCGAAATCAGAACTATGCAGATGACTCTAACGTCGTTTTGTTCTGGATGCCATCTGCTAACCCGCGCTCTACGAAAAACGACGGCGTCTCCAGACGATCGCAGATAATTGCCTGATTTTGCATTAAATTGTTTTGTATGAGAGCAACGAACCTTGAACTGCAGGCTATTTTGAAACCCAGTTGCTACGAACCTCAAAGCATCTGAATCGTTGTATCTTTTCCAAATTGACCTATGGCGGAGGTATCCACATCTTACTCTTTACCTGACTCCTTGAAAACCTTGAACACATGTCTGGTATGTGTTGCGCTTTTCCTGATATGCAGTTTGTTATTACTACCGAATCAGAGCTATTATGGCCTTCAAAATGATGGCACTGCCGCGTCCCATTCCGATACACCGGAAATCTATAACTTGGCTGTTCCAACTCGCCCTGTCAGTCGTGCAAACTTTATGTATTTGAGCATGAAGACGAGTTACAAATTCCACACCTCAAGAATATTACCCTTACTGCAAACATGGATTCCGGTGGCGCTGGCGTTAAAGGATGGAAACGACGATCCAGTTGTTCCGCGGGTGCACATTTTAAATACTAATTAAGTTCACCAATAAGTGGTTTCTATTTAAGTCGTTTCAGGTTTCGATAATAACTGATTCACACCCGGATGGAAATTTTAAGGATAGTCTCGGTTAGTCATTTTAGCCTCAAAGTATTATACTTTCAAAAATAATTGTTGGAACAATGGAATCTGTTCACTGAATATTTAATTTCAAGTACATACGTGTATAACATTCGTATGACCTACATAATATACACGTCATAACTTAGAAAACATAAGATTTTGTGCTTGCTAGTGAAGCAGTTTTTTCGCAGATAAACTTCATAAGGTGATTGTTACATCCACCGATTGCGGGATAACCCATCGCGGGTAAAGTAAATCGGTAATTCAAGCACTTGATAGCGTAGGTTTTGTATATAAGTCGCAGTTTACATGTACACCGGGGAAAAAACGCGAAGTACGCTCACGTGCACCAAAATACCAAGTGCACTCACTAAAACTTGTAAAATGCCTGGTAAACCTGCATATTTTTAATGTTAATAACAAATAAGGGTACATTATAAATTCTGGATATGCACCGTTTTTGTGCAGACTACGGTACTTATTGCAGGGTTGATCTATGTTGCAAAATGAACCGCGAATTCCGTCAGTATTACCACCATTCGATTCTTAATCCTATGCCAAAGTATGAGCAAGTAAAGTCTGGAATAGTTGCTTTTCGCTTAATTTGAACAAGACGAATGCTCGTGTAACTTTATATGTTTTTACAAATGACAAAAGAAATACGTATATAACTGCTTCACCGTACGTGAATAGGTGCAGTGGAGTATAGCCATAGGTGCTAGTTATTGATCGTATAGTTGCACAAAATGCGGAGATCTGATAAAATTTTGTACATTTGTATGGCCTTTCATGAAAATGCACATCGAAGTCGCATCGTTTATTTTAATCGGCTCAGTTTTGTTTCAGGTGGTTCTGTCACTTTGATGACGATGCCTACGTAAATCCAGATATTCTTTATTCGTCTTTGCTACAAATTACTGAAACACACAATGAAAAGGCACATTTATATGTTGGCAAAAGGTCAATTAAATACGGATTTAATATGACCGATGCTATTCAGCAAAAAAGGGTAACCACGGTCCACGACTGCTAGAAAATTGCCAGTAAAAACGGGGAGTTTGATGTCGCGGAACAATTAATTAATACTAATCTGCAACAATATTAAAACCTCACGTTTGCAGGTGAACGTTGTATTTGCTAACGGTGATGCGTATTGTCTTAACGATGTTATGATGCTGCGAATCAGGAGCAGTATGGTAATCGCAAACGATCCGCTGAACTTCAAACACCTTTCCAAAAAACACTACGGAGACATTGGGGATGATGTCTTGTTGGCATTTCTATTGACTGGTATACTTCTACACAACAAAATTAGCAATTTTACGAGTGTATCGCATATCTGACTATCGACCTTTTTGCGCGCTATACATAATAATTATTAACATACCTAACAAGTACCTAAGTTGGATATGGAGGATCGGTTGTATCGGCTGATTAGTGCTACGTATACGCAGAGCTGCGAAATACAATACATAAGTTATTGTATCGATCCGTACGCTACATGCAGACAATCAATCCAAAAATTTATGTTATTAGCATAACAAGCTAATTTTGTCATGAGCATTTTTATGTTGCAGCGTACTTCAACGCAACTTACGTGGAATTACCCAATATCTATTCGCATACCTATACTGATTTGCCTAATACGAAGTGGACTGATGCGTGCGAGGCGGTAAATACATAGCAAATAACGCAGTAAATTGCATTCGGTGAAATTATCTAAGATTTTGTGCATTCTGCCCTTACATATTCTCAGAAATATCGTACCTACAGTTCAGTACTTGTAACTTAATAAATCAATAATTATAACGCCGGTAAGCTAAATTCTTATATTTTATATTTCCATTCGTGCGAATATTAACCGCCATATATATATGAAAATTGAAAACCGTGATGTGGTTTAACATCGATGGATAATTTTTTCCCTTAAAATTTATACTAGTATTTTATGTTCCAGTTGCAGTTACCTAGGCTTTCTTTCAGGTAGCGGTATGCCAAAGTAAGAGCAACTACTTGCACCCTACCGCTGCCGATGGTTATAATGGCACATCTTGGGTAAATCTAACTCACAAACAAAGGTAAGTTGCGATTTTTCAATGATTGAAATACGTAATATAACTAGATATAACCTTGTGTATAAAACGAAAACTAAAGACCTGGGTTAATAGAACGATTTTGTCTTCCTTTTTGTTATACAGAGTCGTGGAGCTGCACAATTTATGCCGTGTCCAAAAAAAGGATAAAAGAAAGATAGTACAAAACCTAAATAAATCGTAAAGTCTTTGTTCGTTTTGTACATTTAACGTTTCAACTATACGAAAAAAAATTTATCCCTTTTCACCTTCCTTTGTATGGATAAATCCTTGCTGATACACTGGCGTCGGTATTAACGCTTTAGCAGTTTACTAAACAGTGATCTGTCGTTTTACGCAGAAAACCATACAAAGCCAACGCAAAAATGGTTTGTAAATTTTGCAAGTGGGTCATTTCTCGTTTTTGGCTGGTTTTACACGAAGGTACCTGAAGGTACCTTCTGTGCGTATTTTGACTGCTTCGAGCGATGTTTTTGTGCTGGAAGCGCTTCAAGTTTAAATAGTGATGCGACACTTGCGACACAAACGTTAACGGTCTCAACATAACATAATTTTATTAAGTAATTCTTGTCCGTTTAATTTGTGATTGTTTGCACTTTTCAGTGAACGTTTTATTGAAAATGAGAATGTGATGTACGGGTGCTTGTATTTTCTCTTCTGCTGTAAGCAAAGTTTTCTACTCAAAGTGAAATAATGTATCAAGGTGGAAAGCACAGAATTTCTCATGATGATACAGTAGTGCAAAAGTACTATAAAATTGGCTGGCGAAATGGATCTCTTTTACCTAAAACTGTGAAAACGTTACTTTTATGCGCAACACTTTTTTGCATAATTCTTTTACTTATTCGTACTTTCCGACCATACCACAAACATCTTTCTGGTTTGTTGTACGTAGTCATCGCACAGGATGGCCAGTATTCGTTGCGAAACAGCGATCAGTCAAACTTCGCATTGTATTTAAGCATTAGAACCAGCTTCCAGTTTCACAGAAAACGACTGCTCCCATTGTTGCAAACCTGGATTCCATTGGCCTTGATTATGAAAGACAATGAAGGAAGACTTGTTGTTCCACAGGTAAAATATACGTATATGTAGCTTCAATCAAGCAATATGTGTTTTTGCCTTGACATTGCACTACTGTATGTATTGATTGCTGTCAATTTGCTGATGATTATACGTGTGGCACAAGAGGAATCAGTGTTATGGCAGCGTAGAAAAAGCTTTTATGTTATTTATCGTTTTTATTATCGCAACATGCAAATGTTTGCTAGTAATCTTATCATCTTAAGTTAGTTTGTAAAAAATGTTGTGGCCGATGAAAATATATATGTACAAAGATGCGCCTTGCAGTTTGTATATCATGATTAATAATTATTAGTTCGAGACTTCGATTTTTTTAGTTTACGATAGTGACCGACGAGAAACCGGACAATCAGTTCATTGATGACGCATTCGGTCAGTGCCATAAAATGAAGAATCCGTGATACCACAGCCCGTACGTAGCAATTAAATAGTGGGCTGTGGTGATCCTGTACTGTAATCGCAATTTCGCATTCTAAAAGTGGAATTATTTATGATGCCGCATATAAAAAACCTTGCATATTTACTACTTTTAGTACTTATTAAGTAATAAAACTGGTAGGAGTGTTAGTTGGGTTATTTTAATGGCTTTTTGCTTGTCCCTACAGTGAAGCTTGTTAAATTTTTGTTAAGAGTTCCTATCGCATTTTGGCCTTTCAGATAAGTGTTACTTTAGGGACAAATGCATCTAGCAAGCTGGCGATAGTGTACTCTGATTGCGAAACTATTCATGGAGGGTAAGCTAAAGTTTGGGTTCAGTTGTTTGCGGTAAGTTAATCAAGCTTGGCTCGAATGAATTAACTGATGGTGAGGTGAAATTTGTCTAGATTTACTACTTTCTCTTAAAAGTTACAAACGATTTCAGGGTTGCCCTAGCGTGCAAAACAAACCAAGAATTTCTGGAGTTTTATGATTTTTCAGCTTCGAATCCCATGCCAAAGTAAGAATTTATAGCACCAAGATATCGAATATAAGTACGAGTCCTGCTATCGAATGTTTTGCATGAATATAATATAGAAAATATAATATAAACCAAATCGTATGCGCGCGATACTTTTTTAATTTATTTGTTAGGGCTGTTTTCATGCTTTATATGTGTGTATGTGCACAATACCGCCTCAGCCGTTTTCTACGCGCTGCTTTTTCCTTTGAACATTAGTTAAGTAGCATTATATTTCGCAACTGCTAGAGTAGTGGATTACTGGCTAGCTAGATATGTTAGATTGCCTTGACCCTGATCGGAAAATTTCAGATTACTAGCGTGAAAATGGATGTTTAGCAGTTGGTGTCGATTTGGGAATAGCGCTCAAATGTTACAGGTGGTTCTGTCATTTTGATGACGATGCCTACGTGAATGTCGATATTTTGTATGCATCGTTACTAAACATAACATCCCAAAACTGGGGCAATCATACACATTTCTACGTCGGGAAAAGGTCACTTGAATATGGATACAACATAAGTGATCTAGTTCGCAATCACAAGGTACGTATACCTAAACTTGGCATCATTGCACGTTTTTCTTGTATTCTGCGAAGCGGGACGACAGCGTTCCGATGTAAAGGGTAGATCCGAGCAAAAGTCTACGGGAGATTTGATAGGTATGGGAGGGGTCAGGGACTCTGCGCGTCATCAAGATGGGTACGTACGCCCGCACGAAAGTGATGCGGAAAAACTATGCTGATTTGGTCGTGTTTCTGTATATTTCCAATTAAACTTTGCGCAAATTCGAGAGTGTTGCTATTATGTAGTTAGTTGGTCGTCTCTAAATCGCATCCCAGGTATGCGCTCAGATACGGACGTTTCATCGCTTGCGCACATTTTAACAGCACTTTGCAGAACGTCCAATTTTCCAACGGAGCTGGCGCGAAATCCGATCGACTTCGACCATTGAATTTCTAGCCAACTGGGCTTTTAATTGAAGGAGAAAAATATGATAGCATAGATTTTTTAAAAGTCGTTAGTTTCAGAAATCGTGCAGAATAAACGAATCCAGAATGCGCACGTTCGCATTCTGACCGCATCACTTTCGTGTGGGGGTTGTACTTGTTATAGGCTGTGATTGGTTGTTAGCTTAGAATATTCCACTCGATTTTCCCCTCCTTATTTTATTGTTTTATTGTTTTATTAATTTTTTTAGTTCTTTTTTATTTTTATTTTTTTTTATTTTTTAATTTTTTTAATATTTTTTTATTTTCTTATTTTTTTACTTCTGTTATTTGTTTTACTTATCTGAACAGCCCGCTTCGCATATTGCCAACTTGGTTGGCCAAGCTCCTCTGTGATTTTTCTAAAGAACTCAGAAATACAAGCCAAAATGTCTTCACTTGTCCAGAGAATCTTGGGGGCCCAGTTTTCCAATGGCGATTTCTTTTGCTTGAACGATGCAATGATGCAGCGAATGAAAAGCAGTATGATGGAGGAGAGCGATCCATTAAATTTTATGAATTTGTCTGCCGCATACAACTCGGATTATGAGGACTTTTTGAATGATGATGTCTTGTTAGGATATTTATTAACCGGTATGTCCAAAGTTTGGGCAGTTAAACATTTGTAGCAAAATGTTCTAGCGTTTGAATATCCACCATAAGGTTGGTTTATCAGGATAGTAAATTGTACTAGTGGTTACAAATTTTGCGTTTGCATTTGGGTGACCAAATTTGTATTGGTTTAATACAAACCTTTGTTGACGTTACCAGAATTTATGAATGCCACTTTTGTTGAACTGCCCAACATTTATTCGCACACTTATGATGATCTGTCCAGAATCAAGTTAGCCGATGCCTGTGCTGCGGTAAGACTAAATCAACTTGCAGTAGTATCCGTAACCAATTTCATGCAAGTATCAACTTATTTGTTTTATTCTGCTACTACAGTGAGTACAGTAGGTTTTATTTCATTGCTGTGCATGCATACAGTAATAACTTCATCGTTGCGACTTTTGAGATGCTCATGCTTTTGAAATACAGGTCTCGGTAGTCCAGAGTGATTCTAACTACTTACGGCCGGATATTACGGAAGATGGTTATGATGGTCCGTCTTGGGCGAACATAAGCCGGACTGAAAGGTCAGTAGTAATCCGCGTATTATTCCCGCACGTACATGTTTCCGTTTGTGCAGTAATTAAAATAAATACGATTGTGCGAATGTACAGCTTACCCCCGATTAAATTATTACAAGCGCTTGTACAATACGTGCGGTATCCAAAACCTTTTTGCAAATGCTTTTCAGGGTTGCAGCACTACATACCGTTTGCCAGCGCGCGAAGGAAAAGAATCTGTGAAAGTCAATTAAAAGTGTCGACAAATAATTTGTTAAATAGGTGCGGATGTATTTGCTTCTAGTAAGTATAATTCGTGTGGTAGTTGGGGGTGAGTGGTTTGTTCTGACAAGAAGTAGAACTACTTGCGAATTGAATATTACTATGCATTGCAATTGATAATCACAACAATGAGTGCTGTTTCCTCAAAGACCAGCTCCAGCTTGCAGGTACGAAATAGAAGAGGGGATCAATCATTAATCTGTTAACGTACTGTGATCTGTGGCTGTTTAATTTTTCGAAATCGAACTGCGTGGCCACATTCTCTGTAGCACACTTTTTCTAACTTCCTGACACTGCTGTACACAATAGCGTATTACAATTGTAAAGGAACGACAACGCAAAAAATAATTTAAATGCTAGCCGCAATGCATAACTATGCGACAATTCCAACGGGCGTCCGCCCATAATAACGCTGCAGAAACTTGAGCACTTCTTGTTCATTCCACACATCCGATGCCACCGGCTGGCTGGTCGCTCGACACCGTGGACACTGAATCGAACCGGGCCACTGCACTTTGGGATGAGCGGGGTCTTCCGACAAATCTCCGGCCAAGCGCCGATTGGCGCTGTTATGCGCTCGCCACAAAAACAATGCGGCATCGGCGTTGGACAAATGCGCCACGTTGTAACGCCGAATACTCTCGGCGTACTTGACAAAATGTCGCGAGCATTCCTCACACGAAAACAAATGCTCGATGTAACTCATGGCTGCGCTCAGTGCTCCATCGTTACCAATGGCATTTTGCGTGGGCGGGTCGGTTTCGTACGCGCGCACCGTCAGCATGTGGAAGGTGGTCCACAATCCGCACGGATATCCGCGTAGGTGCGCCACACTGCCCTTGCAGTGTCCCCAACGAATCTTTTCTTGATCAAAATTAAGGCCGCTCTCGCGTAAGACCTGCAGTATTTCCTCGCCCAGAATGGATGACTGGCGTAGTAAGGCAGTGTCTAATTGTCGGAATGCCATCAGAATATCCGCTCGCACCGGAAGGTATTTGATCACGGCACGGACGAACACGCGTAGGGCATCAAGTGGGCGGCCGGTTACCACCTCGCGACTGGCGACTTCGTGACTGATGGCGTAGATCAGCGCCGCGTTGACATCGGTCATGTCCGCGCGGCTGGGCGGCGGATTCTGCGAGGCTGAAGCCAGGATTGTGGGCCGCGAGTCCTCGATTTCTGTTTGTCCGTACACCGGACCAAGAGGAAGCCGTCTGGGGATTTTGTTGCGGTTCGTCAACTCGGTGTCGGCACGCAAAATGGCTTCGCAGAAAGCCTGTACTGGATCGGATTCGCGGAGAGTATTCAAATCTGCAAGGCATTACGAGTAGTTAACTTACGTACAACGGACAAGTGTTAGCATCACGTTATCGACTATTTAAATGTCTCCATTCGCTCGCACGACTAAATAAGTACCGGTAACGGTAAGTACTGTGAGAAGGGGTCACCTATTATGCCTTGCTGATTGATAAGGTTTCGTTGCAGAAAAACCACAAACGGTGGTTGATGATTCATAGCTTTTAGGCTGTTTAGCAGCTTCTGATTAGTGCTCATCGCTCGTCTGGCGGTTATGGCTTGCAGATTGGGATGCAAATGCATTATGCCTAAAAAAACAGAGACTATTATGAAATGGCTCGTGGACAGTATTTCGCCACCGCCTAAACAGTTTTCTAAGAAATAACTAATGTTAAGGAAAGCTCACATTGCTGCCAGAATTAAGTTTTTCGCAGTTAAATTATTCTTTCGTTGTAATTGAGTTAATTCCTATCAGATCATAATGAGAACTGGTTTATTCACCGGGAGCTGCGTACTTTCTTTCCCTACATACGATCCCAGAGGCTCTACAATAACTGCAAGCGCATCGACGCTTGCCGGTAGGTTAAGCCAGATTTCGTGGATGGGTTTATCGGGCAAGGAGGCTAATTCTTCTCTTTGAGACTGAAATTCCATTAAATCCAGAATCTGGTGCATTATTCCGGTAACTGTCCTCTCTGCTTCCAGCAAATCGCCAAGTGAAGATGAATCGGAATACGGTGCGAATGTGCGAATGGCTGGAGTGGCAGTAATCTGGAAGCGGCTGCACAGTGGTCGATTGAAATTGTACGAGCAGTCCACTGAAGTCCAAGCAACAATATAATAAAAATTATTATTATAGTCAATAAATACACTTAAGATACGCGCCGCTTAATACAGTTTTGCTATTGAAAAAATGGAGCTGTATTCACAGCGGCCGTCACCTACTGTATAATATATATTATCCAAGTTACCAGTAACCGGATTCGACAATAAAAATATGCAGCTCAGGCTAATGATCATGAGTAGATTTTAAATGAAAAAAACAAACCCATTTTTATGACATACATCAGAATTTCATATGATCAGTACACGATAACAAAGATGTTTGTAGTACTTTGTACTACAGGTCTACAGGTGCTCGCATTGTACGTACCTGTCCCAAGTCGCACCACATCTTTCCAATGCTGAAGCTTCTTGGCTAAAGCTTTGTACGTCGGAGCAAACTTGATGCAGTGTCCGCACCAGGAGTTGTAAAACTGGACGATCCATGTTACGTTTCCGGTGGTCCTGTCCTTTCGCATTAAATGACTTCCCGTATACTGATACACAGTAGAATTAAAGTTTTCGTCATTGAGAACGTATACTCCGATATCTACATCAGCATCGTAGAGAGCATAAGCCGAAGTGCTTATGATGAGAATGAGTACTACGTGTCGTAAGGAACGCCAGTTAGGAAAATGCATTGTAATAATGGTGCTAATATGCGTCATAAAAATCGTGGAAAATACGGAAAAGTGGAAAATATACTTCGGAATATATATTTTTGTGGAGTGAAGTAAATGCAGGTATTTTACGTACCAACTACTGGGCTATTCAGCATTTGCGATTTATCGTCGATACGCCAGTAAGCTTCTCCTTTGACGGAAGTTGTTTGGGCAGCTGTGCTTCCGTAATACGGCATAGCTCTATTAACTTGTGCATGCTGGTGCAAAGTTCTATCTCTAGATTTTATCGACACCGTGGTTTCTTAAAGTTATCTACAAAAAATGCGCACAAATATCCGTAATATATTTACAAACTGATTTGTCCATTTGACAGAAAACGCAAGGCTCAGAAAGCAAGTTGGCAACGAAACGTAACATTAGATGCTTTTATAGAAATCGGTTTACTCCTGATGTTTTCCAAAACGTCGAACGTTTTCCAAAGATGATTCGAACATGTTCGAATTTGGCCTTTAACTAACGTGTAGGTAACGTATTTTTTACAAACTGTTTTACTCGGGTCAGGACTCAGGATTGAAGTTTTAGGACTTGTACGACTTTGCACCTACAGTGTGACCATTAATATTTAAATGCAGAAATATTCCAACCAATAATTTAACAACGTATGGTTGTGTGGTGTTCTGACACCGACGACAAAATAAATATGTATACTTTGTACATGATCTATTTACGCTATACTTAGGTGATATATACTTCTATAACTATCTGAACACTTTATATAATATACATTACTATAATATTACTAAACTAACATTATATTATTAATTTAGTAATGTTATGCCAGCACATATTCCAAGTTTTAGCGGTATAAACAGTACGAGTACTGTAAGTAATTTTGTTGTTGCTATTTCAAAGAATATGAATAGCTGGTTCATTAAATAGATTAGGCAGTGCACCGGAAAGCTTCAACGACTATAAAAGAAAATTTAATTGGTCATTTTGAAACCAGTGTTACTTCACCATAGTTGCCAAAATCTATGGCGAAACTGTAGTAACAAATTAACCTTTTTGCACTCGAAAGCGCTTTAAATCCGCTAAGAGGCTAAAATTGAATCATTCACGCTTTCCGGCTTGTTACGCTGTGCATAATTGCCGAAGTTTGTTCAATTACTTAAATAGGAAGTCCGTCCCAATTATATTACATACACTTGTATATTTCTATTGTCGCAGTATACTTCTTGCGTACTTCTTGCGTGTACAGCTTACTATATTTTCAACCAAAAGTATTCTGACATTTTTGGTTCACGAAATAGTTACTGATTACTACTTATTCTTGCAATAATAACGATTACGATTATTGTTATGGTACATTACACTACGTATTCCACATTTGAAAATGTACAATAATACAAACTTATTACGAGGACTTTCTCCGCTCGATATAAAAATATTAAGACAATTGTTTTTAACTAGCCACAATCGCAGATGGTGCAATTAAGCAGTAGATTATGACCGTGGAAGGGATATTATGGAGCTTATAGCCAATTGACTTATATCCTTACGTGTACATCTGTATATCCATGGGAAGTCTGAACTGATTGGGGGATGATGATCAATTCCAGCAAACTCTTATCCGCACAGATGGCCCCGCCCAGCGATAGCCTTCCAGCCCTGGTCACGGCTGGAGTTCGGCCCAGCCATCCATCTACTCCAGATGGTCACTGCGACCGGCATCATGCACCATCCCGGCAGGATGCGTAGCTGTACATCCGCGATGCTACTTGCACAATTCCCTTGACGACACTCTTTCAGGCCGGCACCTCCAAATCCCTTCCTATTTTCCTCCACATCTGCTCGCGTTGATGACAGCACCGTTTTTAGCACAACAAGAATTTCTGCCCTACACCAGTTTTCTTTTTCGCAAAATAAAAGTGTTTCATGTTTTGGTAGATTTTCTGAATACTTAATACTGCAAGTTACGATGACAATAGTGGTATGTGATACAGTATTAATTTTTAAATGGTGGCATTGATGTCGAATGCCAGCATTCAAGCGTTTTATTGTGCTAAAGTACATACTACAATCCGTTGATACTGCCCCGCGCGACCTTTGCAGATATAGAATGAACTACGGACTGTGCAGTTCTCCTACTGAACCATCCGGAGGTTTTTATGGATATTAATTTTGGAGTAAATTTTAAGTAAAACTGCTACAGTAGCAGTTTAAAACAGCCACTTGAAAACTTTAGTGACAGGTCATATCCAAGAGGTTGTGTGCATCCAAATCGCCTAAACTGCTTTAATTTTTCTTTCAATTAATCAACTTATATAATTATACCTCTTGTTTAGTGCCAGGATAATCCACCAGTAAAAAATTAGGTAAGGGTGCTGCTCTTGCCTATTTTTATTTTCATGAATCCAGGCGGTTATATCCCAGAAAGGTCATGCCTTGCTTTATATGTGCGGTTGTACTTGCCTATGTTCTGATAATACGCTTCCGCGTTAAGTACAGAACGCATGACCGAATAATTCACTATGATTATGCTTTGGAAACCTGAATTACTGAAATTTTTGTTGTACGTACATGATTTAAATGCAGGTACAGAAATAGTTTTTCTTTTACAGTAATGCAGTTGTAAATCTTAAAAATTGCATTGCCGTGTAGCGCAGTAAAGCACTGGCATATTTAATTGATTTGTTAAAAAAACTTCCGTGTGATTCTGGTTTTTATTGCATTATGTGACGGAAATGTACGCCAGCATGTTCTAGAACTACACTCCATCTGGCCACGTAGAAGAAAATTGCCAGTTGCAGTTTTCCGGAAATGCCTGACTCATATTCTCAAAATATGTCTTTCGACGACCAGAGCGTATACGATTTGGAGACTTACCAGACTTGTACAGGAGAGGAAATGCAAGAATCTTGTATCACTGGTATGGGAAATATCAAGAGCAATACCGAGCCCCTCAAACTATGCGAATCTGAGCAAAGAACTCGAACCCACAAGACTGGTACTCGCAGACAACGACGTGCTTATAACGGTGATCCTGCTCTGCAGCATTTATCACGAGAAGAGCGCAGGAGAAGGTGAACCCAGCTGGACGCTGCAAAACGTTGTCCATCTGCTAACTTAGTTATTATACTATTATACATTATACTTACAGTACTCGTATAATTATTGCATACTTCTGTAGAAGTAGTTATTTCCGGTAATAATGCACAGAGGTATTTACATATAAACACGACATTAAAAGAATATCCAACAACCTTGAGTACCTGCAAATTGATACTATTAAAATACAGTAACTGATGTGTTTTACATAGGAGAAGATGCACCGAAAAATACCGACACGCTCACGCAACACGGGAAAGGGCACGTATCGAAGCATTCAATTTGGGATTCGCGGCTTTACGAAAACTTTTGCACATCTATCCGCCAGATAAAAAACTATCGAAAATTGAAATTCTTCGTTCCGCCATAACTTACATCGCCTTTCTTCGACATATTTTGGAGTCCTAATGTAGATAGAAGAATGAAAATATATATATTTCCGGATGGATGCATGATTCCATTGGTGACCTTGTTGTGATCGATTATGAAGTATTTATAAGTTTTTCTCCCGCGAAAACGCAGTAGCACTTTATATCGGGGAAGGAACGAAGCAACTCTGTTAGTGTGGACTTAAAAGCATGGACAGATTATATCATTATTGCTAATTTTTACAACTGCAAAAGTTTGCCTCTCATATACAACACTTACAGACTCTGTACCTATTTTCAAAAGGAATGCTCACAAATCATAAACAACAGCTGTAAATCATCATTAAAATTTGGCACTTATCCGCTTTAATTACTTGTCGGTCTTGTCCTAGTACTACAGGGCAACTGTTCAGATCCGCATCCCCAGTACAAGGGCAAACCCGCTCATTGTGAAAAGTATGAGCAAATTCAACTGGTAATAAGAATTTACATATATGCCGCCTAAATAATAAGAATCGATACCTGAAGAATATTTTTTTATGAGATTATTTTCCAGACTATTGTTTTATGATTTTTATCCTATCAGATTACAGCTTTGCTTTTTCTCACTCTGACTGGAAATTGCTAGCTCATGCGAATGGCAAAAATGGCCATTGGCCTGCGATTGCAAGTGTGTGCATCGCGGTTCGAGACAGGGTGCCCCATCAAGATTTAAGCACCAGACAGACCGATAATATTTGTATAATGACACAGCAAATACTTAGTCGGATCCACCCCACATTGCATTTCGCAGGAGTGAGTACAAACAAACGACGAGTATCGTCGTATTCACTTGTCAGTGCTCCCAATGGTTTTCCTGATTTAGAACTTACTGGAACCGCTGGAGCACATCTTGGTACCGCGGAATCTAACAGTAACTGGGAATGGTGTTTTTTCTGTCTGAATTGTGCAATTTCGGAACAGACGTTAATATTCACCTCATCCTCAGAATTCCAGTTTGGCTAATGGAGATTGGAGAGTAGTTTGTGCACACTGATGGACTACGCTACGAGTTTTTTCTCTTAATGTTGTTAAATTTCAAGAACGGACGGCAGTGATAAGATGAAGTAAGTGGATTGGCCTAATTGGATTGTCTGTTCTGCAATACGTGTTTGCGTACTGCAAAGGTACAGATAAAGAAGTTACAGATAAAGTTTGTCTAACTGATGCATCAGCTGGGCAGAAAATATAGAAGATACATAGTACATAGTTAGCCGTTATCGGCTTCTCGTATTAAATGGAACTATGGAAGTGATAAGAGAATCCCATATCGCTTGTTGGTAACGCTGCCGTTGTGCATCAGTAGTGACTTTACGATACTTGCACCGGCCGCAGTTTTAGCGTATTGCGTTTTGGTTTAAGCGTTCCAGACTTTGGTTTTAGACTTTTAGTAAAGCACACTTACCATTAGTACAGTATCGCTTCCATGCTTTTGCAAATCCGTTTGGCTACGGTCCTTGTGGATGTCGGTGGCAAAGTGCTTCATATTAATCACTTTGTCGGTGGTCTATAACTGTGCTGAGATATGCATTCAAAGATTACTTCGAAATCTTTCTATGATAATGCACCATTCTGAAATTGTCTGATACAATTGTATACAAGCGTTTGCTTCAGTGTTTATGAAATGACAGTACATTCATACATGTATTGGGTATAGGGTCATTGTCCACATATGAATTTGTAGGTCGGCTGGATCGCGTTGTTTCGATTGCACTGTTGTGCACAATGTGCAGATAATGCAGATTGACAAATCAGTTTTCGTAACGTCGTCTTACGAAATACCACCTGGTCTGTTTATCAGAATTACGGAGCATGTAAATATGGAGGTAAGGTGAAGTGAGCATCTTTAGTCTTTAGACAAAAAACTTTATGAAACTACCTTACTACTTATTTTTACAAGTTTCTACAGAGTACAGACATATTCTGTATAATCGTATATAGTATAGCAGCATCGTACGCCTTGTTTCCGCTTTTCTGAACAATAAAAGTATTCATATGCTGTTATACCGTAAAAATGTTTTTATGCAGAACGAATTACTGGAGACTGAGCAGTCGTATTATTCTAAACCCTGTCTGAAAGACTGCGTTGTAATTGACATTATGGAGGAAACTGCTTGCGGTGTGAAGGACTTATCCGATTCGGGAATCGGACAGTCGTCCGTGCATTCCCACCTGACGCCTGACTCGCCACCGGCAGATTTGGATTCTCTACAAACGATCACCTTGCTGCCATCATTACTAGAATTTCGAGACCAACTCCTCGAGGAATTCGGGAGATTCTGTTTAGACAATGTGACCACGCAGGCAGACGCCGGCGTTCAGTGGCCTGCGGCATCGAAGATGGAAAGCTGGATCAGTGGTCTGGTAGCCAAATCGGCGCAACTTGAAGACAATACTTCCGGAAAAGCGGCTGTTGATAGTTTTTTGAATGATCTATTGTTGTTTGCTGTGCGGAACGGTCCTGATTCCCTTCTGACTGCTTTGCTCAACTTGGGTTTAGTCCTCCCCGGACAGCAGTTGACGAATAACTTCACCGCCCTGCAGACTGCGGCGTTATGGAGGAATAAATCTGCGCTGGTGCAGTTCGGCCATACAGAACCGGAAGCGATGATTGAGGGCTTTATTGAAGGCTTGCATCTGGATTACTGCCGTGCCAGCAGTCCGCTGGATAGTACCGTACTCGAGCACGACGACACGACGGTCATTCTTAAACCGTTTTATTACGACGTTCCATTTACACTGCAGCTGGTCACCGTACTGCTTCGACTGAAGGCGATGGGTGCCGATGTACAGCTGTGGAATTCTTTACTCTTTTCGGCCGTCAAGAATGGACAGAGCACATTGTGTGAATTGTTGATTGTGGTCTTCGGAGGCGATGTTAACTACTGCGAGGACATCTCCCAGCGGACGCCGCTCCATGTGGCTGCCGCCCGGGGCCATTTTTCCGTGTTCAGACTGCTGCTGCAACACAATGCTAATCCCAATGCCGTTGCAGCGGACAACAGTTTGCCGGAAGAGCTATGTCGCGGATCACTTCGGCACCGCTTTAAGGAAGAGCTAATGCCACTTCGATGGGGGCGGTATCAAACTATAAAAAGCGCTGCGGTTGCTAGTAATTTACTTCACTCTACAGTTTCCGCGTATGATCTGACGGTCACTTTTGGCGAAGAAGGGCCTCTGATTTTCTGGATTTTGGACCAACCCGGAAGCGAGGCATTATTGAAAGATGCGCTGAAAATTTCCCATATGCCACTTAATATTCAACATCCGCAAAATGGACAATCGTTGTTAATAAGAGCAGTGGTTCAGAAGAAGATGATTCTACTTGAAGCTTTGTTAGAAAGTGGAATATGCACGTCGTTACGGGACTTTTCAGGAAGGTCAGCGCTCGACTACGCTGTACAGGACGATAAATTAGAAATAGTCCAGACCATGATGAAATATCGTATTTGTTGGACAGGACTGCAGCAAGCGATCCAGGAAGCCAAATCGGCCAGTGTGTCCGATATATTACGAATTACTTCCAAGAAACGGCAGTCGCAAGTCGTGCGGCCGGCAGTTTTTGCGGCTGCAGCCGGCGAAAGTCATTCCTTGACCGTTCTCGAACCAGGAGACGACATCAACATTCTCAACTCCCGTGAAGAAAGCCCGGTCTTTTTAGCGGCCGGAAATGGTCAGCTGAAAGCCTTGCAAGTTTTTGTTGAATATGGAGGCGATGTAACTAAACGCCATCGTCCAACCATGGACACTGTCCTGCATGCTGCTGCTCGTGGGGGACACGCTGATATCATTGCTTTTGTCGTGCAGCTGATCTGTAAGGAGAAAAGAACAATTTGTTTGAATGCCTTGAATTGTTACGAACAGACGCCAGTATACTTGGCCGCCGAAGGGGGACATGCGGACGCGTTGAAGATGCTGTTGTCGCTGGGTGCCAGTTGTTGCGGTTATTTTCGAGACGGGATCCTCTTGCATTCACGATATGAATCCGTACAAGCCGTTCTGGATGCCCATAGATTACCCCGACAGATCGCCATTTTCCGATCGATTGAGAAAAGCGATTTGAAAACTCTGAAAGCAATGTGGCAGTCGCAGTTCGACCATTACTTTCGTGATCATATCGGTGATACGCCCTTGATGGTAGCAGCACAGTCTGGTAACCTGAAGATTTTGGATTTCCTTCTGGAGAGCGCGGAACAAGAATGCCGGCCTTTTGATGCGGAATCGAAGTCTGTTCAAGTGGATAAAGGATTGGACATAGTTAACATTGCTCAAGCAGAGTATCAAAATGTTGGCGATGTTAAAACTATGCAGGACGCGAGTCGAAGCGGTCGTCAGAACGCATTCCAGTACATCTCCGGTAACACTGAGACCACGAATACTGACTGTGTATTAACGATTTTTCGTGACAACTACACCATAAATCACGTCTCAGCGATAAATGTTGTGGACGGGTGTTGTGCGGTACACCGGGCCATCGAAGTGGGCGACAATGTTTCCGTTGTACGGTTGCTGATAAAAAAAGATCCATTTTGTGCAAATATCCAGGAGCACAATGGTTTCACCCCATTGCATTTGGCAGTTGTTTTGCGGAGAAAAAGTATAATCAAGTATCTCCTACAAGTACCGGAAGTCGATCTTTACGCAACTGACCTTCTGGGACGGTTGCCGGAAGAGCTGGCTTGGAGTGAGTCCATCCTGGGCCGCGTAATGAAAACACGGACGGAGATGTCGACGTCCTGGACGTACATGTGTGATCAACAAATACCGCTGAGTACGGCGGACGGCCTGTCAAGTTGGACACGGAGATTCCGCAGTGTCGGCTCGGGATATTCGGACCACGCCAGTGGGTCGGATTTGGAGCATAACTGCAGCCGCTTCGTGGGTAATACGTCGGCTAGTCAAGATGGTGTTCAGGAGTATCTGGACAGGAAACTGGAGGATCGGTCCAGAAAGCATCAAATGGAAAGAGACGTCTATGAATCTTATGGAAATTATGACTATCCATTACGGATCGGATTTTTTTAAGTTTTAATTACTAGAAATTGTAGTTACTGTACTCGTAAATTTTATGGAATTGATAATTTTTTGGTAAAACGACTCATTTATTTCTTAATAATGAACTGAACAATATTATTTGAGAAAACGCGTTTTGCAAATTGCAGATGAAAATCATAATACACCATTACAAAACTAACTGGTCAGAGTGTGCGACACTGCGACCAATATAATACTTATCGTTATAATACTTATACTTGCCCTTGTACCTACCTAATGGTATGTCTGATTGATATCTATACTTCGAAGTGCCGGAATACAGAATGAAATTATACCTTAGAACTATAACACCGCAAAAATGGAATAAAAATAAATTTTATTCTGCATATAACTGGACAAATATTTCATCAAAACGGTAACGTAATATGAAATTAAAAAAAAAACTTCTGATAAGGATTACGTGTTAAAAGAAAACGGTACGAGTAGTGTATAAATATAAGTAAGTACCATGACCTAACGGTAAGTCACCTAACCACAAGAAACTGATGAAGGAAACTGATGAAGTACTTACTTTAAATAAGTACTTACTTTAGATATTTTTCTATGAGAAAGATATTTGTCAGAATTAAGATATTTGTCAGTAAGTAAGTACAGATCACCATTTTTTCATGATTGTTATCTTCGTTCTACTAAAATACCAACACAATACATAAAGTCATAAACCATAGAAATCTAAGTATTGCAGTAATCAATAGTCAAATCGGCCATAATTTATCCGTGCTGGGCTTGTATCTGCATAATCCTAACATGTATTGGTATTTGTTTGAGTACTTATACGTAAATAATTTTCGTAATACAAATTCTGAAAATAATATATAATTTTGTTAATACAAAATGCGTAGGGCCTGAACAATTTGGCTAATAGCCTAATACAATTCGAGTAACGATGAGCCGCTGTAAAAAAGATCTTGTGATACGATTTTTCTTCTTAGGGACAAATCCCTAGTGAATATTAAACTCATCATAATTATTTTGCTTATAATTTTGATTAAGCTTATCATAATTGGAAATTGATCAATTTTAATTATGATCAGCATAATCAAAATTCAACAATTTTAATTAAACTGGAGCATAATTAAAATTGTCCAATTTTAATTTTGCTTATCATAATTAAAATTCAGTTTTCTTTTGATCAGACTATTTTTATTGTTCATAATTTGACTCAGAATTAAGCTTAAGTATAATTAAAATTGACGAATTTTAATTATGCTTAAGCTTAATTAAAAATGCGCAATTTTAATTATGCTCAGCATAATCAAAATTGCCATAATTTTAATTGAATTAATCATAATGTTTAATTCCCAGCAAAATTAAGAGTTTAATTATCACTAGTGCTTATAATTTTGATTAAGCTTATCATAATTGGAAATTGATCAATTTTAATTATGATCAGCATAATCAAAATTCAACAATTTTAATTAAACTGGAGCATAATTAAAATTGTCCAATTTTAATTTTGCTTATCATAATTAAAATTCAGTTTTCTTTTGATCAGACTATTTTTATTGTTCATAATTTGACTCAGAATTAAGCTTAAGTATAATTAAAATTGACGAATTTTAATTATGCTTAAGCTTAATTAAAAATGCGCAATTTTAATTATGCTCAGCATAATCAAAATTGCCATAATTTTAATTGAATTAATCATAATGTTTAATTCCCAGCAAAATTAAGAGTTTAATTATCACTACAAATCCCGGGAAGCGCTTCTTTCGCTGAACTTGAAATCAGGCGATCAGCTTACGTACGGTTTAGCCAGCGCGATATCGATACCGCTTCGTGTTTCTCAAAACAGGTCATGCAAATCCATATTATTGCTCACCGAGCTCGTACAAACATGTGCGGTTAACGTGTTTATTTGTATGTTTATCGCAGTTATGGATTGACGGCTTTTTCCTGCGCGTTAGGCCAAAAAAATTTTTGATTGCCATAGAGTTTACAGTAAGGATTCAAACAAACGCGGAACGGCAGAAGGGGGATCCATAGTAATGCACCCTCGCGACTCTACGCTCTACTATATGTTGGAGTATATAGTATATTGTGAACTTCGCAACCCACTCGGTGCCGTACTTCGAAGTGTCATTGGTTTAAATCCTCTCTACGTACCCTGGTTGTACCATTGGTTGTACGGTACTTCTCGATAAATACGCCGATATGATATTCCAGTTCGCACTTGTTTCTGTTTTCAAATTTGAGATTTGGTTACTGTACACTGTTACAAGATGTTTTTTGCATCCTTGTGCACGGTGTGAAATCATAAACAATCGCAAAACGATGCCTGCAACGGCACCACATCTCTCTGTTCAGGTTTTGTTAAGTTACCGTAACCAATCTGGTGATTCTGAGATTCTGTGTTAATTGCTCGTTGTAGGCTTGTTGCGAAAGGTACCGTCAAGTACGTATTCAGTTAAAATATTTTGTAGTTCGTGGAAATTGCATTATCTTGTAACTTGTGACTTCTTGTCCGCTGGAATCTGCAACCGTATAGACTGGAAGCCGCGCGAATAGAAGAAGTTCTTATTGCGATGTGTTGAGTGAAACTCTTACTTGCGGTGGTCAGGTCGGCGGCTCGTGATAATTTTATTCATTCGATAAATACTTATTATCATGGAAGAAGCTTTTGCGCTGGCTGCTGAGATGCTCCCGGCCTCCTCCTATTTCCTTTCCGGAATACCGGGAGCGATGTATTACGCGTACTACTACAAAAACTACTGCGGCCAGGTAAATAATGCTTCAAATTTGCAAATTCGGTTGTTGGTAATTTTAAGAATTCCCGACATACATAGAACTTATAGAAATAAGTATAAGAGAATGGTATCCTGCGGTTACTTGATATGATAACTGATAAAGATTTAGGAAAACTTTAAAAATGTGGTCATTATGATTTTATTATTACAGTAGTATCACTTTCGTATCATTTTCAAGTTAGAGCTGCAATAACAGAAAATTTAATGATATAAATTGTATTGACTTAAATAAGTCGGCTGTGGTTTCTCAGTTGGAGGTATTCCGATAATAGTAGGGACTCATAAAAGCTTACTAACTCTACAATTAAACTTTTATACGGATATAATTTTCTTTTATTGTGCCTGTATGTTTTAAATTCTGTTTGGATCAGACAACAGCAGTACTGTAAATGAACTCTGAACCTGTAAAGTTGTAAACTGGGGACCGGGGAATAAGGTAATCAGCGGATTTTCCCGATAAACTGTGCTGCGATGGGTTGGAATGTTAAATTTGTTAGTTTCACGGAAACAGCGCGAAAGACCTCGCTGTTATCGATTGATTCAAGGCCAGCTGCAGCTTTCGCTTGAACAGCGCGCAGGTTCCGTCACGAAAAAAATGGTCTAGGGATTTCAGGGCTCACGTGTGGACTATTTATATAGAATACTCTCATAGTATCGAAATTTAAAGGAGTGTTCGTTTAACATGTAAGCGCAGAAATATTATAAACCGGTCTAGCAGCTCGCACGGATGCCGCTGACAAGGCAGATCCAACTGTAAATAGCTGTAAGGTGCGTTTGTCACGGTATAACCGTATATTTGTCATATACTGGTTTTGTTAAATTTTTTTAAGTTCAATTTGGGTCGAGCTGAAGTGAATTTTTATGTGCTGGCAGTGGTTTTATTATGTGAAGGAAATCCTAAAAATAATAGGTGCATACACCTAAAGCACGTTAAGGGAAAGTTTAAAAACATTGACTTACTGTCACTTACCATAAAATAATTTACTCTACAGGATGCTTCTGATTGTCAGCGTGCATTTACGAAATGACTAATTACAGATTCCTGAAATGTATGGTGGAGAAGGCCCGTTCTTAGAGCTACTCCAGAAAAACTGTCCAATTTTCAAGGAGGAATACCGACCTCCACCGCTCGTTCATGAGTCGCGGCTGATGACCATCGTGGCTGCCGTGGGTCGGCATCGTGGGCTGCAATATCCTTTTGCAAGGTAAGCAAACGTGCCAAACGTGTTGCTTTGTTGTTGGGAAAAGTTTACGATAAACTTTGAGTGGCTCTTATCGCAGCAATTTTAATCGCTCTAATACTGGCAGAATTAGGCCACACTCCGGTCGTTTACAAGCTGACTGGCAGCTGGCAACCTTCTGTCGTCATTTTCTCAAATTTGGTCCGGAAGTGCATCGAGAATGCTGATAAGATATCAGATTTCCGACCTCGAAACGGGACACCTGTTAACGCCCGCTGCTGTGGTGTATTCGACTGCTCGTAAAACCGATTCTTTGGTTTCAGGGAGCTTTTCCGCAATGAGGAAATCGGTGAGATCGCATTGGATTGGTGGGATAGTCGGATGCGGCCAGAGCCGATCACCGCGGTGCCCGGTGTTCCTTCATCCACCTTAGTGGACTCGTTGAGCTACTATTACCATAACCTCAGTCTGCCGCATCTGCGACTGCCCCAAATACCAATACCTCATATGCCGCAGATGCGGATTCCTCAAATACAGATTCCTTATTTTGGACCCTTGAAACGCTCCGCATCGGCTACGGGTAATGAATTCACCCATTTAGAAGAGTCCATTGAAGGTCGGGATGAATTGGATCCGCAGGATGCGGTCGAGTGCGCCTCATCGCCGGATACGGATCTCGCCCGTCGCGACAATATCGACGAAGGTAATCCTATGACGGCATACGCGCTTGATTTGATTTGTATGGGTATGAAGTGGTGCATGGTTTTTCATTTTTATCAGTTGAGACTGAAATGTTGCCTTGTTCCTTATTTGAAAAAGAGCTCGTACAACGTTTTTTGAATTGTTTTGTTGGCAATGTATTGAATATCCCGTTGAAATTAGGCATTGATTCCGGGAGTAGCCCCCGCGATGGGCGTTCGCCTGAGCCCCCGATGCGGGATGCGCATTTTTCCTTGTCGGATATGTCGGATACGGATGAAGCCATGGGCCCGACTGCTTATTCTGCCTCCCCGCCACAGAGTGAAAGCGCCTTGAAGGAAGAAGATGAAACCAATATGGAAATTGATGACGGTGATGGTGTCTTTCTTTCCGATCTACTTCCTGCGTCTATGACGGTCGGCAGTCATTTGAATGTCGACGGAAGCGACGTGACGATTCCCGAACCTAAGGGCATCGTCCTGATTCTTCCTGGCTTAACCGGCGATAGCTCACGGAATTATGTGCAGGGATTGGTGCAAGTGGTGGAACAAATTGGCTACACGTAAGTTTACGCGATATTTATGTTGGTATGATCAAGAGGTCATAATTTGTAAACCTTTGTGAACGATATTTACAAATGAAGTAATGTTCAGTGTCTTGATCCGGCCGGCTGATAATGCTAATAGATAGTCTGTTCTGAATACTGGCCAAAATTTGATTAATCGGACAAGCAGCAAGGTTAACTCGATAGTCAGGCAGCTGCCAAATGCACGAGAGAACGTGCATGCGGCATGGCGTTATCGTAGCGCAAATAAGTAGAAAAGCTCGTTTGGGCAGTTTCCTGTTAAATGTGTGTGTTGTTGTGATGTAATATTGGTTCAGGGAAGTTCAGTGGTTAAGTTTTTCCGAAGTGGAAATCGATGGGATTGGCCTGATCGATCTTATACGCATGTTTTGGGCTGTTTTGCAGGGCCGTGGTGATGAATTATCGCGGAGCTACAGGGAATTTGAAAGCCTGTTTTATGGGTATGTTTTTGTCCTGATTATAATTCAGCTGTTAATAATGTGTGACCCTTTGTATGTGCGCTTTTAGCGGAAGTGTCAGATGTTGCGCAAGTAATTCGCCATATAAAACAACGATATGCCGATGTGCCGCTCGTTGCTGTGGGTGTTTCACTTGGAGGGTAAGAAATTTATGACCAGTACGTGGAATTTGAGATTAGTAGTACTACTTATTCATTATTGGTATTGAAGCTTATATACAAGCCCGTTTCCAAACCTGTAGACCGCTGTAAGCGCGACGCAGTGAATAGCGCACAGTAAGGCTAGATTTTATCTACTCTACACTAGATGCATTGAATGTACTGGCTCAAGCTCACGTTTCTCAAATATCCCGCTTATAGCGGTCTACAGGTTTGAAAACGGGCTTGTACCATACAATATTCCGTACGTACATACATGTGACATTTTGCAATACGAATACCGTTTGTGCCAAGGTACGTGTACGATTTACTGTTGTTATTTCGCAGTATTTTGCTTACCAATTATGTGGCGCGATGTGGCATCAACAACGAAGATTCGTTGCTCCTGGGTGTTATGACGGTATCGGTAGCGTGGAATTTTTTCGAATCGGCCAAAGAACTAGAGCAGCCGTTGAACTACCTCCTCTTCAACAGAATGTTAACAAGAACCCTAACAGATGCGATGGAAAAGTATGTGTACATACAGTATAATTCTATATACAGTTATGGCAAATGTGTGCGGAAATCTAAAAATAGATGAAGTGTACTGGCATACTGCTGCGTGCCGAAAACGTGCTGCTGAAGATGTTGTTTTGCATTATGGTTTCCAATTTTTGTAGGCACGCGGAAGTGCTACAGAATGCCTACAATCTGGAAGGCATAAAGGACATTAAATCGCTAAGGGAATTTGACGAGCGATTTGCCGCAAAAATGTTTGGTTATTCCAATCATGAAGAATACTATAAGCACACCACGCTCCATGACAAAGTTTGCCATATCAAAACGCCATTATTGGCAATCAATGCGGGCGATGACATGTTTTCGCCATACGATGGTAAATGTAGCATTCTGTGTAGTTAGACTTTTTTTCTCGTGTAGAAATGTGAAAACTCTAGCAGCTAGCTGTCTGAAAAGGATAGAAGGGTAGAAACTAAGAAATTAATGCTTTTATTGTTTTTGACAATGTTTTGTAATGTTTCATATCTGAAAATGTGATAATGCTGTTTCATAGATACTCATCACACACCTGATATGTATATATCTGCAGAATACGCATCGCCTTCAGCTGTTTAATTATTTTAGCTATTCCCAAAGATGATGCTAAGAAAAACCCGAACGTGTGTATAGTCGTAACCTCACACGGTGGCCACATCGGTTTCATGGAGGGACGAAATCCCTTTGGAACGAATTATGTGGAAAGAGTCTTTCAGCAATATGCCAAAGCGCTGTTTGATAATCACGATAAAGTCATTGCTTCCCCGATTCCCGATGAGCCTCCCGTGCCGATGACCATGCCGGTTGCAGAGGACAAAGAAGCGATGCCGGCCGCAGTGGCCGGACTGGATATTGCAGCTGATCTTCTTCCAACAGAGCAGTGATTTGCGAGAAGTCTTCCTCGCTGACTTTCTCATCCGTATCTTGAATGAACAGATTGCTAATACGCTGTCGTTGCTTACCGGCTAACAGTCAAATGTCTTTTGAGTTGCATTTTTGATGCTTTTAGCTTTCGTTTGGATTTTTACTTTCGGTACTCGTATGGTATATCGACAGTACCTGCGCTGCGCTTCTTTTGCAACTGGTGATATTTACCGGTAATTTTAAATTACATAATTATTCCAGTCTGTTAATCGCTTCGTGTTCTTGTTTTTTTTGTGGTTGTTGAAACACCATCCGGCGGAAACTGTTGCATTTTTATTTGTTCCTAGATTATGAATGATGATGTATTTGATTGGATCGTAAGAAAATGGATCTCATTATAAAGCTGACTTTGACTGAAAAACACAGTAACGATGTATCTCGCTTTGCTCGTTTCGTTGTTTGCAGGTTTTCCTGAAAAACTCTGCAGTTTTACACTTTGCGGCATAATAGAACAGACAGCAGTTTGGGGTGTGCAAAACAGGAGCACAGCAAAAGATTCGAACAAAACAGTACATACTGATACCGCTATTTAAACTGCCGTTACAAACTGTATCAACAAAAGGTCAATTTTCTGAATAGCTTGAATAATTAGGCACTTAACCGAAAAACATTCTGCAAAAAAGATATAAGCCAGCCGGCCTTTATCAGCAGTTGTAATGTGGGATGCGCTAACAATCCGGTTGGGAAGTGATGGGACGTCCTGAGTCAGCATACTAAACACCACTAGGCAGGCAGCTGTTTTTCAAATCGAGCAGAAATGAATTCGCGGTGATCGAGCGACGTATCGGCTCGGCTGTCATTGCGTAATATGGTGAAATACTGTGGCTTATGATTGATAAGTTTTCGTTAAGATTGCGCTCATTCAGATATTTTCTTTTTGCCACTTTTATGTCGTTGCTGTTTGCAGCTGATTGTGAGCATTGTTTTCTTTTCGCAGGTGAAGTCATTGAAGTGCCACAAAGGCGGTAAGACGTTAAGGCGAAATTCTAAGTGAGTAATAAACAGCAAGTTACCGTAAAGTCCGTTCTAAGATTTCTTGATCCGTTCCACGTACATTGGAATACTGATACGAATACGACAATTCGTTAACATATCCAGTAATACTTACTGTACGGGTACTGCTAGAGAAGTGTTAATTAGTCGTGCAGGTTTCAAAGTTCGCATAATTGCCTATCTTGTCTGTGCCGGTGCTTCCCGTTGATTAGCTGATTGGCAATCGGTGCAGCACGCCCGTATCGTATGTAAATCTCAAAAACCTTGCTCAATCTGGTGTTTATTAGACGGACACTTTTTTGCCTACCACTGATCACAAGAATGGGTCCTCAACCCGAAAAAGGCGACACGACATCCGGCGAAACAGAATCCAGCCCGGTGCATGAATCTCCGAACTGGGAGAGCATTTGCAGTTACTGTTCCTACAGTTTTGATCTTGACAACGTGGATGGCTCGGCGAAGAAAGTCGTGGAGAATTTGCGGCCGGATTTGGTGGAACATCTTAAAAAATCATCGCTGAAAGTTCAGGTGTGTGCATTAAGTATACCGTACTGACTCTTTAATCTTAGTCTTCATGCAATTATTGTACTGCTTCGTAGTTCTCATGAATTCAGTTTGTTTCGGATCCCGAAGTCTTGTGATAATTTCGCTGTACCCATTGATGCTCGTTTTAGAATTCTGTTCTTCTTAGACTCTGTAATTCTGCTCTTTTTAGACAATATAATTTAGATATAGTTTGATTTGTATGCATATTACTGAAAATCTCACTGCGATATTTCTGCGCCGGCTTTTTTGAAATGTTATTATTTTGCATAATTGTTATCATGTTGGGTATGTTCATCCGTATTATAATATGTATATTCTGTGATATTTTAATATAAGAATTTCTGAAATTTAATAGCCATTAAGATAGCTGCAAGACAGCGGCATTAATAATTTCATTAGATTAATTGTTCTGTCGTCGTTATAGGAACTTAGCGGTGGAATCAGTAACAGGCTGTTACTGGTGGATCTTTTGTCGGACGTGAATTTACCTAAGAAAGAGAGGGACAGGATATTGATCCGTGTGTACGGAGAGGAAACGGATAAAATTATTGACAGGCAAGCGGAAGTGCGAACACTGATCACGCTGCAGGAGAACCAGTGTGCCGGTCGACTGTACGGTGTCTTCGACAACGGCATGTGCTACGAGCATGTTCCCGGCCAGACGCTCACTGCGGATTCCATTCGGGACCCTCATATCAGCAGGTTGGTACCTTCAGATTTGTCCGTACTGCCTTCAACATCGTGGGCGTAACGAAATTCATGCGTGTAGGTTTTCTCAGTTTTCGGTTCTTTCTGTGTGTATTGACTGTACTTAAAACCAATAGAAAAAATGTCAAAGTAATTCCCTAGTTAAGTTTTAGTTCAATAATATTACCAAAATGTTATGAACTCGGAAATCATTCGGCTCATAGTTAATCTGCTATGCCCCGGAAGTTCCATTTCCCGTAATTAACTGTGCGCAAATTCTTCACAGAAACTGTTTCCATTATTTTTATCGGTTCTATGTAGTAACCTTTGGAAGTTGAAGAATCTCTGTGTAAAACCGGAACGGCAGACGGCAGTTTTTGTAGAGCATACAAAATTACACAAGCTCCTGCAGCTGATACAAAACATTGTAGCGCCGAACTGCCCAAACGCCACGAATAGCCTAGGCGCATAGGAGTAACCATAATTCAGTTTGTATGTCCCACAGTCGCGGTCACGTTATTGTCCAGTATGTTTTTTATACGTGCAATCACAATGTCAGCCTGTAATTTATCAAATGAATCTTTATGTTCCAGGCTGATTGTACGTGAAATAGTCCGTCTTCATTGTATTTATCAGCAACCAAAAGATCATCCCGCGGTGGACCTCTTTAGTAAAATGGAGAATATGTATGAACAGATATCTCGAGAGTGGGAAAACAAAGATCAAGGTCGCAGGTAGGATAGTAGCAATTTCTTGTTACTCGTATAGTGCAAAGGATCTTCGTGTAGGTTTTATTACTTAGTTTATTTGTTTATTGTATCTGTAAGTGTGTAACTCTGATAGCATGAACCTGATTGTACGAGCACTGCAGGACAAAAACGTTATGCTTTGAGTTTAGTCGTAGTGCATATGAAGCCGCGTATTACGTAATACGCGGCTTCATATGCACTACGGTTTAGTATAAAGGAAAAATTGTTGGCATTGAATGAAGGCGTTGCAGGTTCAAGGAGTATTTCACTCATCCGGAACAATTTCTTGCGGAAATTAAGGAGATTCGCGAGTATATCAAATCACCTAAAGTAAAATCGCCTATTGTGTTCTGCCATAATGACCTTCTGTGTGGAAACATTTTGTATGATAAGGAAGAAGGTACTGTTTCCTTGCAAGTAAAGCATGAACATATTGAGGACTGCTAATGACCTCTTCCAGTTAGCGTTGGATTTTTGTGTATACTCGTACAGTTTCCTTGTAGCAGTGTAATCGTAATTGGTCTTTTGCAGATCGCGTGCACTTCATTGATTTTGAATATGCCGGATTGAACTACCAAGCGTATGATTTAGCCAATTACTTCAATGAATTTGCTGGTATGGCTGAAATCATTTTGATCTTTTCTGCCGTCTTCTTATGAACTGTCTTGTCCAGGTGTCGAGGATTGCTCTTACGATCGGTTTCCTTCCAAAGAATTTCAAATTGATTTTCTCAAGCAGTACTTAGAAAACTGGGATAAGGCACATAACCGTTCAGCCAACACACCCATCAGTCCTGATCGCATCCATGAACTCTACGTTAATGTTAACAAATTCACCGTCGTATCGCATTTATTCTGGATTTTATGGGCGTGTTTTCAAGCTAAAAACTCCAAGATCGATTTCGATTTTTTGGCGTACGTCATTGGCGATGGATTAATAATGTGATATTGATTATGAATTACCCACATCTGAAGTCTGATTTTTAGGTATGCCAGAATCCGTTACGATGAATATTTCACCAGGAAGCGGGAATGGCTTTCGGATTAAAGTCTTAGTCAAGAAGAAAGTTGTGGACATTGCTGGGTGTTTTTGATATTGAGCTGTGCAGTCGCCAGCATGACTCGGTGCGAAGATTTTTTATAAATGCAGTAATTTGTAGCCTAATCCAGCTCTCCACCGGTGTATGGATAGGAACCACCTCTGATAACATCTCATTATTTCTACTTCGCCAGTTAAAGCTTTCTTGTTGTCAGCAAGTGCGATTGTCCGAATGTTCCTGACATTTAGGAGACTCATATCAGTTTTTGCACTCAATTACAGGTTGATAATACCGTTAGAAACGAATAAAGATTTGCATACATGGCATGATTTTGACATTTTGTAAAGTTCATCAGGAGTGATCCGCAATACGATTACAAATCTTTGACAAGAAATTTACGGCAACAAAGCCAGTTTCGTGCAAACTCAATCTTCAGGAGATACTTCCGCGGGTAGCTCAGCGGCGGCCGGCTCCGCGTTGGCATCCGTACTGTCTTCGTTATGTTCTTGTACTGCCGCCGTGTTGGAAGCAGAGCTCTTGCGTCGCGGTTTTCTCCGAGAACTACAACGGCAGTTCAGAGTAGGAACGAATAAGACCTATATTATGATAATTGATGCACTTACTCGAAGCACGGATAGCAGAGCGTGCGAACATCAGTCACATTCCCTTCATCGTCTTCATCCCACTAAACAAGAACAAAGCAAATTCAGAAATTTTCCGAAGCAAACTTTAAGCCCGAAACCACCAACCTCGAGCTGCCAAATCATCGCGCGACCACGTTTGCCTTCCTCGTTGGCTCGGGTCGATCCGCACACCGAACAAATTGCACACTGTTCACAAAGCCAACGTCCACTGGGCACTTTAGGCACCCCCACGCAGAACGAATGGTAACCACGGTCACAGAGATCGCAAAACATCATCTTATCCTGTAACAGTAGCATATTTCCGTTTTCAATGACTAGATGTGACTATACAACGCACTGGAATGACCCAAAATCATTCGAAGCAAATCGATAAAATCACGTAGTGTTGCAATATTTACACTTATATTTTCAGTACCTCTTTGGCAGAACTTTTGCACTTATGGCAGTTTTTACACTCGCTGCACTCCCACGGATACTTTTTCATGCACAGCAATGTCTGCTTCGGCAAATTAACGCAATTCGGATGATCTGCAAAACGTGAAAACTCAACTCTTACAAAATATAAAGCATTAAATATAAGAATCCAACCCTTACACTTCTTTTTACACTTAGTACAACTCAACAGCGGCTGCTTCGATAGCGTCGGGACGTCCTGCACATTGGCCTTTCCTTTTTTCTTCTTTAAAACATCATGCGCACCATCTATCACAGCCACTTCCGTTTCAGATTCCTTTTTGATTTTATCGGATGCCGTTGGTTCCACTGGCGCTTCGCTTCCCGAAGACGGCGGTACCTTATCTTTGACATGGCACACGTAGCAAGAATCCGGCGGCGGCAAATCCGAGTCAGCATCGTAGACATCCTGCAGAATCAAACGATCGTGGGCATCAGACATGGAGTCCATCATGACCGTGACCGGTGTCGGCTGAACTTCCGCCTGGGACGTTTTGGTGCGGTTCGATTTCCCCTTTTCCTTTTTCGCCTTTTTGTTGTTGGTACTGGGTGCGGGAGACTGTGGCGGAGGCTTGTTGAGTAATTCCAAGATGACACTGGGAGATTCGTTCTTGACGGCAAGCGTTTCGGACTCCGCGGGAACCGTGACGACAGATGGCTCCTCTTCCTTCTTTTCGTCCTCGTCGAACAACGAGCACTCATCATCGGAACTGTTTGCCGCATCGCCGTTCAGTTCCAGCTTCCGTTTGCGGTAAGCGTCCGTCGTCATGTGCAAATATTGTGCAGCGCTGGGCGGAAGAGAGTTGACGGCAGTGCGCAGCGGAAAGTAGCCCAATGCGCGACCAGAAAGTCTGTTGCACAAAAAATTGTTTTCCAGTTCGGCATACTTTATACGTGCAGGAGACAAATTTTACTGTAATATGTTACAATATTTTATTGGCGCATTGCTTACACTGGAACACTGTCGGAGAACTGCGGCGGGGATACGGTCAATGTGGCAGGATACGCACCAACGGAACTGCCGTTGTTCTGCTGCGAAGTCACTGGATCAGCAAAGTTACTACCATTTTGATGGGAAAGCATGGTTCTCTTCATTTCCAACAGTTCCGGGCATGGAGGTAGAACATTCACTTCTCGACGAGGTACATGATAAATCTACGATGCAAAGTTGCAAACCAATCACAACAATAAAGCAGTCGAAACTGGCCAGTTAATCATTATCGTTTATCGTGAATTAGGTCAGTGGATTACTGTACTGTATTATATAATTACAAAATTAGCTTTAATTAGGTAAACGGCGAGAATGTGGGAAGACACTCACATTAGTCTGCAAATCATAATAATACTTGCGCTCCGTATTCCGTCGCTGATTTAACTGAGCGTTGTACTTGCCGACCGCTTTCAACGCTCTCTGACGCTGAAATTTCAAGCGATTTTCACGCTGTTGAGCGGCTGATAAAACGATGGATCCCGAAGACTTTTCCACATCCCCTTCCGCAGACTGCGTGGATTCCTGAGATACTTGTGAGAACAGCGCAGTACTACTGTTACTACTGCCCGTCATGAGATTCACGGGTTCATCGCTGAAGGATGACCGCGTAGTTTCCAGAGCATCTGCCAGATTCAGCGGGCTTTTCGGTCGCTCGAAGGGACGTTTGGCTGGCGAAGCGTGAATTTCAGGCGAAGTATCCTTGTTTACGGCTTTCTTTGGGGAAGGAGTGCGTTTGGATTTGTTGGGAGATCGTTTCGTATAGGAGCGACGAGCTCCGGAGTAGGCTCGCACGGGCTTCCTGGGTTTTTTTGCAGGTTTGCTGCCTGAAGTCTCCATTGCTTTGCAATGATGGTATGGTGAGCCAACGCGCTGAAACCGTCAGCGTGAGTTGGGTTTCCCCAGGCCACCTCGATGCTTGTTCACACTGCACAGCAAAACATAATTTTGAAAGCCTACCAAATCAAACTATAATTTTCCTATCTTAAAATAGAAAGAGTAAGCGAACATTAGTAAGGTCTGGAAAACGCGGAAAATGAAGTTTTAAACACGCTAAACTGGCTAAAGTTCGAAATCTTTAATATGTACGTTTTGAGTGACAAGTGACAACTCTTTTGGCAAATTAGATTTGCCGCCGGGCAACCGCCCGGGATTATGACAACAGCAGCCACGGTTTTTCAATATATTTTGATGACTGCCGTGGTGATTGTTTAATTTTTTTTGGACACTTGTCTTTTCCGCCTTTTCGGATACTGTTTTGCTCTGAAAATGTTTGTAGAAGTTTAAGAATGTGGGAATTCAAGCTTTTAAGCATAAAGCTGAACTGATATCTTTTATGGAACTTTACTAGACTAGTAAAAAGTGATCGTTTGAGTTGTCAGTTGTGACTTTATTGCAGGATTTACAGCTGGTGGATTAAATTGAGCAGCTGAGATAAATAAACATGGCGTCTACAGGTGCTGTTGGCGATGTAGTGCAGTGGTTGAACAATCGTCTGGGTAATGCTGAGAAGACCTGGGTCGACGACAGCAGTATCGCTCCATATCTGACCAGAGAACTTCTCGAAGGAATCCTTGACTGCTTTCTCGACCTGCAGACGCACATTAAAATCAAGCTGCTGTTATCCTTTTTGCACATCGTACGACGAACGGTGGAAAGCGTACGTGCCATTGGAAAATGGAGCGTGGTTGCTGTTGCTTTGAGTCTGTATCGGTTTAGTCTGTAAATCAACACCGAAAGCTGACGATTAATTTCTTTACAGCTGCGAAGTGAACTGGAGAGCGTGATTGATCTGGCTGCAAAGGATTCGGATCCGTGGGTCAGTCTGACGGCGGAGTTAATTCGTCATTTCCCATCCAAAGGGGAATTCAATGTGATGGTCAACAGCCCCATGTTCAATGGGATGCGCAGTGATATGATGAAACATTTGAAGCGGCTGTCAGAGCGGACGCGGGAGCTGCAGTTCGTCCCGTATGAAGCGGAATTTATGAATAAGAAAGCCTTAACGGCCACATACGGGAATGCGCCAGCTCCTGTTAAACACTTCACTCTCAAACAGAAACCCAAATCAGCCACACTGCGGGCCGATGCGCTGTTACGAGGTAGAAGCGACACTAAATCCGCTGTAAATTACTGTTCAGTGAACAGTTTGCTTAAAGAGTTTTTGCTGGATTTATGATTTTACCGTTCTTTTTGAGCTGGTATACTTTATTTTTTTAAAATCGACTTTCTTATACTTATTTTAGCGAATGAATCTAAACCTAAGAATCCGGACAATCCTTCTGTGCCGATGCGTTACAAGGACCAAATCAAAGGCATCGATCAAATGCTATGTGAGCAAAAGATCAGAACACTTTGTCTTGCTTCCTTACAATTCACCGTTTGAAAATAGCTGGTCCCAGCCATTCGTCAGCGGCTGTCAAACGTGCGTACGCAACCGGGCCGCACGCCCGTGTGCAGGCCGCCAAAGAAAAATCCCTGGCAGCAGCCAAGGCGCGTCCCAGCATTAAGGTGTTGGATATCAACGAACAGCCGCTCACGCAAGACCAAGGCGCGCACAAGCGGCGTCGCAAACTGGTGGGAATATCGTTGAATCAACCGGAAGGCGTGTTTTCATGAGCTGCGGTGATTTGGTACAGATTGGTGTTCCGGTCAGCGGAAGCGCGGCACCCGGCGGGGATGGGAAAGTCGAAGAAGAAGCTGCGGGTGGAGGAGAAAAGGAGCGAGAAACGTCGCCGCATCCAACGGAAGAAGAAACTGCCACCTCCACACCTAACTCCTCGCCAAAGAAAAGCACTAGTTTTGGATCGCCGAATCCAGCTGAACAGAGTACGGTTGGATTTGTCCGTTTAATTCTGGCCTTAGACAGTCGAAAACATTAGATTTACTTGCTTTGTCTTAACCGGAAATGTGGTTTAAATGTGGTTTTCGTAACTTTTAGCACGGCAGCTATCTCCAGAGATTCCTGTGCCAGCTCTTGTACCGTCTACTGCGCCAGATGACACCACCGCTTCTCCTATATCCAGTGAATCCTCACCCAGCAAATTCACACCCCAGCCGGTATCGTCATCAACACCGCAGGTTATCCATCCTCAACCCGGCTCATTGATGGATTTGAGCAAATTAAAGATTACGGTGAGTATAAGATAGTTTTTTGCAATTATTTGAGTATTATTTGGCTGATTGAATGGTTGGGCTCACAGAAAGAAACCCAAAAAACGATAACGGAAATTTTCGTCAACGCCAATAAAGTTACTCGACCTGAAAAGATTTTAATAATCAACTTCGTTGCTGGAATGCGAGGTATAGTCATAGTCATGCTTGAATGTTTCTTGAATTAAATAAATAAATAGTAGGCTTAGGCAAATGTGTTTATTATCTAGCCAATCCCTGTCCGCATTTGGGCCCAGTGTTGACAGTACGTCTGAGTGAGAACATCGTTCCAGTTACCCTGCCAGATGGACGACAGATTGACGCTATCGTGGAGGAGTATTTCCATATGAACTTCAATACCGGCGAATGGAAGCGCTTGCGCAAACAGAAGCCCCTGACCGTTACTGGACAAGGCGCGGAATTCTATGGAAATGCGCAGACGCAGTCAGCTCCTATTCCGCCGGTGTCGACTCTCACGCCCACGCCTTCCATGAATCCCATTTTACTTCCGGGGACTAATCCTCACAATATGGGTTTCCCTCCCATGCCACACCCAGGGCAGGGAGGTCTTAGCCGGCCTTTTTAATCCGACGCCTTTTGTTGTGTGGTAAAAAAATTGAAATTGAGGAATGATAATTGATTGTACGTTTGTTCGTAAAAAAGAGTTCATGAATTGCTGTTCTTGATACTGCAAACTTTCGGTACGAGTGCGTACGATTTGCTGATTACGTCGTCAGAGTTTGTTGGCTGTCTGTTGAGCTACAGTACGCTTTCCCTATTTTGGCGGTATTTGATACAGTATTGTAGGATCTAAAGAGAGCATCAAGCACGGGAAGCGGTAAATAATAAATGTGAAATTGAGCACTTAGTTTAGAATTGCAGAACTCACTTGTTTTACGTGTTTAAACTAAGTAGCGTTTCTTGTTTTTTTATTTCAGCAATGGAATGTAAGTACATATTACATAATGTACCAATTTTGTCCCGTTTTACACTTAATTTGACCCGTACGCTGTCATATGTGGGAATTATTCAGCTGTTGTACGTCTGAACCTGATGCATGTACAGATATTGCACTCGCATAATATAATTAATAAAATCCTTAAGTTTATCTTTCCATCGGTAGTGTCATTATATTTCATATTTATATTACAGCAGGTAGATTTCATAACTTGCCTAAGTTGCAGTTTGTGTTACGAGTGACCTGCAACTGCAATAAATTAATAATAACCTCTTTCCCGGTAGACAGTTTCTTTGTACCGTGTTAAAAAGTTGAGAAACATAATGGCAGTGATGAAGTATTTTCGAAAAAGTCTGATGTTTCAGACGAAATCTGTCGGATTCTGTCACACAGAATTATAGAACTAATTTCAATTAGACATTAGTACTTAGTAGAAAGGATGCGCTACCACGCCCAACAAAAATAAAGCTGGATGTTTAATTAAGGCCGTGGTAAGTTGTGGTCATAAACATAAACATTTGAATTACAGTAGTGTACTTGTATAAAAACTGAATTATTGAAGCACTTCGTTCGGTCTTCGTTCCTGAAATACATAACGATAAAGTTTCGAGGAATTCTAGACGTGGTCGTAGCTATCACTGTATTTATTTTAAAATATGAGAAAATGATGTTTTGACATCTATAGCATAAGTTAAGCACTTATGATTTTAAGAAATAATCTACCTCTTCCACTATGTAAAAACGTATTCTGTAAGAATTAGCTAAATTTACTTTGCTACTAGAAGCTAAACTTACTTTGCTACTATTTATTACTTTGCTTTATTACTTTATTACTTCATTACTTTATTACTTTACTTTGCGAATTAGCTAAACTTACTTTGCTACTATTTACTTTGCTACTAGAATTAGCTAAATTTACTTTGCTACTTACTTTGCTACTACTACTTTGCTACTTTACTACTAGAAAAACAAGTAGAACTCTGTAATATAAACCGGTAGCTGTACATGTGTGGCCTGTGCGTATCTTTATTGACTTGGCGAAGTAAATAAGAATTTTTTCATAATAGCCACTATAAAATTAACAGGAATTCAGAAATTACATGTACATACGTTACGATGACTGCGACACTTCTGTTTGTTTCGGAATGAGAAGTACAATCTCGTTTATTTATGCTATATAGATATAATAATATGTAACACCGCATAGACAATAAACATTCCTTTATTCACATAACGGGTGATAGCATTCTTTATCTACCGCCTATCGTATTTTGTATACTAACAATAAGCTTCGCAAAAGTTGCAGTGCCTAACAGCTATGGGTAACAATTTTTGAAGTTGTTACACCAAGTTATTTATTTACAGCCGTGCAGGTACCCTACTTTTACTGCAGTTGGTAAAGGTTACTGATATCGGCGTGCTTTAGTGCAGACTGCAGAGCGACAGCCATATTCAGCGCGCACTGAGCTATGACGCTATCGGCCAATTCTGTTTATGTAACACTATCGCCTATCGGGCCATTCGTATTGGCTCGACTGAATCGAATGCATGCGAATTTGCGAATTCGAAAACAAGCCTTGATCCAGTTTTCAGAGTTTCATAACATTTTTCAAGCTGTCAAGCAGAAACCATTTAGTATGTTTCTTATTTGTTTTAACCGTTAGCTGAATCCTTCATAATGGAATTCGGATAATCCAGAATCCTTATCCATCCTGAATGAATGTTTAGAATAATTTTTTGGAGTATGATCAGAATTCTGAAATTCTGATCGGAGACGACAACATGATTGCGGATTTAGTGAGGAGCCAGTATTTTTAGAGCCCCGTGAATAGTTAAAGATTATCACCGTTAGAGTTAGATTGCCCGTTTATTATGGATGAGTCAGCAGCCGAAAGGAATCCCTCCGCGGCCAGCGCTGGGAATTCAGGAGGCGCTGAAAGTGTGTCAGTGGCACACTCATCATCCGCCACAACGCCTCCTCCCCAGTCAGACAGCGCCACGGACCCCCCACCCACCATGGCCGCGGCAATTGCTGTGGCAGACGCACCGTCAATCGTCCCTGATGCTGCCGTCTCAGCAGCAACGACGGCTGACGCCAGCACAACTGCTCCTACGGCTGCCAGCCACAGCGTCGCGGTCAACAGCGCACCGGAGTTCAAGGACACTGAGCGCGCTGCGCTGCCAGCTAGCAGCACGACCAGTCCACCACTCTCCTCCATACTCACCGACACCACAACGTTACAGGACCGCAACGTGTCCGCAGCGTCGCCCGTGGCCGCCGTGACGTCGTCCGCTGAGGAGAACGTCGCTTCTTCACCAGAAGAGTCTTCCCGCGATGTGATTTTGCCCAAGGTCTTGCCTTGCCCCACGACGTCTTCCCCCGCGACCCCTGCGTCGCCCTCATCCCTTGTCGATTCTTCCAGCACGGTGTTCCTCCGCCAGCCCCCGGCCTACAGCGCCATTGAGCATCTGCGCCCAGCACGCGTTAGTCAGCGCGCAAGTAGTGCCTTTTTCCGTTCCCAATTCCGCAGCGGAATCGCCTTTCGGCCGCTGCGTTTTGCGCCCCCCATGCGGGCTCCTCCCCACCGTGGCGGTGTGCCGGATACGCCACGCGCGCGGGATTTCCGTCTGGTGGTGCCGCGCAGTGCGGCCACCGAGTTCGTTAAGAACCACAGTGTCGCCGCGGACACTCTGGCCAAAATCTCCGAATTGGCGGAGATCACGCGCGCTTCCATCCCCATGCCGCCCCTGGAAGACGACCCGGACGGGCATGTCGCCGCCAGCAGCAGTAGGGATAACCCTCGATTGGGATTGCCAAAGGCTTCGGATGCATCGCAGCCAAATACTACCAACGGACGTGTGCTGTCTCAGTCTCGTAAGTAGACTAGTTGACGGGTTTATTGAATCAAAAGCTTGCATATACTGTAACTGATGATAGAATGTTGTGGGTTTGTGATTACAGTATTGTTTTCCGGATCTTTGTCTCTCTTATCGTTTTAACCAGTTTCCTCCGTTTTTAGGACCTTCTGAATCGAATTCTGTTCTTAGTTACCTATGCTATTACCGGTGCCGTTAGCTGTTTTGATTTTGTTTACCCGTGGCAGTCTTCATTTTTATTCATCTGAGGAAGATAAATTTTTAACTATTTTTTTAATGTTTAAATTTCAATTATCGTGCTGTACGCTTGCATCTCTTTTCGCGTGGGTGGCTATCACCACGAAGACATGTCATTAAATATAAAAACAATATGGAATTTTTCGGTTTAGTTGAACGCCATAACCTGATCACCTAAATAATTCCTACATGAAATCCCAATTTCTCATCCTTCCATTCATTGTTATTTTAGCCATCCCCCCTATGAGCACGGCTCCAGAAGAAAGGAGCATCCCGATGCCCATCACCAATCAGCGTGATCAGCAGTATTCCGCGACGGCGTCGCGAGCAGGCGCACATTTGGGAATCCAGGTGGAAGTGGTACACAGTATTTCTCCTGCCCCTCCTGTCTCCATGGGACTACTTCGTTCCCGTTTTCTGGCTATTAAAGAATCGAATTTAGGGTTTGCTAACTTCGCCGCGGCTGTTGCATTCCTCTCTCTGGAAGAAACTCCTTTAAATCCCTTGGAGATTGGTACGACAATTATTTGAAAATGATCTGAGCGCAAGGTTAAATTGAAATGTTTTTCTGTAGAGAGTTCAAAGGATATTCTGATTTCCATCTTCGGGCCAAAAATGACACTGTACCGCTGTGGAGGGTGTGATTCTACCTTCATATTTCGCAATATATTCGCCGATCATTTTTATCGAGGGATTGTACCGTACAGGCTTCGTTGTCAGCATTGTCGCGACACTTTGGTTTTCCACAACATCTGCCAGGTGAAAGATCACGTCAAGTCGCATGGTTTTAAAATCGAATCATGTCGTGGATTTATGCTGACCGTGGGAGAATATGGCGATGAGCAAGTGAAATCCGATAAGGATGCATCGAACGAGCCAATCGTCATAGTGGATGATAATAACAACGATGCGAAAGAACCAACCGTCGATGCTGGAAGGAATAACGAAGCATTGTTGCCACCACGCCCGGCTGCATCCGCTACTCAATTGAGCCGCATTTTAACACAATCCACGGATCCATTGCCGCGTAGTCGTAGCCCTTTGGACATCTTTCGAGATCGGTATCATAAAGTTGCGGATAGCGAAGCTCAGACATCACGGAATAGAGTCGCTGACGAAGGAGGCGGTAATGACGTTAACGCCGCGATGTCGGCCGCTGCCCGCGAGGCTCGAGAATCTCATGCCAATGTATTACATCAAGTACAGCTTGCGAAGGAGAAAGCAGCAGCCGCTCAGCAGAATCAGCGGAATGCTGTGAATTTACAAAGCGCCCGCGCGAATCCTCCGATGGGGCGGCATGGCCCTACCATCACTGTGGGCCAAGTCATGGAGCGGGAGTTTTTCGCCGGTCAGGGAAGCAACGTTTCGGCCGCCGCCAGGCCGTTGGGCGCTTGTGATTGTATATTTTGTAATGCAAGGTAAGGAATTATCGAAAACGCATGCACGCAAGAAGCGCAATGTGTCGGCTGTTGAATTTGTTTATAATTTTATCCGCGAATTGAACCAAAGTAATATGCGAAATTAGGTTAATTTTTATATTCTGTTTTTTTTACCGTTGAAGCATTGAAGTCATCTGCATGTCGAGTCTGTTTTCAGGTTTGACAGCCAAAGTGGTTTGACTCATCATTTTCAAAGATGCAAGGATGTGGTGCGAGCCGGGATGGAGTTTCGCTGTCAAGAGTGCCAGATTGTCTGCTGTAATCCCTGCAGTTTCCAAGCGCACAAGTTGATTCACCAAATTCGCAAAGCTGGCATTTTCCCCTCACGGATGTGTTGTCCCGAGTGTGGCCTGCGCATTAAACACATGGACGACATAAAAAGCCATGTGGAACGTCGCTGTGTCCACTGGTGCCGCATTCTGTGTTGCTCCTACAGCTGTGTGGTGCCGGGTTGTGGCTACCACGTGACCAGTGAAGAGGAGATGCTGCGGCATGTGGCAATTACGCACGGCATGTCGTATGGCCGTGGCATCTGTCCGGTCTGCAAAGTCCAGGCAGGCGTCAGCCCCAACGACGTATTCCGCCATTTGCGCTCGGTAGAAGTAGCATGCCGTCAACGTCTGCTCCAGCGGAAATCCCATTTCTTCGCCTATCGCTGTAATTACTGTGGCGAACGGGAGGCGCCGGTCTATGAAACCAAAGCCGTCATGCGCGATCACATTGTCGGCGTCCATCCGGAAGATGCAAATCCGACTGGACTAGTCAGTCTGCTCCAGTCGGAACCGGAATCAGCGCATCGTCAGGCCAGTTCCTCCTCGGTCGGGGCGGACTTGCGGCCAGTTGGGAAGAAAATTCGCATTGCCGGGGAAGAAGAGGAAGTGATCTCGTACCAGCCACCATCATCGTCCACCCTGCGCGAAACCAGTTCAGTGCGCTGTGTGTTCTGTGGTGACAAAGGTATTGTGGTGCCCAACCTAAAGACTGTGGATGACCTGGAAGCCCATCTGTACGCCAGTCATCTTTCCCCCACATATCCGACGACGTGTTTCCACTGTGCACGGCCTCTGAATTCTTCGCAGGAGATGTTGGCGCATTTACTGCAACAGGTGCTGCGGCTGCCTTTAACCAGATGCGATGAGTGTGATTTCGTTACGCTTACGGCCGGTGGGATAATTCAGCATAAGATTGCTTACCACCAACAGCGACAGGTGCGGCCGTTTCTTTGCGATATCTGTCGGAAGGTGGGTTTCGTTAATCAGATGCTGCTGGTGGACCATAAGAACAAAATGCACTCGCAAAATGGGGTCAGCGGATTCAACCACAGGTACGTATTGAAATTATAAATTCCTACATGTTGCGCTTGTAGTCATTCCTTCATTATCGCAAATGCGGAAAAATATGAAATTTCTTGGGATACCTGTGTGCGCAATGTGACGTCCCGATGATGAAGATTTAAAAATAGCTAATTAAATGTTGGCTGAAGAAATCTCATGTCATTTTATTATATTTTTTCGCTGCAATTTGCTTTGCTTTTTTGAATAACTTGGATTTGTTTTGGTGATAGAGCCGATAGCGATCCCTCATTATACCGCAGCTCTTCGTCAATGGAGACAACATCCCGTTTGATGTCCTCGAATGCCCGCATGTTGTCCTCAGCAAAACGAGCTATCGATCACGACGATCTCCAACAACAGCGGAAACTACCCGCGCGACCACCGGTATTAACATGCCGCTTCTGTAATTTCCAGAGTAATTCAGAGTCTACCTTGCGCCAGCACATGAGCCGTCATGAGGGGAGCTTGAATGGTTCTGAACGGGAACGGGAGCCGCATCTGCCGCGTTCCCCGCGCTATATTTGCAAAGTGTGCGAAGCGGTGCAGATTCGCTTCACCAACGACAATGCGGATGTATTCTATGATCACATTCGCCGGGAGCATCCCGCTCGCGATTCCGCGTTCCAGTGCTCGGAGTGTGCGCTGCAGTTGTTGAGTCTGCCGGCACTGCAGAAGCATCTGCGCGCGGTGCACGAAATGAGCGATCCACTGGGTTTTCTGCGGCAGTCTTCCTTCTACGCTGCATCCAAGATGGTGCAGGTGGGCATGATGACGGCCAGCGCTAACAGTGCGGCGGCGTCCATGTATCAAGCAGCGGGGACGTCGATGAACAACGATAATATAAATCATTCCAATGTGAGGAATACATTGAAGATGCGATTGAATCATTCCGGTAATCGAGATCCCTCGTATGGGCCGTCAAACGCTCAGTAATGTGGAATATTTACAAAGATGCACGACAATGGAATGCGGGGGCAATAGGTTCGATGAGGGATGGTTGTTGTCTGTTTATTGGCATAAGCCACGTTACTAACCGAAGATACGGCGTCATTTGTATTGCTTTTACTGATAAATATGCTGATTAATGTTTGTATTTATAGCCGTTCGAGAAGGCACGTTTGATCTTAAGTTTTGTTGGTTGAAACTTTTAGCTTTGAATGACAGTTGTTGACGAAATGGCATAAGCCGGAATAATGTAATAGTAGACGTAAATAATTAAGCAAGCTTTTTGGCGAACTATAATTCTTTTATGATGGTTGTAGCATCAACCGGGAAAATAAATCCCCAAATAAGGAACTTTTCTGTGCAATTTGGTAGAGTCATTCGCTGGAGAAACACGGAGTTTATCATAGATACTACGTTCGCGGACCCGGGCGGTCTCAGAACTTGCCCGAAGATGAAAATTAAAATACTGCCGTTTGTCGAAGACATTTCAACATATAAATATATAATATTATAATAGATACAGCATGCGTGTTACTTACTAATTATAGAACAACAAAAAAGCAAGCCTATAGCCTAGCATTAATTTATACTGGTACATAACTCACTTCGTTCAAGGAAGTCGAAAATTGTAAGTACGGTAGCGCGCATGTGTTTTATTATTAACGAGGGCTGGTGGAGACAGGACAGTTGCTACGAACAGTTTTGTTAAGAAATGTTGAAACACAATAAAACGAAATGGTCATTACCAAGTGTTCACTGTGTTGTAACTGATGCTTACGATTAGTAATGTATAAGATGCAATACCTGAATCAGGTTTTTAAGGGTAAATGCCTAAATGGAAGGATATAACGAAAAGTTTATCTGCGCTTCGCATTAAAATACCACAATCTTCAGATCACCATGTAAACAGTTTTTATAAGAATATTGTGGTGAATTGTAAGGAACCTGGCATTTTGCCCAGCACCGCAAGTACGGGTTTGCCATTTAACAAGGCTTGTTTATACACCATTGCAACTCTTTAAAAGACGTAATAATTCTTTAAAAGACGTCAGGTAATAAGTACCATTACAATAAGGTACGTCAGGTAATAAGTACCATCTAGAAGCGTACATCGAATTAGAAACAAATCAACAGTTATTTATTAAGTTTTAAAGTGTCTCGCTCAAATGAAGCGTGGTGTGTGCTTAAGTGCCGACAGCGATGTATAGCATTGACAGAAACGTACAGATAAAGCGCTAATTCTGTACAGTCACGTCATGCACAATTCCCTAATCTGAGGACCTTTGTCTGCTCCATGTCGATCATTAATTAAGGCACACGTGAGTGCTGCGGCGTGCTCGAGATCTGCAGCAATCTGAACTGAACAACAGCGAGAGGTACAATAGTACTTAATATTCCAGTCAATTAAAAGTAAACATGACTGAACACACGGTCTGCAACAAGGATAAGGTTGCAACACAACTGCGTTCTTGACTACAAAGCAGATTGCCGGTTGTCATGAATTTCATTTCGAAAATTACAATAATATGCTCGTAATCCTCGTTACCGCAGTTGTTTTTCTGAGCTGCCTGATAAAACTTAACACAGTTTCACACCAAATCAGTTTTACTTAGCAATGCATTCACTTTTCAGTACTGTAATGCATGTTTCGCTTAAAAATATTAAAGTTATCAGGTTTTTCTTGATACACATGTTATGGTAGGTTTCTCTAGTCCATTACCATCTATATATGTTTTAGGTTGTACTTTTAGTTTTGCCATGTATTTGACCATACGTTCACGTGATCTTGAGATACTGAAGATATAGGACTGATCTACTTTTCTAGATCTGGTTCGCCAATGCTAGAATAACCCCGCTTCTTAAATGATCTTCGATAGTCTTTCGTTTTAAATCTAGTTGCACATGCACAAAACAAAGGTCATCACATAATACAAAGCATTTACCGCTCTCAAAACATTTTCCCTTATTCAGTTTCATAAGATAAAAAAACTGCATACGTATATTTTTACTGATTTAAAAATAAGCTGATTCATACTATTAGATAAAACTAACCGACAATAGGCATACTTCTTTGTAAATACATATACACTGAAGTATACTTCTATATTTCTTTGTAAATTCCAGACATGAAATTGCACTGTACAGATATATCGTTAGGAATATGCATCCAGACTACACGCGGTCGAAAATCCAGTCATGACATTGGCGGTACTAAGTGAATAATAATTACCAGGAAGCGCGTCTCTCATGGGTGTAGTTGCAAAAAAGGTGTGCAAGCTGCAGCATGCAACAACAGAACCGGTTAATCTTGGGAAGAAACGATCGCCATAGACCTATAAGTATGCCATTGCCAGCATCTGTTCTGCTTTATTTTCGTATATATACACACTGCAACAAGAAATATCAGAAATTTATTTCTGGTACACCAAAGTGCTGTTTTCATATGAAGAAAAAATAATAGTAAAGTGATACTTGATAAGTAATTCATTAGCCTTTGCAGGAGCGTTGTACTGCGAAGGCCGTAAAGCCGAGCACAATTTTCATATTTTTAGGTTACGGATAAATATTAACTATCATAGTAATGCTTTTAGAATCCTACCGATGCGTTTGATTAATGATCATTGACCTTTAAGCACTTAGTCTCTCACCTGCACAAATGTGAGGTAAAATTTATGTTTGTTCCAAACGCGTACGATTATGAACACAGAAAAACCACAACATTGCTGTACATTTTTTCGACCAGCGAATTCAGCTGAGTCTGAGCTGACACATTTCATCTGATGGACGAGTGTTGACAAGGCCTTATATACGGATATCTTCCCCTAACATATCCGGGTGTGTTAATGGTCTGCCCAGGTCATGTTCGGGCGTCCCAGCGTTGTATGGAAATCATGATTCCCTCTCTTTCTCCTTCTCGATGTGACAACACGTCATCATTTGAGCGGAAATGAGCAGCATAGGTTTCCCACCGCCATGTCCATTATATTATCATTGTATCGTCTTCCCCCGTCGATTTGCACAAGTTTTTTCTTCGTTGATTACAAATGGGCGCTACATAGATACATATATAACTATGCACCATGCTCGCGCGGCGCCCGGATAATAGAGCGCTGTAACGCACGTCAGTCAGTCCTTTTGGCAAAAGCACCTGTACGTGGATGCCGCGAAATCATTTCACTCGATCCTGAACAATATGTTAACTTATACGCGTCCACACAAAGCTAATACGGCCGCACTATTCAGGTGTGTAGTATGCACCCATCGATTCCACAAACGTAAAACTGACTGGGAGCCTTTACGCATATCCGACGTAAATGTACGTAATGCGCCAAGCGTTGTCGTTAACATAGCGACATAATGTTCTCCCTTAATGCAACTTTACGCTAATCACCCACTCCGCGTTGGTCAGAAGCCCAAGAATCCTCGCTAATCCTGTCTTTTTGTTGTAATATTACGTTGTCCACACTTTTAGGACGGTAAAAATGGACCATGAACGAATTTGATGCGCCGGTCAATGGAAGTCGCGGTACGAACTGGTCACTGAAGGGGGCTGTTGGCGACACTTCCGGTTACGGCATTGCCTTACTGGCTGCATCGCAGAATATCTGGGTCTCCATTGTCACCTGGTTCACGGTGTTTTCCTTCTGCGCGTCGCTCTCGCTTAATCTTCTTATCACCATCGTCTTCCTCAAACATCCCCACCTGCGCACAGCATTCAATGTCTACATTTTCAATCTGTGCGCCACCGAGGTGATGATCGCCGTAACGGCCATGCCCATGAATTTCGTGTCGAATATCTACGGCTATTGGCCAGGCGGTGCATTTCTCTGTGGTCTACTGCAGTACAGTAATTTGGTCATCGGTGCCGCATTGCGTTACGGACATGTATTGATAAGTTGCAACCGGTTGTGGGCGGTGGGCAGTCCGATAATTTACAGGCAGCGCCATACCTTCCGGGTGGCCACTGGCGTGGTTTTGACCGTGTGGATGCTTCTGCATTTCGTGCAGCTGCCGGTGGTGGTGACCGGACGCATGACGGTTCGAGCGGCGGATCCCCGGTGTATACTGAATACAGATTCGCAATACGAGATGTCATTGGCGGCTCACATTCTGGGCTTTCTATTCCCGGAAGCTTTTGTTGTCCTGACGTATCCCTATATCCTCTATAAAATTCACAGACGATATTTGCTCAAACGAAATCGGATTAGTAACTTCTTACTAAACGGTAAGTGGCGGTTAATAACTTCCAATATCGAAACGTTAACGAGAGCAGCTATGGACTGTGCTAAGTAATTATAAGATTTAACAGGTGTTAGGCAGTTTCTGTTAAGCTGAAATTTCCGTTCCTAACACAAATTAGGTCACATTACTAGTTATGTCCGCGCTCTTACCCGAGTAAAACAACTTGCAAAAAAAACGTTAACTTGACGTTAGGAAACGGCTAAAATTGACACACATCCGTTCACCTAGCGGTACTTAAATGTTAAACTAACGTTTTTCCTACAAGCTGTTTTACTCGGGTTATACGTCGGAATTAGGTTTTTATTAAATGACTGCTGTACGTCTAACCATAAGTGATGGTCTAACTGAATTCGGCAATCCATCATAAACCGGCATCATCCCATTCTTCCCGAAGGCCGTAGACAACAAAAATTTAAAACGGCGGTGTCACGTTACACCGCCACTTAACAGGTTACTGTACATCGGCTTATCGTTAATTAATCACACGGCAGATGCATAATCGCATATAAATACGAGTATGTAGCAAAGTATGCTGGGCAGCTGGAGATAGGTAACGCAGTTCGTCATTATCATTATTCTTCACTATTTCTGAAAGTATATTTATATAAACAATTTTGTAGTACTTTGATATAAACGGTATTATTAGTAAATACTCTGATCTGCTCTATTAAGGAAATGCGGCAGCAAATCTGGTGCCGACATTAAACGAGGAAATTATACGTCGATAATTTCGGGCTATCAGGCAACAATTTGTTTATCGCTGATTATGAAAATGTATCTTCATGTTCAAAGTTCCGGAGTGATAAATATACTGCCAACGTTTTTTATTATAATTATCCTGTACTGTAAACTATATATCTATATACGTCCGGTACAGTAAACACAGTACAATACATATTACCCCGCATGCGAACATTATTATATGTATGATAAGTAGTTTACGTACATACGTGATCTTCAAATACTCCCAAAATATTTTAACTAAAACGGATCCCACGTGGATCTCAATGGACTATCGGAAGAGTATGAATTATGTCAAAAGATCGCGTTGGGTGTTTTTCTTCGACAGATTTTTTACTGCTCCCGTTCGGGCCACTGTATATTCTCATGCAACATACCTATTTTTATGCAAATAAAGAGGTGAAACCGTGAATGTCAATGGTACAACGATTCGCAGTTTGTTTCCTCGCGTAGTTAATTATGCATGCAGCGAAACAAATTATACGACGATCACAAAATGCAAGAAATGTCCAGTGTCGATAAGCAAAATACTGCTTCCGCTCTCTTTAATAATATGTTTCACAAACTACTCTAATTAGGCGGACAGGAAATCCCAACATGATCATTCAGCATTCTGTTTGCTGCCAGCTGCCGACCGGGAAGGTTATAACAGTATTATTGCAATTTTTTGCTTTCTGAAAATTATTCTACACGAACCCTGAGCTTTATCGATATTCGTTTGAAAACTCAAGACGTTCTACTTTTCAGCGTAACAGATATTGTAATACGACTGCAACCATCCCATCCTCTCACTTTTAACCAAGATGACGTATTGTGAGAGATATTTTAAAAACTTATTACATCGAATTATTATACGAGTATTTACTTGTAGTTAACTTCAGCCACATGGATATTCAACGCGGGCGCCTAATGCAACATACCCTGAATCTGTTTGTAATTCTGTAAACCCGTATTGTATTTTAGCAGGCTTCACATATTACTTATTCGCTACTCTAGGAAGCAAATTATTAAGTAACCTTATGTAACATGTACTCAGTACTTACTTACGAGTTAGTACGTAAATGTGCTCCTACCTGTCATATTAAGAAATTACGGACTAACATATTCAGTATCATCAATTGTAAGTAAAAATAGGGCGACTTCCGCCCGCATTTGCACCGGACGTCTTTATATATTACTGTTGATTCACTATTACTTACATATGCCCTTATATTCGTGCTCCATCTGTAGAAGACTTTTATCGTTTCCAGTTTGTGCCCTTTCTCCGAGAGCTGCCAACGCTCCATGATAGGCAGTTCATAAAGTTCAGTGTTCTCGAATCGACTGTATCGGCAATCATAACCGTCGTTATGAATGACTGCAGTTTTGTCTGCATTCCATTTTGTTATCGATCTACGACTAAAAGGTTCTCCGTAGTGTGACTTAAGAATAATAATAAGAGTAGTATGTAGCAAGACCTATTTTGGCTATACTTAGGTCTTAGGATATCCGATATTAATCATATTAATCATATGCTAACATCATTAGCCTTTTTGTTTAACGCCCTTACAAAAATTTCTATATCAGAGCAAGTAATTACCCGTATAAGGGTTATTTCACTATTATTTCACTATGTTTGTGTATTCGCACCGTCACATAGGTGTCGGAATTTTGGCGGGAGGAAACCGAAAAATTAGTTCCGGCGGCAGTGAACATCATTCATCGCAGGCCAACGAAACCAACACGCCTGTTGCCGGTAATCGCGACATGAACGCGAGATCCCCGAGCAACGGTCGTTCTGCCAGTTCCCAGTTCGGTCGCAGTCCCGATGTGTCCAGTCCCAGCTACTTCCCGCATTTTGCCGCACGAGCCCCGGGTAACCATGACCGTGTCATGCTGTACCTGGTCGTAGCCATCATCATTTGCTGGACACCCAATCACGTCTTTTTCACCATGCAGAGACTGTATAATTACTGGAATCCCATTTATTTTGGGGTTCAGTACTGTATTTTTTATGCCAACTCCTGGATTAATCCCATCATTTGCTATCTCACGCTACACAAAATCAGGATAGCGATCAATGGTCTCTTCAAACGTAAGAAAGCCGCTTAAACTGACGTCTCAAATGGAACTTACAGGGAGAGGGCATTAAACGCAGTTCCAACAACTGTGAAAATCGTCCAGAAACAATTAACTTCCATTTTCTGTAACAAGAGTAAATCCATAAAGGCATTACTGTCGATATCGATGACGATACTCTGCATTGCATGTGCATGACAAGACACTATAGCTAATGGGAACTGGGAAGTATTCTGTATGTGCATGAAATAAACTGATTCGGCCGTGTCAAACCGGTTTATTCCACAAATCACCACAAATCTATTAAACACAATCACGATTTTAAAAGAACGGCAATGTCTTCATTAATGAGCAGTAAAAACGAACCAAACGTATTTCTATGATATTTTACCGGGAGTCAAACAAAAATCGAAAATCAATCGGAAAGCATAAATATGTCCATCAACTGACATTTTTTATAAACATTTCACCGTAGATAAGCAAAAAAACCCAATCAGCACATGATCGAATAATCGAAAGCCCAAGGATTTATGATGGCAGAACAATCTTCTTATTGTTAAAGATTTCGATCCAGTAACCATCGGGATCTTGGATGAAAGCCAAATTCTTCATCTTCCCTACAACGAAGCATGGCTATAAACAAATCCAATCGTCAAGCCCCGGTTAAGGCACTCGGAGCATTTTGCGAAAAGGTGAAGTTCGTATTTCCTTAATTATCGATTCTGTCATGGAATCTCATGGTACTATCCTTTTCAGATAAAACAGGACGAAAAATTCCAAAAGAAAGGAAAGCGCAACACAAGCGTACAGCCGAACGCTGTGTATCGGAGACTGTGTACGATTTATGTAAGATGGAGTAAAATGCAACACACTGCCAACATTAATCCACAAACAATTCTAATACAGACGACTCATGGCTGTCAAGAAACAAACCGGGATGAACGATGAAGTCAGCAATTAATGCACGGTTACTCAAATTGCTCGCTCACCGTCGTTTGGCTTTTTCACAAACTTGACGCCCAGCTTCTCAAAGCGTCCGCAAGCAGCTTCCACATCGGGTACCATTATGCCAATATGTCCTGGAAATCCCACATAGAACTTCAATTTGATCAGAAAACAGTATTAATTAATTAAATACCAATAATACAATAAATATCAATAATACAATAGATACCAATAATATATCATTTATTACTTCATTAATTTTTACCTATTAGCAAAATTATCAATTATTTATTATATCAACGCAAATTCCTCACCAAATCCACGCGGATCTTGATTGCCATTATGGTATTTAAATTCGGGATCGTTCTCCGTTCCCCAGTTACTAGAAAAGAATGTTTCGTAACTCTCGAAAAAATGATACTGCAATATTCCAACAATAAAATATGAACACAAACGCAGTAAGCATCGCCGCCATGTGCGAAGTGAGATTCAGAAGAGCAATTGCCGAAATTCCAACCACCAATCACGCAGATCACTTGAACATTGTACACTTACTGAGTCAGTTCGATGGTTGCTTTACGCGAAAGCGCCCACTCCGCACGGGCTGTTTCGTCTTTGGGAATATCAGCGTCATCCTCGTAGCCCATGAAATAGACGGTGAATTTCATGGAATCGATGCTCATTGCTTTGAGAAGCCTGTGCAATAAAGTGCCAAAAACCATGTCAATTGATTCATAACACTTTAAATTAACAGGCACCGTAACGTTAAGAAGGTTTGTCGAATAACGTCAAAGCACCCGCATACACAGACACACCTCATTCCCAGAATTCGGGAATAAAAATCCAGTGAAACCTTCGGGTCTTTAATGCGGTACATGGTTTGCTGCATAATAAAGTCCTGCAAAGCGGTTGCGGATAAGAGACCGGGGAGAATTTGAAAATGCGAAATCAACTCGACAATGTACTCACGTTGGTAGCCGGATCGCGGGAAGCAACAGCTTTTTTAACCTCTTCCTCCGAAAGAGCCATTTTCCTCTGAGTACTCGCCCCAAAACTTTTGTATAATATCAACACAATTAAATCATAAAACAGCTGAGTACTCTGTATTATCAAAATAATAAACTGCAGTTTACTGTCAAAACGTGCAAAATCTGATCAAGTGTCAACTGCATACACCAACAGCAGAGCAGAACAGCGAAAATATATTATGCTTGCTGAGTGGACGACAACCCCCGTGGACGGCAATTATATGGACGGAAGGGCGGTGCCATATTATCGCTGTCCTGAACAGCTGATTTTGGTTCTGATTTTTTAGATTTTTACTTTTTAGCTACATAGTACGTATCACAACCGGTGTATTACTAATTATTTCAGCAAAATGAAAACATCGCTAAAAGTGGCCACAGTTATTATGTAATTTATGCTGATTTTAATTGTAAGATTCTCTTTACTTCTGTTTTCCTGCTTGTTATTAAGTAAGAGTTTCTCGCCGGCCCCGTGTGACCGCCCACCAGAGCTGCAACCGCGGAAACGCAGTTCTCCAGGCGCAGGCCGACTTTTTATTTTTAGATTCCTCTTACAAGTTAGTCGGTTTGTGACACACCCACGAGGGAAGCTTGTAATCGTTCTGAACGTGCTACACTGTAGGAGCAATCCTGGGAAGCATGAATCATGGAAAAAACTTAGGCAGCTGCGTCAAGTTTGTACATGCGATGCAGCGGAAAGTGATGCCCAGAGCCGAGGAAAACCGCACGGTGGTTACCGTCGGAAACTTCCAAACTAACACGGATCGGCGAGATATATAAAGCTGAGCTTATGCAGAAGATTTTCACAAGTTTCTCGAGCCCTGAAACAGTCCTAAATTGAACGATTGCACGCTCTGACTAGTGAACGCTTAAAACTTAGAAGCGTTGAAGGAGTCATTTTGATTAAATTCCGTTGACCATAAAAGTACCGGTGAGTTGTGACTTTATGCTAATTCGCAAAATCATATATATGGCAGTAATTTTTATATTTACCAGTTTATATAATATACAAATTAGATTTAACAGTTTAAGGAGGTTGTGGCCAAACATGTTGGTGAGAGTTTGTTTTAGCGGATTTGTGGAGAAGGTCCTTTTCTAGCAATGTTTTTTTTGTCTACAGCGTTTTCAAAATGGACAAGAAGGGAGTTGAACAAGGAGTGGAAGGCCCTGTAACCAACCAGAAGGCGAATCTCGGCCACAACAATCCTGCTGGTGACCTTAAGGACAACAGTGGCGGTGGCCTGGAAGCCCACCAAAGGCAGGACGGCAAGACGGGCGAAGACAAAAAACTCGATGAGAAGAAGTAATCCAGACCAAACTGCGTGATGAATGTTTGTGAAACATCTTAATTGATTCTGCTGATTTACATTCTGTATTACGGTGACTTTTAACAGTAACACAGTCTGATCATGATGCATCGCCCGGCAGCATTAAGTCGACTTAAGCTTATATATGCTGTTATTACCTAACTGTAAATATTTTGTTTCTAATATTCGCTGTTTTATATTATGCCGTACGTACGACTCTGGGTTTCAAGACCCAATGAGCACCAGAACAAAAACAACGCAATAAATGAAAGTACAGAAGTGTAGTCTCTGTCTGCTTGTATGTACTGTAGTACTGTATTAGTTATGTTTGCTAATCGACCGGAGCGCAGCGAAGGTCCTCTAATTCAGCGAAAACGAAAAAGTGTCTGTCTGTCCATGTGTCTGTTTGTCCCAAAAGAGCCCCGATGACGTCATTACTGACCGTTCTCTATGACGTCAGCCACCAGTTAAATGATAGTGATGCGGTGCCACGCTTAAACATGCCTTGTAGAAAGCTGTATGTCTATCCATCTGCCTGTCTGTCCCGCAAATGGGAGGCAACTTCGTTATTTCGCAATCTCTTCCTTTTCCCGCTACTACCTTATTAGGTCATTACTTCCTTGTCCCGTAACTTTCTTATTTCGTGAGACGTCAGAATTCCCTTTTAAATCATTGATTACTCCAAAGTCCATCCCATACATGACGCGCAGATAGATTAAATCTACAAACAGATTCGCCACAATGCTGGTGACGCGTTGAGAAAATTGCCTTCGAAAAGCGAAAAGGAGAGTTAACAAATATAAACGAGAAAGGTCATGCGGGCAGGAAATAAGCAGGCTGTGAACAATGATGTGAAAAATCTTGCCGGCCACTGACGGGTGATTAAAGTAGCACTATGCAACTTGTGCAAACATTTATACTGTTCCGTCAGTTTTAATAATTACCTTTACAAATTTCGAGTTTTCCACCCAGAAACATGGCTCCATGGCACTTAGGTTACCTGATATTTGGGTTACAAAAGAAAACTTAGAAGCCTAATCAGCCCAGATAGCTCGAACCCCACCCCTTTTCTTCATAAAGACTGTCATGACCTATTACGTACGTAAGTACTCGTACTGTTTTTTTACCGGTGAATTTTTTTTAAGGCTGCTGTTGGAACAGTGCATGACAAAAATATTTCAAAATCGGCCGGTCAGTTCGCTGTCGCGCATTTTCATCTTATTTTTGTCATGCATCGTAATTTTTCAACTACGCGATAAAATTTCAGATTTCTATGCTAACGTAACCTTAAACATTTGAAGCCCTCTTTCCTGAATAAAATTTTTTCACGGGAAGTAAAAAAAATAGCACGTTCCAGGGAATCTTAAACCTCAGAGGTCGGCAAATCCACCAAGGGAGGCCAAATCGCTGCTTTCGTAGCTTGGCCAAATACTACATTTGAACAATACAATTTTGACCTTAGAGTCGTTTCATACGTTTTGCTATCGTTTTCGTTCTCTGCCTAAGAAATCACATGGGAAGACGGGAAATATGAAATCAACCAAGTGATTACAGGAAGAAAACCTCAATCAACCTGACGAATCATAACTCAGTAAACTCAAATCTCAATAAACTTGACGGCTTGGGCTCGGACTAACTGTAATCAAGTTTTAAAGAAATGAAATGTGAAGACAAGGACTTGAAAGCCGCTTTCGAGCTGCGATAACAAAAACTTCGTATATTGCCATTTTCAAACTTCCCTCATCATTTCGTCGTTTTGCTTTCGGCAACATTTCCGTTTTCCCTTCTACGGGAATGAAGTCGGAACAAACAACGCTTAACCAAATCAAGGAAGGAAATCATTCAGCCGCCTGAAACATTTTTCTGAATATTGTATACAAGTATGCCTCGTTAAAGTTAAACTTATACATTGCAACAGCTTGTCAAGTCAAGTACGCATCACAAACCAGAGATTAACCACATCCAATACTTAACGCCGCGCTCCGGTCTACCAATGCACGCAAAAAGTGCATTTTCCTAGTTAATATAGTTCCATACAACATTTCAGTGCAGTAATTACCAGTAATTACCGACCCTACAAATTTAACAGGGTGCGGTACTTACGCGTACACTGGTATTTTTTAAAAAATTATAATGATTAATTAACTATTTCGTTCATAGAACTACGGATGTATCATGTATGGTACGCTCTATAGTGCTCTACCGAACCTGAAGAAGTACGGCTGATGGTAAGAGGTGAGAACGCGATATATAGAAAGGTAATGCCGTAATGGTAAATTGGTAATGGTATTAAAGAAATTAAAGAAGAAGCAAGAAAAACGTTAATTCTAATAAATGATAATAAAATCGCTATCTGCACATCATACTAGGTACTGTTTATCTATACTTCCACTTGCCACATGAAGTATGGAAAAATTACACATCAGATTCGGACGCCAGTTCATCCACCGTTCACCGTTTTACATAAAGTATGATTTTTTAATCACCGTGCTGCACTCACTGTTATGCTTGGACCAGCTTGGTGTTGGTAAATTTGTTTGTTTTTTGAACTTATGCTTACTGTAAAAAGCATGAGGTATACTTATGAGGTATACTTTAGCATGAGGTATACTTTTGGAGTATACCGCATTACTTTTGTAGTTGTAAACTTGTAGTTGTCACTTCTGCTCTTCGTGGTGTTACAGATATATGTAGCTTTTTTTTGTAAAAACATCGATTTCATTTGAATTGGACATTTTGTAGTTTGTGTTTAAATCCGTGATACCAGGCTGATGAGATTTATGGTTAGACTGCAGTAATATCTGTAGTTTTAAATCGTTCTGCTGCTGTTCCTACAGTTCCATTCTAAGCGAATCAACAGTCATCTCGCTGTTTTGATCTTCCCGCTTCCGCTTTCGGCTAACAGTTCTGATTTCTACTCAGCAAGAACCCCATAGCCTCCAATAATCAATTATAAATTACATTCACCTCCGTATCTCATATATTCTGGCAATTCCGGAAAATGCATTTAGGAAGTGTGCTGATGCGTCCCATGGTGGAGACGGGATACGCGCGACGCATCGCCAAGCTGGTGCGCATCATCAACCTCAAGCCCGTTGATGAACTGCACTTCCAGTTTGATCCCTTCTTCGACGGTAAGGTGGAGTCGATTCGGGAAGCGTTAAGACAGGTATCAGCGGAGAAGATCCAGCGCAGTAATCCCCGCATTGACATCAAGACGACCATCGTTGACGACCGCAGTCAACCCTTCATGCGCGCCAAGTTCGCCGATGGAGGCATCTACAAAATCAAAACCGCCAATCTGACGGGCGTGCAGATCCTCGAGCAGCTGGATCGGCTCATACTCCAACGGGAACCGCGGACATGGGAGCAGACGAGGTTGCCGAGAAGCAGGGGTAAATAATGCTGCGCACAGTGTACAGCTTTGTTCGGTGCCTCTCGTTAATACAGTTGTGAGCTGTCAACTTTGTGTCATCTTTGTAATCGAATTTTGTTGACCTGCTGTTGTACGAGTTGCTTCTCATCGCGAAAAACAAAGCTGGATGGGCCTTTCCAGTTTGTGCAAGTTGTTTTCAGTTCGAAAAAGCCGGCGAGCTCGAATTTTCAAAATGTTTACCTTTTGAGGTAGTCAAGACTTCTCTCAAATTGCAAGAAATTATCACTTTCTTGAAGTCTTTGTAAGCGAGTTTTGTTAATCGCTACTTATTGTATGAGTTCCTTCTCACTGCGAAAACAAAATTAGATGGGCTTCGCTACGCCAGGCAAGGCATAAGTACTTATCCGTAGCAGAACATTAATCGGGAAATAAACTTCCAACAAAAACTGTTAATAATAATTCTGAACCGGACAAAAGGAGTATGAACGAAAACACAAAAAGGGAAAACACTGAAACATCTTCTATCTAGTATCTACCCAATCTACTTAGAAAAGAAAAACAACAAATCCCCAAAAACTACCACCAACCGCCAAAAACCCAACGACAAAAAGCAACATCATCAGCAGCAGCACTGGGCAAAAAAGAAACGAAATAACTCCGAAAATCAACACTTCAGTCCGCACAGATTCTAGCCACATTATGATAAAGTAAACGACCAGCGAATTTAAAACTAGAATCTTTTCTTTCGTGTCCAGCAAATCCAGATGAACATGTAAATATGCACGTGAGAAGGCAATTATCGGTCAAAACTGTCCCAGAACGACGCTTCAGGCCATACTTTTTGCAGCAGGTCAAACCACTGAAACAGCCACATATTTTAGAATATATCCGGACACGCTGACCAATCCCGCTTGGCCTTGGCATCCCAGTAGCGTCCATTGGTGGCCCAGATGGGATTGCCCGTCAGCGGATCTTTCTTCCGCGTAAACCACACCGGTTCCGAGTACGGCTTTTTGCCCACTAATTCTGCATAAAATAAACTTCACTATAACAATCACCTGACTATACCCCAAGCATCGAACCTTCTGGAAGAGGACTATCCGACGCTGACTCCTTTAACCGTCGCACAGCCCGCTGCTTCTCCTCGAGACGCGTTTTGACCTTGTTGGCTTCATCCCAGCTGCCCACTTCCATCAGGCGCTGATCGGGACGATTCCGGCTGTCCGTAGGAGCCACATCATCATCCGGCTCGTTTAGTTCAATGGCAAATTTTCCAAAATTGTACATTTTATCACTATTTGGCCTACAATGACAAGCATGATCGTACCATGTATACCAACGTCTATGACGAACCTTCTGGTGATTCTCTCGATCTCCCAAGTCACCAAACTACAGAAGTCGATAACATAACCAAAATGCTTACAAAAGCTGGTTTTTCTTCCAAAGATTCATCGGGGGATCCGTCTCAATCACCCCTTGATCTTTAGGACTGCTCTGTTCTCCGATGACCTTAGCAACGGCAATGTGATCGTCCCATGTCCCATTGACCACGAACTTCACTTTCCCCACAGAGTCCGTCACAGCGCCCGTGACCTGTAAAAACCAAAGTGGCGAATTACTGCGATAAACATTCACGTCTAATTTTTGTGAAGAAATAAGAAACCATTAAATGGGGAAAAAGCAGTCGGAAACCACACCGCGGCAGAAGGCTATCTCGTATAACACATTCCTGCGCACGGCAGTCCCAGGGTAGCACTCCTACACTTTATTCTAAATGTTACCTTGCGTGGTATGTCACGGGAAAAATAGCTATAGGCTGAGTATTTCAGCATGCAAATATCGCCCGTCTTGTGATTTTTGATTTCCATGTCTCCCGCCTGATCAATCCATAATTTGCCCACGATGCTATATCAAACAGGCAAAACGTATTAACATGAGTTACGTGATACGAGTTTTCGCGTAATCCACTTAAAACGATACAATACTTCTTATTTATTATTTCTAATGAGCAGAGCAGAAAGCCCCTCCTTACATGTTATTCACAGTTGTCGTCACCTTCCGCCATGTGTAATGATTATCCGACTTCTGCAATTGTACTACAACGTAGGGACTCCATTGTTTACACCGTTTTCAACCATCCTTACCCGAAAGACTAGATGCGTAATACCAAGAGGTACCACCTGCAGATACTTCCCACGGAATTTGGTCGATGCTGTGAACTCCTGCCAGCAGACCCAGTCGCGGGACTCCACATGCTGTGCCACCATCGGCGGATGATGACTGACCTACGACAAAGGTTTCCTTTTGGCAAATCCGTCACGCACATGATCGGATCAAACGCAACCCAAACCCCAAGAGACCTCACAAGGTCGGATTCTCTCCTTTCCGCATACACGTCTTGTTTACCTGTTCTGCAATGGCCCGCCAGCCAAAATCATCACGTCGATCACACTCGTAGGTCTCACCGAGCAGCGGGTTAAATGGTTTGTTAGTGCGGACAGCCGTGGTCGCATATGATGAGACCGTGAAGGCTGCCACATAGGCCATCTGTTCGCAATTGTCATCACAGGCGGCAGCACGGTCCAAAATGTCAGAATACTCAAAATCTTCCGTTAAACGTTGCAGCATAGATAATGGTTCGCTAAAATTTACCTATCAAAGCAAAGCACAAAAATCACATGCATCCTTTCAAAGGAAAAAGAAACAACATCATCAAATTAGTGGTAAAGATGTACGCTCTTATTTTCGCTTGAATGCGCAAACTGAAAGCAACATCTCCCACGGAAAAGACCGTAGCTATTTTTCTCTACAGGAACAGGAAATGCTACTCTAAGGCCTAACACCGGGGGCTTTCCAGCACGTGCCTAGAACACAGGCGGCTGGAGCAGCACATCCGTTACGCACCTTCATCGCAAGAAAGAATTCAGAATGCATGCTAATTCTGTCACAGACTCTTGCTTTCTTTTCTCATTAAGCTATGGAATTTCTCCCTTAGCTTAGACCTGCTAAGTTTCGAAAGAATGCACTCCCCAGTACGCATTTTTTCTGAAACTTGTCTTTCAGAAAACTAAACACTATTCTTAGTTTCTGATTCATTTTTATTCACTATTCAAGTTAGTTTTTGTTTCCTATATGTGCGGTGACGCAATAATCACTATCTGACTATCCCTCTACGCGTCCATTATTTTGTATGCTCTTCGAATTTATGATGTGATGGAATGTTCATCAGGTTTCATCGTAAATGTAAGAACAGTGTATGTAAACAATGCCGTAATTATCGCACTCGTTACTGTCAATATCTTGACACAATGCTCACTTACGGATTACAAAGACGACCAAAATCAAACAGTTACTTACGGGCATGGGGATTTTGCTTAAGTCTCGTCCAATACAGTTCTTCATAATACTCCACAAGCTCAAAGTCGCATTTGGACGATTAGGAATTTTGCTGCGCCGCGGCTTGCCTCGCGCTTTCCGATCGCTTGTGAATATGGCCGGTACATTGCGCAACTCTTCCTGTTCAAACCAAACCAGCTCAGTTTACCGTGGATACGGAAAAACACTGGCTGACAATACACACTTCGTGAATGCTCTGAGTCTGGACTGGTGGACGCTTATTGAGTGCATTACTGCTGCTTGCACCCAGTGCTTTGCGTGTAACCACACTGATCTGCCGCTCCTGCCGCTGTGATTTGGATGGAACATCATCGGCATCCTCATCAGAATCCATTTCGTTAGACATGCTGTTAAGGTTTTCACTGCCCAAACTCATACTACTGTCCGTGCGCCTGCAAATTTATCCAGTCAGGATGTTTTGAATCGTATTTGCATGAATACACGCACAGAAGTTGTAATTTGTAACCCAACAAATATTAATATTAAGCTTCACCCTGTTTTTAGATTAATTACTTATCAAGTCATGATGCTCACGGCACAAGCATAATTACAATCACAAATCACAATCATGCATTACAAATGTACACAGATGTAATGCAGAAAAAGTATTCGTCCACGTTTCGCAAGTAATGGTAACAGCCCTCAAACAGCCTCAAAAAAACGTAACTCAAGAGTCAAGACTAACGTTATCAAAACACCAGACTAACCTTTTGGATAAATAACAAACAAAATGGCTACATATGAGAGTTTACCGATGTCAAAAAAATTAATATAGTATGATTACTGCATACAGCATACAGTTAACGGAAACAATTGAGCCGGTGTAACAACAATAACATGAAGACGTCGAGCTTCTGGAGCTAAACAATTCTCGAAAAATAAAGTTTTTCCTTATTTGTAGATAACTAGATGGTAGCGCCAGACGCTCCCGTGCATACCCAAACGTCATAGCGCAAGAATATTCTTACGGGCAGGCAAGAAATAAAATCTGTCTGCCAAACAAAAACTTAACGGGCCGTATCAAATAGTTTAAAACTTTAAACCCTCAACAAATTACAGTTATAACGCGCGAAACACATGAAACTGAATCTAAGTAAGCTCTAAAATGATAATTAAAAATATACAAAAACATCACGCACTGGAATACCTCACAAGTTAGCTGCCACTTCCTCGTCTGCACTTATGAACATTATAAACTGGCGTGGAAGCGATCGTGTATTAAACAACAATTAATCCGTCGTTTCATAGTTTACTGAACGGAAGCCTTCCAGACGTTTGTGAGCTGATAATAATTAACGCTTCATTTCCCTGCTGACAATTATCAAATAACATACTACTGCTAACCTGATAAAACCTTGACTGTGATAGAGCTACGATCCAATAAATTCCAGAAAGTAACACCACGCAGTGCTAAAAACTACCGCTGTCACAGCTCTTTACTGACTCAGCCGCAATCCTGAGCAAATAGGTCTACAAACCAAGAAAATATGGGCAATTACTCACCGACTGCCTAATGACTCATGGGATACAACAATAACTCCTAATCATGTACATACTGACATACATATAATCATGAACGAAGCACTACACTCGCACGTCTTCACGGATGACACCCTGACACCCAGACATCGATAACCGATAACCTAATAAAGATGACATTAAACTGAGACTACTGCAGGATACTCTAACTTGTAAGACCCAGAATCGTAGACTAACTTGATAAGATTGTGTATAATATTTGTACGTACGCGGTAATCACATCATTCGCACCGACACTTCGAACATTTTGCAACTTTTAAAACTAATCACAGTTAAAAATAACGGAACTTACTTGTGTGTTTTAACGGAAGCCCCTTCTGAGTGAGGAATGGACACAGAGACGACAAACTCTTCAGGAAAATTATCCTGCGCATCAAAGAATTCGTCCTCGTCGGATGGACCTGTACAAGCATGCAAAACACTCTCATCACCCTGCAGCAAGACTAATTAACGCACTGCCATCGATTGACGACAAAAAGAAAACAAGCAAGTCAGAAGCAAGGGTTTCGCTACCTCCCGACAAATACCGCTAATACAAAAAGAAACACCTGCTCGCGCATCGATCGATAGGCCACGGCAACGTTTTGGCATCGAAGACGTACTCATGCCAATTGCGCCAAGAACGTCGTACAAGCCCGCTCTCACCTGTGGCAATCGGTTTACCCGAATTGGCACTGCTCCCACCGGGCTGGCTGCCTTTCATGGTGGATGATTTGGCCGCCTCAGCCTTAGCGGCCTCCTCCAGACTGCTGTGCTGCTTGGCCAGCTGCTCTACCATCTCAGCCAGCCGGACGCGCTGGTCGTGTTCATGACCCAGCATCTTCTGCCATTTCTTCCCTTCACTCTGCGCCATAGTCAGGAACTCTTTGGAAGCCTGCCAGTAGGCCATAACACATCTTGCAATACATCGTAATCCACGGTTTAGAAATAAACGGTTTGTAAGTATTTCCTAAAGACACTCTACAGACGAAAACAACACAGCCGGGAAATCTAGTGCAATCATGACTAATCAGCTCCATGGCCTGGTCTTTTCAACCGCAGCACGACCATACAGATTTTCGTTACGAAAATAGTGCGTCATCTCATCATCGCTTCGCAACAAACAAACATGTTATCCCGTCACAATGTAGCAATTGTCAAATCCCCTGCTGAATCTGAAAATTATTGATTACGAATCTTTGAACTTAAAATCAAGCAAAATTTGCGGCGGATGAAAACAGTTTATTCTAACCTTTATCGTCCGTTATAACTAATAGAGAATCGGAACCATAATCATACACAAAATGGACAACCGTTGAAAAAATACAACTGCGCATGAGAAATGGGGAACAACCTTCGTTCATTAAATCAGAATTATCATACGTTATGGCCAAGCTAGAATACCACATAAAGCCGACCGCAGAAAATACCTTACGTTAGTGAGTTTTTCTGCATCCAGCAAATCGAAACACATTTCCCGCAGCACCGGGACAACTAACCACTCTAGTCTGCCATGAAGATTTTTGTCGATTATCGACAAGCATCTCGACCATGAAACATCCACACTCATGTCCCATCACCAGGCACTTAAAAGTCACAGGTAAACTTACGTTCAACAGGGCTGTGCTGGTTAGCCGGAACAATGTGGCCCGTTCGACAACCGCCTTAGCCTTGGCACTGGCGTCCGGCGGAATTGATAAATTCTCCAATTCCACAATCAATCCCTGCAGTGCGCGACCTTGCTTGCTGATCTGTTCGTGGCACGCGTTGAGCTCGTCGATTTTCGAACTCAGATTCCGGATTACCGCCTGAAGATCGCTCTTCGAAACGTCCTCTTCTTCATCATCTTCTGCCAAGAGACAATTCACTGATGTCGAAATGACAGTCAAACTTATTGAACATCGTATAAAACTACAGATAAACTGGAAATAACGTTCTATAACAAGGCCAATATCCCTCCATGAAGAAGAGGAAAAAACAGGAACATCCAATGCATTAAATTCCGATCTACACACCACCGAACATAAATGAATATGCCGACAAGTCAATCTATTTGGAAACACGGTTCGGTGGATTCAAGACAGGTAGCGAATAGGAGAACATGGGGAAATCCTGACTAGCTTAAAATAGTACTTTCCTTACACGATCGAGCGCACTTACGAAATGCGCTCGATACTGATAAGCGAGAAAGATTATGTTATCAACACTATAACTCTAATTACTCAAAGGAGACCATACAGCAAGAAATGTTCCTACTTCCTACGACGGTCACCCGCGTAAACATAAAAGTAGACAGAAAATTCAATTGAAAAACGATACAAAAATACCAAACACTGTTTTACAGTGATTTTAATACAGAGTGACTCCAGTTTTCCTTACCGTCCGGTTCGTTTCCAGATGAATCGTCCACTCCAGCCTTGTTTGCCCGCGTTTTGGCCAGTTCAACCGCGGTAATCCATCGCTGACGTTCCACCTCCGAATTGGCCTTCAAATGAAATGTCTGATCGCCCAACTTCTGAATAGCAAAATTGCACGTGTCGTCAGTGGTCACATTGGCTCCTCTCAGCCGGATGGAACCTCGCGGATGATCCGGCACATCCGAGGGAGACCTACAGTGAAGAGAGTGAATACTTGCGAATCGGATTATTTATCCCTATAAGTGTAAACCTGAACAAAGTGCATTCGGTGCAGACGCATACCAGCTGAGCCCGATGCAGAAAAACTGTTGTGAGCCAGTAATGCGCAAAGCCGCAGACAAGGCAGATATACAGCCCCGCGTATGTCAGGGCTGAGCAAATACCTTACGTCGTCCAGACAGATTTATAAATCACAACAACCGCCTACCACAACCATATTTCCGCCCTGGAACATACTGTATAATGAGTTGCGTCAGTGCCAGCACCGGATTATGTAAAGAACATCAAATGCCCTAAATTTGCCCAAATCTCTGGTACGATTCGAAAAAAGACGTCAAATGCATTAATCCATATCTGCACAATGTGTGCATCTGCCAGATGATGGAGATCCTACCACCGGACAACACTCATCAACTCATACGTATCCGACAAAGCCGATTCCGTACGCTGATTAGATTCCTTACAATCTGGCTTATCCGTACTTATTCACTACCTTCCTGTCTTCACAAGCAATCATTCCAAACCGCTTAGCCAGACAATCCAACAGACAAAGTCACAAATTAAAGGGAAAAAGAAGCACTCTCCGATCTACTTGAGCCGCGTACGGTGCTTCCATCTCCGCTCTGCCCACACCAACAGCATCGATTCAACTTTAAGTGTCGCAGTAATCGATCATAACGTCAAGTAACCATGAAACGCGCCAACCAAGAGATGAACTAGAAAAACAACCTACGGGAAACCCTAAACTCCTTCAGAGCACAGATACAAAGAGTAACTGGAAAGCAAAGTTCCGAAATACAGAAATATAACATTCACTGCCCAGTGGAATAAAGTCAGGAAATCGAACACACAAATTACGCTAAAATGAACTTCCTTCTCAGTAAATCGCGTGAACGACTCATTAAAAAATGTTAAGACTGGAATAAAACTGCACCATGAAAGAGAAAATAAATCAAACTTATCCGGGTACGTACTTACTGAAAATCTAAAACAGATAAATATTTTGCAAATTGCAATACTCTATAATTCTGGACCCAGCGAGATTCCACTGCGACTCCAGTTACACAGTAAGAACTATTTACTGTATTATAAAGTCAAAAAATTCTTTCCGGGAGAAATCAAGCATCTACAACCAGAGATCACAAGCTACCAAAGTAAATACTGACAACAATCACAACAAACAAAAATGTTTTTCTATGTGGTACTGTTTTCATTCCGAGAGTCAGCAAGTAAAAACCATGCTTTTCGAGTCCTCTGCAATGAGTTACAGTCTTCCAGCGTTCAGCAAAGCCCGAAGGCTAATGCGCACTGGCAGAACACGTTGACAGAAAAATTACAAAAGGAAAATTTTACTGGTTTTACAATTTAATTTGCAAACAACAAACGCTACCAGCAACACGAGATTAGACGTAGAGTCAGTCAGTCAGACAAAGCGTCAGTAATTACCGATAGTACGTGAGGACATTCTTGGAGAGGACAAAGTATCGCTTCTGGTAGCCCTTCAGATAATTAGTCCATTTGTACAAGTAGCCCTTCATATCGGGATCCCCGCGTTCCGTGCGCTCACGGGATGATGGCTCTCCCTGACCTTGAGAATTGGCCAGATCCAGATTTGGCATCTTCGCTGCTCGTCCGTGGTCTGTCATTACGGTTTAGTTTGCGATTTCCACTGCCGAAGATAAGTTCTGCAACACCGTTTCGCGCCACACCACAGATAGGTGTATGAGATAAATCGAGCGAAAAAAACACACCTGAACTGAACGAAACAGAAACAGGAAAAGAACCCTACAACTCACAAAACCTACAAGAAAATAACCATAGTAGCTCAAGACAGGAAAATGCCAAGTAACACCCAAGAAATTGAAAAACAATTTACAAATTCACAAAAAGTTAGGCACACGAAGGCAGCGCGTGCCACAAGAGTCTTAAACGTGTGGTCGGTCGTCACGTCTACAGACTCTACACACACGCCATATGGCAATGGTGCACGGACGTTATCCTTTTGATCGTTTATACATAGCACTGGCTGTTGGCACATTGCAAAGTCGAAAAAGCTCTCCAAATGGAAAACTGTGAAATGTATTGCAAATTACTACTGCGTAAAAAAAATCTGTAAATTTTTATTGATAACGAATCAGCAAAAGTCGTACCGGAAGTTACTTACTGGTTACTGCAATAATTATTTAGGCCTCGTCCCGAATTCGAAGCGAATCTCGTTGCGATATAGCAACTCCACCTCGCGAGGTGGCTTCGCGTACCGTATCTGTAGGCGTGGCCACTGCATATAGCCACCTCGTGCGGTTGAGCAACGGTACCAAAGCTAGATTCGCTTCAAATTCGAGACGCACCCTTAGAAATGCATTAGTTATGACGGGAGTTGCGATTTCTAACTGTGCCGCTTACGGTCCATCACTAGATAAAAACTACACCAACAAAATAATGGCAGCTGCTGAGCAAAAATTAATGCGATAATCATACAAGTATTAATTATTAATTTTCCTTTTGAATTTTAATGTATGTAAGTAGTACTGTACTGACTGCCATTCCTGCAATTTTCTTGTGTACTTAGTGTACAGAGTAAATAAATTATTGCCAATGAATGAGGTACGCAACGGCTTAACTTCTAATAATTGTAATTATGGTTTTTATAATTCGGAGGCTGGCGAGCATAGCAGAACTCTTTTGCAAGTGTGTTGACTGTTGAGGGATTACATATATAGAGACCGCGCGCGACTCGGACGCTTTCCATTCCCAAGTATTTCCAGATATCCTTGAAACTCAGGACAATTATTTGTTTATCCTTGGGGGATGTGCAGTTGAGGAAAAAGCATTAATCGATCACTGGTAATCCGTTACATCTTTGGGATCGGTATAGAAGTAAGTACGTACTGTAGTAGTAGCACAATTATTATTACGCTTCACACATCCACAGCTGCTGTATCGCGGCGGAGCTGTGTAAAATGTAAAACGTCGCTGTGTATTGTTGTACAACGTGTACAATAAGTACTTCTGCTGGGTACTCTCTGAGGTGCAACACCAGCGTGCACCATACGATGGCTTTGCTGATCGATCCGCTCTTATCCACGGGACTGACGGGAGAATCGTTCCCTGAAAAACGGACAGCCTAGTACGACTGGAACAGTTTCTTTCCGACTAGTGCTGTCAAGTTGCAGTTTTTGAGGCTTGTGAATACGTATCTGCATATGGATACTGTATGTAAGCAGTAAGCTCCGACTTAGGCTGTTGCGAAGCGATTCCCCTGGCTACCTCTCTTCGTCGTATTAAATTTTTGTTATTCGATGTTCCTGCAGATATATTGATCTTATTTACACCTTTTGTCCGGGGCGACATATTCGGATTTGAAAGCGGATAAGTGAAAGGATCGTCCCGACTCCCGTGCCAGTAGGGAGAAACGAATTCCTCACTAAGCAACCTCCGATTGTCGCAATATCATTGTGGCGATTTGTATTCGGCGCAGCAATGAGCCGCTCGTGCCAACGATGATCAATACAGCAGCGTGCAACTTGGCTTTGCCCGCATAGAGCAGTGCTTGAATAGCTGGTCCTGATTGCTTCCTCTATCCTGGACGTTTACTAAATCCACATCCCTTATTTATCGGAACAAACGATACGGAATTTACACGGTAGTGTTTCCGACACCAGATTACGCTGTTTAACGTTCGCTCTTTTTCGCTTTGGCAACTGGCTTGCACCGTTGCACGTAAGTGCACCTGACTGAGTTTTCGTTATTCGCGAATATGTACTGTAGTATCATAGAAAAGGAAAATACTGTATTTTCCTTTCCTGATACTGTATTTTATAAAGGAAAATACTGTATTTTTTCACAGTATTTTCCTTTTCTATGGTATGTACATTCATAGTGCTAGAGTGTCTAGTGATTAATTACTTTGTAAGACAGTGTATTAATAATGAATACGTTCGATGGGATTTTTACAAAGCTTTAAGGCCACGGTGACAACTCTACCTCTGCTGATACTTATTAATGCTTGTCACTTACAGTACTTTCATTTGCACCGGGTAGCGAAGGGACGTGATAGGTCTGGTGAAAATATTCATTTTCGTTTTATTGTTTTCCCACATTTCTTCCTTTGTGTCTGCCCTAGCATTCTTCCAAAGGTTGTACAAGGGGTTCCTTTTCTGGTCTTAATGTTTGCAGTGATGTGCGTCGGTGCTTTGCAGTGACGTCAGTTTCCGTTTAACGGAATAACCCGGTAATTCAGTGAATCTAATTAACAGGAAATTAGTAAAAAAATGATTTATTTCAGCGCAGTTGAAATTAAGATTTTCTGCCCAGAGTTTTTAACTGATCGTTTTGCGTAGTTTGAGTGACCAGGACGCGTTCACCAAGATGGATACAGTATTCGTTAAATTGTGTGATGACTCGGATACATGTTGTTGCCAGTTAATGGGATGTCAAAGGCGCATTAAACTATTGCAGTACTTCGCAAAGAAAAGTTCTTGATGGTTGAATAAAGATGAGTTTCACCGTTGACAGCGCGGCTAACTTTGATCACATGGATCATTGTGTTGACGGCAGTTGTTGGCGTTAGGCGTTTTTTGCTGTGCAAAGCATGTTGAAGCGCCTCAACACTGTTTTTATTGCAGAATTACACAGGTGTAAATTATCAGCTGCAACCAGATTTTACTGCCAGCCAAGATTAGTCGGATAGTTCTGTCGTTCTTGGTTGGGATTTTATGTCGGTTGAGCCATGCCGGAATCGGCAGTAACGAAGGACGCCATTCAGCGGCCTGTTGGCACTAGGGAGGGACGTCGTGCCGGTATTATGCCACAATCATCCCATCCGGCCTCGACCACGGAAGAGGATCTGCGTCATAAGGAATGTATTTCACCCGAAGATGTCATGAATCTGAATGCAATTACCAAAGGTAAATGGAAACACAGGTTCGCGGTGATTACGTTCCACGATTCCATTAGTATCATTTTCGGTGGAAAGATATCGTTTTTCTTTCTAGTCAGTCTTACAGCGGTAGTTGTTCTCCAGCTGAGAAATTTACCTAATCCACAGCTGTGTTCCGGGCCAGTTGAAAGCTTTTTTGTACAGACATGACGTATTTTTTTATCCTTGTTCCTCGTTGTGACTTGAATGTTAAGTCGCTCTCAGCGGGAATTTATGTCTTTTATAGATTATTTATGCTCGGCGGATGCCAATATTTATGATATTGATTTTATTCGCTTTAAAATTCGTGATATGGAAACGGGAATGACGTTGTTTGAAGTGCAGAAGCCGCCTGGTTATGATGTGAAACATCCCGGTGAGCTGGGCCTGGATAGCGATGCCGGGCGCTTTGTGCGCTACCATTTCACGCCCTCCTTCCTTAAATTGCGATCAGTCGGTGCCACGTACGTATACGAGACATTTGAATTTACACATTTCGAGTCGGCTAGACACGATTCTAGTGCTATCGGGATGTTTTCCCAACAGCTGAAAGTGTGCTTATTACAGAGTGGAATTTACCGTTGGCGACAAACCCTTGACGCATTTCCGGATGATTGAACGGCATTTCTTTCGGGATCGGGAATTGAAGTGTTTCGATTTTGAGTTTGGTTTCTGCATTCCTAACAGCAAGAATTCCGTAGAACATATCTACGAGTTTCCAGAGCTTCCTCCAGATCTGAGTGAGTAGTCATTTACTTCATTGCTGACGTTTCTGTTCTTGATGTAGCGGAATAATTTTTGATAAGTAACCTGTAGCCTGTAGTCCTGTTACTCTTGTATTAATATTATGTCTATATTATAAATTTTTCTTTATACAGTAAAAGAGATGATTGCCCATCCCCACGAAACCCGATCGGATAGCTTTTACTTTGTGGATAATAAGCTGATTATGCACAACAAGGCCGACTATTCCTATGATGAACCGGAAGAATTGATCAATCCATGATTATTTAGCTGGAATATGAAATGGATACCCACGCCATTGGTGGTTCAGTCTGCGTACTTTGTTTGTCCACCTGCTTGGTCAGAATCTGTAAAAATCGTGGTTTTCAGTATTCTACGCCTGTAACTGGAGCAATCGCTTCCGTCCTGTTATACACATCGTTTTTAGGACGTTTTGGCTTTTGTGGCATTTTATGCCAGTTATTCTTTTCTTCGAGAAGATTGTTGGATCGTAGTTGAAGTACTCGTAGCATTCTTGCTTATTTTCGATTGTCTTTTTCTTACATCAGCTACGAAAGTACGTACGCAGATGACGTACATAAAACGATGGAAATGCTAGAAGCCTGGGACTTATTCACACGAAACGAATTGTCTGTCAAGTTGAACAGCAACATTTGTCGAAAACCTTAACAATAAAAATGTATCGAAGCTCTGAATCGGTTTAGCGTTCTTGTTGTTTACTTTGCTTCCTAATATGGGAGCTTACTTTAGTCATATCGAGCATTCATATGTACGTAATATCAGCGTTTTCTCTTGTTCTGGGAGCACAACACCAGTCCACAACAAAACACTACAACAAATTTGCAGCAGAACACTTCAGTAGCACAGAAGAATGACATCGGATATCCAGGACAACATTCAGGATCTCATGTTTATACGTAATAAAACGATGCCGAGTCATGAAGCATTGCTAGATTACTTTAGGCCGGTCAATTACGACTTTTCGTTCGACGTAGGAACATGTTAGGCTGACTTCTTTGGTATTCAGAACAAACCCGTAAGCTGTTATCCTACCCTTTCCCGGTCATCTCAGGATGTTAGGAATCACTTTAACATGCCTCCCGTATTTAAGAGGAAGCTATCTCATGAATGCACCACCAGCCAACAGTCTGAAACGTAACAGGAGGAAAACTGTTTTGCGTCCACAAGATAAATATACAAATTCGGTAATGCAAGAGAGCGGCAATGCATGTACGTCATTGTACATACGTTTTTTGAAATGATTTATTTTGAATACGTAGATGAGGTGCCTTGTTTTGATTATTGTTATTATATTAAAGCTCGTAAGCAGTTGCAGTATTTTACTACTGCAGCGGAGATTGAACATTTTACCCGCCATTACTGGCATTTTCAGGAAGAACCGACTGAGCATCATCGATGTTCATTCTTTCTTCACCCTTGGCTGGATTACTGCTGTTTCTCACAGTTTCCACAGCCTCAGTTGAAATGGACGCGGAATCAGATTGTTCAAGCGGAAGACAGGACACGGGCGGCGTGTAAGGAACAATCGCCATGCACACGCTGGAGACCGGTCGGAGACTGCAGAACAACACCAAATTGACCGATAATTTTTAATCAACTTTACCATACCCTAGATAACCATGCCAACCGAGCGCACATGCTTCTCGTCACGAATTCAAAGGAAGAAGTAACACCATGTTCTTAGTCAACAACAAGGCAGTATAACCACGAAGTACGAGCACAAAACGATACATACATTGTCCCGAGAATGTTTTCAGGTAATGGCGGCTCCTCCGTTTGCTCAGCAAGTTTAATGGCTGCTTTCAGTGAATCGGTCATTTCCAACTGCGGACAACGCCGTCTTCCTGCCACCGTCGGATACGACTGATCGACATCCATGGGATCGTCCTGAAAATCGGCCCTGCGCATTAACACAGTGCGCATCGTTTAATACACGTACGTCGTATGCAAGCTATTGAAGCCAAGCACGTATTACTATTAAAGTATTAAACGTATTATTTATTATTTTTGTTATACGAGCATTCATCTTATCGTCATGTACCAGGTTTGCACATGTTTAGCCAATGCATCGTTTAAATCGGTAGCCATGTCCATCGATGCATTGTTAGATGCCGGGTAATCTGATGGCGCATCAACCACCGGTGCCACACACTCCGAATTCGCTTGCAAGGGACCGGAATTAATCAGCTGCAAATTATCCAGCCCATGGGCTACCTCCGTAATCAGCATCTTGCTTGGTCGGGTATTGCTGGAAATTGGAATGCAATTATTACAGAGGTAGCCAGGTAGATAATAATTATCCCCGCCTCATGATTTTCCTAATTCAGCAGATGCACGTTCTATTTTATCAAAAATCAATGGATTTCTGGGATATTGATTACTGACTAACTTGCTAATCATACCAATTACATCGGGAAAGCAAAAAATCATAATATTATTATTTACTGTTAAACACTATTCTTTCATGCAAAATGGCGACAGTACTGACCAAAACCAGTCCCTTTAAATGCACACCAAAGCTTACTTATTCAACGGCAACTTTCGCTTCTTCGGCATCCCTCCGAAAATAAACCTGTACGCATTAACAGCAAATTAGGTTATTTATTTACTCACTATATAAATAAGCAAAAAGCATCCGAAAAATTCTATACGAATAAAAACAGAATAAAGCCTCACGGGGTATTAGGATCTTCTGGAGGACTGGAATTTTCCATTGCCGTCGGGCAATTTACTGGCAATCCAAAACCATGACCGTAAACCTACAAAGTTGAAACCAGCAATGTCAGTGCGTGGATTATAACGAAGAAATCTATACACTATCAATCAGTTACGGAAAATTAATACTGTAGCTATATACCATCATTACCACGGACGTGTTAACACAAGGTCATAGGTGACTTTGGAAAGACATACAAATTAATGAAAATTGTATAGTACACTGTGAACAACAAAAAACCAAAACACATAGCCTACCTGGTGGCAGTTACCGCTGCACTTGCTGTCGCAGACTCGCATGTAAAAAAACAAACACAGCTCTCCGAGGAGAGAAAGAAGAAACTGCATACGCAAGATTCTGTTAAAAACATAGCTCCTTCAAACTTACAAGTAAGTAAGACAGGAAGAAGAACAAACCTCAATAATTTCTACGTTCCAAATACAGTAACAAATGGCAAAAAATGTTTGGCAATCACTAATCAGCTACGACTCTACGAGGATACGGATCCAGAAGAGATTTTTAACCAGCCTGCCACTCGTGTGGTGGGTAGCAGTTGCATTTTCAGCCTTTAATATGACATCAGTATTTCCTGAAGGCAGCACGTACTGTACTGGAGTCTGGAAGCAGTACTGTACTAAATGTACTGCACTTAGTAGCACGTTTCTAAAATTTCTGGGAATCTTTCTTATTCGGGAATCTGGCTACGGTAGTTATTTATTAATAATTTGACTGTCACAATAAAAGCTGTGACAGACCCATTACTGACATCTTTTTCAAGCTCGATTGAGCACACATCTGTCTGCTTGAAGTATTCTGATTTGTCGCGTAAAGTGCTACGGAGTGAAAAGAATATGGCTTTGAATCAGGCGCATTATAATGGTGGTGTCCTAATCCATTCTGGAGAATGGTGAGTGACTCAGGGTAGACTAGACGTAGACCTGTCTACAATCTCAGAAATTAGTTTGGATGATCCTACTTCTGTAGGATCATCCTGTACTGCGACGGGGTGGAAATGGGCTTCGAAGGATCGGATGAAGTGGCTATGAAGGGCAAGAAGAAGGGACGCCTCTATCTGACAAGCCATCGTGTAAGTGAATCACCACCAATGCAGAGTGCACAATAATGCACTAGCGACTAGTGGAATGATTGTAATACAGTGAAATAATACTTGTACTGATATTCGACGATCACCACCTGAATACGGAACATTCCTTTGCCAGTAGAAGTATTGAATACAGATACTGCTTTGGTCTAATACCAGAATTTCAGTTTGCGTATTACTTTGTTACGAAACGTAAACACGAATGGTTTCCATGTGTCTGTGAAGGAGAAATAATACGCACTAGGTTACGTATCTATTTTTCGGAACTTAAGAAAGTGTTCGCGAGGAGACCAACTGAGTGACGTGCAATTAGGTGATCTTCACCAGCAAAGATCTGAAGGACGCGCTGCAGTCCTTCTCGATGCCCTTCAGCAATCTGGGCTCGGTGGACATTGATCAGCCGGTTTTCGGCGCTAATGCCATCAAGGGCAGCGTCAAGTCTCTGCCCGGAGGCAACTGGAATGGACAGGCCAAATTCCGACTGACCTTCAGCCATGGAGGCGCCATTGAGTTCGGACAGGCTATGGTCCAGGCGGCGAAACTGGGTAACTGCGGTCTTGCTTATTACTGCCTAACAGTAACGTTTACGGACTCGAGAGGAAATAAGGTGTCGTGTAAAAGTTTCTTCAGCGGTGTTTTGCGCGATGTGTAGCTTCTCGCAATCCGCCGCCGCCCTACAGTCCACCGTATACGAGTCCCGCTGAGGGCGGAAACTTCTACCATCCGCAGCCCAAGCAGTACATGTCGGAAGATTCGAACATCAACGGATTCGTCCCACCCAAGGACAAGTTTCCCACGGCCCCACCAGGTACTAACACAGCCATTACCTAATTAAAGTGCCACCTAGGTAGATTTTTGTATTCCGTTCACTTTCTTAGTAATTAGTAGCTTCATTTAAGTAGGGCGGCATTTTGGTATTTCCATTTTTGAAGTGGGTTTGATTTTTCCATAAACGTTGCTCATGCGTTCTAAACCAGGATAATGCTGCTGAGCATTATGGGTACATTTTTTTAAGTGCGGTCATTTACTCTCAGGGACGTTTCGTACATTGTGCTGACTGTTGAATTGTAGCGGGAGAAGTCTGGATGACGGATCAGCCGCCGCCGTATGCATCCATCTATCCCCAGATCCCACAGCAGCAGCAGCAGCAGTACAACCCGTATGGTGCGCCGGCTCCGGCTGCTGGTTACGGTATGTCGAGCGTGTGGATAAGGTGTGTATGCCCGTTTGGGTTTAAATCTTACGCATTTATGGCTTGTTACAGCAATGCCAGCCGGATACGCTGCTCCGTATCCACCAGCAGGAGCAGCTTATGTCAACACGGCACCACCACCCACCTATCAGGGCAACTACCCGCAACAATATCCAGCTGGATCTTATCCATCGGTAAAACTGGCTTGTCGACTTTTTTGTGCTTGTATCTTTGCCAGCTCTGCTGCAACTTCCTTTTGCAACTTCTTTTTATTTGAATTCGTTATGTGGTCTGTATGTTATCGGTGCAGCGTTTCTTCGCTGATCATTCAATTACGAGGACGACTATCCGGCAAAGAGTAGTTTCTTTCTTTTGATTTTAGTAATAATTGCTTTGTATTACTGTTGGAATTCTAAAAAAAGATTATTGTAGTTTGTATGTATTCCGGTAATCAATTTGGTCACGCTTTTAATGTGAAGTGAATGAAAATAAAGTATGTGACTCCCTATGTGTTCATGTGTTTCTTTTGTGGGTGAATCTTGATTGACTAGCTAGTCTGGATTATTGATGGCTGTCGTGTTCTGTTTGCAGGCTCCTCCGCCATATCAAGAGAAGCAGTGAAGTGTCCAGGGTTTGTAAAAAGGAACAACATTTAGCCTGGAAACTTATCCATTTCCATTATGATCGTCAGTTTCATCATCATCGTAACGATATCCCGCATTCCGTTATTGTTACTCGGATTTATGGTAACTATTACCCGATTTATCCCATTGATATCCCAAGAGCAGAACAACCTTGGTTACATGTCAGATTCATGCGCCAGGCCTATACGTCATTTCTTAATCTCTGATTAATCTGCATCATGATGTTAGCCGGAATTTACGTACCTGACCGTGCGAAGACATGCTGTTTTTACGTGTTTTACCTTTCTTAACTTTCTGCTTACTTCGACTTCATTGAACAATAGCTTGGTAATCCAAAAGTTATAGTTCGTAGTAAACAATGACTAGTTTGGTCTTTTATTGAGAGAATCGTATATGTATGCTTTTTGAATTTTGAGCTTGTGTAGGTTTAATAAACGCTACGTATCTAGTCAAATAAAGCTTGCTCACGACCGACGATTGTAACAGTGCTGCACATGATAGGTATTTTGGTTGCCATTCATTATGGAAGCAATAGCAAACTGATAGCAGCATAATTCCGTTGGTGTTTGTGAATGAATGTGAATAACAGGCGAACACAAACAGCACCTGTAATCATGCGTTCGGCGTGGTGTGACTGTCATTATCATCAAAACTAGCCTTACTGCGACATAGATTACCAAGACACCAACACATCCCTAAATTCTGCCAGCCACGCGTACATCCGGCTTCCGTAACAGCCGCCAGGCAGTCGCCACAATCACCACGGAGCTACATTTAAAGGTTATTGATCGATATTAATCGGAAAAACCAACAGAGGCGCTTAACGAGCGGTGGCAAGTGTCCAGTGGCGATTGTACCGGTGTTAAACACTGCGTTCTTGACAGCAGCAGGCCCGGACGCGTAATCACTAGCCTCCCGTCACTGGTCCGAGGCATCCTTCCGGGGGCGACAGTACTCGCGCACACAACAATGCGCACCACAAGCCGGTTAGTTATGCCGGCGTATTTACGCGCCGCCGGACCAGGCCTGTGTAAGCGTGTTATTAAGCAACAAGTGTTCGGTCGGCATTGTTGCCATTGTTAATACCAGATTAACAAATATATACAGTGCACAAACAAGTCGCCGATCATTTGGGGATGGGGATCGAGATGCTGTACAGTGCACTGTATGTCCGCCATTCACTGTAACCGTATTTGCACGATAGTAACCGGCAGTAGCTGGGTTTGTTACATAATAGACCTTCTCGGCAAATCTCTTCAAGGCTGCCCCGTTAGACGCGGATTCGAGCTCTCCTAATGCTTAACCGGCGTCGGTTGTTATAATTATTTTGTTGTTACGGCTATGTTGAATGACATGCTTTCCTAATTGACAACACCGCACATCGCTATAATAGCACATAAGAATCAATTGGATGTGCGATAACTTTTGCTGGTGAATTAATTTGATAGTATTTGTATTTTGGGGACGGAAGTGGGATTCGCTGCATATAGACAGACCCGGTCCATGCCGAGGATAACATGAGAAAGTTCATCTCCAGTGTTCTTGTGACTGCTCTTTGTTCCGCTCTATTCGGTCTATGGAATTCCGGTTCCGCTCTCGAGGTATACTTCCTGCACATCGTTATTATTGCATCCATTTCATCTTTTCACATGTACAGTTTTTTTAAAGTTGTCGTGAGATACTATTAGTAATTTTTCCGCTTAGACTCTTAAACATATTGGCAACACTTGTTTAACACGAGAATTAATCCACTTTTGCATAGGGTTTTTGATATATACATAGTTAATGGTTTTCCGCATTACGCACTGTTTGGTAGAAACTGTGTTTTACTCGTGTAATAATTAATACATATTCCCGAAAAAAGGGATCGTTAAGGTTACTGTCCCATATAGGTGTCTGTACTCCTAGCGGAGTAACTGACAGCTGACGGGCTTTCTGTTTTTTTTTTCAAGCTGCTGTGATATTTTAAAAAGCGCGATTTTTAAGCACGAAAGTCAGTAAAGATGAAGGTATGCATTAGCATTCGTAAACTATCTGTACTTCAGAGAAACTGCTTGCCAGAATGTAAGATCCCAGGAGAATAACATTACGAAATAAAGTGTACTAGTTAACTTCCTTTTTTTGAAACCCCAGATCGGTTTTGTACCATGTAAACTTCTAAACTAACGCAAATGCTGTAAATGCTGTCAAAGTATGAGTTATCGCTGATGATAAGTGCATAGCTTCTGCATGCACCGCTGGCAAAACGGTACTCGGAAAGCTGCGCAACTTAGGTTTTATTGCAGCATATGCTGCGACCTTTGACACTTATCAATAAGCGACCTGCTTTGCAGGGCGCAACACCGGAACCCCGTAACGCTCAGCCTCTTCCTGCTCAACCTCAGTCCCTACTAAACCCCGTAAACCAGAATGGGCTGCCGCCAAACTTCAATCCTTTCGCGGCGAATATGATTAAGGCCGCCCGCAATCCGCCCACGAATCTCCTAAAACAATACTCGTCGGGCGGCAGCTACGGCATGATCGGCAACTCCTACTCACAGCCATCCTACAGCAGCGGCGGATCGTACGGAAACAGTGGCAGCTATGGAGGTGGCGGCGGCTATGGTGGTGGTGGCGGCTACGGGTCCGGACTGGGCATCGGAAGTGGGCTGGGCTTGGGACTGGGCAGTCTCGGTCTGGGTCTGGGCGGCTTAACCGGCCTCGGAGGATTAGGCGGCATCGGAAGCAGTTTGTACGGTTCCAGTCTGCTGGGCCTAGGGGGACTGAGCTCTCTAGGTGGTCTGGGAGGACTGGGAGGACTCAGCAGTCTGGGAGGTCTGGGCGGCTTGAGCACACTGGGCCTGGGTGGTCTCGGTGGTCTAGGCGGTCTCAGCAGCCTCGGACTGGGCGGGCTAGGGCTCGGGAGCTACGGTGGTATCGCGCCCGCCGCCGGACTAGGCTATGGCAATATGGGCTACGGTGGTGGTGGTGGATACGGTGGTGGCGGCTACGGTGGCGGTGGTTACGGTGGTGGCGGTTACAACAGTTACGGATCCAACGGAGGCGGTAATGTCATCATGGGAACACCGGTGGCCTATGGCAGCGGGTCCAATGTCATTGTCGGCACACCGGTCAGTGGAAGCAATGGAAATATTATTGTCGGTACACCCGTTTCCGGGACCACCGGAAGTAACATTGTCGTCGGCACACCGGTCACCGGTTCCACGACCGGCAACGTGGTGGTAGGCACGCCGGTTACCGGTACCACCGGGAACGTTATTGTCGGTACGCCCATCAGCGGCACTGGAACCGGCAATATCATCGTCGGCACTCCAATCGGATCCACCGGGTATGGAAGCTTTGGTGGAAATATGTATGGGAACACGGGTGGTTACGGGGGATATGGATCAATCAATTCTGGTTACGGTACGTTTGGATAACAATAAACTTGTTTCTGGATAACACTGAACCGTCTGTTTTCCTCATTTGATGTAAACTGTCACAAATATCAGTTCTTCAGTTTTGTGTACAAATGTGTACATATGTATTAAATAACTTTAGACATTTTATCACGATGCTTTCGTTTTAACATTTTAATGGTCAAACTGCTTTCTAATAAATTGCGAAAACCCCATTCGTTTCCGTTTGTTTCGAGTACATGTGGAAAGGTCAAGAAAAAACGATGGCAAATGTGAATATCGCATGGCTAATCTAGCAAATTGACACAAAAATGCAAACCATTGATTTATAATCAGTATACTTACGCTGTTATGCAGTCGGAGAAATACTGTAAATTAACATTCACGGCAATCATGCATTAAGAATGATGGAATATTACTTCCGGAACCCGTTTTAGTAGTTAGTCGCCGTACTGATTATGTCGCACGATAACGACGTAATGAAAACTAATAAATAATAAATAAACAGTCGAAAAAACTTCAGTATATTGTCGATGACATAAGGAACTATACTTCTGTATACGCAGAATGCAGAGTGCAATAGCAACAGCTAAAACCATGATTTCAGCATGTGATAAATTTTGGGAGACTGATTATGCGAAGAAATCTATTTATAGGGTCGTACAACTCGTACAACATGCTACCATCGGCATCCAGCGGCGTATACGGCTTGACCTCGGTCCCGGCCGGCAGCAACGTTATTGTGGGCACGCCTATTTCCGGGACGGGGACCGGTGTGGCAACGGCATCTAACACGCTAATCGGCACCCCGCTGGGCTCGTCTACGCCACCGACGGTTATTGTTGGTGCACCATCCGGATTAGTCAACAGCGTGGTGTCGGCCAACACTATCACGGGCACGGTAACCGGCACAAACACCAACGATCCCTGCACCAACTCCCAAGGTCCAACGATTAACGGGCCGTTTGCCTTCCCGCTCAGCGGATGCAGCACGATCTTCAGTGCAATTGCACCAGATACACCGGTGGGAACGGTGACCGCCACTGGTGGGATTGCACCGTTGAGTTGGTCGATTGTCGGTGCCAGGTGAGAAACATATAATTTATACGTAATTGAAATCATGATCATGACAGTACTGTATGGTACTATAATGCTGTTACTCATCGTGAGAAAAACGCCTCGTAACCCTGCTTGCGGTATGCTGGCAATTGTTAAGATTTACCAACCAAGCTTATATCTATATACAGGCGGTATAAAAGAAAGAGTAAAAGGGTCTGCCAATTATACTAAATTTCGGAATAAAATTACTGCATTCAGTCTGTACGACTGTGTGAAGTGCAATATTACTCGTATAATACCTACGATACGAGTGCTAGAGATAGCAGCCTGCGCGCATTATCTGTCATTATAAATGTAAACTTTTTCTGATCTTATTTTTGGTATTAGATTTCGGTGTGTAATCGAAACACGTTGCAGGAGTATTTCATGTCTTATCTTATTTTGCCTTTTTTCAGTCAAATGACGATAAACGCGGCCACCGGTCAACTGGTTGTCAACATGCCGCTTATCGCGGGACCGTATAGTGTTGTCGTGCAAGTGCGGGATGTCTGTGGTCGACTCAGCACAAATACAGTCACCGTGACGGTTACTTGTCCTTAATTTGCAGTGAAGTGGGTGTCTTTTTGTTACTTTAATTTATTTGTTACTGCCACTCAGTTTTTCGGGAATTTGTATTACGACGAAAAAAATTAAACAGCTTGCGGACAGGCGCAAAAGAATGATCCATCCAAAGTTCAAATCAGGGAAGGTGGTAATTGCTGTATAGGATATGGTTAAGTCCGTACATTCCTTCGCTATATATATGGAGATTCCGCTAGATTACTGTAAATCAGTTTGCATTATGTACAATTTGCAACTAATCGAAGCGGCTTCGTTTCATGTCATTGTACCTGTGTCGCAACAGCGATTGATCTGCACACAAACATTTTTGTATTTTAATATGATATTGTGCTTTTGATCTTTCTATCTGTTTCCGTATAACAATCGTCGCTCCGTGCTGGACGGCCATCACCAATAAAATAAGTTTATATAGATATATGTGAGTGATGCGGTAATAGGTCGTGTTACCCTGTTGCATTCACCAGAACGGCGGAACGGTTTACTTACAAAGCATCAATTCCTGTTTTTTTGCCACCAGCTATCTGTTTAAAAGTTAAAAAAGAACGTTGCAATCAACAGCCGTGCTAACATTGATATCATTACAAAGACTTCCTGTATTTTCAGTTAGATACTTTTTGGTGACAACTTCGTGCTAACTTAAGGTCACCCACCCGTGTATTCCATCGAATCTAAAATTAATTCCTTCCCCCGATTAGCAATCATGAACGAGTCTTGGCTGGGAACGATGGTAGCGCTAAATGTGGTCGTTTTCCTTGGTTTGAAGACCGCTCTGGCTCTGTACTGTCCGGCTGAGTGCCGATGCTACACTGATGCGATACGCCGGAAACAGGTTCGATGTGAGAAAGGAGGTATTCATATACCGAATTCATTGGACATCCAGTCAATCGATAGCGATACGGAGGTACTGGTAGTCTCTGGCTCCTGGAATAATCACAATACTTTTCTCCTCGAACCGGAAATGTTTGCGGGAAAGGGTCTCAAAGAGATCCACCTATCTTTTTCCAAGCTAGAGCACATTGGAGAATCACCGTTCCGCCATGTGCACCGCACTCTAGAGGTAAGCATTTGCACTGATAAAAATCATATCATGAATCCGACATTGTTTTTCATGTTATTTGGCTACACTAGCAATAAAGTCTTGTGTACGAATTATTGTGTATTCTACCGAAACTTCTTTCCGCGAAAAAAAAATATTTGTTGAGTTTGTATAATTATGGCTTTATGTCGACTCCTTATTTTCGCCTAGAAAATTTCAAGTTCGTTCGATAGTCTCCATTGTCACCTGCGGCTATGCCGTACAAACAGTAATATACGTATACTACGCTAATTTTCAATTTTAATATGTGCGGCCGTGTAAGATTATGATCTCACAAATAGCGCAGATCATACGGTATCAGAAATTAAATTGTATTCAATCATGCTTGTGCGCTTGAAAGTATACATTCTGAGCAATTTAATTTGTGCCTATCTGCGTAGGCATATTTCACTGCAAACTGACTGTAGCCGAACAGATCAAGATTGTGCGCAATGCGCATAAATGCATTTGATTTTAGCGGGTTATTGGTATTATAGGTGTTGAATCTCACGCATAACCAACTGCGCTATGTCGTGGAACAGAATTTCGGTGGGCCCAAAGTGCCACCTGCAGTCCAACTAACCCACCTCCACTTGGATTACAACAATATTGAACCAATGTTCACGGGCCAGTTTAAGTATGCAAAGGCCTTACGAGTCTGGACAATGTCGCACAATCACATCCGTGAGATGGTGCCTCGCATGGCTTACCCGTTAGAAAATCTGGAAGTACTGGATTTAAGCTTCAATCCTTTGGGCGACCGTTTTGCCGGTTTTCCCGTTAACGTCAACCGGGAACCGCTGCCCAGCACAATTTTCGCCGATATGCCGAATTTGAAGGCCTTGCGGCTAGTTAACACCAGTTCGGAGTCGATGCCGTGGGCGGCCATGGGTGAAGGCTCACCGCAACTGCGGGAGCTTGACCTTTCGGATAATAATATCAAACATCTCGGGGCCAGTGATTTTTCGCTGAATAAGGCACTGCAAGCGGTCAAATTATCCAACAATCCTATCAAAACCATTGACTCCGGCACTTTTAGTGGATTATCACTGCAGTATTTGCATCTCACTGGAATCCGTGCTGGAGCACTATTGCCGGGAGTTTTCTCGAACGCCAATGTTTCATTTCTTGACATCAGCAACACCAGTCTGTCTTCGTTCAGCCTGGAAACATTTGGCCCGCTTGCAGCGGATTTGAACACCCTGGATATTAGTGCTAATCCGCAAATTAAACTTCGGCCCAAGATGTTCGCCCCGTTTTCAAAGTTGAAAAATTTAAGCATGGCAGGAACAATTAAAGGTAACTCAAACTTCCACATTTTTGACTTGTACGCTTTATAGGCCGAAGCAATATACTTATACACTCAGTAATTAGGTTCAAAATTGATTACAAATAATTACTAAGGTGGCTTCGTAACTTATATAGATATTACGCACGAATGATGAGGATGGTTATTAATGATTTTACGCACATACCGATATCTTTGTAATGGCAGCGTGATGTATTATGTACAAAGTAAGTTCATAATATAAGGGCTCATGCAGTTGACCAGTATCATCTATCTTTCAACAGAAGTATATCTGTTTCTAAATTCTAGCCTGTGTTACATATATGAGATAATTGTAGGTAATAGCGAATTTCAGTGTTACTATAAACTTGTACTGCATGTTAGTCCATGTGTAATCGTGTGTGCACACTGTAGTTTGCTGTACTCGTAATAGAATTATGGCACAAAGTATAATATATTGAACTAATTGAAGACTTTACCTACTGTATATACACCACAAGTATGCAAAAACATGCATAATATGGTAATAAATTTATAACTGCAGGTCAAATACCCGATGATTTCTTTGCGTATCCCAACGTTTTGCAAAACCTGGATCTGTCGCGAAATAAATTAGGTAAACTGAGCGACGAATTCTTCAGTCAGACCAAAGACCTGATTAATCTAAAGCTGGGATCCAGTCAGCTGACCGCCATCCCGTTGAGTGTGCAAAATCTTTCCAAAATCCAAGCCATTAGTTTTCGCAACAATCGTATATCCGTTTTTCCGGAAAGTGTGCTCATGGCCTTTACGAATTCCCAGGCACTGGGAGCATTGCGACTAAACCTCAACCCGTGGCAGTGTGATTGTGCGGCGCTCCCGCTGATCCGCTGGTTGACCCAGGAAAAGGGACATCAAATTGTTTGTACCGGAACCGGCAATGCTACGTGTCCGTTGTGCGAAACACCCGATGGGCTGAAGGGGGTACCGTTGGACCGTGCGTTAGTCATGATTGATGCCTGCACAACTACCACTACTAGTACATTAAGTCCGCTTTTTGACGTCAGTGTGGATAACAGTACGGTTATGTGGAATTCAACGGGCGCAGTCGGCAACTTAACAATGGTGGCTGATTCGGGTGTTCTCGTGAAGAGCAGCGGTGGCATCATTGTTTTTTTCTTGGGCGTTCTATTAGCCGGTACCGGCATAATGTCTTACGATTAGATACGAGTATATACACTAGCATTAGTAAGACTCGTAGTTCAAAAGTAGATTCTTTTTAATTTTCTGTTATCACGTTCTCTGTCGCAGTGCAGACTGTTTTAAAGTAACGAATCTGTTTGTCATGATAAAAAATCATAATTAAACAAGGTATGTTAACGAATTTTTTCAGAATTTTGACACAGATGCTTTTAACGCTACATGCAGCTGAAGTTCTCGAACGCTGGTGATGGTAACTCAAAACTGATGTTATGTACAACTCATTTATTAGTTTGGCTTTTTGACTGCGAAATTAAAATATTTTAACCAACAATTATTGAACATTAGGCATCTAGGAGGGTAATTATCTGCATTACTAATTATCTGCATAAGACAGAAAGTGTATACGTTTTCGCTATCCGTTCGCCACATACTCTAGGTTTTGCAAACTTGTTGTTAACTGCACACTGCTCGCTGCATCCGGTAAACGTGTGGCATTTAAAAACCGTCAAACGTACAGTAAATGATGATGTAAATCTATTGTTAGCACAGAATTTTACAGACAATTTTGACGAAATTTTATCCCATGGTTTGACAAAGGTTTGTGAAAAAACATGTTCAACTGAAAGAAAAATTTGATCCATATACTAGGCACATGTAGCGTCTGCATGGGTGCGGTACCGTAATTTATGGGATACTGAACTCGTCGTACATGTACTTCACATTTGACGGTTTAGTGTACATGGCTAATTTGTTGACAAAAACTTGTGCCACTAGGAGCATCATAACAAGGTCCTTTCCGCACATTTTCACGCCTTACTGCTCATGTGAACCCGAGGTGACTTGCTTAACTACTACGTACAGGTACAGGAGATAATTAAGGTCATTCCACCCCGCCGATTTGCTGTGAGTCTTGTCCATTCATCAGCTTTCGATGTTGTCCATATGCGATGATATGCATAAAGACGATAATCTGCATTATTTGTCACAGTCGAAACCTTTTCTTAATACAAAATTAACGTAGTAAATTTCACCTGGAATACAAACTGCTTAGTGGACAAACGTATTGAATGTTTATTGTCTCACTGTGTGCTCAATATTTGTAACTATATAAAAATGCTTATTATTTTAATCTCGTTAGCAATTTCTCTCCTTACACCAAATTTGTGTGACTGTGCAACCAGCACACCTATAACGACAAAATCTACTGCCATGAGTACTCCGCGAATAATTTCATCAACTGCAGGTACTAATCTTGCTACGACTATAACGACGAAAATCAATGGAACGGCTAATGCTGGAAACAACGCAACAGGTATGATCTGCACATTGCATGCCAGAATAACTTACTGCTACATAAATTCACATTTTACACTGCTTTGGTTTGTTACATTTGGTATGCATCGTTGTTAAATTTTAAGTTTCATAATTCAGTTCGTTTGTTACTTAAGTTGCAATAAAATTTAATTTTGTATACATTACAAGCCCAAGGTCAAGGAGTACCATGCATGTGTAGGCGACACTGATTTTAAAAATTTAACTATTGTATGTGCGTTATGACGGTCGGGGACTCGGGGTATTATTAAACCGATAACTATTATTTCAATGCATCAAAATACCAGCAACACCTACATAGTTATACAAATAGCATTAGAAGATGAACACGCATTTCTTTGAAAACGATTCAGTTTTAGTGGCCAACAAAACCGGCATTCTGCCATCGGCTAATTTTTCTTCCAACACATCAGCATCACCACCGGCATCCCCGGTTATCCAGTTACAGCCATCGCTGGTCAGTGTTCCGGGGCCAGAGGAACGTTCTGACATAATCAGCCCGTTGCCACTGCAGTGTGAGGCCAAAGGGCAAGATCCCTTCGGATTAAAAGCGCAGTTCAATTCAGACGGCATACTCCTACTGCACACGACAACGACTACAACGACAACTACGACAACGAGCACTACCACCACGACACCCACCACAACCACCGGCAAAACTACCACAGAAAAGCCAGCGAAATTAAATGAAATATTAAGTGTCCGACAGGGCGGTATTAGTAATGCCGGTAGTGGGAGTAGCGAAAGTTCCGGTGGCATGGATGTGGACGTGATACCCGGCCCCGATGTGTCGTTGGATACCGTGCAGGGTCACGAGAATCTCCCCAAGACATCAGGACTGGTATCGGACGATATCCTTCTGGCCGCGCTAACTCCATCACAAAAACAGAACCCGGCAAATTTCAACCAGAGCTTCTTAAATCGACCGCGCCAGGTAGTGCCACGTATGCTGCGTAAACGCGAGGTCATGCCGAGATCTCGGCAATCCCGAAGTGGCAATGAAGCGCTGCCGAACCAGATTTGTTGGCAGGTAAAGAAACAAAACTGAACAGTTAAATGTATGTATTAATTGTTAGCACATTAGCATAACGAATTCCTTATAGGCACGCCTTACAGCTACGGTTCGCATCTCGACCGGTCGGTTTGCCAAATTTAATTGTGGAGGAGCAATAATCGGCGCTGCCACTATTATTACTTCGGCGCACTGCGTAACCAGTCCTCTTGGAACGACAAAGTATCTTTTTAAAAAAGGAAAATTTTGTGTGCAAGACAATACTCTCTAAATTCAGCCTAATATTAACCACAGCACAAACAGTTCAAATCATCCAGTTTAACTTACGGTTACACAGTGAAATAATTTCTTATACAATACTTTGTGTTTGTGTTGTAGTGGCACAACGAAGATTTTCCTTCCCGGTCAACTGACCATCCGTTTAGGTGACCGTACAGACCAGTGCAGCAGCAGGAAGTTGCCGAAGAACGCCAGTAATTCCGGTTTGCCAGCATCCCGCGTAGCCGACACAACGCTTAGCGGCGATGCCTCAGACAGTGACTGCACTGCAGATACTTATACGGTCAGCAAGGTCATCCGGCATCCAGAGTACAATCCCGTCCTGGCTGACAACGACCTGGCCTTGTTGATTCTCTCCCGTCCCATTCGTCCCTCGCTGTGCAGTCCGTTACCTTGCGCTCTGTGTTTACGAGCCAAAGCCCCGGAGGTGGACGAGCAGTGCATTATTACCGGTTCGGCCGAGGAGTTGGACGTTACAGCAGGCGGTACGGCATTCAATCTCTTTCCAATTCTTCCCAACATCGATACATTGCTCATGTTTCAGGTATACATATTCCCGGTTTTTCAACGTCCACCAAATGGCTAGCTTTACAAGTGCGCCAAGCCAGCCTAACCAGCTCTAACTGCGGCTTTAACGTGGACGACGTCACGGGAAAATCCACCGATCTAGGGAAATTCATATGTGCAGGCGGCCTGAAAAACCAAGAAAGCTGCGTCGGAGACAGCGGTGCAGCGTTGGTCTGTCTGGACCCAACGACTTCCGGTCACTATCTGGCCGGCATCGCCTCCTTCATGCCGCCGTGTGGAGTGGCCATTGGCGCAATGTACTCGCGAATCTCCAGCTATCTGCCCTGGATTATCGCTAACTCGGGATCAGATGTCAGCCTGGCTTAAATTAGCACGGAGATGAATTAGAACAACGACAAACGATAATTTACTTTGGCAACATTCATACCGATTTATACTGGATGTTATGAAGGACAACTTAAAAACATTAAAAAATTGCTAACCGTGATTTGACCTGTACAACACATATTCTGTCGATAGAATGCTTTGCAAATTGAAAAGCAACAAACACTTCAATGAACGGCCAAATCGAACCACAACATACACGCAACGCAAAGCAACAGTAACAATAAAATGACAATCTTTCCTGAAAAGTGTTCGAATCATTTCATCGGCGTGTCCATCTCACTGGCTGCGAAACGTGGACCTTATTCTGGAACAAAAACTCGGCCACCATATGGGGAATCTTCCGGATACACTCTTGGTACTCAACAAACTCAGGTTCTCGATCCGCGTACGTAACCAAAAAACAGATGTCATCTAAGCAGGTAATGGCCAATTCGCGAGGCTTAAATCCACTGATATTAACAACCAATGAGTCCGTCTGTAAACCGGATCGCCCGGACTCAGCTACGCGGACCAATTCGCGGGCGTGCACCCATTCCGTACGCGTATTGGTGGAGGCATCACGAGTTAACCGTGCCGCCGTGCTGGCTGATTCCGGCGAAGACGGACCGCGTTTGGATTTCGCCAAACAAGTTGCAAAAGACGTTGTCGCAACAGCAGCAGCCGGTTGTCGGCCGCGTTCCCGGACGGGCGGTGGTGGGCGTGGTGCACGTGGTATCGGCCGCGTTCCCGCTACCGACGAGATCTGCTTCTGGATTTCGCGTTCCAGCGCTTTACCGTGGGGTAGATTCTTATCCTGCGCTTCTGCTTCCTCCTCACAATCCATAATGGATGCGATCGAGGGCCCAGCATCACGTGGGGGCGGGCGAATGGCCACAATAACAGGTTCATCAGAACTGGTGGATGGCGGCGAAGGAGGTAACTGTTTGCGTTTATCACATATCACAGGCAACACACTGGCTTTGGCTTGAGAAATGGAATCCGTTTGCTGAGTGTCTTGTGTGTTTGCTTCTTCGCTTATCGGTTTATCGAACAACAAACGGATGCGTCCATGGTAGACGGGAGGGACTTCCGGCAGCTCCGGGGAAGGTGGTTTTGCGTCCATACCGTCCTGATAAACAAAAAACGGGGCTATTGGCTGCAGCAATAACTGTTATAATTTTCACACTTGTTTTTCAGGAGAAGTATGAGACTCGTTCACTCCTGCTTCTGCCGACGAAAGCGTGGGGACCGTCGGAGGAGCACTGCAGTACGTGTGGTCCATCTCGAACGTCACCGGAACAATGGATTCCTGATCTACTTAAACAAAAAGGAAGACCTTGATGCAATTCAGCTGTCATCAACTCACCACAGGGTTCCTACCGTTTATAAGATCACCAGCTGCTGTATCAGCAGGTACTTCTGGCGGCGGATGCAGCTGCACAGATACAGAAGCAACCTTTCCCGGTCTCTCCTTGTTCTGCACAGCCGGAACGCCTGTGCGTTTCGCCCATCCAGGTCGGGAATCGGAATTATGATTCACCACTACGGTGCCCCGCAATTTTGGGAGTAGTTTGGATGCTCCAACTAGCCGTTCATCAAGATGAATAAACTATGCAGTAAGATACTTAGCAATTAACTGAAAAATCACCTCGAGGTTTGAGCAGTATTTCCGGTGAGCGACGAGCAGCCCTTCCGCGTTTTAAAACCGCACTCAGATTTTTCCGAGACGTGGCTTTATTACACGGGACAATAAACTGCACACCATCATCTGCAGCCAAAACCGATGCAAAACAATCAGATTCGAATCCAAATCATTAGATGCAAGCTTTACCGCTGTGCGACGATGATGCGTTGTTCTTTTTGGAGAAACTCAAGCTACTGTGGTATTCCCCCAGTGCCGGCGGAATGCCATGGTGTTCAGCGATGACTTCATCTTGTACAACAGGATCACTTTCAGGTTGAGATGAACTGGCTTCAGTGTCCGGTTTCGTGCTCTCCGCCCCTTTATCCCACAAATTAAGCTTTTTGGCTTTAGCTTTCGTTAGTAACTGCTGCTTGAAGACACGCAACGCCTCATTCGTCTTGGGAAAATGCTTCTCCGGTTCCCATGTTAAGTCGTCAAAGCCCAGCCATTTTACGAGGTATCGAGCCCTTCCTTTCACTCCTTTTTTTCGAAGGATTTTTTCCACTTCGAAAGTCTGGAAGCGGGAATCTTGGTCGGCTGCAGAATGCTTTTTCTTTTTGGCCGGCTTTTCTTCTACACACGAGAACAGTTCAATAACGAAGTGTTGTGAGAACCAACACAGCATTCAGACACTCAGGCAGCCATTAAAACTATTTAAAAGTGAAGCAAATATTAAATTCCGACGTCAAATGGAAGCTTATGCCTTGCTAACAATAAGCGTCCAAAACAAGAACCGAAAGGTCTCAGGGGCCCACCAAGCAGCAAAAAGAAAACAACTGCTCTGCTATGAAAAGTCAACACTTACCCAGCTCGGGACTGTCAAATTCTGCAACATGAGTCAGACTTTTACTTCGCTGCCTGTCTGGCGCGTTATCACCGCCTGGTGTATGCTTGCGATAAGATGCGCGTCCGGACAGTCGAGGACGCAGTGAGATCCTGGTAGGAGTGGGAGACTGCGGCGGCGCGTTAGTTGAGGATGATTCTGGCTCCGAAGCCGGCTGCTCATCCACTTTAACAACGGGTGAGTCCACGTTGTCCATGTTTTCCGCCATCGTGGCCGGTTCCCCGGACACATCCAGCGCGGCTTCCATACGAATCGGGATAAAGATCTGCATCCTGGATCCGCTGTCGCGGGAACGATTGCCGACGATCACTGCGTCTCCTGCATCACGCGTTGCACAATTTCACGACAAAATCTCCCACTGCACAAACAATCGTTTTACCATTGGCGTCCGCTGTATTTTCCCGTGGTGATGCTGCATCGTCGATGGACTGAATGGACGAGAGTTCGGAGGATGATGTGGCCGTGGTATGGCTGGAGGAACTCAGTGGCTGCCGCAATCGAGAGTACTGTAAAAAAAACGACCAATGAGTATTCGAGTCGAGTTCCCGATACCGTTAAGAGAGTATGCGTGCAAGCACGAAAGAAAACCAGCCAAGCATGAAAGAAGCCAGTGTGCACAGACGGAGTGGAGCATTTAACGTTGGCAACATAAATTTACTCCATTAAAGCGGGAACAGCGCGGAGGCAGGGGAATTGCTTCATTGAATTTCTTATCCTTCGTTCGTACAATGAAATTCGGCAGCGGACTGGGCAGGATCGTCCGGTACTTGGAGGGCGACCGTCTGACCAGTGGCACGGCCATATTCGATTCCGGACTGTGCGCCAGTGACGACGACTGACTGGAGCCACTGGTCGGTTCCCGCTTCACACGCCATCGTTCGCCTTGTTCAGCGGGGTCCATAACCTTCGAATAACGGACATATTTCACACGCTCCCATAGCAATTGTTAAAATCATTATTCCTGCTCCGTACTTACTACGGATTATAACTTTTTCTTATCACCAAACGTACTGTATGAGTGTCCCAAGAACGTGACAACGAATACAGTAACACAATTGCTGCCTCACTCGAAACGTTTTCTCACTCTTCCCAACCACTCCCGAAGTTCAGCATTGTCAAAGCAACAAATCAAAGCACTTGAAATATGCCCATAATCCATTGAAGCATTACGTAGCGTATTTAGGTCATTTGCACGAGGCAGCAAAAGTGTGTTCGCGTCTCCTTACTTCGTACTTACCCAAGATTAGAAATCCGTCCAAACCGTTAAAAGTATAATAAAAAACAAGATGCTCAAAGAGAAGATCCGTTCACGGATCACTAGAGCAACTGTATCTTCTGACTCTTAAGCTGTAGCAAGTGATCAACAATTCATCATCGGGCTCGCAACGGGCCACGAACAATTTTACAAATAAAGGAACGATTGAAACGTATTTAAACTTCGAAATGCGTTTCATGTATCTGCAATACTTTGGTAGATTGAACACCAAGGTTGCTAGCGCCACGAGTGAAACGTTTGCTACTAGGCTTTTAAAACGATTTCCCTGTTCCATATCGATTCCTGCCGCACGAGGCACGGCTACCGCCTAAACCGTAGTCTAGCTGAATAGAGGCTAGAAGGCAGGGAGTTCAGCTGGACTACGCCTAACTAAAAATGTGACCACGGCATTTGTATAAAAGCTTATCAAAATCAAACTCACTTATTACAGTAATTGTAAATAGGTTAGGCGTACGTATTTTTCTCTTGCATCGCAGTTTTCAGTCATTTGGCGCTTGCATAATGCATACATCACCGCGAAGTTGAAAATGACTGTTAACGTAAGTTATTGACTGCAGGAACATTTTTAAATAAACACGAGAGCTTTTAACATAATTATTACGTCTGTCCGCATGAATACGAGTAAGTACCATGCTGTGTATGCAAAACACAGCAGGTTAATGGGTTACCTGCTACCGAGATGAAACTATTAAACTGAAAAAGAAACAACTGAACGTTCCACGAGTAGCAGTATTTGTTTTTTATTGTGTTGCGGCCCGTGGTAGTATAGGTACATGTAGGTAAGTACTTTTATGCCCTAAACGGGTTGTTTATCCAGTTCCCGCGAAATTACAAAACGCTCTTATGCGTAGAGCGGATGCCTCTGACAATTGGTCATATTCTGTGCAGTGCACACCCACGAAGCTTCGTTAATTTACGATAAGTAAGTAATAATTCCACATACGGAAACGGTAAACCGGTTAAAATTCAAAATCCTCATTTTTCACCGTCAGTTACAAGTTCTTGTAGTTGTGATTTGTTAATGCTGCATTGTCTTGCCCTTTTATCATAATTATCGGTGTATCATCGGCCATGCGCAACCGCCAAATTTCATATTCCAGAACAACCCGGAATGCAAAAAGACAGCGAGCGAGAAACGGCTGGATGGACTGCGCCGGTGCACTGCAACCACACCTGGGTCTGGGCAATCACCAATTGCCTGGGCGTTATGGCTGATTGTCAGCCATGTATTCCCATTTCCCACGACACGTGGCTATTTGTGGGACATTTTCATCTTTTCTCCTTGGCAAAAAACGCATGGGTGCATGGGGTGAAGTGCAAAATTAGATGCCGGCAGAAGGGCACATGAAAGACAGTTCACAGCTTCCAAAAAAAGAATAGCATCACTTTAGCGCGGAGCAATACAGCTAAATATACTTTTAGTTTGGCTGAGGTGTAGTAAAGGCCGAATGAATTCCAGTGCATATCGAAAAAGCTGCCTCTTCGCAACTTTGATCTGGTACGTTAATTTTTGTAGCCAATAAAAATTTACACAAGTCATTCGCCAATGAGTCTTTAACAAAGACTAAAACATGTTGTACCATTCTGCATAAGTTCATAATAAAATGTGCAGTAACGAGCATTCTAAAAGAACAAAAGACACGGGCTCAATACAAGCCACATTCTTTCTACCGTGCTTAAGTAAAAAAAAAGTATTGCAGTCAACGAATCGAAGGTGCTTAGTTCAGACCACTAAAGAATACTGAATACCTTATGGATTCCCCATTTAAAGCCTTCACCCAAGACCATTCGAAAGCATAACATCGGAGCCCAACCGAGATTCTATCCAATAATCTCAAAACTGCGTACTGAAGGCTCGGTTTTTGATAGTCCGACCAAGCAGGGTTATCTTCGGCTTGATGGCCCCGATGCCACGACGCTGCCCGCAGTCGCCCAACACAGGCCCACTTCCCCGACTGGCCTTCAGTTCTCTATAATTAAAATGAGGTCTTACTTTTCATTGCTACGAGCCTTACAACCCGAACACACACCGAAAACAAAGTTTTAACAGTATCAGCAAATCCCATCTTCTTGTATAACTCGCCTCGTAAGAACCATATTTTCAATATGCGCCACTTCCAGATCCTTTTGCAATTCCGACATGCTTTTGGCCACCGGAGCGTGCACGGCCGCGTCATTCAATACTTCATGCATGGATAATCGTTGACAAGGATTCAAATCAGTCATGCGCTGGAATAAAACGTTCAAACTTAAATTCAGGTGTGCTATCCCTGGGATCATCCCATTCCGTTGAGCGACATCCAGCCATTTCCAATCAGTGCCTGTTTCCTCCGTCCGACATACTCGAGCCTGCAAAGCAGAGTGTTGCATTACCTATATCAGAAGTACGTACAGAATAATAGCAGGACATTCTAAATATGTACTAGTAGGATTACGATGTGCTTAACATTCAGCATCTGTATATTATGTACCGTTTCGAATAGAGTAATGCCAAGCGAATAAACATCAGCCTTGGATGGATCCGCTATGGCTTCGCTCATGCAATGCAAAATCTCAGGTGCTAGATACCGCTTGTCTCCGTCATTGTAATTATCCAGGCTTCCACTGCGAAATGACCTTACATGGCCCAAGTCGCCTGGAAGAGTTTCCGCTTAAAAGGAAGTGACAAAAAGATCAAAAACGAAAATCCAACTTTGACTTACCGATTTTATACAGATAACGGCCGGAATCATTGTCGCTCGGCTTAGGTTCGTTCGGCGAACAGCTGGACTGTTGCATTCGCCGGTACGACATAAATATGTTATCTAAAATGCATAATGAATCAGACTTTTTACAGCGATTTCGGAACTGGCACAAAGCTGGTACCTGGCTTGACATCAAGATGTACAAGTTTCTGCTCGTGCAAGAAAACCAGACCACTTCCGGCTTGACGGGCAATCCTCTTAATTTCATCCTCCTCGAATCGCTTTTCAAGAGCTATATTTTGATTTATGTGAGTTCGGAGGCTGCCGGCTACAAATAAATTACAACGATTACAGAAAAAATTATATGGCAAAATTTTCAGGAGAACTGATACAAGGATCGTATTCGTAACAACTCTAGATGTTCATAATACAAAGTTTAACGACTCAATTTCAACAAACCATCACAGTATTCCGACTGGATATAGAGATATCCGTTTTCCACCCAGGAAGAAAAATATCGAAGAACGTTAGGATGCGACTCCAGAGCAGCCAGTGCAAAGACTTCGGTTACAATATCGGTGCTGCAATATAAAGCGCTAAACGTTTGTACCGTTCAATACAATATTAAAACAATTGCAACTTACAAACTTCGTTGCTTCAATTTATCATCTGTACGTTTAATTGCATAAACAACACCATCCAATCGTTTCCTGACTTTGGTAACCACCCCAAAATGGCCATTTCCAACCACTTCTAATTCACTAAAATCGTTGTCGTATCGGCTCAGGGAATTAGAGACACTACTAGCCGACGAACTAGGCGAGCCCAAGCTGAAACGGACTTTCTCAGTTTTCATGTATTTTGGCCTGCTCTTGCACGATCCGTAGCCCGATTCAGGTGGCGATATGTCAGGATTTCTAGAAAATCAAAACACCAATTCGCCACCGCATTAGCTGTATGGTTTCATTGTTTCACTTACAGTAATAAATCTGGAGTCGCTAGCATAGTCGCAGCGGATCGCTTCGTCTGCAGATATCCTCGACTCTCCTGCGCGGCGTCACCACCCACACATCCGACTGCTTTAAAAGGATTCACATTGCAGCCTGAGTCCAGGCCAGTCTGTTCGGCCATTTCGTCTTTCGCGTCCAAACTGAACCTGGATCGATGATTGACGCTCTTCACAGGGCTTTTCGGAGCTTCACCGAATGTACGGCGATGCGGCATGGACGGCTTATCCGCTGGGAAATGAGCCGGTGTAGCAGGAATCGAGGCCACAAACTGAACAACCTTCGGATCGGGAGATGTGCTCATATCATGCAAACCGGATTCATCATGCTCAGACACAGTTGCCAGTGGGCTCGGTGGTGATCCCATGATAGGATCAGGCGAAGCAAAGAAGATCATACTGCGCTCGGTCAGCTCTTCGTCTCGCTCCATATCCATGCTTCCTGAAATTAATTACTTACTAATTACTTACAATTAGAAAAAGCGGCTCCTGACCTAACGCAGTAACTAAACAATTTTCCAATAATACAGAAATAAAATATACATAAAAATCATAAGGAACGTTTCACTACCACGAGAAAATCCATGATCAAACTTCGCTGCACTCACCCAGCTGATGACGCAGTCCACTAACGTCCGCCATAGGCACATCTTGCGAACAACGCTCCTCCGGCTCGGGATTCTCGGTTACAACCAAATCATCGTCACTCTCATCGAAGCTTAACCGTTTGTTAGGCATGATATCCAGATCGGGATCCGACAGATCAGCTTCCCCACTTTCCTCACTGCGACGAAGCACTTTGCGTTGCGATCGCGGAGGTGGAGGCGACGCAAATGGCTCCTCGAGCATCTCCATGCTGCTTTGCAAGTCACGCAGGCTGACGACGCAGTTAGCGAGTGTTTCTCACTACTTTTGATGGATACAATCTTCAATACAAAACAAGATCGTAAGCATCAGCAAACTTAAAGAATCTGAGAAATGGCACATTCTTTTCATACGGAATCCTGTAAAACAATACAACTTCTCTTCTACAGGCTACCATGTGCTTCGCAGCGGTACTGCCGTACTGGTCAAAGTTACAACGAAAAGAACTGTTCAGAAATTCTGGCATTTTGTCACATTTTGTGATTTTAACAACATTTCACATGAAAAATTTATCAAGTGCTAAGTAACGATTTAAACTTCTCTACTATTTATTCGTCAATTTGTAACGATAACGGATAGATTATAATGTAACAGATGTAAGTATAAGTTGAGGTTCTCGTTTCAGGATTGTAAAACACATATCTATATTCAATAATCAAAACTTTCGGTGTTTCCAGATCTCCAACGTCTGGAGCCTGGCTCTTGGCTTGAACATCCAACTTGCGCAAACTAAGGTCAATCACCCAAATCGACCACTTTAACGGGGCTAATAATAATTTAAAGAAAATGGTAAAACTGTCACAGCGTGTGTAATTAACCAGTAACCACTGGGTTCAGGATATACGCTTCAGGAACTGTGCCACCAGTCCACCAATGCGAACAAAATGCTGCCTTCGATTCCGATCCTTACTGCAATACTGTACCGTAAAATAAAGCGCAAAGTCATTAGTTAATACAATCATGACCAAAGCTTACCGTAACAAATCAAACCTCAACTAAGGTGAAGGTTTCCCAGAAACTGGAAACTGCCAACTTATCACTTATGGTTGCATACTATGATACTGGCGATGTTACTGCAGCTGACTGTGGAAAACGGGTCGAGCAGCAAACGTCCAACACTGCAATCAAAATTAATAAACCCAGATGTTTGATCGCTTTAGAGTACGCCACAACATTACAACAACATAATAATAATGTTAACAGGAAATGTCCCCATTAGTACAGTACAGTACTTGCACCAACTCGCGGAAAATTGAAAAAAGATGAAAGAAAATTTTAAAAAAAACCACATTTCACCGAGTATAAAGTACATGTTTGGACTAGTCGTTGACTAACAAGCCATACATACATACCTCTGTACACAAAAGTTCGCTCAACACGCCGCGCAACGGCGCATTGTGCAGAGCGGCACCGATGCGCGGAATCAGGAAATCAGGATTGTGGACGGTGCCCGACGGACGGTCCAGTCTGGACCGTCCGTCGGTCCAGACTAAGACAGACTCCGTCCAGAGTCCAGACTATCGACCGACCTTCTCCGACACACGTCCCCCCACACACACACGTCCCACACCGAAGAAAAGTCCCCCCTTCCGTCCCGAAAAATCTTGAAAATAACTTTTTAGTAGCTGTAGTCGCTGACTCGCTATGTTATTTCACAAGATGATAACTATAACGACGTTATAGTTATCTTCTTGTGAAATATGTTATTTCACAAGAAATATGTTATTTGTGAAATATGTTATTGTGAAATATGTTATTTCACAAGAAATATGTTATTTGTGAAATAAGTTATTGTGAAATATGTTATTTCACAAGAAGATAACTATAACGACGTTATATAGATAAGATAGTTATCTTCTTGTGAAATAACATAGCGATTAGCGACTACAGCTACTAGTCGTACAGCTACTAGTCCTACAGCTACTAAACTGACCAGTGAGTCGTACTGTTATAGACTTCCAAATTTCCAATTCACGTGTTCGAAAAAAATTTTAGTTACTAGTACGTATTACATTCGTTTCGTTACGTTATTTCACTGGAGTCATACAGGCAGACAATTTTTTCTATTGCTAACAGAATTAAAATTTCTTCACGCTTCCGCTGGATAGGACAATGGAAAGTACGCGTAGTAAGTTCGTCCCGGAAAACTCGGTTCGTGTTAGACTTCCGTGACTGCGAATTCAGAAAATCCCAAATCCTCGTACAACTTGTGTCTTGTACTGGTGTTGTAAAAGATTCGCAAATAACCAAAAGTCAAGGGTATACATATACTTTTCAAAAGTGCCCGGACACATCAAAAGCAGTCAAAAAGAACAGCACCGAAGAACAGGAACTTTTGACGAGGAGCACGGATTGCGCAGATTTAACCCACACACACACTGCTTAAACTTAAAGGACGTGGACCAGTTACAACCATTACACTGCAGGTGAATACAAAAAAGCCACATCGCAGAAATATCAACATTTTCAGATACATACGCTTAACAGCGAGACCAACAATAATCTGATTATTTATTTATTTCAGCAAACGAAAAAGAGAACGAAGCGATTAATAACTACAAGACTATACAATGGTCAGCGATTGTAAACTTGTACAAGACCATCCCGTCACTTGTACTGCCAGTCTTTGTCGAAGCCCGATCCCTGACCACTGTCCCACGGGATGTCTGTCTTATGTCCGTGCTCCGCGTCAAAATCCAGCTCTCCCGAAGGTTTCGCGAAATCCCTGTCGTATTCCCCACCCAATGCAATAGGCTTCTCCCCCGAATTGTGCGCTCCAGGCTCTTGCGGCGGTGGATTAGGAGCTCCTTCAAACAACTGCCCGCTGGCGGGATTCGAGCCGGTGATGAACGGCTCTCCTATCAAGGCTTGGTTCCGCTTCTCATCCCGAGCTGAAGAGAAGTGCAATTTTAATCATTATTTCCTTATCAGAATGCTGCTCGACGAATCAGACTGTCCGTCCCTACCGGAAATCAGAACAAAACCATTTTGTAATTGACTAGTTTTTGGCAGTTCGAAAAATAAACAAACAGTCCCAGTCAATTTTTTGAAAAATTATGAAAGCTCATATCTTGTGCAACTTTGCCTACTAAATACATAAAAATAAAACACATACACGAGTGCTTTATCATGTATAATTCTATATTTTGCATCAAACGCAGCGACATGCTGCAATATCGTTAACAAGCTTTCGTCAAGAGCAGAAATTCGCCTGACCCCTCGAAGTGCGTAGTATAACTGTTTTCCAGTTCCTCAAATCCAATAAAATTTTCCAGTGATATTGCACGCGCGCTGTCACGCTGAGGTTGCAAATGATGTGGTTAACAACCACCGCTAGTACTATTATTACTATATCGCCATTCGACACAGGCACTTGCAAGTCAACCGAGGTAAGTAAAGAACACTTCCCGACTTCCGGTCGGGACTCGGAAGTGAGCATTGTGTAGAGCGTACTGTACACCTGTCCCCAGCTCTGCTCAATCCGACAATCTTCTGTAACTGCCTGTTATTTCCTGAACTTTCCTTTGCAAGCACAAGCAACCCAGCTGCCAACTGATCTACCCTGTACAGTTACGTTTCCTGTACTGCTTCCTCCATCGAGATGCTGCGGGCTGTTTGGACATCATGCATTTGCAGCCATGACGCGAAACTCATGGGACTGATTCAAGGCGGATGACTGGAGCGGCACTACAGGGAGGATATTTTGCGCGATATCGTGTTCCCCTTGTACAGCACTCGTGCTACTCACCATCAGTAGTAGGTAGTGAAAAGAACAAATAACAATACTATAGTGGAATGGTAATAATAACAAGTCAACTGCGGTAATCAATCAGGAAATGCATAGTATTAGAAAGGTCGACATAAGAAATTATAAGACAAAGTTCTATGTTTAGAATTATGTACTCATAAACCGGAAACAAGCAAGGTAAACCACAGTAATACGCTGGATAAAAACTGGATATAACCTGCCATCATTCTTTATTTTATATCGTTTGGGAAAATAAGGGTTAAAAACTTGGAATTACTTTTGTATTAAATCGCAGCTGACTAATACGTTACGGGCCTACGGCTAACGAAACAAACACAGAAGTTTCATTTAATAATTAAAATTGTATAAATTAAATAACTTATTAATATAACTTTGCAGACATTATCTTACGACTTCAGAAAGAATACTCGCGTTCGCAGTACCGTGCCCATGGGGAACACGGTACTGCATTCATTTCCACCGCGGATCAGAAGCCATATTATCACAATAAACGAAGAACTCGGAAAGGTATCTCTAAGTCTGTAACCCGTGAAACTGCTCACTGGACAGTGGACGCACCTGCTTCTGTGCGTCTTGCACGCTTCCACCTGCCCCAAACCCTTCATCGTGGAGCGGAGGGATTTCCCTGCCATGCTCGCACGTTGCAGTATGAACGGCATGGCCTGCGTTGTCTGCGTGAAAGGAAGCATTTCCCTGATCCAGGCGCACATCTTTGGCCTGGTTGTCTGCCTGGTTATCGAACATATTCTCCTGACGCTGGGATAAATCCTGCTTCACATTATCCCCACTTTCTTTTGCTGACCCACCTGCTCCTTTTGAACTGTCGAATCCACCATGTGCCGTATCCATGATTTCTTTAGCGTCCTAGGATAGTCCAAATAACAGAAATGTACGCTACGACTATTTTGCTTTCACGTAGAAGCAAAACAATATTTACCAAATATGTATTGTGCTTTTAACAGACACCAATGGTTTGCACTTTAAATATAATCTTTCATCTGAATTTCACGATACCGTATATCTGTATGGTGTCACTGAAATTACAACACAAAAACATACGCACCAACCAGGAAGCGATTTACCGAAGCAAATACAGCTTCAACGGAAGCAATGGAAAAGTCCCAACGACGGCTTTTACTTCCGCTGGGTTGAAAGTTGAAATGGAAATCAATAAGAACTGTGCCAGTACCACACCTGCCGTACATCATACCAATATGAGTCGCAAACTCGCAATGCATATGACATATGACATTATTGTAAAGTGTAATAATTTTATAATCTGGTTCACGACTTCACGCTATGTAAGCAGTATGAAAGTACTTATGCAGATTATATTATACAAATTATCGCTGCTTCAGCAACTGGCATGTACTGTAAGTACATATGAAAAGATACCCGGGTACGGTTTCTGCCATTACTGCGGCATGCACACAGAGTATTGTACCTTATACTATATATAGGGGGAAATCGATAGCATACTATACACCTATATAATAGATATATCAAAATTCAAATTTTAATCTGCAGAATTTTAATCTCCTCAGGGCTGATATCATAGTAAGGCACCAGATTTTTACGATCTTTGTTCCTGTCGAACTTACCTAACGTAAGTACCGCACCATAATTATATGACTTTATTAATATGCACAGTATGTTTATCCACTAGTACACGTCAATTTCTGTTTCCTGCAGACTACTGATTCCCCACAGGTAATTTAAAGCGATTCTTTATTGAATTCGTCACTTTAAGTGAAGCCACAAAACCGCCACCACAACATTAGAACTGCTGTGTTGAAAAAGATCAGACAAATAAAGCGTTAAAAAATAAAGACAACCAGAACCTTGAACCAAGCGCAGATTCAACGATAAGTTAAAGAACATCTGTCCCAATATGGAATTAAAGAAACGAGCGGAAAATCAGCACATCCGGATGATTCACAGGAGAAAGAGAAATTTACCAGTTGGTACGGCTGGTATAAGAATAACCTGCAAACAAAGGGAAGCAATAAAAATCTTAATCCCGACGCTTTTCGTAGTCCCGTTGGGACCTTTACTACAACTTCCAAGATTTGCAAAAAATCGGCTTGGCCTTCTCAATAATAAAAATCAAATTTTTGAATTTTTATAATTTCTTATCATTGTAAAGCTACTTACCGCGAGTGTTGTCGCGATCGTTGTTGCCGTATCCGCCATAATTGCGGCTAGTGTAGTTATCGGCACCGTAAGTTGGACGATCCCAGTTATTAGAGCTGCTGCTGTAATAGCCGCCACGCGCAGTTGCCTCTCCGCCAGTTGTGTAGCGGTTTCCATCATAGCGATCACGATCGTAAGTGGTGGTAGTGTTGGACCATCCGCGATTGTCACCTTCGAAGCGATAAACCAATCAGTGCACATCAACCATAAATATTATCATAAACCATAAAATTATAATACAAGTACTGCCACCAGCCCACAATTAGCGGGCCGGGTTACTTCAGGAATGTTAGTAAAACCATAAACGCCAACGGTGAACCTGGGAAACCATCAGTGTCTTCAAATTTATCTGGTTTAAAATTGCTATAATTACCGTCAGAAAACTTAAACCGCAAAAGTTCAAAGCACTCTTTTTAGAGCTGAATCAAACTTATTTCCGTTTTCCATAATTTAATACAGTTAGCGTTACTTTATACTTACGATCATAGTTGGTGCCGTATCCGCCATAGCCGCGGTTGTACTCGCCGCTGGTCTGGTAACCATATCCTCCGCGATAGTCAGTGCCCAGACGTCCGCCGAATCCACGGTCACGGTCATCATCACGGACATACGTGTTGGTGCGCGTCGTATTGTTGTAATTATAATCACGGTCACGGTTGTAATCGCGGTTAACGTTATAGTCACGGTTGTAGTCGCGGTCGTCGTTGCGGTAGGTAGTGGTGCGGGCGTAGTGATACTACAGTATAAAAAATTTGGAATTTTTCAATAATTACGAGGAAGTAAAAGCTGCTCCAACAGAAGAATTGCAACGTTTAAAATATGCTCCTGTTCTACGCAAGCAAATTATCACTCACGTCACGGTCATCATCCTTCTTTCCCATTCCGAACCATGAGCGCCATCCTCCTTCACGATCCCGGTCGTGATCGTCATCACGGCGGTAAGTATATTCCGATCGCTGATACATGTTGATTGGGTTATACACAGATAAATACGTTTTGAAGAAAAACGAAAATCTTTTGCAGGAAATCTTAGACTCAAACAATGGTGCTGGTCTGCTAGCTCGTCTCGGTCTTTTATACCCAGATTGCAGGGATTTTCCAAATCGATGACAGCGAGAATAGCTGAGGGCGTGCTCGGTCCAGCCTCCCCTTCACTGGCTGTAGATTGAAAGTACAGTACTGTACGCACTGCATTATTATGCGTATTATGTACAATAGGTAAGTACGTACAAACAAGACCGGTTGAAGTTAATACAGTTGAGTTCTTTCGTGTTGTCCATGTGCCGAGCTGTTCACAGAAGCCGGCGCGGCGCTATCAGACGTCTGAAATCGAGGCACCGGTCCATTCGGAACAATACCGATGAGCTGTCCTTGGTTGGATCGGTGAACGGAAGATTCCCAGCTGTGTTCAGGGCAGTTTGTTGCCTTTTTGTCCAGGTGAACCTCTAACAGTTATTCGCCAATCGTTAGTAATATATTATTGCATTCTCATCGTCGCAACTTGATTTCCTTGAATCTGGGAATGCAACAAAATTACTGGCGTTGCTACCCTCGTTACAGTTAATAAACAGTAAACACCACTTTAGGCACGTAAATGAACGATGAAGTTGCAAGCGAAACAAAATGATAAATGATTGTTGAGTACAGATATTGTACCTGGAAAAAATTATAACTGCACTTAATAATTGACACTGTAGAACTGCAATCCTTCAAACTCTTACAGTCGTACACAGTACGTCATGAGAGATCTCTGTTCATTACTTATTTATTTAGGTTATGGCGGGTACTGAGGGCACATCCATTTCCAGGTGCTGCAGCCGAATTGGCAATATTTACTTGCTCTATGATATTGTTGTCTGCCGATGTGTTTGTAAACAAGGTCATTGTCAAGGTTATAAAGCGACAAAAGTTAAAATTTCCACACTGAGGAACGGCCAAAATAAGATAAAAGCTATCGCACTTTTTACAAAAATGTTTTTCTTGGTTTTGTTATTTCTTGGTTTCTTGATTTTGTTCTACCGGCATTCACATATGCCGGGAACCGGGTGGCAGATATCGCTCTCCGATTTTTACCTGTTTCTCATGAGCGGTTTGCCGCAATGTGAACTTGTTAGATTCATTCGATAAAAATTTTCATTAGCTACAGGCCTACAAGCAACAATTAAACTTATTTTAGAAATCAAGACGTCCTTATTAATTCCAGCGTTTATTAAAATCATGTAAAAATTAATTTTGCCCCAGCTCACAAAACACAGAAGCTCGCGTCAATGGTTTACCGTACGAAACACTTCAGTACTTCAAGTGCTTACACCTTTTTTGTTCAGAGAAAGACATCGTTTTTCAATAAAAAGTGAAGTCGTTGACATAGTGTGTGCGCTGGATGGGCTGAGCGGAAATTGCACTTTGTGATAAATTAATGCGACTTTTTTTATTTGATTTTTTAAGAATTTTGCTTACAATTTTTGCTGCACGACACGCTGTAACAAAACAAGGTTAGTTTGTCATGTAATTGTGATTGCCCTTTCAGAAACGATTGCGAACTTGATCAATTAGTGAATCGCTGATAAAGAGTTCATTTTCAAAAAAGCCTGTCAGTGAGTTGCACGAGATGCAAGTGTAATATCTATCAGAATAAGAGAGCTCATAATATAGATGTGTTTCCTTGATATAAAAATTATATATATATATATATATATATATTATATGTATATTTCATAGTTTATACTCGTATACAAAGTATATAGCTGCAGACAATAGACATACAGTACTTTGAACTTTAGAGTGCAATATTTTCGCAGATGCACAGTATAGTAAGCGTTTATCGTAATAGAGGATCAGCAAAGCAAGACATAGTGAATTAATCTTTCAAGCATGTACCAGAAGTGGAGAAACAAGAAAATCAAGATTTCCCGAATTTATGATTTAAGTGAGCCAGGAATGGAATGCTCTTGCGGTGCGACATGCCTTCATAGTTCATGGATTTCATAAACAGCGAAATAGGTACAATATTATACCCGTAGCGGGAGTGGCCCTAGGTAGTTACAGGAAACCGCAGCGGCTTTGTCTCCGCGTTTCTTGTGGCCTACGGCCGGTTTTTCTTCGAATGATTTTATTAGATTATAAAATATTTTAAAATCTTAGGTTTTGGTGAATTTGGGTAAAATATATATAATATAACGAACAAATTCCAAAATCAGAAAAGGCAAAATTTGAAACGAAAATTGAAAACAACTCACAATTCAGATGATTTTACGACATTTGCGAACCTAGCAAACAAAGAGACTAACAAAGACTAACAAAAAACTCAGAATCAAACAGCCAGAATCCACAGGTTGTCAGGTACTACATCAGCGAGCTCACTGCCACCACATACTATATTACGTGCACCACATATTATTATGTACATAGAAGTATAAAAATTTAATAATATCGTACGTCTGTGTTTATGTACTGAACTTACTATACTCGCACCAACATTGTATACTCATGCCTGTTATAGTATCTGTTACTCATATAATAATTATACCTATTTATCATTTCTGTTATAGCCAATTTCACATAACGGTTACACATATCCACCACTAACAAGGAAATCACTTTTCTCGCATTAACGGTAGTTTATTTCGTTTTCGCGACTAACATAAGGTACTGAACAAGTTTCATCTTTCCTAATGCATTACTTCCTGTTAGTAACTACCGTACTAAATCTGTTTATCAGTATCTATTGATCTTTAATACCTCTTGTTCACGGTCAAAGATAATTTCAGTTTACTCACAAAAGCATAACTAATGCACTGCCCCCTCACAATAATATTAGCACAGCATTGAATAGAAACGACTTCAAACGAGCACGCAACATTTAATAAACAAACGATAAAGAATTTATTTCACTGTGACCATAACACCACAAATAAAAAATGAGAATGGAAATTCGAATGGAATCACTGGATCGCACTCGGGTCATTTACATCCAGTTGCGACGATCGCGGTCGCTGTCACGCACAAACGTCTCTCCACGCTCATAGCGTCCACCATACGCCAGATCGGGACGGTTTGGGCCACCGAAACCACCAAAACGATCCACATCTCGGTTACCACCGAATCGGTCACGATCTTCAAAGCGCCCTTTAAAATTAAGTTCTATTTAGTACAGCCGTTGTAATTTACGTCCAGTCGTCCACATCAGCGATAACACTTCCGGCCTTATCGAACTTTGTCTGGTGAATATTTAACTGAAAGAAGATCTCACCTCGATTGTATTCACGGTCGCGATCGGTATCACGCTCAGAACGGCCACCGAACTGCTGCTGCTGTCCATAACGACCGCTGTATTCATCGCCGAACTGATTGCCGCCATGCAGCTGACGATACTGTTGACTGTGAGATTCAAATCCGCCATATGGCTGTTAAAGATAAAACAAAACGATTGCCGGCCGATAAAATACAGAGAACTTACGTTTTATCTATCGAAACTATTATACTGTACCAAGCCTTAAGAGCAGCGCTCAGCCATGAAAAGCTGAAAACATATTTTAAGCGAGAAATGCAGCCATAAAAAAACACATCAGCTAGCTGATTATGCAGTGACAAATCAAAAAACTTATTCTGAAATCTGTACGAATAATTCAAAAATCATAATATGAGCGGTTTACCATTTACTGAGGTTGGAAAGTAAAGATTTATTGCAGTACCGTGAAAATTACATTTTCGGTAACTCACCCCAGAATAGTTTCCTCCCTGGCTGCGTCCCGTATACTGCTGACCGTAAGACTGGTAGTCGCTTCCTTGACCTCCGGCGGACACTTGCAGATCCTGAAGGAGTTGGCCAGCACGCTGCAGCAGGTTGCCCACCTCGCGCAGCTTGCTCTGCACTTCCTGTTGATTCATGGCGCCAGCGGTTCCAGCCGTTCCACGATACTGCTGAGTGCTGCTGCTGGTATCGTAATCCTGCCCATAGCGGCCATGCTGCTGATTCTGGGTGCTGGTTCCGGTAGTGCCTGTGGTGCCGCGGTTGTACGATGCGTAGCTGGTTGTGTCGTCCTGATGGGTGCTGCTGCTTGTAGTGTCCTTGTTCGTGCTCGTTGTGTCCTTCTTGCCTGTCGTCTTGTCCTTGTCAGCGTCAGACGAGCGGACGTAGGTAGAGGTAGTATTTTCAGTATCCTTAGTAGTAGACATTTTAAATCACTCTCACGGAAACGAAAAAAATTTCGAAGATTCTGTGCACTTTGTAAATTGCAAAAATCGAAACATGGTATACAAGGACAGCTACGGTCGGCTTTTATACCGTACACCGTTGACTGAACTCTGCTTTGGGCGTGCCCGTACTCGGTAGACACGCACTAAACTGGAGTATAAGAATCAGCCAATTGCCGAGGGCTCGCTTGCACCCACCGTATACCTCGGATCAGGCAGAAGGTATTGGGTGGCAATGGGTGCTGTGCAATTGATACAAGTGTACGCCGAGCCGACGTACAATAACAACAAACAAAAATGTCCGTGTTATTATTTATGGAATTTCCCATTCATTTTGTGCCCTTTGCAAAGTGTGGGCAGCAGCCAAAGATACTGTATATGCCACCATGGATGAGCTACCGTATGGAGACTCTGAAAGTCTGAATTGTACTGTATTTTGGAGCAGTAGCCACTAGTGTATGATTGTACGATTAACATCACCGAACCGTTCAATGTGATGGATTTTCCTTATGATAAATATGGCTTCGGGAAAATCCGAATGCTTTCACAAAAGAACCAAATCTCGCTTGAAACACTACAGGGAAAACCCAAGCACCAAAAGTGAGTGATTTTCGCGAGCGGAAGAAGCAGGATATCGTTACTTGCAAGTTACGACTTCCGGCATCTGTTGTAACGCGGGAGTTTTGATTGTGACAATGAACTGAAAGCTGCCAGCATGTACGATAGCAAAATAAAACCTTTTTGATCGATAGTTTATTGAATAAAAGTAGCGAGTTCAGCATCTAGCAACTTCACTCTTGAAAACAGCGGGGAAATCTCGATTTTCCTCCAATCGAAAAAAAATGCGGATTCCGTCGGCTATTCTAAGTAGACATAATAAAGCGGAAGTGCAAAGTTCTCGCACTGAACCCATAAAAAACCACTGCAGTTTGCCAATCACAGATTTAATCAACCATATCTCGGTGCAAATTCAGGGTCAACTGAAAAAAATCTGCAGTTCACAATCTAGTGAGAAAATTCGATAGTCTCGGAGGCATTAGCGAAAAGGAATTTGTGCAGGAATTCGAGCTGAGACAAACGAACAGCAACATAGCTAATACGGCAGTTCCAAAAAGCAGCATTCTCAATGCGAATTCTGCAGGCCATGGAAGCACTTTGCTACGGAGTACGGATTAATCTTTCTTCGAATGCCCGCGCTGTCCCTGCACCAATTCATCAACCGTACTTCCCGTCAAAGTCTCCACCACACCATCCACTTTCTGCTTGACTTTGTCCAACAGGCTGTCGCCCTGTGTAGCGCTCTCCGTCACCGGATCCCGCAGTTGGACCGGTTGCCCCAGATCTTCTTCGCGCTGTGCGATGCGATCCTCTACGACCACATCACCTCCCACACGTCCGCTACCAGAGTGGCTGCTCTCTGCTTGCTTATTAGAAGAAGCCGGGCTGAACACTTGCTCTCCAATCCGCTGTCCGTCCGGGCATTTAGCGGGAGTAGCCATTATTAACTGTAGAAGTAAACAATCAAAGTAAAATCCTGAAATTCTAAAGGGAAATTCCACTGACTGCTACTTCGCTTAGTGACGCACTTCTAAAAAAACGAAAAACCTGAACTGATAAATGCTGAATTTGAAATGAATAACTATGATCTCTAGGAACACAAGTTTGCAACCTTGTAAAGTTTAATTATAACCGAAGGTTTATAATAATTCAGTTTATTATGAGTACTGAAGTATGTATTGTACTGTGTATTTGTACAGTACAGTACTGGACTTCTTGTTAGTCAGTAAAGCGACCTGGCAAATGTTTTATTTAAGCTACAGTGACTCTTCTGATCTCAAACTAAAAAATCATCTGAAGTGAAAACAGCATGAGCATGCCCAAACCAAACTTTTTTCTTCAGGCACACAAACTGAAATGGTTGAATTAAAAATTGTCATAATTATCACATATGACATATCTATACGCATATAACAGTTATTGAACTTAGACGAGAATCATGCTACATAATTCACACACATCATTCTGATTCCAATAACTTTTAGCCCAACAAATATTGCTTTTTAAACCGGTAAAGTGGTTAAACGGTTTTATTTAAACCATGTTTTATTATCGATTGTTTACGAATTCTATACACGAAACTTAAACCGGATCTAATTAAAAAAACAGAGCTTTGATATGAGGTAATTCATGACATCTTTTACTTTCTTAGAAAACCTGTGACTGTTTTTTAAACCGTTAATCTGAGCTACTCGTACAATTAATGACACTGCAAATTTCAACAGAAAATTAAGTAAAAAGTATTTATCCATGGCTGACATAATTCATAAACCCTCAGTGCTGTATTACATTCCGCCTCCAAGAAAAACAGCGAAATCAAGCACTGTCATTTTGCCACCTTTACAGTTTACAGATACATACTGGTACTGCCTACAGCACACAAGAAATAGAAGTTGCAGTAAACGAAGATGGATGTTTCCATGCAGTCATGAGCTGCTAAAGTGCTTATGGTTAGGTATGTTCAATTTCCAACAAATATTAATTTCATACACCGGCAGTTTCCAAAATCTGGAGAAAATTTCTTCTGCTCTTTGCCCTGATATCCTTATACGGAAACAGATCGCTCAGTATTCTTCACTTCATAATTATTATTAATTACAACATTATACCCGCAACGATCAAGCTGGTGACACCGTATAACATGTCTGAATCTGATGCTGAGAATATTTAGATTAATGAGATGCCTGCCCGCTTGAGGGCTACAGTTGGTCTTGGCTTTACATTTAGTGCTACCAGCGGTCTTCCCAAAATTTGGAAGACAGTCGAGTGGGAACGAGGTTCAATAAAAACCTTCATTCAATAAATCTAATTTTTACTGAACCCCACTCCCACTCGACAATCTCCACACCCGTCAGAACGCTGTAATTGCATTAAGGGAAATTATAGTGCTAAGTTGTAACTGCTAACCTGGAAATCGTCCATAATTCATAAGTTATACAATAATAATTATTTCGCTGTTAAAAATCTCATAACAAAGTCGAAGCACACGAACGTTCAGCCATTTTATCTGTTACAGATAAAATGGCTGAACGTTCGTTCGCTGAACATTCTTAGTTCTTACGGCTTACCTTCTGTATCTGTATAAAATTACCGTGCGTCGCTGAAGTCCGGACCTACTAGAATAAACAAAGCTATCCACCTCTTTTATGTTCACACATAAGTTCACAACCTTTAGAAAACTTTATAACACTTCCATTAAAAACAAAAAAAAACTGAAAAAGCCTTGAATTGTACAAGTCTAGTGTATGTAGAGTCTGTAGACTGTAGAGATTGCGGTGTTTGCTCTAGTTTCTACCCTAGCTTTCTGCACATATCCGACAACCTCAACCCGAGTGCGGAACACTGAAGGTTCCGTGGAAACACCGTGTTTCAGTGGAAACACTTGCCTGCCGCTCGGCCGTCGCGGGGTGTGACTGTGGAATGTGGCGACTGGCGAGTACTGTACGAGTAAGTGCTGTACTTAATTTATCCACGGATTCAACCATTCTCAAGTGAGTGGACACGGACACGGTCGCCCCATCCCACGTCAAGTCGACTTCCGTTGTGGCGGATTCCACCGCTGCCCAGGCCGAGGACAAGAAAACCAGACTTGGACCAGTTCAGAACTACGCTTATCTTGAAGGCGGACACATTTTTGTCCCGCTAGCTTTTGAAACTCTTGGCCCTAATTCGCTTTGTTCTTGTTAAGAAATACACTTAATGAGACTGGCTTGAGCTAATAAAGATAAGTTCTAAGTTCGTAAAGCTTTTTTCAGATGGATGTTAACTTGTTTGTTAATAACAGACAGCAGTTTAGTTTTTACGAACCCCTACTGCAGTACTTCTATAGCTGACCGTCAGTCAGCAAGTTCGAAAATATAACATTTAACGAGTTCATTTCAAAATTTTTGATAATCTGCCTGCCACTTCAATAAAACACTGACACAAAGGGAAACGAGAAATTCGATTAAACGATTCAAGACCGAATGCAAATATGTATGTCTTCACCACCACCAAAACTGACTGCATCATGTCTGCATGCATTCACTCATGACGTTACAAACTGCAAGCCATTTCCGTAGGAATCGGCCTGTGATCAATTTTGATTATAGTTATACAGTTAAAGTACAAATCACTGGAATGAAAACAACAGAACGTTTATTAGAAAGAGCGAAGTGTGCAGCAGACTAATAGGTCCCGCGCGCCATTCAGTTTCCGCACTGGCAGTTTGCTCCGCACTGACAGTTGTCGCAGGTGCAACCCGGCTTTCCACTTCCCTTCCCCTGCTGCTTCCCGGCTCCCGAGTCGCCACACTTGCAATTGGTTCCGCACTGGCAGTTATCGCAAGTGCATCCAGGTTTTCCGCATCCTTTCCCTTGCTGCTTTCCCGCTCCCGACTCACCACATTTGCAGTTGCTTCCGCACTGACAGTTGTCGCATGTACAGCCCGGCTTTCCGCAGCCCTTTCCTTTGCCTTTTCCCTGAGCGTGCGGATCTTCTTTGGCAGACAGATGAGTCTTCTGCTCCAGTTGCTGCTCCGAGTAATCATCTGAAGCCATTCAAAACCATGCAAACTAAATCCAAAGAAATTTCGTTTTACTATCGTACTTCTCAAATTCGTTCTGCTTTGTGGACTACGCCATGCAGCTTTTGATTTTACGCTAAAGCAATATGCAGTACAAGGAACTTAATGTGTTAAATAAAACCATATTTATTCTTACATTCAGTTCACAGAAAGATTTCACAGTAACTTCAAACACGATCACATTAAGCATCAATCGACAAAGGCGGCCTAATCACAGAGAAAATTTGGTCTAAATTTGCCCCTATCGGTGCTGTCCCCAAGATTGATGCCGCATTTCCTCGTTCGATTTCGATGCTTATCCGCTGGGGAACCATTAACCTTGCTCCCACGCGTATCTCTGTTACTAAAGAATTAGCAAGTACAGGGGGAAATTCTAAGCAGCGCAATGCGAATCCCAAAATTATTAAACTTTTTAATGCTCTCAGTCTCAGGTTCTGAAATACTCTGTAGAGGCAGGATGTGGAGCCGCAAATAATACTTCAAGACTTAGTATCGAAATTTTAAATGGTTTACGTACATCGACAGTAGGCGCGTCTGCAAATTTTTCGTTATCAGACATAAAAGTACTAGTACCGATCGCAACTTTCGACATCGTTGATTACTGAACCCTATTTTCCACTGAACTACCGCACGTATCCAGCGATTCAACATACAGCATCCGGCTGCTGCAGTGCTGCTGCATACCAGAACAGTACTGGCACTTACACGGCTGTGAGGTCCTGCGGGAAAGTTCAGGGATCCCTCCAACACCCTTATCGAGTTCCGCAAAATCGATTTTGTCTCCCTCTTCGGCCATTTTTACGAAGTTAATGAAACGTTAAGACTGATTGTGAAAGGTCAGAAACCGAATGTTTAAAGACAGTTGACAGCTCCAGGAAAATCAGTTTGATTCAATCGCAAGCGACAAGTCAGAAGGTGCTGCGTTCGAAAGGCGCGTTGGCACTTGGCAGTGGTGTTGATAAACATCAGTAGCAAAGATTTCTCCATAAGCCAAGCTCCCTTACCTGCATGGGCCCCTGGAACTGCCTTTATGTAGGCTGTCACAGATGCGGATTTCTGTCACAATGCTGTGTAATGTTTATAGTAGTCTTTAACTCTTTATACTTATTCCAGCGACTGTGTAAAAGTCTAGGGCCCTGCTTTTTCTACTCGCATTCTATTCGAAGTATTCTATTCGCATGAATTCAAACAGGATAGTTGGAGCCTTGGAGGCGCCGGTACTACTTATTGTTTATTCTATAAAACTAATATATTGTACTGTACATAATAATTATCTACTTTATATATTATCGTAAAGAATTATGTAAGGGAGCCTGGCGCATTCGCGCTCGGCACTTAAGTACTGGACAGAGAATAGATTTGGCTTCCCTTTTGGCCTTTACAAAGGTCAAAGTTTTAAAGGGCCTCCTAACAGTAGAAATCGGGTTTGAGAAAACTGGAAATGATGGTCGCCACTATGATGAGGTTTTTGTACATTTTATCACGATATCGAAAAATTACGAAAATAGACCGTAAAAAGTAAGTAATGACATTCTTATTACGATTTCACGAGGCCAATATTAATGCCGCCAAGCACAAGTAATGCACGAGTACTGTAGTCGCGCTTGCAGATACAACACGGAGGAACAAATACTATGGCAGCCATGACATGCCAGCAGCCTCTGGAATAAACTGGAATTCTATAGTCCTTTGGATTAATAAATCCAAATAAGCACTCGAGCGTCTTGAGTAGTATGTGCTGCAACCGTCTTGAGCAATGAGCACTATCTACAACTACAGATACCAATGCGCCTGGAACGGGCTGGAATGGGCAGTGATACCCTAACGCTTCGCTAGTGACTGACTTCAAGCTGCGACACTTGTCGTATTGGAAATAGTTGGATAAGTCGAAGTCGTTTCACCTTTGGAGAGGTAGGTACCATTAAGACTGGCTGTGGTGGAGGTTGCAAACTGAGCCACGGTCGATACCGGCATCTGGTAAACCAACGAGCCTTCGTAGTGCGGCACTGTCACCAAGGGCGCCGGTGCCAGTTGCAGATGCCCGCCAACTCCGCTTCCGGGAGTCTGTTTGAATAACAGCGCTTCCAACCATTTGTTGGCCAACTGCGCGTCCAGTGTTATGGGTCGGGAAAAATCCGGTCCTACCGGCTTCTGCGCAAACCCATTGCCACTGTTTGGTTTGCTAAAAAATAGCTGCTCCAATCCTGATAAATTTTTCCATGAGGTGGTCTTCGGCGCCGGTGTTGTCGGGAAATATTGTTGTACATATTGGGAGGGATCCACTGCGTCACTGGTCGGAATAGGAAGCTGCTCGTCCGCGTATATTTGTGATAAGGCGGCAGTTGGATTTCTTGAGGCCAGCAACAGGTAGTTCTGCAAGCCGGAAGGCAGCGGAAACGGTACATAATGATGGCGTGCGGATATTGGGTGACTTTGCTGAATGCCGTCTTCGATTCCGGTTGTGAGTGGATTAATGTTGGGATTTATTGCGGTCAGAGTACGGAGTTCCGCTACCGGTGGCATAATATCGGATTTTGTCGCGGAGGTCGACCTTTGGTTTCCGGGAAATGTCACGGATGTTCTTTGCTAAATGATATTGGAAGCATTAACGGTAAATTTGGAACAATTTTAAATAGTTGAATCGAAAGAGAGTACGAAGTGGAAAGCTTGAAACATACGATCTACGGATGCACTGTACATATACACATTTTTAATGCAAACTTTAGGGTTTTCACACCTGAACTGCAGTTTTTATATCATAAACTGTTATTCACTATCATGCAACTGCAAGGAATACGTCAAGGATGTGCCGCCATTGCTGATGTACCTCGTTATTATTGCGCTCTGTTTCGGCTTTCAGTTTTTGGTCGCGGTATGTATGGAGCAGCTGGTTGAACGTGGACAAAAACTGATTGTACGCCGCCACATTAGCCGCATGCTGGATGGCCGATATCTCCTGGCTATGTTGAATCGGTTCCGGCGTCGTGGTGGGGGGAGAAAAATTCTGTCCGGTTAAATTCATCCAAGCTAGCTGTTGCATTTGCTTTAGCATATTCGGATACTGATTCAATCCTAAATAATAATCCGCCGGAAATCCCCCGTAGCCAGTGTGCGCACTTGTTGAACTTGGAACTCCGACCATTGATGGGTTTAAGTAGCCCAACGGAGTCACCTTCTGGTCGGGGTCAAACTGCTGCTTCCGTAGTAATTCCGCTAGAAGTGTACCCGTAGAGTATTTGTACCCCATCTTGTCCGAATCGACTCCACTGCGGCTCTGGATGTAAGCCGGGTCAAATACCGGACTGTTGCGGTAACGTTGGGGAATGGCTTCCGATGGGATGTCAACACGGGCCATACCGATCAGCGGCGATGTGTCGCGATCTTTGGCTGCCGTTGTGTCCGCTTCAAGACCAGTTGGCATGTTGTAGTTGAGCAGATCCGACGACAGGAAAGTCATGTATTTCGGGTCGTTTAGATTGGTTAAACCGGCCACTGCAGTAAGCTGCTCGACCAACGCCGCATTAGGATTTACCGATCCGGAAACTGACGAATAGGTGGCAACCGGGGCACTCACGTAAGTGAACGGGCAGCACTGCATATTTGGGCAAAAAACTGTACCATTTGCAAACTGCCCTTTGGCAAATTTAGTTTTTACAAAAGTTTTACTGTTGAATTCCGAAAAGGATTTTGTATTGTACCTGAATCCATGTGAAATGCTCCTAAAAAGGACAATTAATCTTATCACTCTGTTTATATATTAAGGTAGGTTACGAGTACTACTTCCACGCCAGTATTGTCGAAGACTCATATTCGTGGCATTACTTACGCAGTTGCTATTAATTTCTAACGCCGATTTTACACCGACTGTGTTGCAGAAGTTTATTTTACGATGCATTTTAACTGGGGCCGTTGAATTAGTTACAATAGGGAAATCATGCAGGCTTGATACCCGTACGAAGACGGATTACATTGGATATGCAAAGTACTTAAGCTTAAGTAAATAATAATAGTTTATAATTGTACAGAATAATTGCACGGCTTATAAAAGCTTACTTTATTATCCCAAGGATTCACCTGCAAGATACAAAGTTCTGTTTTTACTCCATTCCGAAATACAGCCACGCAATTTACCATTAGAACAAATGTTTATCTACATGTATTGTACGTACTTTATTCTGAGTTAAACGTAATTATTTAACACTAATGGCGATGCAAATACTGCACTGATCTGCCATTTCATGGAGCACTAATATTATTTTACAAGTTAGCAATCCATGTTACCGGTCAAAGACTCACATCCTTTCCAATCCCGGTGACGACATGGTGTGTGTCGCATTTTACCAACCACTCTCCGGTATAGTGTTCTCCAAACCTACGAGTTCTCGATATTAAAATATGCAATTTATAACGAATTCCCAAATTTGTGACAAATTCGGAAAACAAAGCTTGCAGCAGAAATGTACCCCACATATAAGATACACAAATTACGGACTTTTACGGTATATAGCAATACTGCACTCATACGAATGCTACATTTGCGTTACACATACCTGTCAAAGGTCTTCTTGTAATAGCAGCGAGTGTGATCAATCTGGTAGCCTTTCGGTGTCTCACCTTGAAAGTCCAAAAACACATGTAAGATCCAGTTGAAAAATTTCGAAGGAAAACATCACGATGCATTTGTTGCTGATAACATTATAAGCCATGCCATTATTAATTCCTGCAGTACTTTATGTGATATCTGATTAAGGTTGTTTTTAATTAATTAATTAAGTATGGTGGTGCTGTCATGTCAGTGCGATGACTTGCTAGTTACTAAAAAACTTTCAAAAATATGGAATTATGCAGGCAATTTCAAAAAAGCGAACCAGTTTGATGATCCAAACATCTGACGTACATATATGAGTACAGAGTAGCGTAAAGTAGATCATTTCACAAGAAGTTAGAAACTTACAGCATTTCATGGTAGATGGTATGAAGACACGTTGATCATCGGGCTCCTTATAAACTCCTGAAAGTCATGCTTGGGATCAGTTTTTGGAAATAGCATTTCTGATTTAACTTTTGTAATAACTGTATTAATTTTGCAGCATCGACACGGGCACGCGCTGTACACATGCGAGGAGAGCAGAAAAAACCTCATACCGGTTACAAAAAGCTGATCATGAGTGGTGTTAGCATCATCCAGCTGTTCCGCATTCCGGCAATGGTATTCTCCGGCAGATAGGTTGCTGCAAAGAATACGACAACATCCCAAATTGGTCATTTTATCGGAAAACAAGCGTTTTGTAGTTTCATGATAATTTTTCGTTGCTGGATTTGTACACACACCGTAGACCAGAATTCTACACTACTAACAATTAATGCGAATACAGTACTCGTGCTGTATTTGTTGCTACATAAGTAGAAGCACGTTTACCGAGTGACACAGGAAGGGTAGTATGGATACGATCCTCGTGTCGATTCCTTCAATGGGAACAGGAAAGAGCACCATACGCCTGCAGCCGTTGTACATGTACAATACTTTCTGCTTAATAAACTCAAGAACACCGACCGGAAATGCCTTCAAAATGGGTGTCATCGTCCCGGATAGCAACCTGTTGAAATCAGCGATAACAATACAGGAAGAAGCTAATAAAATTCTTCACGTATAAGAAGATCTCTCCAATTTACATATTTTATAGAAATTCACACGTGCATTTACAGTTTGTTAATGCTATGTTGTTGTTCTACCATGGTGGACTTCGATTACGAGTGTACAATACATGATCACTACTCTAATGGTAAGTCAAAAATTTAAACTAATGCTGCTTGGTATTAGGCATACGAAGTAGTACTCGTAGAATCCAAACAAGAGGGGAAAAATGCCGCGCCGTGTGATATTCTATGATGAGGTACAATACATACCGCTCCTTCTCCATCATTGCATTCCACTAGCCACTGGTGCTGCGCATCTTCGAAACCACCATCCTAGAATTTAATAGTTATCGTCCATTAAAGCGAAAAAGTTACTAAATTACCCAGCATGCGGAAGAATTAATGGCTACTTTATAAGCTGTACTTCCGTGAAAGAATTTATACAGAAGTATCTGTACACACACTATGTACGAGTACTCTACTGTATTGCTCGTACCCAAAATTAAACGAACAAGACAAAACAATCTGCTGGACTTTGAATGCAACATAAGTAAGTGTGCACTGGCGTTGGAAAAACAACTTTGCAGAAATACCTGGTTTTTGGTGAACAAATGGCAGTCACCGGTTCCTAAAAGAGAACATTCCGCATAAAGACACAGTGGTTTATACTTCGTATAAATAAAAATACGATAACTATTTCTGACTCTGACGTTGCGTAATGTCACAAAGTCAACTTCATTATTCCATAAAAGGAAAATTTAAGACTTAAACCAGCTTTTTTATTTTTCGGAAGGACACATAAATCCAATATCTCAAAAATCAAATATCCACAGGTTAGTACCGTAACATCTTCGCGACGTATAGTAAGAAACAACCCCGCTAATAATCAAGAATATCAACGCAAAAAAACTCCAGAGTTCAAAACGTGAAAACATTTTGCCGTGTGGCTAATCCAGGTTTGCGAAAACTCCTTGCAAATAGCGCATGCCTTGGTCTAAATTCAGTGCCAGCTGGGCATCGATTGAAAGCTTCCTTTTCCAGTTGGACAGTGGACAAGAAAGAGCTGTGAAAGATCTCACAGTCGGGACAGACAGACTGGACAAAAGAAAAGCATGCACGACCAACTATGCATTAAGGGAAAGTTCGAATAAAGGGTGAGCTGGACGGGCATGTCCAAACCTGACTGAGAACGGCGCCTGCAGGCACACGCTGACCGCACTACCTCCGCATCACTGGCCACTGGTCAGTCGTAATAAAAGTTTGACCGCTTCTCTAAAGAAAGTTTAACAAACAAAGGGATTTTATGGAAATCTCAATAGCTGTGATGAAAACCTTATTCCCCGAATTTTAGTATCGTAAAATCGGACTTAATTTAATGTTTCACGAGTGCATTTGACGTGCAAATATGTATGTATCTGTACACCAGTACAAAATAAATAAGAGAAAGATTTGCACGCTATACGACGAACCTTGCTACGAGTATAATTTGTACGAATATGGAGAACGAATGATGTCAGCTCAGCGTCCACCTGTAATATTCGCTGCGCATTTGATTTCCGGTCCGTCAGCACCAGCGCAATGCGAGAATCATCGTTCATATGACGGAGTAATTTTTTCGTGTAATATAAATTAGCTGAAATCAGCAGTTAAATTCTGCTCGTTCAAAATATCAAGATGTAATTTTCCGCATTGATGCGACCGAGAAGAATACATCAATTGCAAATCCATCATTCACTGATGATATTCAATTGTCATTAATTTTGTCAGTACCGTTTTAGCTAATTTGAGTATTCTGATTGGTATGCCCGACTAAGCTGTCGATAGGTGTAATTGGTGTATGGAGCCGATCCGCTCGAGAAAGCCGGTCGGAAATAAGGGAAGTTTTGCGCATTAAGCTTAAATCGGGGTGCGGATAATGCGACCGAAATGTTGTCCGGCGCAGTTTTCTCAGTTCATCGGGATCGGCCCAAGCAACGTCATCAGCATTCAGACCATTAATATCACTGTTACTAGGAAGTCGATGCAGAGAATTATGGGATCGACGAAGAGGACGCAGTTTAGCCGTTTCGCAGGGATCCCCGTGTGCCAAATCGTCCACCGTTATCACCGGCTGAGTTGCCATGGCCTGTGTTAAGGAAGCGGCGCTGCTGCGCTGGTTATTCCCGCTGTCGTTACTGTCAGTTCCTTCGCCGCCAGGATCATCTGATGACGGCTAATCAGATCAAGAGCAAAGTCAATTGTAGTTATAATTTAACGAAGTCAGGTACTGCAATAGCGCAAGCAGGTATTCCAATATTTGGCGCAATATTCAGAAGTGCGATCGCATCATATACATTTTGTCACCTGAATGAAGTGGTCAAAAACAGATAAACATTTTGCAGGGAACCAACATCCGGCTAAAAACAAAAATATAGTTGTAAATCTGATTATACAGTATGGTGCTATATTTTATTCATAATCGATTATTTACCTCCATCAGAATGTTCTCCATCGTACTGGAACCCTACAGAAACGTATACGAGTTTTACTTACAGTATTCGTACTTGGTTTTACTTACAGTAGTGAACTATAAAATCCATGTTATTGTAATACAGTTTTCTCCGCTGACCTTTCATCACAGCCGAGTTAGAGTGGAACATAAGCGCCAATCCAAAGAAGCCGAAGATGTGACTTAACCAGGCTGAGGTCACAATATCTGTAAACTAAAATGCACTGACTTTTATTTTGTTTCGCTTGTGCGTTACATTTATATGCATAAGTAATGTAGTAATATAAATATGAGAATTTATTCGTAGTGTGGTACCCCATGGGAAAAAGTATTCGTCATACAGCCCCCACACTCCTCTCCACAGGTCAATACTGGCGAATGTGGCTACCGCCATTAGGATGTCTTCGAATACGATTTTGCTTAACCATCGTCCTTGTTGCTCCAGATAAGCAGAAATTACGGAAGATGGTTTTGTAGCAGAACAGCAATCACAGCGATTGCGAATCCGGATAGAGTGGAGATCATGTACGACCAGAACAGTTGTCTTTCCGGCGCCACCACATCCGCAGGAAAGACGATCAGCCAGTCCAGTAAATACCACACGCCGCGCCATGTACTGGTAATCAGAGGAATTACGATGCCCATGGAAAAGATGTTATCCAGAAAGTGCGCAATGCGACTAGTGCGCTGAAATTACCAGTGGAACTACCAGATTTTTATTAATTTATAATCAATAAATAATTACGGCTCAGTGGCTCACGAATAGTTCTATATGCTGCACAAGTAAAATACATATACTTGTACAGTAGATGGCATACAAGTTTAATTTTGTCGAGTACGTTGCAGAGGATTCACACGCTGCGTGTAAAAACACTTCTTATATGCGGTCACGGTTATAAATATGCGTACCTTTGTGCGGAATCTGGTTGGTATCAGGAAGAACGTTTCAGTCAGATCGGAAACGGTTGCCAGAGGAGGCGCGAGAGTGTTACGAAAGCAGCGGGTTAACAACAAAGGCACCAAACCAACCAGTTCAGTACCGTTTTTTTATATTTTGTCAGTACCGTTTTAGCTAATTTGAGTATTCTGATTGGTATGCCCGACTAAGCTGTCGATAGGTGTAATTGGTGTATGGAGCCGATCCGCTCGAGAAAGCCGGTCGGAAATAAGGGAAGTTTTGCGCATTAAGCTTAAATCGGGGTGCGGATAATGCGACCGAAATGTTGTCCGGCGCAGTTTTCTCAGTTCATCGGGATCGGCCCAAGCAACGTCATCAGCATTCAGACCATTAATATCACTGTTACTAGGAAGTCGATGCAGAGAATTATGGGATCGACGAAGAGGACGCAGTTTAGCCGTTTCGCAGGGATCCCCGTGTGCCAAATCGTCCACCGTTATCACCGGCTGAGTTGCCATGGCCTGTGTTAAGGAAGCGGCGCTGCTGCGCTGGTTATTCCCGCTGTCGTTACTGTCAGTTCCTTCGCCGCCAGGATCATCTGATGACGGCTAATCAGATCAAGAGCAAAGTCAATTGTAGTTATAATTTAACGAAGTCAGGTACTGCAATAGCGCAAGCAGGTATTCCAATATTTGGCGCAATATTCAGAAGTGCGATCGCATCATATACATTTTGTCACCTGAATGAAGTGGTCAAAAACAGATAAACATTTTGCAGGAACCAACATCCGGCTAAAAACAAAAATATAGTTGTAAATCTGATTATACAGTATGGTGCTATATTTTATTCATAATCGATTATTTACCTCCATCAGAATGTTCTCCATCGTACTGGAACCCTACAGAAACGTATACGAGTTTTACTTACAGTATTCGTACTTGGTTTTACTTACAGTAGTGAACTATAAAATCCATGTTATTGTAATACAGTTTTCTCCGCTGACCTTTCATCACAGCCGAGTTAGAGTGGAACATAAGCGCCAATCCAAAGAAGCCGAAGATGTGACTTAACCAGGCTGAGGTCACAATATCTGTAAACTAAAATGCACTGACTTTTATTTTGTTTCGCTTGTGCGTTACATTTATATGCATAAGTAATGTAGTAATATAAATATGAGAATTTATTCGTAGTGTGGTACCCCATGGGAAAAAGTATTCGTCATACAGCCCCCACACTCCTCTCCACAGGTCAATACTGGCGAATGTGGCTACCGCCATTAGGATGTCTTCGAATACGATTTTGCTTAACCATCGTCCTTGTTGCTCCAGATAAGCAGAAATTACGGAAGATGGTTTTTGTAGCAGAACAGCAATCACAGCGATTGCGAATCCGGATAGAGTGGAGATCATGTACGACCAGAACAGTTGTCTTTCCGGCGCCACCACATCCGCAGGAAAGACGATCAGCCAGTCCAGTAAATACCACACGCCGCGCCATGTACTGGTAATCAGAGGAATTACGATGCCCATGGAAAAGATGTTATCCAGAAAGTGCGCAATGCGACTAGTGCGCTGAAATTACCAGTGGAACTACCAGATTTTTATTAATTTATAATCAATAAATAATTACGGCTCAGTGGCTCACGAATAGTTCTATATGCTGCACAAGTAAAATACATATACTTGTACAGTAGATGGCATACAAGTTTAATTTTGTCGAGTACGTTGCAGAGGATTCACACGCTGCGTGTAAAAACACTTCTTATATGCGGTCACGGTTATAAATATGCGTACCTTTGTGCGGAATCTGGTTGGTATCAGGAAGAACGTTTCAGTCAGATCGGAAACGGTTGCCAGAGGAGGCGCGAGAGTGTTACGAAAGCAGCGGGTTAACAACAAAGGCACCAAACCAACCAGTAAGGAATACAATGCAGTCTCCCACCCGGATATCGCATCCACCACATCCCACAATCTCCAAACACCTGCAACAATCTCTTGTGCTCATAAGTTTTACAAATATGTTAAACATTTTTTAACTATTAAGAGAATGCTGCATATTTAGTTAGTAATCGCTGATCCATTCCAGAGATCAGCGTGCGTATATTCAAATTGAATAACTTATATATCGTTGTGCGTTTACGTAAAAGTTTTGTATACTGTAGATAAGGATACTGTTGCCGGTGTCAAGGTACTCGTATATCTATATCGTATAGGATAACACCGTAACACTGATGTACCTTGCCGGCGTGATTGTGTTGCCACTTGCCAGTTGTCACTCGCAACGGTTTACTTTAGTCAGTTTAGTCAGTTTAGTGCTAGAGTAGGGACTTCAAGCTCCTTCCAGATGTGCGAATTTACGCAAAGATAAGCATTTAATTTTTAGGCTTTGAACACTGTAATAAATGAACTAACCTTTCCATTCGCATACAACACACCACGCAAAGAAGTAGCTGTACCTAAACGAAGTGGAATCTTTCGTTAAATTTGTGACCGTTTTCTTACTACAGTATATTGGGAAGTTATAGTACTATTAGGCGATGCCCTGTATTGGCTATTCCCGTACGTCGTTAAGAATTAATGCGGATGCTTGTGCAGCTTATAATTATAACGCGCAATAAAATTAGAACTAATGCGCAATAAATGCGCAATAAAAATGATAATTATAATGCGCAATAAAATTAGAACTTTATAATTTTATTGCGCATCTTTAACTTGAGCGACCACAGTAAAGTAAAACGTCTATTCGAAGGGGCTTTTCGCTGTAAAGTATATATTAATACGCCAGTATTTTCGCATACACAGGGCGGTAAATATATGCTTTACAGCAAATGCAGTATGATATAAACATGCTGTGTCGTATGACGATATTTTTTAAAATGTTTAAACGGCCGCTGAAAAAATATTAAGGATATTTATAAAATGTATACGTAGATTTGTGCAAATAAACTGCAGCATACCATCTGCGAATGATCAGCTGTGCAACAGGTGATCGAATCCTGTTGCTAGTTTTCCCCATCCAAACCTGCGTGTAGCTGAACATCAGTCCACCCGCAATCCCTGCTGCTATCTCCAGAAAAGCAGCCAAATACTTGTAAGTATGAAATGTGTTGTAGATTTGTAATATCATAAATCCACCACGCCAGTACAGAATAACTAACGGTGCGAGCATAAACACGGCTATGACATTATTCAACAAGTGCGCCGTAAGGATATTCATTTCTAAATGCAACAGAAAACAAACAGCAGAAACACTCCTGCTTCTCGCCACTCTGCATCCACTCAGATACAGTACTTAATGTTCAAAAGAACTGCGGAATTACAAGTGCTGCAAATGAGGAAGCTTGTTAACGAATTTTTGCGCCTTATAATATATAAAGATCTGTGTCATATTCCCGCTGCTATGTGACGCACGAACAAACTACAAACGTGGCGACCAAGATATAGTTGCTACAAAATTAATTCCAAACTGTTTTATACTATTTACTACAAAGAAAAATCTTCATAGGTTCATAATCGTATTTTCTGTCAGCTGAACTGTATATATACATATAGAATATATATACCACAGAGTATATACACTCGCAACCATTCTTGCAAAAACGGCAGTCGGCGTTTTGGTTAAATCATGTCATACATTAATCACATTTCTCAAGAAAATTGTTAACAAAAGCTGCAACCTCACGGCACCACCAGGCTGCGCAATGTCGTCACTAAACACCTGACAGCCGAACTCGTTTTGCTGTTGAAAAAACGAAAATCGGAGCAGGTGTTCGTATTTTGTCATAACGGACTGCGGGCATATTACCAATCCTCGATATACAGTACTGCGTAATGCCAAATCATCCGCTAAAAAAGCAAAACAAAAAAAAAGCATAATATAAAGGTTTAGATTTAGATTATATAGAACGTCGTGAAGATATTCGATGGTCTGAAACGAGTAAACGCACGGTTTTATGAATCTGAAATAACAATTATACTGCTAACAGTTTTATAATTTGATATTTGGTTTTTCGTAAGTAGATTTGCGGAAGATCTTTAACTGCAGGGTAATGAAAGAATCATTTTGTTCACCTAGGGAAATGAAAAGATCAAAGTAGACCAGTAGAACAAACTGCTCAGCTCTACCGTCTTCATTGTTGTAAACATGCATAGTAAATGTAAAATTAAGTAAACTATAAAATCTATAGTAAAAATGTAGAGTACGATATGTTTAGATGACTGGTGTTGTTTTGAGGTTGTTTTAGTGACTGTTGTTACTGACTGTTTTTTATGTTTTGATAACTGGTGTTGTTTTAGTGTTGTTTTAAATTTAATCTTTTACAGATGCCGGCAAGCTCTTATGGAGTGACCAAAAACTGACCCGGTGAGCAGGTGTGTTGATACTCGTAATTTGCTATACGGTATACTGTAGACCGACGAAACAAATTTTGTCAGTCAAACTGGCAAAGAGTATATACAAGCATTTGCATTACTGTGCGCGATTTATATGCGCTGCGCTTACAGCGGTCAAAGAATTGTTGGACGGGCTTGTACATATATATATGCACTATGTATTAGGTAAAAATTTTTCGTGTTTTCGCGCATAGCAAAAAGCCAGCCAGCTGTTACGCTTTATACGTACTTCACAAAAACAGGCTGCTTTAATGTAGTTAAAATTATTATACTATATTCACCATTTATTCATTGACAGACTTGCATTCTCGTACCATTGCTACAAGTATAGTACGCCGTGCTGGTACTTAGTTAATGCGGCATTTACGATTAAATAAAATCACCGCAAGGTTTCCATCACCGCATATGCAGACAAAACGTACAGGTCATTCAATGTTTGTAACATTTTGCCTCTCTCCCATGCACGTCTTTTGCACGATTGTAGTTTAGCTCTGCCAGGATGTGTGCCGTCGGTTCGCGATATTCCCGATGGATCAGGCTTCGAGGTCGGTTTCCACGGCGGTTGACCATGAAGCAAAGCGGCGTTTGGACGTCATGTCCCATCAAGTCCCATGCTTGGACTTCCGGTCCCGACTGTCTTACCAGTTACAGCTGAAGCCGTGGTAGCCCCAAGCGTCTGTGCACGTGCACTCGTTGTGGATGCATGGATGTGGGACAGTAATCAGTGCTTCCAGGCGCAGGCCAACACCGATTCGAACTGCGGAACATTCAAGAAATTTCCATTCGATGTTGCTGAGAGAGCATCCAGCCAGGCTAGCTCTACTGTCCTTCGTCACATGTACTCGCCTTAATTAACTGGGACCGGAAGTTGAATGTCCAATCCGAGATCACCTTTTATTGGATCTCGGACTACTATCGCCAATTCGGATGACCGGCCAGGATTCGAATGGCGAGACTCCGAGTGGTTGCTTGATAGTACAGTATGTCGACTGTATGTCGACTGTCGATCCGCGTACTAAAAAGTAAAAACCATAAGTATTCGTGTAACTGCCATATCGAGAGAACAGTCTACACTGACAGTTTTTGTTTTTGGTTGCTTCCGATGAACAGCTGTTCACTTATGAAGTGACTTTTCACAGTTTTATGAGTTTTATGCAACATTTGCTTTATGCAGACTTGATTTGTTGAGTGATATGAATTGTAAAGATTGGCTGCTTTCCTTCGAAATTCATTAATTTTACATTCTAAGAATACGTAATAGGGAAGATGTCGGGAGCCGGTGGGAAGTTGAAACTCTACTTTGATCTAATGTCGCAGCCATCGCGCGCTGTGGTGATATTTGCCCGTGTTAACAAAATACCATTTCAAGAGAGACAGATTGCACTCCGCAAACTGGAGCACTTGGATGACGAGTTTGCCAAAGTTAATCCCTTTAAGCGTGTTCCGGCTATGGAGGACGGAGATTTTAAATTGCTTGAGAGGTTCGCAACAACATCAAAGGATGTATATGCATCAGCATGGAGACAGTTTGTAAATTGTCAACTTTTCAGTCATATCATAGCCTTTGACTGTTTTGCTTTTCCGTTTCGTGTGAAATTGTTAAATCTTTGACGTCTGTCACGACGGCACCCTGTTTCCTGTGATTACAACCAGCTTTGTTGTAGTGGGACCATAATGCGGTACTTGGCTGACAAGTATTTGTCGTCTGAGCAACAATTCTGGTATCCCAAAGATATTCGGCTGCGTTCGAAAGTTGACGAGTACGTAATAATACCGCGGCAATTCTGTTTTGTTTTCCTTTACATATGTACTTACCTCAGTTTCGTGTATGGTGTGTCGTGTCATTAAAAATACTGGTAATACTGAGGGAGTTTTGTTCTCTTTTAATGTTTGCTTACTGGTTAGGTATTTGGACTGGCATCATCTGAACACGCGAATGAATTGCGCAGAATATTTTCGCAATCGGGTAATTCCAGCTTTTGGTTTTTGTTTGATTGCATTTTTGTGCTTAGTTATTATTATGTTTGATTTCATAGGTTATAGCACTTTGCCTCTCTTGGAATAATAAATATACCGATTTTTTTCTGGTATTTTTTGTTTTGACTTCTTTTTTATTAAATGTGTTATTTGGGTCAGACTTTGTTTGGAAAAACATATGTACAGAGTACGTACTTAGCTGCGGTTAAGCTCCTTTTGAATTGTGTTACTGCTAATATTATTTTGTAGTATTTATTATGAAATCACTCAGTTGTTTGTACTTTGAGTACGCATGAGATACTCTTTTATTTTTAATACGTAAAGATTGAAAACTGAAGTATTCTGTTGTCTTACGTTTCCGATATTTTTCTGGAAATGTTTCTCAAATGAGAAAGCTAATTAATACCTTATTGTCTTCCCAAGTTTAATATATACTTAGAAGAATTTTCGAAAATATTGTAACACGGCATGCGCTTTGCAGTTTTTGATTCCCTTAATCAAGCAGCGCCCTGTGGACATGAAAAAGCTGGAGTTCTTCCGGAAAGCAGCCGACAAGACCTTGGCAGAGATTCAGTCGTACTTCCTGGCCGATCGCCAGTTCTTTCTGGGGAGCAAAGTCAGCGTGGCCGATCTTCAGGCCTGTTGCGAAATTGCACAATTGTCCGGATGCGGTATCGATTTGGCCAGCAAACATCCCGAACTGGTTCAGTGGATGAAGAGGGTACGGGAAGCCAGCAGTCCGCATTACGACGAAGCCACTAAGTGGATATATTCCACGGGAACCAAAATGCGCCACTTAGTCAAGGAGGCCAAGTTCGATGAAGGATGCTCGGATTGAAGGGATAATCGGTTCCGAATAGACATCTTGTATTGGCTAACAATTTGCTATATCGCACATACCAATCGCATTCGCCGGTATTTTACTGGTGCAGTTTTTTATCTTGAATCCTATAGAGCTGTCTAGCAATATAGCTGTCTAACCTATATATTTTAATGCAGTTTTTTATCTTGTCTATTTATTTTGATCCACTGATAGAATGTGGAAACTTGTCGCTCAAGTCTTGATTTGCGTTCTGCTAGCTACCTAAAAGATACGACAATTTTTGAATGTGTGTTACGCATTTTTTAATGAGTTGTATTATGATGATTGAGAAAGCGCTTTTGACTTCTCAGTGACAGTGTAAACTTCATCTGTAACACAGAAACCAGGAAAAATTTTATATTAAAGCATATTCAACACGGACAGAAGAAACGTTAATTGTAAATTAAATTTTACCTTGATGTTAGTTCAGGTTAGTAATTGTACACACTCACAGTGATTTGAAGTCATTTAATTTTTACCCGGGATTTCAGTTTTTATTGCCCCCAGTTCACTGATTATGGAGCCCTTCGCTGAATTTATCTCTCGCGTTGCGGCTGTCCTTGGTTTGTTGGTGTATTTTGGAATCATAAGACGAGTCTCTTGAATCAGCGTAAGCCTACTGTAACCTGTCTCACAAATGCGAGTTTTCTCACCGTGGTATGTTATAAATTGGCAAAAATTATTTTAGTAATTAGATAATTAAAATAAAGTAATTATTATCGTCTAGTTGCGTAATAATTTATAGATTGTGAAGTAATTCGTTCGTTTATAGTAATTCGTTTGTGAAGTCAGGTGGGCAACTACTGTATACGTATGTAATGTAGGTGGGAATTGATGGCTTTCTCTTCCGGTTTGCAGATTCACTCTGTCTTAAATTGTTATACCGGTTTATTTTTGATAGCCATGCAGCGGATCCGAACCCCGACAACAATGGTAGTACAGCAGCGAGCAGTTGAGCTTTCAGTTAGACACAGGAAACGGTTTGACCGCTACTTTGATGATGGACAGACAGGACAGTTGAGGTGCAACACTGCCTTTAATTAGGCGTTCTTGCATAATTAACTGATATACGCTCTAGTCCTTTATATTTCGCTACCAGCTTTTAAGTTTTGACTAGTCCGATAGTTCGTTATCCTAACGCGGACTCCGAATTTATCCTCTGAATTTGGACTCGGTGATTGGAAGTACTTTCGCATTACCCTGCGCGTGCCCTTTGAAGATCCTGACAGATTCGGTGGAAACCGGCTAAGGTTAATTGGATACTTTCAGTTGTTCGAACCCGTATCCTTGGGACGAACAGATGACGCTATACTTAAACGGGAGATTGTCTGACAGCTCTCACCGGACGCGATGACAGGCTGATGCGATATTGATGTGCTAACAATTAAGCATACCGTACAGGAGTACATTCTGCATTCGTTCTGTGGGTGATGGGAGAGCGCGAATCAAACAAAATGTCGGCATCACGAAGAGGCAGTGCAACCGGTTATATAAAAATTCCAGCGGACCCAAAATGCACTAGATATGAGCTGTTCACGGATGCATAATTCCCCGTAGGATGCTGGACTGAAGGCTTACTGGTTAGGTAAACTATTAATCAATATGCTGCAGTACTGCGGTTATGATTCGCACACACCGCAGTTATTTCAGATATATTTTGCCGAAGCACAAGTTTCGCAGCATGCTGAAGCGTGTTCTTATTTTTACTTTTGGATACCGGAGCGGTGAGTGTAAAAAACATTCGTTCAAAGTGGTTTAACATAATAACCACACAGTTTCTGTTTGCAGCTGTGTTTAACACACTGTTACAATGCATGCAGAAAAGGGCAAACCAGATTATAAACCGTGAAGCTTTTTAAAGCGTTTTGTAGCTTTGAATCCTCGCTAACGAAAAACCGACGACATGTCTGTCAGGTAGTGTATTGTGATTTTAGGAAAATGTTCAACTCTAGCTTGCATAGACACTGAACAGCGAAATTTCACGTCGGTGTTTTGGTTCACACGGAAGAGGCAAAAATAATTTCTATTTTATTCGGGACTCCGCTGCCCACAGGTCACAGTTGGAGCCTATCTTGGCTTTCAATCTATCCGTGGCCGCTCGCAGTCTCTTCTGCGTATCCTGGAAAGTGAGAACGTACAGTAAGACTTGCGAATTCTTCGAATTCGAATTCTGCACCAACTGCCTTTTTTGAATCTAATAACTAACGTAATGTTAAAGATTAGGTATTAGAGGCTTTGAGCAGAAAACACCATAACCATACCTTAACCATCCCTTATCGTTTAGTTGGACGACCGCCATCGAGGTAGCAGTGTACAAAGTATTCAGCGAAGGCGCATAGCTGACTCTGGGTCCCTTCAGATTTAATTTGTTTTCTCGCACTGCGTGAAACGATCTCTTTCCAAAAAATTACATTTACATTCAAAAATATTTTCTCTATTCAAAAAGTGTATATCTGGGGAAGTTAAATTGGGCAGGTGTTAAGGGGAGCCTTTGAAAGTCCATCACCATACGACACGTTTGTATGGTATTCACACTTACCATACGCTCGCACTTAACCATATAGTCTGGTTAAGTGTATGGCTATGGTTAAGTGGAGCAGTTGCTCAAAGCTTCTATTATCAATTGTACGAACTTACCTGGTCTAGATGTGTGATTTTCGTGTTGGCCTCTAGCTGTTCGGGACTGCTACAGCCAACAATAACACTGGCTACATTTTCCTCTCCGAGCAGCCAGGACAAAGAAGCGCTGCTCATATCCAAACCCTTGTCGGCACAGATCTTTCGTATATTGTCGATAGCCTAAACAGAATCCCAATGTGTGACAAAAATTTGATGTAGTTCTCTACATTTACAGTATTAACTATACTCGTGCTGCAAATCCAGTATGATCGTAAATTCTTAAGGTGACTAATAAGGTCACCCAATCTGGAAATTTAATAATTGATCAATATTCAAGAACCGCACTTCGAAAGTTTCCACTTCGGCTCCGGCCTGCCCATGTCGTGCTGCAGAAGAACTGCAATAAAACGTTTATTACTGAAAAGCTGTTCGCTGTTAATCAAAGAAAAAGAAGACAATATGGCGCGAATTATTATTCGAAAACAGCAAAACAAGCTCCGCACCTGTTGCTGCTAAAAAGGCGCGTTCGCTTGCGTCCCGTGGGAATTTCGTCCACGGTATGGTACTTTCCAGTGAGCAGTCCTTGTTGCAGAGGAGAGTATGCCAAAACGGACATATTCAGCTGCTTTACTTTAGGAAGGATTTCATGCTCGATCGGACGCCAAAGCAGATTATATGCCAACTACAAGAATTACGCGTTTTCCAGCGAAAGGAAGTTGTATTTTTGACAAAGGAAAAACAAGGAAAGAAGTTAATACTTAACGCATGCAGCATATGACTTTAAACGTTCTGGTGTTAAATTTTCCGATTTTGTAAATACTTGGTACCGTAAGAAGAATAATTTTCAGCGAAGGAAAAATACCGACACGAACTCGTATATTATTTCCTTTGGTTTCCGAATAAGTACTGTAACCTGTGTTGGTCTGGTCTACCTGTGAACTGACCGCCCTGCCGCCGGCTGCTTCGAATTCATTCATATTTTCTACTCCGAAATTGCAATGGCCATAATAGCGAATGCGCCCTTTCTGCACTTCCCGTTCCAGCTGTTCGACGGCTTCTTTCATATCGGCCACGCAAATGGGCCAGTGAATCTGCAAGAAATATAATATCAATGCCATTTTACAACTTCTGGACGTATCTAGATCCAGAAAATCAGTGTGAACCAGTGACCATCAGACATCAGCCACAAAGCGACACAACACTTTTGCATGCGCAACTACAATACTGTACTACTTACGTTTTTCTCGTTTAACAGTCGTTACCCCTTTAGTGAGTACATTGTACATAGTACATACATGTATTGTACCTGATACAAGTCAATATACGTTGTCTGTAATTGCTCCAGGGATTTCGTGAGTGCCTTCTCTATGTCCGCCGCAGTATAGCCCTGCCGTCCATCCGCCAAACACTGCCCGAACTTGCTAGCGATAATAACTTGGCTGCGCTGACCACTGCCCTGCAAAATACGCCCCAACACCGCCTCCGAATTGGTGTAGGCTTCCGCTGTGTCGAAAAAATTTATTCCCAACCGTAGCGCTTTATCCACAATGGCTTTGGACGTCTGCAGCAAAAAAATTACGTAGCAAAACAACTGGAAAACAGCAGGCAGCAAGCAACTAATTTTCGGAGACATATGAAAACATAAAAGCACCGGTAGTTTCGTCAGATAGCGTTACATATGCGCACAGGACTTGTATTGTCAATGTCGTTCTGCACTTTAATTAGTTCTACGAAAGCGAAAGTACAACTCACGGCTTCGTCTTGACGATCCCAGGTTAAATCCGCGGCACCCCCATTAAACTGCCAAGTACCCAAACATATCCGAGACACATTCAGATCCGTGCCTGGCAGAGTCTGGTAACTCATTGTATTTGCAGACATTTTAATTGCTGTAGAAGGGTTCGATACAAGGAAGCCAGCCACTTTATTAACCAGGACAGAAGTAGCTGAGCTTGGTTTTTCAACTAATCCTACGAAATGCAACAGAATGGTTATAGAGGTTTCGAAGTTGCACTCCTCGTCAAGTTGATCTGTCACTGACGACTGCGCAAACGTTCCATAAGACATAGTAATACATGTACAGTACTTACGTATTGTACGAGTAGTAATAGTTTCTTGTTATCATGCCATCTTATCCGCTACTATAGGCTACTAAACCGGCTACGGTTTCTTTCTCGTATCCACTACCCATCTGCCGATAACGCGCACATGCGCGCCGTATCAGTAATCGCGATGGGCGAAAGTCATCACGCTATACGCATTTCCTGGGTGACTAGTGCTAGAGGACGAATAACTAACTGTACACTGAGACCACAGACCAAACCAAAAAATTAATTAGTAGGCAATTGTACGATAGAGTAGCCGTTCCTACGCGAATATTTTACGTGTTTGTATTACGAGTATTTTATGCCCATCCAAGCGGGCAAGTCACAGTGTCACATAGCACAGTGCCTGATCACAGCGGAAATCGGAATTCGGGCGTTTTCAGTAAGCAGTCAGCAATCATAATTTATTCCAAAATTCACGCATTGGTTACAATTAGTTATCTGAACCTGTTAGCATTCCGTAAAATCATACAACCACACAGACTAAAAGCTAAAAGGAATACCACTAAAACATCAACCGCAGCCAAAATGCAGTGCAAACATAAAATCCACCAGCTGCCGCTTCCAATTCGATTCCAAGCAGAAAAAACAAGAAATCTATAACGAGCTTGGTATCTCTGCCATCGACACCTTGCACTGCACTTAAAGAGAAGGAAATCTTATATTTCAGTGTGCAACAAAAACATTGCTAAAAGGCTAAAAACTGGCCGCAACCACTGGCGACTCAATAAAACTAAACCGCTACTATGTCCCGCGCATTCGGTCCCGTCCGGAAGAGAAAACAAATAAAACCAAAACAGAATACAAAAAACTTATACTTCTCGTTATTTAGACAAAACTTTGGCGCGCTTGTTGCGGCGGGGTGGAGGGTCCGCGGGGCGGTTTGCCGTTGTAATCCGGCACGTAGTGACCAGCGCGAATGTACTCCCCGGGGGGCGGGGCGACGGCATGGTGCACCCGCGGCATTTGGAGGGGCGACGCGGAATGCGGCAGCACTTGCACGGGGGGCGCGTGCGCGTACTGGTGGGGATTGTGGCCGTTGTGGTGGTTGCGCTGGGTGGTGGACTGGGGACTGTAGCTGTAGGCCGGAGGGGGACTAGACGGCTCAGGCTCGTGCACCTGTATCAATATGGCAGGAGTCAAATAATCGCTTGTTCCTCTAGTTGTTACATCTGAAGATACTACCCAACTCCACGGGATTTCTCTTTATTTGCCAAAAAAGTCTAGCGCACAACAGCAAATTCATTCTACCTATTCGTTATGTAGCGCTAACGACAAAACTGAAATGCATGAAAACGAACATTCTATACAAATTTGGGAAAAGCCATCCCATCAAGGACGTTAACATACGCTACTTCTAGTGATACCATCAAGAAACATACGCTACTTCTAGTGATAGTTGCTGATGTTTTAATTTCCCGGACGTCATGGCCATGCACAATACCTGGTCGACTTGTTGAGAATACTAACCTGCATGCTCATAATTACAGCTTTCATGAAGGCTGCCGCCGTCAGCGAAGCATACGGCTGCCACTCCTTATTCCGCATACCGTCCCGGTAGTCGGACATCCCTCGAATGCACATGTAATGATCCTTACGGTTACCGAATATCGATTCCAACACTAAAAGACCAGCACGGTATTACCAGAACGACCATGAGACCTGTATTGTATCTATAATCTACTAACATTCATATTTATGTTTACTAGTTTTCTTTATAATATTTCACATGCACGTTGACTAGCGCAGGGCGGTATTTAGTTTCATCTCGAGTATTAACATAAAGTTACCTGGATCAAATTCGTAATCGAATGCCAGGCAGCCATAGTGGGTTGCGAAATCCTGGCGGAGAATCTGGTCCTTGACCACGGCTCGTCCACCACCAATAGGGCCTAAATGTACACGAGGGCCGGTATCTTTGTTGCTGCCCATATCGTCCACTTCTTGCTCGCCATCGTCCACCGAGGTCGCCCGGATAGGCTGCGGATGTGACACCTGGATCACATCCGTCTCACCAATGCCCATATACAGTTTATCGGTTTCGGAAGGTGGTCGAGCGAAATTCATTTCCTGATTCTGCAGCCGTAATCGTTCCGTACCTGTTAAAACAGTTCTTTGATGCAAAAATCACTTGTCAAACGTAAAATTTATTTAAACAACATTAGCATTCATTGACACCATTTATCACATGTACACTGATAGCTTCATGTTTCAGTTGTGACTAACTGTTATTAATGTGAAACTTGTAATTCTTCAATTGTTTTTATGTGCAATTATATTGCTTCTTAGCAATTTTTACAGCAGTTGTACGCAAATAACGATTTGTTATACATGCTTATATTCTCAAATTCACAATTTCACATGAAGCGAAACAGTTCAGAATGTTATATGAAAGTTTCGAAAACATCGTGATATTGAAAGAAGAAAGCAAAGCAACAAAGATTGCATTGCATTCACATCGTAAACGCTCTGCTTTACGGTGATTTTACTGGCTATTCGGTCCTGTAACCAGAGCTTTGGGATGCATGAGTACATGTGCAGAGAGCGGCAAGCCGGTTTTGCAACCAATAAAAGTAGTAAAAGCCATTTTCTTAAATTAATCGTTCATGTATTTTAAGAGGTTCTGCATTGTGCCTAGCAAAACACCACTTATAAAAGCACTTGCAAAAGAAAAAAAGTATTTCATTTGTGCTAAATGTCAGCACAGCAAGAACGCTTTTTCCAGTGGTACAGTAGTACATGTTACCAACAAAACAGCGGAAGTGATGCTGGTATCAGTTATTCAATAACCTTCACCTGCCTTCAGTTTCCGGTCGTTTCATAACATCTTTTTCGGTTAACTCTTATTACGCCCGCATATTATGGCATTCAAAATTGTCCCAGAAAAAAAGTAATCGCCTTTCTAAACGAAATGGAATCGCTACCTGTAATGTAACAGAATGGCTCGCCTAATCGCTGTTAGCGTTTTCCTTTTAAGGCAACATTTACTTTCGCTTCGTAATAATTGCACAATCTTTCAAAAGATGATTTAAAATTTACCATAATAAATTTCAGATTTTCGTAAACGATTATACCTTCATTAATAAATTCCATCCAAGGATGGAACGTGGGATCAGCTTCGTGTATGCCGCGTAGTTGCTGTGCTAGCATCTGGAGATCCTGTTGAGGCGGTCGCCAAGACTTTGTGGCGTATGTCACTGTGCCAGCTTTGGGGTCCTTCTTAGCTTCATCGCAGAAGACATATATATAGGGATGCTTACTCTCCGCTCCCGAAGGCGCACTGGCGACCACGTCACCTAATCGGACATGCTTCTGATAGGAAGTAAAATGCGGCACCGCACCGCCAACACCCACGACGAAGACATATTCTACGCGCTGGAAAATTCCCAGCAGCCGTGTAGTGGTATTTCCAGCAGCAATTATTGCCGCCCTAAAAACGCAACAACAATCCATTCGAAACAGCACTAATAATGTTCGAAGCCCCTCGACAAAAGTAAGAAAATTACACAATTTATAAATCTAATATTTTTATATTTGAACGAACATACCGGTCATGCCCGACAGCCGGCAGTTTTGTGGACACAATCCGATGGGGGCCGATGTTTCCCAGCGTATACACGGTGCCCTCCCCCTGGGTTTGGTAGCGCACAAAGGTCTCCTTGTTGTCCATCATGGCATCCACTGCCAGCTTTTCGCAGAACAGCGCTGTAATCACCGCAATGGTAGGTTGTTCCCATGGCTGCAGACTGGGCATATGTTTGGTAATGGTAAAGGTAGTCTGGGCTTCCTGTCCCAAGGAAGATTCCGCCTCTCTAGGCGCTGACCAACGAATCCATGTACCATTGTCCAGCTGCTTAATGAGGCCTTTCTGAGCGAGAACCATCAACAACTCGTGTATGTCCGATTCACTGCTCAGAGTGCACCTGCAACGAAGGAAATAATACATCTCTTCAAATTGCTCCATTTCAATTCCCAGTACTTGCATCTGTTTAATGCCATTTTTGCACGTACATACATATAAATTATTCATTGTCCATTCATGTTTGGATACAAATATTTATAATTAATTTTGTCGAAGAGATCTTCGCGTTCGGCGATATTCGGTAACAACTGTTACGTGCGAAAGTGTTTCCCCTGTTGTCTATGCACAAGTACGCACTGTATGGCCGATAGAACAAACATTATCAGTAACACAATATCAGTTTAAATTAGAAAGCAGACCAGTCCATTTAAATATGAGGTCCTGCCTGGTGCACAAATATTTGTTCAACTGTAAAGCACGCCAAAAATAATATCGTTGAGATACCTACAATCAGTGACTAAACGAGACCCCCATCGACCTCGGGACTTTTTTTTAGAGCGAATCTGACCTCGGGATAATTTTCAGCGCATTTTTCTGATATAGAAACCATTTTTCAAAAACTTTTTCGGAAGAATAAATTTCTGACTGCCGGGGCCCCAAACGCCCCTCAAATACGTTGGGCGGCTGCAATGGCGCCACGAAAAAATGTTTTATTTTTGCGTTTTAAACACTTTTTCTAGATAAATCGATATCGCTGATTCTGAATATGCTATCAGAAAAATAGTTTAATTCGAAGAAAATAACTTTTTTCGATAAAAACAAAATTTTGCGAAATTTGTCCAAAAATTTCAAACTTTAAATTCTTCCTTCATATAACTAACACAATTTTTCTGGCAACATATTCAGAATCAGCGATATCGATTTACCTAGAAAAAGTGTTTAAAACGCAAAAATAGAACATTTTTTTTGTGGCGCCATTGCAGCCGCCCAACGTATTTGAGGGGCGTTTGGGGCCCCGGCAGTCAGAAATTTTTTCTTCCGAAAAAAATTTTGAAAAACGGTTTCTAAATCAGAAAAATGCGCTGAAAATTATCCCGAGGTCAGATTTCTCTAAAAAAAAGTCCCGAGGTCGATGGGGGTCTCGTTTAGTCACTGCCTACAATACCTCTTCTAATAAAACCATGTAAATCTAAAACCTAATCAAATGGTGTGAAATAATTTACAAAATCTTTCGAAAAAACTGTTACGGTATATAAAATCAGCTGGCACGATTATCGTGACTTATTTTAAAGAATAATAACGGCCAAATACAATACGAACGGCCAAATACAATACGTTACTAACTTGGCTATATCTTTGAAAGCGAGACCGTTAGGGAAGGCACGCTCAATCATTTCCAACAACGACTCTTCCGTCAGAATCTCAATGCGATTGCTATCGGTTTCCGCGCCAGCTGCAACAAGAGCGACACCAGCCATTCAACACCGCTCGCGATGCGTGACAATGCATAGTACACTCTAGTAATTTGTCTCCGGAGACACATGCCCAACAGATATACAGATAGCTTACGCCAACTCGGCGGCTTCGGTGGCACAGATGGCGGCGGCAATTGTTTTAGATGGATCTTCAGACACGAGATGGTCGTATAGGTTTTCTGCATTAGTTTCATCAACCGGGTAATGAAGCCCACATAGTCTAACCGCAACAACAATGACGTCAAGACAAAGATGTTAAAGATGTTCAAACGGAACCACTCGAAAAGTCAAGCTCGGTCAGTATTAAGTGATGAGAACAAAAGTTGCGGTCATACCCCGTGGGAAGGTCTCCGGATTGACCAGCTCTTTGAAATACTCTTGAGCTAGCCACATCTGTCGCTCCGGATCCACTTCCGGCTTGAACCAGAACCGGAGAAGACGCTTCTCCATCGAATGCTTACTGGTCTTCTGATCCACGAGAAAGACATTGAAGTCCAGCTGAACCTGGCACGGCAAGTGATCGCCATAATCAGCAGCTACAAAACGCCAATCAAAATCATAAAAAACAATAAAATTCAAAAGCCGATAACGGTACAGTAATACAAAGTACAAACTGTCAACTGTACAGTCAACACAATTTGTTGAAGTCATATGCATTAAACATAATATCACATAACTTTAACGTGAAATTTAAGGGATTCAATGGGAAATTTAAGGGATTGATAGTAAAACGAAAATGGTTACAGTTTTACAAATGCTTTCTGTTATCTGGATAATAATAATGAGTGAATATGCCGAAGAAAGGAGAGCGATTTGTCACGATTTTCCAAGCAGTAAGGAAAGAAAATTGTTTTATCAAATTCAAAACCTATTAATTTACCATCTAAATGTTTTTATAGTACTCTTCAGTAATTCCAACATGATTATTTCTAATTAAGACAAGATTAGGATTTGGCGACATGAACTGCATAAATCCAGTGCATCGCAATCTCTTAATCCCTATTTTTCTTTTTGAGGGTTAACTTTTCGAGCAGTCGCATGTTCAGTGTTCACGGTCAGGAAGCCGACAGCACACTGCAATCTCCAATAAAATTAGCATACTAATACTGACAGATTTAACGGCTGGCCGATCCCCAACACGCATCTCCAAGCAAATACACAACCAATATGGAATCGATTTCTCTTTAAATATTAATCGTACACTGACCCACATTCGGTACGGTCAATGCAAACTCGCTAAGAAAGCCAGCTATCTGCAGCGAGCGGTGCACGACAACAACTCATCATTTCCTCAACATGCGCACCACACGATCTTATGAACCACAAGAGGGCTCCCATCTTTGCTCTTACCATTGGACAACTGCCGATTGACAACCAGGCCTTTGTGTGTGCCCCCCGCGACAAAAGCCCCTTCCAGATTCTGCGGTTCGATGCGCTTCCGCTCCAGCTGGAGGATGGTCCAGTCGTCGCCTTTGGCGATGGGCGTTAGGATCACTTTCTCCATGGTCCCGGCTGTAAAACGTGAAACGTCATTCATCAAGCCAACGTATACGTCACTCGTCGCAGACTCACAGTCAAACGAGGCTACTGGGCCAAATCACGCTGCTGACAACTGACGGGATTAATCATTAGATATATTATCATAACCGATATACAGCTCCTGACAATCCTCTTTACAGCTTCCGGTTCAACCAGTGTGCCGGCCACTGGCAACTTTTCTCACCGCTGATACATTATGTGCCAATTTACGGGCAATTTTCTGAAGTGCCGATGCGCAGTCAAATCGCCCATACTTCGGCTGCGAACTGCATGCTCAACATCTTGGCATGCGTACACGAATGCCAAATTTTTCGAATTCAGCTGTGTTGCTAAATGAGTCGGTTAATGTTTTTTTGTCACAACAGAACATTAATTGTTTTTTTTTGAATGGCCAATCTGACAGGAATTACCTAACCAAAATGATTTCAGTTTCTAGAGTAGGCACTCACTCCACTGTCACGTCGCCACACTATTTCATAAGCTATCTAATTCTTTGTGTGCAAATAAATTCCAAATCCATAGTAAATTTTCCGCTATAAATTTGATATTAACACACATGGTAGAAAAGTACTGTAGTCGAATGCCGAATCTCAGTTTAGTAACAGACTCCGGGCCCAGACTTTTTTTATGTCTGCACTGGACTTACATTTTGAAAAATTATTGTTCGAATAAAATATGACATTGTTAGCTCGTTATTGAACGTACAGAATTATATTGTCCATACATCTCTGTGTATTTACTAACCCATGGTGTTTGAATTCCAGCTTTATGCTGTTTGGCATTATTCTTTTAGATGCCGTCTTACAGATACCGGTACTTCAGAAAAAAAAGTGCGCACTGTCCACCTAACGAATTTTAAGTACCCTACACATTCATAAAATAATGCGTACAGGGCCTTCCGTTACTAGTTGACGAAAATCCGCTCAAAATTGACAGAGCATGTCTTACAAGAGAATTGCATTATTATTTTACATGGCTTGTTGATATGTTTTAAACGACTTGACCAGCAACACCATGCGCTGCTGACAAGATTAACGACCCTGAATGTAGGAAAACAAACTGAAGAGCGTTTTAGGTTCATTAAGAAAACGCCAGCGGTGTGCAAGAATGACCGTAGGACAGCTTCTTCTCATGTTTCATCTCCCAGCAGCACTACAAGCACTTTTGTCACATACCATTATGAATAAGCTACACATTTTTCCGATTCAGCATAGATCGACTGCGACGGCCCAGCAGAAAGAAAAAACGATGACAAATTCCGGCAATTAAATCACTCTCCGCTACGCTTCAACAGCAACAATAAAGCAGGTTGGAAAATGCAGGCCTGGGTGAATATGCATGTGCTACAGCTTGTAGCAAGCACGACAATTCAATAAATATGCATCACCGAAAGTCTACAGGTGTCAGACAATCGGCGTACAATTTTTTATCGCTTATCTACACGGAAAACAAACATCCAATCCTTGTGTAAACTAATGACCACTAACGGCGCAAAAAGACTGCAGGTACAACTGCACAACAATCTCAAGTTAGTCTTTGTAGTTTGCACTGTATTTAAGCGGAATAAGAGCAAACAGAAATAATGCAAGAAAACGTCCTAACATTTACCTAGTTTTCCATAGGCAACACAGATAACAACTCTGCATTCCGACTTCGTAGTTCTGAGTTTCGTACCGTTACAATCAGAACATCAATTTTAACTTGTAAGCAACCAAAAAAAATTTGTGCCAACAGAATAAATGTATACAACTGTCCATGTATATATTTCAAGTACCGGTGTGCGCGCATGTTTGGAACTTCGTATTCACGATCAGTAAAAAAGGAAACTTCGAAAAATATCCGTAATCAAAACTTTGATCAAAAAGTTCTTAAAAGCTTATTATTAGAGCATCTTTTTATTATCTTGGTTTCTTCTAATGACCATTTACTATTTTCTAAGGGATTTAAATAATTAGCAAGTTGCAACCCTACAGACATCTCACTCCAACACAGTAACAGTTAAATACATATGAACAAGTGGAAAAGAGAGCTGTACTCGTTCTAAGTAAGTACCGTACTTACTTTTATCTCGTAACAGGCTTTGCGGGCATGAAGCAATAAAAAGCGCAGTAATGGACTACAAATCTTCCAGCGTCGATAAGAAATCAGCAAGAAAAGCCGTTGGCGCATTTAAGCTTTTGCGGGAAAAGAAAATGTGTGCACATGCGCCGTAAATTTAACGTTCAAAGCGCATAAACTTGAACTGGCAACGTCAAGAATATTATGCTCAACAGTCAACACTTCCATTTTCTGGCCGCTAAGCAAATATTTTTTAGATTTGAAATTTGAATAACAATTTCCCAGTCGAATAAGCTATTCTATATTTACATAAAATTGCCTAATATACAGGAAGTCAGTATTTTTAACCAAGGCAGTTGGTTGTTTTTAACCTTCCCATCCAACGAATAATTTTCGTCGAAAATTATCTCTACTTATTGTATTTTTCGACGCCAAAACAATTTCGTCACAGAAGTTCACTCTTCACAGTAGTTCACCAGAATAGTGCACAAAAAGGAGCTTCCGGTAGGAAATCATTCAAATTTCCTTCTGCTTGATCGTTGCAGTTCTTCTGCCAAATACCGTGCGAGGAACGGTGCTAAAATTAATGACATAAACTAATAAAATATTGCACAACTGATTTCGATATCTGATAAACCGGGCCATGATTTCTCAACCATATCAGTTTCAGTAAGCCAGCTCATTGTGCTGGGTTGGACTGGCGACATGCAAATTAATTCAACCAATTCTGTTGACTGTATGCCATACTAGCTATAGAAGCAGCTACAGTAATAACAGTATATCGGCTACGCTTACTTGTTAAAAGAAATGAAGAATTCGATTGAGGCTAAGAAACAAAAACAAATTTTTTTGCATTACCATCATCGTCTAGCATGCGTGACTTTATCATAAGCCGTCGCAAGTTGAAAAATAAATCATGCAATATTATTACTGATCATGCAGTCCTAACGTACTTATTTTTAATACACAAAGAAAGACGAAAACTTGCGGACTATAGGAACTGATTACGAGGAGCTTAATAACCTAATAACTGTAAATTACCGCGTACATCATTGAACACAATGTAAAACGATATTAAAGGGAATTCTATGCACGTCATCGAAGATTCTTCAAAGAAACCAAAACCTTAGCCAGAACAATTAACAAAACGCGTTCAAATGTTAACTCGAGATCAAAACCATCTCCTTCAGTTTCGACACGTTAAAAAACTTGATGAATATTTTGTTAAATTAATTTTAACATGTCTCGATTCATGCCAAGCAGAAACTTTCATATACAAAATTATGAATTTTTTTAAAACTGTAGTGCGTAAGTACCAATTAAAGCGATGGCAGCGTCAACAAAGTTGACAGTGAAGTAAAACCACCATGGTAAACGTAACGAACATTATACTCGTACCGACTACCGATGTGACAAAATAAATTAATAATCACGAAAACGAAATTCGGTTTCCATTTTCCAGGAACATAAAACGTAAAAACACCAGGAACATAGAACGTAAGTGCACCAGTCATAATTTTTTCGCAGTTTTATCCATAAAACTCAATTCATGTAAGAAAAACAAGTATCGGAGGAAAGGTGCTTACCGTCCTCAGTAGGTCGCTGCCCATTGCCATTCGATACAACTTTAGCAGACATTATTGTTATGGAGCTGGTGAATTTTATCGAATAAATATCGACGGCAATATCAGTCGATCGGCAGCCGATCTTCAAAAGAATGATTGTATATCTTCCCGATCCTTGTGTTTTTCGCTCATGATTCACTTCAAGAAGCCATTCAGAATACGTGTTTATTCGGAATCTGTAGGAGCAAAATATTTTTGGTGCTGTAGAACTAAATCGGCAACAATAATCAAGCTATTCAAAGTAACAACGGTGAGGACCGGGTAGACAACTTCCAACTTGCCATTCTGCGTTTCTGCTTGCGGGCCATTCACCCAAAGCAAGCGTACGTGTGTGACTCATATTGTACCGCCCTTAAAGGCTTAAACGCTTCCGGGGCATGCCAATGTGTGCCGTGCTGACCCGTGTATAAATTATTAATATTATTACAAATTTACAAGTATATATTATTCGGCAGATACATAGATTTAACATGCACCAATTGAAGAACAAAATACTTGACCATAAAGTTTGATTATTTTTAAAATTACTGTGACAATGGAATTTGAGAAGTGCACAGTTTTACAGGATGGTAATACATAAGCCAGTAGGCGGTTCTTTTGACGACCTGACGTGCGATAGTAAAGTAGGTGCAGTATTACATAGTACATACAGTACAGTAAATCGCCATTCTGCTAGTGCCAGACTGCCAGTCTCAAGTTCTCAACTTTGGGCGGCGAATCGTTTCCGGCGAATGAATGACTCACGGCTAGGTAATTGCATTGTATGAATTATTAATATTATTATTACGAAATTTTTTTATTCGCTTCTAAAGTTTCGATAATAATATAAGTAGTTCTATCAGGGCCACAGACTGGTTCTATGAAGTGTTTTATTTCTTGATTGAGATTAGTTATTAATATCTATATTACCCTGGGTCTATACTCTACAGATTATTTTTAATTAATTTTAATGGTTCGCTGTACGTTCCTGCTCGCTTTCTTGCACGATTAGTTTTTCCGTGAGATAATCAAGTGGTAACTCGTGAGTTCTTATTTAGTTGACGGACCTGAAATTTGAATGTTCGGTGATATTGTTATTGTTACGTAACAGTGGGGATGTGATACAAGACTTGGACGCTTGTCTTCGAAATTCTGCTAGTGCTTCGAAACAGTTGTGAGTCAGCGAATGCGACAAATTAATGATAATAGAAGATCCATGCTGTGAACTGTGATCAGTGATTCTGATCTGAATGTGAATACGGATCAGCTGTAAAGTGGGGTATTTACTTATTTGCCTTGTAAATTGGATTGTTTGGATCGGGACAGTGGACTTGTTGTGTTACTCAGTTACTAAGTCATACTAACGACGTGAGCCTGTTCATTTTTGCTCCTGCTTCGTTCATTTTGCAAGACAACACGAGTTTCCATAATGGAGATCCACAAAGATTCCCGCACTGAACCCAATTCTCTGGGACTTGAGACCAGTAAAACTTCTGCTCAGGGAACAAGAAGATCTTTTCTAATTTTTGGTTTGATTTTTCTTCTGGCACTTTTGTGTATGGCTGGTGTGTATCTCAGTTTTCCTTCCCTTGAGCCGTAAGTTCATTCTGTTCTTATTTAATCTTCTGATTGATTTTGCCAGAATTCCATAAAGAACTGAGAGTGTTTGTGAATGTTTCAGGCATGAACGAGCCGTGTTCAGATTACCGAAAACGATTGACGATGCTAAAGCCCTCGGTGAAGTGCTCTATCGTTACAAGGCGAAATATTTCTATCAAGTATTTGGTGGATTCTTTTTGACATATATTTTGTGAGTATTCTCTCGCACTTCTGATGAAAATTTATCTATCGGTTGAAGTCTAACAGTGGTATCTGAAATTTCAGTCTACAGTCATTCGCCATCCCTGGATCGATTTTTTTGAGCATTTTATCCGGATTTTTGTTTCCGTTTCCTGTAGCACTGTTAACAGTTTGCACGGTATGGTTGCATGGTTTTGTATTATTCGATTCTGTTTATCACTCAAAACGTGAAACTAAGCTGTGACGCACACCATAACTTTTGTTTACCAAACCTTTTTTGCACTCCTATATCGCAATATTTTTCGTTGTTTTTAGTGCTCGGCCATCGGTGCCAGTTGTTGTTATCTTCTTTCTTTGATGGCGGGGAAGCCGTTGTTGCTGAAATATTTCCCCGAACGTGTCCAGGATTGGACCAGACAGGTAAACAGGGAATTCTGTTACTTTTCCGCATGACTGCAGTGCAGATGGATGGATTTTTAATAGGTGGATAAGCACCGTGACAGCCTGCTGAATTACATCATTTTCCTGCGTATCACGCCTTTTCTCCCAAACTGGTTTATCAATTTAGCCTCACCGGTGATCGGTGTGCCACTGAAACAGTTTTTTCTGGGAACATTTCTCGGTGAGTGATTTTTCTGAATAAATAAGGTCTCATAGAGTCGCATGTCAGAACAGCCAAACGGCCTAATCCAAACGCATTTAACTCAGCATTACGAGACTGTCATTGCGAAAGTCGGTAAAGCAAATTGTTGTTGGCTTGTAAGTTGAGTTATAACGAAACTGTTCACTCGTCGCGCAGGCGTGGCACCGCCTTCCTTTATTGCCGTGCAAGCAGGAACAACATTGCACCAGCTGTCATCCTCCGGCGACGCCTTTTCCTGGACGTCCATATGTCTGTTGGCGGTATTTGCTGTGGTTTCCCTGCTTCCGGTGATCTTCAAGCGGCAGTTGATAAAGAAATTCAACTGACGTCTGACGATATTGTAACTACTGGTAGTTTCGACTTTTGAGATCTGCTCATGTGATAAGTCTTCGGGTATTATTTATTAGGTAACAGGCGCATGTTTTACAGTCAGTACCGAGTTGTTTTTCTGGATGGTTGTAGTAGTTATGTTGGAGATTTTGCCTACCGGTACGCTTGTTCATAAACTTCATCTTTGGTCGATTGTGTAAATCACGACCACCGGCCGCACGAAACCGTGTTTTCGCTATCGGTTTCTTTAATTTTATGTCCAATTATTCACTGAAGCTGAAGAATGATATTTCACGCGTATATGAGTCTTTCTTTACGTTAATTTCATTAAAACCCAGACAATCCTCAAGTGCCCAGCATGAAATCCGAGTTTCGAAGTTCGACTTGCTTTTAGAATTTTCTAAATGTGAACAACTTCCTAATTCATGGCTCCGACACAGAAATTCACTGCAGGATAATTAATAAAACCTTAAATTCACTGCAGGATAATTAATCTCCAAGGATTTGCTGATTTTACCCGCTCTTCCACACTGACACACACAGAAAGAAGAACAGCAAAATTCGATGAAAAGCTCACGACTATTTGGCAAGCCAGTTACGAGCCCGCTGCGGCGTTCTGCAGTTGCTTCATAGCGGCTTCGTCCTGCATGGACATCGCGGTGAGCTTCTTCCCGATTCGGTCGTGCACTTCGAGGTACTTTGCAACACAGCGATCCACACACACCGATTCCCCCTTGGTCAGTTCGGAATCCTTGAATTTCAAGGGAAGACACTTCTGGAAGCATCCGTTAGTCATGCGATGATACATATCCGACATCATCTCAATTTCCAGTTCCGCAACAATGTTCAGCTGCTCCGGAGTCAGTCCCTGCATACTAGCCATGTTCAGTGACTACGGCAAGACGTTAAAAGGCTGGCTTAGCTGATAGGGGCAATGAATATCAAGCAGCGGACAGAAGTGCGAAGAACCGACGGCCGTAAACTGGAATGGAACACACTGTTTGTACACACTTCTTACAAGCTTCCACAGTGTTTCTTGTACTGTTACGCAACCATTAAAACATGCAGACAGGATCTGAACAAAATCGGAAACCTTAGATTGTAGAAGAAACCAAAGGACCAAAAACAGTCAGATTTGTAAAAACTGAAACAGCCAGAATTTTTAATGATTTCCGCATACAGAAATAATCAATAATATTATCGTAATTTGTAGCTGAGAAAACTGAAACAACTGGGAATAGCTGATAGCAATATTCTTGCTCTACGCGTTGTAAACCGCGCACCATCGGGATCACGCTACGTTCATTTCACATGCCATAGGAGAAACCCCTTGTGTCTTACCGTCACCTCACTAAGGTAAGGTGCTCTTTTCGTCAATCACCGCAATATTTTGGGACATAGTGTGCAGAATCTGTAGATCAAGTTCCTCCAAAAACAAACGGAGACCAGCCTTTTTGTCGACGGACCGTCACCGTCACCTAGTCGAGCAGACACGATCTCGAGAAATCGAGCTAACATTCACAACACCGTCTAGGTGCACGTTTTTTTAGTCTTCTCAGCCGTCCGCCTCGTGACGGTCCACACAGCGCGAGTCGACGTAGCTCGCGTAAGAACTATCGGTGAGCCGATAATTATCGTCTTTCGACTTTTTATTCAGAATATTGTATAGGTCCAGTATTTTGTTCAAAATCACCTAAAACAGTAAGAAACTACCACCACATCTCCATAAACGTAAAACTAACACTTCCACAAATAATAAAAATAACATTAAAAAAAACCAAATCTATTAGTGATTCACATCAATTATCCTAGGCCAGCGCAGGCGAAGCAATGACGGCAACACCGCGCTTATAGAATGCCGTAGCCGCAGCCAAACCATCCGGCTGTCGTTTGGAAGCATCCTGCGGCGCGAAATCCAGAGTGAAGAGAAGATTTGCACGATCAGAATATAAATAAACGGGAATAGGTATCTGAAAACAGAAATCTCACTGTAAATATTTTCCATTAAAAAAGGTAAGAAATCTTACCTTTAACGCAGAATCATTCTGTTCCTGTCGGACCCAACGGACGGCACACACCGGCATATCACTAAATAAACTGCCGGATAAACGCAGTGTTTTCCCTTCTGCCAGTGCTCCTTGCAGATGCATGCCTATGTACAGAACACCAAATTAAGCAAATCAAAAAATTATCTAAATCGCGTCACAAAATAACAACCATACGAGTCCGTATGACAAATTTCCTGCAGTTACCAAAGCCAAAATTATCAAAAAGTTATGAAGTAATAAGAATAGCACGACGACAACAGCAACACGCAATTCAAAATAAATTTAGCTTACATACCCGTCAGATAAAAGACATCTTTATCAGTAGCTGCCACTTTTTCTCCCGTACTCAACACTTCCGTATCCAGCTGCAGTTCCTCCAACGGCCATGAATTCGCCTGCGCCACAAACTGCCGCGTCGCCGTAATGCATGCTTCTGGCAAAAACAGTCCACCCAGCCACACACGCAGACTTTTCAAATCCTTAGCCGGTAAACTGGCGATCTGGTTAAGCTGCTGGATTCGCCGCACGAAGTCCGCGAACCATGCATTGACCGTACAGTTGATCGGTACGGTGTAACGCTTCCAGCTCTTGGGAATAATCCCCCGGAGAAGATCACTCACCAGGACGCGGTGGTAATTGGTCTGCTTCTTGATCCCCTTGCAGATCGCCATCAGATCATTCAAATCGCGTTTGACACCAGACAAAATTGATCCACCCAACTTAACTTCCCGTGCAAAGCAGCGAAACAGAGGATCTTTGATATTCTCTGGTGTGCGCTTCATCTGCACCAGATCAGCTGGGAGTGTACGCAGCCAGCCTTGCGACAGGGACTGGATGGACTTCATCCAGGCTGGGCCTTCCATAGATTCACTTTCTTTTTTGGAATCCTGTAAACCAAATTTATGTTAATAGTTTGTAGAAAAAAACCTAGTTAAATTCACAGCCATCTACAACTGACTAAGACGGCTTTGCATTCACCAGGATGTCAATTCTGACCAAAATAATCATTCAAGCGCCAACAAGACTCTAGGTTCTTCAAACAACAGGCCTATTTCGGCAGTGTGAATACGCTAACATTACTAAAATAGTACAATCTGACAGTATACGTACCGTCACTCGCAACGATTCCTCCACAACATCCTTTTCCTCTTCATCCTCCACCAGTTGTAACTTCAGCAATTTAGCCAAGCATTCTTTGCCCTGTCCAATCAGCAGAACATTCTCAGCATTGCCCGGTAGTCCAATCCATTCCGGCGACGAATGGTCACGCAGTTCTCCAATCCACTTCTCAAACTGATCCCGTCGCGATCCATCTGGCACAGGAACATTCGGCATACCTTGTTCTTCGCCGGTAACTAATGGCAAGTCTCCATGGAAAGCTTCTAACGAGAATACACTATCCACAAACACAGTCAGCAGGCGTTGATCGAAATCATTATCAATCTTTCCTCCGTACACACACTGCGAGAGTAGTGTGGCAATTGCTTCCCACGGAATCTTATCCGCGGTGATGTTCGTCCGTCCCTGCGCTGCTCGATCCAACCATGTGTCCAACACATCACACGCCATCCGCAGATCGGCTTCGGTAAACTCATACGCTTTACTCCATCCCAGTGGGACATACCGTAATCGCTCTTGAATGACGCCGTTCAACCATGTCAGTAAAAAGTACAAGCGAGCTCGTTCCACAGGCTCCTTCGTCATCCGGTTCACCGGGATCGAATTCAGAGTTCTCTGCAGATTAGCCTTAATTCCCGTGGACGGCTCAAAGACCAACACCCGACTGGACCGCAGCAAGGTGACGGGGAGGGCGGGATGCATTTCAGCGGTGAGGAACAGCCGGAAAGCGGGATGATGTTGCAGAGAGTGAAGACGCTTTTCCAGACTGACCAACCACGACGGTGCCAAGTGGACGTTCTTCAACAGCACCCAACGACCGGCTTTTGATGCGGCAACAACAGCTTTGTCGGCCTGTTCAAAGCCTTCTGCTGAACCGAGTGCAATGCTGGACATCTGCTTGGTCAAATCGGCAGCTAGATCGTCAACCAACCAGCTAGCATCGTAGCCCGGTTTTGAACACAACATGATCGGCGTCTGAGCTTTCACCTATTAAAAAAACACTGCACTTTTACACCCTATAATCACAAAACGGCACATGAAATACTAATATAGAAAATGTTTATATAGAGGAGTCGGCTACACAGTACTTCTATTTCGATACTAGTACCGAAACACATTTTAAATGGACGATTCAAAGAATCATCAACTCAAAAAAGTTCCAGACCTGCATCAAAGCAGCGTACCTGGTCGTTCACAATGGTGGCCAAATCCAAAACTTCTTTTTCAGGGTGGAGCATCTTTGGACCGAACACTCGGTCAACATATTCCATCAAATGAAGACGCACCAGGTCAGGCCGAACAGCTTGAGTTAGCAACACTTTCAGCAATGCCGCAAATGCCGGATCCGCTATAATTACCGTCCTGTTATCACTGATAGCAGCGAAACATGAAAGATATCAAAAAAATACCGTTAGTAACATGTTCCTTCCAAATTTCCGGGGCCTCCCCACCGGCCTTCTTCCACTTCTGGATACTATCATGATGTCTGCCAAACAATTCCTTCACATTCTTGAAGTATTTCAAATTGCCAAGATGCATGATCTGCGCCGATTCTTCTGCCGTAAAGCCATCCAGTACTGACGTAGCTTCCATAACATCTGCAGCGTCGATGCCCCGCAGTAGGAATTCGAACTCTTCGTCGTGGATGGCATCGCTGTTTTGAAATAAAACATTTTTAGTAACGGTCTCCTTTGGCAGCAAAAATTAAACCACTCACCGTTCGGTGCCGGTATGTTTGGATTTCAAGAAAATTCTCGCCAACAGAACTGCCAAAACCAACTGGTCTTCGTGTTGCATACCACGTGACACCCTTTCAAAAGTGTTGAAGAACAAATCACTGGTTAGACGCTGCAGACGAGCTGCTGGATCTCGGACACTGATCAGATTGGGATTGTTCAATATCGTGTTGTTGAAAATTTCGATGAAGAATTGTAAAGAATAATTGTACAGGAAGTGGACCTACAATTACACAATCATAAAAAACAAACAGATTTTATCCTGATTGATCCCGTGAATCAACTGCAAATTTTGTACCTGATTCAACACATCCAAGGTAAAGAACACACTGCTACAAGCCACGGCCAGCGGCATGTATTCCTGGCTAACTTTCTCAATCTGGCCCATAATCTGGTCAGTTTCGTCCACTTTTTGTTGTACTTCCGCTGCTTCGTGTTTCAATCGTTCCAAAGTGGTCAGGACGTTATCGTCGTCCAGAATCTTCCCTTTGGCCTCGTTCAACGCCTGTAGAAGAGACTGCTCCAAGTGGCGCAGTTTTAGCCGGAATTCTCCTTGCAGCTTCAGCATATTGGTTCGCTTCTCGTCAATGTCCGGTCGTTCTGAGCGTAGCACATGGTGTAGACACTGGCTCTGCAGACTGCTGCGTGTCACCGTGAAGTTAACGAATGTCACTCGAGAACAGACATCAGGAGGGAATTCCACCTATTGATCAAGAATAAATATAGAAGTAGTAATGCATATGCAATCATCAAAAACCACGGCTAAATGCGTAGTCGAATTTACGGCATGCAGCTACAGAATACAGGCGAGGGTATACCGCTGGCTGAAACCAATTCACCAGAGAGGCATACGCCATACAATCTCAATAAAAGCGCTGAAAACCAAGAGTTTTCATGATTCAACAGGTTATGCAACAAAAGCTTAAACTTACCGACGGATCACGTGTGGCCAGGTAAATAGAAAATGTCGGCGACAAATCAATGTCTTGATCCCCAAGCTGGATTAAAATGCGTCCGGCGTTGCGTTTGACTTCCCTGTTCAAAACCGAATTCAAAATTGGATCATAATTTTCCACATCCTGAACCAATAAAGGATTGCCGAATCGGAGAGCGCTTTCCAAATTTTTACGGAATGCCGAATCCAAGAAACTACAATAAAAGAAATCTGTCTACCACGTATTGTATCCAGACCAGCAGGGAAAGCCAGGTATACCTTGTACGAGCAATTTTTTTGGTTTTAAGTTCATTCAGAACGAAATCAGTGGCTTGTCCGGAAGGATCAATAATGAGCGGATATCGATTGAAGCGTGAAAGCATAATGGCATTCTCAATGCACAAATCGTCCGCCGGTAAACCGTTCGCCAACCAGCGCAGTCGATCGTCCGGGGTTGACAAGTACTGAAACGGATAATAAAATCTGTTTAAAACCAATCCATTACGGTAAAGTCCCGAAGTCAAATAGACACCACAACGGATCCTCAAAACAAGAAAGTCATGAAACACAAAGTGTGAACCATTAATCAAAATAATAACCAGTATTTTTCCTAAAGACGAACCAATAGAACGAAAAGGCTGAAATGCCATCTGACAAAAACTATGAAAAGCCAGTCCAGATTAAAAAAAACTATTTTACCTCAGTCAACGAAAGATCCGGTCGGTACAGCACTCCTGAATTTTTCAGAAATTTGGACCAATTTCGCTGGACATTGCTGCGCACGTGTTGATCGTAAAATCCACTGTACGTAATAAACGCGGCTGACAGTAACGCATCTCCAATCAATGTCGCCATCTGATCTTTGAAGTGTTTTTGACTCTCCGTCCAGCGGTGGCTTTCCGACTCCAGGCTCTTCAGCAGCGACTCCGACCGGTTAACCTTAGCCTGTACAGCAGCTGATTCCAGTTTCAGCTGTTCGGCCTCCCGAATCAGCACGGCATATTCATCCCGGAATCCTTGGATGCTCTTTTCCAATTTCACCAGCTTATCACGCACTTCAGCTTCGCGGTGTTTCGAATCCTCAGCATCTCGTTGCAGTGTGGCCATTTTTTCTCGCAATGGCGCAATCTGATTAAGGATTTTAGCGTACTGGCTCTGTGCTATGGCCCACTGTGCCAGTGGACCGCAAGCAGTACTGGCCCGATTGATCTTGTCAACCTGGTAATCGACGTTGTTGCCATACTGCTTGTTGAATTCTTCGATCATGGCATCACTACAACGCCCGTAATTATTATTCACCTCACTTGTCAGTGTGCGATAATACTCGTATAATCCGTACTCACGTCAGAGTTTCTGCTTTGAAATTAAGAATTGTCTGGATAAAATTATCGCGAACCATGACAGTACGGATGTTCTTCCAGTCCAAATTTGTTTCACCCAACAGGAAGCAAACGGATTCGGTGGCCAGTTTAACTAACGGTGGAGGATTCGCCATGGATTTCACTTCCACGAGATTTTGTTTTTTAATTCCCTTGACCGCTGTAATTGTAAAAGTTTAAAGACAGAAACCAGAAACTAAAATGACCATTCATTGTTTCACCGTTTTGGGCGTCCAATAACAATGGTTCCACCGTAGCCAATTCATTCTGGACTTTCTGCTGACTGATTTCAATTCCTTCTTGTTTTCTCTGCAAATATACAGTAGCGGTGACTGAAAAACACACCAAAGGCCCAAAAAATTGTTACTCAACAGAAAAATAAAATGAAAACTATTTACCGGTAACCAATACAACATTCACCGGTATTATATCTGCACCGGTTTTTACCGGTATAGAAATCCATCAATTTAGTTACCGGGAACTAACTACGAAAACCAGTAAAGATTTAAATATTGATCTGTGCAAGTACCTTCAATTCCTCTTTTATTTCTTCGGCTTTAAGTTTGTTCCGTTCAGCTTCCTGCTGATCCGCCAACATTTGTTTCAATTTGGCTGTTGCAGCGTTATCTTTTTCCATTAGCTCCCGTCCCTTCACCGCCAACTCCTTACGCAAATCCTCCACTTGCTCCACAGTCTCTCGTATCTTCTGTAAACCGATATTTAAATGCAGCTGCTGATCCTCTAGTTCGTTTCGTTTTTCGTGATAGATCTTGACAAAATGGTTGATCAAATCCAAATACTGTCGCGGCGTGATAGCCACCACCCTGTTGCCCCGCTGCTGCAGTCGCTGATTCGTACTCTGCAGGGTTTTGTGTACGTAGACAAAAGCATTGACCACCGCCTGCCGATGCGATGGCGTAATCGGCACCAGACCGCATACTGGTGGGAACCGATCCGGTGCTTTGTAATCACCTCGATCCAAATCCACTTTATCAGTCAGCTCACTGCCCACTTGATACATGGCATTCGAAGACCAATCGCCACACCAGTTAACAACGCAGCGATTGAACAAAGCCGGCGACGTTGAGGCCCGATCTTTCAGTCCTTGCGTCGATGGATTCATCGTGAACACCACGTGGAGATTGCGGATGACCTGCCCAGTAAACCACCGATACAGCTCCTCCGGAGTATCCAACATCAGGCCCTCTCGTTGTGAACCCTCCTTACACTGTGTCATCAGGGTAGTATATTCATCACCTTCAAACAAACCAGGCACTTCTCCGTTAGCCAACAATGTATTCATTCGTTCCAGAAAGCTGGACTCTAAGACGTTGGATTCGTCCAAGATGAAGCAGATCTTCTCATCCCGGCATCCGGAACGCCGCAATACATGCCGTAGATCGTCGTCAAAATCTGCTGCGGTGTATTTGCTGTGGGCTTTAATCTGGTATATACTAAGCCCATTCATCCAAGCCACGAAACGGGACAACGTGGTCTTCCCAAAACCACTAATCCCAATCAACAGTACGTGGCCCTGTGGCTGGCGGAAAATGCGATCAATTCGCAGCACATGATCCAACACCTCGTCAAACAGTACCAACGGTACATCCAATTCCTCTTCGTAGAAAACCTTCAGTCTCGCCCGAACGAATTCTCTCAAATCTTCTCTTCCCACCGGCGAATAATTCTTGTTCATCCAATTGCTGTACAAGATCGGCCGTGTCAGCGATTTTTTCAAATCCACCCCGGGGAAGTTGCGCTCGGCTACCCGGTCAATGTTCTCGTCCGTCCAACGACGCTCTGCGTCCTCCACCAACCGATCCTGGAAGAGTCGTAGACCTTCATGCGCCCAGATTCGGACCAACTGATCGGCCGTAACATCATCCACCGGCTGAATGGCTTCGAACACGCCACGCACCCATCGTGTCAATTCGCGGGGGCTGTAGATGTAGTGCGGTTGCATTTCTTGGGTAAATTTTTCTTGAGACTCCAAATAAAATTCCACCATGGCTGTCGTCAGCGGATCGGCATATGAACGGAGCGCCGGAAACAAGCGGAGCATGGCCCGATTGAATGTTCCATAGATCTGCTTCAAAGACGCAGCTCCTGGATAATCCACATAGATGACTGGAGCATGACGCAAAAATCGTTGCGAAAGAGGTTTCCGTCCCGGATCGGTAGGTGGATTGCATGCACCTACAAACTGAATGCGCTCCAACTGGACCCAAGCCTGGTCGCTGGTGCGATAGAAGCCCCCGCGCTCTACCAGCTGCCGGATAAATGAGATGACTCTTTGCGTTCCTACGGTTCAAACCATTCTCAGAATCAAGGCACAAGATCTTCGTCTCTACCTAAACAACTTACCAAATTTATCTTCATCCGGCAAATTGATTTCATCGCAGAACAAGACGAGCCATTTTTGTGTTTGAAGCGGAGCCAAGACGACACCATTAGGGGTCTTGCGATACTCGCAATAATGGTCAAAGGTTTTCAAAAGCAGCTCAGGCGTACTTGCACTGGAGAAGTTAAGGCCGACAACCTAATTATAAAGCAATCGTAAAGTATATTCAACAAATTAGCTATATCAAACGCTTCAAGGAAATTTTATACAACTTACCGTATCTATACTATGAAAAAACACGTAACACGAGTCATTCGAAAAAAACAAAACATGTGAGGATATCAATTAAATCAGCGTGAAATTTTTTCATGAAATTAGCGCGGTAGTTATCAATTTCCCAAATATAAAATACCGCGTAAATACAAATATTACATGCACAAAATTTCAGTAGTCACCTCCATATTTGGTAATGACCGCAGGGCCGAAAAAAGCGTCATTGTCTTTCCGGAACCAGGAGGACCGCATAAAATTAAGGGTTTGTGATCTTGCAACCACGCATACAGAAGAGCCTGATGTCGTACGGTGTCGATTGTCGGGATGACCAAATCAGCCGCAGTGACCCGATGAGTTTCCACTTCCATCTGCGGAACTTTGGACTGCCACGTCGTCCATTCACCATTTATTCCAATCTAAATAAGATATCGATTATAGAACTGTTTAGAAGGTTCCTATAGTGTCATATTAATTCGGAAGATTGTTGCTGGAGTAGCCGATAAACCCATTGTTATCAAAAACTGTAACTTACTTCGTAATCAATAATGGGAACAGCGCTTTGCGGCGGTAAGCGGATTGTAGAAACAGAGCGGACAAAATCGCCTAGTTCTTCTCGCACTTTTTTCTTGGAGTCGCCCGTCAGCGACCATAACATAGCGTACACCAGTGATTTGGTTACGTACTGTTCCAGTTGGTCGTAGGCCATCGGGAAATCTGAGTGCGCTGAGTTGTAGTTGTGCACCTCACGAATCGTCTGATTAATCATGGACAATAAAGCATTTAATGCCCGAATTCTTGTGAAATCCATTATATGTTCCTTCTCGGATGCAAAATCCAAGCAACGCACAACCAGACCTTCTGGAGCAAGATGGGGTCGAAGGATGTTCACAATATCGCGCTGAACCTAGCAAACCGAAGCAAGTTGGCAAACAACATTAAAATTAATTCGAATACTTATGCCAAAAATGCAAAGAAACATGAAAAACGAAAAAATTCCCGAAGTTTTTTTTTGGAAATGATTCATGAAATCCCTTACAAAAACATGGACCAAGTGTACAACTAACTCGACAAGGCTCGATAAAATGAACCGTCACTTGCATTGCCCAACCTGTAGTTCGGGGGAGATGCGTTCTTCCGGTATTTCCGACGTCGGTGTCTGAGGCGAGACACCCGGAATGGCGAATGTGGCCTCAGCTTCTTCCGAACCATATACGACGTTTTGCAATTTGGTTAAATAATTGTAGAACACCATATCAATGGTCACGACGTCCTCGTTGAACCAAATCATTCCGCAACGACTGACAGTTGCCATTGTGGCAAAGCGCAGATCTTGCACTTCGAACATAATGCGCACATTGGGAGGCAACCCCAGACGCTCACCGTTGGGTAGCGTAAGAATCTTGTTGTCATCCAGTACACTGTTCAGATTCTCTACCCAATCCGGATCCACATCGCCATCAAAGATAATCCACTGACGTTTGTGAATTTCACCGCGAACATTATCGACAATCCTGCAAAATGCCAGCACATTCAAACACCAACCGAGACAGCGAAAAAAAACTGAATTCACTACTGGAGCATAAAATAAGAATATTCTGAGCGAGCTCACTTTCGTAGGATATGGGTAAATAATCCATCAGTCCATTCTCGAGTATTCGGATCCAGGTATCCATACAGTGCTTCTTTTGACATTGCTTTCGGGTCAATCACATGTGCCACTCCCTCGACACCTTCTAATCTTGTCAGGGCTTTCAAAAGAATTTGCCAAGCTGCGGTTTTACCCGATCCACTAGGGCCCACCATCATCAAACCGTGATTAACTTGAGAAATCTGGTACAATTGCAAAACCTATAACACGGAACATTAAATTAAAGCAAACGTAATCAAGTAAATACAAGAAGCGCATATGAAGTACAAACCTTCTCCATCCACGCGGCACCAACTCCGCCTTTTTCACCAGCCACCAAATAACTGGCATCACAAGCTTTCTTGATTAGCGCTTTCAGTTGATCCATCTCCGACCTTTCGTATGCCACTTTCGGGAATACATCAGCCAACAAACTGAACATCAACGGGATGTCTTCCGCAATTAACTTCGGGACCATCGTTTCGCAGACACTTTGCACCAAAATCTACACCATGATAAAAATATGCTAAATATACTTCCGCAGTTAGTCCGAAATAATGCAAAGTTTTAAATTTTACCTGTTGTTCAGCGGAAACAGCTCCCAGTGCCGATAACTCCGGAGGCGCTCCATCGCCTTCACCACTATCTTGTATCTTCTTCACGCGCAGACGCTTGACAATACCGGCACTGACTAGAACATACTTCAAAGCCCGCAAACCGAAATCATAATGGGACTGATGGGACAACTGCTCATCACATAACCTACAAACATGAATTCTCTGAAATTCCCAGCTATCAAGGTGATAAAAACATGCAAAATTAGGTTTGGTCGCATACTTGAAAAATGGCACCACCTTGGCGGCAAGTTTTTCGGCAGTGCGAAATCCCTGCGAGAATAACATGACTTCCGCAATAAGCTGCCGGTCGGGTTTGGTCATAGCAAAGCTGCGGAAAAGCTTTTTCAAGTTGTCCGGTAGATTAGAACGTCCCGCATAACCAGGATTCATCGTGACAAAAATGGCCATATCCGGATTGATATGCACCTGCAAAAAGTCAAGCTTCACCAAAACCCCCAACAAGCAAAACTATCAGGAGCAGCTACAAGATTTTAGGTTAGGAACTTTACCCTAATTGATACAAACAATTTCAACAACAACAGTAAACAAAATACTTGTAGTCTTGACTGAATTAACGTACTTCATTTCCAAGAAGATCAACTGGGATTGATTTAATATCACCGCTCTTCAAATCAGCATTTCGACGCAAGCCCTCCTGTATGGTTTGGATCTGCTGTGAGACCGCTGATAGCATCCGCTCTTCCAGACGGTTAAACTCATCAAAACAACCCCACGCGCCAACCTAAAATCATTTATGAAATATAATTAAGTCAAAATAGCAGTAATTGGTAAATAGCAGTACCTGGCAGAGACCAATAAAAATGCGGCCCATGGCTTGAAAATCAAAGGTTTCATCGCAATTAAACACAAGCACGAATCGGCCCATTTGCTGGCCCAGAGCCTTGACTGTTTCCGTTTTTCCAGTTCCGGCAGGCCCTGTAATGAAATACAACTCAACAAAGCACATATAGTTCAACAAACGACGTAACTTAAATTATTCCGAAAGCATTTTGAAGAAAACGCTGATGATATGTCTAAAGCATGACAAAATATTTAACACTAATTACGAAAATGTTCAACATGATTTTATTTACCAAAAGGAGAGCCACCAAGTCGAGAAGCTAACGCCTGGGTCATAGCTAAATAACAACGATCCGTTAATGGAGTTTGCACCAATTTGTCTTGCACTCCCAAATATTCAAATCCGTAGAAGAATCTGGCATTGGCCATCTCAATGTTTAACTGCTTCAGAACGTCTGATTCTTGGGGATTAAACGAAAAGCGCATCTGTTTCAACCACTGAAAAGACGAACGCGAATCCACCTTTTTCTCGATCAGGAGCCTAGTCACATCCCTCTTGTGGACATATTCCGTTATCAAGTTCTCCATCTTCTTTCGCATGATGGGCAAATGGTCCTCCAAAACTGAATCCGCCAAAATGTTCAAAACAGCTCCAATCGAAGCTTCCAATTTCTGCATGGACTCCAAATCAAATCGGCCTCCCGAGCCATCGCCGCCCATTTTCTTGATGATCTCCTCGGTAGCTTGCGACCACTGGACTTGTGCAGCTATCAAAACAATTTGCGCAGGATATTTATCCATCCAGGCGAGATAATCAGCTTTATGCACTTGCGATGTAATAGATCCGGCATCGCGTATACAGTTGTACAATAATTTTGCTAAGGTGCGCTTCATTTCTTTTTCAATAGTGATCAATAAGTCATTGATACTAGAAAATTTTGCAACCACTAATGGTTCAGAAAATTTAACTTCTTCTCCTTCTTTGGATGAAAATCCATCTACGACCGTTTGTTCTGCATCGATTATCAAGGCGTTGATTCCTGCAAACATCTTTTTGAAATGTTTCTGGATTCGCACGAGATTTTTGCTGTTGCCGATAATATCCAATAAATCTTCGTCCCCCACAAAATAAAATCGTGGGAATGATGACCGCTGTCGTTCCAGATACTCTCCCAAAGCCTTTTGAATCTTGGAAAGTAGATCCAAAATTCGCTCCAACGACCGTTGTAAACCGGTCACTCCGACGACTTCCAGTACTTTCGGAGACTTTGCCACTTTCTTCATGACACCCAAAAATTCATTACTGATACTGTGAAATCTTGAGGTTTCCGTAGGAAGCAGTGCTTGGATATCTGTACTTCCGCTGAAAATTCCATCCAGATACACCCAACGCCGCTGCACGTCAATCCAAATATCGAAAACAGAGTTAATCTTGTTCAATTTCTCTTCCCAGGCCACAGCGTCTTCTTCGAACACCTTATAATATGGCGACAATTTCATGGCCTGGAGGCTATTAATATGTTCTTTGACTTTGTTAAACAAATCGTCCCATCCTCGAATCAGGTGCGCCTTATCTTGGTACGGAATCAATTCGAGTTCATAAATCTGCCATGTTTCCTTCACTTGTTTCAAGAAATTCTCCAGGGCCAGTTCTCCCTGTGCCGTCATCATCACATCACGGATAGTCCGTTCATGCCGTTGCAGATTCGTATCCCACACCGCACCCAGCGTCAAATCCGATAAATTCCACTTTACACCCATCTGGCGCATCAGTTGACTCCAGTGTCGATCTTTCAGCGCCTCGGATTTCAACTCCACAATCAACACATTAACCTTTGTGTATGACTGCAACAACTGTTTGACGAAATCATACGAAGCGTACTGGCGCATCCGACTAGGCATCTCTTTCAATTGGCCTAACAAAGTATCCAATGTCTGCCGAACTTTCCGGGGCTGCACTGAAACCCACGAAGTCTCCTTCAGCTCATCGATCTGTTTCCAGATCTTCGCCACTTCCGACCACACGCCCTTCAGATCGTCCAGTTCTTCGATACATACCACAATGCGTTCGAGGTGAGGATCCGCCGTGCCTTCCGGCTGCATATCCAACGCTTCTTTTGCGCGGCTCAAATTCTCGCGTTCCTCTTTCAGTCGTTTTAATCGCTGGTCAAAAGCCGTAATCTGGCTAAGAGCTGTTTCCGGCCGTAAAGCACCATCCACTGGTTTTTCTGTATCCCAATTAGCCAGAATCTCCGTTGTTTTCGTTTCCAAAATTCGGCTTTCACCGGCAATTTTGTTTTGAAGTTGTCCCATCTACAAAATAAAAAGAACATCTATTTAGGCAATACATCCGCCATGAAGTTGTGAAGTATGCATGTAACGCAGACTAAACACAGACGTACTTTTTGTTGGACACTGTTATCCTTCCGCTTCAGAATATCCGTAAATGCACCCCATTCCGAATCCAGATTTTCCGAATGCAACCACTTATTTGGGAATTTGAACCTTTGCCGTTCCAGCAGTTTCTGCCCATCGCGGAACAGTTCCACCTGCTTTTCCCATCCCTTCAATTTCCGCTTCATCGTTTGCATGGAAGTAATCAGATTGACTGATTCTGCGGTAGATGCCGCATCTAACGACAAATGTTCCAATGTCGATCGCTGGCCATTCAGCAGCCCATAGAAATCCTGCATTGTCTGCCCGAGCAGGCTGCCGTACTTGTTAATTACTTCCGTATGCCACTGGTCATACTTCAGCGTCACCTTCGACTGAACTCTGGCAAAATCCACCACAATTGGTCCAATAGTCTTGGACGTATCACTCGTATCGAATGTGGCGCGAGACTTTTTGATATCAGTCAGGATTTGTATCCATTTCTCCATATCGGTACCCAGGCGTTCATATACCATTTCCGGTTGTAAATCCCACAGCGCTTGGTAACGCAACCATTCTTGAACATAAGCTTCCACTTGGGCGATCAGTCCATCCACTGCCGCGAAGATTTCAATAAGAACCTGTGGACTGGGAAGACGCTGCAGCACTGACTGATACGTTGACGCCAGCTGCTCCTCCTCCACATTGACCGACGAGCGATAACGACTACTCTGTAGACGCTTTTGCGCCAAGATCGTACTAGCCCAATTCCATAGCTGAGCGAGAAGATCCGTGCGGGCCTGCGGTACCGGCGGATTGAGAAACATCACCTGGTTAGCGATGCGGAATTCATGAACTACTTTCTCGATTTTCGGTATGGACATGATTAAACTGGCCGAGGTGGGACTGTCATCCGTATCGGTGTTCTGCAGTTCGTCTTCTTTGCCATTTAACACCTTTAGCCATGCAACTAGGGCAGTCTGTAAACGAGCTGCCAGTTTCTGCTCCACTTCTTCATCAATCGTCACAGTCCAGTCAGCCAAATTGCTGTACTGTCGCAAACTAAGATCGTCAATGGTCTTCTGGATTTTGTTCAATATATCCGCGAAAGAACTCGTATTAAACAAACATGTATCCAAAGATCGAAGTTCCACATCAATCTGCCGTTCTAACAAAACCAAATCGTCCACTTTTTCTTGGAAAATCGAAGTTGTTTCTGAAAATTTTTGTACAAAGGCTTCCACGCGATGAGATTCCCAAACCAAGTCGGCACCCTGAATCAGCAAAATAAAAATAACATAACAAATAAAGACATGATTCAATGCCAAAACAATGCAATCACCACACCACACTTTCCGTACGATTCAAATGATACAATAACAAGTTTCTAAAATTTAAAAACGTACTTCAGTAATGGATGCTTGGACGTTGGCCTTCAGTCCGGAAACTAACAGACTGAGGGTTGGTTTACTCGCTACGATGTTGCACGTTCGTTCGTACGCCCGCACTGATTCAATTAACGACACGGCAAATGGATACAGTTGGTTCGTTTGGTACGACTTCTGAACTGTTCCCATTGGCACACGGAATCCGAGCCATTTTAAATTCCGCACCTACCGAAATACTTATAATAGTTATATTCCGACTCACAGAGCCCCGGTCAAAATATGTACTTCTTTCCAAAGCGATATGATCTCTGGGTGAAAATCAATACGCAAACGAAGCACGTTGCTGCCGCGAACTCGCTGATTCTCCACCAGAAATATCCTCCCAGCGATAGCAAGGGGCCGTTGCTGCATTCGCTGGCTCCATGCTTCGAATGTCTCCGTCATACTGTCTTGCAGCTTCTTCCGAAAACTGTCACCATCCGCTTTTAATTTCTGCCCTTCTACGTGATTTTCCCAGCCCCGTCCCAGAATATGCTCTATCCGGCTCAGTAAGACCAACAGGTGCCGTTCAATCTGCAAACGTTCATGTTTATTTTCTACTCTTACAACAAGCACGACATTAGTCAAGACTGTACTGACATGTCTAGTCCACAGAATGCAGCCAGCAACAGGCGGAAAATCTCGTTGTCGATCCGCAATGGCATTGCCAGTGTTCTGGTATCCAACCTTGAATTTGTCATGCAGGTATTCGATATCTTCTTTCACTTTCTGGATCAGCTGCGTCTGATACTCGCGGATAGCACCGCGGATGCGTGGGCGCACCAACAGTGCGCTGTACTGGGAGAAAATACGGAACATCTCGTTGGCGTTCCGTGCCGACCCCAACTGGTCACGCAATCGCTCGGTGATTTTTGATTCAACCTTATCAACACGGTCTTCATACCTATTCAAAACTTTCGTTGCTTATGTAACAGTAGTAAGATGTCACATATTGTTTACCGTTTAATTGCTTGATCCCAAGCTTCCTGACCCTCTTTGGACGTATCCAAACAATCTACTTCCTTGACACATTCATATGCTAAATTAACCTCCTGTATAAACAAGATCAACATGCACAATCTAATACTAATCAAAGATCTCAAACAGTAAATGCATCAAAATTTACGCCCAATTTTAATCACCAATTCCCAGTAGCAACCACAAGTTTAGTTTTGCGAAAAGGCGGTTCACCTAGACGCACACGAACCTCAATCGCTGATGCACTGGCTAATGACTGCGCTTCGTCCGACATTTTATCTCCTCCTGCTAACTCATCCGCACCAACGCTCGGCAGAACTCCTGGTTGCAGTACACGGGTGATAACGGAGCATAGCTGCTGATGACCCCAACGAAATCTAGAACCGAAACATCCCGGAGCAGTGAATGTAAGTTCTTCCAAACGAATCACGTTAGTCATACTTCTTCATTGCTTCCATTCGCGTTTGAAGATGTTTATGTCCAGCACCAGTACTGGCGCGCCAAACCAATTTGACGTTTTCCTCCCGCTTCTTCTTAACCAGATCTCGCATAATCGCGCTTACTTTCTCAAATTCATCGCTCCATGTCATAAAAATGTCTGCGCACTGTTTGATAACTTTTTCGAATTCCGGATAGGTATAATGCATAAGATAACGTGTTCCCAACACCTGATAAAGCACACTTGCATATTAAAATGAGCAAAACTTCGACTGTCAACAGCTGTCGATTACCTTCAACATCTGTGTAGTCATGTCCCGGGATAACGCCTCCACCAGGTGCTGACAACGTGTAACTGGATATTTGGTGTTGCGGATTTTTCGCATATGTATGAAGATCAGTCGAATTGCATCACGAATCTTCTCCAAGGAGGTAGCGGTCAGCAGTTCTTGGATGGGAAAATCCTTCATTAGAATACAGTAGTCCGATACGAGATCGATCATCTGCTGCAGTCCAGTGTCAGCATCGAAGCTCACTACGGCGTGGAAGCGTCGCCCTTGCTTGAGAAGCTCCAGCGTTAAGGTCACTTCCAAACTGTCACGCTTTTCCTGAATTTTTTGCAAAGCAGTTTCCATGCTCAGCCAAAAGGAGATCTCCTGTAGAGTGGATCCAGTTGATGGGTCTCGATCAAGCTTAGTCACCTGCAGACAAGCCATATTTAAAAGTAAAGCTATGTTAACAAAGCTTCAGGAACCAAATCTTATTACGAAAAAGCTACAGTGCACTGCTTCATTCAGTACGAGTGTCGAGTAGTCATTTACCACTGCTCCATTACCGAATATTAAAACGTTATTCAATTTTAAAGAGTTCAACAAATTTCTGCATTTTCAAACTATACCATATAATAAAATCAACATTTTTTGTTATTAGTAACTTATTACATACTCGAGGCAAAAGGTAACCGAAACACCACACCGCCGGTAAATGAAGCGAGACACCATTCGCAAAATTTCAAACACAGGCACACGGTATGTACCTTTTGAATTTCCCTAATCCATCGATTGACCCCATTCTGCAGCTGATTTAGAAAGTTCGGATCGTTTATCCACTGATCAAAATCCTGGACTGTCGCTTTGCGACCTTCTTCCGCGGCTTTCTTAATAACAGCAGCCACAGTAGGATGTGGTACCAGAACAACTTCCGGAATACCGATGTTTTGTTGCAGATGCAAAAAAACAGTTTCCAGCTCAGCCAATTTTTTCTCCGCAGTATTAACAATTTTATCATTCTCTCTGCAAAGCAATTCCACGGATAAGCCCAGTAAAAATGCTACTCACTATCAGGTAAATGGCAGCCGAAATGCGTCAACTAACTTTCCACTGCCACTTTCGCTGCGGATAAATGATTTAAAAAATGGTGACATAATGCCGGCAATAACTGCATGAAACACTTCGTGCGGTGATCCATCTTTCAAGTCAAAAACGATGAGCTGGGACGGAATGTCTTTGTCGACGTCGATAACTGCTCCTCGTTTCAATATCGCCACGCTGCAAAAAAAATGTTGGCAATTACGAGTGCATGAATACTGTAGGAAATACAAAAGATCACAGCTTCTCAAAAAAGACTTCCCCAACAACGGCACAACGACAGTTGGAAAAACTTGAAAAGTAACATACCTGCCAACATTCTGCGCCTTGTATGCGATTTCGGTGGAGATCGTATAAGACACTTCACCAGCAGCATCACTGGCGTCATTTTCCGGTTCTTCATCTGTAAAACAGGGCAGCAGCTATTAATTTTAATAGCTTCTTCGCAGCACATATTCACATGTTCAACCAGTAGCTATGTGCAATACATGCAGCACAGCGCTACATGACACTTACGCCACGTACGAGTAGTTACTCAGTTGAAGTCAGTTTGCCACTTAGAGACCTGTTTCTTACCAGACGATCGGCAGACGATCAATCTGCCTGAAGCTACCAGACAATCACAAAACACAAGATATATCTGTACAATGTACTGAATAACAGGTTAATAATTTATGAATAATTATAAAATTCCGAAATCTACAAAAAAATTCCTGAAAGCATTTTTGTGTAAAATCTAGAAAAAACGTGTTAAATTTAATTTAATTACAGTAATGCAATGTAATTTAAATATAATTTATGTTCAAAAAAATTAATGCGTCTTTATCCCAATACAAAGTACAAAGCGTCTATCACACAATGATGTCAAAAATCGGAATGTAGCAACAAGGTGCGCTCATCTGGATCGCAAAACAATCTAGGTATGCCAGAAAAACGCAAGAACTACAAATGAAAGACCAGATTAACTGATCAACAACACTGCTACGCACTTCAACTGCACGTGGAACCGCTACATCGCCATTCAATATCTATATATTGCATGCCCCATGAAACGCCTACCTTTTCTCTGGACCTTCTGAACCAAAATCACTCGCACCATAGGATCAGTAATGAACTTCCTAACCGCCTCCTGAGATCCTCTGTCTTCAAACAGACCAGGAGACGGCTGCGTGGAGGCGATCTGGCCTGAGCCCAAGATAAGAACCATCGTCTTTCTCAGATAATTTAGGAAGACCTCCATGTTGGCCGCGATGTTCACATCGTCCACGGCAGCAGGTACGGCTGCCACCGCAGCGGGCGCACCAGCCGCCGGATCCTCCATCACCAGGGGAGGATCCAATCGTATCAGTGGAGATACAGTATCAAGGTCACATATGCTTCCACTCCTCAGTGACTCCTGCAACAAATCATCCAGTCTGTTGCGTGTCACATCCTCCATTTCAAGCCACCCGAACCGTACCGTTAGAAGATAATCCACAATTACCAAACAACTTCCTGTTAGTCTGTAACCACTCGTGATACCTGCTAAAGCAAGAAACCCAAAACTAATTAAATAAAAACTGTCATTTAAAATCTATACCAGTCGTTTAACGGTATACCAGTGTAGCACCTTGATGAATAAACAACTTTGTCGGCCGTGAAAATGATTCAATGGAATCTTGGATCAGCAAAAAGAAATCTATTGCAAAATTTGCAGTATGTTTCGTCACGCGACGGACTTTTGAGTCTGGGGGAGTCCCGACCAATGGACCGGCACGCCACGCGAGTCAGGCATTTCCGAGCAATTTTCGTTTTTCGTGCTTTTCGTGTTTTTCTGATTGAAAGTTGTTTTGAAAATTAGTCATTATTAGTGTTCATTTTATTCTCGTTATGTAAAACATTCTGCTTTACTATATTGTTTTGAGAAGCCTCTTTTGACGTTTAAAACATTTTAAAGCAAACTTCACTGCGCTGTTGTTTGTGGGAACGCGTTACGATACTGATAACTACAGTCGTGGTGTTAATATACATGCAGTCATGTCAGACGAAGCGAATAAACGACCGGGAACCGAAGGACAGCCAGATGGGGACGAAATAGATGAACAGCAGCCCGCTACCAAGCTGGATAAAGCCAGTGCTCAGAATGCCGCCGATATGGAAAAAGTGACCGATCTCAAGGAAGAGAAGGAGTTTTCTGGAAAGATCTCCGGCAATGCGAGTGCGGTAAGGACTAAGGATTGATCTGCGGTCGCGGTATTACTTTTCTGACAATGAATAGCGAGAACTCGTTAAACTTACTTGTAATTTAATTCAGTAATGCAAACTAAAGATGTTGCCACAGAAGTTGTACTCCCTGCGTGCTTGTATCAGATATTGTGGTTAAACGATCGTCTTGCTATTTGAGTTTCATCAATGTTTTCTCTAGGTTCTAACAAATGTTGCTTCGGAACAAGCGAAGAGTTCGACGGGCCCAGTTGTAATAACCCTGCGCAAAGTGGATATCGATGCTCTGGTAAGGAAACCAAATATGTGTGGCAGCGCCGACGTTTGATTATGAATCTATGATATCTGTCTGTCATTTTTGAATCTGACGGATTGCGTTGCTTTTATAGGTAGAACATTTCGATGTCAAACGATTGTTTGCCGAGCGGTTGCTCAAGAAGCATCACGGTGATATGCGTAAAGCTGTGCGCGAATTAATGTTTGGCAATGCTGCCCAGATTAACCCTTTCGTATCCTCTTCACATTGTTGTCCTGACCATAGCAGCAATGTCATAAAATCTACGGATCATTAGAAATTAAGTGGTAATTTTTCAACTTCCTTTCTGCAAATTGTATGGAATATCAACTCTTTAACTTATTTCTCTACGTAACTTCTTTTCTGAAGGTTGTTTTATTTTCTGAGCCTGTTTTCGGAAGGTTTGCATTTAATTCTTGTGACATATAAATCACCAACGCTCCTCTAAAGCGTCTTTCTGAAAATTTTACACCATATTCAACCTGCAGAGTGTAATACAGGTTGCAAAAATATGCAACGGCAGAAATATACGTATTAACAGAAGGTTTTAAAATCACAGAATGATATGTTTAGGTACGGCAGCAATAAAATATAATAAGCATCCAGAAATAAATCGCAACAAGAAAAAATAAATTCTATAAACACTTTCAATCACCGGATGAAGCGGAACATTACATGATTCCGCTGGAGAATACAGCATATATTGTTATGCCAAAACTGCAAATCAATGCGACATTAACTAGAAGAATATTCCTAACCCATTTAGGTTGCTCAAGCGACGAAGCTTCCAGTAGTTTTGCCTACAAAAATTGCACACAATTTCGCCCGTAAAAATTGTACGCAATTAAACTTCGCGACAAGAAGCCGCTGCACAAGCTACCAGTAGTACTTACTTCGATTTCATTGGCATCTGGTTGACCTTTCGGAGCATCAAGTCCACAAAACCAGTTATATCCATGTTGCAGCAGTCCTAGCATCATTTTAGGACTGTATTTCAAAGCTTTTTCTGCTGGAATCGTTTCGACGCTGGTCTCTTTTTCGTCGCTAACAACTGCGACGGTTGAATTTGTTGCAGTCAATTCCGTAAGTGACATATCATGTGTACTCGCTGGCAGTTCATCCGGACGTTCGAGAGTTGCAAAACGGGTGGAAAACGTTGTACGTATCAGCTAAAAGTTCGTAAAATTACGACTTTAATTTACCTATTTCAACTAATTACTTCCGAGTAATCACCTTCCATGAGAGCAAACTTACAGAAAATGCTACATATTGTGCTCGTACATACTGTAGTTTTGCAAAACTGTTTAATTTATTGGGCGTTTACCCTGTATGGTTCCAGTTGTTTAGTGCACAAACTGACGAAGATCGCTGTAAATCCACTGAGGACAAATACGACAAATGCATAATATAGGTACTGAAAATCTTTGATAAATGAGGGACGCTCATCCGGTAAGCCGCATTCCGGAGAACGGTAAACAAAATCCAGGATCATTCTAGTGACTCCCAGTGCTAATCCAAGCTGGTGCAACGGACAAATATTACGACCTTTATTCGTTGTTACCGGTTACAAAGCGTGATACGATTAATCGTTCGTACCATGAGACCCCAGAATGCCCCCTGCATAAACGATAAATACAACATTGTGGTGTATTTATATATATTTTTCAAGGTATTTTATATAGTTTTAAATTACTTATCATCGTACCTTTTCATTACACCTGTGCCAGAGAATCGCCAGGAGATATACTGCCGCAATGGGTGGGGCCAGGTAGGCCGCAATAGATTGGATGTAGATATATAACTGACCGCCTTGCATTTGCTGGATTAATGGAATCCTATTGCACAGAATAGTAAAATTAGCTTTTAGCAACGCATTTATATATGTAGCAGGTTCTGCTAAGTCTAATTGTAACTTTGTAAGTAAAATATTCACGTAAACGCTGGAAACAGGAATGTACGCACCAAGCGATTGAAACCGCGAGAAGTACCAAATTGAACACTCTTCCAACAATAAGCATTTCCCTTGGAGTGGCTTTTGAGCGGAAACGTACCTGCGAAACGCATTGTACTAGTACAATAAGTATGCATATAGCCCACACGTGTTTAAAAATGCTAAAATTTATTGATGTACACGTACCCACACATCAATAGTAAATAAGCTGGAAGCACTGTTGAATATAGAAGACAAGTCGGACACCAGGGATGCCAACATGATCGCTACAGAACAATTACAATTATAACTCAGCGTGCGGTACGAAGTTGCTAACGAGTTTAAAGCGCGCAGTTTGGTAATAAAACCGTTACGGTGGTAGCGCAAACCCGCCGGTTTTTCTAACTAACCACAAGATATCGTTCACCAGTGGAGCATTTATGTACCTATCATTAACCCGCGCAGTCCCGCCGGCAATAGACGCATCACGAGTCTGGGGTATGCAATATTACTGCAACCAACACGATTCCCGCAAATTCGTTCACAAATGTCTGGATCGACGCATCCCACTTCGTCCGGCCACAACACACGGCTAATCATACCGGGCATGACCATAATAAACAATGGCAGCAATTTCAAATATCCAGCAAGAATACAGCCACCTTGGGCATGCGACAGAGTTTTCGAGGATAGCACACGCTGCACCATCATCTACACCACACAAAACGCGATTAATATTATTGTTAATTTTATTAACAGCCCCGAAAATCAATCATTAATTACATCTTGAACTGACGTTACAAATTTATACAGTACAATACAATAAATTCCGTAGTTTTTATTCTACCACATAATTTACCTGGTCAGCAGCCCAGTACCATATTGAGGAAGGCGTCTGGCCGATAACAAACCCCAACCACGGCATCCCAGGGTCGCGAATATCGCGCAGCATGACGAAGGAATCAGGCTCCGGATGACCACATTTGGTCAGATTTAACCGTGTAGTATTTGGCACTGAATTCATGTATCCTTCCCGCAAACCGGCATACCCACCAACTTCCACAAAAGCTAACACAGCCGCGATATTTAGGTAAAAGCATATTTAAAATTTAAAACTCAATACTGAACATGAGAGACACAAAGGTTACAATTCTTACAACAACTCACATATCACAGCAATCGAAACGCATCCGATTAGAATTGCGCATGTCTGCAGCACTTCAAGAAATATGGCCCTGAAAAGCATAGAATTCGAGAAAAACATACGTAGAAGCAATTTTTTCCCCAAAGCGCACGGGAAATTAATTCGAAAGTTATTTTAGAATGCAGTTACTAGTGTAACATAAAAGTCCCATAATATACATATGTCATCGACTTACTTACGCAGTGAGCCCTCCTGTTATCGATGTCAATGCGGTAATTCCCAGCAATAAAAGAATAGATGCATACAAATTCCAACGAAGACTTTGATTAATAAACAGTGCGCCAGAAAACATGTCCACCTAAAGAGTTGGTGTGTTTCACGCCGTAACTGTGACCATCACACCATCAAATTTTGTAAAATCCATTTATCCATTAAAATTTATACAGATATACACAGAGAAATATGCCGGGAATACCGTGTTTGAAACGGGTACGACCAACCGGCAACCACTTACTGAAATTTTGGTGAAAATGTACAAAACCAGGGAAAGTGCGGCAAGATAAACGCGAATTCGATTCCCTCCAAATCGTTTGCTCATATATTCTGGCAACGTGTGCACCTGTTCATTTCAAAAATATTCGGCACAAGCAATAATAATAATACACATTCTAAAGTTTTCGAAAAAAGGTCTGCCGTCGGCCGTATGTACGGCATTTCAAGAAGGCGTACGTAAGCGTAATGCAATAACAACCATAAAGTGGACAAATCAACAAACACTTCACATCAAATAACAGTACGAGTCCTAATGAATTAATAGACTAACAACATCCTTTTAAGCGACGAACCTTGCTCGCGATATAAACGGGTAAAAACACCCATCCGAGTAGTTGCAGTATAATTGTAGCCTAAAAACGTAAGTACATTCCATAAACAGTTGGCATCCTTAATAAGTTTGCAGCCGTATCATAAGCAATAACAAAATCTTACTGACGACTTAAAAAAAAATCCAAAATAAATACATGAAAAAACTATTGCGCAAAAGTCGAGTGGACATTTTGGGAACGCAGAAGTTCCACAATAAAATGACTGCCTGCTCGTCTTACACATGACAAACGATTACATATCTTACATTGAACTCGAACGCTCCGACGCTGATGCCTGCGAACAACAGATCACTTTTAAAGGTAAACGATATAAATGTAAACGGCTAGCATTATGAATTATTTCCTACCAAGAAACACATTTCCCACCAGTAATGACTTATTACGAATCATTTGTTAATTTTTCGCAACCTGCACCTGATAAAAGCTTCGCACTTTTTGTCGGAATAAAATATCTGTATAATAACAGACAATTAACAGTATTCTACCTTCTGCGGCACCGGATCCGGCCAACCCGATGAAATGATCACTGCCGATATTCGAAGCGAATAAGCTGGCTCCCACCTGCAGTTACATAACACGAATTAATTCAAACAAAGAAAAATCTTTAAGACAAGGCATCCACAACAAACGCAAATATACTGGTCGATATAATATTTTTGTAATGCACAAATTAAAGTATGCCTTATGAAGATGAAGCAAATGCCGCAACAGCCGTAGCAACATACGATAATCCAGTTCATTTGGCGTCCGGCCAGGAAAAATCCGGATACCGTGCTTCGGTTGGCAAAACACATGGACTGTAGAAAAAACAATTTGGCATTTTTCGTGAGTTTGTAACATTTTCACTGCATCGACAACATGCCCAATTTTTTGCCATATTTTTTAAACAGGCGCATTTACCGATATTCCCACGGCAATCATGACTAGAAAATACAGCACCATTGCCACAATATCCCACGTCTCCAACGTGTCCGAATTGTTCAACATTTTTCCGCAGAACAACAAAACTGCAAGAAAAGCACAGGACGTTCGAAAAGTGTGCTAAGTAAGACGGAAACGTCTTTGATCGCAGCACACATCTACGATCAAAATTCTTACACGAAGTCAAAGTCAAACTAAAGATCATAAAATATTGGACAAAATATTAAAAATAAGTTATTCGGGAATTTCCGAGATCACCCCGAGTCCACGATACACTCGTCAGATTCGACTTGATAAACAAGTCTGCCACAAACGTTACTGGAATTTGTGAAAAAGACTACCAATTTGTTGTCCATCATGCCGGGTGTTTTCATAAATCAGATTTCAGTTTTACAGCCTATTCAAATACGAAGACAAAAGAGTTTATCGCTATCTTGAACCACTATCTACAAAGAAACGCTGATTTGCAAACGCAAGCCTAATATTAAGTACAGTACTTTAGAGTAGAAGTGTACAGCCGACTGACGTACTGTATAACACCATACATGGGTGGAGACATTTGTGGACACATATTGCAAAAGTATTGAGTAGTAAACAATATGACGAAAACGCGTTAAGTTTTTCTATGTTGAGCAAAAGTAATCGATTTTCACTTTCTTGCAGTTCCTCGATTCGTTATTTTTGCCGGCACTTTTGTTGTGCCTGCGTCATATTGTTGCCCGCACGGAAAGATTGCCGGTGTATTAAACGCTATGTTGCTGTAAGGTTTAGCGTGCATGGTGCTACAATACTTACTGTACTTACATATGTGTGTTCAGTGTGTGCACCGTGTAATACTACAGTATATTATATAAGTAAATAAAGCCGCCACTATCTATGTATTACCCTCACTATGTGGTCAGCAGGTCTGTTTTTGTGTCTGTGATCGTGTTTTTAGAAAAGAGAAACCATTTAATGCAGTAAATCTGACCATGAGTAACCGCTATATTATTTTTATAAGACGTAACAGTTACAGTATAAGACGTAATAGTTGTGGTATGTAACCCGGTAAACACCGCAACACGTACAAAAAAAGCTTTGTTGCTCGATTGTTGCTAAACTGAGCCCAGTGCGGTTTATACCTGTACTTCAGTATTGATTTCACTGTGTGAAAGTAAAATTACAATTATTATGATCATTATTACAACAACTTATAGGATTCAAGTTTTTATTAGATAAAATTGAAAACTTACGGAAATACGCGGAAGTTCTAACCTAGTAGAGCAGAAAACCAGTTACGGCAAGCGTATGAACTTACAGTATGAACCTTATTTTCTTGACCACATGTATTTTAAGTTCTTGTTCACGTCCATTATAGCCCTATATATCTGACGGCGTGTTACGTATTGAAATGTAACTGTCAGAAAATTTTTGAATTCGTGAAGAGTTAAAATTTCAAAATTCCTGGACGACATCGGAAATATCAAGCTTACAGCAATAACAAGCAGTACTCGTATCGCATTGCTTTTTTGTTCGTTAATCCATATCACATTGTCAAGCCTGCTGACAAATCATCATCAGCAAAGCCAGTTTACAAAACTGTCGAAATCCTTATACTAGTAAACATCCATCGGAAACCGACTCCATAGTCCATATCGGCATAAGGGTGCCAATACGTTTACATTTTACAGTAACCGATAAGCAGCGCCTACGTAGATCGATGAAATTAAAAATTAACATAAAAACAGCCACAATATATATTACAATACGTGCAACACATGTTATCATCCAAAACGAATAAAATCCCGTTGAAAATTTTCTGATATTTCAGCTTAACAGTGCTTTCTTTGAAGACAACGCACAGTGTAACCTCCCGGCTCCCAATGACCCAACCCAAACAAGAGAGAACCAGCCAATTCGTGCCACTCGTCCGCAACTGACCGGTGAAAGTGAAACAGAGATCATTTGGCATTTGAACCGCACACGACAAGCTAGACAAGCCGGCCCCAATCCGCGCTGATCCTTACACCTCAATGTGTTTGCCAGGATGCGGCCCGTTACCCGTGGAATTGAGCAGATCAAACCCGTTCCACATCCGACGCAGATCGCCCTTCAAGTAGGCCATCAAGAGCAGGGGCAGCAATGTAAAGGGCACCAAATACAGCAATGCCGGCTGGGCTGCTTTAAACAGTTCCGATGAGACGGTGGCCGTCAGTAAACCTGCTCAATCGAAGAGGATTACTCGCCAGATTAAGACGCTATGCAGACTGGTTCAGGAGCTTTGCATCACTAATTACCGAGAAAGTATCCGATGAGTGCGCAGTGAAAGTAGCGCACCCTCTCCAATGAGCTGACCGGACCGGGAAGACCCACTTCGTTACGCAGTTGCTGTTTCTTATGCGCATCAAAACGGAGGACGAAACACAGCAGCAATCCAGGCATGACAATGTCGCCCAGTCCCAGCATAGAATACTGACCCGACGTTTTAATACTGCAAAAATCAATAATAATCAGCAAAATCTGAAAGTCAATCTTACGCGCATCATATTAATTTTGTAGCAATGGGAATCTACTTTGTTAAAGCTAGAAAAAAACCAGCTCATCTATCTCGCAGCAACTGGATTGCTTACTACTTACTTATTTCGCTGTTTTTTTTTCTGCTTAATACAAAGGTAAGTTGCATAACGCTACGAACATCTATCAATTCTACCTGGGAAAAACCAGTTTTCCAGGAAGGCTCAGTTTGGGCGCCTCGTTAATGATGTTAGAGTCCACGTTCAGACGACGCGCCAGGGCTCGCATAGGATTATCGGCGGTACGAGTAGCCACACGCACCATGACATTGGAGTTAAAAATGTAGGATGAGAAAAACACCCAGAACACGTCGTATAACAACAACCCCGTCAACAAGAGCGTCGAAACCTTCAAACTGGGAAGACGGACTAGAGCAATAAACGCCACGCACAAACCCATTCCTGGAAAACATAAACAAACATCGATGCCACTTACAAGAAACATAAAACATTAAGTACAACATACAATTAATAAAAACACTGTACAGAAAAATTAAGTACAGCTTACAAGACAAAATTCAGATATTCAATCAAAGACAAATGTATAGGCAATTACGGGTAATTACGTACCCAGAGCATCCATTAGTAGCCAGTGCCCCGTCAGGGTCCAGATGAACACAATCGGTACGGACAGTCCAAAAGATACCAGTTCCGGGGCGGAAAACCGACCACAAAGAGGCCAAATAGAGTATCTGCCGAAGTAGCCATAAATCACACACAGTATTAGTAAACACTCGTAGAAGCATTTATTTCGTCCGTCCAGCGAAATAAATGCGGAAACCAAGCGAACAAAATGACGCATATTGCATAACTATTTCAAAAATTGATAAAATTATAACACAATGCGTTATAAAAATTTATATTTATATCTAACGCACCAGCAAGCTCGTCATAATTCCGAAATTTTTTACTGATAATTCCTCCCAATCGTAAAAACGTACACATCTAAAGGATACAGTTAACATTAAACAATACATTTCTTTATTGTGTAATACAGGTGTTATTTTTCAGTCGTTGAAACCTGAAAACTCTTACAAGTTGCAGCTGCTAATAAAAGCCCAAACTGGTTTGTCCACCAACTTCGAATGCCCTTATGTGCATTAATATGATTGTATTGTACGGTACGTACATGCACATTAACCAATATCCAATACATCTACGGAAGAACAAGCTGGCCCAACATGCCACTGAAACTCGTTCAACAATCGGAGCAACGCACGAGACGCATCCGTAACAATCAAATATCATGACGCAGACAGAATATACATCGACAATTTCCGCCTTCTGCTCGACATCTACATCTCTCACACTCGATGCAAAAAAGGGTTACTGAAAAATATGTCGCGGTTAACAAAAAACAGACAAATTCGCCGCGCTGGACTGTAGCATGAGCAATCAATCGATTCCCATCTATTAATCATAAAGAAAAGATAAGAAATGTATAACAATAAAAAATGTAAAAACCGAAGCATTCCCTTTCTTATAGAACCAAAGCAGTGCGCGTACTGCATCGCGCAAATAAACGAAACAAAGAAAACAGCGCACTTACAAGGAAAACCAATAAAAAATAATACATAAAAAGCTTTGTAGTCTGCATTACAAAGCTAGAAGTATACGCACTACGCACTACATTGACCGGAAGCAATGCCCCATTTAGTCAGCACTTTCGGCTATTGCCAACATTCAAGTCAAATCAGCAAAGTAAAAACTTGGCCAGTGCTCTATCTCTTAGCGACATCTCCCATTGCTTTGCACAAAAAGAACCATTTCCTTAATAAAAACACTGGCGTGAATGAATGCACTTACGAAGTGTGGGTGGTGGCACAAGGTCGCATGAAATACTGGCACATGGGCAAGAGGAGAAAGGCTAGGGCAATGGAAGCAATAACTGCCGTACAAACATAAACACAATTAAAACCCAACCATGCAAAGCAGACAAAAGTCATCAGCTGGCAGCGTGGCACTTACTGGCTGTACAGGCGGCAAATATTGTTTGCATCGAGTCAAAAAAGAAAAACATCACCAGCAGCGAGACGCTGGCTCCAACCGGAAGACACATAGCTTGGAAGGCATCCACGTCCGTGTGTGAGGAACCTGCTCAAGTTAATCCCATCGGATTACTAACAAAACCTCCCGTGCAAATTAAGAAATGGCACGTCAATCAAGTTATCAATGGAAAAAAATGCACACAAACCTGATCAAATTATCTAAACCAAACAACCACCTCACTGATCCAAGCAAAGCTGTTTTTCATTTACATAACCGGCTTGTGTTCGTGGAAAAATTACTTATCTCCCGTAATAACTACAGTTTCCACAACAGAATTGTTGACATTTTTTTATCCTCACCTTGCGAAGAAGCATCGGCCGCCTTTAGACCTTTCTTATCCTGCTTTGCTTCTTTTTCTGCGTTCGAGGCCGATTGTTGTTCCATATTTAACGACCTGACAAAAAACAATGTCTGTTCGCTAGACAGAGTGTTAGAAGCAGCAATTAAGTTGGTTTAACTCACCGGAAACTGCCGTAGACAATTAGCAATATTGAGATAAGGAAAGTGGACACGCGAGATGAGTCCATGAGAGTGTACGCCCTGAAAACAAACAGAGGCTAGCAAATCTACGAACACAAGCATCATTAAGCAGCATAAAGATGGTTTCGACATCGAATATCAACAAACATTTGCCAGCCAAACATCAGATACCACAGAAAAGCCCTTCGGGCATTATTTTTGAGCGGCAAACTGTTTTTCTTTCTTATCAAATGTATGAACATCTGCTCAAGAATGTCATGACATTAAGGCTGATTAAGCAACACCGTCACTGGTTAACCAGCCCGAATCCATAACTTTACTAAAATCTTCTCAGTACAGCTGGTATGTGTCTGGTATAATAATATTATATTTATCTGCGAAGCTTAATTTCCTTTCGCAAATAACTTTTTTTTACAGTCCGACAGCTAAATCATATCAAAAAATGATTGTGTGATTTTTTATCCCTAATCCTGCGGTAAATAAACAAATACATCCACGTAATTATTAGGGGCATTTTGCACCAACCCACGGCATTCTCTAATTTTCCTGAAATATAGATGTATTATGTACTTTAGGTATTTAACATAACAATGAACAGCCCTAACTTTTTCAGTATTGGTAACCCGTGTACGGTTGTGCCGTGACGATCAATTTACATTATTATAAGTCCAAATAATTCATTTAAAAAACACTGAGCTGTTATAGCTAACGCCGGATTACGACTACTAAACTACGGTAACCGTTCTTATGATCAAAAACATTGAATAGATAATTATACCATGCAACTGTAGAAGATGTTTTTACCGTGGCCAGTTTCGTTTTATTATTACTTTTCTCGTAATAACAGCATTACAATACCAAAGCGGCATAATCATTCATGAAACAAAACTGATCACGTCTGGCCCTGGCTCGGACGAATTCTGATGTGCTTTGATATCATCGCAAATGGATAACGCAACAGATTAACAATCCTCATAATTAAAACAAGCTCAGATTGGCAGCATATTTACTTGCAAAGGCGCATTTCCACAAATAATTAAGCCATAAAACATCTACTGCACAAACCAACCGGAAATAACATCCAACATAAAAACCCCACTTACGGTGACTTACCAATCAAAATCCGAACCCATTTCCGAAGCAGTCCTGGCAGCACGCGCAGCCCCCCGCACAATTGATTATCACTCTTCAGATTCCACAACAAATTATCACAATCCTTTGTGCCATGGGCAAGAATAATTCATCGAGCCCGGACACAGCAACGCATGCACTCCTGTGTTCGGGGTTCCTCACGGATCAGCAGATCCGTTGTAGTGAGGCTGGTGCAGCTGCTGCTCCTGTGCAACTGGGCGCGAGATGCGTATGCCAGAAAGATCCAGTTCTGCACAATAATCAAGCAGTGGCCCATAGCCTCCTAATGTGCACCCGGATGAATGTCGCCGGATCGATCGATCATTTCTCGCGTATGAAGTAGCAGGATCACACGCTGCTGTTTCCCGTTTTTGAACTCAAGGACGAATTACATTTAGTGTCCCCAACACACAGACCGTCATATGTGCAGCTACCGCACACTCCACCGTCAGATGTGAGCACGATGCGAGCATGTCCAAATAAATCAACGTAAAGTTATTATCGGTCTAGCATTTAATAGGCTGCAAATCCTCGTCTCCATTTATCTGAGGAGCACTGAATAAATCTCCTAAAACCAGTTGCTGTTCCCTTGTAAAATGAATTGTCAGATGGAGACAGGATTTCCCAAATGCAGCGCAAAAATAAAACTTACTCAAGCAGCAAGTGAAAGTGGACTTGGTATAAAAACGGAATGTTGTTGTTACTTGCCTTGATCGCTCTCGCCTATACATGTGCAGTGTGCTTATGGTTAGCTTTACACTACTTTACAGTACTCATACATATACTGCAGCGGAGAGGGTTTGGTCTAGTGTAGACCAATGGCACACGGCATGTGGTATTAAAATGATCGCAAGCAAGTTGAAGCAACTATACGAAACTACGATTGTCGCTTGGGGTCAAGAATGAATGAAAACTTATCATCAATGAATGCTCTAATATTAATGGTAAGTTAAATAATACACAACAAACATTTTGCAGTGCATAATAAATGATGCCAGTTATATTACCAATTATGTAATATTATGGCAGTTGTATTTTTATGCTATTGCAAGTTTTTAGCGTTCGACCCCTTAATAGGACCTAACCGTCCGTATGATATAATTCATAACGCATTCCTATAATTTCCGGTCCCCACGATGTATAAGTATCCATTCTTGCACGTGGATCCCTGCTTATTTCGGATTTGTTGCAGATTGATTTGTTGCAGCATGGATAAACTCCTGTGTAAACGTTAAACTCTTTGCAATTATACAAAAATTACATATCTCGCAAAATGTAACCTGATCCATTTTAAAAAAAGTTTGTTGAAAAACAAACTCACCAAAAAACAGGGGAAAATAAAAAGATGATCGAACACGTAGAGTACTGTATGTGCAACGCAGTCATACGCTACAGCCGAAATTACCGGCATCGTATTGATGTTAGTTTATAATGCAAAGTGCGTTGGTTTCGAAATCGGAAGACGATACAATTTGTTTTCCGTATGGTTATGATACATATTAATGCCTTTGACATGGTTTCTGCTTCTTGCCACCGTAACCTGATTTTCTGTTACGAAATCAATAAGCACGCCCAAGCCGTATCTATAAACTCGTTTTGGAATTCTGCTTACAACTGTTAGAATCAGTATCTGAAGGTTTATTGTTAGCGATAGTCGACTTTTAAGTTATAATTAAGGGTACCCTTATAGGCACCCCTTAAAACCCCGGTATATTATAAGCACCCCTTTTCGCACCCCGTTTATTATAGGCACCCCTTTTAGCTTATTATGATATATAATAGATTCAGTGTTCTTAGGTAAAAATGCAGCTTTAATTATTCAGATAATAATTTGAATTTTCAGTAATAATTTTGTTCTAGCGTTGAGTTAAGTAAGTACATCAGGCTTTCCAGCCGATAATCAAATCAGCCAGCTTAGAAATCAACGTTTCGGCAAATCAGCCAGCTTTGAGCGAATTAGCATCGCCTCTTCTACTGTGACCAGAAGGTCATCTTTGGCGTTGGTCAGCTCATTCATGGGCTCCTTCCATTGCCTTCCAAGCTGTTATCACCTTGTGATTGTCTCAGCTTGTCAGACTTTTAAGCCGTTGCTTTTGTAAATCCGATGTTCGCGGGCGATACTACACAAATCATTTCCGCAATGCAGAAAAAAACCATCGGGCCGCACTGATTGGACCCCGGCAACAGAAGCTCGACAACTGGAATGCTGCGGTGGCCGGCTTCTGTTCGCCACCGTACAGCAAGGAGAGCTACAGGTGGACATGCGGCGGCACCGGATCACGCCAGTGTTCCGGTGTTAGACAGCACCACATTTACAGCACCACATTTTCTGCAGATGTGATAACCTATTCTCTACCAAGGCTCTGTACTATCTCTTTTTCTGTATTTCTGATTTTCCGGTAACGTTTTTTATATTCTGTCAGCTGATGGTTATGGTCCATTTCTGGTTCTACCTAATATTCGTGGGACGTGGCCGCGAATGCTGCATGGCTGGAAGCCTGATGCGAGCTGGGCATTGGTTTCGTCGGAAATAAGTGAACACACGAGCCCCAAAGCCGTTCTTTTCGTTTTCTCTAGAGTGCACGCATTCGTAAAACTTTTTTTGTACTTAAGGGAAGGATCCATAGCTTAAACATCTCGGGTCATAAAGTACAATATTAATGTACGATATTAATTAAAAATGGGGTGCCTATAATAAACAGGGTGCGAAAAGGGATGCCTATAATAAACGGATTCACATAAAATTTCAGTTCTTCGCACAATACTATCAAAGCTGCAAGCTTCAGCATGCACTGTAGGAAGAGCATGAAATACAGATTACCCAGTACCCACATTAATGCGATGTGCAACAGGTGCACAAACTACCATACAATACTGTAGTAATAAGTTAATAACTACAGTAATTTACAGTGACGTAAGTTTTAAAACTAAAATTAATAGTAAGATTAGGTATTAGTGTATCTACCTTATAGTGAAATTTCAGTCATCAGATTAAACTGCAGTATAATTATACGACTAACATTGTAAGTAGTACTTATGGTACCCGGGTTTCGATCGCTGTACCTATACGTAGTTTGCAACTAAACTGGGGCTTGGCGCTTTCTCGAAAGAAAAGAGTGTCTTCAAATCTTTCTAAAGCAGCGGATGACAAAAAAGGGTCGAGGTTTACGCAACTGTATCTGCGATCACATTCACGGGAGCCCAGCGGTCACTCCAAAGCTCATTTACAGGAATACCATTGGTGCCAAAGGATTTACATCGGTTTGCGCTTCTACCACGGGCTTAGTGCTTATTTGCGTAAAACTATTTATCACGGAATGTTGTGGAAGGAAGTGAAACAATGTGTATTTATATTAGTACGTCGTCGGTTGCAAATTCCAAAAACAACCAAATTCGTCCTTTTAATTCGAACACTCTAATCCTGCCCGGCAAAAGTGCCTACACGAAATCCTAAACGAAACCTATACGAAACTGCGGCCACATTCCCTTCATTCTCACTAAACTAATGCGCCGCTCCATGAAAGTGGTAGATCGATCCTTTGTTCGGTCTTCTTCCAGAATACATCATCTAAGGAACTGACCATACATTTCGCGGTTTCTTTAACTTCTACGAGTATGCACTAGTCCCATCTCTCATGCTGCCAGCAGGTAAAAATTTAATATGCACCGAGGAAACGGTTCTTCTGTTGCCGCTTCCGGTTCTCCTTTTGACGGACTGCTGTAAGCGATATTCATATTACGTATACTTAAATATGCCCATCAAAAGGATATTTTGAGCGTCAGGTCTATAATTAAGCATATTTTCTCTAGAGCGGATTAAAACTACCGTTTTATTAGCTCAAGCCAGTCACGTCACAAATTTGTAATAAAAACAGGAATAATTACAACAGAAAAATTTCTCTTAAGTTGTTTGTTCCATCGATAGTCCCAAGAACAGAAAATGCGTTGCCTCTTTGAATTTCGATCGATAGACGCTGGCGTAAGAATTCGTGTGACCGAGGTTCACCAGTGTGCTGCTGCAGCCGCTTTCCGATCTCCTTCACTAATACGGATGCCGATTTTCCCCAAAGACCGAGCGTTTCAAAGGCAAGTGGGGCAAAGATGTACCTGCCGTCGAGGTACGCATATAAGCTGATTTTCTTATCTTCGGCTTGGGCAGCGGCAGACCCAGCAGTGGCCGAAGTCGATTTAATATGCGAAGGGGCGACAGTGTCAACGCAGGTAACGTCCCATGCTAAGCATATGCCACGCTTCCAAGCAAACGTGGTGCATCCGTCCGGACGGCGACCTGATGTATGGGATGTGCCGCGGGGTTCAAGCTTCGCTGGGATGCCGGCCGAAACCAAGGATCGGCACACTACACTGTTCAAACCGCCGTGGCGAGCATGCCTTCCCGCGGAAAAGGTACATGACAGTCCGTGATGGCCGTACACGTCGACTGGTTTATGGCATTTCGTGCAAGTGTGTGCTTCACAAATAACTGCGCCCAGCCTAAGCCCAACAGAAATTTTCAGGGTGTCGTCGTCCAGCAGGTTGCCGATATGCGCTGAAGGTAGAGCATTCAACCAGATACCAGCTTCCGGTTTGGATTGGGCAAGTAGGCGCGCTCTGTTGATTTCGTCGTCGCGGAAGACTTCCAGTAGTGTTGAAAGCGATGCATTGCAGATCGGAATGTCCTGCAATGCATCGCTTAAAATGATTAATGATTAAAACAATGCAATGATTAAAACTGTTATGAATTACTGTATACTATTGTAGTAATGCTACTATACGCCAATATTAATTTGCAGTATGTGCTAATTTGCAGAGCATACGAAATTTGGTCACTGTAAAAGCAGAAGCCTGTGCCGGCTGTGCGTACTCAAATTCGATTGCATGGTGCAAAGCATTTCAGCACAACTGGACAGGTTGGAATCAGTCAGCTGTCCGGACTTCTCCAGCTGGTCGAATTTTGAAATTTATTAATGATTTAACATAAGATCACGGGGTCAAGAAGTATGGACGAGTCTGCAGCACGACAAATTACATAGTCGGCATAGTCCACAGCGCAGCTTGCTGATGCAGATTGCAGAATCTTGTGATCAGAGATCCTTGTTACCGTGAAACAGGCAATAGCCGCAAGAAGCCGTCATCGATCGATCGGTATCCCGTAAAATGTAAAATGATGAAAAAGGTTTTACCACTGGTGGAGTGGTGGTCAATGCTCACACTTTACAGGCTGGTAAATGCTATACTTTATATAAATATTGATTATCTGGCGGTGCGACTATAAGCGTTATAAGCCTTAACTGCGTTTTGTACAAGTATTTATCAAATTATCATTGTTACGCTACCTGCGGAGCCGTAGTTACTGTGACTTGTGAGTTTCCTTACTCCTGTCTGCCGTTGCAACGTTTAATTTTATCAGTGTTTTACAATAGTACGAGTACAATAAGTACTTCTACTTAAGCCCGTCTGTGAATTTATTGCTAGCGATTTTCAGAGTCTGGCCTTCGGTGGAATTTATCGAGTGGCGCTGTTATTTCCTTTCATCATGCTGGTGTTTATTGCAGAATGGACAATCAACCCATCCCTGGGCGTACCGCGACAGGAATGATTATGGATGATTTTTCGCTCAGCTGCAGAAAGGAAACAAAAAGTGCGGCTGCTCTACGACGGAACCGTTCATACTCCACTCTTTCCACGATAGACCCGGCCTTCTGCGGAAAGCTGGCACTAGATCTAGCAAAGGGTTCTTGTATTAAATCGTTGAAGTTCTCCATGTGGACAGCCGTAATATTGAGTGTGGCTCGGAATATTTTGGTGATCACCGCTTCAGCGCTACAGTCATTTCGACAGCCAGCTACAGCCAGTCCCAACAATGGCACTAATAATAAGCAAGAGGTTCGGGTGCCAGAATAAGAGTAGATACCTTAATAATTTCAAATGCTAAAGAGCGAACGATTGCGCCCATTGCGATTGCTGTGCGAACACCTACCGGTATAACAAATTCACAGAACTAATACATATGACCATAGTCCATAGTGTACATATTTAATTTACCGTCAGTCCCGGTGGTGAATCAGCTGAATATTGTTGTGATTAATGCCATTTAATGGTAACCTACTATTGGTAATTACATATACATATACAGTATTACTACAAAGTAGTACGTACTAATATCAATGTAGGAAGTAAATTTGCGACATAAGAACTTAGGTAGCAATGCACTGTTGTGTATAATCAGATTTTAATTTTTGATATGTGTTTCAGCTGTCGAGTGAGGTAGACTTCGCCCGTTGGCTTATCTCTTGGACATACACGGGATTCGGCTCGTCCACTTTCGCAGATCCCATCCTGTGTGTGCTTGGTATCCGCGCTGTTAAGAAGCTGCGTGGGCAATGGCTAATTTCGACGACCCTGGCTAATTCCCAATTAGGCAACTCGATGATCTGGAATGCCAGCGACCATCTGGAGAGCTTCGTCCTTTTCCACATGGCGCATACTGTACTAGGCATGGTTTCCGTCTGCACACTCAACGGGATCGTATGGGCATACTTTCCCGGTTTTTTATCATATTTTTGGTGGACTGTCGTGCACGGATGGTGGCATTCAGTCGCGATGAATACTGCGGGTGGCGAATACCTGATAATATCCTGGCCGTATGCTCTGTTGACCATTTGCGGCTTCCTCAATGCTGTTCACTGTCAGCGAAAGATCTCGCGCCTCCGAAAGACCGTGCTGCTCGAGATGTTCCCGGATTACGGTGAGAAAATGTGGAAAATACTCTCTCGTGGCACTTTGGGTGCCCTGTGGGACCGAATGGAATTGCGTTTGCTCGGTCTGACATTGCTTGTTGTTCGCGCTGGAGTCCGGATAGTGCTGGCGCTGCGTCGAAAGGAGGTGTTCTGCGTAAACGAATAACCCAGCCAGTTTTGAAATTGGGAAGGATTTATCTACACGGATATTTGGAGAAGTACCACATGGAAAACGGCGTTTTCAAAGATTCCGGATCTCTTTTGTGGTGATTGACTGCTGCTTGTTTTGTAAAAATCAAAAAGCTGATTACTGAAGTAACCGGGCGGTATAATTCACTGTGTTACCTCTTTTCTTCCTGTTATTTTAGCTTATTGATAGAAACCTTTGTTTCTGTTGTTTTGGTAGTTTAATAACTCTCTTGATGCAAATAAACCATTTTACTCGTATTTGCGCATTAGACGAAGCTCGCACTACTCGTGTTGCGATTCATCCAAATGCTTTCTCGTAATTTCGTAATTGATAATTTTAATGTTTGGGAAATGGCAGCACGCACAAGCAGTGTACTGCGAGAGGGAATATTTGGTAATAATAAAACCAGCGAAAATGTGGGTTTTTGACTATGCACGTACTTGCACGTTTACGAATTTTAAGTAGAAACTGCAATAAACGAGTACGTAACTTCCATAGACTACTCGTACTTCTAGCTTTGTTTTGTTTTTGAACTGCTTCTTACAGTATGGGCCATGCTCATAGACATAATGTCACCACATTTGACAAAACTATACAATAATAATAATAATTTTAAGTTTTCTTGTCTACAAAAATGTCAGAAACTAGTGTCAAATCTACAGTAGAATCAAATGTCCATTTCTGCCAAAATTTGTGTTTGTAATCGTCTGCGCTCCGGTTTGGATTCTGGCGAGGCAGCATGCCGCATTTTTAAAGCATCGTAAAATTCAAAAACGAAACAAATTATGTTGTTGCAGTTCCATAAACTCCACAAAGGCTCCCGTTAGTATGATGGCTTATGCTGCGCGCCTAATTTTTCTGGCGATGCATAACAAGGTGACCTTTTGAGCCCTTGGTACTTTCTTTTATTATTATACTTCCCGTCTCATTCTGGATTTACATTACACTTTTTACTGTTCAACAAGAAATCATATTACTTATGTATAGTGAAATATGGTATGCACTATGGTATATATTTTAAAAAGACGGATTCTGCATGTAGTAAAGTTCTGGGTATAGAGTATTTTGGAAATAAAGCTAAGGTATAGCCACTAGCCAATCTATTTACAGGCAAAGCCCCAAACCATCATCCAAAACAACTGCAGGTCACTTATACAATTACACGGATAATTACTCAGTATCGATCTCTTCAGTTTAAATCTTGTTGGATGTTGCCAGCTGTACATGTAATATTCAGGATACGAACTCATGATCAGTCAACTTGAGTGCGATTCAACTCCAGTGTTGTAAGCCTATTTTTCTAGTAAAATAATAACGTAATTCCATTTTAGGAATTATAGCGAATTGATGGGGATGCTCATTATGTTACGTATAAAAATTTCCATTAATTTAAACGTCTGGTTGTTTTACGTTGTTTATCCTACCCTTTTTGTTCGGTGGTGTAAACATTGGCCACAATTACCGTAAGTTATAGCATAAGTACTTATAAGTTGCTTAATATTTCGACCGTGTGGCTTCTTCCGGTCAAGCATCAGCAAATTACTGATATAATACTTTACTCATTGTTCGCTGTAAAAATTTAATAATCTTTTCGCAATGATTACAGCCTGTTACAAGGACGGACACATCGCTCCACAACATGTGACGAGAGCTTTTACCGCACAATACCGAGGTAAATGTTGAATTTATCTGTTGGCTGTTCTGAAGCTGTCCATACGGGATAAAAATAAATATTCCATTCATTGCGGAGCGTGGGGTATTCATATCTGTGGATTATTTCCGCTGCAGGCATTCAGGTTTATGGAACTGGTTTGCCACATTCGCGTATGATTATCGATTATTTCCCATATGTTTCCTCATATTATTTTTTCTTAACTTAATGTCGAACTACAACAAAAACGCAACTGGTAATTGGTAAAAGCGTCGTTTGCTTCCGTTTATCTCATCTACAGATAGTTATACCGTACAAGGTTTATAGATAGAAGTATGCTTTTGCAATAAAGGTGTGCCGCTACTCTAATAGCTGAATGCATGTACATACATTAATCAATCCACCCGGTGCAGCCGTTTATAAACGGCTGCTTTGCGATTTCCAGTTACGGTAAATGGTTTGCGGAACTGTTTGCGACTGAAAGTCGTTGTGTTGGCTGTTGCTGCTCTACTCTGACCAACAATTTCAGCTTTCGCGCGTTGCTTCGAAAAGCTGAACTCGCGACTTGCCAATGATTTTTGAGCGAACACAAGGGCCAATATGTCTGTTCTGACAACGAGTTCCAGGGATGATTTCTTTATAGAAAAGACTGCGATGGACGTGGGAGCTGTTCGCCTTCGTCGGAGTCGCTCATGCAACCTCACAACACTGGCAGACGATTTCAGTCAAAAAGTCAAACTGGCTGTTGAGAAGCGACGACTCCTCCAGTCTTGCGCTAACCAAATCAGGAATTCTATTTTCTTCTGTGGTGTTCGCAGTGTTTTAATTTCGGTGGCAATTCTTGGATATTACCGGTGCATGCTGATCATTGACAATGAACAAGTAAGTGAATTTGACGGTGGTGCCATCCAAATAACAGTACTCTAATAATTAATAAATTTCCTGGCATGGAAGAATTAGTTACAAATATTTTTTTAACCGTTGACTAATGAACATCTTTTTGGCCGCATGTAAACGATTTACTTTGTTATTTGTATGCCCCCTGTGCGAAATAAATTCGTTTGCGTATATTTTGGTCAGCTTCACATATTTATTGCAGATGCAAAACACATGCGTACTCTTTTGCCGCTGTTATTAAATTCATTAATCATTGGCATACCGCTGTTCGTTAGTCAACAGCCTACGAGTAGAAGTTATATCTGTCCACCTGTTTACATACTCTAAATTAATCTACGTACTTCTGCATTATAACATTCCATTACTTTTCCACTGAAAACAGTTATACAATTAAACACTTACATGACATGTACATGATCATGATGCTATCATTACCGTGAGCTGCGCGTTTTCAGTCCCGGCATCCGAAAAGTTTCCGTGTGTGCATTGCATTAGTGCTGAATGGATGCTTTCTCCTGACGATAAGCGACTTCGTCTGTTGCATGCTGAGCTGGAATCTCCTTCGAACAATGCAGTGCGGATCCTGGCTGGCAGCCACCCTGCTCAGTACCGACCAAGAGTCTGCCTTGCGACGCGTCTGGGACGACTGCAGTCGTTTGGCATCTCACATGGAACTGCGCAGTATGTTGTGCTCCTCAGCCGGTGGGCTCATGGATTTCATATTTCTGGTGTCCCGGTTTTATCTGGACCTTCTGTTTATGGATGCATGGGTGGCGTTCCTTACCGGATGGCTAAGGTCACCGGAAGTGGATCTGGCCGGGCGGGAGTTCCATGTGGTCGGCTGGCCGTTCATTGCCACATCCATGTACAGTGCCAGCGTCGCTGAAAGGAGCCGCAAAACGGCGCGGGACTTGTTGAAGATACTCCGCAAGGAGTTCACTCCGGGATACACGGAAGATCCACCACCAGGTGACCTGGATGTTACTAACGAAATTCTCCGGGAGGTGTCGAAAAGGCTGGCGTTCTGTAGCAGTGTGATCATGCGCTATTCGTATGCTTTCGGCGTTGTGACTCTTCAACTGCTGAAGCGAAAGGAGGTCTACTGCATAAATGACTAGACGAACTAAGCGCTATGAACGACGGTGGAATATTTTTTGGTTTGACAACGCAATACGGTCTCAGAGCGAGACTGGATACATTAATAATTTCGTGCCACATAAACTTTCATAATAGCCCCACCGTTTAAAAGAACAATTCATGTTTGCTGTTGGAGTGATGCTTTTATAAGTATATGTATACTGTCTGTGTATTAATATTTAGGCTGATCGACGATGATTTAAGATTTTTTAATGCACAAATGGTTATTTCCGTCTTATTCGGCCAGAAATTTGAATTTGTTACTAGTCCTGGTACAGCATGTTACATGTAAAGTCCCTTGTTTTAAAATTCAAAGAAATGAAGCTTAAGATCTTTCAGGCGCTCTTGGTGCCCTTTACCATAGTTCGCAGTTCCAACTGAATCTTAGTTACACTAATACTATACAGAACCAGAACATGGCACGCATGAAACGTTTTTTTCTCTACCTAGGGAAGGAAAAATTGAAAAAACTCTTAACCAAGCTTTTGAATTGAATAAAAAATCCCAAGAACGACTCAACATGGTATTATATTTTACAGAACAACGCTATGGAACGCGTTAACAGGCAAGTTGCTGAATACTTTATAACACATACGAGCCGAAATCCACGCTTATGGGGATAATCCCCAGGGGATGATTGGAATCCCCAGGGGATTCCAATCATACGTATATAACCTCGCGCTGTAAACGAATTACTTACGTCCTAATTATATGAATACAAGCCGAGCACGGATGAATATTGGCTGATGACTAAAAGAATTAAGTAATTCCAAGGATGTGTTGAATTCTAGTTGCTTACAAACTGCCAAAAAATTGCGAAACCTGTACGTGTATTTAGCAATAGTTATTTTGACACGCTGTAGTGATTTTACATAAGTTAATCGAAACATATACTCTACATAAGTTGCAGTTTGCGCTGTCGGCTGATACTGCCATTTTATCATGAATTTTTTACTTTGCAGTGTGCTTTAGCCTTTAAGTATTGTTGAGTAGGAGCACAGATATGTCTACTGTTCTGGGTCAAGTTTTGTGTTAGAACAGTATGCATTTCTTATCGCGTCCATGGTAACAAGCTTATGGCTGACCTCTGGACCCAGCCAAATGATTTTGGCAAAAGGTTAACCATCTTAGATCCACCGCTGCGCTGCAAGAATTCTTATGCACTTTAAAGTAGCAAAATTGGTGAAGTAGAAGCCGAGATCCTTTGCCTCAAAGGAGAGGGGCCGAAGTCCTGGCACAGATGATTAGTATTCATATAATTATATGAATTATATGAATACTGATGTGCCAGGACTTCGGCCCCTGTCCTTTGAGGCAAAGGATCTCGGCTTCTAATTCACCAATTTTGTTGCTTTAAAGTGCATCCAAATTCTCTAGGTGTAGCGGTGGATCCAAGATTGTTGACTTTTTGCCAAAATCATTTGTCTAGGTCCAGTGGTCAATCATAAGCTTGTTACCATGGACGCGATAAGAAATGCACACTGTTCTAACACAACTTGACCCAGAACAGTAGAAATATCTGAGCTGGTACTTAACAATAAGTACGAGTACAGTACAAAGTAAAAAATTCATGTAACTTAACACGTCAGTCATCATTGCAAGTTATGTACTGTATGTACAAGTAAACAGTCAGTCATAATAATATTACTAAACATACGTACGGGTTTATTAATCTTATGACAGTCTGTAAGCGACCGCAAATCAACACATCCTTGGAATGACTTATTTTTTAATAGTCATCGGCCAATATTCATCCGTGCTGGGCTTGTATTCATATAACTAATCATCTGTGCCAGAACTTCGGCCCCTCTCCTTTGAGGCAAAGGATCTCGGCTTCTGCTTCACCAATTTTGCTACTTTAAAGTGCATAAGAATTCTCGCAGCGCAGCGGTGGATCTGAGATGGTTAACCTTTTGCCAAAATCATTTGGCTGGGTCCAGTGGTCAGCCATAAGCTTGTTACCATGGACGCGATAAGAAATGCATACTGTTCTAACACAAAACTTGACCCAGAACAGTAGAAATATCTGTGCTCCTACTCAACAGTACTTAAAGCACAATGCAAAGTAAAAAATTCATGATAAAATGGCAGTATCAGCCGACAGCGCAAACTGCAACTTATGTAGAGTATATGTTTCGATTAACTTATGTAAAATCACTACAGCGTGTCAAAATAATTATTGTTAAATACACGTACAGGTTTCGCAATATTTTGACAGTTTGTAAGCAACTAGAATTCAACACATCCTTAGAATTACTTGATTCTTTTAGTCATCAGCCAATATTCATCCGTGCTCGGCTTGTAACCATATACGGACCGGAGCGTGACAGGAGCAGTAACGCGATAAGAATGGGCAAATTTGCCGCACTGTCCACCTCTTCCGTATTCGATTCTATGAAGAATTTAGTGAACAGACACCCCTCGCCTCGTACAGAAATAAACCGATACGGTGCGTGCACGAAACAGTGTGTTTAAACTAGGGTGCTCACTAGTTGATCCCCACGACCCGCCATTTTCACATCTGGAAACTGACGAAAGCATTGTTATGAAGTCGCTTGGCAAGATCAGTTACGTCCATTCGGAGGATGCTGCACATATAAGGCTGCTTGATGCTGGATAATATTGATAGGCAGTTACCCTCGCGTTCGTGCACTTGCGTAGAGCGGAAAGGTCATCACTAATGGTAAGGATTGTGGGCATTGGACAATTAATAGCCAGGCGCGCTTTTCTTCTTCGCTTGGACTATAGGTTCAACCGTTCATCTTGACAGTGAACACACAGTACGCAGTATCCCGCTTTGTAGAAGGGTGCACAACGTCGCCATCTCTCACTCCTACTTTCATCTGCTGCGAAGGAAGGAAGTGCTGTATAATGTAAGAAAGCCAATGGAGCAGATATTTGCCCCCAGTATGCCTTTTGAATTGTTGATCTGTCTTCATGATTCTCCTCTCTCTCTGCGTTTTTACTAATCTGTGTCGACCATACGTTGAAGACCCATTAAACGGACTGTCTCCTATTTCTGTGGTAAACTCTCCTTAGTAATCTACATCTGAAAGAGACTGTTTTAAATTCCAAAAAGGCAACTTTAATGAATAACCTGAATTATAAACTAAGCCAGCAAATGCTATTACAAAGCAGATAACAGCCAACGCACATGATAATCAGAAAAAAATATGTAAGTCAACATTACAGTATCAACAATTTTTAAAAAAATGGAGATAAACGCACATTAGTCAATTAGTAACACTCAAACTATATATTCCATCCAGCCGTATTATCCTTGCCCGTCGCCTTTAAGAGAAGACAATCCGGCACGCATAATTTCGTCCACAAGCAAAAGATTAGTAGCAACAAGGGAGCTGCAAAGAACACCATACTAATTTACATACGGTACTAAAAGTCCATTCGTACTATACAACCGATTACGACGTTATTAACAATCAGTTGGTACAACACTAACAATAAATATCCCATACACAAACTACTAAAGTCAAAAACAGTTAAAGCACAATAATTAAGAAAACATTTTGCAGCTAAATACCAGACAGCAAGATGTTAGTGCAATGCTCAGTAGTCACTACTCTCAACTTGTCAATGAAAGTGCGCAGAAGTAGATGTGTAAAAGACATGCGCAACAAGTTTCAGCCACGGAAAATCATCAGAAGTACCAAAAACAAATGCTTACCATGTGTTTATCTGCTGTTTCTTAACCCTGTAGTTATCCCAGATCCCCATATCGGCAGGAAACATAACGTTACCTACAACACCAACGTTCACGTCAGCGCATCCACCACTAATATGAAATTCCCACAAGCAATCCGGAACTATAATTTACACACACATACCGGTGTCACAGTCGACACCAACCGGCTTTTTGGATTTCCTGTACTCTTCTTCCAGTTTTACTGTTACGTCCTGCGCATCATAACCGGCATTCTGGGCAAGCGTCTGAGGAATAATAAGGAAGGCTTCTGCGTATGCTTCCACACCGAATTTAGCTTTCCCTTTCACCGAACCCTCGCTTACGAACTTAACGAGCTCTTCGCGCAGCGCAAACTCAAATGCGCCTCCTCCAGGCACAACGGAGCCTGCAAAACAGAAATATAAGCCTGCTCCATTCAGTCACTCATATGCCGGTGCTCCGAAAACGCGTCAACGTACAGTACTGTACTTATTCCATATCTATGCTTCGAACATGAAAAACTCCAAAAACAGACAATTATTTCCCTGCACCGATATTTTTGTCGTATCAGACATGTACTCACATTTCTAGCATAATCGATATTTCTTATGTACATGTATCAAATAATCAAAAGTACTGCTTCTATCCTATATTTACGGTAAAAGAAGGGTGAAAAGGCCGCACCAGCAGGGCGAAGTACGGGAATTACCATCTTCGACAGCATTAAGTACAGCTCTCAGTCCATCACGCACTGCATCCTTGACCTGAGTAATGCTGTGCTTGTTTGGTCCACGGATTACGATCGTCACCGACTGAGGATTCTTGCACTCCTCAATGAATGTAAACTTATCTTCGCCCTAAACACAAGCAGAATAACAGAATAACACATCGCCGGAATTTATTCGAGTTATGGAAAATTTCAGTAGTAATTCTGTTTCTTCAATACGTAAACCAAACAAGATTTCGTAATTTCTTACCAATTGGTACTCATAAACGGATCCAGCAAATCCCAACGCATCTGCTGTCAACTCATCAACAGAATTTACGGCCACCCCACCGCATGCAAGTGTCAGTCTGCAAAACCAGAGTTTTTATCGCCGCTGTTTTCGATACATATTTCTGTTTCCTGTACTTGGTACGATGCTGCTACTTGCATACTTTGCGCCGTCGAATACTACCAAAACCCATAGCACTTGCCAAGAACTTACCGCTCCATATTGCGTCGTTTCGCTCGACGCAGAGCCATGATGCCTTCCTTGGCCAGCATATCCAAGGACAACGGATCAATGCCCTTCTGGTTAACAATAACAAAATTCTTATCCTCGCCTGGTTTGCACATTTGCTTCTTCAAAGCGATGATTTTCTCCACTCGACTGATGATGAACTGCCGTTCCGCTGTCACCATTTTCTCGCGTTGTTCGGGGGAGGCGTAGAAAAATCCGGAGTTCACTTCGCTACTCAATAGCATTTACATAAGCAATATCGTAACATCTTATTGAATGGAAAGACAATAATATGTAACCCACAAAACAAGCATATAACTTACGTTTTTTCGTACTCCAGAGAGACGTTACAAGTGAGGATGTAAGCATTGGACACCCGTTTCGGCATGTCGGGATGGCGGGCTCCATGATCGAGTACCAATCCCCGCACGAGAACCGAATCCATCTGGGTGCGATGGATCATCTCCATGATTTCCACCATGTGCAGATCGATCTGCTCATTCTGACGCCTGATCAACAGCACCGCATCCGTAACGATGCTGGTGAATAAATCGGCCACACCACTTTCAACTGATAAAACATACAACTCAATATTCCGATATAACGAGAGAAATCTTTGTGGACCCGTGTACTGTACCTTTAGTGCGCAGTGAAGTGCGAGCCACTTCTAACAATTGGTCACGATCGCCCGTAGATTTCTGGGCTAATTTGTCCAGCAATTCCAAGGCTTTATTTCGAGCCAACTCGAAACCTTCGGTAATTAATCGAGGATGTAGTCCCTGTAAACGTAACTTACTGTTAACATAACCAAACAAAAATCAACAATAAATCAACCTAAACAATAAGAAATTTGTACAACAGTACAGAACAGTTACTAGAACAATCTAAAAATTATATCTCTCACTATACTCGTACTATTACATGTAGTGGTGGCTCAATTTGGCTGTTACAGAGCGACTAGTAACGATCGCAAGCCTTAAATGTCGTCATCACAAATCGACAACTGTCAAAATTCCATTCCTTTCTTGTTTACAATTAATTACCTAGTTTTTATTTAAGATCGACCTTTATAGGCGATTCCGAAAAACCTTTCACCAGACATACGCAAGATCAGCGGAAAAGCACAGAATGTAAGTACCTTGAGAATATAAACTTGCGATTGCTTAAGGAGTTCTCCGATTAGTAAAACAATGGATGTGGTGCCATCTCCAGTAATGTCATCTTGTGCCGTGGAAGCCCTAGCAATCAGGGAGGCTGTCGGATGTTTAACATGCTGGAAGGAATACAAACGGGGATTCTAAAGTGATAAAATTTTCTTCGTTAAGGTCGCTGCAGACTCACTGATTCGTGCATGAGAACGTTTCCATCTTTGGTGATTTTTATATCTCCCGCACCAGATACCAGCCTAAAACGAGATGAAATAACTTGACCACCCTTAATTTCTGCACATGTCAAGAAGTCGTGCGAGTGCTCAAGCAAGCAAACTGTAGTGTAAAAGCGGAACCCCAGCACAGCAAAAGAATAGTCAAATCACAGAGGGAAGGAGCCTCGCTATTCCGCTCACATTTTCAAACTGCCCTTTGGGCCGAGATTCGATTTGACATAGTCCTGTACACCCATAGCTGCTGAGATGTTGATGGCCAGCGCTTCCGACGCTCTGGCAATCTCCGCTTTGGGATTAACAGCAAGAATGGACGCCATGTCAGCCGATGTGGAGTCGCACTTCGCAGGTCGCAGCAGACACCGTAATAACAAATTACAACGATCCCCAAGGTAATATTTAAAAAACGGATGTAAATGTCAGCACACGAGTACAATTAATTCTGCGAAATCAGTGGTTTCTGATACCACACTTGGGAAGGACCGGCAGCGAAATACTGTACTTGCAAAGTGCAAACCAAATGGTTTCTCATTTTTGGACCGCGAAGAAAGTCACTGAGTCATGATTTTGACTCGGCTAGTGGCGAAACGAGGATCGCTAGATTTACATACCCTACTGCCCACCTTGGTGGGTATACAGTACAGAGTACACTGTTAAATACGTGTATTTTATTTGCATCGTTTTGTTTGTTGACTTCATTTATTAAAAAAATTCCAAAAGTCTCTTTCTTCTGCTCGTATTTACGTTTGGTAAAAATTACTGTACTAATATTTTTTGCAGTTTTAGCAAATGAGTGCTGGCCTGCAATACGTACGGATTGCAACACCCGGTCACCCATCCAAGCACTGACCGGGCCCGACGTAGCTTATCTTCCTGTAGACCGATCGGTACAAAATGGTTGTAGACAAATCTTACAATAACAATCACCGTAACAATACAACTTCACTTAATATGAATAGCTGCAAAACAAAAGAAGAATGAGCACGAAAGACAATGGGTCATGGCTGGGAGCGCTTCCGGTTGTCTAACTTGGCAACCTTACGATCTACGGACTCTGCGGTAAGAATCGCGGTTTGTTACGCCTTGGACCACCGGTCATCACCCCACACCGTTTTGTTTGCGGTGAGTGGGCGGATGCCCGAGGGTACCATGGCCTAAGCTGCAAGAAAAGCCGCGGACGAATCCCTGCACATAAATGTCTGAATGCCATTGTGAAGCGCAGCCTCGCATCTGTCGGTTTCGAAAGCGAACTGGAACCTCAAGGTATCTTTCCAACAGACAGTAAACGACCAGAGACGGTGTTACTTTGACACCACGGCAAAGAGGACGAATGTTGGTATGGGACGATACTTGCGTCAACACCATGGCCATGTCGCACATTATTGCGACATCCGTACGAGCGGGAGCAGCAGCATCACTTGCCGAGCAGCTGCCCGCACGATAACGGAACTTGGACAGAAGATCGACAAGAAACCGGCGAAAAACGAGCCGCAGAATATCTTCGCCAGCGGATCAGCACCGAAATCCAACGAGAAAATGCGGCATCGATCATGGGGAGAGCGCCAATGGGAGCAAATTTAGATCAAATTTTCTCTGTGATCAGGCCGCCCCTTGCGATTGATGCTTGACAAGTGATTGTTTTCGAACTGAATGTAAAATTTTTTGTGAAGAGAGTACTGAATAAAACAACAGTGTATCGCTGCAGAGGTCACAACTACTTTGATAACGCCATAACAGTGGAGTAAAACAATTATAATATTAAGGAAGGCCATAATCTAGGAATTATCATTAATTTTTACTGAAAACTTTCTTAAGTGTACCATCATAAATTAGCAAGAATACTGCAAGCTGCAAACTAAGTTATCAGAATAACTACTCGGGTAGCTATATAGATTCGTTGTACAAGTTGCAATTTACAGCTTTTCATGTACAGTACTCGGTACTCCTAGTAAAATATCGAAAGCTCGATAATGCCTGCACGCGGCCACAACGTTCTTCTAAAAGCTAAAAGTAAGTAAGGCAATCCCATTCAGATGATTCTCCTGAGATCGAACAAATTTATTCGTGCCATTATATCAGCTCCACTGTCCCCAGTCAGTTTATAAGAATAAATACCAGTAAATCCCAAAGTAATTTCAAAATAAAGTTGAAAATCATTAGTAAAAGCACTGATGTCGTTAGATCGTGCAAAACACGCTACCAATAAGCTCAAAATCAAAACGTGAGTACAGAAATCTTTATGGCAAACTGTATAGAAAACCATGAAAACGCATTTATGTTCCTTTTTTATACAAAATATCATAATGACCAGGCCGGTACAACATGAATATTTCCGGTTCAGCTTCGGTTTCGGGAAAATCGTGGGCAATCACCGAGGAACTTCCACCACGATCCATGTATTCCACGCGTATTTTGACACTGAGCAACGATGCTACGGCAATGATGTGAATGTGGTCGCTTTCGCGAAACATCACCTCAACTTCGGCTCTACAGAAATCTTCCACGTTGGCATGATTCTCGATAAAATTCCCGTAAAACTCCGGATCGCTGCGTAGCTGCAACACGGTAAGGAATCTAAGCCACACAACAATAAAATCCGAACATCCCTGATTATTGAAAATGTCCAATAATTCCTCCTCTGTCGGAGTCTCCATCAGACGTGTCAACTGATCGTTGAACTGAGAGAAACAGACATAAAAATTATAATTATAAGAATCCAGATTTTATTAATCAGCGTTCACTCACGTTGTCCAAAAACTATAAACAAAACCAAGAGACAGTTACAACCACACCATACAAATAAAGCAATTCATATTTCTTACATCCTCCATGGTCAACTTCGGGTAATTAAATTTGAGTATCCGATCTTTGCATTCCACCATTAAGGCTTTCAATCTAACAGTTACGAAAATTATGGTAATAATAGTATTACACCGGCATGATAAGCTGCATAGTGAAACCTTTCAGCTTTTTCCTGATCGCCAGACAGCATAACATTTTCAAACAAGGAAAACCCCAAACATCGATAAAAACAGTTCCCGTCTCCACGAGTGCGACGCAGCCACTCGTACTTCATTTGCAGATTCTGAAAAAGCGATCAATTCAGTCATTCAGTCCAAAATGTGCAGTATCAATCGCCCACTGTGAGCCATCGCAAGGTCACGTAAGACAACGTATTACCAAGTAGTACTTACCATTTGTCGAAATCTCAACACTTAACTTGTGCCCGGAAACAGAATTCGAACACCACAAGAAATAATTATGTAGAAGTAGTATTCGTTGTAGAAGTGAGTGTTTAGAACTAAATAAATCTTAAGATAAGATATCCACCGAAAACAGACAAAACATCAAGATCCACAACAGCAGAAAACAATTTTAATGTCATTAAAATTATACAATTATACAATTAACTGTGTGTCGATGTGCCATACCCAATACAAAAATTACCCATAACACTAAAAAATGCAAAAGGTGACACCGTGATTGACTGCAGCACGTACGATTCTTGAATTTCTTAACTCTGGATATGGTAAATATTTACATAACAAGTTGAGAACGGTATTAAAACAAGCAAGTACCGTTGAAATAATTGCTTACCGCGATTTTCTGAATATAAACCGGGTCAGAGTATTCCTCCTCCAAGATGTCCAAACTCTCTTTCACAGAGACGAAGGGAACGTGTTCCTTAATCTGTCCAATCACACTTTCGTTACGAACAGAGGAAACCCTCCTTCTGCCATGACTCACTGCAGCCAGTACCTCATTCTCAATACTCAGCATCTGCTGCTGGGTGCGTTCGTCCACATACTGCGGCTCGACGAAGTCCAGCAGCGCCTGCAGGGGCTCGCCGCGGCTGCCAGCACTAGTCGACGGCTCCTCGTCCGCGGGCCCATCCCGCACATCCACGGCACCGGTGAGATCTGCTGGCTCCGCTGGCAACTCGCTCCTTTCCGGACCACTGGACATGTGCGCAGTGTAATACTCACTGGAGGAATCCGCTTCGCCGTATGCAACCTTGTCCTCGATGCCGTTCTGACTGCTGCCTTCCGGCTCGCTGTCCACTGCGAAACAGCTCCCGATTGAACCATTGGTCTGACTGGGTTGTGCTTAATTCGCAACATGCTCAACGAACAGTGGTAGCTCTACTCTACTGCTAGGGTACGCGGTTATTACTACGAAGTACGAACAGAAGTCCCACGACTCTCACCAAACAGAATGTTGCGAACAGACGCTGTTTTTAACTCACTCCTGATCGTATCGGAAGGCATTTCTATTAAAAACACCTAACACAGATTGTGGCAGTGAAGCCATTCTAAAGGCTTAACATGAAGCGCTCACTGCCTACAAGTTGCGAGTCTTGCGACTGCATTGCAAGACGAGAGGACAACCTTATTATACTAGACGAAATTCAAATAGTGACTGGGGCACCTTTTATCTTTTTCGGAAGGGTTCCTTCCACAGGCATCGTACTGCGGTCCATAGTTAAGACAAAGAAACAAGATCAATCCACGAATAAAAGGGTATACGATTAGCTGGCTTATTCCGTGTCTAGCAAAACTACTGCGCCATCGACAATCACTGTGGCTTTGCGAGCATTCAGAGAATACTGGAAGATGAAATGTTTCCTGTCAAAGGCACAGAAGTTTGTGTATACGCTCCCGTCAAAGGTGTAAGACAATACCTAATCAATAATATTGCTTCATTAAACAGGAAGCAGATCCACAATCGGCAATCCGACTTGTAACAAATGTAAAAACGATAACAATTTTCAAAACAGACAAAACAATCTTGACAGCAGTTCACTTATGTATGGAACAAGACTTACAAGAGCAACTAAGTACTCTGCTGCGGCTGCTGCATAAGAAAACCATCCGCAACATCCTCGGAACGAAAAAAAGCCATTTATAATTTTGTGGAATGCCGTTTAGCACAAATTATGCTGAAGGAGACGCAGTGAGCTTTAACACCATAAAATTTTAAAAGCCGTACTCGTACATACAGTTAACTTGTACCTAATCCCTTAATAAAATTTTAAATGGGTGGGCTAACTTAATCGTAATAATTGTTTTCTTGTTACTTACCATGTGGATTTAACAATCATAGAAATTCTGTTATGCATCTGCTGAACTTTATGACGTCTATTTTAATTTTAATAAAACTGCGCTAACATTAGCGCTGCTGCCTGCATAGTTTTCTGATGAAATCTGGCTATACTCGTACGCTTCGGTCATGCAGTGCCCACAAAAGGCGAGTGCCCTTTATAGGAAAAACAATTTCCTTAAATATACTTGTACCTATTTTAATGTTGTTAAACTACGTCACTAATCCATATTCTTACTGGAAGTGGAAGGCTATATGCATAAAATTATTGTGTGATTTATTCTGTATGGAGCACATAATTACTCGTTATCACATACAGTAATTAATCGTTTTCGGCTACCTACTTACAAAGTTACCCTACTTGTACACCTAATTGCATGTACAATACTAGTAATAATAGTGACGTCATGCCGATTGTCTGCAAAGTTTCATGTTGATCTACAATTTCAGCAGGAGTGCCGGTATTAGTAATCTGCGATGATCTAATCCGAACCTTGCATAAAAACCAGTGTGATTCATTCCTCTATCTTTATCACAAGTCCACGACCGCGAGAGTAATCTCGCGCGGATAACAAACAACGAAGATGCAGTGTTGTAGTCAAGTAGAATTTTTATCTCAGCTAACCAGTAAGCATAAACAAAATTATGACGCACTCACTCGATTGTTTCCAACGAAATTTTTAAAGTTTTCCACTCTTCACCCGCATTAAGGAGACGGCGGTGGAATTACTGTACTTGTATATCAGTGGACAGTGGCAATAACTATGACGACTGTATGCCAATAATGCAATACGTATACGTTACTGATCCGCATGGTCTACAAAACTTGTACTGTTCATCCGCGAAATCCCTTATCTTGCATCCTACCCTGAACTGCAAGATGTTCAAATCTTGCATTTCCATCAACACGTGCCGAAATTGCGCTGCTCTAGTTCCCCATTCTCCCTTATTAGTAAACAATTGTGCATTATATCGTTTTGATTATGATACTGCATTTGCGGACATGAGATGATGAGGATAAGTATGAGTGCGCTCCCTGCTTCCGGTGCTGCCGTGCTGGCATCCATTCCTGCTATCAGAGTATCAGTGCTACCTGCTCGTAGTAGAGCATGGCGTACTTCAAGTATGCATAAAACTTTATTATCATAAGCAGATATAATTTAGCTTTATTCAAGGTGCATGCACACAGTTTAGTACTGCACGTGATTATAGCCTCTGTAACCGTAAGTTTCTATATCTCGGTCTACAAAGAAATATATTTATAATTTTTTTATTATACTTTTTATATAAATTAGTTTAAATACGTAGACAGATACAGTACCTACTCGAATACTCGTATAGTATGTACATGAGCAAAACATAATATTTGTTACGTGATCTGACAACAAATTACCGTATAACTATAGGCCGTGCGATCATGTGTACGTAATATAATACAAACACAAATTTAATACAGGTTGTGATTTAGATTCTTGGAGTCGTCCAGAAAGTTGTCAAGATATTTCACCAATTCTTTCCTCTGTATTCTCACCAATAACAGTGTACGCTTGACCTTTTCGGGATGGAAAATGCAACGCGGAAAATACGTATTGTTCCATTTTGTTCTAGAATAACCGGAACGCAAAATGAGGTAGTTGGTTACACCGATTCGAAAGCATACGGTTACACCTTTTGTGACCTTTGCTAAAGCTACTCGAACCGGATGGCTGACTAGCTCATTTTGGTCCTCTACACGATCTGCCGCACATGGCAGACATCTTAAAGACCACAGGTAACCAAATACAAAGCCGCGCGAGATTTTGGATACCTACGAGTATATGGAGTTCTGACCATTTATGTCTACATCGTTCTATTTTTATGATAATTTATGTAAGTAGCGAGACTGCTTGTACTCTACATCGCAGGAACAGACGATTTCATAATGTTAAAACAACAAACACATAACTCTATGAGTTTTTAAAAACATAAATTTTCAGTGGCTAAGCACTGTGCAGTATTATCTGCAAGTCACCTTTGTGAGGAGGTGTGCGTTGTTCAGTCGTTAAACTCGAGTCTTGTCAGCAATTTTAGGACGATTGCTGTCAGCTGTCGGCCATTCTACTGTAGGTGCGACAATTAGTAATTATTCCAAACATGATATGTACCGGTATTAAACTTCAATTTATTTTCTAACAAAACTGTCAGCAGTCAGGACTTCGCGCGTATCGAGCAAGGCTGCGCACGAACCGGTAACCGTAAGGTTACAGAAAAAGTTTTATAGCAATAAGTTCTATTTGCAATAACCTGCAGTGTCTGTGCCAATGAAAACAACACGACAACGGGAACCCTACAATAAGCTTAAGCGACTGCAACGATCTTATAGCAAGTGCTGATTTTTTTAAAACAAGCAGCACAAATATAATAATAACAGTAACAATTTTTTGAGAGAATACGATTGCGGCCTCGTAAACATAACAAGGGCTAGCACAACCATATTCGACAACGCAGAAACAAAATGGACTCTGGATGGAATATTCAACGTCCCCTCCGCTGTTTGGTAAGACAGCAGCCCGACATAACCCAGACGCATAAAACTCTTTGAGCAAACCTCCTTCCACCCTGTTTAAGGCACCGGAATGTAGGCACAAAATGGCGGTCGAGAAACCCACACTAAAAGTTTCCCATATTAGAAGGCAGAAAGCAGCACCACATATCAGATCATTTAGGATGAATCTCCTTGAATTCCCACAGCTGCTCCTTCTTTGTCGAATCACAGTCTCTCACCCACAATTCACTTTTATCGTTCATTTCCGCGCACAGGTTTTTCGTTTTGTGCTTAAAAAGATGTGTATTTGCATCTAAATCCCAGGGACCGTCCACACGACCTTTCGGGCAGTCCTTCATGACCACTCGGTTGGTATGGTCCGCATCTATACAGCGTTCACCAAAACCAAGCTGTCCTTCGGCATTGAAACGGAAGAACTGGTTTCCACCCCAACCGTGGCAGCCGGATACTCCCAGTTTTGTTGGTACATTGCGTCCAAATGTATCGAAGCATTTCGGGCTATCACCCACACTGCGCAGCTGCAGCAAATAAGTGACCGAACATAAATACTTCAAATTTCGGAACAGATGGGACAGAAACTCCACTACACGGATATACATAATTACCTCGCCGAAGAAACGATTGGCAGGAAGCAAAGGGAAATCTTTAACAACATCGTACGCAATCTGCAAAAGGAGATATAACATTACTTATCACACAGTACAACGTAGTTCAGTAAAACCATGCGAATTCCTACAGCAGTTCTCATTGAGACTGTTTATAACCTTTCGAGTTAACTTTTTCGTTATTTTGTGTAGAACAACATCAAAAAGTTTTCAACCTGTCACCTTTCACTCTCCACTTGAGGTTTACTATATAACCAGTTTACTAACGTACGTTCTCCATGAACCATTTGAAGCTTTTGCAGTTTAGTCGCTCCCGCACTGCTTTTTGTTTGCTAATGTCGCCAAAATCCACGTCAGGCATTAACGGTTCCTGTAAACAAGGTGAACGCATGTTACTACAGAAATATCAAAATATCCGCCAGTGTGAGGAATCCGTACTCTTATATAAACGTATTCCTTATATTCATCCATCCAGGTTTCAGCAACTCTGCGGTGATTCAAGTGCACTAAATGACCTTTCTTCTGTAGTTTTTCCGGAAGTGGATCCTGATGGATGGACGATCGTTTTTTGTAAATGTGACCTGTATATCACCAATACGACGATTTTCAGCAGTCAGTCAATGAATGCCCAGAACGTCGAGGTTATGCGGGCCAAGAAACAGCCACCTCGTGAATCATCAAGGCAAAATCAATGCCGCTAACTCACCAATATGCGAACACGGCACCCATAGCAAGCTGCCCCCGCACTGCCACACTTTGAAGGACAGCTCATACTGCTCGCCACCCCAGATTTCCAGACCTTCGTCATACCATCCCAGCTCTTCAAAATAGCCACGATGGATGGCAAACAGGCCACCAGCATGTGTGGGAGACCTATAGTGAGTCACATAATCGAAAACAAGAGCACATCCTACAAACTAGACCTACGAGTATACAAAGTTGTCCACATACCGGTATGGTTCGCTATAGTGCTCGTGCCGACTGGTTTCTCTTTCAGAGATTTCAATCTCCTTGTACAACATTCCCCATTCCCAGATACCCGCAAACATTTTTTTGCCTTGGTATACAGATTCAATCCGGAAAGTATCGGCATCGATGCCGTCAATAATCGGTACAGTCATTGTCGTGCTGCAACAGAGCGCATAAAGATGATACTATTTCATATCCTAATAATAAGTACTAGTGCTCGTATTTGTACTTGTCGAGAAGCACAAATCACCGAAAACCATCCCGACAAAATTAATACTGTCGTTTCGCTAAAATCCACCACGCTGCTCGCCGAATAATAAAAGAGGCCCATACCGACTGTTGTCAAAATTGCTTTAGAAGTTATCACCATGCACTTCAACCATGTTCTCTTATTTGGACATTACGTCCTCATTGAATGCACGGTTAAGTATCGGAACCAAAATTATATCGCGGAAATTACGAGCACATAATATACAGATATAAATGTATTAAGTACAATACATTAACTAACTATATGATCAAGTTTAGGAACTAACTATCCCAGTCCACATTTTTTCAAAGCGTAAAGCGAACCTACAATTTCAAAGCATTATGCCGATAGCTACTAGCAGACACGTACCGATCTTTTGCAATAGGTGCGAGTAGTGGTGGCAACCAATTATATCCAACTTCACAATGCGCATCCAGAAAAATAACCACTTCCCCTCGAGCCTCTTTAGCTCCGATGGTGCGGGTTCGAATCAAGCCCTCACGCTCTGCATTTCTGACCAAACGCACTTTTCCATCAAACTTCGCAATGGTATCTTCCAGTTCTTTCTTTAATACCTCTACCAGAATTTTTTAGTTACGTTCCATCCATAAACGGCGATGTGCAACAGGAATGCCTCAAACAAGATGAATGAGCTAACAGGAATTCGCTAACCTCGATTGCTTGCATCATCAACGAGCAAAACTTCTTCCAAAAATTGAGGTGGACTGCGATTCAGAACACTATGCACAGTGCGCAGCAGCGTCGAGGGCATTTCATTGTGGAAAGCGACAACCACCGATGCCTTGGGCAACGCTTCCGGATAATGCCACCACTTGCATCTAACCAAAGCAGGATTTGATTAGCAAAATTTTCTAGGTGGTGTTACATTAACAATCTTGTACTCCATCTGCAATCGCCTATATCAACACTACGGCACTACCTAGAGTACGTAAACTCGAAATTTACTGTATGCATATAATCCGTAATAATCGTTGTTGATTATTTCAGTATTATTGAGGCCCATAACATAAGTTAAAACAGTCAACAACTGTAATCACTCCTAAAATATGTGCTGAATTTTATGATTTTATCAAGATCACATACTCTGGAGGTCGAATGTCCGGAATGGCTCGGTCTAGGGAAATTTTCTCGCTCGCACACTGGTTAAATCCCCAGTCCTTGACACATTCATCCCCATAATTCACTCCTCCCTCCACCTGGACAGGAGCACCGTACTCTCCAGGGCCTTCGCGTTTCTCTTTCTCCACATACTCAAAATTGCCCAGAAATTGATCTTTAAACACGGTTTCCACGTTATGGTCGTGTCCTCGCTGCCAAAAAATCCACAAGACAGTCAATGAATGCATGCAAAACTTGCATAAAAAACAAATAACAAAAAATGTTGAAAAATATCTCCGTCAATTATACGACATTCCGCAATCTTGTAAACAGGACGTATATGCATGCAAACCTGAGTTTCCAAAAATACTTAAATTTTTTGCAATCATATTGTAACGTTACAAATTAGGGTCCATAAAACAGAAATAATTACAGTGGTTACTGAATATTCTTAAATGCAGGGATCTCGAAAAAATGAAAGCGGAACAAATAAAAAAACAAATTTCAGTAAAAGTGTAAAAGAATTAAAAAGGATAAAGACATCATAAAGTTATTTACTTATCTTAACTATAAACTTTATTTACCTCTTCCATACTCTTGCCATTAAAAGGCCCCGCAACCTGAGATCTGAAAAGCGACTGGAGTATGCCAATCAGCAGCACAATAGCAACAACGAGTGCGATCTTGACGTAAAGTTTGGGAAGACGATACTGCCTCGAAATACGAAAATTTGCCATTTTGATTGCTGCTCCACACTTCCTGCGGCAAATGCAGAACCAAATTTGTTTAACCACCTCGAACTTCACAAATGACGACTGTTGAATCAAAGCAAGATGGAAATGCCAAAAAAATGGAGATCCTCCAGCAGTTAGTGCAACAATTCCAAGGCTGCGCGAACTTTAGCCTTTGCTGAAGCTGGATGCAATCATGCGCCTGCCATCAGTGTTCCCAGTCATCGTCCCACGTCGGATTTAAATCATTTGCAACCAGAAACGATATCAAGAATCTCATAAAATCCAAGGAACTCGTCGCGTACTGTGGAGCAATCCGTCTGCGAGCACGCAAACGTGCCACGTATTACGAACAAAACTCAGAAGCGGCCAACTGCTGAATGTGAACAAGTACCTAGAGCGCACCACTGGGTCTATTTGTACATCTCGTTTTGAAACTCAGTAATGAGTAATGTTAGAACAGATTCAGGAACACAGCACTATTACTACAGACCAAAGACATTATTATCAAGTGAAAACTCTCGCAAAATGCTTTCGTAAAATTTCATAGAAAGGAAAGAAATTTCTCATTTAGAAACATAATTCTGGACATTCTCGGTTTACTGATGTAATGCGGCACCATGCATTTTGGTGGCAGATAGCCGATAGTCTGAAAATATTAATTGTGAAGTGTGTTCGCGTCACCAACACCGTACCGGTTGCCCACATAAACATTGTAGACGAATACGTCTCTGACAGTACAAGACCTGCGGCCAACACACCGTTCAATAGAAGTTTTTAACTCGCAGTCATAAGCAAAAAAACTGCTTCTTTTTCACTTATGGATTTAGAAGTATACATAATTAACTGCAAAGATTACCAGCTTAGAATGTCTGAATGTTTCAAAATTTAATAATCCGATCTGCAGTACTTCAGTATTCAAAGACAATCTCGCCAATACGGCACAACAGCATAATCGCCCACCGGTGTCTGAAATGCCGGTACCACCGGCAGCATACTCTTACATCTATACGTTATAGCATAATATTACTAAATACTGTTTAGTTTAGTTTAGTAATATTATGGTTACTTCGTATAGATATATATCTTTTAATTCGGCAATGGCCAGTTCACATAATAATAAGCTTACGCTGGTAGAAACTAATTAAAATGATTGAAAATGTAAACAGTAAAAACAGACTGCTGACCCTCCTTGGGGGCAAACATCCACTCACGCACCCCAATGTTAGGGGGCCAGTTTTCAGGGGCAAACATCTTATCCGATTCATGAGCAAATGAACCAACACGCGCAAAGAGATTCTTGCGGCCCATTTTAGCAGAATAGATAGACACAAATCTGACAGAGATCCCGTTTGATTCAATGACGCGTTTGAGATCTTTGCTGTAATCATCTAGTGACGAATGGTTGGTCTGCTCCGATATATATTAACTTTTAACTAAAGGTAAAAGTAAGTAAGTCCGTTGTACGCAAATTTAAAATTTACAATAGAAACCGAAGTATAGTGACTGATTTTCGATTAAGCAAACTTGGAACTGTTAGAAAAAAATTCGACTCTAGGAAAACCATTTTGAGATATATGGTCATGGACAAACTGAATACGTGAATTGTTCGGTTCTTGGCGACTTACTGTAATGTACCACCACCGCATTTTCAAAACAGCTGGACATGAAACAAAAAAGCGTAAAAAACTGCAAAAACCATGAGGATCGAAGAACGAACCGATGAACGGATCTGTCGGCAAGAAACTACCCTAGCATAACAGTCTACACGTTACAAAATACCTAAATATACCTAAAAATACCTATACGATATAATTATACCTATACGTTTGAAAGTTGTGACTCGTGAGTCGTGACGACGGTCACCTAATAATAGTACAAGGTACTAGTACTTATTGAATTGATTGGTAGGACTGCCTGAGTCGTCCCAACAAAAAATAAAATGGTAATAAGGAAACGGAAAATTAACGCAAACGTTGTATACGTAATTACCAAACCAAAAAGCATAAACGAAATAATAAATTAATTACATGATATAAAAGCTCGAAATCTATATAGCGATGGGAAATTTTTTATCGCAATGGTCAAATATTCCAGTCAACAATTTAAAGCTGCTTAAAGAATTAAAACTCACACAGGATACGAGTAAATTCACTCTTAAAGGGCAGATACATAGCACAAATCAAAATAATATATAATATTTTCAAGCAATGAAGTGAAAACCAACCCATGTCTTTATTACGACTACGACTACGCATACATCTCTCCCATATATCCCACGCACAGCCAGCATAGGTATATTATCTGATCGTTAAATCAACCATTAGCTCACATCAGAATTATTACAAACAGCAGCAACTGCTGATTTCAACACGTCGGCGACATGTTTGAAGTTTTGCCCCAACCAGGCTTTTCTTTGTTTTTTACATTGGCTTTAACATCACTGGATTCCTGATGCTTCCCGCCATCCGTTGACTCTAAACCTTCTTTCCCAATAACCTGCCCCACAGGACTCTTCACTTTGGGCCTTTGGCCGCCGCTGGTTTTGGCATCGTAATCCACATCATGGTCTGGCTTAACTCCTTTAGCGCCCGTCACAGGGGCTGCTTCTCTGCACTTGCAAACATCCGTACTGAATTTCCGACCTCTGATCCCGGGAAAAATGTTCATCGAGCCCATGAACGTGGAATAGCGGCGTCTGCCAACTGGATCCTTCTCCGCGGTTGATTGATTACCGGTGACAGGCTGTGCATGAACAGCACGTTTCTCCATGCCTCCATCCTTCACACCACCTTCTTCGTATGCCTCGTGCAAGATTTCCTCGGCGCCCTTGAAAGCTGGCCCCCTCCTGTTATCGTTTTCTGGCTTTTCCTGCATAAGGCTCTTTACAGCGGGTCGTTCCTCGCGGTGGACATTGCCAGGCAGCTTGGCTGAGTGACCAGGAGAAGTACGCGCTCGTTGATCGCCTGCAGACACAAAGCGGACGCTGGTAACCTGAACCGTGGTGGATAAGCGCTGTCCCACGCGAAACATCAGCACAGGCATGGAAGTAGTCATTGGTGCGATTTCAGAAGAACGTTTCCAAAATTTAATTTTTTTAACTTAAGGAAATTCACAAGTTAAAGATACAGAGAGAACTATAATCTGCAAAATCTGGGAGTCACAAGTGATATGCAGATCAGGACAAACGACCAACTGAAATAGACAACTGGTTTTTCCAAACTTTTACACGCACGATAAACCATAAAACAGCTGTGTTTTCCTTTCTGCGGAAAATTCCACGACATCTAAAATCAACGTAAATCGCGTGCCAGGATAGTTGCAATAGTCCAAGCTAGGCAAGTACGCGAACACCCTTTGACAACTAAATGAATATTTCGCACCCTTCTTGATTTGCACTTTTGCAGTTTTGTTGACTGACCAGAAAAAATTAATAATACAATTATTAGTAATTATAATTTATATAAAACTGTTTTTGGAGCAGGAGCTACAGATACTGTACGCATTACGATTTACGAGGTACAAATATTTGAAGACTCCTTATAAAATTTATTAGCTCCGAACTCTTACTTACACTGACGCAAAGGAATTCTTATCGAAATATGTTGCCTTTTCGAGTATTGCGTCCTTTTCATTTTGCTACGTCCCTACTGCAGTCAGCGAGTCGCCTCAAAGCAGAGGAATTGGTTTTACGCAACTGCCGATTTATTTCTTCGTCCGTTCTCTGTGATCGTAATTCCAGTTTTCCAACGGTTACATCTCGAAATGTACTGTCCTTAAGTGGCATTTTTCCCGCCACAGTCAGTGGCAAACCCATTGCGAGATACAGCAGTACGTGCAGTTTATTTGGTCTGATCAATGGCCGATGAGCGGGATTTTAACTTACTCGTAAATATCTCGTGAATTTGCTCACGGGTTACAGATTACTGAAGATGTTTTCAGATAATAGCTAAAGCGAAAATGTATTGAACATAAACTTCTGATTTGTGGCATTTTTCACGCACGCAGAGCGCGGATACCAGTCCACTTTCAACCATGATGAAAAATACAATGTGACATCAACGGACCAAATCGAGATTGTGGATTACAACTACGTCAAGATGATGATTAAAGGGAATCTAGGAGTAATTATCGACGTCAGGAATCCCGACGAAGTACGGGGTCCGCAGGGAAGGATAAAAGGCTCCATCAATATTCCTCGTAAGTATAGGCTGAAGGGTTTAAAGTTATTTCGGGAAAATGAAGTAATTTGGGGTAGTTTCCTGTAAAACCATATCAGAATTAGGCTCGGTTAGTCTAAAGTCACTAATTAATCACTTAAACAATATATTTTTATGTTGCAACGGTTTTGCTGTAAGGGTTTAACGAGAGCAGACATACTATAATATGTCTGCTCTCGTTTAACCAGTAGAACTGGTTTTATTGTAAGGGTTACATTGTCGTCATATTTTTGAAGAAATAATTTAAATTTTAAATTATACATTGCTTTCCATCGTTCAGCGCTTGTTCATACTGTCACCGACATTGTACTACTGTATATTTACTTGTTATATGCGTTTTTACCGTGCTTTTTATTTGGAAGTGTGTACCATATGCTTTGATTTGCAGTTAGCGATATCCCGGAAGCTCTTCGGATGCCTATTAAAGATTTCGTAAAGAAATATGAAATTCAGAATCTGACAGATAAAAACGATGAGATCGTTTTTCACTGCAAAGCGGGTGTGCGCAGCGAGCAGGCTTGTAAAATCGCGAAATCACTGGGCTTTGTGAAGTTAGTACATGAATTACGTCTATTGACTTCCTTATTTCCTTTGGTTTTTGTCCGAAGCCTGATTGTGCAACGTACGTATTTACAGCGCTAAAAACTACAAAGGAAGCATGGATGATTATTTCGAAAAAGAAACTTCAGGACAGGTGGATCCCCTCAAGTATTACCCCTTACGACCGCTTGCTTGAAATTAATGCCGGTGCGGTAGGATGGCCATTACTTCCAATTTCTCGATTGTGGAAGGTTGACGAGAGGCGTACACACTATGGGCGTACTTACAAAAGTCAGCACACATACAAATAGTTTTCATTTTCGTCTTTTCATGCTCCCATGTCGTTCGAAAAATTATATTGCAGGATAATTCTTTGCTAAGTTTGCTTTAATTTTCCCCTCTTTGAGTGTGCATTGTGTAAGATGGAAAGGGTGCTGTTACGTTTTAGTCTTTGATTTATCGTTCTTCATAAATACTTACATTCATGGAGTTTGGCCACCTTCTTACTAAGTCTATAACCGCTACCAAAAGCATCTTTAGTCTGTACCCATTTCCGCATTGTACGGTACAGTACAGACGTTTGTTTGTAGGTATATACTGCTGCTGTTTGGTTCATCGGTAGCAGTTCTAAAAACCCTGAAATGACTTCACATGCTAGCCGCAAGTCATAACCATCTGGTTTACATAATTTTGATTCTTTCTTAAACGCATTCAGACAAACTGAACAACACCTAGAAGACGATTTTCCCAACTTAAAATTAATACAATAGCATAATTAAAAAAGAAAACGACAACAAGCAAGCCAGATTACGGGCATTTTTGAAAGGCACTCGGTGTTATCATAAACATTCACTGGAATAATGGAAACACAACCTAGCAAACGGACAAGGTTTCGTTATCTCTCCACAATACCAAATTCAAACTTCTGCGAATTATTCTCTGGATTGCACGGTCTGAGGTATAGCGTATTATCCGACATAACTTCTACGCATTTGGCCTTGGTCTTGTGCCTGACCAGAAAGGATTTCTCTATCAGTTCCCAAGGTCCATCCACTCGACCCATTTCACAGTACACTAGTTCCACCTGATCCGTACCGGATGCTTCCACACAACGCTCTCCAATACCAATCTGCCCTTCCGTGTTCAATCTGATCAACTGCTGGCCTCCAGCGTGCGTACACGGTCGCATTTTTAGTTTGGCTGGTGCATCGTGCTCGGAATCCCAACACTGCCAGCCAGCGTATGAGCTTCGCAACTATGAGTATAGAAAGCAAATTTCCACGAATGTTTTGGCGAATTGCTATATCGGCAGGTTACCACAAAATGCACAAAATAATAAGTTGTAATCGGTTGTAACTTGTAAGTCCTTGGCAGTACACAGAACAAATACACCAACAGTTTAAGGATATTCAGTGATATTACTTTACCTCTCCCCAAATTTTGTTAGGAGGTAAAACTGGATACTTCTCAACAACATCGTAAGCCACCTGAAGGAAAAACAAGAGAACTTGAAGCTGATGGTGAGTGAACAGTCCTCATTACAACATGGAAATGAAATCATAAGCCAGGTAAGTCACAACACTCAAAGCGAAACGCGAACAGAACTTACGTTTTCCATATACCATTTAAAGCTCTTGCACTGTAATTTTTCCCGTAGAGCTTTCTGTTGGGAAATGTCACCAATTTCCAGATCTTTGACCAACGGCTCCTGTGTGATCAGCAAGAATACTTGTATACGAGACACGGTTAAATCTTCAGAAAAAACAGCTGCTCATACACGAATATAATAATATTCCTTGTATTCATCCATCCATATCTCAGCAACACGTTTGAGATTCTTCGAAACGATTGGACCTTTCCCAGCCAGCTTCCCAAAGCCATACGGCATGAAACCGCGGTAAATATGACCTGAAAATATTTAGATTGGGTCGTTTTCGTGGTAGGACGATGTTACAGTCTTGCTTACCAATATGCGAACATGGCACCCACTGGAAAAATAAAAATTCAATTCCAAAATATTTTTAAACGTACGTTTCACATGCTGTGATGTTGATAATTTTACCTCGATGCTTCCGCCGCACTGCCAAATTTTAAAAGACAGTTCATACTGCTCCCCGCCCCAAATTTGCAGTCCTTCATCGTAGCCACCCAATTCGAGAAAATATGCTCGATTAATAGCAAAAAGCCCCCCGGCGTGCGTCGGAGATCTATACAAAATAAAACTTATTCAAATACCTATTTGCGTTCAAATTTTTTACCACAAATGTGCATACTGAACATCACTCACTTATACGGTTCAGTATCGTATCGTCGTTGGGCCTTTTCCTTGATCGGCAGTTCCGTTTCTTTGTACAACAAACCCCATTCAAAAATTCCTCGGAAGAGTTGCCCTTGATACTGAACATTAATCTCATAGGTTTCCGAGTCAATTCCGTCAATCACGGGAACTGTCATAACTGTCCTGCAGAGCGTAACGACCGAATGACACATAAATTTTCAAAAAGGATATTCTGCACCGAAGTTTATTTACGTTGACGACAATCAAAATGCTTCGCTACTTACTGAAGGATACAGTCAACAGCGAACTGTATGAGCAATCTGACTAACAAAAGTTACCTGTCTTTCGCAATCGGGGCTAACAACGGAGGCAGCCAGTTCACGTTCACTTCGCAATGGGCATCCAGAAAAAAGACGACTTCTCCGACAGCTTTCCGAGCGCCAATGCTGCGCGTTCGAATCAGGCCTTCCCGCTCCTGATTGCGGACGATTTTTACTTTCCCTTTAAATCGCGTGATATATTCATCCAGCGCATCTTTCAGTCGAACTGAGAAAACCAAAGCAACCGGCATCAGAACAAAAAAATATAACAGTAACATTTTACAACATGTTAGATCTATTTAAAAAGTTATAGGAGTAGGTATTTTTTGCTGCCTACGTTCACGGCGCACACTAAGCCACAAAATGCGGCAACTGGTTTTTCACAAATCAATGCGCACAAACTACTGTTTACAATTTGTTTATAAGCAATATTACCTTTGTCGCTAAAATCATCAACAAGGAGAACTTCGGCCAACAGATGCGGTGGCGTGCGATTGATTACACTGTGCACGGTTCGGAGCAGTGTCGACCACATTTCATTGTGGAACGCAATCACAACGGAGACATTCGGAAGCTTCGAAGGGTAGTGCCAGAATTTGCACCTGCGAAAACAACAGCAGATACAAATTAATTTCGTCCGTAATCAGCTCCGAAAAAACAGTATTCCACATCGGCATACCGCCACCCGTTAGACCTACTCTTTTGGCCTCGTATCGGGAATGGATCTGTCAAGAGAGATTTTCTCGCTGGCAACCTCATTGAATCCGTATTCATGATGTGTCTTTTTCGCTGCTCTCTGCTCTTCCGGTGTCAAATGCACCGCAACGCCTAGTTCGCCCGCACCTTGTCTGGGTTTAGCCACCACTTCGTAACTTCCCACAGTACCATCCTTAAACGAAGGTATGGATAAATTATTCTCCGCTCCGGACTCCTTGGCAGCATTTTCATCGGCCACATCCTGCGGTGGCAATGTGTCCAAATTAACATTGGGTGGCACTTTAACAACCGATTTGTATTTCGTTGGCTTATTGATTCTCGACTCTATTTCATTCTCCGTTTTGCGGACAACGGGTGGACGGATGTTGCGTTTCTGTTCCTCGCCGGTCAGATCGCGGATCTTCCCGTGCACCTCCGGACTCTTGTCGCCCGCCGGAACAGAATCAATCACAGCTTGCGCGCCGTGCAGCAGTTCGTTGTTGTCAGCGCCGGGCAGTGCAATCTGATTGTGGCCGTCGTTATTCTTCTCCTCATTCACGCCTTCATGGACAAATTCATTGCCCTCCGGAGATTCGACCTTGGTAATGATAAAAACTGTTGCAAGCGTGAACGCGAGAGGGAAGCAAGTGTGCCAACAGTCACCTGGTTGTCGCGTGGCACATCGTCAATGTCGCTCCGTCGCAGGACGCGCAGTTTGTGGTTGCGATGGGCATCCGAATCCACGTTCGTTCCCACGAACGCCTCGCGCGAGGAGAATGGCACGATGAAAATTAAACACAGAATGGACACTAGGATGCCGATTTTGAACCAGAATGCCAAGGTAAAACGAGGAATGCGGCGGAAATATCGCGATAACGTGAATCTGGGATTGTGAGGCTTCATTCTCGCGCAGACGTGCAGAATGTACGTGGATGAAAGGCTGGACCATGCAGGCAATCAGTGGCAGCTGCTACTCACATATACGTGCCCGTTCCTTGGCGAAACTGAAGGTTCGTATTATGCATGACATAAATACTTGCGTCAAAGTCCGTGTCGGCTGCAGATTTGGCAGGTGCAAACAGAAGCCGCCAATCCGTCAGAAGTAAGGACTAGTCACTACCATCTAACAACAAGGAGTGCTTTCAGCTTTCAAATTACGAAACTAACAAAAGCCAAGAAGGTAGCACTGAAATGGATGGGCCGATGGCTACGAGTATACTTTAAGACGTTTAAGGACTTATCAACGACGAAGATGATTAATCAAAAGCTAATGTACCTAGTGCGATTTGCTCCAAAGCAAAATGCAACCGGAAGTCGAAAATGATCGTGCTACCGAAAATTGAAATTGACGTCACGCCAAGGAAGCTGTGATTGGTCAGAGTTTTAGCTCGGCTCGGAAATTTGCCAGGCTAAGCATTTTGGCTGAACCTGTCATCTTCTGAAAATTCCAAAAAACCGAATTTTTGGAATTTTCATTTTCCCGTCTTCGGGGAGATGCCGAGAGTGTCTGAAATTCCAAATCTACTGTGTCGTCGTGCCGTACTCCCGTTGTCTAGCAGTTACGAATAACAATCTTTGAATTTATGTTTCTCCATGCATATTGCTACTGCCTTTTTTCAGTCGCACAGCACCTTTACCATGTCAAACTGCTTAACTTAAAAATATTGAAAATTCCAGTAAAAAAATGGGCGTAAATCCAATTAATGGTGCATTTTGAATTTTGCCACAAGCAGCACTTTGTCATCGCACGCGGTCTAATAAAACATATAAAAGTTACAGTACTTTTCAGTGGTTCCGTAAAGACATTTCGATTCCGTTAAGCATGTCCAGAAAATGTAGTTTTCCTATCTTCACAGGGCTTGTCTATGGCGTACAAAACGCGCAAAATTAAAATTACGTGAAGTGGTGAGTTATGAGTGGTGAGCTATAGGTAGTGAATAATAACGTTTCATTAATAACTGTTGATTTTAATTAAATCGGTGATCTTTAAGTGGTGATTCAAAATGGTGAATCAATAGTGCTGATTAAATAGTGCTGATTAGATACTGCTGATTTAACAATGATGATAAGACTGGGGTGATTAAAAAGTGGTGATGATAGAGTGGTGATTCAGCAACGTGACTGCCGCCTCGTCAACCGGAAGCCTAATTTCCGGACTTATAATTTTTTCTGAGTTTTTGTAAATTCCCATTCCACCCTACCAGTTCCAATGAGTGAGTGGAATTTAACGTATTTTTTGGAAGTGACAGTTATTTGTACTGGAAAGGCTCTTCTAATGGTACTACAGTATACTTAGTGAATCTGGATTAGTTGGTGATCCATTTAAGAGCAAGTCTCTAATGTTTTCAGTGTTTACTTCCCACTTTATTTGTTAGAAAACCAAGAGAAATTTGAAATGGATCAGTTTTTGAGTTTGCGTACTCGGTTGTAAGACGTGCGAGCGTTATCTAACAGTCCAGAATGGGGATCAAGATCAAGATGGGGTTGACGGAGCGCTGACGCAGATGGATTATTTGCTTGGGTAACTTACCCAAACAGCAACGGTTGACAAATCAATTTGTTGGAATTTTGAATGTTTTATTTGTTAGATATACTAGAGATATCTGCGAAAATGTTCCGGAGGAGCGGACGGTGCAAGCGCAAGAGCTTTTTGATGTTTTAATTAACTACTCCAGTCGCTTACGGGATCTACTGCAAGAAGACGAAAACGGGACTGCGTCCGTTTTTCCCATCACGCAGCACACCAAAGTAGATGGAAAAATATTCCTTCTGGAGGATGATTTAGCTGAACTGCGGTTCGAGGGATTTACTGTGAATGATATTGCTAAGCTTTATGGAGTTTCTAAGAGGACAGTCACGTACAGATTGGCAGATGCTGGCTTGAATAGGAAAGTAAGTGTATGTGCCAGCATCACGGCACGGTTGGGTGCAGTACTCGTAGATATTTTAGTTCGTTGCAGATTTGCATTGGTGAATTTTTACCTTTTTTGATCATTATATACGTAATAAGCAGGCTATGTGTTAATTTAAATTCGTTTGCTTTTTCAGTATTCGGAATTGAGTGATGTGGATTTGGATCGCGTAATTGTGGATATTTTAAATTCGTTCCCGAACGTAGGATATCGTTACATTAACGGCCAGTTAAAATCAGGAGGTTTAACAGTCCAACGCACGAGAATTCTGGCTTCTATGAGAAGACTGGATCCGTATGGCATAGCTAATCGGTTTTTCCATTTTGTCCCTCGCCGCATTTATTCAAATGCTGGCCCAAACGCGCTGTGGCACATTGATGGCAATCACAAGTTGGTTCGCTGGGGATTCGTAATACACGGGATTATTGACGGTTACTCTCGAATGGTTATTGCTCTCGTCGTTGCAACGAACAATCGCGCAAGTACAGTGCTGCAGGCCTTCCTCGTTGGCGCTGAAGCTTGGGGAGTGCCGTCCAGAGTGAGAAGCGATTGCGGCGGTAAGGTGTACAATACTGTTTTGCGCCTTTGTCAGTTTTGCGATTGTTGCTTTTCATCAGTGTTTTTCTGTGTATGAGTTGACAGTTTTCAGTTCTGACTGATTTTACTATTTTGTATAACTAGGTGAAAATTTCGGAGTTGCACGCTGGATGGAGCATTATATGGGTCCGAACCGCGCCAGTATCATTATGGGACCGTCAGTTCACAATCAGCGGATAGAACGGCTGTGGAGAGACTTGGGTCGCGTTGTGATTAAATTATTTCGATCTATTTTCATTCACATGGAAAATATGCAAATTTTGGATATGACGAGTGCCCGCGACATGATGGTTTTGCACTTAGTATTCACGGAAAGAATACAGAATAAGCTCAATAGCTTCATTTCTTTTTTTAATAACCACAAATTGCGCACGGAGGGCGAAAAGTCACCAAGGCAGTTGTTTGTTCTCGGCTGCAATCAGAAGGGACTGAAAGGTTTTCCTCTGGAAGAAATCTTATCGGTCGACAATGCACTGCCTAACGCCGACGTGGATGTCGCAGAAAATTTCCCTCAGTACTTAAGAAATCAAGTTGGCCATTCAAGGGATTCTGTCCCGGTGTGCGATAAAATCAGCAGTTTCCCTGTTGAAGCTCAGGTAATTCGGGCTAGTATGGATCTGATGCGGGATGATGGATTTCATGGAATTCAGGTTTTTTGCGAAGCGAAAGAAATGTTACAACATTATTTTGGTTAATGGTAGACTGACAAATCAGTGTGTCCGAATTTTAGAAAAAAACCTTAGTACTGCTTTCCGTTGATAATATTACTACCGGCAGTGTTAGAAGCTAGCTAATCTTTCAGAAAGCGAAAGTGAGTTTATTGCTTTAGTAAGTTAGCGTTGTAATTGACTGCTTCTGCTGAATTTAACGTTTTGTAATTGTTGGATGCATTGTTTTCATGGTGAAAACGCAACACGGCTTGGTGAGAATTAAATTTGCGGCAAGCATGTTAACTGAGAAGAAACCGCTGCGGTGACAGAAGAATTTTTAATACAGTACGCCGCCTCGTGAAAATACGTGTACGTTCCGCCGGTTATTAACGACACTTACACGTAAGTCCGATGAAGAGCTGTTCCGTACATGCCCGCTGTCAAAACTTAAGTTACAAAGTATGTGATAGATTGGTGTGCATTATTTTATTGTGTCGGAATTATTATGCGAATTGATCTGGTTTGCTTCTGGTCTCGTTCAGCTGCGTTAAGGAAGTTTGGCATCCTTGCAAGCACGCGGGATCGGTTGACTTGGATAACGCTTCAACAGTCATCTTCCCATGGATATGAAGACCGGCAGAAATTACATCGTTACTTATTGTGGCGTGCAAAGCACTCGTGCTGTTGGACAGTCGTCCAAAAACGTAATTTTCCGAATGGCACCGGAAGAAGTTCCTAAAGACGTGCTGAATGCTTATAGATCCCAGAGGGGCGGAACATTGGACCTTGGTTTTCCAAAAGCGGGACCAAAAATGTGCGGAAGAGTTTGCTCGCGCCTTCCGTGACGTCAGTCAAAGTTCTGGCATGCGGTTCGGAAATCCGCAGATTATCATGCTAACTGCCGATCAAAACATCACATATGCCCATAGCATTGCTAAAGCCGCGGTCGAAGACAAAGTATAATATTTTGCTCTAGCTTAAAATTTAAACAAGGTTTTCTATGGATATCACACTTCTAAACTTGTTTAATCGCTTCACAGGTCATTGTGAGTTGTACACTGGGAAGAGCAGATCGTTTGCGCGCAATTGTGCAGAAAATCGCTTTGCAAATCAATTGCAAGCTGGGTGGATCCATTTGGCGCATGGCTAAAATGCTGACAAGGTAAGGTTAAATCTGCTGTTATGAAGATAATGACAACAAATTTCGTATTGTTAATTTGTTTTTCAGAAGAAGATCAGATGAGCCTTATGGTGATTGGAGTGGACGCCTATCACGACATCAAACGAAGAAATTATTCGATCGCAGCTTTGGTGACTAGCACGGACGACGATTTTACACACTGGCATAGTCGTTGTAATTTTCAGCCACCAAAAACGGAATTGGCATCAGGGATAAAGTTTTCATTCGCTTGTGCAATGATTTCGTATCGCAAGGGTATGAGCGTTTTAGTAGAACATAACAGATTTGACTTCCTCAGACGTTTTGCAGGAAGACCCGGTCAATGCCGTTGATTTATCAAGACCAGTCCATTTCGGAATCTCACATCCATACTCGGAAACACTGCAGTATTTTTGATGAAAGTACAGTATTGCTGACGGAAGGTCTTGCATTTTTCTCGCTTGCAGTGTATTAAATTCGTGTATTTTGCAGTGTGTTTTCGTGTTAATATTAATTTATGCTTAAAAAATACCTGTTAAGTATCTCATGGTCAGCGATGGTCAGAAAGTCAGCGCTTACAATACTGTACTGCAGATTACGTTATCCTTTATGTTACCACTGCCGTAAAGTCCAAATAATATTTACATGGCTGTATGCATCGGATTGTCTGAATAAAAAAGTTCAAACTTGTGAATGTTTACTTTTTTTGTTATGCTGTTTTTATTGTTGTGCAGGTGTCACATGCAACAGCTGGTCATTCACGGCAACGATCGGCATGAATTCTGGGAATCTGTTTGCATGTCGGATGTTAAAAAGCAACCGGAAAACAGCGGCACATTAAGTTTGTTAACCAACGAGAACGGTGGCATCATTGATGATACGGTGTAGATGAATACCAGTCGCGGACATCTCTTCGCTGTTGTTAACGTCGGTTGTGCGGCAAAAGATCTAGAATATTTAACGAAAAAAGTCTTGGGCTTCCAGAAGAAAGGGAAGGATGCTCAAATTGGCATCGTTACTGTGCAGGAAAGAGCTTTGATTGCTGTTCAAGGTTTGTTGTAACGGAAATCTGCATTCATAATTGCTGTTCGGATTATATAAGTAATTGCTCACGTTCTGTTTCAGCATGACGACGTTTAAAAAACTGTTAAAAGTATGTATTGGCATGGAGTTATCATATTACCGATAAAAACAGACTTTTTGTCAGTATTGTACCTATTCGGCATTATGTTAAAGAAAAATGTGCTTTCGATTTCGTTCGTTTGATTCGAAGTTACGGTCACAGTGACACTTAACCTTTTGCCGTATATATGTCCTTTTTTCAGTGATTAGGACCGGAAATGTCAAGAGTTATTCAGCCCGGCTTAAAGGATTCGGTGGATAGCTTGGAATTCATGCAGACTACGTTTTGTACACTGTACGGATTTGAGGGATG